CGGTGCTTATTGTTACTTAGGTGCTGGCCATGAGCGATACGCCATAAACAGTATGCAACCATATACTTTGACTCCCGTTTACTAATTATGATATCTCTTTAAGGAACCACGCATGGAGAAGTGGAAAAAAGAGTGAGACGTAAACTTTTTCTGGTTACGTGGAGGTGGAATTCTTATTCCTGCACTTTACCATAGAAATCGCTCACACTTCTGGTAAGACTTTTTCTGTGATTATGTGCGGGCGAGTATCAGTTTTCTGACTCGAAGTGCCGAATGATGAAGAGCCAGGAAATCTTTTCTGTCACCTTGGCTCAGGGGCCAGAATTGCGACCGTGCATGTCGAACAAGGCTGTAAGAGGGATCAACAGTAAGCCACTTGCGGCTCTACGCCAGCAGGGCAACGCGTATGTATCATGTACATGATATCCTTGACGTTATGAACTCAGACCTGGGCTTGTGGCAGCTCCTGGGCTTGGCATTGCATGATTACTGCAGTGGTCAGCTTCCGGTATCACCAAGACAAGCACATGCAGGTAAGATGCAACCTGCGGGGGGGCCTGTCCTGATACTTTCACACGTGGCGGGCTTGCTGGACTAATTATGCATGTGTAGATGATCGTCCGTTGCATGCATGTGGTGTGAGACAATGGATGGTGGCTGGACTCCGTGTTTTCAGACACATAGGTGCTTCAGACTGAATAAATCAGTCGGCCTTCAAGTATATTTAATACCTCCTGGAGAAGTCAATGAACCAGACTCTGGTCCTCAAGTTCTCACAACTTCTCAAACTACCCACAAGCTAAACGGCGGCTGTCTCTTAAAAGGTTTTCTGTCCCTTTCGTCTGAGAATTAGCCCATTTCATTTGACGACAACCACTCTAAAGCCACATCCCTACTCAATTTCGAATATCACTCAGCTTTCATTTAAAATCCGTATGCGCTTCGAACAGCGTTAGTTCTCAAATTGTACTCATCAAACTGTTCCAGGAAACCAAAAAGATGGCTCTGTAAGCGGCCGTAAAAAAATTATCCCTGAGTTGGTAACCTTGAATGGCAGGAGAAGCTGAGACAAAACTCGATAGTACCCTTTCAACACTTCGGGTCCGACGAAGCCGCTCACTGAGCCGCAATCTTCGCCAACGCCGAATTCAAATGTTTCTTGCGTCGCCTTTACGAGATTGCAATGCCGTTTTCCAAGCATCATATACGATGGAAGGCGTCAGGGCCAAGCGAAGACGCATACAAAAAAAGCTAAAGAGACATATGCGCGTCCTTGATCAGAGTAACTCTGGAACAGAACCGGTCACGGAGCTCTCAGCAGATAATTATCGTGAAACAACAGAGAGACAAAACAGACTGGAAAGATTGTCGCATGATCTTGCTGGGGTAGGTCTGTGGGCTTTAGAGTAGGATATAGAGGCCTCAATCACGCTGAAGCCGACTTCAACAGAGACTCGTGGTAGCGAGGGAATCTGGCCTAGGCGAAGAGCTATGCTGGAGGCACCAACCTGCTGCTTTTTGTTACGACTGAGCCATAGGTAGAAGATGAGATAGTTGTCATCCTACATGGAGATACCAAAGACCCAAGAATGCCACTAAACAGTTCAAATGAGGATTCCGTGACTGGTGCATATCGAAACTCGTCCCCCTCCCCCAACCCCCCCGATCACATATCATCCTGCCCCTCAGGGTTCAATGAGTGAACATCCAATCGGACAACGAAGCGGACATTGCCTGACTGAGTGCCTCATCCAGTAAAATGATGATCACCTTGTCTTTCCAATACTCCCACGTGTCACCCTTGTCGCGGGACTTCTGAAGCTTGGTGTGAACCGGGGGTAAGCATGGCGATGTGGCTGCGCACACCGCATCTCTGCAGATCCTCGTATTTCAATGCATGTAACATTTACTTGAACACAATGTGCACTTTTGAGAGATATAATACCGCGTATTATCATGGAGCAGGCATTCGCGTAGTTTCATAGTCACATTTGCCCCGGCTATTGTTGCTTAGCACTGCGCAGAATGATCCCCGGTTCCCAGTCTTCCACAATGAAAGCCTCATTGCAGAACCCTTTCAGAAAGTGATGGATTTTAGCTGGGAAGGTGGAGCACGGTGCCCTCTAGTTTGTAGTATGACAGGACAGACATGATTATTGGCACATTGCTAAGGCGAGAGTCGCCACAGAAGCCGGGGAAACCTGTCGGGCGGCTTGTATACCGACGCTCCCTCAGCCACCGCCCTTCGCTTACATCTTGCTAATGGCCGTATGGGGCCAAGTGTGTGTAGAATGTGAAAGCGATCATGCACTTCTGACAACTACAGAGGAACACATCCAACTTCCGACTACCCATGGCGGAACGAGGCGGCATCAGGTTTAGGGGTGGGATCCCCTGCAAGATGAATGTCATTCTCGGTTTGTGTTTCAAAAGTTGCATGCTTTACTTTGCTAGTAAGATTAGTGCTTACGAACGCTACCACCGCCACGTGGACCAGGACAATCACGCATTAGCGCTGAGTGAAGCATGCATTATTCATGGGTCCATCTTGTATGATATCATGCGCTGCAACCCGTCAATAATGGTTTTATACCATGATATACGGCGCTATTACAGGGTTACTCTTTTTGCGGCCTACAGCTAGATGATCGGCAGGCTTTGTACACTCAAATGGTCAGTAGAGCTGACAAATGTCGAATCCAGACTGCCGACTATGGTGTATGCGCAGTCAAGGACACACCCATGGGCTGTCTCTCTCTTAGGCAAGGAGGTTTCCTTAGTCTTGAAGCCCCTTGCGAGCGACCGAAGACAGTTTCTATGGGTGCCTAATCACTCATTTCCATATTTCGGACAAGCTTGTTTGTCATGAAGTGGCATGATTCCTTGAGCCCAACGCCTACCTTGAGACTAGACTGACTGCAAGATCTTACGCTATGAAGCATACGACGTGGCATCCCAGGGAAGCCCCGTATCTGTTCTTGTCGCCAGGCTGAGAAACGGGCCAGTCTATAATGCTTGTAAACCTAAAGAAGCGCGCATTTAGAATCATTAGCCTGCGGGCGGAATGCACTGGCTTGCCTTCGAAGTCGGTCTCAGCTTTGGTGCTAAGGCAATGGGGAGAATGGTACCTCAGCCTGGGCACGGTACTAAAGTACGGCTCCTGGCCTCGGTCAGCAAACAAGCAGAAGGCGATTAGGAGGCCCGCAGATCTTCTGACCGCTATGAGCTCCCAGGCGCGGGGCCAAAAATCGCTGCAGACACCAGCCTGCAATCCCACCTTCCCCATTCGATGAGAACTGCGCTCACTTCTGCAATACCATGCTCAGCACATAGACCGCAGGTTTTAGGTGGCATGCAAAGCCTTGCAAAGAATACCTGCGTGTTATTTTCTAAAAATACTGGATGTTGAGCCTCGATCAAATGAGTTCTCCAATGAGACACAATCTGTGCCTCTGCGGACTAAGGGCAGTTGATTGGACCCTCGGTTGCGTACATTTCTGCTCCAGCGCTCGGTGACATCCAAGGGTCGTTGTCTGCCAGCACGTGATCCTGTGCTAAACAGGGGGCGCTGGTTGCCACGTGGTAGGCTTGCACTATGGTAGACGTGCCCCACCTCCTCAACGGGGTGTGAGATTCAGGGATGTTCATGACAAGTCTCGTATGAGTCGTCTGCACAACACATTACGTAGGCTCATACCTGGGCAACTTCGTGGTGCTTGGTAAAAAGATGGAGAAAGAAGGTTTCAATAAGGTTTCTCACATCCTTTACCTTCGCTGTTTAAGTACTTAATTATATGAGTATGCTTCAGAACATCTTTCCATCGAAACTCACCGCATCGTAGTGGCTTTCCGGACAGTGGGGCAACATACCATGCTGCCAGTCTATTATGGGCCTTACCGAATATCCGCTCTGCCAAGCAGGAAATTAGAGGCAGCTCTGTCAAGAACAGCAGTTCATAAAGCATTCAAGGTCTACTGTAGTTGTTATCGAACGTTCACTGTTTTTTAAAATAAAAAAACCAACAACAACTAGCTATGGGATTTAGCCCAGTTCCGAAATATTATCATACTATAAATAAAGAAAGAAAGAAAGGAAAGAAGAAGAAGAAGAAAAGAAAAAAAAAAAGGGGGGGGGGGGTCATCTACTACTGCAATGCTTATCCGCATTAGTATAACCACCAGAAAATTGCTGATCACAAGTCAAATTGGCCCTTGGGACAAGAAAGAGTAAATGCGAAGAAGAAATCTGCACTGAGAACCGGAGCGTAATTTTGAAGGGAGGGCAGGCTAAAATAGAGACTTTGTAGAGAATGAACCCAATAGAACAGTCTCGAAAGTACTTGTTCATAGCAATTCATGATTGAACTCCCAAATAGACGAGATCAGCAACAATGTTCTCATGCAGGAGTGTCATGTAAGCACTTCATGTCTGCGTTGAGTTTCTGCGGGCGGATTAGCATACCTTGCCATTCCCATTTCCGACCCAAAACAATACAACTTCATTCTTGTTACATCATGTTTGAAACTAACTTCCATATCAGGTTTGATGCAATCCAGCCGGATCCGAGTACTTGCCACGTGCCTTCATGGATGGCCTTACAAGCACCTTGATGCTAATGCTGCCTACATATTCTTCTTGACATGTGATATTTCGAGCGCTTCCATGATATCTGAAATCAAGATCAAACTGCACCTATTTTAATATATGCATTGTCCCAAATATCTCCTGCTATTTACAGAATCATTGTGACAAAGTTCACAATTTCACTTCCCCGCCCATTTCAATGTTCCCTTTAACATTAAGTCCATATCGTAGTCATTCCTTTCTACAAACTTGTTGAAAAAGTTGATGCTGTACTTTGCAACTGGTATTCCTCATCGTGGAGACGCAGTCGCTGAGACTCGTCCATTTTTTCATGATCAGTATCCATACAGAGAGAGTCTCGTCTGAGGTGGCCAACGTCGATCATAGCAACTGCTGTTGTGTCATTTCCGATGAGAAACTTGGGAGCGCTCGGGTCTGACACGTCAAGACCAGCCAGAGTATCATCTGGTCCAGCTATTGGAACAAACATTGCCGTCTTTGACCATGTTCCAGCGCCGAGTTCCTCATGTGCTAGTCTTTGGAGTTGAAGCGGGTGGTGTATGCGCCATTCGAGAGATTCATAGAGGCGTCTTCTGTAGTGATAGATGCAGTGCGGTAGGAGATATGAAGTCGCGATAGATATCACTCCGAAAATGAAGATTAAAAGCAGAGCAAACATGCTGAACGAAGTGTAAGCCGCACTCGTAATTTTCTATAAGTTGTTTGTAATGATCAGCTAGTGCATATATATGACAGAGTTGAGGAGGAATCAGGTTCTCTGGTAAGAATAAGAAGGTGTTCGTTCGGTGATGGACAAGCCTACCTGATTTCGACAAAGAACCTCCTCTTCGGTGTTTCCAGGGGTTGATATGAAGCTCCCCGGTATCGAGCTAATACCGGGCCCCGTGGCAAGGCTGATGAACAGATATTGCCATGCTGCCAAGTTTATCTGAAACCATCGTTCGACCTCGATTTGCCACTGGTTGTCTGGCAATCCGGGTTGGAAGCCAGAGGTCAAACTCTGTTTTGCCTCTAACGCTGATGAGCTCATAACCTTCACGATTTGATATATAGTCATGCCATTGAGGTGGAAGTCGTTTAGCAACCAGTCGAAACTGTTTCTGTAGCTCGCTGAGCGGTCTTCAATCAGACCCTTTGCTGCTGGAAATACGTCGTAGACCCCAAGCAAAGGTGTGCAGTCGGAGCCACTTCCAGTAGGAACACAGATCTGCTGTTGTGAGGAACACGCGAGGGGTGACGCAGGCTGGTCTGAGAAGTAAAAAGAGTAACCCTCAGAGAGCTGCGTGGTCGCGCGAAACAACGGATCCAAGACTTCTTCCAGATACAAGATCTGATTTGCCGAGATGAAAAAGAGCGAGAGGTCCGCGTTGGTTATGGTGAGCTCTGTAATTGGATCAAATTCGGAGCCCAGTGCTTCCGAGGCATTCAGAGTTCCGTTGTTCGAGTAGACTGAAAACACACTTCAGGCAGCTTAGTATGCTTTTTCGCTTGACTTTTGGAGAATCATGAAGAACCATCTTACTCAATATTGTAATCATCATTAGTTTGTGCCACATCAAAGTTCGCACTTTGGATGGCAAGCTTTCTGAGCTCCCATAGCTCGTCGTTCGTCCACTCGTACGTAAAATTTCCACCACTTGGCCCATACCAATATTGGGTGTAGGACCGATCATCGGACAGGTTGAAGTTGGTAGTGTAGCCTTCTGTGCGAATTGGTGCGCATTCTACTCTCATTCTGATCTGAAATTGCTGGCCATCGGGTGTATTGAGCCCGAAATCTTCGCGACTGTCGACCAAACCAGAATCGAGTACGATAGTGCTGTTGTCATCGAGGCAAATGTTCTTGTCGAAGGGGCACTCAGCAGTGGTTGTGATGTTATAAGGAAGATTCCGGTGCACGAAAGTGTCACAACCAACCAAGTTTGAGTCATCGGAACCATAACACTGTTCAGCGTAGTTTGTTGATGACTCCAAGTATTGATAGAGCCAGGTGAAAAGCAGGGCTTCGTCATAGGTAGTCGCATTCACAGAAGTCCTGCAGCTCGTGTCAGCTCAGAAGACTAGGACTCCCAAGACATAAGAAAATAAATCAAGAAGAGACAAAAGAGTAGGAGATTTGTTTTCCCGGGGGGGGGGGGGTGGGGGCGCGTGGGAGGTGGGTTACTTGATTTTTGGGAGGTCTTTTGATGGGTCAGGGGACAACACTTTGCCTTCACACGTACACAAAACCGCAATGTTCGCTTAATAATAGCACCTCATTCCCCATGGCTGATGAAACTTGCGAGGAAAAAACAGACGCCACTGTCCAGCTGGCGAGCCAGAAAATAGAGAGGACTAGTAAGGGAAGAGAACGCGTCCACACATGTTTCCCGATGAGGCGCCAGGCGCAGAAAAGCCTTGCGAAGTCAGCAACGCCATTCATGGCATCGGAGCTATTCCTCAGGAGAACCTGTCTTTGGTGGTAGATCGCATCGCAAGGAGAGTTGTTGGAATATGAAAAGTGAAGGGTGAAACAAACAATGCGCCACAGACGCGCTCCAACGAGGGTCACACAAAAAGAGATCAGGGCAATGAGGAGGTTGGCGTCAGACTGGACAAGCGTCAGGGTCCAGCCAAATACTGAGCCACGAGACCAATTAGTCCATAACCCAGTTCTTACTCCCAAGGAGTCTGTGGAATTATCGGTGGACATGGCTTGGACTTCGAGACACTTGTAAGGTCAGAGATTGAGTTGGATTTCAAGCTCAGAGATTTGGTTGCTTTTACCTCATGATCAGCCCCCTTTAGTGGGCTGGAGGCTTCTACATGTTTTTTGTCTGTTGGTTCTGTGTTGGCTCCACATCCGGCCTTGAAAGCGTAAAGTGCAACACAACTTTCCTGTCTGTTGGTTCTCGGTTCAGGGAATCAAATCCTTCAGCTGAAAAATTTCATGTTATCTCGGGGGGAGGGGGGGGGGGGAATAAAAGAATGATTTGCCAGTCCTGAAGATGTGAGAGCTCGGTATACTTGGATTGACATTGAGCAAAGTTTTTAAATACCATCGAAAACATTAATCATTGTTTCCGCGAGCGATGATTTTGCAGAAGTGAACCAATCCAAGAAATTGTCACTGAATGCTAAAGTGGAAATGATAAGCAGCCCCCACCCTCGAACTATCTACATCTGACACCCAAAACTTCATTGCAACATGCATAGATTCATTGTCCATGAACGGTTGCTGATATCATCCCGGCGGATAGCGGTATAGAGGTCCAGACGTCGGTGAAAGCCTCGTCAGTGGGTGGCATGTGACCATAATACGAATGACTGACAGAACAGTATTTGTTTATCGTTTAATATATCAAGCTGAAGTTTGATTGCACCCCTAGTACAAAGTCTTGAGTGGCGGGAAGTATGAAGTTCAGGATCACAGCTGATGGAAAGGAGGGGGAGGCAAATATGTAGTGGGAACATGAATGGGAGTCAGACTCATTGGGCCTTGAGGCGAGGTCGAGTGATACGATGAATTATTTGCCCTTGGAAACTGGATTATATCTAGGCGGATAGAGCTTCAAATGCAGCGGAGTTCTGGGCACCATCCTGTTCCATTCTGTCTCGTGTGGTTATGTGTGTACTTTAGGCAGCGCGCTTCTCGGGCATGCATTGGCTACACTGTACACGTTCATGCTCGTAACCGAACAGAGAGAGCAGTACAGTAAATGCAAACAACGGAAAGCATGAACCTATGAACTAAGGTATCCTCCTGATGAGGAATGTTCAAAGTAAATCATTGTGCTATGGAATATCTTGAACTCGAGTCACAGTAGGAGCAAACATCATTCAACATATAATCAACTCTTGGTTTGTATACGTGGTTGAAACGTGGGGTTCATTCTTTGGTTCGCTGCTGATGCATCTGAAACGGAGTGCTCAAAAGTAGTGAGAACCGTGACAGGAGCCGGGACTGCTCGGATGCATTAGACTGGTCCAGTAAAGCTGCCTCCCCCCCTCTCACCCCTTCTCTGCGCTTGTAGATGTAGATGTGTAGCCCCCGGGCTCGCGTGCATTCCATAATATTCCACATTTCACATTCATGAAAATCGTGATGACATTCTCGTTATGTGACATTGAGTTGTGAAGCATGACTGAGGGTGTTGTCCGAGGCTTGACGAGGTGCGAACTCGAGATGTGGACCTATGACTGGACTGGGCCGTCAAAAAGTACTTGAACCACTATCTGACCTCTATTCGTTCGTTCCCAGTCCTAGGATGAGTGCCACGTAGTCGTCGCAAATATGTTTTGATGGCCTTCCTGGAACCGGCATCACAGGGTATTTATTGTTTCGTACGCACTTCTCATAAATAATTCTCAGATCGTCTATAATTTCTCCGCATATCGCTCTTTCTTCTGGCCTGAGCCTGAGCAATTTCAGTTCAATTAAGTCCAGAGTGTCGATAAGAAACTGTGTGATCTGTGGGTCATCTCGAAGCCAAGTGTATTGCTATAAAAGGTCAGTCTTCGGAATAGCCTCTCAGGATTGGACTTCAGCAAGGATTCCGCGGTACTCTTTGGGGTGACTCACTGCGACGACTGGCTTCTTCAATTTAGTAATGTTTGAAGTGCGGCCGTCAATTTCCATCCGCATTATGTTGAAATATGTGTTCTCTTTGATGACATTACGGTCATCAAGAGCTCGCTGCCGAGAAAAATCATCCCAAGCCTTATAGCCTTTGAGATACCACGTGGTAAACTCCAGAAGAACACAACCCCAAGTCCAGATATCGGATTTCTCTGTAGATTCACAATCAGGATAATTTTCTGGAGGTCTGTAAGTGGAGTTTCCTGAACAGCGATGCCCTTGCCGAGGGCGATCTCTCTCGGAGCCGTCAATCGTTGGCATGTAGAAGTCAGAGATCATCAATCTTTGCTGGTGGCGCGGCTGCTGTTTATCTCTCTGGAATATCTGGGCTTGCTCGAACCAGAGGATATTCTCCGGTTTGAGATTCCCATGATAACCACGGGTTTCTTTTGCCGCATGTTCGTCTAGGTTCCATCATAATCCGGTGGGCACGAGTGAATCTCCAGCAACCCGTTAGTGAGGCCGAGCAATTCTTGGGCGATCCAAATAGCAAACTCGTGGGTCCTAGGCATGCCGCCAGTTTCAGGATAACACTCTCAAAAGTCTCTCAAATTCCCATCAGCCCAAAGGAAAGTAAGGTAGTAACGGGCGCGCCACGAATAGGTGAGTTGTAGGTTCATGAGGTAGGCATGATTCTGGCTACTGAGCCTTCTGAAACCGAGATTATTTTGAGAAAGACACCAGCAGGGAGGCAGCGCACTGCGAAATAGTGGTTGATTGTCTGTATGGTTGATTAGTTGTGGCCTAACTTATTCAAAAGATATCATACGTACCGAAAGAATGCTATGGTGAGCCGGGTGAATCTTGACGCAGTAGATGTTCGGAATATTTTCGGCGCTTGTTCTAGACAAAGTGACTAGCTTATCTTCCAGAAATGGAAGAACGAGGCGAGAGTCCAGAATGTAATGTGGTAGTTGAGGGCAGTCCGTCGAGGTTTGTGCGAAAAAGGGAGCCAGGAAGTTCCACTGGTACGTGCAGAAACTTTCAATTTTAAGCCAGTGCCATATTGAGAACATATTGATAGGAAGTCTTTCCTCGCTGCCCTCCTGTCCTGATAGCCGATATACAGGCCCATAAAGCTCGAAGCGTGTGTCGGATCGATAAAATGGAAGATGCACATCATACAACCCGTCATTAATGAGACTTACGACAGTGCCGACCATATTTATTGTAAGAAGTGTTGCAAACAGCCTTTTGCGAGTGGTCCAAGATTCTGGCAGAAAGGGGCTGCTTTCGACCTGGACGAGAGAGCTGTTCCATCGCAAATTGCGTGGGCCAGGCGGACCAAATCCTCACGAGTTTTGTCTTTGAATATTCTATGAAGCTCCCTGAAGACGGCTTCGCATGATATGAGCCTTTCCAAATCGTCGTCTGGCAGGTATTTTTGATCACAAACTGATTCGTAGGGTACAAGTGCCTGTGAAGGCAACATTCTGCTCCTTATCGTATCCGAGAGTGGCTCCGCGTCCCAAAACTTAGGAGGCCCAATATCAAAGAATTCATCATGATCCCGGGATGTCGTAGTCTTGAGAAGAGATAAAGCGTGCATGGACTTGAGATGAAAAGTAGGGGATCTCCTTGCTCGCTCCATTCTGGTGCATGGGCAGCTCTGTGATCATTGATACCACTGTCATGCCACAGCATTTCGCTCGTCTTCGGAAGTTCATTGGACTTTGGCGAGTCAACCGTGGACACAGGATGCAGTAGATGGTCGTCAAAGTTGAGTGATAAGGCGAGAAGGTCTTCGTCCAGTCCACTCGGAAAGGATGCTTGGGAATGCGTTCCTCTGAGCCGACCGCGATCGTGCTCTTCGCCCTCGACCATGGAGACTGCCTTTTCATCGGCATCCACATTAGCTAACACAGGCACTGATATAAAACTCAGATCCTTGATATGCTGAGAGACATGCTCGTTTAACTTGCTTTCGAGTTTGTTGATGTCGCTTGTTCTCAGCACAGGCTGGATTTCGTCTGGTACACAGTCGCAGAGAGGGCATGCCCACTTGTCCTCTCTGATGAGTTCTTTCTGCTTCTTCCTAGACAGGCTCTCAAGCTGCTTGTCGCTGGGGGGCTCCCGGTCATGATTCTTGGCGTTCTTCATGTGTGCAACGAAGTCGCGATAGTCGTTGAATTGGGGCGATCCACCACTGTGGCCGACATTGCAAAACCAAGTTGACATGTGGACCTTCCGTGTCCAGTCTTCCGAATGAGTTGTGACCATGTGGTCGAGCCAATCTTTCATGTGCGCGAAGAACAAGAACGGCGATCTGCAGTTCTCCGAGACGCACACAAAGGGCTTGATGTCTTCGTGTATGTGGTCACTATTGATGAACTAGTGATGATGATCTTGTAAAACGAAACCCAGAATTTTCTGAGAACTCACTGCCAGTATTTTTTACCTTGCCTCAGTCTTTTGGCATCCAAGGGCTTAGCACAGAAAGGGCAGGCGCATTTCTCAGCACCGAGCTCAGTTTCAGGATTGGGAGGATACTCGATCCCGAAATCTCGAATTGAAGATCCGCTGCTTTTTGTAGACAAACTTGGACCTGCTTTTAGATTGTGCCGGACTGCTGCGCTGTCCAGGAAGCTATGACGACCTCATAATGTATGATATCTTGATTTTAGTGTACATGCTGGAGATATTAGCAAACACACAAAAGAGAAAGTCCTGTTCTAGCCTTAGTAATGCCATCTCTAATGTGGCTGTGTCTCGGCTATATAAATGTCATCACCATCCGGCCAGACAAACAAAGCAAGGTCACACAAAATACATAGAATAAGAAAGGCGCCTACCGTTTGGTAGACCGAAAAGAAAAGATGATTTGTCCATTCAGACCTAAAAGATTATCAGATCCAGTCTTGGATGACTAATCTGAGTTCTGGCACTACACTTGACATTTACCAGCCCATCACCACAACCAGCTGTATTTCATACTTTATTCAATGGGAATCTCAAACCATGAGTCAGCCCACCCGTTAAAGTATATGTGCTTGTTGCCAGACTCCACTGAGCTTGTCGATCCATCGCAGCAATACAGCTACACAGAATCGTGGATGGCATACTACATATTTCAGCAATCACCGGTTTCGGCTATGGACGCTACAAGTCTCTACAAGCTTTCAGTATACAGTAGAAAAGGATTACGACTTTGTAATCTAGTGGCATGATAGACAGGACAGACCATCAGATTAAATCGGTCAGCAGGAGACTTAGTGGGAGCCGCTGTGGTAGTATCACAAGCCGGAGAGATTCCAGAAGGTCCAGGCCCCTATGGGCGAGACCATGCACCAAATGCATCCACGCCAAGCCTATACTATGGTGCAGCGACACAAGCCGGATTCTGACAGGGGCTAGCCGAGCAGGCCTAGTACGGCCCGGCCGGATCGCCCGTGCGGTGCAGTGCGTCACAACCTCCTCCAAGGCCAGGGGCGGCTCTCCTCTAAGCACCTGGACCCTCTGTCGGGGCCACTATTTAAGAACCACGCTTCCCACTTCTCACATCAGCACCTCTACGAAACATCACACACAGCAAACAACCTGACCAGCCAAATCTACCTCGAGCCGCCCCCCAAATCAACCGCCGCATTCTCTACAACAGAGAAACCATCGGTTTGCTGCGATAGTATCGAGTCACCCAAACCGCCAGACGTCAAAAAGAAACCACCGCAACAATGAAGCCGGTGTCGTACCTCCTCTTGTTCCTCTCTGCCATCATGGGCATCAGCGCCGTGGACGTACAGAAGTCCTTCATCGTGTACTTCAACAAGGACACCCCCCAAGACGTTGTCAATTCCGCTATGCAGGTGATCAAGGATGCCAAGGGCCAGATCACCCACGAATATGATCTCATCAAGTACGCATGATCGTCCAGGAGCCCTCCCCCCCTTTCTTATCCTTCCACCTCTCCTCCCCAAACAGGAGCTACGTTCGTGTGCATGCTGGTGGACAGACAAGATAGAAAGAAGAGACCAGATGCTGACAAGATTGTGCTTTTCGTGTAGTGGCTTCGCCGCGACCGCCGGGGAGAAGGTGTTTGATAGCATGTTCACATGGGTCCAGTCCAACGGCGGTGCGATCGAAGAGGACAAAACTTATTCAACTCAGGGTGAGGGTAACGCACAGAGCGGGGGCTACCGGTACTAGCTGTCTCCGAGATGTCTTGACAGGCCATTCGAAAAGATGGCTGCTAGACGGATCGGGGTTCTCCCCTTTGCCTCATCTGCGAAAGATGGTTGTTTTGGATGGGATGGCGTTACAAGAAGAACAACGGATACATGACCTGTCTGTCTGGCTAGCGAATGATTTTCCTCTGGATTTTTGGCCGTATGGATGAGCAGGAGGGATAACCTGCAACGATCTCTCGAGGACTGGGTTGCGGGGTTCACACTGGACACTCGCTCTGCCGAACAAGGTCGATCAACTTGGCATTTGGAGTTATTGGTTGGTACGGAGTTCAATTCAGGTCCATTTTACTGCGACACCGTCCTTTATGGTGCTGTCTACCTCTAGTTGTCCACCGCATGGTCATTCATGTGCCCGCTGAATCGTCTGGTTATCCCTAAAAAGCTGATGTTCAGATCCCGTCCCCTTCCTCCCTTGCTTCCCACTGATCTTAGCCATGACAACGTTGGCTAAATACTGGTGTGACTCTTGTGGGTTTCTGGTGGCACAGTGCCATATTACCAAGTGCTGAAAGAAGGCATACGAACCCACTGCTCACGAGGGTGGCGGTCTACTTCTTGACACTGTTCTCGCTTGCTGCTCGGCTCCCATTCGGCGAGGCGGATTCCATCGTGCAGCACAAAGCATGGCCCGCCGCCACCAGGATGATGCCCACAGATGCCTGAGCATGAGTCTGTGGGTGACACAATTGCCTGTCGATGTTGCAAGGGATTCCTCAAGAACGATAGTCAGAGACACAAGGCCAGAACAGAATGAGCCAATTGGAGTTTGTGTCTGCTCATACGAAAGTCAAGCACACCGCAACTGCAGCATCCATAGCAAAGCCGAGTGGTGATGTCGATGTAAGTAAGTGTATCTAATCGAGTCGTTAAAGGTAGGCAGGATGCACCTGACGGATGCACCCTGCCGAGCAGTATTGCGTGTGTTGAGTTTCAGTAAGTGCTTGTCAGCGGTCACTGCCGCTGCAGGGAGTTTGAACCCCTGCTGAACGCCTGGCTCTGCATCTCTGGCTGCTGCTACCTTAGGGTGCCAGTGCATGTCTAGGCTAATTTGGTGACAGGCCAACTAGGCCCCTTGGAGATAATCTCGATAAGGCCTCAGGGTGCCGGCTTGTTTGGGCGTCATGACTACCAAACAGCATTGCGTGTCCCCTTCGAAGAATCAATTTCCCCTTTCCTTCCGAGTGTTCTGGCCATGCGTACATAGTTCATGCTCAGTTCTGGATAATGGCAATGACAAAGACCAAGGCAAGATAGTCAGCGAACAAGGAGGACAAGAGCTGCCACGGCATTCGATAGACAAGACGCGAACAATCAAGATGCGGATAGCTCGATTGTCTTGTGACAAAGGGCATAAGTCAGGGTCGACTTGAGCATACAAGTCTCCCTTCAAGCGCATTGACGAGCCCACTGCCCACCCCTTCTTTTCATAGCTGGGGGGAATCCACGAGCCACTTTATAAAAAGAGGACCGGCTTTCATCTACCAACTGCTATCAGTTGCTACTTTGTCCCTCGTGCGTTCTTGTCTCATGAGCCTGACTATCATCTCCTGTTTTGCCCCACACTTCCGTTTCGTTCACGACCCTTGATATCCCCGACGAGGACTGCCCTTCTTTCTGCATAGCGCCTGGTCCTGCCTGCTTTTGTTGCTCAGTACCTCTTTTCCCCTGGTCTCCATACTGGACGGACGATCCGTCTCGATAATCCAACGTTCTCCCGACCTTTTGAAAGGGTCGTCGTCCCCCACATCCTCCCGCACTCCCCTCCTCCTTCTCCTACTCCTCCCCCTCGAGACACCACACCACACCGCTCGCCACGATGCCGTTTAGTCCAGCCGCGCAGGCCGCGCTGCTCAAATGGGTCAACACCTTCCCCGTCTCGACCCCCGCCGAGTCGATGAACGACCTGGCCGACGGCATCACACTTTCGCAGATCCTCCACGACCTCGACCCTTCCTACGACACTTCTGAGCTCGACGCGAACACAGGCTCCTCGCGCTGGCTGACGCAGAAGCGCAACCTGCAGTCTGTCTACAAGGGTCTTGTCAAGTACATGCGCCGCGACGCTCCCGAGTGCGTGCCCCTTGTCAAGGTTGCGGACTTCCGCACCGTCGCCGAGAACCCGGACGCCGCCGGGCTGTCGCAGCTCGTGGCTGTCTTTCTGGCCACGGCCGTCTTCAACTCGAACGAGGGCAAGCGTCTCAGCTTCATCAACAAGCTGCAGAGCGAATTCGGCCCCGCAGAACAAAATGAGATCCGCCGCATCGTGGAGGAGAAGCAGGGGCAGATGAAGGAGCTGGCCGAGGCGGCGTCCCTAGAGGACGCGCGGGACCGCGACCCGGACCTCGAGGACGAGGAGGAGCGCCTCAAGCTTGTCGCCGAGCTCGAGAAGAAGGTGCGCGAGCTCGACACCGCCACCAAGAGGTATGCCGACCTCAACACGCGCCACAGCTATCTGCAGGAGTCGCACGACGAGATCAAGGCCAAGCTGGCCGAGGTTGAGGGTGAGCTGGAGGACCTCAGGAAGCTGCATGGCGCCGACGAGAGCCAGCGCGTGCAGGCCCTCCAGCGCAAGATTGAGGAGCAGGCCAGCCTCATCGCCGGTCAGGAAGAGGCCATCGACGCCTACCAGACCCACCAGCGTCAACTCGAGGTCGAGGTCGAGCGATACAAGGCTAGCAGCGCCGACAGCCAGGAGTACAAGGACAGGTACGACGAGCTGCACCACCAGATGCAGGACCTCGAAAGGCGCGCCAACGCTGCGGACCGGTATAAGCAGAAGCTGGCCGCCCAGCGCAACCTCGAGCAGGAGGTCGCCAGCCTCCAGTACGAGCTCGAGGCCCGCAAGGAGCTCGACGACAAGCTGCAGAGGGCCCTCATCGAGAGGGACCGCCTGCAGGCCACCGAGAAGGAGATGCTCGCTGCCATGACTACCATTGAGCAGTCCCTCAACGACGAGCGCGACCGCAAGGACCACTACAGGGAGCTCTACGAGGAGCTCCGCACCGAGTTCGCCCAGCTCGAGCACCAGAACACTGTCAACGAGAGATACATAGAGGACATCAAGGAGATGGGCGCCGGCGGGGAGCTGCCGCGGCCATCCTCCTCCGGAGCCGCCGAGGCGTCCCTTGGGAACCTGGAACAGGAGCTGCAGCAGACGACCAACGATTTCTCAAAGGTAAAGCTGCTCGAGGCCGAGATCGAGGTCCTGCGACACAGCGCAGCCACGTCCTCCCAGTCCGACGACCTACGTCGCGAGCTAGAGCGCATGAAGACGGAGCGGGACATCGCCATGAAGAAGTACGAGACGATATTTGAGAAGCACGGCGTGGCCCAGGAGCAGATCGAGGCTCTAATCAAGAACATGACGGGCGAAGGGTTAGTGAACGGTCTCGAGGAGGCCCTCCACCATGGATCGCTCGCATCGCTCACCTCAGATTTCTACAGACACGTCGCGTTCCAGAACCTGCGGGAGTCCAACCACAAGACCCAGCAGGACCTCGACGAGCTGCGGACAAAGCTCCGCAAGCTCGAAGAGGCCGCCAAGGACAAAGACCGCGACATGTTGGCCATGAAGACAGATTGTGCGTTGCTTGATGACCCCAGCTACGACCTTGGCGGGAATAGAGGTGTGGCCCATGCTAACGATGCTCACAACAACACAGTGGACGCCGTCGGCGAGGACCGGCTCAGTGGACTCGAGCGCCTCAAGCAGTCCGACCAGCTCATCGCGGCATCACTGCGCGCCGAGCTCGAGACCCTGCGTGCCAGGTATAACAACCTCGAGGTCGAGAACAACATGCACAAGGCCCAGCTGCTCGAGGCGCTCGTTGCCAAGGAGAAGCTGTCCAAGGAGAAGGACTCCGAGCCCTCCGAGACCGCGACCACAGCATCCGGCGTCGACCCCGCTGTGCAGGAGGAGGCGCTCAAGAGCTACAAGTCCAAGTCCGACAAGCTGCGCGAGCGTGTCAAGCAGCAGAAAGAGGTAAAGCGTGGCAAATCTCTCTTGTTGTATTCTTCCTCTGCCCCTCCCACGATGATCGACCTGCGTGGTAGTCCCGATATGGCGTCTAGCACGACGGAATCCTGGAGCAGGACATCTAGTGTATCTGTTAGCAGGTCGGTCTCTATCCTGGGCTTGGTCAGGGAGGAGCTGAGTGGCTCCTCTTCCACATTGACCCTTCCTCCTCCCGTGATGGAGAGCGACAGCCGCCCCACGGTGAAGGCCGAGGACCACATCGTGCCCACAGTCTTGCAACACCCTCCTCTCACCCTGAGACAAGTGACTCCGCCTCCTGAGATGATAGCGTTCCAACAAGGCATGCTTAAGCATACCACAGTAAAGACGAGGCGCGGCATGATGGGTTTCTTTAAGAAGTCTACTGCGTAGTAGATCTGTACCCGGGTTCTCTTTGTTTCCCCATGGAGATTCATTTCTTTTCGTGGATGACTGGCTGATCTTTGGGTCTTCCTTTTGAAAATAGCAACTCGAGAAGCAAGACCAGGAGCGGTACGAGCTCCAGAAGCGGATCAAGGCCTTGGAGTCGGGATCAGCGTTGGCGGCGCAAAAGGTGAGTTGTCCTCTTCCCCGTCTTTTGATGTTAAATCGAAAGTATTGTCTTAGGCAAATTGTCTTGTATTATGCAACTTTGTGCTTTTTGAATGTTTTTTTCCTTTTATTATGCTCCATCATATATCTTATGTTGTACAATTGTCTCGAATGCTAAGAAAGCTCACAATCCATCAGGCCGCACACGAGCAGATCATCAAGAACCTTCAGCGGGAGAATGCCATGATCTCGACGGCGTGGTACGACCTCACAAGTCGGCTGCAGAGCAACCATGTCGTGCTGCAGCGGAGAGACCAGCCCAGGAGCTGGCTCAACAAGCAGAGACAGATGGTAAACGGTACGTCTCATCAAGCTTCTCTCAAATGTCCCACGAATGCCTGAAGCTGAGCCTTCAAAATAGCAACACCCCGGAGATAGGAGCTTCAGGGCCTGTAGTCCATGGCAGGAAGCCTCCGGTTTCGAAGCGAACCACTCACCAACAACAACAACACCACCACGACTATTACCCGCCAATGGTTCCCCCACCTGCGGACAACCGCAGTGCGTATCTGGGACGGCGACTCCGTTGGCGTCAGGCTGCGCACGAAAGTCTCGCATTTCTTGATTCATTTTGCATCGGGCGGCTTCGAAGACTTGTTTCCCCGCCCCCTTTTTACTTTGGGCACAGTTGAATATAGACCCAAACACAACAGCGTGAAGACATTTGCTCTTGCTGGCAGAAGCGGAGAAGACGGTGGGCCGAGTAGGAAAGAGGAAAGAGGAGGCAGCGGTGATGGTGATGGTGAGGATGGCATCTTCAGCAGTGCGTTTCTTTTGATATCCCACATAGCGCGGCGCTTGCATGGCTTCCTGGATGAAGGGGCCCCTTTGGATTCGAGCATGACACGAGAGAGAGAGCGAGAGACGGGGGGCATGTGAGGCCGGGATGTAGTCTGTAAGACCGAGGCAACATAAATCTTGAATCCTTTGTGCCGGGATGAGTGACCATGGTAGGATAACATGGCGTGGTCGCGAGAGAAGGCGTCACAGATCATGCTCGGTCTCATTTTGAAGTTTGAGGACGGGATGGAGAGGATTCAAGTGTAGGCAGATGAACATGCATGGGCCACAATAGTGTTAGGTTTCCTAGTCGGGCGACTTAGGCCAAGAGACATTATCTAATAACATCTACAAGCAGCCTACAACATGAGAAACCTCTCATAAAGGAAAAGTAGTTTTCCCCGTTTCTTACGTGTCGGCCCAAAGCCTCCAAATGCATTTGATGAATAGGAGAGGACTATAACAGAATCCTGATGCAGGCTTGGACCAAGGTCGCGTTCGGTGGTCGATTACCCAGAGCTTGTTCTAGAACAAGTAACTTTTTCAGAAGATAACATACACGGGGCGTAAATCAACAATCTACAACACTGCCAAAATGCCAGGGTATACAACGATAGGCCCACCCTTTTTCTGGCACTTGCACGAGCCATGCAGTTGAAGCCTCGGTTTCTACCCCAGCGCCTTCAAAGCAAAGTGATCCTGTCCCGGGAAAATAGAGAGAAGGCCCCGAAGCCTTGAGACACGCCCTCGGTAGCCTCGTGATGTCATCATTGATTTTGATCTAATCCAGATTCCATTGAGTTTCTAGTAAGTCTTTGAGTGCCACTAGATGAGCTCTCTTCTCGTCTTTTGTATTTTGAATGGTACTTTTCTGGTCGAGCCGTGAGCAGGTTCTCTGGTTTAGGGCGCCCTTATTTTCCGGTAAGCTTGCTCAGAAGGCCAGAACCGCTTGAGCCGGCCTTGGCGGCGTCGCCGTCGAAGATGGCCAGCAGGGACTTCCACACTTGGCCGGGTTCCTGGCTGGCGTCGACGGCCTTCCAGATGCCGGTCTTTTGGTAGTAGCCCACGACGGGGGTGGTCTGCTTGTGGTAGGTCTCGAGGCGCTTCTTGAGGGCATCGGCGTTGTCGTCGGACCGCTGGATCAGGGGCTCGCCGGTGATGTCGTCGGTCATGGGCTTTTTGGGCGGGTTGAAGGTAGTGTGATAGGAGCGACCCGAAGCCGGGTGGACGAGGCGGCCCGTGATGCGCGCAACCAGCAGGGCGTCGTCAATTTGCAGCTCCACAGCGTGCTGCAGCTTCTGGCTGCGCTCCTTGAGCATGGCGTCGAGGCCCTCAGCCTGGGGAACTGTGCGCGGGAAGCCGTCGAGGATAAAACTGCGCGGACAAAGTCAGCTCCACTGGAGGTCATGAAGCGTACAAAGCACCCTTCCTTACCCTCCCTTGCACTCCTGGTTGTTATTCAACTCCTCCTTGATCATGCCAATGACAATGTCATCGCTGACCAGGCCACCTTGGTCCATGATCTTCTTGGCCTCGCGACCGAGGGGGGTCTTCTTGGCGACCTGGGACCGCAACATATCGCCCGTTGCCTACACAAAAGTCTCACGATTAGCATTGTTTCTCGACACTTATTTCCCATGATCCCCCCCCCCCCTTTCGTCTTGCTTCCTTCCTCTTGCGCCCAGCCTTGAAGTGGGATATGGAAGACCCAATTGACATACCAAATGACAGCAGTTGAACTTCTCCTTGATATTGGGAGCCTGTGTGCCCTTGCCTGGCAATTTTGAAACCTCAATTAGCACCCCTCCATTCTGTCCTCGACATTTCGTCGTCTTCGGAATTCAACGGCTGTGTGCTAAACAACCGGACCATAACTAACCGGCGCCGGGAGGACCGATGAGGATCATGCGGACTTGCTCGGAGGTCGAAGGCTTGGAGCCAAAATGTCTCCCCTCGAGGTCTTTTATGCGCGACTCGAGGGCCTCGAGCTTGGCATGCAGGCCCTTAACCTCGTCCTCGATTATGCCCATCGTATCTGTGTGAAAGTAGAAGAGGCGGGGAAGTCGCAACGGTTTCAAGTGAACCCTTGTGTGTATGTGTGTGCGAGCAAGCGCGCGTGCGTGTGTGATGCCGACGTGGAGGATTTGCACAAAGGATTTGTTGATCTGCGTGAGGATCAAAAGGCAGCGGCAGAGGTTATGGGGGGGGGGGGGTTGTCGGACTGCTGTAGAGCAAGGTCTGTTGTCGAGAGAAAGAGAAGTGAGGAAGGAAACAGCCAGTATTACAGAAGTCTGCCAAGGGTGTCAAAATCCAGCCGCGGCTTTTACAGCACGATGTTAGTGAGCTGGTTGGCCGGTGAAAATGGAGATGCCGCACGCAGCAAGTACCACAGCACTGCTTAGCATGCATGTTCCTGAACATCGGAGCCAGGGGGGGGAGGGGGGCAAGGATCAGGGGGCCGCATCTGGGTAGGCGACCCAATGACAGCAGCTGTAGTGGGCTCGCTCTGGCACTTTTCAGCACCTTCGGCGCTGGAACCTTGGAAACCTGCACTGGAGCCCGGGTCACCGGCTATGAGCACCACCAAACTACGTAGTGACCATAGTACTATGATGCAGGACCTCCTTCGGCCCGTCTAATCCCACATCCTCTCCTCCGACGGCATCTAGTGATCGAAGCACATGCATTGACGAGGGGAGGGTCGCCCTATGTACACATATGTGTATATCTATCTACCTATCATATTCTCAACTTTTCATAAATACGATAGGATGATTTGAGAACGCTGGCGTCGTGTTTATCAGTCATAGGCACTAGCCCAACAGTTTGCCCAGGCTTTCTCTTTACCATATCCCTACCGCACATATCCAACTTCTAATTTCCCTGTGTCCTTTTGATACAAGAGATGAGAGGGTTGAGGTCGTGAAGGCCAAAAAGATTGAGGTGTAAACCAGAGTGTCTCTGAATGATCAGTTGGACTACGATTGACTTGCGGAGAACTTCCAAACGCAACAGTAGAATGACAGTAAAGATCAGCTGGGCCTTTGAGAATAAAAAGATAAGAAAAACAGAAGAAGAAGAAGAAGAAGAAGAAGGGAAAGACACGACAATAAAGGAAGAAAGAAAAAGTCCGGCCATTGGGAAGGCACAGATCACTGAAAAAACCCATTAATCAAGATATCAGTTACATTACATAAGCGACAGGACGTTGTCTGGGCTGCCTGCCGAGAACCCAAAGCGCTGGGCCAGGATCCTGGAGCTATGCGAAAGGCAGCCTCTCACTTACGCAACAAACAGCTCTGACCCCATCGACACCAACACTCCTACCCCCCAGAAGTCATAATTCCTTTCTGTCTTTTCTTGCCCCGTTCAGCGACCAGCCATATCTGCAAAACGAATTTGCACCCAGCCCTTGGACAAGTTTGCTCCTCTTCGGTCTTGATTCTATCCCGAATATGCCTACCACCACATCGGAGACGGTCTCCATAGTCGATGACCGTAAGGTCACCGTAGCGCCCCTCGTGCTGCTGTCCGTGGTCGACCACTACAACCGCGCAGCATCCACATCATCCAAGAACAAGCGGGTGGTCGGTGTACTACTGGGTCAAAACGATGGAAAGGTCGTGCGGGTATCGAACAGCTTCGCAGGTAATTCCAAAGCCATGAACATATACAATCCAGTCCTAGGTGACTCGCGACCTGCCTGCAGATGCTGATTTAGGCCCCCTTTGCCACAGTGCCTTTCGAGGAGGACGACAAGGATCCCTCCGTATGGTTCCTAGATCACAACTACGTCGAGTCCATGAACGAGATGTTCAAAAAAGTCAACGCACGGGAGAAGTTAATAGGCTGGTACCACTCTGGCCCCAAGCTGCGCGCCTCCGACCTTAAGATCAACGAGCTATTCAAGCGCTATACGCCCAATCCCCTATTGGTCATCATCGATGTACAACCAAAAGAGGCTGGTGTGCCGACCGATGCATACTTTGCGGTAGATGAGATTAAGGATGTACGTTGACAACAACTGACATGTGACGGGACAAAACGCAGCACGCGATCTTTCCTTGACTACTAGAGTACAAGATACTGACACGGATACACATTCAAATAAAACAGGATGGCACAACGGCATCCAAGACTTTTGTCAACACCGCGTCGATTATAGAGGCTGAGGAGGCAGAGGAGATAGGAGTGGAGCACCTGCTGCGCGACATCCGGGACGTCGCGGCCGGCTCCCTGTCAACACGGGTGACGAACCAGCTGCAGTCCCTCCAGGGCCTGCACATCCGGCTGCAGAATATTCAGGCCTACCTGCAAAAGGTCCTCGACAAGAAGCTGCCTGTGAACCACATCATCCTGGGCAACCTACAGGACGTCTTCAACCTGCTGCCGAACCTCTCGACGCCTACCAAGGGCAAGGGCGAGAGCGAGTTGAGCTACGCGCTGAGCATCAAGACGAACGACCAGCTCATGGCCATCTACCTGTCAAGCCTGATTAGGGCGATCACAGCATTCCACGATCTCATCGAGAACAAGATCCAGAACAGGCAGCAGGCCGAAGAGATAGAGGCTGCCAAGAAGGAGGACGAGGAGGCTGCGGCAACGGAAGGGGACAAGGCGGTGAACGGCGACAAGGCTACGAATGGGGTGAATGGAGAAGTCAGCAAGCCGGGTTCCGGGAAGAAGGATGAGAATTCTTCCAAGGAGAAGAAGAAGTAGACGGCGGTTGGCGATGGGGATCATGTCGACGACGTCTGCCAGGAAACGAGGTGTGTGGTCGGCGGACCGCGAGGCTCGTTTGGGAAATAATGACGCATTGTATGAATTTTTCAAGACGGCATAGAAAAGACCAAGTGGCCCAACTTGGTAGTATTCATGGCGTTCTCTGGGGGTATCATGACAGACATAGCTGGGGGAAATTGCCTAGGCATTGTCAATGACACGAGCAGAAGCAAAAGAAGGGGGTTTCTCTCCAATGCTGTAACAATATTTGATATGCCTCCTTATCACCTTGTACCTGTGCTTGGTTCGGCGCCCTCTATTGCAACGAGATGAACACTTTCACTACACATGCATTCATTTCAACCAGGGCCATGGCCACGGCAGTATGCCTGTCCGTATCACACATCCGCAAAGATTCCAGCCATCTCCTCCCTCCCAACCGTCCGCACATTCACATGCCGCCCAAAAAGAGCATGACATTTCTCTGCCAAGACGCACGCCAGCAGGTGCTTACAACAAGGCGGCATCCCACCCCCATCATCCTCCGTCCCCTCAAGACTCAACCCCCCAAACCCACAGCTGTCCAATGTGTCACCATCTCCTAGCTGCCCGGCTGCATCCACCGTCGCCACACCATCCGCCCTGCCAACAGAAGGAAGAGGCCGCACAGAGGGAGACTGATGATGATGGTGCGAGCCATGGCCAGCCGCGGGCAAAAAGGCCGAGAAGGCAAACGCCGCACAGGTGCAGCTCCATGCCGCCGTGTGGACGAGGTACACCCCCTGTCCGGACACTGCCTCTCCTTCGGACGACAATCCGCGGCGGAAGGCTTTCTTCTGAGCCGAACGGACGACGTAGACGCTTGGTGGTGGTGAGGGGCGGCTGTACCGAGAGGAGTGGGCCGCCTGTTGTCCTACCGCATGGCGATCAAGAGGGAGGTGGTGGTGGAGGAGGCGCGTGACGAGGCCCCTGTCGAGTAGATCCAGGGCGGGCAGGAGTAAGGACGGGAATAGGACGTGGAGTGTGGCAAAGAGATGGCGGCGGGTCTGGTCAAGGTGTCTGAGCGGGTTCGCGGAGGAGGAAGACGGAGGAGGGGGTGGTGGCAGTGGTTGTAGTGGTAGGGTGCCCGCGCCGTTCTTAGCGATAGAGCCTGAGGTCGCCGCCTGGCCCTGCGCATGCCCTTGCTTGATTGCATTGCCATCCCTGCTATCATCTAGAGCAGGTGTTGGGATCTCAGAGAGGGCTGCTAGGATTGATGTGAGGAGCTGCCGTGGCGTCGGCAGAGAGGTCGTCGACGACATATTCTTCTGTTTCGTCTTCCTCCTATTCTGCTTCTACTTCCGCCGTTTCTTATTGGATGGAGGGCCATTTGGAACGACCTAGGCGATTTTGATATCCAACTCTGTGTTGAGTCGCTTTTTCAAGGAGTTACGGTAGACATAAGAGATGTCATTCTTGTGGCGAGTAGATGCGTTGACACTCATGTGCAAGATGTCAGAAAGGTCGCGTTAGTTGTAGGCATAAGGATGAAAGAAAGGCGGGCCGCCTAAAACTGTACCACGACAGCCAACTCTGACACAATCTAATTATTTTTACGAGCACAGAAATTTGAATTGACTCAATTCGTGCTTCGTCATGGGAGAATTTGATCTATTTTATTGTTTGCTTTTGGCTTGCGCCAATAGGACCTGAACCCCCAAACCCCCGTTTTACAATATATATTTACACTGTAACGATGCCTTATCTTTCTTTCTTTCTTTCTTCTTCTTTCTTTCTCTTTTCTGTCTTTTTGTTTCTTTCTCGTCTTCATCACACCCACTCCTTGGGCTCTCGCAATATCTCCGTCAGCCTCGCCTCTCGACTCTTAGGCTCGGGCTCATACATATACTTCCAGCTGGCGGTCAACGGAAGGCTCATGAGTATACTCTCGACCCGTGCACCTGGCGCGTTTAACCCGAATGCCGTGCCGCGGTCGTGCACCAGATTGAACTCGACATATTTCCCCCGCCTGATTTGCTGCCACTCCTTCTCCTTCTCGTTGAACGGCATGTCCTTTCTGCGCGAGATGATGGGTATGTAGCCAGGCAGGAAGCTCTGCAGCCCGTCCTGGATGAAGGCGAACAGGTTCTCCTTGTCGGCGACAGTGTCGTCGAGATCGTCGAAGAAGATGCCGCCTACACCGCGGCACTCTCCACGGTGCTTGTTGTAAAAGTACTCGTCGCACCACTTCTTAAATTTGGGGTAGTAGTCCTTGTTGTGCTTGTCGCAGACGTCCTTGAGCGTGCGGTGGAAGTGGATCGCGTCTTCGTCGAACAGGTAGCTCGGCGTGAGATCCGCGCCGCCGCCAAACCACCAGGCGCCATCACTCCCGTCCGGGTTGGCCGTTTCAAAATATCTGTAGTTCAAATGCACTGTCGGCGCCATGGGGTTCCGCGGGTGCACGACCAGACTCAAGCCAGCAGCGAAGAATTCCACCTTCTCGGGGATCTCACCGCCAGCGCCGCCAACATTCTTGTGGTTCACGCGCATCTTTTCGATCGCGGGCTTGGGGAGGGTGCCGTAGACGACCGACACGCCGACACCGGCCTTCTCAAATACGTTGCCGTCCTGCAGGATGCATGTGATACCGCCGCCACCCTCGTTCCGCGTCCACTCGTCCTGTCTGAAGGTGGAATACTCGCCATCGACGGCGGCGAGACCCGCAATAATGACCTGCTGCTGCTCCTTAATGAACTTCTCCATGCGGAGGCGCATGGGCGACTGATCGGTGACGCCCATCTCGCGCTTCGCGAGGGCATCGCGCTCGGGAAGCGGCATGGTGTCGAGATGAGTGGGTTTTTGGTTGTTAAGCTGGAGGAGGGAAGAGAGAGAGAGGGTTGGTCAGTTAGTCTCGCACGCGCGACTTGGGGATAGGCTGGGGTGAGGTCATACTGTGGTGTACAGAACAGAAGAGGTGATAAGCAGGCCTGTTGCAGCTGCTGTCCAGTAGAGGTACCGAGATACCGCAGAGGGAGTTTCACCTGCCAATTGGCCTGTAGAAGAAGAAGAAGACCTTGACAAGATGCTTAACGTGGTCGATCTGGAGAGCGGTGACAACAACGGTCGTGGAGAGCAGTTTGCCCAAGGTCTGAAAACACCATCTGCGGCGCGACGCAGAGCTCGACTCCTTGAGGCCATGGCCGAAAGAGGGAGGTGGTCAGGCAGCCAGGTATATAAGAAAAGAAGCGATTGTTCTAGACAAAGTTCAAAGGATCCCCGTCACCGTGACATGACACCACAAACGGAGCTGGTGCAAAGCTTGCGCGGTGGAAAACCGAAAGGTTGATGGGCACCTCCGGGCCGAGAATCGAATGTTGCTAGCGACGGTTGCAGTCTAAAGCGTACGGATCTGATCTGATCTGATCTTTGCTCACGGTGTGGCCCTCCTCCTCTTGACACTGACCACCATATAGGCTCAGGTCAGGTCAGGTCAGTCCACCGTACTCTGCGTTTCTGAAGCTGTGCAATGAATGATTCGGGTCCGTATTCGCAGTGCAAAATATCCAGCCGAGCGGCACGCGGGCTGGCTGCACTTGGGTACTGCTGGCAACCAAACTTTTGAGCCCTGTCAACTGCCACTGCCACTGCCAATGCCAATACTGCTACCGCTGCAGAAGGCCAACGGTGCTAGCAGTTACGCTATCCGGGGACTCCCGGTGGGTGGTCCCTTGCAGACAGGCAGTACTGCGACTCGTTGACTCCCGCTCTGGTGGCCGTGGGGTGACTTTGAGAGTGACAAGTCAACAAAACACCCACATCCCCAACCAATACTTCTTCTGCCTGCCTTTGGGCATGAGAAGCAGGAGGTTGTAACTGTATCATAGCAATGTTCACGAAGAATATGAAGTAGGAGTCTCTCCCAACTCACACAAGGGTGTCATGTTTTGTTGTGTGTGAGAGAAAGAGAACTGCATGCAGGACTATGTACCTTATGTTTGTATGCAGATACCCTATAGCCTAGGGGGCACTTTCGTAATAGGAAAAGGGGCCCACAGGCATAGAAGCATCGAGGGGGCATGCGCTTGCGTCATGGCCCTGCCTGCTAGCACTATTTGTGTGTTTGTCATCTGTTCTATGACTGACCGCAGTTGGTCAGCTGGGGGCGGACAAACCAGGACCATGTCGCCATGAGGCAGATAGGTGAACAATCAGAGGTGCTTGCCCCTCAGCTGCCTTGCCCCTCTGACAGGTTCACGTGTGAAGACAAAGGAACTTAGAGTGAGGACTCATCCAGTTGCCAGCTAGAGCAGGGTCAAGCCTCGGACTACCCGTACCCCCGTGCCCCCATGTCAGCTGATAAGAGATATGATGCTGCTCAGAGACTAACTAGATTCACTGCGCAGACCAGGCAAGCCTTGTTAGTGCACAAGCTCCCCCTCTCCTATCAGCGCCTTTTAGTCATCCACTCTAGCCCCGCTCGAGTCCAGGCTGAACCCCAAATCCCCATGCCGTCTCCCTTGTGAAGCCCATGTCAGGCGGCACTCTGGAGGCGCAACCAAACTCCCTCCTCAACACCTACAACCCGGAACACCAAATCCATTCTTCTTTCCCTTCCATCTTGCGCTTCACAACTGCATTCACCTAGAGTCTTGTCAAGGTACTGTGCATCGCTCTCAACCAACCTTCTTTAATAGACTTTCCAGCCAACTGTGCAGGTCTACTGACGACAACACTGGGAACAGACAGCACCAAGGCAACAGTCACCTACACCGCATCTTATTCCCTACCCTACTTTCACCGACCACCGACTTTCAAGATGCCTTCCATGCGATCCAAGTTCAAGGATGAGCATCCCTTTGAGAAGCGCAAGGCTGAGGCTGAGCGCATTCGCCAGAAGTATCTCGACCGCATTCCTGTAAGTCCATCTATCTATCCATTCATCCATTCCGAGGGGGCAACTGAGTTGCTGCGGCAGCTTGCTTACCTCCTGCGGTGTGCTGCACCTGTTGCCTACCCCACCCTGGTACACCTGTCTTTGGAACAACAACAACAACACCACCACCCACACCGGCAGTCGGATTGTGATTAACAAACGCGCGCATCATGTAGGTGATCTGCGAGAAGGTCGAGAAGAGCGATATCGCTGCCATCGACAAGAAGAAATATCTTGTTCCTGCCGACCTCACCGTCGGCCAGTTCGTATACGTCATCCGCAAGCGCATCAAGCTGTCCCCCGACAAGGCCATCTTCATTTTCGTCAACGAGCTGCTCCCTCCCACTGCAGCTCTCATGTCTTCCGTCTACGAGGAGCACAAGGATGAGGACGGGTAAGCATCATCTGTCCCTATCACATCCCTTACAAACCCCTTACACTGTTGGCGCCTTGTTTCGCACCTCTACTCGGAGAAAAGGACTCCTTGAAACTGACAGGCGTTGGCAATCAACAGGTTCCTTTACATCACCTACTCGGGCGAGAACACCTTCGGAGACTTTGAGTCAATCTAGCTGCTGCCGGAACGGATAGCGGGTGTTCGTTCTTCTGCTGTCGCGATGCGATGATGTTCCTCGTTACGGCGACTTTCAGGGCAATCTTCTCCGGCGTTCTCAGGTTGGGCTCGATCAGGTAGTGAGACGGATCGGATGGGTGCAAGCTGGTTTGTGGTTGGTTTTTCTTTTTATATCTTTCGATGATGCGCGCCGGGGACAAACGCACGAGAGGCTGCTGCATGAGGAGACTGGGCATGGAACAGGACGGGGACTAGCTCCCTCCTATGGACCCTCCGTCCTACCTTGTTACCCCCCCACCTCCCTCCTTGATCTGTGCCGTCCCGCGCTTCAATCTGCAGTTCTGCGAATGCGATTTAGTGATCAAGATACCTTTTCTACCTCTTTTTCTCCTTCCGAAGGCAACCTTATGCACCTTGTTGATCATGCTTTGTTGCCTCTCGCCCTGCACCAAGAGGGACGAAGGAGCGAGCGCACAAGCACTGAAAGGCAGGACTACAAGAGAGCAGATAAATTAACCTCATTCTCCATACCCGCACCAATTTACTGTTTACCTATAGTTCGGCATTGAGCAGACCAAATGCCCCCCCGGTTGCCCTTCACAAGCACTCATGTCTTCTTTCAAGGTCGCGAATGTCCGGCTCAAAAACAGGTCTTGAGATTCTTCATCTTATGACCGGCGTATCAAATTTATGCTGTGCTATATTCAACGTGCCCTCCATCAAATCAAGCGCTTCGCTGTCCAGTTGGTCAATCACTCAGTCATGTCCACAGTCAACTTTTAAAAGTATCTACAAGCTTCCTTGTGTAGTGGACAATGCCGACATGGTAGACTTGATTTCGCGCTTGGTCCATTATCTTGTGCCAAAGACCCTCATCCCGAGGGCTCCTCTTTTGATCGAGGGAGGCCGGGCAGTAGCTCTCTCCAATACGTTGCGAGACGTAAGAGGCATGTACCCGGCGACATGAGACCCTATGTAAAGAGGGGTGTTTTAGAAGGAGCAGGAGGCCTCGAGTTGGGCGAGGTACATTTCCCTTGCGGTCCAGCATGCTGACCAGTGACCTCGTAGGCAAGCGGGAGGGGATAACGAGCATTGTTGATCCCGACTTCAGGTATTGTGCATATACATCAGTGCAAGGACTGAGCTTAAAGTAAAAGGTATGATTGATATCCCTGTAGATTCGCTTCAAAATAAGCATATCCCATCCAATTCCAGAATAAGAATCGGAAGAGAAACAAAACAGATGAGAAAACTGAATAGAACTATACCAGCCATCCAAGTACAAACTGCAGGAGATCCATGGCTCCATGAACACAGCACCATGCGCTCAGCCACGATCGAAAATACCAACCACGGTACTAAGCGCAGTCACCAGAGCAGAACTGAGCACTACCAGGCATATACAACGCCTCTTGTCCAAAGAGAAAAAACATCCAACAAAATAAGATAGACACTTTCCCTACCCAAACACCAACGGCACAGCGGTGATTTTACTCGCGAATTTTGTTTTTGTCGTGGACCTGGTTCCAGTTCCCTTCAGTCCTTCATCTCGGGCGCGCCTTGCCTCATCTCATCATCGTCTTGTCGCAGCTGCAAAGAAACAATATAATTGGATCCCTCCGAATGAATTATTTTCCACGGGTGCGGTTATGCACCACGAATAGAAGCATATAAACACCAAACTCCAGAGAGCCTATGAAAATGGAATGAGTTGAAATGACAATACCGAGGGAGAAGGATGCCGTACAAGCGGCGATACTTGAAATTATCTTCATGGGGTATGAATAAGTCGCGTCTTTTGATCGTTCGTCTCGTCTCGGCGTATGGTGTATGGTGTATTTTTATGAGCGTCGATCCTGCTGGAATTTGTATAGCAGGCAAACCCGAGATAGGCCGATATATCCATCAAACAGCTGCAAGTAGTCCATTCGGACTGCTCTGAACACGGGCAAAGTGCCAAGCCTATCGTGGTTGCGAAATCGAAAGACATAGTTCATACAAGGCCACGGTGAGAGAGGTAATTCCGCATCAGCGTTCCTGCTGATAGCTTCGGCTCCACGGGCCCAGTCGAGCTGATTTTGAAGATGGGGGCGTGATGGGCCAAGAGGCATGTTCATCGAGAGCTCGAGGGCAACGTCTGGTGTCAACGCGCTCACACTGAAAAGAAAGCCGAGATGTCGCAGATGACCCGCGGAATAGTCCGAGACGCCAATATGCTGATAAGTATTTGAAAGCCTCCAACACCCGCTAGAAGGGATCAGAATGCAATGGGAATAAGATTGAGAAGCATTGAAAAGGAGGAATGCGGGACGTGGGTATCAGACGCCGCCGCCGCCGCCCACCCTCGCTTTCTTCGGCATCCTGGGCGTCTGCGGCTTTGCCTTGCCTGTCACGCCGTTGACTTGGACCACACCTCCAGCAGTAGATGGAGTGGGTGCGTTGCCGCCCGCGTCGTCCTCGGTCTTCACGGCGGATGGTCTCCGTCGCTTCTGGCCGGCCGGCGATGTTGTTACACTGGGACCGCTTGAGCTGGTTCCCTGCTGACTGTGTTGCATCTGCATGCCGGGTGCCTGCATAGATCCGGCGGCCGGGCTGCTAACGTGTGGCGAACCTGGCAGCTGGAGGTGAGCTGCATGGGGGCTTGCACCCATGGCGAACTGACCGAAGCTCGGGGTTCGAGGTCCATTCGGTACGGCTTGTCCGTTCATGGCAGGCCCGCCACCCTGGCCGATCTGGCTGCCGACATAGTCCTCCAAGACCCGGTAGGCACCGAGCTCAGGATGCTGATGGGCGGCTTGGAAGAGGGGGTTCATCGCCCCCATGACCTCAACAATCTGCCACAGCTGGTCAGCATCTGTGCTCCTTTGGAGTAATCCAGCAGGACCGTTGACGTACCTCAAGAAATTGGAACTGCTGCTCTGTGATCCCAAGGCCATGTTTGACAGCCGAATGAGGGATATCGAGGTCTGGAGGTGCGGAAGGCGGCGACTTCATCGGACGTGCTTTGCCCTTTTTGCTCATCTCGGGCGACTTGTTTTCCTGCGAGTTCGCCCGACGCCATTCCTTGATCCAGTTGTGATTGGGCTTCGCACCCTCCACAACGACGGTCCTCGAGACGTATTCCTCGTGGTCCTTCGATATGAATTCGAACAGTTCCACCTTCAGCTCGGAATCAAACTGGACCCGCAGTGCCCCAAAGTGTACAACCTACGATGATCAGCAACAACGCTGGGCATGCAGCTACCTGGTGAACTTACATGAGATGTTTCAAACCACAGCGTGAGGCTGGCATTCGCGTTCTCGATAAAATGGAGCACCTCTCCCATCGGGCCCTGCACCGACTTCTCGGTGGTGCCCTGACCGAGCTGGAGCTCGATCTTCTTGGCACCACTTGCGTTGAAGAAGTGGGAGACAGCGGAAGCAACCATCTCTACTTGTTTATCACCACCACCCTCGGCATCGTTCTTGTTGTGGACGTTCGTCCGGTAGATACCTTTCGCGGAGAAGAATCGATTGACGAACTCGGCCCAGTGAGCAACATCCTTTTCTTTAGGATCCTACAGCGTCGACGTCAGTACGTGCTGGTAGGCACCGCTTGACATGGAAGGGTGCCAGGGCCCCCCGCCGAGCGAGATGATGGGGGCGAGAAGGAGGGAAAGAATGAGTGGACTTACAGAGGAGTATCCGCTCAGGTGCTCGATGAACGACATGAGTCTGAGCAAGCCATTTCCTTTCAAGCCATCGCGTTTCTGGGCTTGGGCTTGAGCCTGGGCCTGGGCCTGGGCCTGGGCCTGGGCCTGGGCCTGGGCCTGGGCTTGATGCTGAAGAACAAGCTGCTGCTGGACAGCCATCACCTGGGCAGGTTGTGGTTGATTTGGCTGCGCCTGTGCTTGTGTTGTTGGTGGCTGAGGTTGATTCGCCTGGGCGATTGTCGGGCCCTGTGGTTGACCCTGCGTCGATTGGGGTCCGTTTGGCTGTGGGCCTTGGCCCATTTGCTGCTGTCCTGGGGCTTGGGGCTGTCCTGGTTGGGCCTGTGGTGGTTGGGGCTGCTGCTGTGGAGGTCCTTGCTGCTGCTGGGCCTGCTGCTGGTGAGCCTGCTGGTGAGCCTGCTGTTGGGCCTGTTGTTGGGCCTGCTGTTGCTGCTGTTGCTGTTGCTGTTGCTGCTGTTGGGCTTGCTGCTGCTGCTGTTGCTGCTGTTGATGTTGAGCAGCCTGCTGCTGTTGCTGCTGCTGCTGGACCTGCTGGGCCTGGTTGAGCTGCTGGGCTTGTTGTTGGGCGTGTTGGATGGCTTGCAGCTGGAGCAACTGCTGAGGGTTCATATGTGTCGGCTGGTTGGGGTTTTGCGCTGGGTTCACCATGTGCTGGGAATTTTGATGTTGTTGCGCTCGCTGCAAGGCCATCTGCTGTTGCGCCGCAAGCATAGCCTAGAGCAGAAGGTTGTGTTGTCAGTTAAAGAGAAGAAGCGATTTTACCCGACGAGGGTACCGATGCATTGGCGCGGGGCGCGCGTCTTACCTGTTGCTGTGGGTTCTGTGCCTGCTTGTTCAGTGTCAGCTGGCGCGGAAGGCAGGAAGTCAGGGTCGAGACTTACCGGCTGTCCCGCCATCTGCCTCGCTTGCTGCATGGCTTGGAAATGGGCCATCTGTTGGGGATGTATCTGCATCATATTATTTCCAACAGGTATGCCTCCCGGCATCTGGTAGCCCATCTGCTGGGCCAGTATCGCTTGCTGTTGTCTCTGTTGCTGAATGGCATGTAATCTCTGTTGTTGCATTTGTTGCGCTGCAACTGGGGATGAACCGTTATGCATCAGCAATCACACGTCTTCACACACACACACATACATGCATGCATGCATACATACGCATATGCGGCGCGCATACAAAGGAGCGGGTGTTGTGCGCATGGGCGGGGACTTACAATTAACGTTGGGCTGCTGCTGGAACATGTGCTGAACCTGCTGGGGGTTAAGGTGCTGCATCGCATGGGCATTAGGGCCCCCGGGCATGCCCATGAGTGCCGACGGGTTGACCTGGCCACCTGGAGCTGACACTCCCATCTGCTGGGCAAGATGAGGAGGTATCCCGCCTGGTTGCGTGCCGGGTTGGCTGGGGTTGTGAGCCATGCCGGGAGCCATGTGATGACCTGGAGGCATGTTGGGGTGAGGTTGTTGCATGCCACCAGGATGTGGCTGAAACCCCTGCGGCATGCTGGCCATCATTTCGAATGTCGCCTATCCACGGCGGTGGACGTCGGCCTGCGGCTATCCTCTTGACCGTGGCATGCGCTGCCTCGCAGGTGTTATATGGGGAGGGTTGGTCGCGACAAGACGGGCGGGACCGAGACACACACAAACAGACACAGACACGCACAGCTTCTCTGTCTTGCCTCTTGTCTCTCTTCTCTATATTTTGAATCTTCTTCTTCTCTGTCCACACTAGATCACGCAGGCGCGAGTTGCGATAAGACGGGAGCTGTGTTGTATCGCCGATTGTCGCGTCGATGCGTCGAGGACGATGTTTTGGGGTGGGGGGATTGGTGCTTTCGGCCGCGGAGGATCGTGGGCAGGGTCGAGGCACAGACCCCCAGGGTGGAGCTGGGACGTTGTCGCGCGAAAGAAGCAATCGCGGTGGGCTGTTTATATATTGGCGAGTACGTCGAGGCAACGCAAGACCGGAGGCACAGCTGGGTGCCGACCGAACAAGGAAGGATGGGCGACGATGCCAGTACAATATGTAAGGTAATCTGCACCCAAGGCGGAGCGGGATCAGACGGCCGGTGGCTTATGTGGATAGAATAAAATCGGGTGTCCTTCTGGGGGGTGTGATGTGCAATGCCGGCGCGCGCGAATGGTGCTGAGAGGTTGCAGCTGTGTGCTGGGTTGTGCAGTGCGGTTTGCGGTGCAGTAGCAGCAGCAGCAGCAGGTGCAGTCGAGCTGGGGGCTGGGCTCGGCCGGCAGAGGACCCAGAAAAAATTGTAACAACGATCCAGTTACGGACTAAATGAAGTAGGAGAGTTCGGGGGGGGAGCAAAGAGTCAGAGTGTAATAATCAGCATAGAGCCCTTCTCCGAAAGCTGCAGTCGCAGTCGTCGTTTGCAAGGTCAAGTTTGGTCGGTTGGGGTGGGCGCAGGGTCGTGGTGGGAAAAGAAAAGAGGTGCAGATTGGGTGATTTGGTTCCTGTCGATGGTGGATGCGGATCGACGTGTCGCAGGCCAGGGAACCGGAGTCAGGACCTTTTGGTAGGAGGGCCCTTGGGGGAGGAGGGAAGGGTTCTCTTCTTCTCTGGGGGGGGGCGTTGTTCAGGGGAGGATGAGGGGACGGGAAGCAGACTGAGGCAGACCTGAAAGGCGGGACTGGCATGAGTTGGGGAAATCAGGCAGAGAGAGTGCAGAAGCATGGAAAGGGTAGAGGGCAGAAAGGTCTGGGGGGTCTGCAGCCTCTGCTGAAGTGGTCTTGGGGGGTAAGACAGGACGACTAGAGGTGGGCAGATGAGGGTCTGCCACCACACGCTGTCCAATCAGGATCTTGCTCCCACAGCCTAGGGGCTGATCCGACCGCAGTCCAGACTCCAGAAGACTCCGCTTCCACAGGCTTAACAATGCCTATCGAGTATCCGATTATATCGCAGGATGATGCGACGATTACTGTGTGTAGAAGGTGTGTACTGCATATAATAATGTCGTTGTAGATCACTGAGTAAGGATCAAAGTATGTTGAGAAGCTAGAAAAATGGGTTTTTGGCACGAAAAAGAAAAAGAAAGGGGAAAAGTCGCAACGCAACGCGTGAACGATCAAGAAAAAGGAAGGGGGGGGAAATATGAGCCGTGGAGCTGTCGAGCTGTTAAACGTCTCGTCTTCTGATGCTGTCAGGCTGAAAAGTGGGCTAGGACCTGTGCCATGTCGGGTGCCGGACCGTGCGAATGAACCGAGGTTTTGTTGGGGGAGGAGGTTGTCAAGCTCTAGGTCGAGCGCGAGGGTGTGTGTACGAGTGAGTCTGTTATATAGCAAACAATTCATTTAGCTCATAACATTAGTGTACACTATGGTCTACAAAAGGTTTAACTTTTTCCTTTTTTTTCTCTCTCTCTCTCATCTCGTTGAAGAATATTTCGCCCGGTTGTCCAGCTAAAAGAAGTCCCATGATGACAGAAGCTAAGGGAACGAGAGAGAGAGAGAGAGAGCCATGAGCGAAATACTACTTAGGTCGCTTAGTGGAGGGAGCGGTAGGTAATACTAGTCTGTATGTGCCTGCCGGCGTGTGCACGCGCTCGCGGCTAAATTTTCCCAGCAGCCACGCACCACACCCTTGTCCCCCCCTATGGCCCCACTCGAAATTGTGTATAAAGGGAAAAAATTTAGAATTTCAGCCTCAAGTTGTTTCCATCTCCTTCCTTCCACGCACATTCCCACGCGATGGTCTCTGCCTCGACGCCGCAAACCACCCACGCCTTGAGGAAGATGGCGTGCCAATATGCAGCGCACAAGAGCAGGTGTGGCTCATGGTCTTGAGCATTCTCATTGCAGATGCAAGGCACAATCATGCTGAGAGCGGATATACTCTCTCTGTCGCGTCGAGCACCCCGCAGACAAAAGTCTCTTCTCTCCTGTGAAGACAGTCTCGCCTATTTCTCATGGCGGTCCTCTGGTACAGGCCATAACACAGGATATCAGTCAGGTAAGTCGTCGGCACAATGCTGCTACCGAGACTCGCAGCTGTCTTGCCAGGTAAGCCTTTTATTTCGGGTTCTCCTTTCGTTTCCATTCCTTCCCAAGCCTCTCTGTGCTCCGTATCCAACAACCTTACACGCATCCAAAAAAAATGACCGACCCCCATCTTCTACATGATGACAACTTACACAAATTGTCTTCTTTTCCCAACTGAATCGACCATGAAGAAGTCTAGTCTGTTCGGGTACCTCGCGCCGCTCTCGCAGTGGTCTGACGAGGCCTGTTACTTGCCAGTATTTTCGTTCTGACTGAAGATGGGGAGGCGTCATTTGCAACTGAAACCATTCTTGCACTACACTTGAAAGTAGAAGATTCTTTCACTGACCTTCCAAACACACAGATCCTCCCTGCGGACACGTACAGTAAACTTGGCGCATAGCTCCACTCTCCCCCATTCAGAGAACAGGTTAGTACACACACCACTCACGTCTTCACGCAACCCCTACAACACCACAACCACCACACCCCAACGATTGCATGATGAAATTTCCATCACTATTCGCAGTTTCCACTCGAGCTCCCGCTTCAAGCCTATTAGGGAAGCAGATGAGAGGCAATCCTTCCTTGGATGTCTGATCGCAATCTCCAACCTCCCTCTTCTGACATTTCACCTATGATTTCTTCATCTGACGCAGAGGAGCTGACTTGGTAATTCCACTAGTGATGAGCATTCACATGCATACACAAACCTGTTGATGAAGTCGCCCTAGGCCAGCCTGCACTCGCTGGCAAGGTAGGTAGGTAGGTTGGTAACGAGGCATCTCATAGACATACTTTGGTTCATGTAGTACTCGCCAAACAGATAGGACTACTCCAGGAAGAAAACCCCCAATACAAGTCGTTAAAACACATATTTCAAACTGACCATGAATAATCCATGATATTTTTTTATTCCGTGTCTGAGTTCCCCTCCTATGGATCCGTCCTGATGTCCGTGTGCCTCCCAAGCCATAATATCATGTACAATACCACCGCCTACGCCTCGCATAAAGATTTTCACGCCAGCAAAGGGCAGCATGTGATGGAAGAGCAAAACTAATAAGGACAATACAAAAGAAGGGAGGTTGAAAAAGAAAGAAGAAAAAAGATGCCTTGCTTGCCTGGCTGTTTCCTTGCCCACCCGGCCCTGCGATAAGACGCAAACCATGTCCAGACCTAGATGCAATGAGCCCATCACCAATCCCATTCCTCTCTCCCTCAAGTAACTTTGATCTCCTCCCGCACCCCCTCCCGTCTCGCAACGCGCCCGCCCACGATCCCCCGCCTGTTCCGGCCCGTCCTGCCCCGCCCGAGCCAGTTGAGCTTCAGCAGCCGGCTCAGCTCCTCCACCATCCGCGTGCCGTCGTCGCCGCCCCCGCTCCCCGTCGCCCCGGCCAGCACGCTCATGCACTGCAGCATGCGGCCCACCATGTCCGTGACGTACTTGGAGTCCTCGACATTCTGCTCCCGCAGGCTCGAGCCCGCGAGGGACGCCGAGCTGCTGGCGCCGTTGCCACTGCCGCCTACGCCCGAGGACACAGAGGCCAGCATGGTGCTGCTGTTGGCCGCCGAGGCGAGCTTGGGCGGGCGCAGCGAGTCCGTCCCTGTGCTGTGCGCGCCGCTGCTAGCAAAGGACACATTGCTCAGCCCACGGCTGCGCCCACCTGCCATGTCGCCTAGCAGCGTCGTGGACGTCGAGTTGTAGCTCGCCGTCGACGGGTCAAGAGACGCGGCTGTGCCGGGACGCTGTAGCGGCGGCGGCGGGAAGGAGAAGCTGGCGGCAGACTCGGCACTTGGCGACGTGGACAAGTAGTCGATGGGGAGAGGGCTGGCGAGTGCCATGGGGAGAAACTCGAGAGATAGGCGGGAGAAGATAGCCTTGAGCTTCTCGTAGCGAGGCAGGATGACCACGTCCCGGTAGGCGGTAAGCACGATACGGCGGACTTCTAACACGGCCGATGCTGGGGCTACACTGACGGTGCCGGTTGCTGTATCTGATGGCGGGTTGGTCACCACACCGCCCCAGAACTCTCTCGCCTGATCAGGCGTCATGAGGGTGCCATTCCCGTTGAACTCGAGATCCAGCGGCAGGAAGACTGCTTGCATGTATGGCAGCACGCCCGTGAAGACATGGATCCAGAGGTCGACCAGATTAGGGACAAGCCGGTCCTCCGAGTGTTTGCGCAGGTTGTGGTCAAGACTCGAGAAGCCAGTCCATAGCAGGTCCCGGAGGTCATCCACCACCTGATTGGGCGATCTGCGCTGTATACAGTACTGCAGGTGCAGCGTCACTATCCGGTTGAAGTCCTCAACGGGTAGCCTCAGGTCTTCCCCTTCGAAGATGACCAGGAGTTTAGACTTGAGATAGGGGAAGGCGTCGTCCATCGACATGCTGTTGAGACCGTACTTGGCAGAGTCGATAGGCTCCATATACAGCGGTATACCGGCCGAGCCCAGGCTGCCAGGCCCGCCCCAGTCGTTCACACTACTGACGGACTCGTTGAGGGTCTGGCTCTCGTCCTTCTTGCGCGCTCGGCCTGCGTGTCCGAGCCCACTGATATTCTTAAACGTGCTCGAGTTAGGGCCTGGACTCGATGGGAGGTTGAAGTTGTAAAGGCTGCTGGGCGCGCTCGGGTCTGTGGGTCGGGAGTTGCTCGCAGCAGACGACAGCTGGGAGTGGTAGTCATCCTTGTCCTTGGTCTTGTGCCTCTGTCTCGACAGGAAGTGATGCTTCTTCTCCTTCCCCTCTTTTTCCACGTCTGCAGGTCTTATGGTCGCCGATGAGCCGTTATTCATGTTGTAGAAGTACTGTGAAGTCGTGTCCAGACTCGTCGTGCTGAAGTTTCCCCTCTGGAGGGCAGACAGCGCTGAGCCGATCTTACTTGGGCTCGGCAGTGGTCTGTCCTTGGCCTCTCCCTTGACGCCAATCTTGCCTGGCCGAGAAAACAGCTTCACCTTGGAAGACTTCTCGGGCTTCTTCTCTGGCGATGGAGGCGGTGGTGGGGGCATAGGTTGTATAGGTGGTACCTGAGCCACGGGCGACGTCTGGCCCGACCGAGGAAATGCGGCGTTGGCAGCCGTCGCGGCGGCGTTGCTCCCCAGCAGGCCGTTGTGGTAGGACTGACCCCCAAAGCCTGTCTCTCTCGGCGCGCTCGCTTCCGTCAGGCTCAGCGCCGGGGGGTTCAAGGGCCCACTGATGCGCTTCAGCGGCTGCGGGTTCTCCTGGTGCTCAGTGAGCATGGGCGCGGTCTGGGAGCGTTGTCGCGAGTGCTGGAGCATCTGCTGCGACTGCTGCTGGTGGTTCAGGACGGCGGCCTGGGCCGCAATGTGGCTGGCCGAGAGCTCACGCGGCGACTGCTGTTTCTGCTGCTGGGACATGCTGATGTGTGTCGAGAGGTTCGAAGTCGAGATGGAGGGGAGGGTGGGCTCGAAGACGCCGGCGGTCTGGGACAGTTTGCGGGAGTGCCCACCTGGTCTTATGCTGAGGGGCGAGGGGTTACGCTGCTGCTGCTGCTGCTGCTGCGCGTCATAGCTCCCCGCAACAGATCTAGCCGCGACAGCCGCGGCGGAGGAGAGTGGGCTGGGCGTAGGTCGGGAGAAGTTCTGCAGGCTCGCGGTGCTCGAGTTGGGATTCGACGTGGTGAAGGGCAGGGTTGGCGGGTGCTGTTGTGTGGGGCTGCGCGCCTTTACCATCTGCAGAGGCATAGAGTCTTCGCTGGACGAGGACTCGACGCGGCGCATTCGAGGTCGCTGTGGTGGTGGCGGAAGGTCGGCGGCGGCGGCAGCTGCGGAGGCGGAGAAGAAGTTGTTCTGGCTCTGGGATTGACTATGAGCCTGGCTTCCCAGAGGCATGAAGGAGCCAGGGCTTCTGCCTTGCTGCGACGACATCTTGCATCTTTGCCCGGCGCAGAGCAGGGCTGAAGCGCCGGGTAGGAGGCCCCTCAGTCAGGCGAAGGCTCAGGCTCAGGCGCAGGGCGTTAGAGGTGGCTCTCTTCGTTTCGAGTCGTCGCAGCATATGTTGCAGTGGTATTTAGTTAGTGGAAAGGGTGGCTGTGTGTGTGTGTGTGTGTATGCTGTTCCGTCTGTGAATAAACGATTGATTGACACTGAAGAGAAGGGGTATCGCAGCAGAGGAAGAGGAGGATGAGGTGGTGGTGGTGGTGGTGGTGGCAATACAAAGTAGATAGTGTGCTGTCTAATTGTTTGATTTGAAGGAGGTTGGTTCGGGTGGCTTTGCTGTAGAGGGGAAGAGGCTGAACTGAACCAAGGGACTGACTGACTGACTGACTGGACTGACCTTGACTACTTTAGTTTGCACTTCAACTAACTCCAGTTTGTCTACAGTACATACCAAGTACGCGGCTGGGTGCGTGCGGGACCTATACCGAGAGATCCTGGCATATCTCTCAAGACTGATTACGACACTGATGGTTTTATAACCTTGCCCGATGTACTGTAGATTAGTACGTACTTAATTTACGATCTTAAAAACACTAAATCTGCCTGAGAGGGGATTGTGTTGTAGCGCACCAGCAAGTATGAGAACTTCCTACCACAGTACATATCTACACAGTACCACAGTAATGTGTATAGTAGTTACTTGGAAAGTAGTAAGACAGGATATCAAGGTAGCCCTGCTTTTCGGCACCTCAAACTGGAGAAACCCTTGAGAGGCCAGGGAAAGAAGGAAGAAGCAGGATGACGGCGTCTTAAACCACCCCTGCCCCATGGGGTTAAGTGCCTACGACCAAGGTAAGGGGGGCCCCTGTGCAGATGCTACTGCACCACAGTTGCCCCACTATGAGAGGGGAGGTCCTGATTCAGCCTCAGCCTAGAAATTTGGTACTGACTTGCCATAGTAAACATTACATAGCAAGCACAGTACTACAGTGATTTCCGCCAGAGACCGACCACCGACCTCTCCTCCACCTCGAACCAGTTTCCAAGATTCTCGCACATCATAATGGCATCCTCCGACCAGAAACTCTCCCTCTCGGCAACGTACACCTCCCCAACCAACGCTCCCTTCACCCTCACCCACGACCTCCAGGCCCCTCCCTCGGGCACCACCAACCCAACCGTGCCTGACAAGACAAGATACCTGGCCGACCTGCGCAAGGCCACATCCGCCATGCAGGAGCAGATCAACAAGGAGCTCACGCAGAGGATGGACGAGGACCGGGCCAAGGACACTGCCAACACCAACACCAAGAACGGAACACCGGCCGCTGAGATTGACGAGACCAAGGAGGAAGAGAACTACGGCGAAGAGGCACAGGAAGAAGAGGACTGAATGCACAACCTTTTCGTGGAGTTATCCTTGAGATGCTGATTCTAAGTCTGTATACCAATGGAAGAGGACAAGAGAACAAGAAAGAGAAGGGGTATTGCGAAATGCGCCTCGGAATGCGAAAGAAAGAAAAAGCGAATATGCACAGGAACAGGGACACAAACAACCCTCGACACACAAGACAGCCTTCGCCCCCAACAAAAGGAATGAGCCAGCATCATCCCCAGCCACCCGACGATGGCAGCCCACCCACCGTCGCCGACCCTGTCCGCCCCCACGCACCCGCTCTGCCATCTGTCCTCTGCTGTTGCTGCTGTTGTTGAGCACCTGTACCGGTCGTTGTCGTCGTCGTCGTCGTCGCCCGATGCAGACACCCATAATGTACGACGGTATTGTCAGGCAACGCAGCAACCACGCTCCCGCCGAGCCGCTTATGACACACCCCGCACACCCTCTCATCATGAACAACCACCCTCCTGTTGCGCCCGCCCTGTCCACCTGGCACCCCGTCGCCCAGCAGCAACAACGCCTGGCTCGCGACGAACTCTGTCTCGCGCAGCCCAGCCACGATGCGGCTCTCGTTCACCGCGCTGTTGGCTGCACGGATGCGCCCGCGGAAGTAAGACTCAAGGTCTGCTATGGGGAGCGTGTCTGGGATCAGGGACAGGGTCGACGCCGCGGGGAGCCGGGAGCCGTGTTTAGAGAGAAGGTCGAGCGCCGGTTCTAGGTTAGGTTTATTGGGCGGCGGCGGTGTAAGGTAAAGGGAGAGCAGGGTCTGGTAGATAGATGGGGTGGCATCATTGGTATCATCGTGTGCTGAAGACGGCCTGTGCCCTTTCGAGGCTGAGGGCGACTTTGGCGTGGCTGATGGGATCTCTTGCGACTTGTGCAGGCGATTACAGTATCTGGCAGTTGGTGTCAGAATACAAGATGGAAGACCCCCCAAAAAAAAAAATTTTGGGTCGAACGAAAAGACGATTCACTTACTCTTCTGCTTTGGCGTAATCTTGCATCTTGAAAACATAAATCAGCAGGGCCGCTCTGTGCTCACCCATGTTGCTAAACACGATAGCCTGTGCCTCGTAGAATGCCGGATCTGCAGGTTCATGTCACTGTCAGTGTGGAGTCCACATTCGAAGATGCACTATGTAGACAAAATCTAGCACGAGGTGGGGGAAACGTGGTACTCACCGTCACCCTTGAGAAGGCTAAAGGCCCGCCCCAGACTATACTGCCCACTCTCCTTCAGAAACCGCACAAGCCGTGCCATCTCTGCTTCCCACGTCACGTCGCGGATATTGGCCCCCTTGAGCTGCTGCACGAGCAGCTCCACCAGCCGGTTGTGGAAGTCGGGCGTCAGGTCGTTGAGCTCCGTGATGATGTGCTCAAGATACCTCACCTCCAGCTTCGCGTCAATCCTGTCCAGGAACTGCACGATGCGGTGCCTCGGTAACGTCTCGGCGTTCTCTGTATCGGCGACAAACACCTCCATCGCCAGGTCCGGTGCCTTGCGCAGGGTCCACTCCGAGAACTCGAGAATCAGGTCGATCATCTCGGGAGGGAGGTTCTGCAAGTACCCCACCGTGCGCTGCGGGCCGTGCAGCCCTGGCGCCTTGTCGTTGGGCTTGTCGCCCTCGCCAAACTTCTTGAGGAGCTCGAGGGCCTGGCGGTGGAGCTTCTTGCCGTAAAAGAAATCGACGAGCTCGTTGTACCGGTTGTGCTCGAGAAGCTTCTCGTTGACCACATCCGGGTCGCAGAAGTTGGGAATGCGGAACAGCGAGGAGGCGAGCGTGGGTGCGGAAAACATGTATGCCCGGAAGAGGCAGGTGTCGACCATCTTGAACGTGTCCTGGAGGTGGCGCTCCAGCTCATTCTCAGACTCGTCTCGCCCGCCAGTGGTGGTGCTGAGGAGACTTCGCAGGGCCTGTTCGCTGGAGCCAGTCTGAGCAGGCTTTAGTTTCAACCTGCCCGTCACAGGATCGAGGACGCGCTGCAGACGCGCGCGCGTGCCGGCCAGGAACCCTCGCAGCTCAAGCACGGCTTCCTTCAGGTCCTTTCCCTCCGGCACGCTGTTATCGTCGCCAGAAGACTTGCCATCCACACTGCCCGCATCGTCTGTATCGGCCCCTTTCTTTGTAGACGAGGTGATGGAGGCGGTCTCCGGGTTGGCCTTTGTGCGGTGCCCAAGCAGCATCCTCGCAAACCCACCACCCATATTTGTTGGCGAGGAAACCTCCTCGGTATGGTTCGAAGTGGCGTCGCTCTCCTTACGTGCGTGTGCGTGCCCATGTCCATGTCCATGTGGGTGTGCGTGCGTCTTCTCGCCATTCTCGCCCCCCACCACCTTGACATGATGCGCCTCATCCTCTGACTCGTCGCTCTCCTTGTCCTCGGGGTGACCAGACAAGTCGCCTGCGATACTCTTGGGAAACAGCCTCAGGACCCGTTCCGGCGGCGCATGCACCTCGTCCTCGTTGAACAAATCCATGGACTCGCGATACTTTTTTGCGCGAAACAGCACCTCCGCCTTCTGCATCTTGATGCTCCGCATAGTCTCCGTCTTGTTCTTCAACAGTGCATCCTCCAGCATGGCCAGCACGCTAATGGCCTCGTCGTACCTCTCGCTGCCCACCAGTTCCTCGATCTGCGAGTCATAGTCGGTCGCGTCCATCTTCCACACCACCCTCTCGCTCGAGATGTGGAAGCCCTTGCCCGCGTGGGCAAGACTCACGGTGGGCGGCGGGAAATGCAGATTCGCGGCGCCCGGCAGCGGGACCGTCTGCAGCAGGCTCAGCGTATCCGGGTTCCTGACCTCCAGCGAGCCCTTCGTAGGGCTCTGCAGCGCCAGGATGTATGGGTACGAGTACCCCACGCCCTCGGGCGCAGACTGCCAGGGGATCTGTTTCTTGTCGGGCACCGGCTTGCCCTCGTCCGTGATGAAGAGAGTGTTGATGTCCTTGGCGAGCAGCATCTGCCCATCGGCCAGCTTCGTCGCCAATGGCCTAGGCACGTACCCGCCCAAGCCCATGTAGCCCATGCCGGCGCTGCTCATGGCGCCAAACCTGCTCCCCTGGCCGGCACCCGCGATGTGGCCTGGTGCGACAACATCCTCCACAGTACCTGTGACCACATCGACCAACACGTACCCGGCGTTCATGCCACACACCAGCCTTGTGGCGCTCGCCCACGTCACGGTGCGGATGGCCTCGGTAAGCACGACCTCGGCGACGTCTGGAGACAGCTCGCTCTCGTGCCAGTTCCACAGCAGCAGCTTCCGCTTGGCGGCGACGGCCATGCGCGAGATGATCTCGGGAATGCCTGTCTCGGTGTCGCGCACGATGTTGGACGTGACGGCGAAGCACGAGGCGTTCTTGGAGCGCGCAAGGGGCGCGCAGCCGCCCAGCGGTTCGTACGTCTGCAGATCGTGCAGCGAGATGGCGTAGTTGGACAGGGAGACCAGCGTGTTGGCCTCCTTGATGATCGCCAGCTGTTCGATGGCCCGCGTTGAGAACTTTTCTACCTCTCGGAGGAGGTCGGTCGGCTTCGGTTGAGCTTTCGCGGGCGTGGGCTGGAACCCCGCGGCGTCCAGTGAGCCGACTGCCTGGGCATTATCGTGCTTATCTGACGAGCCGTTCGTAGTCGTCTTGTTATGCTGGGAGGACAAGGAGGGCGAGGAAGGGAGGGCTGGAGGTTCGAGCTCGTTCAGACGGTAGACTCGCAAGCTGCCTGTGTTCAGGCCAACAAGCACGCGGTCGCCTTTTTCGAGGTTCTGGTCAAAACAAATTTACTCTCCCGGGTGTACCAGCAAGAGAGGAAAAGCACACACATACCATAAGCCAGAATAGTTTCTATCTTGGACTTGTCCCTCTGCTTGAGTTCGATGATAGGTCGAGCCGTGAATGCGGAGAGCATCGCTGCTGCTGCCGAGAGGTGCGCTGGCTGGCAGCTGCAACCAAGATGCGGGGAGCCCTAGGAGGACATCAGGACCTTGTATTTGTTGAGAAAACGCAGTGTTGCGACGATGACCAGAGCGTGTATGGAACTGTTTGATTCAGCGGGCTGGTGTTGCAAAGGTACAGTCCAGTACAGCAACAGTACAAGCAAGCTGTCTGTGGAGCTTGCTAGAAGGCAAGCAAATGACCTTGACAGCGAGGAGCGGTTCGCAGACTGCGGGCCGAGTGACCTGGTATGACCGCATAGTTCCCGGCCTTCCCAACACTCTAATAGGTCCCCGCAACGCCCTATAAGTCTACGGATTGGCTTTTTGTTCTCATCGTTGTGGTCTCAATTCTTCAACAATAAATATAGATTGGAAAGAGGTCAATCTTCTTCATAATCTCTGTTGGTCAAAGATATACCTTCATTCTTAATTCCAAAATCCGTACTCAACTCAAAGAATAATAAATATACATCGCTTTCTATGCCCGCCGTCTTACTTCACACAAACCAACATTCTATCTCTTGTGTTCCACCACCACCCAAACATGTCCTTGAGATGTATACGTCTTCCCCACATTTGACGCCGAATTCTTATGTCAACACGTGCAATTCGATACCGTTCAGGAACTCCAAGGATCCTTCCCAAAACACCCCACTCAATGTGTACAAACAGAACATACTGTACCTTAGCACAAGCCTCGTCAGAAACAACTACATGCCACTAACTCTCATCGCCCCATACCCCAGGCTGACCACCACGACAAGCGTGATGAGACTGCTCGGCACGCCCCTGCTGATGAAGTGCCTGACTTTGAGGTATCTCTGCCCGGCCGGGTCCTCCTTCATGATCGCAGCTGGAGTGAGAGAAGAAGAAAGAAGAAAAAAAAAGTCAGCAAACAATTCGAGCAGTCGATGGATAGCAATGACGCGGTACTTACTCATATTCGGGAACCCGCTCGTCGGCAGTCCCATCGCGGCAGAGCACATCAGGACGCCCGCCATGACCAACAGGTTCGGGTGTGGCTCCTCCATCGACGCACCAACATCATAGACCAGCGGCAGTATGATCAAGGCTGCCACGGTGTGGCTGATGAAAGTCGCAATGACGAGGATCAGGCACGAGAACACGACCAGAACGCCGTACAGGCTCATCCCCTCCACGCGGTGGCTGATAGCGACCGCGACGGTGTCGAGGAGACCAGAGGACTTGACTGCCTTGCCAAGGGACAATCCACCAGCTGCAAGGATGATGATGGTCCAGGGGAAATTATTGAAGTCCTCTTTGGTCAAGATCCCAACACCGAAAAACAGTACAATTGGTATGATGGCAATGACGCCCATATCGCCAAAGACTGGTTCGAGCTGGTGACTCGCACACCACAAAGCGATGGTCCCGATTGTGACAATCGAGACAAACCACTGCACGCCCGTGAACTTATCCTGAACCTGGCGGATAGGAACAATAGTCGTACCGCGACCAGGACGAAAGGTGACGAGCAACAGAAGCCAGATGAGACAGATCGAGACGATGCCGACAGGGATCACAATAAAGAACCACTGGCCCCAGCCGGGTTCGGGAGCCATGATGCCCAGTGCCACCACGTTCTGCGGTGAGGCGATGGGTGAGAGCATGCCGCCAATGTTGGACGCAAGGGCTATACCCATGATGACGGCTTTGGACATGTTGGAGTCAGAGGGAAGGTTGCGGAGCATAGGCTATAGGAACACCTGTCAGTTATCACTCCCGTCCTCGTGGGCGATGCAAACAAATAAAGCATTTCTCACCTCGATAATAGAGAAGCACAGCACTGGAGCAGCCACGTTGCTGATCAACATGCTCGCAAAAGCAGCAACAAACATGGTCGCGACGAGCACCGTCCTCGGTGTGGTGCCCGCCTTGCTGAGCACAAAAGTGGCAATGCGCTTGTCAATCTTACACTTGGACAGCGCAGCCGCGAGCGTGAAGCCGCCGAGCAGGAGCATAATCACAGGCGTCCACATCGCAGAGAATATGTACGCAGTCGCCTTCTTAGAGTCCAGCCTCACATGTGGCGGCTGTTCCGCTATGATCACGTTAAGGAGGACGCACAGGAACGGGATCATCAGGGAGGTGACGAAGAGCGGGATTGCCTAGATGCACAGATTAGTTTTCATTGCCCTCTTGTCTCGTCGGACAGTAACAAGGATCAAACTCACCTCGGTGGCCCACAACAAGCTCACAAAGACCAGCATCGCCAGGCAATTCTGTTGCTCCGGCTTCTCCATAATCGGGATGAAGAGCAGCACGAAGAACACCACGAGGATGATCAGCAGGGTGAACATGGCCGAGCTGAATAGCCAAACAGGACATGTGAACCTGCCAACAGGAGTCATGATCGCCTTGGTCTCGGGAGAATCGTCATCATCGCCCTGCAGTCTCGTCTTGATGGCGTCCCCTCTGCCCAGCAGCGCACGGCCCAAGCTTGCGGCCTCCGCCCTGCGCTCCATGCCTATGAGGTCTCTCCACACGGTGTTTCGTTCCCACACGACATGCTCACGGAGGTGGCTGCGGAGGTCCCTCTTGGCCGCCTCCTCGTTGCCGTTAGTCACGATGTCGGTGTAGGCCTGCTCCATTTTGCTGATATTCTCCTCGACGGCTCGCATTGTCGCCTCCTGGAAGGGATATGCCGGCTCGACATACTTCTCCATGTACACCGGCCTGTACCGCCGGTCTAGGATCTTGTCGAACTTCTTCAGCACCTTGCGGAATCCAGTCTTGTTCAGCTGCACGTAGCTCTTGAGCTCGCACAACTGAACATACAGGCCGATGATGCGCTTCTTGAGCATGATCCCGCCAGAGAACAGCACCGCCTGCTCGTAGTCATCGTAGCTGGCGCTCATCCGGCGCACCGACCTCGTCAGCTCCGTCGAGACCGTCAGATCCGTCACAGGGCCCTGGGGTGCCAACCGACGCCGCCCGCTCAGTTGGCTGACACGACGCCTGCGGCTCGACGGCGCCGTCAGCGCAGTGGTCTCGTCCCCGTCCTCATCCTCGTCGCTGTCTTCCTCGACACCGTCCTCGGTAGAGCGATGGCTATGCGCGCTGTCCCTCCGCCCGCCCAGCTGTCTGTTCTGCACGTGGCTGTTGCTGTGGCCTGTCGGGGGCCTGTCAGCCGTGCCGTTCTCGCCGTCCTCCTCCTCTTCAAAGCGGCCAACGTCGTTCAGTAAATGGTTCACCTCGTCTATCAGCTCACGCTCCTTGATCTGGTAGAACGAGATGATCTTCTCGAGCTCGACATCGAGGGCACGCTTGAAGACGCCCTCGGGGTCGTCGGAGGGTATGAGGGGCCGTGACTCGGCATCGCCGGCGTGGGAGTGGTTGGTCTGGTGAACGGCTTTCTCGAGCTGATAGATTCTGATGACAGCAGGCAAGCGAGTCAGCCAGATGTCATCACGCCAAGTCTATCTTCGGTTGGGGAGGGGGAGGGGGAGGGGACGGGATGGGGTGAGAGCTCACAATTTCTTGAGATTGCTATAGGCAATGTAGTGACTGCTCCAGTCCGGCACGGCATTGAACTGGATGCTGTGAGAGAACTTCATCTCGTCCCTATCTTGGAGCCAACGACGCTTCTCGGCCCTCTTGGCTGCTCTCCTCGCTTCTCTCTCCTCGCGCTCGCGCCGCGCCGAGATTTGTAGGTAGTCGTCGAGCTCGTACTGCTCCTCTTCCTCCTCTGCAGCTGCTGATGTCGTCACCACCGGCCCCTGTTGCGATACTGTTGGGGACCGTATCCTCCTGCTTCTGTCTGAGACAGCCGTCGAGGTCTGAGACAGAGCCGCGGCTGAGGTGGCCAGCTGATGTGAGGGGTGCGCAGCTGATGCTGCCTGGCCAGAGTTGTAGCTAGTCGTAGTGATGATATCGCGAGGATAATCGCGGGATGAGAGCAATGTGGGAGGGCGAGTTGGTGAGCTACTTGTACTGTCCACACATTGAGATTTCAACGTCTCTGAAACCGGCATAAAACGATGAGGACGGCCTATCCAAGAGATAGATAATGCAATATCGTGGCGCGTGGTCTAGCTGCTGTGCTAGGAACCCATCAATCTGTACTATCAAAGCACTTTGGCACTGATATCATTTGCTGTGGGCGCGCGAATGTCCAGCTGGGTAAAGCGCCGACTTGCAAGGGTACACTAAATAAATGGAGCCGGGCAGGAGAGATCCATTGTCTTGCATGTCCCGCTTTGTTGTCACTGGTCAGGCCGTGCTGAGGAGAAGTAGGTGCTAGCCCTAGGGCCCCTACCTGTCCCCCTATGCTAAGCACCACCCAGAGGCCTAGTTCACAGCACGCCCTCCATGCAAAGATCGTCCTTGGATGTTTCCCCTTACGCTAGAACATACACTGCAGTACAACCCATTCATTCTCAATACGACCTTGCATCACAAGGCAATGTGCCGTAGCTACCATAGGACTAATATGCAGGTAGGTAGTAGTGTTGTAGTGTGTGACTCAAGCCACCCTCTCTTACTCGCAGCCAACAAGTGATCTGGTGGCGTGGACATCTTCAAACCTCAATAGTCCAGCGGGACGAATCTTCATCCTAAGGTCACACGGAGGTGGAACCAAAAGAGTCAGGGTCAATTTACAAAGTATACGCCGTGGTATTACGATTCCAAAACTAGTGCAGTCTTCACCTGTCTTACTTAGAGCCTTTCTCTCTTAGGTCAGAGCAGCAGATGAGCAGCCTTCCTCCATACGGCTAACCAGTTGTCATGACACTAACAGACATGCTCTTCAGATCTAATCACTGCGTTGACACATTCACGGATGGCTCAGCGTCTGATGAGATCATGAGATCTCCAGATCGATGCCGCATATGTACATAACAATAATGGAATTGTACTAATGAGCCATACGTGCAATTTTTTCAAGCAATTTTTTCAACCTTATTTCTGAAACAGTGATATTCGAAGCCTTATCTGAAACCCCCTGTTAAACAATGCGCGTTGGTGACTGTTTCCATCGCAAGCAGAAGTATAACAAGAATGTCGAGAAGGCATGTTGTTTCCTGCAGCAATAATTCCTCGCTCAGAAATCCATGTTGTTTTCATAGCTTTTGTGAAGGGTTCGGGCCTCCATCTGCATTTGTGCAAGATAAGGTCGTAGTAAATCCACTTGCCGTCTCAACGGTCTTCTCTTTTGAGTTATACTTTATACTTATAAGTTGTAGTTTCCAGCACAATCATAGAAGCAAAAGTGAAGACGTTTGCACTTTCTCAGATTGTAGCATCTCCCAACATGACCGTAATCTCCAATAAAAGGAGAAGAACATTACAAAGCTTGAGAGAAAAATAATAATTATGTCCAGTGAAATAGTAAAATGTTCTACAGTACACTCACATTCTCACAATTCTCATCTTGTCTCTACTGACAAACGTTTTGATTACGGTGTCACATGCCCATCACTCTAATCCACTTACACAAGGCAGGATATTACAATAATTGAGAAGGGTACCAATGTCTTAATTAACTAATTATTAGCCAAGTGCCGTTATGAAACGACTCGATTGAATTAACCAATTTTCGCGCCCAGTACCCTTGCTCTTGCATTCCACGGTCAATAAATAATAAAAGAGGGTATATCGGTATCTCAACAGAAAGAAAATCATCGTAAAACTCGTGTAACGAGGGTGTGTTCACTTTCATCGACACCTTTGTCTCACAACTTTCGTGTTCGCCATTCATCCCCTGACATGGCCATCTTGTCTCGTCACCTCAGTCCGAAGATGACAGGCCAAGTCAACTCTTGTGTGTCTCTTCCCCCCTCCTCTCACTGCTTCTCGCGATGCCTCTCATCTTAAGAGCAAGGGCGGCGACGTGAGCCTTGTCAGCCTCATGACCCCTAGACAGCAGGGACATCGTTGACTGGCCCGCCCGCAGGCGTAGCAGCAGCAGCAGCATCACCATTATTGTTCTTCTCAGGGAACGTGCCCGGCGCCGCCCGGACGCGACCATACTGCGTAAAAGCAATATTCATCCGGCCATAGTCCCACCTGCGGGCCAGGAAGAGGAACGCGCCCGCGACGACGGGCACCAACAGCACGTCCAGGATGCCAAAGTAGATGAAGCTGCCGACGACGCCAATGACATTGCCGCCGTCAGAGATGCCAAAGGCGATGGGGTAGTTGAGCCAGAGCAGGTTGACCCAGGACGCGAGGCCGAGGTGGTGCGTGCGGACGGCACCGAGATCGCGGCCTGCGAGAGAGCGGCGGCTTTCGAAGAGCGTCTCGTAGGCCAGGAGGAGGTAGGCTATGGTCCCAAAGGCGTAGAAGCCCCATTTGTAGGTGGAGTCTGTGTAGGCCGTGAAGAGGTAGGCGAGAACCCTATGAAGGTGATCGTGTCAGCCGGGACGATCCATCATTTCTGCACAGAAAGGTTTGCAGAGGTAGTCAGGGCAGGAGGGATGATGGAGGTGATGGAGAAAGAATGTGTATACGTGCATGAATATGAGTGGATGAGTACTTACCAGGTCCAAGACAAGAAGACAGTATAAGCGATCGTAGCCCAGGAGACACCGCTGATGAGACCCAGCGCGATGTTGACCGCAGGGAAAGACACAGACCAGTAGACATATTTTGCAAAGAAAATCTGGCGGTCACCGTTCCCGGCGTGGTCAACCTGGCCGATGACATCCCACGCCAGGTCGGAAGCCATGGCATAGTAGGCAATGGACCCAACGAGCAATGTAATTGTGAAGATGTAGTGAAAGATCTTCTCGCCTTTGTGAATTGCCGAGAGAACGAAGAAGACAACCTTTTTTTTTTCAAGCAGGGAGGGTCAGCATTTTCTTTTTCTCTGTGCCGTTTCAATGACACGATCCCAGGAACTTACAAATTGGAGGGCGAAGACAGCAGTCACAGCCCATAGCCAATCGGAGCCGTGGACATTGAGGTGCTCACTACCCGAAGGCGGGTTGTGGTTGAGGGCATCGTTCACTCTTGCTTGGAGAAACATCTTGTCGACGTTGAGCTGGGTTTAACAAATTGTTATGAGCGGTAGAACGCTATGTAATGATGATTGTGGTGAAGGTGATAGACACCGCCAAAGGATTGCGTCAAGACAGAAGGCAAGTCCACAGAACAGACAACCTCTTGAGAGTGGTAGTTCCTAGTATTTGACACTTTGTTTCTCACTGGCGTGTGATGAGGGAGAAGTATGAGACAGATCGTTCTGCACAGAAATGATGTGAGGGGCGGGGTGTCCTTTTATGTAGTATTAATAACTGTGCTCAACCCCTCCCACCCATTGACCAACCATCGACGGTGTGGAAGAGCATGAGCTTTGACAAATGCAACATCGTGCCCGCCAGTAACTCACAAGCCGAAGAAGCCGAGCTGGATGATTGGCGAAAGAGGCACGGAAAAGAGGTCCAGGCCCCCTCCTGCCCCCCCCCCCCCCCTTAGCTGCGATGCATCCGAACTTTCCAGCAAGGCGACAGCACAGACATCATCGTGAGGTCAGCTCGCAGCCGGCTTCGCGTTTCACGAGAGAAGGCCGACCCTTCCCTTCCGGCCCCTGCTTCACTTTCTCACGTTCGGTACCAGAGAGGCAAACAGAGAGCGTCGCCAATGATGTATGACCTTTCGGAAGGTGGGCTGTCGGAGCCCTGATCTGATAGGTCCGACGTGGTGCGCGATGTGGCAGACTCTGCCGTGTCAACATCCCCTCCCCACCTCCTCCGGGGGGAGGGTGGATGAGACATCAATTTTTTCAATGTAATACTGCATTTTCGCATGCAACTGTGGTACGACGATCATGTTCTGTTAAGTCAGCCGGTCATATGATCCATGGATGGCGACAATGCTGGAACATTCTCCCTCTCGCCCCAACAATTAATCAAGGGCGCCCTTGTGAAGATTTATTCCCACCCTGCTGAGCATTCCGACGTCGGTTTCCCGATGCAACGTGATGAGAACATAATTCATGGTTCCCCCGGAACGGCCGGGGTTTTCCAATTACAATATTGGTCAAAATGAATGTGATGGAGAAGGAGGGAAGAAAAAGTGACGAGGGCACGCGAGGCTCTCCGACCCCCCCCCCCCTTCCCTTCGTCTTGATGGAGGGTATGAGTCAAAGCGAACTCGAATAAGTCAAAAGACCACCAATTGCATACAGTACCACAGTAATCATGTTTCACGTTATTATGACTTCATATACCCCGATCTACCTCGCCTGCACCGGAGGCAAGTGGAGCAAGGACATGCTCTCCGGGCGGCCCGGAACGGGCGGCTCCGGCGACAGAGAAGGCCGGGCCAAAAACAACGCCCACCTCATGACCAATTCAACTTTTCAAACCGTTCAAATCGATCATCAGTAAGCTGGGCTACTGGTTGATCGTCAAGCAGCAATACTCAAAATGGGAACAAGGCAGAGGTGGGGTTGTAAAAGTGTACCGGTGTGTTGCATGTGCGAGTGTGATTTGAAAGGAGAGCAGAGGTCATCAGTGGTGCGCTGACCATTCCTCTCCAGCCTCTGTCGGGTATGTGTACCGCATGAAATGTTGGGTTGCACTGCATAGATATGCCGTGCTCCCATCCACTCCTGTGGGGTTGGCTCTGCGTGCATGAGGTGCGGTTGCAAGCGGTTTGCTCATTCGTCCGCCTGTGACGAATGAGCGGGATTCTGTCTGTCTGTGCGTGTGTGTGTGTGTGCGCGCGCGCACATACCAAGTTAGAGCTCAAGGGGGGGGTTGGTGGTCGAGGAAGAGCCAAAGTTGAATTGGCTTTGGCCCCCAATAGACCACATGATGTTATCCGACAAGCTTCTGACCACCCTTGGGGGACGTCTTCCTGTCTGTTCCTTCCGAGACACGCAGGTAACAATGAACTTAATCATTGAGGACTTTCACTGTACTGATGAAGTATGTAATGTCTTTTGGGTATATTGTCAACAATTATTAGGAAAAGAGCGTCCCTTGTTCTTTCTTTTTGTAATATAAAACTCCCCTTTCCTCTCCTCTTCCAGGACAACCTTTTTTTGGTAGCCATATCTGACCACCCAGCAACCATTCACTCGTAGGTTTGCACGACTGTTTGTTTAATATTGATGATGGTTTTTCTCCCTTCCATTGATGACTGTGCAGCGCTCGATTCTGCCGGGAAACTGTTGAGTAAGGTGCCCTGGCTGTGACGCGTGCCCACCGTGATCTCTGTCTTGGGGCCTAGGTTACCTAGTTCGAGGAAATCGTCGGACTGGAAAAAAAAGCAGGAAGAGAAGAGATAAAAAGTGTCAATAAAAGGTCAAGTCGCTGGAGGGCGGGGGAGGGAGGGGGAAAGACCCCTAGGGTCAAGAGACAAACTCACCCCATTGGCATCACCATCGCCATCCCCAACAGAAACAAACTCCTTGCGCATCCTGCTGCCCATGCCCAGTCCCGAGCGACTATTCTGCCCATAAGGATACTGATTCGACGCGTCCCCCAGCCTGTTCCTACTTCCCGAGAGGGACAGGAGGCCATGGAACATCTTATCAAACACGGGCCTGAGCAGCGCAGAAGAAGCCACCAGGATAATGACTCCATTCTCGGCCGACGTCCAGACCATGACCTCGGGCACGGTGTAGGAAAAGTCGTCAAAGTCGATCGAGTTGAGCGAGAAGAGCCGCACGACAGAGAAGACGACCGTCACGATGCCGATGCCGAAGATACTGAATAGCCCGACCTTGTAGCCGGATTTGACCTGCAGATTGAAGACCATGGGCAGCGGGAGCACGAGCATCAGCACGTCGACGACGACGTTGACCACGCTGACGGATGTGTACCCTGCGATACGGTTGCCACAGCTTCCGGCGGCGGTGGGATCCCAGTTCTTCTGGACGGGTTGGCAGATGAGAAATCCGATCAGGACTGTCTGGAGCAGCCAGGCTGCCTGCATTCCTATGATGATCCAAGTGACGATCTAAAGAAGAAGAAGAAGAACAGAGACGGAGTGTTAACAACAACAACATCGAGAAAACCTCTAATGAGTGGGTGATTGGATGGCAAACGAGACACGAACCCTGAAGTACCGGACCGCAAAAATGCGTTTCAACATGAACAGCATGGACCACTTTACTGTACACATCGAGAGGCCATACAGACACTGTACCATGAGGAACGACTGCGGAGAGGAGAAAAGAAGAAGTAAATAGAGGGTCAGCAATCTGGTCGGTCCATCGTGTTGCATAAGACTAATAATGACTGCTACAAGCACCAATCACTACTCTTCAAAAAAAAAACCCCCCCCCCAAGAAAAAGAAAGAAAACCACAATTGCAACAAAACTTACCTGTGTCAGTCGTGCGACGTGCCACTTATTCAGCTCATCCATATGCCAGCCCGCTCCACCGAGGTAGACCGACATGTAAAGAGCGACAATGAAGCCGTAAAAGGTGACAACAGAAATCCCATACAGCATGTCCTCAAGTCCCAAGGGCATCTGTCTCACCTGCCTCGAGTAGATGCGCAGTCCCGTCCAGAGGGCCACCAGCACGCAGAAGACGCTCGAGCACCATATGAACTGGGTCATGATACTTCTGTCGGCCAGGGGGATGATATGCCCTGGGAAAGGGTCGGTGCTTCCTGATGAGACAGACATCTCGCCGGAGAGGAGAGCGGTGGTGGGGTTATTGTGGGTGGAAAATGTTGCGAGGTATCGTTGCTGTTGGTAGCCGCCGCCCTTTGTGGAAGGGTTCGTATCTCTCTTTCCTTTCTTCAAGAAGGTGTACAACGCGCGCCTGTCGTGGCTACCGTTACCAGGGAGGGAAGAGGGCGGTGACAGTGGTAATCCTCTCTGAGAGTGATTTTGGGCACAACTTCTGAAAGAGGATCACCTGCTCTGTCGTTCTCCCCAACCTGCCACGTGCTGGGAGTGTGAATCGTCCCCCTGGTCCGAGGAAAAAGAGGTAGGAGGAGAGAAGGAGGAGTCTTTAGTAGTATTTTGTTGTAGTGTTTGTTGTTGTTGTTGTTGTTGTTGTTGTCGTCGTCGTCGTCGTCGTCGGCGCCGCCGCCGCCGTCTCGATCGCTTTCAGAGAATGGCTTTCGCCCTTGGGAGGATGATTTACGTTTGTACACAAGACATGCAAGTAAAGGGCAAAGGCTATAGTTACATAAGAAATAGGAGGGGGAAAAAGATAGGTCAAGAACAGGCAGACGGCAGGATTCGAATATCCACACCAACTTCTGACAAGAATGATGACATGGAGAAGATCCAGAAAACACCCCCGGTAGGAATTGTCTTATCATTGAAGTTGAGGTGGATTCTACAACATGCAGTAGTAAAACAGGAGGATATTAGGTTTTCTGGGATGTCAGTATGGTGCTGCACGATCCCACATCGTACATGGCATATAGGCCTCAATAGGAAGGAAGACGTCCATCATAGTATGCTCGGCCGAGCTCGCCTGACAGCTGAGAGAGCACCGCTACCCTGTTAAACAGTAGAGCCTGTTGCAGGAAACCCCCTCGAGAGATGGCCACACGGGGTTTGATTTCCAGATTTGACGAGCCAAGTTGCGGCCCTGATAGCCGGGTGTCCACTTCTGCAAGTATCTCCCCCAAGCATGGGGCTGGTCGAGCCTTTTAAAAGTGTAAATCAACGCTGTATCCACAGACACGACACAATTTGGCTTATTACCATGTACATCGTGTGACGGCCGACCACTTTCTGAAGTACCATAGTAGAAATGGATGAGCGATTCATATGCTAGGCCAGGGTTGAATATGCATAGTACTTGGAAGATGCATTTAAGTGTACAGAGTCTTGATTTCGGAGTGAGATACTATGGTACTACCACTGTAGATGCCGATTGACCCTCAACCCTTACACCGATTCAGATTGTCCCCCCCTTCCCCCAGGATGCATGAGATAAATACCCGAGGGTTTTTCTTCTCTCTTCCAGGCAGCCAGGGTGTCTTCCCCCGGACCCCTATTTGTGAGCATGGTCCTATACCTGGTAAAAGATGTGCAGTCCAAGTTGACAATGATCGCCCAAATATGGCGATCCCCACGTTGTGCCATCTGGGGGAACATAAGGATCTCAGAGCAGGCGAGCAAGCGAGTACTACATGGTACGTGACACAATAATATAAACATCATAATATCGGAAATCGGCTCCTCGCCATCCATATTTTTTTTCTTCTTTCTTTTCTTTCTTTCACATCCTCTCCCCTCCTGTTTCTTTGGCTTAGAGTGAGATCCCCTCGAGGAGTGGCCGACCCTGAACAGCAAACTACCGACTGCGGTATCCTGCCCTGGCTGCCCAACCTCGCCTCCACCTGTCATCTTCACAGCCCAAACTTTCGAAACAACGGGCCATGCCGGGCCTAGTGAGGGAGGGTATGGGCACCAAGGCACTCGCTATTCTTGATTGAGCCATAGTCGAGTACTTGCTGGTATTATCTTGCTGCGATTATAGTGGCGGCCCAGCCTCAACCTGCTCTCCGAAGGCGGGGGGCTACTGACTCGAAGATCATGGCTCTTCACATTTCGGTGCCGGGAGGTTGCGCACCCGTATTTTACCACAGCCAGGACTCCGCTGAAGGAAAAGAGGGAAAGAAGAATATTAGAGTTTGAACGAGTCGAGGTTCTTGAAAGCTGGACCCTGTCATGTGCCTGGCAGCAACCAGGGGGAGGGGGAGGATCCTGAAATTCTCGTCTCCATGCCGGGGCCCACTGGATGAGAAGCGAGGGGCATACAGTGTTTATGGTACGTGCTGCAGTAGGACCGTGGACCTGATGACCAAGGCTTGCCAGTACCTACCAACGCCATCTCTTTCTGAAAAGAGACACAAGATTCAAAAGGGGTCTTGCATAAGTACCCAGCAGAGATCTGCACTGCTCACTTTTGGAAAGAAAGGCCTTTGGGAGGGGCGGGTGTCCAAGCTCGAGATCTCTTGTAAATTACATGAGCCGATTACGGTAACAGGCTCGCACGGGGTTCATCCAAAAGAAGAGTTTGTGGAGGAGGCCCAGTCCCATGCAATTGGAACATAGTACATACCTGCATACGCATTTTTAACCTTTTATATGTTATATGATAAGCACCGACAGTGACCTGGTTGCTCTCTTATCCACCTGCAGGTTACTGATCGAGAGGTGTGCTGCACCATAGTAGTAGTAATAATGATACTCTACTACATACTTGTCGCAGAATATAAACATTTGTTGTGGTCGCCAAAATTGTGCTCAGCATGACAAGACACACGAAACACCATCTCCCATGTCTATTGCGACTTCGTGATACAATAGACATGCAACTTGCCAGACTGCAATGGGAAACCACTTTCAGGGGCGCCCTCCACTCTATGGGATCTACTTGATTGAAGTACTAGTTAGTAAGTAGGTAGAATGAAGTCCCCCCCACTAAAGAAAAATAAAAGAAGAGAAAGAAGAATAAAAAGGGAAAGACTAAACGGTCGCCTCAAGGGTTCTCTACGTATTCCCTCAACTCACCCCCTGATTTAGCCATCATACGATATAGCACGACAACACGACACAACGCCACTTGTACCATGTTCTCTCCTCTTCTCTCTCACCTCTTGAAGCGAAGGAATTAGTGTGCCGAGGGAGGAATGCAGTACTAGTGTTCCGGCAAAAGGTGTCCGGATTCCTTCGAATACCAATATCGTCCTAGTCTCCTCGCCTCTTCAAAGGAAGTGGAGCGTTTTAATCCATTAGAGTTCACAGCAGCCACGTCAGCTTGGAAGATCCAGATTGGCTTCAAAGCAAGCTCTGGACACTTCAAGCTATGTTGCTACAACAGCAGCAGTCCAGTACGGTATCACAAGTGAATCCAGAGCCCCGATCAATACATTATTCCGTTTCTCAAGGCCTGCCACCTCAAAGGCAGACGAGAAGTCTCAGTAGTATACCTCGTCGGAAAGTTAATAAATTGCCTAGTCTAGGACGGTGCCGCCTACTTGGCAAGCGAGCGAATTAAAGGTCCATAAGATATTCTCCGAGTCGTCCTTAGTCCGGTGCTTTTCGATACGATCCAAAATGCATGCCCCCCAGTCGAAGGGGGCATCTCCACATCCATCCACAATCAGCTAAATGGTAACGACTAGCATGACTAAGATCCAGGTCATGGCAAGACCACAGTAGTACTATGGTATAGACAGTTATCCCTTTTAACGATCAACAACTGAGGGGGATGGGGACAGAGAGGATGAGAGAGAGGGACGGATCGGCAAGCGACAAGTCCTCCTCGGTGTGCCCAGTCGGGGACTCACCTCGCTGGTGAACATGGCTCACACATGGACGTGGGTCGTGATCCTCGCCGTACACCTGCAGGGAGCCAGCCTTGTATAGATTAGGCTGTCATCCATATAACATGATTATATCTTGAGCGGACGGTTTTCCTCTTTCACCGGTCGTGATCTTACCACAAATTGGACTGTATTACACCGACAAAATCCTGCTGAGGGCATTGTAAAAGATAGAGAAAGAGACTTCCAAGGGAAAAGAAAAAAAAGAAGAAAAAAAAAGGGAGCAAAAACAAGGACAAAAAGAGAGCAGTCATGGCTTTGGAAGCACACTATGATTATATCGTCGCCGGCGGCGGCCTGTCTGGTTGCGTCGTCGCCTCCAGGCTGAAGGAGTACAGACCCGACGCAAAAATCCTGCTCATCGAGGCTGGTCAGGACACACGGTCCCGCACCGACATCCTCAAGCCCGAGGTCCTCAACCTGGGCGGTGAGCTGGACTGGATGTTTCCCTGTGAGCCCTCGCCTGGCGTCAATGCCCGGCCTATGGTCCTCAACGCCGGCAAGGGCCTCGGAGGCGGCACCCTCATCAATTCTGGTACGTTTTGCGTTTTAGAAAATCAAAGAGAAGAGGAAAGAGAAAACGCAGGATTCTCTTTGCTGACGGCACGCCCTCTTTCCTCTCCCAGGTGGCTGGCTCCGTGGCTCCTCCATCGAGTATGACGAGTGGGCAGCCCGCGTTGGTGACAAGCGGTGGAGCTACGCCGGCCTGCTCCCCTGGATGAAGAGAACAGAGTCGTGGTACGAAGACAGCCCTGCCCACCACGGCAAGGACGGCGCCATCGCCGTCGCCCACACGGTCAAGTCGGCGAACCGGACTTATCCCCTGACCGGGCCTGTAGCCTCGGCGTGGGACGAGCTGGGTGTCCCCGCGCTGGAGGATTTCGACCAGAACTCGGGCTCCAACCTGGGGCGCGCGCAGCTGTGTGAGGCTCGTGCTGATGGTTTGCGCGAGCATGCCGCCATCAAATACCAGCTCGACGGCGTTGAGATCCTCGTTGACACCCTGGTAAAGAAGGTCGTGATCGAGAAGGTGGGCGGAAACCCCAGGGCGGTTGGTGTCGAGCTCGCAGATGGTAGGGTGGTCAAGGGTGGGGAGACGATCGTCTGCACAGGCGCCATCAAGTCACCCCAGCTGCTGATGCTGTCCGGAATCGGACCCGCGCAGGTCCTGAGGGAGCACGGCATCGAGCCTGTCGTTGACAACCCCGAGGTCGGCCAGAACCTGCACGACCACGCGTCCGTCTATCAGTTCTGGAAGCTCAAGGACCCGGAGAGGGGCCTCACGCTGGGCTCGCCCAACCCGCTCTTCCAGTCGCCCGAGTACACCAAGGGCGTCCCGGCAGACTGGATCGTGTCAACCGACGTGCCGCATGACGGCCTGGCAGAGGCTCTGGAGAAGGACGAGGGCGCCTCTCCTGACCCGGCCGCGCACCCGCTGCTCAGACAGGGCCGCTCGCACGTCGAGACCTGCCTGCTGTACCTCAAACTCCCCATGCCGGGCACCGCGCCCGACTATGCCCACCTGACCACCCTCCTCGTCGGTTTCCTGCCCACCTCCCGCGGCAGTGTTTCCCTGCGCTCTGCAGACCCGGCTGCGGCGCCGCGCATCTCGATGAACTACCTGGCCACAGAGGTCGACAGGTACATCTTTCGCAGCGGCCTGCGCCAGCTGACGCGCTTAATGTTGGACACGGAGTTTGGGCGCGAGTATGTCGAGGGCGAGTCCATGGTCCTGCCTTTGCCTGGCGTCGAGCCCGCGCAGCTGGACGACAGCGACGAGAAACTGGACGCGCGATTGCGGACGACGGCGGTCACAACGTGGCATGTTTGTGGCACCTGCAGTATGGGCACGATCGTCGACTCGGAGTGTAGGGTCAAGGGAGTTGATGGACTGCGCGTCGTGGATGCTTCCATAATACCTGTTCCGTTGAGTGCTCATATTCAGGCCGGTGTCTACGCCCTTGCCGAGCTGGCCGCAGCGATTATCGCTGGCAAGGTTTAGAGTTTGTCCTGGATCCTGATTGAGAGTGTTTGTCGTAGATTAGTCAATCGATCCGTCGCAGCTGGAGGCATAGATGGACCAAAAAAAACAACCAAACCCCCCCCCCCCCCCCGACTTCTCCCTGGCTGCTCTTCTTCACTCGACCATCAACCTGCTTCCTAGTGCCATAGTCATTTCCTAGACTTCTTGACGGCGTCAGAGAAAGATTGCACGGCGCAATCGTCTTGGGAAAAAATGGGAGAGATACATAACGCTGAGTATATTCATGTTCGACCGTCGAGAGCCCTCTACATCTCGTCCGATCAGAAACTCGCTCTGATACAATCTAGTTCTGGCTGTGCTGATCGCTCACTCATCTCCCTCCTGTATTTCAAATAAGTGCCCAGTGGCCAACGGGTCCGCCCTTGAAGAGCCAAAGTCCTGTGGCAGACGCAGAGGCCCAACAATTCAATGTGGAAGCGTGCCACCAGTGCTCCATAGTCGTCTTTCACCTTAGGATCTTGTGCGGTGAGCCAATCCACAACGTCTTGCGGCGCGACTAGGTCGAAAAGCCAGAATCGGTGTGGGAGGCCATCACGCCAGAAAACAATTAACATGGTCCGGTTCAACTAAAATTCCCTAGGCTTGTTGATTTGCCAGATGGCTGCCTTGGCTCGTTCTCTGACGTCCAATTCTGTGTCGGCACTCTCGAGGATCTCCAGTCTTTTCAGCAGCCCGAGCTTCATAATCTCCCCGGCTCTGGCGGCACTACTTTCCTCGTCGTCCACATCATCCCGCCAAGTCAGATTGGTGATGAGGTGACATAGCGCCACGCGCACCTCCTTGTCTTTGCTGGTGAAGTGCTTGCCCAGGTCCGTCAGGATGTCAGTCTGGGAGATGAGGATCTGTCTGTGTCTCGGGAGGCTGGCAGCCAGATGCACGAGTATATACACCACAGCTGCAACAATACGTGGTTGTGGGTACAAGACACGCGATTCCTGGTGGCTTCCGGGGTACCGCCGTTCGAACGGGTGCAAAATCCTGAGCTGGAGTTTCGAGTGAATAATCTGGAAGAACTGGTCCTGGTTCAGAACGCTAAACAGGTGGTCGATCATCTCTGCGTGGTCCTTAGCCGAGTTGGCCGCCGAGTGAACTGGCCCCATGAGGTTCCTCAGGAAATGCAATCCTTGCTCCTGTATGGCCAGGTCGTCGTGTCTGACCTTGCGCACCGGGCTCAGCTCGAGCTCGCGGAGCCCCGCCACTCGCTCGCCTGCTTGTCGCAATCGCCGCGTTTGTCGCTGATTTCCTGCGGGATGTGTTGGTGGTGATGGATCTTCAAGAAACGCTGATGCCGACGCCCTAGTCTCGTCTCCAGCTTGTCCCATGTCCACATCCTCGTCCATCCCACCAGCAGCTTGCTTCTCGTTCTTGGCTGTTCGTTTATATAATGCCATATCCTCTGTGTCATCGCGAATGAGGCGGATCAGCCATCCTGGAGTAAGCTCGTCGATGCAATCTTTCTTTTGACTGAGGCTGGCCCCATCAACCCAGTGCTTTAGGGCCCAGAGTGCATTGAGCCGCAAGACCGGGTTCTGAGAGCGTGTGTGATGGCAAAGACGCCTCATGACGCCAAGAGTGTCGAGTCGCTGTCGAAGATTCAGTCAGCTCGATCCATCCCATCCCTACTCTGTCTTCCTCTCTTCTCTTTTTTCTGTCTCCTTCAACTTCTCCTTTGTCTTTGAAAGTACTTACATCTCGCATCGGGGAGACCGTTGTGACCAGATTGCACATCAGGCCCGACGCTGCAATCTGAACCTCGATGTCTGGGTGAAGCAGGAGGCGAAAGGCCGGAGTAGCCACTCCACTATCTTGGAGTGTAGTTCGAAGGATGCTGACAGACCTGGACAGCGTCCGAAGGGCGTGGCAAGCTGCCACGACGACAGGTATAGGGTTAACACCGTATGCCGGGTCAAACACTGCACCAGTCTGTCCGGCCAGAACGAATTTTGGTGATTTTGGTTGATCCTTGACAGGTTTGGTGGGCCAGGCTGAAAGGGACTCAACAATGTACGGGACCAATTCCTGGTCCACGAAAGCCTTGCCGTACTCATCCTTCCCTGCTAGGGCAGCAACAGCCTTCAGGGCAGTTTCCCTCATTCTGATACGATGCGACAGAAGAGAAGGTTCGCATTGAGAACCAAGTCGGCTCGTGGGGAAGCCGATCTCGCGTTCCACAGGCTTCTCGTGCGAAGGTGTTGGACTCCACGACCGTGATGGTCTCTCTAATGGCTCATAGGCTCCCTTCAGATATGCGCTAATAATCTTGACGGCAGAACAATCAAATGCGCAACTCTGAAGGAAGTCGCTGTCAACCACGAGCTTTGCCAACACGGCCAGGCTTCGCTCAACGATAGAGCGATTCGCGGCAACATGGACGTCAGTGAAGGCAGCTTCAGCGTTGCTGGAGGTCGGACCCATGTCTTCGAGGGCCTGGAGCAGAACTGGAACAATTAGGCGGCCCATGTAAGCCCTGCTCGTCTTGTTTGTAAACCCGGCTTTGAAAAGAGAAGTAACAACAGAAGCTGCCATGATTCTCTCCATGCCTTCCGTAGATCTAGCCGTATAAATCAGCCATGGTATCAACGGGCTTTCAGCTTCCTCCACTTCAGTTTCTGCTGATTGGAAATCATAGTCCTCGGCCCGCCAAGTCATGGGCGAAGAGATCCACCTGTACGACGGCATTCGTGCAGAGGACTGAGTATCTTGGGTGGGAGAAGATCCGAGCGGCGGGAAGTGACTGGCCGTAGTGTTCCTAGACTGATACTCAGGCACAAGCGGGAGGAAACAGTCCATGACACCCAAGTCCTTGTCTGCCACGCTGCTGAGCCCTGCTCTCCCGAGGGCGTCGGCACAAGCCTTGATAGCTCTCGAGCGCCGGGGAGGGCCAAGGCTGGGGAACACGGTGAGTATAGCAGGAGCGTAGATGAGCGCGGCCGCCCTCCACCGAGAGTCATTTATTATCGCAGCCAAGGCCTCAAATATCGCTGTCACATCAGTACCGGCAGCCGCTGGGTCAGGGAAAAGGTCGGAAATGCCCTCTGTCCTAGCGATCGCCTCTGCACCAGGTACCACAAATCCTCGGGCAACAACGACGGACGCGAGATTCGTGGCCAGGGCGTCTAGGAGCCCAGCATCTGCGAGGACCCTCTGATGACTCTCTTCTCGGCAAAGAAGACTGATGAGCTTGGCCACCAGGTTTCTCTGCGTCTGACACGCATGACTTGTCACCGGAGTGGTCAAGATGAGCCTCAAGGCTTCGAGCAGCGGTGCCACAAAGACGACATTTGCTATATCGGCGAGGTCCTTAGCAAGGCCGGGCAGGCCTAGCACTGTGACTTCGGCGATGTTGATGGTAGCTCTGAGGGCGGCGATGACAACTTGCGGAGGGTTGTCCCAAGTTGGTATATTGGAAAGGACAGCAGAGAGGGCACCTGCGGCATGCATGGGAGCGAGGAAGGCGGAACCACCTGCACGAAACGGATCATTAGTATTATAAATGGCACTGACATCAGGATGATGGTGATCATACCGTTGGAAAAGCTAGCCAGAATCTGGAGCGCCTGCCACCGCACGGCTTCATCCCCTGTCAGAGATCGTGGGGAGGATTGTGTATAGCCCCGACTGTCCCTACGGCTCGGCCTGACAGCAGCCCGGCTGGTGTTCAGTATCTTGACAAGAGGCTCCAGAATTCCAGCCTCAATCCATTTCTCCTTCTTCTGGGCATGACCGACAATGTCATTCTTGAGAGATCGCAGAGCAGATAACTGTTCCGACTGGTCTTGTGAAAACAGTGCCGTTGGCAGGGCCACGTTGGGTGAGTACGACATGACTGGCGGCGGCCTAAGGAATCCGGACTCTACAGCACACCGGGTCTTTGCACGGGCACGAAGTCGAATCGAATTTGGGAGGATGATGAAAATATGTTGTCATAGAGTTGGATTTTGGATCGATGACCACGGCGGCAAAAGATAATGCAATGCGACAGCAGGGCGTCGACTAGCTGTACGGCACGAGAGCAAAGGTGGGTGGTAGCTGGAGAAGAGAGCGTCGGCGGGCGGATGGATCGAATAGTCGAGAGATTGTCAAGAGGTTGGAACGACGCCGAAGGTATGAAGGAGCTGGGTCAATAGTCGTCACCACTGTGCTGCCTCCTCGTTTCGATCAAAAGCGCGCTCTACTCTCGAACTATACAGACAGCCACGACAGCAGTGGTAAGTTCACGAGCTCCGGAGGATGGACATCTGCAATATGATCTTGATTTTCAGCAGGATATCGTAGCAAAACAGAGGACGGATTGACAGGTTGTCGTACATGAGACGAAGGGAAGTTGAGCCTGTGAGTCCCGTGCAGGGCGCAACGGTGACAAAACGAGGATGGGGTTTCTTTGGTGATTGGCAAGAAAAGAATATGGCGTCAGTAATGGAAGAACACTCCGGAGCGTGTACCCCCTGTCAAAACCACCCTGCCGAGTTAGAATAGGCCTTGTTCATGACAGCTGACTAAGTGAAACAAGGCGCTAGCTGTTCAACGCTCAGACCCTGTAAGCTGCGGCCACCCCGACATGCTGCAGGTACCATAGTACTATCATGTAAACTCGTGTGGACAAGAAATTCCCACACTCTCACCACGATACCGTCCCCGAACTGTCTCCTCTGACCCATACATGCGGCAATGCGTCTTCTAGCCCTCGCCTCCGCAATGCTCGCTGTGAGCCGTCTGGTCTCTGCCGATCCCCAGACGGCGCAGATATACCTCCAACCCGTCGGGAGCACGACATCCCCCGTCCAGCTTGCAGAGATTACCTACGACATCACAACCTCAGATGCAAGCGCTTCTGTCACAAGCTACGAGGCACCCGAGCTGCCCGAATCTGCCTCACTGGTACGAATAGGCCTCTACGACCCGCGCGCGAAGAAATGGGCGGGGAGCACAAGCGTTGCGTCGGTAGAGAACTTTGGCAAGGGCTACTCGCCGCATTTCTTACTGTCGTTGGACGCGCCTAGAGGAGGCAAGGAGGTTGAAGGTGGGCCGAAGGAGGCCCGCGTGCTCGGGGCAAGTCTGAGGGGCGTGAGGATCGATGCGGGGCAAACGAGGGACTTTGGGCCACAGGCTGGGCTCCTGGTCACGGGCAGGGGCAAACAGCCGGAGTTGAACAGACCAGTAGTCCTCTCACCGGAGGGCAAGAAGGTCGAGAAGGAAGAGAAGACCTTCTTGCAGAAGTTCGTTCAAGTCTCCTTGTCCTCGGAAGAAGTTATGTGTGCTGACTCGTCGCAACAGGTATTGGTGGATGATTGGAATTGCCGTCTTCCTGGCCATGTCGGGAGGTGGCGGCGAAGGCAAATAGTGGATAAGAACAATATAATGTGGCCGTGGTCACGGTCATGGTCATGGCAACAATTTTTGTCGTTCAGCATACGTATTGGGACTTGGTTGGCGTTGTGATACAGCTTTTTCCTTTCTATCTATCCTCTTTTCTTTTTTTACCTCCTCTTCCCAAATGTATGGTGTTGGCACCTTATCTTTCGAAGCCATGGGCGCTAAACGTCTGGATCAGCCATTCGAGGAGTCGACTGAGCAAGTGCTCATTACTGTTGGCGAGGTGCTGTCAGTTATTGGCTCTACGTATAGACTGATGGTGCAGATAAGTAACAGTTGGTCCAAGGACGACTGAAACTGTGGCGCGCTCTTCTACAGTGTACCGTCGTGGCTTTGCCAGCCTCTCACTCTTCCTCTCTAGCTTGGAGGTCCCCTGTGCTGCACATGCCAGCTGAGAGAGCTTCCCGGCTGTGTGCCTATCTCCAATTGGCCAGCCGGCCCCCCGGCCCCACCCCTGCATATGCGCCAGCTTTGAATTACTGTCAGTACTTAGTACTGTATGCATGTAGGTACTGAGCATCATGTACCATTTTGAAAGGAAGGGGGGGGGGGGGGGTTAACGTTGGCCTGCCGCGAATTGTCCGCCATCCTAAATTTCCAGCGCGAGACCCCAAGCCTGGCTCTTAACTTTCTTGTGCCTATAATCCAGCTGCAACACTCTCTCTGTCTCTTCCTCTCGCCTTTTCTCTTCCCTTACTTCCTTCCCCTCCACACCCGCTCGCAAACCAACATTCGCACCTTCGTACAGCCTGTTTATCTACGAACCACACTACTCCATATTAAACCAACGCCATCGCAATCCTTAATCGCAATGGCTACCGAGAACGGAAGCGGCGTCACTGAGACCCCCGTCGACGCGGTCGCGGCCGCTGTTCCTGAGGAGACTCCCACCGCCGAGCCCAAGGGCAAGGGTAAGGCCGTTGCCACTGCTCAGTCTGTCCCCCAGGATGTCGCCATGGACGAGGACGATGATGAGGACGACGAGGATGAGGATGAGGTTAGTCAGCTGCACACTCTGCATCCCACCCAGGCGAGGTTCAACCTTTCACTGACATGAGATACCTCTCATCTAGGCTGCTGAGGATGGTACGTCAGCGCGAACCCGATGCGAGCTTCGGCGCGACGCGAACAGTATGCTGGTACTGACTCCTATATCTTATAGCTGACGAGGACGACGAGGATGAGGGCGCTGAGGGCGAGGGCGCCATCGATCTAAACAACGTTGTCGGCTCCCGCACCCGCGGCAAGGTCATCGACTTCGCCAAGGCCGCTGAGGAGAACCCCGCCGATGACGACGATGACGATGACGACGGCGATTTCGAGGACGAGGACGATGAGATGGGCGAGGACTAGGAGGCCGCTCCCACCGATGACGCTCCTGCTCACTCCGACGCGGTCGATTCCCCCTCCCCTTCGGCCGTCAAGCCCGCCTCCCCCTCCGCTAGCGCTACTTAGACGTGCGAATAACTTGAGCGATGGCTCACACACGACTTGTTGATGAAGACTACGAAGATACACCCCCAAAAAAGACATTGATGGCATATCTTCGGTGTGCGTGGTCCACGAGGGCCTGGAAAACATGCGGGAAGGGCCGGCAGATGGCATGGTTAGATCTGCAATATCTGGTCTGGATTCTGTTGGCCGTCTGATTTCTTCGGCATGAGGAAATTAAGGCTTTGGTACCCAAGAAAATCAATGAAGACAATAGAGAACAAATCTCTGGTTGACACTGGCCAGTTTGCAAAGGTGCATGTGACAGGTCAACACGATAGTACTTGCCGTCTTTTGACTGATTGATTGATTCTGATAATGCGCTGAGTTAGCGATGCGCGAAAGCTCTCAGTTCCATGGCGAAAGAATCACTCTTGCTGAAGCAGGTGTCTGAGTGACTGTAAATTGTTGAAACGCGCAGATGCTCTCCTTTTTTATTATTTTTTTTTTTTATCCCGAGGCCCTCATCGCTCTTTTGGTAGATTGGTGGATGGTATTGTTTTGGGAGTGTAACGCACCCGGTTTTTGGCTATTATATCACCTTGAACACAAGAACCCACCCGAAATAGTCAATACCCAGGAAATGGCTTGAAAAAGGAAACTTCTCTTGGTGAAATGGAATTGATGTTGCATTTCCCCAGTCTCGTTCGTGAAAAGCCAGAAACTAATTGGCTAAATGTAGCCAGTCGCGTTGAGACGAATCTTCTTTTCTTTCCAAACAAGATCTTACCACTCACTCTTCAGGAGGGTTGCAGCCGGTGATCGCCACCATCATTTTAGCTTATCGCCCTGGCAGCACCTCTCCAACCAAGCACTGCAGATCTACGGGCCAAATTTCTTTGAACCTTGTCCACTCCATGTTGCGCTGCAACAACACCAAACACCCCTATTCTAATTACTTTTCCTACCTCCTCACTCCCTCATCACAACATTCCCACAACTCGAGAACTCTTGCCTTGCACTTTCCAAAGGCTCTCTTGGCCACGGATGTGAGGGGTACTTTCTACGATGGCATCAAGGTATGTATACTTCTCGCACTACTCTACCTCCTCATGACGCCACTATGGCCCGCGACCGTCAAAACACTACAGCTGCGCGCGCAGAGCGATGAACATACGGCGACAACAACCGCAGCACATGGTTTATGGGCAACCTACTACCAGCAGCACCATGTAGCGCGCGCACAGCTACCTCTTCACCTTTTTCCTTTCGGACACACACACGGGGCTTGGCTAACCTACATCCTCGCCACCTTTTTTACCCCCTTCGCACAGATTCAACTCGGGCCTCCACCAGCGCGACTCCCGCTCTGCGCTCTTCGAGGGCTACACTGGATCCGGCTCTGATAGCAGGAGAGGCCTGACGCCCAGCCCGAGCAGGCTCGGCAATGGCGGCGGGTACGGATATGGGTACCCGGGGGCGACCAGCGGAACGCCGGCGAACGGGCACCTCGGTGTCGAGAACAGAGGGTTCCGGCCGGCGACGCCAAATAAGAAGTCAGTTTTGCACCTGCAAACATCCATGGGCACACACACAATACGAACCACAAGGACGAAGTAGGGGGGGGGGGGAAGCTGGAGAGAGGGACTGGTCATGCTGACTTGTCGTCGGACACCACTCACATAGGGGCCAGTACAGCGACGCGGTGCTCAACGAGCTCGAGAGCCAGAATGATAGCCAGGTCGAGGGACTCATGGGGAAAGTGAGGGTTATTAAAGATGTGTGTTATCCCTCCTCGTCCTCCTCCACCTCCTCCTTTCTTCTTTTCGCCCAATCCACGGCACCCTGTTTGACGGTTTCGAACTAACACCCCTCTCCCTCCCCTCCCGCCCTTTTCTAGATGAGCATAGCAATCGGTGACGAGATCCGAGACTCCTCCGCCCTAGCCGAGAAGATGAACGATACCTTCGACCAGACACGTCTGCGGCTGCGGGGCACGATGAACCGGATGTTGCTGATGGCCGAGCGGACGGGCGTCGGCTGGCGGGTCTGGCTTGGGTTCTTCGCTGCGGTGATCCTGCTGTTCATGTACGTGTGGCTGTTTTGAACGGGTCGAAAGCCTGCAGCTACAGAGGAGAAAGGAAGGGAGGAGGGAGAAACCCCCCGGGGGGGGAAGGGGGGGCAGGCAGTCTCTACGAAGTTTCACGAGGAAGAAGGCAACACCATATCGGGACGGGCGGTGGGCAAGCAAATGGAAAGAGTTGTTGGCTGCATCATGTTTCTCACGAAACGGAGTTGGGGCATCATATTGAGATCGGGGCCATGCGACACACGATCTTTTGACAAGAGTGGGAAAAACCTTACAAAGTTATTAGGAAGGGGGCGGGCAAGAGAGCGGGAATCACCTTTCATCAATACTTTATCCATGTTGTAATGCGTATGCGTCATATCAGCATCTATTTTCTTTTCTATGCTCCATGCTTGGACTGTATTATCATGCAATACTATTGGTGTGAATGCTGAAACGGTTGTGATTTCTGCTAATGCAAGTCATGTACCACACACATGCTTCATTCGGTGGTGGGGTATCAATGCTATGTCGTTTGTCTTCGGTCTGGGCTCTTGCTTTCTTCCTTGTTTCTTTTCTTTTCTTTTTACTCGTAGGCGCCCGAATTTCACCCTCTCCGTCGCATCTGCGGGCTGCTGTCCAGAAAACTGCTCCCATCCCCCGACAGGAGACCACTAATGTCGACATCACTTTGTGCAAGGCTGGCCCGGTTGCTGCTGCGCATGCTGCTCCTCGGCATGCTCCTCCGCAGCCGAGACCCATGCGGCCGGACGCCGACTGAACTTCGGCCGGCGAAGCTGATGTCCCGCGTCCCGTCCTCGCTCACCTCCTCGTCCGAGTCGGTGTGCTCGTACAGATCGTCGCCGTCGCCGCCCTCGGGTACGCCCTCGTCCAGATCAGCATCCATATCCATGTCCATGGCCATACTAATGTCCGCATTCATGTCAGGCGCGTCCTGCTGAGCGGGCTCGAGGTCGTCCTCCTCCAGCATCTGCTCTCGGTCGCCCGAACCGGCGAAGAAGTCGCTCGTGTCGTAGTCCTGCTCGTGTCCCCGTGCTATCATCTCCCTCACCCGATCCTCAGCGGCCCGCAGGTCCCGCACCTCCTCTTCCTGCGCAGGGCTGAGCGACACCGCGCCCGCGTGGTCCTCGCCCTCGCTGCCCTCCACCGTCTCCTCCTCGTCCTCGTCCCCTTCCTCACCTTCCACGCTGTCCTCCCCATCGAACCCAAAGCCTTCTCCCTCGGGAATGTCTTCGTCTAGATCCTGCTCGCCCTCCCCGTCTTCCAACATCTGCTCGTCCTCCCCCAGTCCCGCCTCCGCCATTTGCGCCTGCATCTGCGCCTCGCGACGCATGGCCTCTGCATGCTCCTCCGCCTCGCGCCGTTCTTCGCGCATCTGGAACAGTGTCTTTGGCACCCCTGGCGGTTTCAGCCACCCGCTGCCGTAGTTGGAGACGTTCGCACGGCGCCGCTCCATCAGTGCCTCATCATGCCTCAGTCGCGCGAGGGCTGTACGCTCGACCATGGCCCGCCGGTGATCGCGCTCGCGAGGATTGAGCTGCTGCAGCGCTGCATTGTTATTGTTATTGTTGGTATTCTCGTGCGGGGCGGATGGGCTGTGGCTGTTGTTGTTGTTGTTGCTGCTGCTAGTGCTATTGATGAGAAGGTGGTGTGGGACGCTCGCCGGCGCGTGACGCGAGAGGTACCAGATGTCGTGAGGCTGGATAAGTTATGTTAGAATGTCATGAAAGTTCTTAAAGAGCCGAATTTCGGGAGGCAGGAGGAGGTCCTTACGTCGCGCGGGGTGAGATCTGGCAGCGTAAACATGGACGCAGAGAACATCTTGTTCAGCCGCTGCCGCCATGCAGGGGGCGCTGTTCGATTGCGAAGACCGGTGTGAGGATGACACTTCTTGGTGGCAGGCTGGGTTCACGATGTAGACCCTCTCGATATTGTAGGATCCTACGTCGTGTCGTGTGGTCGGGTGCTGATCACTGCCCACCCCTCAAATGATTTTTGTTGCCAGAGGAGGACATCATCAACCTACCATCGCGGCTGCCACGCGAGGTCCAGGGACCTTGGTACAGAGTACCTCGTCCTCCTCATGGGGGCGCAAGGGACCCCTGCTCCCCGCATGCGGCTTGCCGTGTGGCCCGTGCATCTTGGGGCAGTACGGGAATACAACAATACAAGATACATCTGCTCACGTCTCAAGAATCGACACGTCTTGGATGCTTGCAGCCTTGGCACCTCGCCAATCCTGCCCGTGTAGAGGCAAAGATGGAAAGCTAGAAGAGGGGAAGAGGGGTTGTGGCGAGGTGACTTGTGGTCACACGGGTGCTCGCCTTGAACAACGATTGGAGATCGGCCAAATTAAAAGCAGGCAGTAAAAAGCATGCGAAACGAGATACAACAGCTGTTTTTGAGTGGAAACGGGCGGCATGCCTTCTGGTACCAAGGTTGTATGTAGGAAAGTCGCATTCGCGTTGAGAAACGTAAGGACAGTCCCACTAGGTAACCAACGCCCCAACTCCCCTCCCATCTCTAAACAGTGAAAAGAACACACTTTCTTAAGGCGATTCGAATTTACATGATGCCTTGGGTGTGACTTCGAGAAAGATATGTCAAGTCTGTGAGGTTGAGACGGCACTATTACAACGCTGGCTTGGGTTGAGAATCTCGGCTTGCGGGTTGCGCTGCATGAAATCAATCGGATTCTTGGCTAGATCTGTGTAGCACTACCATAGCAGTGTGAGGACCCGCCTGGCGAGTGAGAACCAATCCCAGATCAAGTACCATAGTACTAGCCAGTACGTGGTGGTTATTAGATGGCCAGACATGGGTGACGAGAATCTCTGGTGGGTGAGCCAAGATTTTGTCGTACTACGTATGGCGAGAGGACCAAACCATGATGGTGTGTCTTGCTCCCAGCACCGAGGAAAGACGATGGTCATGTTCTTCTCTTCCTATTCGGGCCGAAAAAAAAAAAAAAGTGCTTTGTCCTTGTCCTCTCTGGGCGAGCAAACACAATTCCAAAACCACGGGCAATATTCTGCCGAGACCAAAGCCATTCCACGCTTCTTCAGTAGCGACGGGAGTTCAAGTCGCTAGTGCCAGGATTGTCAAGTCGGCCACGACGCCCGAATGAGAATGAATCAGGGGATTCAGAACAGGGAGTTGAGTTTTGATAGGGTAACTGCAATAGCTCTGAATGGTGGTTGAGAATGCTGACCAGACTGTGGATCATTTACTATTCTGACTTGTTGGGCGACCCGCACGCTGGAGAAGAGGATACACAGGAATATGGGCGCCAAGATTTGACATAGGCCCGGACCACGAGGTCTGGGTCCATCAACCATGCTCGGAAGAAATCGGCTGGGGTTTGCTCGCCGAAATTTCAGCATTCTATACCAACCTCCGCTCGCCAAAAGAGAAGAGGCACATCGGCCAGATGATGAGGTGGCCCAAGCGATCTCGGCCTAAACGCAAGCAACGTTGGCGAAATACGGCAAGCCGGCAGCCATAGGCCCCGGCGTCGCAAGCAGCAGTGTCTCCACAAGCAATGCGACGAGGCGTTATGCGCCTGGGTCATATGAACGTCAATGCTGCAGAGAGAAGCGCAGGACCGTTTCCGCGGGGTCCAAGAGGCAAAAGGCAAGCGTGAGGTGAATCCCCAGCTGTCTCGCACCAATCACCCGCGCTGGGCAGGCTGCTCACGTAAGGCGCACAGGAGGGACAATGCGTCGTGAATGGCCGTTTCTCGGCCTCCTGATCGACAAGCATGCAGAGCCAGGTTGTAACGTCATCGACAATTTGTACAGGGTCGTGATAAACATCGGGATCTCGGGGTTGCGAACTGGTCTCTATCTAGAACAGTGAGAGTTGCGGAGAGCACGTGGGGTTTGAGAGAGGCGACATCACATCAGAAAGCGAGGCGAGGCTAGAATGTGGTGCGACTTGGTTGGCTCAAGATAAGAAGCTCTCCAAGAACGGCGGCACCAGTGATTGGCCCCTCGCCGCATTCTCGCTGACAATTTCTCTGACATCAACGTACTCAGATGGATGACGGTCACGAGGGCGCGCAGGGGTTTGCATGTGCCAGGCCAGCCGCACCCCTCGCCCATGTCGCGCCTCTCAGTACTATGGCTCAAGACCTGCAAACTGCCGCGCACATCTTTTTTTTCTTGCATGCGTCCAATTCTGTAGGCTGATTGGCTCATGCTCTTTGGACGCATTCAGCCGGGTTCAGGGTCAGGATTGGTTTGAACAGCAGATTGTCAAGAGCTCTACGTGGCGTTAACCATAGAGCAGAATTAGCCATGTATCGTTTTTATTTTTTTCTTATTATCAAAAGCATTCATCACCGGCGACTTCCGAGGCTGCGAATTGATCCGGAGAACTCCTGTCTCGTGGTGAGGAAGACCCAGTGTGAGACTTTGTTTTTGAGAGCATTGCAAATGCGCTGGCGAATATTTTCTCCAGCGATATCGGCCTTGGAAACAAGCGGCGGGTGATTGGCTTAGGGGAGGAGCTCTGGAGCTTGACGTGACTCCTCTTTTTCTATCCCCTGCAAGGTGTTTGTGTAATATGCAGGATCCTTACTAGTGTCACAAGCTAGTTTGTGGGGGGATGTCGGGGTCGCCTGTAACCACAAAGAAGGATCACAGCATTCCTTCAGTAAGATGATACCGAACATAGCGAGCACACAATTCGAATAATTATATCTGAAATCGTGGAGGTAAGCCAGCAGCTGTTGAGGATGATGCTTTGGTTGGAGGGCTCCTCCAAAAAGCGGCGTATGGGAGAAACGGAGCGTACAACGAACCAATAACCAAGAAGAAAGACCAGAGTTTGGGTACACGGTACATAGGTACCGAGGTTGTTGGATTCTGAGACCCTGGAAAAAAAAAACAACTGGGTTGCATTTAAACTTGCAGCTGTGTGCCAATGTGGTCTTGATTGGCTTTTGCTACCATGTAGATGTCAGATCTCGCAGTCTACCAAAACGCCGGTTCTTTGTGGTGTGCGGTAGAGCCCACGCAGTGGACAAATGGATGGAAACGGAACAATTCAAGTATGGAAAATAAATTTGCGCAGAATGTAAGCAGAGGTTGGGGAAATCGTGGGGATTAATAAGTGTTGTGGAAGCCAGTATATATCACTGGGCGAACCTTCTGTTATTGGAGGCTTTTTGAGGGGATGCAGTCAGAAAGGAACTTTCCTCCTCCTCCTTCTCTCGCCCTTCTCTGTCTCGACTGTAGCTGTAGTCTGTGGGGCAGGACTGCCTGTGCTCTCAAACCCCCACCTTCCAACCCCTGCAACTGGCATACCCTAGTAGCTGCACTACGTAGCCGCCTCTCTTTCACTCCCCAGCGTTGCCCCTCTAGGCTCCGATCGGTCTCCTCCCCTCCATAGCCTTCCCTGTCCCTACCAATCTGCTTGCTCTGAATTTAATCGCATATTCACCTGGAACGGAAGGCTTGGCTAGTGTGAGGTAGAAAACTTGCCCTGCCCTCCTTGCACCAACTTTCTTCTCTCTCCTTCCCTCCACAAACAGCCCATCTCTCCCTCCCCCTTGAGTTGTAAACAACAGCTCTGCACACGTACCCTCTCTGTGAACAAGCCTCCATCCCCTTCCTCTTCGCCTGCGAATCTACACATCAGTAAGTGATCAATCAATCCTCTTGTCCCAACCATGCCCTCTCGCATCTTCTGCCACATCGAGGAGTCCAAGAGTCAAGTCAAACCACGACCTTCTACACTACGCTTTCACCGTCAACGTCCTCCGAATTCAAACGGACAATGCTATGCACAGCGACAGAAATTGGCCACGGATCGCACTTGCCCGCTTGAAACAATCTCTAGACAGACAAGACTGTAGCTGCGCCTTCAGCAGAGCGACAGTTTTCACACCTCTCCTCGGACATGCCGCATCAATCACACACTGCCCCACGTTTTGCTGTGCTTGGGGTTGCTTTCCAACATTGTCAGGCACGGCTTAAACTTGGTCCATTAGTCACACAACTTCCTGTCTCCGACAATCCCAATCCAGACTTGACCTACATCAGCTACATCAGCCATGCAGGGTGAGAAAGAGGGGCAGAGAAAGCAAGGAAGAAAAAAACCCACCGAGAAAACAAAAAGAAAGGAAGGAAAGCTCATCAGGAAGACGGGACTGTCCTCCTTCACTTTTGATGAAGTTATACTGGTGCGCACTTAGAGGCCTGCAAGCTTGGGCCCATGGGTGACCTCATTGGTGCATGGGCCTATCTCTCAGCCCACGCGACCATAATGTGCGTGAAGGTGCGAATCGAATGATCGGCTTATTTCTCCGCTTGATGCGGCCAACGAATTTCGAGGGATATGGAACCTGAGCCGCTTATCTCGTCCTGGCTGGGGTGCATTGCCATGTCACCAAGATGGCACGCACCAACCTTCCTAGGAGGAAAAGGGTGGTGCCAGTACGGACCTCTCTCCTAGAAGGTAACCTGCCACTGACCGGCTGCACCCACACCATCCAGGAGAACACTTCCGATTTGTGCGAGGATCTTCTCGTCACGAGAGTGGGCCCCAATTTGAGCTCAAATCATGGAACTATTGCAGCTTTTCGGTCACGCGTGGGCAGCATTTTATGGACGCTCCCATACCCGTCGCCAACGCATCTCCCAGGACAAACAGAAAAAGCGACCACCGCAGTTTCAGGGACCTACTCTCCAAACTATATCTCAGGCGCCATTCAATGACCGACCATCCAGGGAAAGCGAATTGTGTGATCCGACTTGTGACTTTGACTCTGACTTCTCGATGATACCTCTCGGATTGGCATAATCCCAAGACTGACCTGACTGGTGATTAACTAACAGTTTGCTCTGATAGACCTGTTCACTAGGGCAGTGTTGCTGCTCTGCAATCGACGGCAAGCTTGTCCCTGCCTGATTGGGACAGCTTTGAATCCTACGACGGGTACGCAAAACCGACCACTCAACTATCTCGGAGTGGTGGCCTAGCATGGGCTTGGCTAGTGATTTCGACGATCGACAAGTACATTTGCAGGCTGAGTTGGAGGCGTACAAGCCTTTTGAGTACCAGCAAGATGGCAATGGCTCATGGGCCGGTGCCCTACCGGTGAAGCAGTGAGTCAGCCTTTTGAGAGTTGCTTCCCTACCAACCATCACTAACAGATTTGTCTAGGGGACTCTACGACCCTTCTTTGGAAAAGGATGCGTGCGGTGTCGGTTTTGCCTGGTATGTTATTGCCTGTGCTCATATGCGACGTGCCTTAGCTAACACAACACAGCAACATCAAGGGCAAGCCAAGCCACAAGATTGTCAGCGATGGTAAGCTTCAGCTCTTCGTGGAGCCATTTATAGCAGCAATCAAGCTAACACTCGCAAGCTCGTAATCTGCTCTGCAACATGACCCACCGAGGTGCTGTGGGCTCTGATGCACGAGATGGTGATGGTGCTGGTGTCATGACCTCAATCCCATTCAAGTTCTTCATCAAGAATTTCGAGCGTGATGTCGGCATCAAGCTTCCGCCTCCTGGCCAGTACGCCGTAGGCAACTTGTTCTTCAATCCCGATCCAGAGACCCTGCAGGAGCAGAAGCGGCAGTTGGAAGATATTGCCGAGTCACTGGGCCTGCGAGTTTTGGGGTGGCGAGAGCCTCCTGTGGATTCATCTCTGCTCGGACCTGCCGCCCTCAGCCGGCAGCCTACTATTCTGCAACCCTTCGTTGTTCTCGCGTCTGCTTATGGCGCCGGAAATGCGCCGGAGCCGGCCGATCTCGAGAAGTTCGACGAGCGTCATTTTGAGAGACAGCTCTACGTCCTCCGGAAGCGGTCCACGCACACCATTGGCCTGCACAACTGGTTCTACATCTGCTCCCTATCCAACAAGAACATTGTGTACAAGGGTCAGTTGGCACCTGTCCAGGTCTACCAGTATTACCATGACCTGGTGAATGCCGACTACGAGGCGCACTTCGCTCTGGTGCACTCACGATTCTCCACCAATACATTTCCTTCTTGGGACCGAGCGCAGCCTTTGCGGTGGGCTGCTCACAACGGTAAGTTCATAGAGGAAATTTTCTACCCAGTCACACAATTTTGCTGAAACAAAGGCAGGTGAAATCAACACCCTCCGTGGCAACAAGAACTGGATGAGGGCTCGTGAGGGTGTGATGCAGTCGGACATTTTTGCGGATGAGTTGGAGATGCTGTATCCTATTGTAGAGGACGGTGGCTCAGACTCCGCTGCTTTCGATAATGTCCTCGAGCTCCTCACCATTAATGGTGTGCTCTCTCTGCCAGAGGCTGTCATGCTAATGGTCCCCGAGGCATGGCAGGGTAATACCTCCATGGACCCCAAGAAGGCCGCTTTCTACGAGTGGGCCGCTTGCCAGATGGAGCCATGGGATGGCCCTGCTCTGTTCACCTTTGCTGATGGCCGTTTCTGCGGCGCCAATCTTGACCGAAATGGTCTGAGACCCTGCCGATACTATGTCATGGATGATGATCGTATCATCTGTGCCTCCGAGGTTGGCACTATCCACGTAGAGCCCGAGCGTGTCATCCAGAAGGGCCGTCTGCAGCCGGGTCGCATGCTGCTGGTCGACACAAAGGCCGGTCGCATCATTGATGATCGTGAGCTGAAAGAGGCCGTATCCAGCCGACAAGACTTCCGCTCTTGGCTCGACAGCGAACTCATCTCTATGCCCACGGTCCTCAATACGATGTCGGCCGATAAGAGTCTCGAGCTGGCTGCCAAGCCTGACACTCTTCCGCTGCAGGAAGATCCTCTCCTTCTCGCCTTTGGCTACACCTTTGAGCAGGTCTCCCTGCTACTGGCTCCTATGGCCTCTGACGAGAAGGAGGCTCTCGGCTCCATGGGTAACGATGCCCCTCTCGCATGCCTGTCCCCGGCTCCGCGGATGCTGTACGAGTACTTCCGACAGCTGTTTGCTCAGGTCACCAACCCTCCCATCGATCCTATCAGAGAGTCTATTGTCATGTCTCTGGAATGCTACGTTGGCCCTCAAGGAAACCTGTTGGAGATGGACTCTTCGCAGTGCGGTCGTTTGCTCCTGCCGAGCCCCATCCTGTCAATCCCCGAGTTCAACGCGCTGAGGAACTTGTCGAAGATCCACCCTGAGTGGACAGTCAAGGTCATTGATCTCACCTTCCCCAAGCAGGACGGCGTTGAGGGCTATGTTCGACACCTCGACTTCATCTGCAACGAAGCCACGGCCGCGATTGAGGCGAAAGATCGGATCATTATCCTCTCGGACCGCAACACCTCGGCCGATCGTGTTGCCGTCTCAGCTCTTTTGGCTTCTGGCATGGTTCACCACCACCTGATCAGCAACAAGTGGCGATCAATGGCTGCTATTGTCCTCGAGACTGCTGAGGCTCGCGAGGTCCACCACATGTGTGTCCTCCTCGGCTATGGTGCTGATGCGGTCAACCCTTACCTGGCCATGGAGTGTATCCTGAAGCTGAACCGGGAGAAGCTCATCAAGAAGAACTTGTCCGATGAGGCCCTCATTCAGAACTACAAGCACTCCTGTGACGGTGGTATTCTGAAGGTGATGAGTAAGATGGGCATTTCCACGTTGGCTAGTTACAAGGGCGCGCAGATCTTCGAGGCTCTGGGTGTGGACGATACCGTTGTCGAACGGTGTTTCAGAGGCACCACGACCCGTATCAAGGGTATCACCTTCGATCTTATTGCCGAGGACGCCTTCAGGCTTCATGAGCGTGGCTTCCCCTCTCGCTACACCGTTGGAGTCCCCGGCCTACCCGAGTCCGGCGAGTACCACTGGCGAGACGGTGGTGAGGCTCACATCAACGACCCTACCTCCATCGCCAACATCCAAGACGCTGTTCGCAACAAGAATGATAAGTCGTACGAGACGTATTCCAGATCCGAGTACGAGCAGATCAAGAAATGCACGCTCAGAGGCATGCTGGACTTCGACTTCGACGAGTCCAAGTCAATCCCGATCGACCAGGTCGAGCCCTGGACCGAGATCGTCCGGCGTTTCTGCACAGGTGCCATGTCCTATGGCTCCATCTCCATGGAGTCTCATTCTACTCTTGCCGTTGCGATGAATCGCCTTGGCGGAAAATCCAACACCGGCGAGGGTGGTGAGGATCCTGAGCGTTCCCAGGTCGACGAGAACGGAGACACTCGACGATCCGCAATTAAACAAGTGGCTAGCGGAAGATTCGGTGTTACTTCTGCGTATTTGTGCGATTCTGACGAGCTCCAGATCAAGATGGCCCAGGGCGCCAAACCCGGTGAAGGAGGCGAGCTGCCCGGTCACAAGGTCAGCAAGAGTATTGCTCGTACACGTCACTCAACACCAGGTGTCGGTCTGATTTCTCCACCGCCTCACCACGACATCTACTCCATCGAGGATCTGAAGCAGCTCATCTATGACCTCAAGTGCTCCAGCCCACGATCTCGTGTCTCCGTCAAGCTTGTCTCCGAGGCTGGTGTTGGCATCGTCGCTGCTGGTGTCGCCAAGGCTAAGGCCGATCACATTCTCATCTCTGGCCATGATGGTGGTACCGGTGCCTCTCGTTGGACTGGTATCAAGTACGCTGGTCTGCCCTGGGAGCTGGGTCTTGCCGAGACTCATCAGACTCTCGTCCTGAATGATCTCCGTGGCCGTGTCGTTGTTCAGACAGACGGTCAGCTCAGAACAGGAAGGGACGTTGCAGTAGCGTGCTTGCTAGGCGCTGAGGAATGGGGTTTTGCTACCACTCCTCTGATCGCAATGGGCTGTATCATGATGCGGAAGTGCCACTTGAACTGTAAGTCTTATTCCTATCTATCCGGTATTCCGTCGCTAATTCGATATAGCCTGCCCCGTGGGAATCGCCACCCAAGACCCTGTTCTGCGTGCCAAGTTCAAGGGAACTCCCGAGGAGGTCGTCAACTTCTTCTACTATGTTGCCAACGAGCTGCGGGCGATCATGGCGCAGCTTGGCTTCAGAACTGTCAACGAGATGGTTGGTCGTGTGGAGTGTCTCAAGGTCCGAGACGACCTCAGGACCCGCAAGACGGAGAACATTGACCTGTCTCTCCTGCTCACCCCCGCCCACAAGATGCGTACCGGTGTGGCCACATTCAACGTTCGCAAGCAAGACCACCGCCTCTATGTCCGCCTAGACAACAAGCTCATCTCCGAGGCGGAGCTCACGCTGGACAAGGGTTTGCCGAGCCGTATCGAGTGTGATATCATCAACACGGATCGTGCTATGGGTACATCTCTCTCTTACCAGATCTCGAAGCGTTACGGAGAGGCTGGTCTTCCGGCCGACACTGTTCACGTCTCCATCAAGGGATCTGCGGGTCAATCATTCGGCGCATTTTTGGCTCCTGGCGTGACACTTGAGCTGGAGGGCGATGCCAACGACTATGTCGGCAAGGGTCTCAGCGGTGGCAGGGTCATCATCTATCCTCCCCGCTCCGCCGTATTCAAGGCTGAGGAGAACATCCTCGTCGGCAACGTCTGTCTCTACGGTGCCACGGCTGGCCACTGTTACTTCCGTGGTGTTGCCGCCGAGCGTTTCGCCGTCCGGAACTCGGGAGCCCATGCCGTCGTCGAAGGTGTCGGCGACCACGGCTGCGAGTACATGACCGGAGGTCGTATCATCATTCTTGGTAGCACGGGCCGAAACTTCGCCGCAGGCATGTCGGGTGGTATCGCGTACGTCCTTGACAAGGACCACGACTTCATGTCTAAGCTCAATACCGAAATGGTGGAGGCTTGCAGCATTGATGACCCCCAGGAGATTGCCTTTGTCCGTGGCATGATTGAGGATCACCACCATTACACGGGCTCCGAGCTGGCTGCCCGCATTCTGGTTGACTTCAACCGCATTCTGCCTCGTTTTGTCAAGGTTCTACCTGTTGACTATAAGCGAGTCCTCCAGGAGGAGGCTGCCAAGGCTGCCGAGGCCAAGAAGGCTGAGCTCAACCTGCCTATTCTCCCGAAGAAGGAGGACAAGAAGAAGGCTTCCCCGCTCCAGGACATGGAGGAGGCAATGGGCGACGAGAAGGCTGAGAAGCGGAGAAAAGCGCTCGTCCTCGACAAGACCAAGGGCTTCATGAAGTACCACCGGCGTGCCGAGAAGTACCGTGATGCCAAGACGCGTGTCAAGGATTGGGCCGAGCTCTCCTCCCGACTGGACGAGGATGAGCTGAAGTATCAGTCCGCTCGCTGCATGGACTGCGGTGTCCCCTTCTGCCAGTCTGATACTGGCTGTCCCATCTCGAACATCATTCCCAAGTGGAACGAACTGGTCTTCCAAAACCAGTGGCAGGATGCTCTCAACCGTCTGCTCATGACCAACAACTTCCCCGAGTTCACTGGTCGTGTCTGCCCCGCCCCTTGCGAGGGAGCCTGCGTCCTGGGCATCAACGAGGACCCTGTCGGCATCAAGTCCATCGAGTGCGCCATTATTGACAGGGGCTTTGAGATGGGCTGGATGGTCCCGCGCCCTCCCAAGGTCCGCACTGGCAAGAAGGTCGCTATCATCGGCTCTGGACCTGCCGGCCTGGCAGCCGCCGACCAGCTCAACAGGGCTGGACACCTCGTCACGCTGTATGAGCGTAACGACCGCCTGGGAGGTCTGCTCATGTATGGTATTCCAAACATGAAGCTCGACAAGCGCGTTGTCAAGCGTCGAACCGACTTCATGGCCGAGGAGGGTATCGTGTTCAAGACCGGTGTTGCCATTGGCGAGGATATCACGATTCACGACCTCAAAGCTCAGAACGACGCTGTCATCGTCGCCACCGGAGCCACGGTCGCGCGAGATCTCCCCATCGAGGGCCGCAACCTCGAGGGTATCCACTTTGCCATGGAGTTCCTCCACAAGAACACCAAGTCCTTGCTGGACTCTGAGCTTCAGGATGGCACTTATCTCTCTGCCAAGGACAAGCACGTCGTTGTCATTGGTGGTGGTGACACCGGTAATGACTGTATCGGTACCTCCGTCCGTCACGGGGCGAAATCCGTTGTCAACTTCGAGCTGCTCCCGCAGCCGCCCGAGACCCGTGCCCGTGACAACCCTTGGCCACAGTGGCCTCGCATCTACCGCGTGGACTACGGTCATACAGAGGTGCGACAGCACACTGGCAAGGATCCACGTGAGTACAACATCAAGTCGGCGCGCTTTGTCGACGATGGTAATGGGCGTGTCAAGGGCATCGAGACGATGCGCGTCGAGTGGGTCAAGAATGAGCAGGGCGGCTGGGTCGTCCAGGACAAGGAGGGCTCCGAGGAGTTCTTCCCTGCCGACATGGTCCTGCTCTCCATGGGCTTCTTGGGACCCGAGCAGCGCGTGTTCGCCGACGCCATCGAGCTTGATCAGAGGAAGAACATCAAGACACCTCAGGGCAAATACCACACCAACATCCCAGGTGTGTTTGCGGCCGGTGATTGCCGTCGCGGACAGTCGTTGATTGTCTGGTGAGTACAACAACTTTCTCCCGTTGGCATAATAACATGTATGTAGAACAGCTGCTAAAATTTGTGATCAGGGGTATCAACGAAGGTCGCCAGGCCGCTCGCGAGGTCGACCTGTACCTGGAGCACAGCACCAACCTGCCTGTGACGGGTGGTATTGTCCGACGCAGCGCCCAGGAGGTTATGCACACTATCACCCCTGTGGCTGCCTCCTAAACCAGGTACCCATATTTTTACGATTGTACGATTCTCTTCCTGCATGCATGGTGCTTTCTTTGATCGGGCCATTTCACATCAAGGCGGAGTGCGGGGCAAAAGAGAAAAGAAAGGGGATAAAAAAGATTAAGGCCAATTTCGGACGGGTTGACACAGCAGGCATACCATGATCAAGAAGAATGGGAGCGGAAACTTTTTGACTTCGTTTCTTTCGTTTTGATACCTAAAAATTCTGTGGGAAACGTGTGCGCGGATCGGCCTTCTGTCGTGGTTTTTCTTTCCTTTTTTTTATTTATATAATTCAAGAAATTGCTTTCCACTTGCTTGTTTTCAGCTCTTCTCTTTTTATCTCATGCGTGTACTTGTATTTGTTATTTAACAGTCTTAGGTTGAAAAAAAAAAAATATTTGAAATATCAATTAAGTAGATCAAGATGGCTGCCTCGATGCAGAGGCCGACGACATATATGCTCAGGCTGTGTATTTTCACTGTGACTTGTAGAAACGACATTGATACTCTGGAAAAAATTTTAAACGTTTTTTTAGAGAAGTTGCAGTATATCCTCCCTCCTATGCAAACTTTTGTGCTTATTGAGGCTCAAGCGAGCAACTGTTACCCAGTATGTCGCATTACACTGTCCGAGTCTGCGAAACTTGGGGAGGTACAGGCCATGACATGAAGAACTGAGTACTGTGTACATGTTCCTGAGTACACATGCTGCTGCAGCATACTAGTTGTATACTGTACTATAGTACGAAACGATAGTATAGTGGCTGCATGCCAAAGAGTGTGCCACAGTACATAGTACAACCGTGTGCAATAGTGCACGTGGCAAGGTAAGGCTGTCTGATAGGTCAAGGGAAGGTCCCCACACTATCATGCAGACATACAGGGTCCTCCCCGGCTATAAGTTGCTGGGATGGCGGGACAGCTTTTCTTTAGGTAACATCATCGATTCGCCAATGCGACTTCTTTCTTCAAGGTTGGAACTTGGAACTCTTCCTTTTCCTTGAGCTCCCTTGCTTCAGATTAATTTGTGACAATTCATATTATACTCCAATTGGATAGACATTACGCTGAGCTGGTTTAACCGCTTCTCTGCGGCCTATACTACCTATTCCTCCATCTCGTTATCATAACAGACGCTCGAGTGCAGGCACGGACGGCACAGCTCGTCACAGGTTGTCCAAGATGCGCTTCGGCAAGACCCTCTCGTCGTCCGAGTACGACCCATGGAAGGACAAGTACCTCGACTACGCCAAGTTGAAGAGCATGCTGCGCGAGGATGACTACGGCATGGAGGACGGCTCGTGGACCGAGGACGACGAGACTAGGTTCAGCGACGAGATCTTCAACGTCCAGCTCGGCAAGGTCACCGAATTCCACGAGGCCAAGTTCCGCGAGCTCCGCGAGCGCACCGATGCTGCCTTCGAGAAGCTCAAGGGCCTGCCCACGCCCTCTCCCACGAGTGGGCAGGGCAGCAGCGGCGAGCAGGGGGAGGAAGAGACCGCCGCGGCGCCCCGCAGCGACGACACGACACACGCGCTGAAGGAGCTCGAGGCAGAGCTGGACAGGATCACGAATCATGTCAATGAGCTGAAGAGGTATAGTAGCCTGAACTATACAGGCTTCTTGAAGATTGTCAAGAAGCATGATCGCAAGCGGGGACTGCGCTACAAGATGCGCCCCCTGATGATGAAGAGCCTGTCGGATCGGCCGTTCAACTCGGAGCAGGCGTATGCGCCCATGATACACAGGCTGTCGCTGGCATACTTCACCGTCAAGCAGCAGCTGGAGGAGGGCATCAGTGATGAGCTGTTGGCCGACCTCGAGGGATCCAAGGGCTTGCAAGAGACGAAGAATGGAGAGAAGTACTCGGCACACAAGTGTAAGCAGTTTTGTGACGAATTACCTGTGGCCCACTAAGCTGACGGTTCTATAGTCTGGGTACACCCTGATAACCTGCTCGAGGTCAAAACTTTCATTTTGCGCCGCCTGCCGAACCTGGTGTACAGCGATTCATCGTCGAAGGAGGTCGACAGCAGCGAAGACCCTAGTTTGACCTCGCTCTACTTCGACAACAATAAATTTGACCTCTACAACAAGAAGCTGAAACGAGACGCGGATGCATCGTCACTGCGGCTGAGATGGTACGGCTCATTGAGCTCGTCGCCACAGATCTTCCTTGAGCAGAAGATCGTTCACGAGAATGGCAGCAGTGAAGAGAAGAAGTTCACTATCAAAGCCAAGTACATCAAGCAGTTTATCGACGGCGAGTACCACATGGAAAAGTCCATTTCGAAGATGGAGGCACAGGGCCACAGCGCCGAGGAGGTCGCCAAGTTCAAGTCCACTGTGGATGGGATTCAGGAGTTCATCAAGGAGCGCAAGCTGGAGCCAGTGATACGAGCGAACTATAAGCGTACGGCGTTCCAAAAGCCTGCCGATGATCGTGTTCGCATCTCCATAGATACGGATCTGGGTTTCGTGCGAGAAGATACACTGGATCCGCGGCGGCCATGCCGTGACCCGAACGAGTGGCATCGGCTGGACATCGATAACAGAAACTTGGGCTACCCTTTCAGCGAGATCAACCAGAGTGAGGTGTCTAGATTCCCCTACGCCCTCTTAGAGATCAAGCTGAAGGAGCACCCCAGCCGCAAGAGGCCAGAGTGGATCGAGGATCTGATGACATCCCACCTGGTCTACCCGGCACAACGCTTTTCGAAATTCGCCCACGGCATCTCTGTGCTCTTCGACGATTATGTCAACGCTCTGCCTTTCTGGCTTAGCGACCTGGACAAGGACATCCACAGGGAACCTCTGGATGCTTTCGAGGAGGAGGAGCAGAAGAAGGCGAGGCGGGCCGCAGACGAAGAGGTTGTGGGAAGTCTTCTTGGCAACAAGATTGGCTCGTTTGTGCCGTCTAAGAGCTCGCCTGTGAGCAAGTCATATCTGGCCGAGCGTGTGGCAACAGAGAATGCAGCCGCAGCGCTGTCACCGTCCCTGCCGGCCGAGTCCGCTACGAGGCAGAATGGCGAGCTTTCTGAGGAACGAGAGACCGGGCAACAACAGCAGAGAAGCTATGGCACCATCATGCCCAGCTTCTCCATCTTAACGCGCTATGCGCGGTTCCAACAGCGCCGGGAGAGCCGCGTCATGCCCGAGGGCGTCGTCGAGCCCGAGGTGTGGATAAAAAACCAGGGCGAGCTCAAGGTCGAGCCCAAGGTTTGGCTGGCCAACGAGCGCACCTTTATGAAGTGGCAACACATCTGCGTGCTCCTCGGCGGCCTCTCCGTCGCCCTTTACACAGCTGCTGGCGCCGGAACAGACCTGCTCCCTCTGGCCATGGGCATCGTGTATCTGGCTATTGCTGCTTTTGCAGGCATATGGGGCTATGTGATGCACAAGCAGCGCCGGGACATGATCATTGAGCGCAGCGGGCGTGATTTTGACAACCTCGCCGGCCCAATGATCGTGAGTGTTGCTCTGGTCGTGTCGCTGGTGCTGAATTTCATCTTCCAGGTAAGTGCTTCGCTGTTCTATCCTTCTCTGACTGTGTGTGTGTGTGTGTGTGTGTGTGTGTGCCTTCCACTGACCCTTGTTTCCACACATAGTACCGCGCCGCTGTCAAGAAGCTGGATGCCGCCGAGGCTCTTACTGGTCTCAATGCTAGCATCATCACGGACGAGCTACTGAGATGACGGAGAAGTCTAACGGATTAAAGGGGGTTTGGCGTCTCAAGGTCTATGTGGCATTGGCTGGGGGCTCCCCTCCATTACGTCTTGCATTTTTTGAGCCAACGTTTGCTCACACTGGAAGCGCTTTTGTATGCTCAATGGTAGCATTGGATTCGGCGTGTGGTTTATTTGAGTGTAGCTTTTACCAATAGATTGTATCAACTGAGCGAGCCCTGAAGCTTAGAGCGGAATCCACATTTTTTTTATAAAAAAACCCCCCCCCAAAAAACCCAAAAAAACCTTCCCATAGTCCTCAACTGCCCTTCCAAAGGGTTGGGGGGAGGGGGGAGGGTAAAAAAAAGGCATTTTGCCATGTTGATACGAAATTTTCCAAACTTTAGGGCCTACATGCGTCGTGTTGTTGCCAGATTAGACTTGAACAAGGCACGTATACGCTTCTCGCAGATGCCAGGATTTCATTCATTGTCTGTAGTGTGTCTCTTCCGCATTAATCTTTGTCAGAGATCCCCTCTAGCAGATGTCTGCCTCTCCCATTGAGCGTCTCCAATAGTCTATATCTCCCGAAACAAAATGCTGCAGCCACAATCAGTCTTTGGCTTCAAAAGCCGAGTCAAGGTCCCTCAAGGACGTGCACCAGCGCCCATCTCCAGCGGATTAAATTCGCACGGAGACACACAAACCCAGCTCTAGGCTGGTCGTCCAAAGGGTCTGATGCCCAATTCGACTCAGGACGATTTAAAGTGACCCCCAACGTTGATTCGTGATGTCTCACTCATGAAAATTCGACCATCACTTTTCCCTAGCTTTTAAGCACCCTAGACTATGTTTTACTTTCTCTCTTTTGGTCTCTTCTCTTTCTCTCTCCTTCTTCTGTCCTCGCTCTATAAACCTAGACCAGAACTCCGTGATGCTCCTGTGAAGAATTGCAGACTGTTGGTCATTTTGCCTGTCATTTGAGGCGAGATGGCGAGGTAGGAGGACAGCCAGGACCGCTCCGAAAGACAAGCCCCCAAGTATTTTGTGCTTTTTCCCCAATCCGCCCAGAATTTGATTGCATGACAATGACTCGCAAGCCGAAAACAGAAAATCCTCTAATGCGTGAAACCTTCACAAAAGAAATAAGATGAGTAGGGATCTTCAGAATGTGCAGACGGAAAGATATGAAGCCTGCTGGGGAGTTGATCGAGCCACTGACGACGAGATTATCCCGAAGGTGTGGAAACTCTGACACAACGAAGGCCAGAATGACTTTCCGCAAGCCGAGATGATGTGCTGCCTTTGCAAGACTGACGACAGCCCGGGATGTAGAGGTGGGTAGATAGGGTTTTGTGGTTGACGGGATGGTGTTGTCAGCCTGTTGACCAGGCTACCTCTTGATGGCGGAGGCTTTGAGGGCTTCGAGAAGCTCTGGCCGGTCCTTGAGTGCCTCTTTTGCCTCGGAATAGGTCATCCATCTGCGCTCTCGCTTCTCGGCTTCGGGCCAGTCCTTGGCCTCCACGGTGACTGTGCCCTCGTAGAAGTGGTACAGACACTTGGTAGCATCCTTCTTGTCTTTCTTGGGCTTTCTCGTCTCGGGAATGTCGCCGAGGTTATAGTCGATGGTGATTACAATGCCAGCCTCCTCCCAAGCCTCTCGCATAGCAGCTTCCTCGCACTCCTCGTCCGTCTCCCAGCCGCCCTTTGGCAGGACCCAGCCATTCTTCCTTTTGGTAGACCGTATTAACAAGACGTACTTCCTGTCCTCGGTCAACGGAACCACACCGGCGACCAGACGTTCACCTTTCGAGTTGTAGCCTGGAACAGATGCGTCAGTTGGGCAAGTCAAAAACACCAAAAAAGCTCTGGAAGATGGCATCCAGTAGGTCAAATGAGCAAGGCCTAGGCTTGTGACGTACGTTGCTTGTCCCGGCCGGTCCGGGACTCCATGGAACGACTGCTTGAACCGCCCCCTGACATGTTGGCGAGATGGGGTATCGGACAATATGCACAGACAAGAGGCGACAGGGGTGTGACAACCGTCGCCAAAAAAGCAGCGTGGCGGTCCAAAAACGAGAGACAAGAGATGGTAGCAGAGACTCAAAAGGGCCTGGTTTGCTGGTAGGGGTACAGTTGAAGAGAGAGAGAGAGTCTCAAAGACCTGACGTCCTTTAGTTACTTCTAAGAGACATTGTCGATATGATGAAGGGTGAACACTGGGTAGATGATCGAGTTGAATGAACACAGCCTTGACCAGCGTCTGGGGAGTGAGGTCGACGCCAAGAATAAGAAGGAAAAGGGTCAAAAGAGATGCGCGAGCTAGTATTCTTTTGTCAGAGGAAAGGTCTTGGGCGAGGTCGGACAGGCGAGCCCGAACGAGGAGACAGGCGCAGAGTCAGTGTTGACAACGATGTGGCAGGCAGGGGCGTGGATCAGCTGGACGAGGTGGTGCCTGCGGAGGGCTGATCGGTCGACAGAGTGAGTCTAGGTCTCAACGATCGCCACCGAGGGGGCAGACGATGCGCCGTGGGGTGCAGTGCAGTGTGGAATGCAGCAGGGTCGTAGTACATCGGCCTGTCAAGTTGCAGCCGGGGCAGCAGCTTGACGGGCACGCAGCAGAAGAAGGGGGACGGAAAGGCTGCTGGCTGGCTCCAGGACGAACTGGCTGTGAGGACGGATTGGGGCCAACAGCTGCAGATTGCGCTCAGAGCTGCAGAGGTCCTGCCCGAGGCGGGGTTCTTTTCTCTTTGTTTTGTTGGTGAGATGACCGGTCGATGGGTGAAGTTGGGACCTAAGGCTTTCCGGAGGGAATGGGCGTAGGGCCAGCGCCGCGACGGATGGGGGCGGTGCGTCAGACCGAGGGGGCTTGACCTGACCTGAACCGGATCTAGGGAAGAGACAGTCCGGTCCCGTGCCGTGTGGTGCGTGGGTAGATACGTGCTCTTTTTGGGTATGAGTGTGAGAGTGTGTGTGTGAGAGAGAGAGTGTGTGTATTTGTGTGTGTCTTGCTCCTTGGGTATGCGAGTTACGTGGATGGTGGTGGTGGCGGGCTGTGGGATGAATCTTTGCAAAAAGGGCGTGGGCGTGGGCTATGCGCCTTGTCTGGTCTTTGGGCCTTTGGTGGGTTGACTTGTTGTCGTCAGTGCCTTAGCTTGGTCAGGTAGGGTGATGAGACGCGACGAGAGTGCTGGGGACAGGCAGGCAGAGCTCTTGCGGCGTGGAGCGCCGGAAGAGCAACAGATTGTCTCGTGCCATTCCAAGAGTAGACGATGGAGGGGCAGAGGGCAGAGAAAAGTCGGGATGGCTTTTTTATTTTTTAAAGAGGTTATGGAGCTAGGCTGGAGCCGGGCTGCCGGACGGATCTGGATCTGGAACCAGACAAGGAAGTAAGTACCTCGAGTACTCGACGTAGTACTATGTAGTACCTTCCCCACTGCTCCCCTGCTGTCGCGCCACGCCCCAAGTGCTCCCAGGACCTTCGCGAAGGGGCCTAGCATGTACTTTCCAGGTCGAGCTCAGGAACCTAGATCCCTAACCTGACCGTGCTTCACGAAGCCTTGTCCCCAACACGCCCCAGCACGCCCCAGCACACCCCGGCCGTTTGGTCGCTGTCAAGAGCTGGTAACCTGGTACTCTAGCAGCCTACCAACTGATGGCGCGCACACAATACATGTCCGACCTGGTTGGTAGGGCTGGTGGTCCCCAAGACTGAAAAAAGATTGAGAGAGACAGAGACGTGTTGGGGGGGGTGGGAGGGGGGCTTTAGTATCTCAGTTGAGTGGGCAGCCTGCCTTTTTCTTCTTTCTTCTCTCTTTTCGTGAAAAGGTCTCAAACAACAATTTATATCCACAGGTATTGACAGAAAACCTTGTAAGGTCAGAAGAAGACCCGATGAACAAGCCACTACCAATCTCTAGTCGAAAAGTTTGAAGACGGCTGGTAGCGGCAGGCAGAACCCTGGCTCTTGTCTCTTGTCTCGCTCTGCAGGTAATAAAAGAAAAGTGCTATGGTCGAGTCTGCGGAAGGCCGGGCCTGGGGCATGTAAAGGGTCTCATCGACGACTTGCAACAGATTGCTTAAGTACTCTCACAGAGGTGGGGCCCTCTTGAGGGGTCAGAGGTATCTACCTGCCAGCCCTGGACCCCCAGTGTTGATTCCCTCTCTCCACGACCTTCAACTGGAGAACCCCGTTTCATGTTCGAAGCAGCTCACTGCGATGCAAAAGCCGGCATCGCCTGTCTCTGACAACTCGACAGCTCCAAAGAGCGTGGCTGCCGTTGCAACAGTGGCTCATGTCGCATCCATAAACATAACATCAATAAGAGGCTTGCCCTTAGCAGGTCCAGCGTGGCAATGTCGACACTGCCCCTCCTCGTCGCTGTTGTTGTCGCTGTAGTTCTACCCGTGACGTGTGGTGGGCAGCATAAAGGTGAGACCGGCCATGAGTTGGACTTGCCGGTTGGTGATACGTATATGGGCTTCTGGAATCTGGTGACGAATAGGCACCTCCCGCCCACATGACTTTCAAGAGCCTCTGGGGAGGGTCGAGGTTCATCTTCATTTGACGGGGCACGCTGTTGATATGTTCCGCTGGCTGCAGGTGGTGGCCAATGTGGGCGCTTGGGGGGGGGGGGGGCGGGGGTTGCTGGTACAGTATGTCATAGAACATACTACGATAGTGCAGAGTAGGTCAGTCAGCTAGTTAGAGGAAAGGCAGTCACATGCCAGCTTTTCCTCGACAAAGGGTATCCCGGCCTGCCTCCATTCTCGCAATTCAGCTTCTACCTTAACAAAACAAGCGAACGCGATCGCCATCCGAGCTGACACCTTCTTCTTATTCTTCTTCTTATTCTTCTTCTACTACTACTACCACAACGCACAATCCTCTACAGCCACTATGTCGGTATCACCTCTTTCGAGCCCCACCCCGCCTACCTCTGTGGTATCTGAAGATATCAAGGTACCGACAGTGCGATTCACGAACATCGAAGAGCTCTATCAGAAGATTCGTCTCACTTCCGAAGATTTTCTCGTTGCTGAGAATGTCTCTCCTGGCGATTTTACTCTCCTAGTCGATAATTGGGATTTGAATCGGCCCAAGATCCGTCTCCGGCGTTACGACGACAACGCACGAAAGCTTTACATTGTCATTCCTGCCGACATTCACGAAGGGCTCCATGCTGAGCTCTATCAACAATACATGGCTCAACTTTTTCGAATGAGTATAAATCGGGAATGGAGAACAATGGCTGCTTCTACACGTTACGGAAGAAGCGATGGCAATAGTGGCGGGGGCGGGGCTGGAGAAGGCGATTCTACCGGTGGCCCAAAGCCAGAGCGCGCAGCGAAAGGAGCTTGGCCAACCCTTGTTATAGAAGCCGGGAATTCTGAGCCCTGGCAGCATTTGCGCAGCGATATGGAGTGGTGGTTTTCTGCGTCTGATCACGACGTAAAGATAGTACTACTTGTCAAGTTCGATCCGAGACGACAGGAACTTGTTCTCGAGAAATGGGAGGAAGAGGTGCGAGGCCAACGACCTGGAGCAACCACCACTCGGTCGCCAGGAGCGTTGGCACCCGTAATGAGACAAATAATCACCATTACGAAGACGAGTTCGACAACTTACAACGTTTCTAGAGGTGCGTTGGTATTGTCGTTCAGACTTCTGTTTCTTCGAGATCCAGACCTTGGGGAGGGTGATATTGTTATCAGCGTTCAGGACTTGGAGGAGTATGCAGCCAACGTGTGGAGCGTGGTTCGAGACCTCGCAGCGAATCAGGAACCATCTCATCCCGCAACCCGACCTAGCCCCCGCTTCGACCTGTCCTCAGTCCTTCCTGCGACCTCGTCCGTCTTTTCATTGTCGCGTCTTCCTCTCACATAACCTTTACCCATCTAAGAGAGGGGGGAGACACACACACACACACACACACAAAGAGCCAACCTCATCCTGTCTTTGCTTCAATTGCCCCTTCCCCCACTCTCCCCCATGATTTCCCCAATCTGACAAGTGAGGGAAACGCTACTTTTGTCCGGCCCACCTGTCACCAGCGGTCCCGTTCCGCACCGCATCGTCTACCATTCCACCCAGCAGAGAAAAGGGAGGTCAGGAAAAAGAGCCAAAGGTGTGAGAGTTGAGGCTGGCCGTTGCATTGCTGCAGACCTGGTGCTGCTACACCGGTACAGCACATACGCTGTCAGGCTGAGGAGGGCAGCCATGGCTAGCTCCAAAGTCCAGATCCCTGACGATACTTTATCCTACATCGCCCCAATAGGTAAGTCTTCGTACCCTGAATAAACGAGGGCGCACCACTGCATCTCAGCCAACCATCTGCACTCGTGTCAAATTTCTGCGATGCTGTTGGTCTCTTCCTTCTTCACCTCTTCGTCCTCTCGTCTTATCAAGGTGCATAGTAGCCCGACAGGATTTCTTGCCCTGCCCTTCACTTGTGTCGCTGCTGTAACGGCATTCCCCCATCTCAGGTTACCTCTCACCAGTCGCTATGCATCAACCCACCCCCCCCCCCCCCAAACCCACCCCACCCAACATCAGCCGGCCTATCCTTTTCTGCCTTGGCTTTGCCTGGCTCGACGACGACGATGGCGTCTCCGAGCTGCAAGCTGCAGATCATGAGATCATCGTCATCATCAGGCCATCCTGGTGGCGCGCAAGGGATCTCGTACCATTCGTCTTTCCCTCTCTTTTTTTCTCGGGGGCGGGGGGGGTTCTCGTCTCGAGACCTGAGATCATCACTGTCCTCATGAAAGATGCTGCCACCATGTACTACTACTGCCTGCCCAGCCTTGTATCTATGTATTGCATATGATTTTCAAAGTCAATCTTGTCATCCCACACCTCATCAGCACGTCCCTGCGATGCCAATCTGGCTAGAACACTTGCGTTTTTCAATATCTTCATTTTCTTGTTTTTACCGAGCCAAACTAACGATATCTTTGAATCCAGGTTACAGCAACTCGTCTGACTGTGGTTACTGCCGGAAGAGTCGCAGTGGTCAGTCTAGTAAACGTGAATCTCTCTCGTCGCAGAGCGACCCTTGACCGTCCCCCCACGCCTCCCAACACACGTCCTCTCCTTCCATCCCCAGGCTCAGATTCCATGATCACCACCAGCAACTGGCAACATGTCACAGATCCCCCCTGGGCCTCCTTGATTTCCATACTCGCAAAGTGCAGTACTCCACAGGAGCATCCCCTATTCATCATAGCTCAGCGACTTTGTATATTGTCTAGAGCCTCTTTTGTCTGACATTTTGCACTGGTCAGGCTACTCATACTATGCTTCTGGTTCCTCCCTCAGCCCTCAGTTCTATCAACAGCTCATAGACCGATGCTGGAGGCGTTCAGGGACACTGCTATATCGGCCTAATCAGAAGAGAGCATGCTGTCCACATTACACCCTCCGTCTCGACTCGGCCGAGTTCAAACCATCCAGGGACCAGCGACAAGCCGTGAACCGGTTCAACAGCTCTGTTCTTGGAGATGACTATGTGAAGGAGGCAGCGCGTCGGTATCCCCTCACACGGGAGCAGGCGCGAAAGCGCGCTACGACCTTCGACCTAATCGAGAGAGTCCATGAAGCCGAGGCCGACGCTCTCAGGACCCCTCTGCAGCCGGCGCATAAGCTCCAGGTGACCCTAGAGCCCGATGACTTCACGGAAGAGAAGTTCGACGTCTTTGAGAACTACCAGCGTGTGGTCCACGGCGAGGACCCGTCCAGCATTCAAAGATCGGGCTTCAAACGGTTTCTCTGCGCCTCGCCCGTCAGACCAGGGACGTACACAAACCCGGACGGACGGGAGATCAAGGTCGGTTCTTTCCACCAGTGCTACCGCCTCGATGGCAAGCTGGTAGCGGTCGGCGTACTGGACCTGCTCCCCCATGCCGTCAGCGCGGTCTACTTTATGTATCACGAGTCAATACATAAGTACCAGCCGGGAAAGCTCGGGGCCCTGAGGGAGATCGCGCTGGCTATGGAGGGAGGGTACCGCTACTGGTACCCGGGATATTATATCCACTCGTGCCCAAAGATGCGCTACAAGATCGACTACAGCCCGCAGTACGTTCTGGACCCAGAGACCCTGGGCTGGGACCTTTTGGACAAGGAGGCACTTGTTATTTTTGACGACAAGCCTTATGTCAGCCTGTCAAAGGAGCGAGCGCAGCGACAGGGTTCGGAGGGTGCGGGTACAGTTGCCACGGCCGATGACCGACACACTCCTCCAGAGACGGACGAAGACAGCGAGGACAACAGCGACGGCATCTCGCTCTTCACCAGCAGCATGCCTGGCATTCCCACTCTCGCCGAGCTCGAAAGAACCGATCTCGATCACATCCGCGTGCTGTCGGATCAGTCCGACGGCTTCTTCACCACAGGCGAGACTGTCATATGGACCAGTGACACTATCTACGACCTAGGCTCGCTCAAGTCCAAGATTGCGGAGCTGGCCGCCACAGTGGGGACGGATCTGCTGGGCGAGATAGTGCTTGACTTTCGAAGGATCGGCAGGCAGAGGGGCTGAGAGAGCAGGATTTGGTCTAGTGATTTATGATGATCTCATATGAGAGCTTTTTATGGCCTATTCTCGTGTGCTATCCTCGCTTCGGGCCGGGTGATCTACCCGTCACTACGTCCCGGTACCGGATCAGGTAGGAAATCACGCGACATGTTTCACTTGGTGGAGGTCGCACGACGAGAGGTGTAGCTGGTCATGGAAGACAAGCACTTGATAAGAAAAGAAAAAAAATGGGATCCTTTTCATGGAATCATTAGGTGTTAATCGCATACGAGACACGCGCTCCGGGTCTTGAGTGTGAGTTGGTACACGCCATGGTCCGGAATGTAAGAGGAGCATTGTTCTGGGTTTGGAAAATAGGCTGGGAATTTCTATACATACGTGCCCCTCGCAATGGGTGCAAATCACAATGGACGAGGAGTAGGGCCTGGGTATGTTTGCGTGGGTAGCAGACGAAATTTGCATAGAAAGCTTAACAAGGACCGTCAAACTTGTATGTCGTGATGCCGTCTAGTACCTAGCCCAGACCTCGACACGGTATGAGTATCCGTCGACCTGAAAACCCCATTTTGTAGTGACCATCATCCGTCGTCGAATGACAACGTCGAACCTTTAGGCACGAGTATTTTTAATGGGCTGTGTGTGCCGGAGCATGGTCGTCAAGCTCCATGCCAAGTTGACGTTGGAACGGGCATGTTTATATACACACACAGCCGTAGAATCTTCACTCTCTCTCCAATATACGCCCTAGATTGTGTACATCCACCACATTTCCCTATCCAAGCAGGTGACCGGACAAAACACTTTTCCCCGTATTGTAAGAACAAGTGATTGGCCTGGTAGCATCTCGCACATAGCTGATCAGTTTCGATTGCGTCGTACAAAAGTCTTTGTCACCCTCCTGACACTCTATAGTGCCACGCACTGAGCCTCTGAGACCAGTGGAAAGGGTCCTTGGTGCTGGCTAGTGAGAGGAACAGCTTGCAGGGCACGCTGCGTTTCGTATGGTAGCGCAAAAAGCACCAGGTCCAAACAAGAACACGCATGATGCTTGTTGCCCATCTGTATGCAGGAGGTGTTGGAGATCTTTTAGGCCACGCTGCTCCAACAGTTGCTTGCTCAGGCGGTTGCATGGGCCCGCGAGTCGGATTTGAGGAGGATTTCTCCCTCCCATCACCATGGGCCTCGACCCAGAAATAGTTGTTTGTTTCTTTTTTTTTTGGGGGGGGGGGCGGGGGGAGGGGATCACGTTGCCTTAGGCGCAGCATCCCCATCGTCCGTAGCAACCTCACTCTTTGCCTGCGCCTCGCGAGCCGCCTTGAGTTCCTTGCTAACTTGCCTTCTCAACTCCCTGATCCTTTCTTTGACTGCCTTCCGCTCTAACCTCGCTGCCTGCCGCTTCTCCGAGGCGGCATTATAGCGCTCCTGCTGCTCCTCCTTGGTCAGCGTCTCGTCCTCGAACACCCCGTTCATGATCTTGGTGTTCTCCCGCCAGATATTGTTGAGCGGCCAAAGCTTCTTCCATATGGGCTCGCGCTCAGTCACTATGCGGGTCGCCTCGAGGTGGATGTCGTACCAGTCCGGGCCGAGCTCTTCCTCAAGTTCGCGGGCGAGGCGGTCACGAGCCTGGGATGCCTCGATTGCCATTTTGCGGGCTTTCTTGCCCAATTTCTCAAGGAAGTTGGGGCCGTGCTTGATGTAGGCATCCCGCTCGCGCCTGGAGAGGCTCTCGAAAGTCCAGGGTGGGGAGAGGTGAGGGTTTTCATAAATGGAAGGGTAGGGAGGGGAGGAAAAGACCTTAGACGAGGAGGCCTCAGAGGGGAAGGACTCAGAGGCAGAGGGCCCAGAGAGGGAGGGCTCAGAGGGGGAAAGCTCAGAGGGGGAAGGCTCAGGAGGGGAGGGCTCAGGTGGGGAGGGCTCAGAGTGGGAGGGCTCAGAGGGGGAAGGCTCAGAGGGGGAGGGCTCAGAGGAGGAGGCCTTGGAGGGAGAGGCCTTGGAGGGAGAGGCCTTGGAGGAAGAGGCCTTGGAGGAAGAGGCCTTGGAGGGAGATGCCTTAGAGGGAGAGGCCTTAGAGGGAGAGGCCTTAGAGGAGGAGATAGAGGAAGAGGGCGGCTCTGAGGACGAAGATCGCCTTTGTGTTTTTGCTGTTGTGAGTGTGAAGCCTCCATGGGCGGCGAGCAGGCGCGACGTCGAGGCTGCGATGATTGGACCTGGGAGTGCCCAGGCGCGCTGCCCGAGCAGCCTCGTTGAGTACCGGGAAAGCATGATGTAGGCGCAGAGTGTTTCTGAAGAGAGTGAGGTGAAGAGATAGGAAACGGAGGAGAACGCCACACAATTGTGCGCCGGCTTGTTGTTTTTCGTCTGAGCAATAGGAACTTTTTGACGAATGCAGCTTATCGATAAGTAGTGAAGGTATATTCACTACATTAACTGTATGAGTGGAACACTCAAACTGGACCGTGCCCGGCCGGCAATAGAGCTTTCATTTTGCCTGCCGCCTCAATTTTTTTTTTAAACCAGTCCGCAAGCTCAACCTCACCAAGAAGCACAATAACCATTGAACTCCTTCTGAAAGCTGCGCCAGGCAAATAATTGTGTCTATCAAGCCCTGACACACAAGTCCTCCTTGAATTTTTCGCCCTCAGGGCTTTCCTTTTTATCGCCATGGCCTCGACACAACATATGCTCCTCTCCCCCGCCGAGCTCGCCTACCTCCACGCCTCCCTCTCCCTCAGCCCGCCCCTCCGCCCAGACGGTCGCTCAGCGTCGCAATTCCGTCCCCTCAGTGCCGAGACTGATATCCTGCCAGGAACGAACGGCAGCGCGCGCATATGCTTCGCGGACGGGACGGAGGCCATCGTGGGCGTCAAGGCGGAGGTGGAGAGGACGCGCGCTAGGTATGGGGCGGGGAACACGCTGCGCGAGACGGAGCTGATCGAGGCTGGCGGGGACGATGATGACGATGAGAATGGGGCAGACGAGAAGCGGGAGGGCGAGGCCGGCTGGGTCGAGATCGCAGTCGAGATACCAGGGACGAGGGATGACGATGCGAATACCATCTACCTGGCAGAGATGCTCGCCGAGGCGCTGCTGGCGGATGGGGAGTTTGTGAAGAGATTATGGATCAACAGGCGGTTCCACTGGAAGCTGTACCTTGATGTATGTTTTCTGTGTTCGCACCCTCTGGATGCTTTGAGGATCGCCGTGGGCATGGTCTATACTGACAATTGTAACACAAAACCCCACAGATCCTCCTCATCTCGCCACCCCTCTCATACCCGCTACCCCTCCTCTCACTCACGACACACCTCGCACTGCTCGCAACGCGGCTGCCACGACTGAAGTCCGAAGGTGACGAGGACCCTCTGTTTGACGACGACTGGGACTCGTCGATATATCTCTACCCGCAGACGGGCGGCGTGTCGCTGTCGAGACCTCCTGTTACGCTACTTGTCATGGCGGTAGGCGACAACATCATATTCGATCCGGCCAAGGAGGAGCTGGCGGTTGCAGACGTCGCGCTGGCGATCTCCGTGGCAGATACAGCTGCCTCATCGAGTGGTGGCGATGACGGCGCAATGGATGTCGACGGTTCTGCCGCAAAGCGGAATCTAAGGCTACTGTCGATACGGACGATCGATCCCCCGTCACGACTGACACCACCAGGTGTCCCACGGGCCACTGACGTTACGAATACAGGTACGACTGGCCAGACAAAGCAGCAGACCGACGTGCGGACCGCGGAGGCGGAGCCCATGGAGGGAGTGTGGAAGGCGCCCAGGGGCGGAGCCAAGGTTGCCATTATAGGCGCCATAATTGCAAAGGCATTGGAGAAGGACGGAGTTGCGGACGAGGTTTTGGATGGATTGAAAGCTGTAGAGCTGGGATGAGGTATGCCCGGTCAGGGGCAGAGACCAGATATTTCACCTAGTCTAAGTCAAGTCGCGAGTCTCGACAGGCTTGCGACGTGACATGAAGTCTTCTTCACTCTTTGAGAAGAAGAGGAGTTGACTTGCAGATGCTACATACGGCTCAAGGACTCGCACAAGGCCGATAGAGGGTCGGTGCTCTTTGGGCGATGCTTGTAGCAGCATCTGCGGCCCTGCTTGGCCGCAAATCAATGGAATACCCACCAATCCACAAGTTCACCGGTTTTCAAAAGATCCCCAGCCACTTCTCTCTCTTTCCCGGCGGTGCTTGCAACTTCTCCGGATCATCCTCCCTTGCGGTCCAGTTTCCAAAGCCACCCTTCTGCTCAAGCCCATGAGCCTTGCGATACTCGGAGCGCTTAGCCACGTCGTCAACCTTCTTCTTGCGCTTGTCCGCAACGACGGCTGAGTTGTGCAGGGTCGTGAGCTTCCAGACCTCGTGCGCAGTGCGAAGCGAGATGATGGGGTGCTGCCAGAAGTCGGCGCCGGAGGGGAGCATTTCGGCAAAGGGAGAGGTGGCCTTGAAATTCTCGGAGTAGGTATACACAGCCAGGCTGAAAAGGGTGCCCTATACAAATTGAAATGTCAGTCCACTAAGCCAGTCAAACCAAGCCAATCAGCTCGTCAACCCCCTTTCCTCTGTCCCCAGCACACCAAACACACACACACACAAAACCACTGACCGTCGTGATGCAGAGGTGCAGCCACCTGCTACCCCAGAACCAGTGCGCCCAGGTGCCCTGCGGGGCCATCATCCCTGGGTAATCCCTCCTCCTCTGGGCAGCAGCATCGTCGGCGGACAGGTCGCCGCCGTAGTGCTGCTGCGGGCGGCTCTTCTTGCTGGGCAGCCGGGCGCCGTGCGAGGGCGGGTTGAACCTCGCTGGCTTCTCCAGCACGATGGGCTTGCCCTTGGCATCCTTGGCGATGTTTGACGAGGACGACGACGCGTACCGGACGGCAAAAGTCTCGGTGCTGGTGGTGATGCTAGTCCGGGCTGCCCGGGGGCTTCCGAGGTTTGCCCCCCGCCAGAGGAGGCCGGACCTCGGGAGGAGGAAACGGGGGATCGAGAAGGTGGACGCCATATTAGCAATGGAAACTATCCTGCCTCGAAAGTTTTTCTCTCTCTCTCTCTCTCTCTCTCTCTCTCTTGAGTCTTGGTGTGAGAGAACTCGATCCTATTCGCAGAGTAATCCGTATTCGGACCACTGCACCCCTTTGAGGTCGCTTGAATGGCTCCAGAAGATTCAGTCCAGGATTATTGGGAGGGGGGATTTTTTTTCGTCTGTCAGCTGTTACGGTTAGCTATTGTAGGGGTACCAAAAGGAGCTCCTCATAGCTTCTGAGCGGTTAGCAGCTTCGGGCAGGCAGGCTCGGTAGCGCCCCATAGGGCGGGCAGGGGGTTAGGACTGCAGGGGGGCCTGCAGAAATATTTCTATGTGTCATGCAAAGCCCGACTTTTTCCCTTCCGGCTGCTTTTCGTTCTATTTTGCAGTCCCTGGACTCACTGACCATCACTGCGACTCTCACTGGCTGGAATTCCCCTGCCTGCCCCTGCCAGTCCCATTTTTATCAGCAATTGGGTCCGCTTGCGCCACAGCGTGGCTCCTTGCTAGCCTGCTTTTCCCCCGGAGAATGCTGAGCTCATAGACGCTTTTCCTGGCCCGGGGCCTTGCTTTTCGCGCAGTGTTGGCAACTCAGCAATTTTTTTTTCTTCTTCTTCCCCCTTCCTCTTCCATTCCTCCGTCACCACTACTACACCTCACATAAATCTCCTGACTGTCGAACCTTTCGAGCAGCAGTCTGTCTCCTCACACTAATATCTCTCAATCTATCACATCCTCTAATATCTCAACACCGACAAGATGCCTTTCAAGGACGGTACGTATCCTCGCTGCTTTCCTCCCGCGTCTTACGATATCCTTTCAAGAACCTTCTTTGCCTGAGCCATTGGAGCACAAGACAACATCATTCCTGATGTGTCTACCCCTTGGCGACACTCGGAGCAATCGAGGTGCCCTTCGGCGTGTCCTGACTGGGCGCCTCGGCACCAGCAGTCATGCCTGGACGACTCGCAGCCCTTGAGGTATTTTCCTGAATCGCACCTCTTGCGCTACTGCCAATTTGGCCTGAACACAAGATCTGGGGATGGTCTGTAACGGCCGAACAGACAAAGTGTTCAGGTCAGATCGGGCTTTTGCGCTGGCAGTAACCGAGAGGATGTGTTTTCTCGAGATCTTGAGGGTGTCGCTCGTCCCTCGTCACGAAGTTCTTGTACTTATTACAGCACAACGCGCACCAAAACATGTCTGGATCTCTGGCTAATCCTCGATTTCTAGGTGACTCGAAGAAGGGTGCCAACCTCTTCAAGACCCGCTGCGCCCAGTGCCACACCGTCGAGGCTGGCGGCGGCAACAAGATCGGACCTGCCCTGCACGGCCTGTTCGGTCGCCACACTGGTTCCGTTGAGGGCTACTCCTACACGGATGCCAACAAGCAGAAGGGTATTGAGTGGAAGGAGGATACTCTGGTACGTTCTTGGCAAGATTGAACATCAGACAACCGCACACTGGGGGAGTGAGTGGTGGAGCGAAAAGGACCTGTTGCTAACATTTGTCTACTATAGTTCGCCTACCTCGAGAACCCCAAGAAGTACATTCCTGGCACCAAGATGGCCTTCGGTGGCCTGAAGAAGGAGAAGGACAGGAACGACCTGATCACGTATGTCTCTGCCCTACTCGAGGCTCTCCTTGGGCCCCTTATTCTCTCTGTTTTCTCAGAGGTCTTTCTCACGCGCACACTGCTGACATGATCCTTCTTATTTAGCTACCTGCGGGAGTCCACGAAATAAACAAACATGCTTGGTCAACGGAGTTTGGATGTAACGATATAACGGGACGCGATTTACATTACTACATCACGTTAGACAGAGAGACGGAAAAGACGGACGGGGTGATCAGTCATCGCCTCTGTACTATAGACATAGAGCTGCTCTTTTCCTCCGGCGTGGCGTGTCTTGCGTCGTCTTTCTAGGAAACCACCAAAATTTTTATAATGACTCTCCTCTTCGATTTATTACAATCTTTCAACCACCCAAAATTCCCTAAGAGATGTTCGTCCCAACCACAAAATCTTTTGGTCTCAAAAATTTAGTGATGTCACAGTTACACAAATGCACACGCGCGCGCAGATGCCGGCCCGAGGGAACGGAATTGGGTTGAACGGGGGGGAGCGGATGGATGGATCCGCTATAGTACCGAGCTGCAGTGGGCGCCCATCACGTTTCTTTGTGTCTTGCATCCTGCAGGTTGCGGCAAGGATTCGTTAATCAACCGAGCGACAGCCAACCTTCTCCGAGTTGCATCAGCTAAAACACAGTATACAAAGTGGATGCATAATTCATGCCGATCATCTCAAGTACATGCTGGGCAAAACCTCGAATTTGAAATATGCATATTTTCTGGGGGGGGGGGGTGGTATATCATGGTAGGTCTACAGTAACAGGGGTCTCGCCTCAATCAAAATTAATGCATACTGGGTATTCTTTTAAGTCAAACCAGAATGCTGCATCAACGTAGACATGTCAAAGTGATTTAGTAAATTCATCACCTCTTTTGTGGAATGGTTTACTAAGCGAGTTAGATTGTTCTGAGCACGTTCTACGACATGAAGTATTGGGATAGTAGTCAGTAATTCCTTTTGCTGCTGAAAGAATAGGATACGACTACGGCAAGCGTGCTTAGGTAGACAGACCTCAGAGGACCTTGTCAAACTGTGCCGGGTCATACCTCCCGTCGTCCTTGACGCTGGGCTTGACCTCGTTGAGAGCCTTCTCCCAGTCCTCGGCAGTGATCTCGTCCTCGTCCTCGCTACCACCGTTGCCGCCAGGGTTCACGCTGATGTCCCCGCCGCCGTGGTAATATGTCCTCTCCAGGCTCGCCTGCGCGGCAGCCTGCATGAGATTGCCCAGATCAGCACCCGAGAAGCCCTCACACCTGCCGTCCAGGGCGATGGCCCGGAGCCGCTCCTCGACCTTGGCCACACCCTCCTCCTCGGCCGCCCCGGCATCCTTCTTGCCGCCGGCGATGGTGTTCCAGTAGATGGCCCGCAGGATATCGACCCTCTCCTCCCTGGCCGGCAGGCCCACAAACACGCTGGTGCCCAGCCGACCAGGGCGGCGGATGGCCGGGTCGATGCAGTCCGGCCTGTTGGTGGCGCCGACGACGTAGATGCCGCTGCGGTCCTCGACGCCGTCCATCTCGGTCAGCAGGGCGTTGACGACGCGCGAGCTCGCGTCCGACAGCGAGTCGTCCCGCTTGGGCACCAGCGCATCCATCTCGTCGAAGAAGAGGATGCAGGGCGCACTGCTCCGCGCCCGCGCAAAGAGCGACCGGACTGCCCGCTCCGACTCGCCCACGTACTTGTTGAGCAGCTCGGGCCCCTTGATGCTGATGAAGTTGGCCTTGGACTCGTTGGCCACCGCCTTGGCGACGAGGGTCTTGCCGCAGCCTGGGGGCCCCCACAGGAGGATCCCCGCGGCGGACTTGATGCCCACGCGGGCGAAACGCTCTGGGTATTTGATGGGCCCGATGATGGACATCTCGAGCTTCTTGCGCACGTCGGCCAGGGCGCCCACGTGGGCCCAGGTTGTGTCTGGGATGGCGCTGAAGCCCTCGCGCTTGGCGGCCGGCTGGACGGCGCTGATGGCGGTGGTGAGGTGGGCCATGGTGATGGAAGCAGAGGTGATGTCGATGTCAGTTGTCATGGCTGTGGTGAAGCGGAACAGGCGCTGGGCCGAGGTCAGGTCTGGCTCTGTGATGGAGCCCATCGTGAGGTCGTCATCGGCAGGAAGAGCCTCCTGCGAGGGTTGGTCAGGCTCTCGCGGGAGGGTGTCTGCGCCTCGGCCTATGCACGCCTCCGCGGCGTCGAACACGGCGGCCGAGACAACGTGCCGGAGGTCGGCGCCCACGTAGCCAGGCGTGAGTCGAGCGAGGGCGGCAAAGTCCACGTCCTCGGCGAGCTTAAGATCCCGGGTCATGGACTGGAGGATCTTCTCCCGCGCAGCCTCGTTGGGCATGCCGATGTCGACCTCGACGCCGAACCGCCGGCGGACGGTCGGGTCGATGCTGTCTGGCCTGTTAGTGGCCGCAAGCACGACGACATTGCCACCTCCTCTGGAAGATGAGCCCTCGTCAGCACCGTTCGCAATGTTGTTTCCACTGCCACTGCCACCCCGCCGCCCGAGCCTGTCCATGCCATGACAAATTTCCGTGACGATCCTCCCCTCCATGGCCTTCTGCGCGCTGTCCTTTTTTCCCGCGATGCTGTCCAGCTCATCGAGAAACACCAAACACGGCGCAAGCCTCATGGCCTCGTCAAAGATATCGCGAATATTCTTCTCGCTCTCCCCACTCGTCCCGCCCACCAGGCTCGGCGTCGAGACGGGGATGAACGCCACGCCCAGCTCTGCAGCCAGTGCATGCGCGAGCGCTGTCTTGCCGCACCCCGATGGCCCGTGCAGGAGCACCCCGTCGTTGGGCTGGTACCCGAGCTCGGACAGGACCTCTGCACAGCGCAGCGGGATGAACACGGACCTGCGGAGGCGCTCGAGCGCCTTGTCTAGGCCGGCAAGGTCTGCGAGGCTGATGTCCTGCGGGGGCGAGCGGTCGATCTCCTTCAGGTCCTTGCGCCTGCGTTTCGGCTTGGCCTCGCCGTTGGGCTGGCGGTCAACTGGTGGCGCCGAGCCGGCATCGAGATCCATGGCGTCTGGTGCGGTCGGCGTCTTTGTCCCCGTGGATGAGGCAGCTGAGTTGAGTGCTGCTGTGCTGGAGGGCCCAGTGCCGCTGCCGCTGCCTGAAGCTTTGAAGTTCCAATGCCTTGTGAGCTGCTTGTTCAGCAGCGAGGCGTCTCTCTCCTCCCTTGTGCGCTTCGCCCCGGCCGCCTTTGTCTGCAGCTCCTTTTCCAGCTCCTCGTCCGAGTCCCGATCCTCCTTGTCCTCTTCCCTGCGCACGGCGAGTACTCGCTCTATGGCATCCTCCAGCGGCCTTTTCTTCTGCCTCTTCAGGCTCGAGTTGGATCGCTGAATGTACTCGTAGACAACGCTGATGGTGACACGGGGTTGTCTACCCGTCTCGTTGATATAGTCGTCTTCGAACTTTCTCACGATCTGGTAGACATCCCGGTCTAAGCCCTGTCGCAGACTGATGGGCATTTTGTCTTGTTGTTGTCTATTGTTGGATGAATGAATGGATTGTCTCGGTCTGGCCTTGTCCAATGACAATCATAACGGGATGTCTACCGTGAACCAAATAGTGGTGTTCCAAGTCCTCTTTCTCTTTTAGTCAGTCTAGGGTATCATAAATGCCATGATGAAGGTTCCAGTTATATATTAAAAATAAGATGTTCATGGGTCATGAGAAAATCCATGAGGCGGCAGTCGTGGGTGAAAGTAAACGGAGCATTCGACCGCAGGCTAGAAATTTTTGATCCATAGGGTTGGGGTTGGCCGGCCTTAGCAATTTGAATAAGCAACCCCCTCCGCCCCTCCGGGGGGAAAAAGAAGGCTCCCACCAACACGGACAGAGATCTATGCGGAATTCACAATGTTTGCAACCATGCAATCATAATCTTTGATATTATACCGCATTGCTTTGAAGATGAATGCAATTACATAATATGGACTACTTTTTTTTTTTGGGGGGGGGGGGGCAAAGGGGCGTAAATAGGAGACTAGCATTGGAGGTATTCGTAGCCAAGCCATTACTTGGTTAGCACCCTTGGCCCCATGGGAAACCCAATATCTGTACGAAGAAAAAAGTTCATCTTTAACTTAGATGACCTCTTCTCAAGCAGTGGGTAGCAAGACAATGAGTGAAGCTTCGGTCAGGAAACACACAAACTGCTTGTCACACCGTCAAGTTACTAACCAGGGACTTTGCTAATTGTAATGACTTCCATTTGATTTACTATGGTGGTATCGTCTAGGCATAAACCTACTTCTGTACAAATGCTGATGGAGGCTCTGCAACTACTCTCTCGTGTTTGGCATAGTCCCTATACCGAAGACGACAGCAGTGACACGAGCCAACAGCCGCAGAAGCGGCTGATTATGGAGCCCAAGATATCTCGAAGCGCCTTGAGACCTCGTGGACTGGAAAGCGGCCCTTGGACTGACCACAAGCACGAAGAATCAGTGTTTTATCTCCTCCGGGAACGCTGCCCGAACGGCAGCGGGCAGACTGCCCTTGGAACCGGCATCCAACCGGCGCCCCTTGGCCAGACGTACAGCACACGTGTCTCGGATAACACTTAGTCTCGAACAGCTACCGTACCTACACAACCATCTTGGGCCCGCAGCCTGTGCACAGGCTGTCACGATCTCTTGTAGCCACGCTTTGGCGTGGTCGACGAGGCTAAAGAAGATTGGCACCCGTAGTTGGCGTCAGTTCAAGAGCAGCGAAAACGATTGTTGGCGCTGACATGGGCCTTGCAAAGAACGTAACGATGGCACAATCGTCGTTCAAGGGAAAAGGATAGACATACTTATGAGCCCACATATTCAGTCGCAAAAGATTCTCCACATGCGCGTTGTTGCTTCGTCATGTAGAGGCAGGTAGGTGGGTCCCTTGCCCGTGACTTGGCAGATGGGCTCACGGGTAGATGGATACCTCTCAAGCCCATTTCTCTTCCGCCTTCATCAGATCCTCAATGAGCTTGACATCCTCCTGCGTGACCTGTTGCCGCACCAGGTCGGTGACGTTGACCTTGACGTCCTCCTCCCTAGCCAGCAGATGCAGCACCAGATCGCAGTACTCCCGCACGGCATCGCCATCCTCGCCAGGATCTGTGCGCGCCTTGCGGAGGGCTTCCTTGCCACGCTTGAGGCCTGTGTCATGTGTCCACTTGGGCTTCTTGGATTGGTACCCTGGCGCCTGGGCCAGCGTCCAGGGCAGACCTCCACGGCCAGGGGGTTGCTGCTGCTCATCTTTGGGCGGGAGGGTGGCGGCGTTGATCTTGGCGAGCTTGGAAGGGAGCCGTGGGTACTTGCTGAAGAGCCGCTGCAGCTCGGGCGAGTCGTCGAGCACGCTGAACGGATGCGCGTTGCGCTTGCGGGTCTTGGAGGAGGCATCTTGGTTGGCTCCTAGAGTCGATGGTTTGGGAGGTAGGGTTGGCTTAGGGGGGTCGGGCGGGTGGTTCTCCTTATGGGAGCGAAAGCAGACCACAGAGCAGCTGGGTTCTGTTAGTACAGGTTGTTGGCCCAGCATGTATGTATGTTTGGCAGTTTCATTGATCACTCACTAGGGTAGTGAGCAGCGAGGGCATTTGTATTTGCCTTCCTGCTCCTCGCAGATTCCACATAGCCTCGGTTTTGGCTTTTCAGCAGCTTGTGGTTCCTCTGCTATTGCCTCCTCGCCATGGTCACCTGCAATAGCAGCAGCAGCAGCAGCAGGGTCAGTATCTTCAGCTGAGTTAGTGCTATCCTGGGCAACAGCAACAACAGCAGGAGGAGTGGTAGTGGCAGGTCCACCAGAACCATCTGACATGTCTTCAACACCTGTTGACATGGTTTGAAGTAGAAGTCAGCCCCATGGGTGCTGAGAGGAGGGAATAAGAAACAAATAGTAGAAGCTGTACGAGAGAAACACGGCGTTGTTGAAGATTTGAGCAGGGTTGCAGCAGTCAAGTGAGTTGCGCTAGGGAATGACTTGAAAGTTTCTGCAGGGGTGGACCATGAAGTGGGGGATCTGGGGTAGCCTGTTGAGGGGGATGACGCAAAGTTGACGGGCAAACAATTCTTTTCGCTTTTGTCAGCGAGGTAAGCTACGAAAGGCGACAACACTTTTGGCTGTCCGTTTTCTCATCGCCACAACACAAAAGGTGCAACACGACACTTTGGCTCTGCCCCTTTCTCTTCTCCTCTTTCTCTCTCTCAACATCTCCTATGGATTCAAACTAATAATGCAAGTCACAATGATTCCACGAAGAATCTCTACGTCCTCACAGAGCATCTCCTCCCGGGTGCGGGCATCACGGGCCTGCCTCGGTGCAAACCTCACAGCGCTCGCAAGGAGGCAAATCCACAGCAGCCCGTCATCACCATTCCCCGCCCTTGCGACCACATCACGACCATCTTTGGCCCTCAAACGATCCTCGCTCACCGTGGGCATACCTGCCACCCTCGGCCGACGCACTATATTCATCCAGACCGAGGGCACACCCAATGCAGACGCGCTCAAGTTCCTACCAAACCATCGAATCCTACCTGAGAACCTATCGACGCCCTTCATCGAGTACCTGAACCCGCGCAGCACCATCGCCCCGCCGCACCCCTCGCCGCTGGCCGCGCAGCTCATGAACATCGACGGGGTCAAGTCGGTCTTCTACGGCGCGGATTTCATCACGGTCACAAAGGACGCGGATGCGAACTGGGCACACATCCGACCCGAGGTCTTCTCGCTCATCACCGAGGCCGTCACGAGTGGTCAGAAGATTGTTAATGTCGTGGAGAAGAAGGACAACGCTGGTGCTGCGAGCGGCCCCCCGGAGGAGGTTGACAGCCTCGCATACGATGAGAACGACAGCGAGGTAGTCGGCATGATCAAGGAGCTGCTCGAGACCAGGATCAGGCCAGCCATCCAGGAGGATGGTGGTGATATTGAATTCCGCGGGTTCGAAGATGGAAATGTGTTGTTGAAGTTGAGGGGTGCGTGCCGGACGTGCGACTCGAGCACGGTCACACTAAAGAATGGTATCGAGGGAATGTTGATGCACTACGTAAGTTCTACTGCCTTTATTTTCCAGAGTGTAGGTAGGCTTGTGTGTGTGAGAGAACCCGTGCTGACTCTGTGTGGTTTAGATTGAAGAGGTGAAAGGAGTCATCCAGGTGATGGATGAGGAGGAGGAAATTGCCACGAGGGAGTTTGCCAAATTCGAGGAGAAGCTGAGGCAGCAGAAGGGCTCCGTTCCACCTACCTCGCCGGGTCCTGGGTCCATCGACACTGTTTCTGGCTAATCGATCCAACGCGCCGAGCCAACAACTGACGTGAGGTCCTTCGCAGAGATGCCAATGTCGGGTCTAGTCAGCCTCAAAAAAGAAAGTCACCCAACAGATGAGGAGGGCGCCTGGGGGGAAACTTGCAACCATAGAGATACCACAATACAATCCCGATTTGGAATACGTCGAGCCAACCTCGGAAGACATCTAGGGCTACGTTCATAATATACCAAGGTGGCGGTCGGTGAAATGAGAAAGATAGACAGAAATGGCACATGCGTCCTCGTGTTGAACGCCTTCGCTCACAAAAGCCCAGCGTCGTCTTATACTCTTCTCTCATACAGGTGTCCTCCCGTTCGTCCCAACTCAGTCCTTGGGCGCGAGGATGGGAGGCGAACGAATGGTTCGAATGAAGCAACATGATTCCGTCGCCACAGTTCGGCATGATCGAATTCGGTAATGCGCATTGTCCCCAGGGTTGCTATTGCCTTGGGACACTTCTGACGCCCACGAGGAGACGAGCTTTGGGACGCAGCTGCGAATGCGAAACTCCATTGGGAACATACCAACAAAGGCAACCCAACATTATGTCGCCAAGTCCTTCACACAGTTGGCTGGTCGATAATTCCCCCAACCTCCCCTCCTCCCGTGCCATGTCAGACGAAATCCTTCCCAACCGCACCAAACAACGACTCATAAGTGCGCTCACAGAGGAAAAAGTCTGAGAGGAGTGCTGAAAATAAGTCAAGCCTAGACTACTCGAGACAACATATTCATTAATGTGGGCAAAGGGTCCGTGGTTGTGCAGAGTTGACTGCCGGACCAACGAACGGCTGCGACCATGAGCCCAACTACTTCACTTGTACCAATGGTACCGAGGTCCTGTTTAATTGCACGGGTGGGTGTACTATCGATAATGAAAACAGCCCTCGGTGCAATGATGGTATTGCTTTCTATGTGGGCTGGTACCCGTACTGAGCCGTTACAAAGGAGAACGGCGAAAGTGGGTCGTGATGAACTGTCTCAATAACACTTCCTTGCGAGCATGATTGCTATCAAACGGAGCGTGAGGCTTGCGGATCAGTCAGGCTGCTGGATCGACGTGTTTAGACGGGAGGAGAGGAAAACGAGATCTATCTGTGTTGGTAAACGGAACGGTTAACTAGAAAATGGACCCGCGCTGGCACGCACTCTATACATAAAGGATACTATCCCCTTAGATCAGTTTGCTTAGATAAGATGGAATTAATGCTCAAGGCTTGTGCCTCAGACACACCTGACACTGTGCCATTTCCTTGCTCAACAATCTGCTACGCCGCAGGTGATGGATTGGGTCGGATCTACCAGACGATAGAGAGCTTGAGAATTATCCACATGAAAGAGCGGTTGTAAGATTTGTACTTAGGTATGGCATATCAACAATATTATGTATCAAATGAGCCTGCAAAAGTCACCAGAGAAGCCGCGCAAGCGAAAGAACAACAATAGCTTCACAACGAGGTTGGGTCCCTCATGATTCTATCTTCTCTCCGCTCTCTCAGCCCCTACTCACGACCCCAACCATATCTTGTCTTCTCTACATGGATCCCTTCCTCCGCTCTGTCCACCCCGCAGTTGCAACATGGGATGACTATAACGAGCGCGGCCACTCCAGCCTCACGTCGCACGTCGCATTCCCAACAGCAAACTTGGCCCAGCAAGACTCGCACTGCACCGCCATCATGCAAGGGGGTTGCGGCGGCCACTGCGTTTACACAGATCCATCGATCTGGCACAGTAGCGTGGCCATGGATCGATGGGGTGTCGTCTTTCATAGGCCCAGAACCCGTGGTGCATCTACGGCACAACTTGTCGGGCCCCCTCCCCCCCCCAAGAAAAAAAGACCACCGAGCTACCATCCTCACATATTCCCCCATAATCCTTTCTGTTGGCATTACCACGTAATGTGCCAGGGCATAGTGACGTAACTTTACTGAGCCACTGAGCGTGGCAGGGCAACCACCACCACTTCCTGTAGCACCTATGTTTATAGCCTCAGATGGGCTTGGGCTCTTGGCCCTTTTCTCGGTCTTCTTCATCTTCTTTCCTCAGAGCTTTCCTCCTTACGCCAGCCACTTCTGGTTCTCGACCTCGGTTCTCAGTGTGTCTATCATATTCGCAACTTGGCGGTTGAGTTGGTCACTTCGGATGCGGGCCGCCAACCTCCTCTCTTTCTCGAGGAGCCGCAACAACATCGAGTACTTGAGGCAGTACTTGGATAATCCCTCCTTCATAGGGCCTACTGCGTCCATATCTCGGACCAGTTCGTCGATGAGGTCCGCCGAGGCCAGGGGGTCATAGCCGCCGCTTTGGTGTACCTATTTGCCTCGTCAGTTCCGTCCCCGCCCCGTTGTACGCGCAGAGCGCTGAGGGGCCACCGCTAGATGGCTTACCGCCAGGCCATCTATCCTGTCCCTGATATTAGGTGTGACTCTTGGATTTGGCAATGAGTTCTTCCGTAAGTTGTCTTTCTTTATTTCCTGCTGCTGCCGCTGCTTCTGTCGAATATCAAGGCGCCCGGTAGCCCGAGACGACCGCCGAGACACCACCGCCAGTCCCCCCTCAGCCGCAACACAGCGCCTCCTCTGCGCGGCCTGGTCGTCCGTCTGGTCCTCAGAGACCGTCCACCGCACGCATCGAATATTGGTAACGGCGCCACGAGGATCCCTCGGCACGCGACGTGGGCTACCCCTGCATGCGGGTTCAGGATGCGCCATGCAAGTAACGAGCCCGCAAGATATATTGCTAGGCAGAGAGGTCGTTTTAGAGATGATGGCTTGGAAGGTGTGTGCTTACAGTCTCTGAGAGCCATGTGCCTCCTCCATTATTGTTCTGTAGTTAGTCTGTGTGCAACTCTCCCACGCTGGTGTTGCGCGCAAGGCTGCAGACAAACAGGTGAATTGTTCGTGCAGTCAACTGAAAAGTACCGGATTCTGGCCTTTTCCCAGTGTGTCAATCGTTGGTAACAGTCTGTCTATAAGCTTCTCGCTCAGGGGGTTTGTTTGGTGGAAGCAGGCAATTTTCATGACGAAGTCTCGACGTGCTTTGAGAAAAGGCAGAGGGAAAACGAGGTAGACCGGGGTAAGGAAGTTGGCCCCCGCCTTGCGCTGGTATTGTAGCTTGCACGTGTATTCTCAGTCGGACAGGGAAAACGGCTGGGTGGCGGGCGCAGGCGCTGCGTCACCATGCAGCAGGTAGCGAGAATCCAATGAGAACGCACCTCCAAGCGTGTTTACTTCACATATTCGCCGACTAGGCATACAAATGAGCTGGTCTGGACCCAGACAGAGTTTTAGCAACATGGCTAACCGGCCTTGGAAAAAGTCAGACTGGGAGAGGGCAAAACAAAGGCCACGATGTAATTTGGGTAAACCCTTCATATCTCTATATTCAAGGTTTAAAACAAGAAAGAAAATGAAAGAAATGAAAGGGTTGACGTGGTGCCATGCCCAAGTCAGTCCAATGATAATAAAATCGCTCTGTAATTAATCTGCCGCAAATACGTTAGACAGTCCTTGCTGTCTGTTTGTCTCTGTCGTTCGTTTTACCTTTTTACAGTTTATATGACCGTTCAGCCGCCCTTCAGGAAACCCAGCGTTTTCTTCTTTAAATCCGACGTGCTGCTGGTCGCGGCCCCCGGTCCAGGCTCGACGGCTTTGCTTCGCTGGTAGAGTGCCTGTGAATGAAAACATAGTCAGCCCACCAAGTACTTCACACCCCATAAAAGTAATAATGAACCGCGATGGCAAAACCCAGCAGCGAGCACACTTACATCTTCATCCAGCTCCATCCGACAATCCAGTACCAGATCCCTACATGCCTGGTGTTGCCTGCTCACCTCGACGTACGGCGCCCCCTGACTTTTCATGATGGGTAGCAAGATCTCGCCTAGGATCTCGAACTTCTTCCAGTTGATCCGATCGCCATTCGGCCCCACGAACGTCTTGTTTCCTTCCTCCGCAGCCGTCAGGTCTTTACGGTGCAGCGCCATGTATGGTATGCGCGGCAGTGGGCTGTTCTCCCACGCAAGGCGGTACGCAAACGACGACTTGGCCTGCAGCATGAGTTTCTCGGCGCTCTGATACTGCTTCCAGACCTCAGGGCGGACCCCGGCCATCGTGGCACGCAGGCGCGCGATGTTGGCATTCTGGAGGCCCGCGACGATTGCGCCCAGCCCGTTGTAGTTGTTCAGCTTCCGCAGCTTGTGCGCAATGATCATAAACTTCTCGAGACATGGCGCCCGGTGCTTCGCCTTGTCGCGGATCAGGATCATGTTCTGCACCCACTTGGCCACGTGGTTGAAGTGCGAGATCAGCCGGTTGGCGTTCTTGAGAGACCGGCACTTTTCCTTCTCCGCCGACGACAAGCTGACGTGCCGCACCCAATCGCGGATCCGCACGCTGCTGAACATGACCCAGTCGATGCGCGTGATCTCCTCGGCGAGCTCATCCGCGCTGAGGTCCATAAAAATGTGATACCGCACCTTGCTGAGCGGCAAGGAGGCCTGTGGCACCATTGTTGCCGCCTCCCGCTCGTAGTCCTCGTACGTGAAGTACTGGTAATTCGTTTCACCCGTCCCGAGATCTCGTTCCCCGTGGGACGAAAGCTCGGACACCGCTGACGGCCGACGTACCTCGGCCGATTCTGCCGGGTCCCGTATTTTGAGGGAATCCATCGACCCGCCCAGATTCACTTCCAGCTCTTTGGACTCCGCGGCAGCCTCTGCGCCTTCGTCCTCTGCTGGTGGGTCATCGGCATGTGCCCACCCGGTGTCGTCGTCCTCTGTCACGAAATTCTCTAGCTGAGCCCTCATCATGCTCGCAGCTGCGAGGAAAGCCGGCTCGGTTGCCAGGTGTGCTATAAAGCGCTCGAGCGTCTTCTTCGTCTGGGGCCGGGCAAAGTCGCCGGGGTAGAGTGAAACCCATTTGGCTACGACCTCGATGATGCGCATCTGCGTGCCCTTCTTGATCAGATAGTGTGCTGTCTTGTCGTCTTTGGCGCGCTCCAGCCTGGCGAGGATGGCCGAGAACAGGTGTCCAGGTCTGGCGAATTTACGATAGAGACAGAGGAAGACGTCTGCAAAGTTTTGGTCTGCCCTTGTCATCCGCGGCGCGAGAAGTCTGTCGACTAGATCATCAAACGTGACGCCCATGGTCTTGGCCTGTCGCTCCATGAAATTCTCATCGCTTCGCTGCAGTATCGGTAGGTCTTCTGTCATCGACGTGCGGAAGGAGTCGACGTCCGATTCGTCCATTTCATTAAAAGGGTCGCCGATGTCTAATCGTACGCCTGACTGCCGAAGCTGGGTCGACACCGGCGGGTTCAGGACCTCATCCCCAAGATTACCTCCTGAGAAGGCGCGCGGCGGGCGTGCGGATGAGGTCCTATAATAGTTGTCATTCGAGCCCGAGGAGAATCCCTTTAGTAGCGACAGGTCAGAGCTTGCCCTGCTGTGCTTGCTGTGCTGGGATTCGGGGCGGCCATTGTTTAGCGGATCTGGTAAAGGTTCTAAATTTGCGGCTGAAGCAGCACGCCTGCGTTGACTGGCAGTGTCCGACCTATCAACCCCTAGGCCACCAAAAATACGGCGTTAGCTACGAGTTCTGGTTGCGTCTCTTCAAGATCATGATCCCCTAAAGTCGTCGCCGCCCTATATTGCCTTGCGAGGAGAATGAGCAGCTGGGGACGTGTGTACCTTTTCGATGACTACCGACAACTGTTCGTAACATAGCCTGTAGACACTCTCTCTGACTGTTCGGCGAGGTCGCAGAAGTGCAGAAACTGGCCATCACGGAGGGGAAGGCGGCGGAGACGCTGGCGGTGTCGAGCTCGCGGACATCCTCAGGAGCATCGCACTTGGTCGCAACGAGGAAGGAGGTATAGTTGCTAACGGAAAGAGAAGCTAATGGAAAGAAGAACAAGCAGAGAAGAATCAGCAACCACACGCAAGATATAGATTAATGAATGCGAGAGGCTCTTGACCCACAGAAAGTCTTGGGTAACAGCTTGATGCTCTCTTTGCTCGTCACGTCGTATAGGACCATGGTGCCGTCGACCCTTGGGGTCATCTGGCCATTGGCCTGCCTCGGCCAGCGAATCGGCTCGTTCATCTCGAGGTCGAAACCCTCCAGGTCCACCTCGAAAGTGTGGACCGTGTGTTGGGTGCCATCGGCCTCGGTCCAGTTAAAGGTGATGATGGCGCTGGTTGGCGGCTGTGGCAGCTTAAGCGCGCGCTGCACGAAGGACGACTTGCCCACGCCATTGGCTCCTATGATTGCGATGTTGATGGAGTCCATGGTATTGCACTTGATCACGCTGTCGCGCAGAAACAGCGGCGGCGTCTTTATAGAAAAAAAGGGTCACGACAGGGTTGGTCAGCCAGCTATAATCTAAGCCTCTTCTCCCGTGTGTCTGTGTATCTGTGTGTGCGTGTGTGCCATCAACCGACCACCTGTTATATGCGACTCCTCTCCCCTTGCCTGACTTTAGGAAAGGAGAAGAAAGCAGTAGCAGGCTCGGCTCTCTTTTGTTTGGACCGGTGAATTTGTGTGTGTGTGTGTGTGTCTCTGTGTGTGTGTATAAAAGCTAAAAGCGTACCCCTGATGTCGCGTTCATCAGCGAGTCTCTGCGAGGAGGCCAGGGCTGCAGCGCAGTCCCATGGCGCGTTGGGATCGGGTGAGGGCAGGTGAAGCTCCGGGGCAGGCCTCGCGCATCGACGTGTCGGTGGAGGAAGGGATCGTAGGCAGCGGACAGGATAGGGCGCAGGGAGGAGGAGGAGGAGGAGGAGGAATCGGCCTCTTCGTGAGGCGGCGGCGTCGTCGGCAGAGGCGTCGGAGGAGCAGCGAGGGTCGTTTGTGGGTCCTCGGGTATCGTGACGAAGGATGAGGAAGGATTGGGTTCAAGGACCCTCCGGCGGGGAGCACGGCGGTTGGCCGCAGGGCTGACGCACGTGGAGGCTGATGATAAGATGTTATCGTAAACATGCTGGTCTTTGGATTGGGGTTTGGTTTGGGTTCTGAAGAATGCCATGACAAGTACTGTCTGTATACATGTGGATGATTGCCAGATGCGACGGTGCAGTCGTAGCACCAGCAACAGCAGCAACCAGTAGTGGCAGTGGTTGCGTAGCTGGTGGATATAAATATATATTTATATACATATATTTACATCTATAGGTCGTGACATGGCACGAACAGAGGAAGGAAGGGAGAGGAGTTTGAAGAGAGGGGGGGGGGGGCGAGAACACTCACGAGCTGATCCCGGACGGCTGCGACGGTAGGATGGAGGACCGGACACCAGCGGCTCACGCGAGCAGCCGATAGGTAGGCAAGTAGGGGATGAAGTAGGTAATTCGGCAAGGGCCTTGATCAACAAGGCTTACAGGTTGCTTGCAGGACCATACACGCACACACACGCACAAAAGTATTACCCCGTAGTCGTAAGGCGCAGTCGCAGTCGGGAACCCGTGCAGTGGGGGATGCAAGGCGGGCGTGTGGGTGTGAGCGTGTGTGTACAGTAGTAGTAAGAGTAGTAGCTGAGCAATGGATCGTCCGGAGAGCTGACGGCCCAGACTTCGTAATGGATCGTCGGCTCCAGCCAGGTAGTGGTGAGTGAATGCGTACGGGGAGGGATCGAGGTCGTCGCAGCACGCAATGGCTAGCTGCAGCCGCGGCCTGGTGTCCGTCTCGATTGGTGGTGTCCTGGGATTTGGAGGGCGAAAAGAAAGAGTATTGGTTGCCAAGAGCGGGCCGGGAAAAACGCAAGATGCAGGGTGAGGAACGTGGATATGCGGGTCAGGGGGGTGGTCGTTCTCTTAGGTGAGGATGACTGATGGGCGAGGACGAGGAGGGAAGGATGTATGTTGTATGTGTGGATGTGGAGAGACAGAGATAGGGAGAGGAAGGAGAAACCCAGTGTGGGATTGCGCCCCGTACTTTCCCCTAGAGTCGTAACAGACCAACATTCGATCGTGAGAGAAGAACGAAGGGGGGGCAAATAAAATATTAAAAAAAAAAAATATTGAAAAAAAGAACGGGGTCAAACAAGGGCAGGAGGAGAAGGAGAAGAGAGAGACCACATGCTGCAGTCCCCCACATGGTCTGGTCTGGAGCTTCGGATGGACAGACAACTTCCTCTCTGGCGCGCTGATGATGAGATCTCAATCAATCCAGGGTTCTCGTTCTCTCCAGAGCAAGGGAAGTGGGGACAAACTCAAAAGACCTTGCTTGGCGCGATGGGGCAACAAGGATCGCTACTCACACGCCTAAAATAAGCAGCAGCCAGTCTACATGTACTTTGTACCATACAGCGGCTGGGCATTTTTTTTACCACCGGAGAGACAACGACGACGACCACTACCACCACCACCGTTTCCCTTGGTTCTTGACCTTGAAAAGACTTTCCCCCTCTCTGCTCTGACTGATTGAATGAGCATGGTCTGATACGGACTCTGATCACCGTAAAGGACAATTTTAAGCAATGGCAAAGCAAGACAAAGAGGATACTGGGACTGAATGAAACCCTACTTACTGGCATGGCATCTTGGCCGCATACATGCTGAGATGTGGGGGCGCAGCTGCAAGTGCGGACTATTTTGTACATACATATGTACGTACGTACTAACAGGCAAAAGATCTCCCCTCTCTTCGCAGCTGAAAGCCATGTACAACCATTATAATACAACATCGACCCCCTCCCTCCCCCCACAAAGGAGAGCGCCTCATCTGTGACGAGAAGCAACACGGGCTGCAGCTGGCACGGCAAGGATTCGGAATCTCCATTCACACCGCGACATCTGTCTACAACGGCAACTCATCATCCATTCAATGTCGTCCACTCATTCGAGCGCCCTGGGTTCGTTTTTTTATTTTAATATTCTTACACAGAAATCCCGTTCATTGTTTGTTTGTACTATAGTATATGCAAAACAGTACATCGAGACTTGCCACTAGTCCATCTTGGGCCAGAGCAATTGTCGCGTCCAGATACTCCGCAGCATCATGGTAAAGACGACGGCCCAGACGACCACCAGGAGGCCGGCCATGACACATCCCACAATCTCGAGAGGGTTGCAGTTGAACGCCTTTCCGATCTGATACGTGGCAGTCACCAGGGCAGTATTGGGGAATACGAACGAAAAGAACGTCATCTGGAAGGACACTTTTGTCTTATGGTCCGGCTCGGCATACTTCCAGAATGACCCGATCGATACGATGAAGAACCTGCTCGTAAACGGGGCTTAGAAAAAAAGGAGAAGAAGCAAAGACTTTTGCAGTGGCTGAGTGAGACTCAGGTGTCATCATCATCCAAGTACGTGTACTTACCAGACCGCTAGGCCCCAGAGCCACAGCCCAATCATGGCCGAGAGTAATTTCAGGATGAATACAGCATGTTCCGTCATACCTGGCTCCATAAAGTCCTCAGGTAGTATTTCAGCTGCCAGACTGCCGAGTTCCACTGGCAAAGAAGAAAGAAAAGATGATAGGGACATCTGTCAGTACAGCCTGCAAGTGCCCCCTGATAAATCGGGGTATATCTTGAGGTGACGGGCAGGCTTACCGATTCCTGCCGTGGTAAATCCACTGGGTCCGATCGAGATGAACACACCAGGCCGCTGTGTATCTCGTGGTAATTTTTGCGTCATGAGTCTGTATATAAAGGCCGCCAGGACCATGAAGGAGAGACTAAATCCCATCCCCTGGACGGCCACTGCGGCCATCGTGATGGGCAAGCCGTTGATCTGATTGACCTCACCTACCTTTACGGCCGCGTTAATGAGGTTGGCAGCGAAAGGGGCCGTGATCAGGAGAGGATACGCAGGAAAGACCCAGACAGGCGTCATGGTGTGTATCGGGAAAGTCATGGTCGACCACAGGATCACGTAGACGGTGCTGCTGGCCGAGACAGCCAGCACTGTCCACATCCAGAACAGAACCTCCATTGTGTGGAGTAGCCAGGGGCCCGTATTCGGGACACCGTATTGACATATATTGATGCAGATGGTCCCGAGCCTTTTCGATCAGGTTAGCCGCTGCGACGTCTCTATGCCGATTTCAGCCATGACGAAACGTACGAGACAATCTGCACACTCGCTTAGTCACCGGTCCAATGAATACACATCTGCAGAATATATAAGGATGGCTGGCGACTTACACTAGCTGGGATGAAAAGCGACTCGAACTGATCAGTGAACGAGTTTCGCAGACTCCCGGGCCGTAGACGGAAACGCATCACCAACAGGACCGTATTGGTGATGAAAATGCAGATGTTGAAAAAGAAGAATATGAGTCCGATGATGTCTAACCATCGGGCGCGAAATGGTACTGAGAAAGTCGATACTAAGCTTGACAGTTCTTCTCTCCAGGAAGGGCCACAACTTGCGAGGTGTGGTACTTACTTGACGCAAGGACATTGGCAATCCCTCCTGTAGCCATTGTCGACGTGAACCAAGTCCACTGAAAGCATGCTATTCGGTCCTTGATGCTGACGGTCCCTGTCTCGCCCAGATTCTTGGATCTAGAGACTAGCTCGTCCACACTCACAGGATGTCGCGAGACATCATGTCGCCTCTGGTCCATCCGATCCAGCTCGTTCAGGCGGCGGATCAAGTAATTCGCAGCCACTGGAGACGTGACGGTGTGCTCGGTCGGGGATTCGTACCCGAGCCCCTGGAGGTGCGGCGGCGCAGTCATAACTTGTCTACCGTGTCGGACAGCTCACGAAAGCGAGGAAGAAGCTTCGAAATGATATAAAAGACAGCAGCGACCTCTGGATATGCAAATTGTAGATAGATGCGCAGATGTAAAAGATTATGAAGGAAAACAACTAGAGTCATCCCAACGTAAGAAAGATCGGCCAAGGTCATAGCTGGCTCGCATCCACCCTGGGATCTAATCCAGTACGTAAGACTGAGTGATGCTGCTGAGTCCTCAGCTGTCACATCCGCCCCGAGAGAAAGACGAAATATCCAGAAGGCTCTTGGTTGCTCGAGGGCGTTTGTCGTGGTCAAGATGGTTGTCTGCCGCGTCTTTGCGGTGAGTGATAGGCGCGGAGGCGGCAAAACGGACTGCCGCAGGTGCACGGTAACATCCGCCTAGGCGACGCTGGTGAGATCAAGGGCCATTTTCCTTTTGGCCGAGGATAAAACGATGATGTGTTCCCAGAGGACTGTCCAGAGCAGGTAGCCAGTATTCATATGCAGTACTGCACCGAAATAGCAAGACGTTGCTGCAATGAGTTCCAGACCGAATCAGCGAGCATCTGACGTTAACGCGCCCCGAGGCAGGAAAACAGGATTCTTATACTCTCCAAACACCGCTAGGTTTTCTTTTTCCTCCCCTGCCGCAATACCCGCCTGTTTCTAGCTGCCAAACCTGAAAAGATCAACATATAATAGTGCCAGTCTTTATCTTGCTGGCTGTGGGAAAAGCGGGTCAGCAAACACCCTAACTCTGGGTTATTCCAATAATGCGCATCGCCAGTGAGGCCGCGATAAGCTCATCTCTTATTCTCTCGATCCCTATTCCTGCTCAGAAGCTGCCTTTTCTGCCTCATTAGTACATGGCACATACACACTTCGAGCGGCTCGCCGTATTGAGTGCATTGATATTCGTCAGGAAGTCCTTTGGTAATTGTATGCTCTCGAACGGGGGACGAGCTCCCACCGAGTCGCAATCGATTGCTCATTCCTGCTTGACGAGAGCCCACGCACGACAGAGCAGCCGTCAGGATGCAGGCTGATCCCCTGTGATCCTCTTGCATCATGAGAATAATTCCTATCATCGATCCCTGTTCATTTCTGCTGGGGCTGTGGGAGGTGGTACGGTAGAAGACGGCCGTGGCTGCTGTGGCTATGGGGCCAACTGCACGCTCGTTGGTGAGAGGATGAAGCACTCGGCAGACTCACGGGTCCTAAAAGAAGAGAACTTCCTCTATGCAAGATCAGTTAAACCGGCTGTTCGACCCCTGAAACGCAAGTGCTTGACAAGGACGATGCACTGGTTGGTGTGTAGGAGTTTCCTGGACTACTCCTTCCTTATTTGCCGTTGCCCTCCAAGGTGGACAACCCATGCTCACTCAGGTCATGTCCTGGGACCAAGACAAGGCAGGAGCCATGGTCGGGTTCAATTTTACATCATCAAGCCCCCCCCCCCCCCCCACCCACATATCCTTCAGGCTTCACTTTGAGAAGTTTCGAGGTCGCTCGCTTCTTGCAGTCAATTCTCCAGTCACAAGACTGTCTTTACATCCTCATCATCTCCCTTGCTACAGGCACCCTCTCTACGAATGCCGAATTTGTCCTCAAAATAACCTTCTCTCGTTTGTCGCCTTTTGATCTCCAACCAGCGTGTAAAACATCACCCAGGTCCATCTCTCTAATCTTGTGCTCTCTCCTGAGCTGTTTCCTCGTGGTTTTATACCCCCCCGGCGAAGACAACGCTCGGACTGCTATGCTGCGGTCGGTTCAAGTACCTCTAAAGGACGCTGAACCATCTAGATACGCATGTAGTCATGGCTTGGGATGCATGCGTCGATCTTGGCACAATCAAGGTCTCGAGTGATCCAGACGCGAAGTTTATGCTTGCCGTCCGGACTTCGGCATCACTGTCTTTGCCAGATGACCAAGAAGACATCTCAGCAGCCGAGCTGCGCCATCTAGTCAGATCTGGGTCCATATGGGTCACTCGAGGTGCGCCCTGCGAGTTCCAGCTGAGTATCGGCTTTGCGAGCCCTCTCGACGGCGGCTTGCAAGAGGATCTGGAACATGTCATCATCCGAGCTCTCGAGTCTCTTTCTGTGAGCATTTTCAGTCTCTACGCCGAGCCCAGCAACGGCCGCATACTAAATGCAGTCAGGCATGGAATGTGCTTGGGGTGGATCTCCGACGGGAGTACAACGGATTCCACAGACCGCCAGGCTCCAAGTCGTCATATCCTTATTCTGTGCATCACATTCTACAAAACTCCGGCTTGGTTTGCCCAAGCCATGTCAAATGTGCCTATCTTTCCATAATATCCTGCAATTTGTTTTTTGGTATGAAGAACGCAGTCGAGGACAAGATCCAGGTCGAAGAAATGGCCAGATCCGAAGCGACGAGGATCACGACTCTGCCACCGCATACCCAACAATTCCGAGATTTTCGAAGAAATCCTCCACGGAAAGCTCGAGGAGCCACCAGAGACCAGCGAGATATTCCAATATACGACCTTGGATCGAACCTCCAGAAGGATAAGCTGGGGTCTCTGACGCACGCAGCGTTAAGTCTATTGCTCGGCTCCAGGAAAAGATTTGATGGTATTCGTTGCATAAGGCCAAGGGATTGCGTGACGCTCCTTGATATCGCTCCAGCTGTTTGGAGTGCCCACTACTTTCAGGTATGTTATTGTGTAGTCCTCGCTGACACACGACTCTGATTCAAACCGCAGGAAATTGCGGCCCGGGTCCAGTTGGCACCTCTGATCTCGTCAGCCCTTGGGAATATGCTCAACTCGAAATCGACCCGACTTCGACAGATAGTGCAGACTCTGGCATCTGATCCCATAGCAGAGCTTCGCAAAAAGACGCTGCTACTCATTCTGCGGTCTACACCTGCGCGTATCCCCAATACTCACCAACCCGAGCGCATACAGAGCAACGATCTCCCACGAGGCTCTTTTGAGGTGGCAATGTTAAATACGCAAGCTCATGAGTCCAGTCCATCCCCCGAACCAGACTCTGCTGATTCATCACAAAACTCAGCGTCAACCCATAGCACACTGTCCGCTGCACAAGTTGATAGAGACGCCGCTGTCTTCATGTCAAGTGTTATGCAAAGCCAAAGCTTCTCATATGAAAACGCTTCCACATATCATCAAGCTTTGCGTGCTGCACAGACTCGACAGCCAAGCATGCGAAGGTTCAATTCTGCTCCGGACAGAGCCTACTTCAGCAGTCGAGACACACGGAGGCGTAAACGCCACTCGAGCCAGGTCCAAGCCGATATCAAGCTCACGGCCCAAGCTGAAGGTCGCAGATCGCCCCGAGTGGGCATTCACTCTCAAGGATGGGCGAGACGACAACCGCAAGAGCTCATTGGCCCGAGCGTAGAGCCAGTGGATGACACAACCATGTACTCATTCGGAGAACTCATGGAAGCTAATCAGGGCTGTTTTGCGCCAGAAGAACTTGACGATAAAGATTTGACCCAAGCTGATGAACATATTGATATCTCAAGTTACGGTCAATACGATGAGATGTATCTCGAAGCTGAGAGGGAACGGGCAGATTTGCTGGCCTGGGAGCACTCAGAGCATGATCCGCTCGCATCTGAGTATTTTCGGGACAGTAACAACCACCTTTTCCACCCGCAAGCCGAACAATGTCCGCCACAATTTTTTCTGTCCGAGTCCTTGCTTCCCAATCTAGAATCTGCGCGATTCCAGAATGATGGACTCGATGTGGCTCACGAGCCCTATGGGCGGTGATGGTATCCCGGATTACATGTTTGGCACATACAGTGGGCAGGATCTTGGCACGCACACATTTCTATATGAAGGTAGATTCTTTACATATCATTATAGAATTGCTATCTGGGTTTTCAAGTTCACTGATGGAGAGGGCGGAAATGATAGGCACTAGTCCCGACGAACCTGTCACGAGCCGTGGCAATGGATGGCTGGTCAAGTCTTTGTAGAGCTCTCGAAGCTGGCACCACGATGTTATGAGCTGGCACCAGAGCGGATTCATGTGAAGCGGCATCTGCTATTGAGTCAGGAATTGACAGTAGAAGATACACACTTACAGACGACTCAGGCATTGAACACCCACGTTTAGTGGGTATGGTTCCAATTAATCTCATCGCTCATGTCTCTCTCTATTAACGCCAAAATTTATCATCTACACGCGCATTATATCTTTGCGGCACCTCTGAGAACGGAAACCCCAATCACGACCAAGTGCCCTTCCAGCATCCATGCAACCAGGCACTCGTCACCACCATTGCATGGTTTAGCAACCCCTTCCACACCAAGTCAGGAATAATTCTTCCTTGAATGAGTATCCTGTACCCAGTCCATCCATCAGGCCCCAAGACACCTGCTTCGACCACCCCATCATCATGCACCTGTTCATAGACAGGGCTGCCCATGGGCACTGCCTGGGACTAGTGTTCTGACCCTCCGTGGGTAGGATGATCGACGGAATGATAGGGCAAGATTATTTCTTGCCGCCGCCCTTCTTGTCACCCTTCTTCTTCTTCTGCTCGGGCTTCATGGTGACCCAGTGGATGTACCAGGCGAAGACGATCTGGGCGATCATGGAGAGTAGGACGACAACGAGGATGGTGAAGATGTAGGGCTGATCGTTGAGGACAGCGACGACCTGGGGGGTCGCGCCGATCTTGAGGAACCAGTCGAATTCGCCCATTTTGTCTTATTGATGCTATCCCTTTAGAGATGGCGATTTTGTGGGAAGTAAGAAGTGCGTCTCGTGGTTGTCTGTTATAGAGAGGTGGTTGGCTGAAGCGACTGGCTTGATTCCGCTTGCCCGCAAGACGATTTGATGAAAATATTAGAAGGAGAGAACACTGGTCCAGCCGATGAAGATGATGATGATGATGACGACGACGACAACGACAACAACGACGAGAGGTAGATTAGGAGAAGGTCTTGGCGTAAGAAAGGTCAAAAGGAGAGAAAGCGGAGGGGAAGAGAAGTAAAGTCCAAGAGAGAGAAAGTCGTGCGTGAAGTAGCAGCAAGATGATACAAACCCCAGTTCGCCCACCTGGTCTCCTTGGCTGGGGCCGGGCCCTCGCCAAACAGGAGAGCCGCCGCAACCCCTTCGAGGATCGAAACTCGGCGGTTTCAGAATTGCGGCAGACTTCAAATCATCCCACATTAGCTAAGCGCCCAGCCTACTGGACCCTCGTGTACATTCCGTCCCGTCTTTGTGGAATCAATATGCCATGTGCCAGTTCCTTTCTCACCCCCCCTTGAGTCGATCCTCAAGTTATCTCCGTAACGGTTGCGCGGCACGCTGGGTGTTTTCTTGGTTGAGAATAGGTAAAAGGATCCAAGGAGCCTGAGTCGAGTGAGGTTCACGGGCAGGGGCTGGGATTAGGTCATCCCCGACTTGTACTGCTGTAAGCCTGTGTCCCCTCTGGACCCCCGTAGCTATTGGCTATGGAAAGCGGGTTATGCTTGTTAGAGCTTGGCGGCGGCTAGGTGGTGGTCTGTGTACGTACCGTTGGCATTCTCAGCTTAGTCACCACTCTAGACAGAGACCCCTGTCGAAAATTTGGGCACTGGAACATCGCGAGAGCTTGGAAAAGCTTGGGTGGAACTCACGACAACGTTCCTCACGCGCCCCATTTCAAGCGACCCACGCCCGCGCTCACAGTCGGCAGTCATGAGTGTGGCAACACCAGCTGCCAGTCGCCTACTCTGCAGGTCGCTGGCAGCCAACTCGGCCAAGACCTCGAGCCGCGCACTCGCCGCTTCAAGAGCAGCAGCAGCACCATCGTCACCTTCACCATGCCACTACCACCACCAACAGCGGCACCAGCTCCATACAACCACGCCGCTCGCCGGCCGCAGAAAGCGCTCGCCTTTTCGAAATGTGAAGGCTGAGAAGATGGGCCTGCTGGACCCGGAGCGGCCCGAGGTGATGCAGAACTTCAAGAACAACATCTCGGCCGACTACGACGACGCGGACCTCGAGGCGCTGCGCAAGCGGTACACCCCCGAGCAGCTCGAGGCGCTGCAGATTGGCGAGCATGCTGTGTCGGCCGAGGACCTCGTGGTCCAGGGCCGGCTGCGCAATGACCCCTACCGCATGATGTACCACGACGACTTCGCGACGGTGCGGCCGCACGTGGACAAGCGAGTGCGGAGCGGCAAAGCCGTGGACACGTCGGCGCGCTTCATGACGCCGGACGAGTTTGGGGATGACTTTCTTGAGTTCGTGCGCGAGCTCGACCTGCAGCACGGCGAGAGCAAGGACGTCATCGACATGGAGCAGGCGCTGTCCCTGTACGAGGAGATGCGGAGCAAGATGCTGAGCAAGGGCGACGGCAAGCCGCCTACGAAGCGCGAGCTGATCGAGTCCATGGACCGGATCATTGGCGCCCCCGAGATGCCGAACCTTGCTGAGCTTGTGAAGGGGAGGAATGCGGGTGAGAAGGACCAGGTGGAATTTGAAGAGGAGGGGACGGCTTCTGAGGACGGAGGGCTCAGCGAGGCGGACATCAAGGCGGGCGCCATGACGGAGCTGACGACGTACAAGTACCTGATGGAGCGCAACTCGATGACAGGTTTCGACGGCGGCATCAACGACACGGCGCTCGCGCCTGAGCTGCCCGAGAAGATCCCCGGCGTGGCTGGCCTGTACAAACAGCAGATGGACGAGTCGGACGCGATGCTTGACCCTGAGGGCAAGTATCAGGAGCTCAAGAGGCAGACGGGCATGAGCACCAAGGAGATCATCAACATCTTCAACAGGCACTGCAAGATCCTCGTCCGGCGGTACGTCTCCAACCAGACGCGTCTGGGCAAGATCCGCAGCTCCTACGTGCTCGCCATCGCGGGCAACGAGAACGGCCGGCTGGGTATGGGCGAGGCCAAGTCGGTCGAGACCGAGACGGCGACGCAAAAGGCCAAGTTGCTGGCCATCCGGAACATGCAGCCTATCCGGAGATATGAGGACAGGACCATCTATGGCAATGTCGCAGGCAAAGTCGGTGCCACTGTTGTCAACCTCTATGCGCGGCCACCTGGTATGTTTGCATCTGACTTCAAGATTTCTCTGCGTGTTTCTTTTTCTTTTCATTCGTGACCATTGGGCCAGAGTTTATACTGACAATGTGACAGGATTCGGTCTTCGCGTTTCCCACCGGTTCTTCGAAATGGCTCGAGCTGCAGGCATTTCGGATCTGGCAGCAAAGATGCCCCGGTCCCGCAACCCCATGAACTCTGTCAAGGCCTGTTTCCAGGCCCTGACCAACCAGCCAGATCCCGAGCAGATTGCCCGCGGCAGAGGCAGAAAGCTCGTCGATGCGAGAAAGGTGTACTATGGTGGTGCCGTACATTAATTAGACAAGACAGAAAATCTGTACAAAATTCTGTATCATCTGACCGATCCGTATCCCGTCACAGTTCCCTCCTCGAGGCGGGATCTCATCTCGTGACCGTGCCTCACGTCGTCGTTGGTACCCCAACTACTCTTCTCTACAGGATATGTCCTTTCCAGGCTGTAGTATGTCGTGCTGGTGCACGGTACACCCTCTCATAGATTGCCTGGGCGTCATGCCTCCTCTTTAGCGTGTTTGCTCGCCAAGTAGTGACCCAGCACAGTAATAGTAGTGGCCGTGGCCCAAAGAAGTATGTCTTGTGTTTTGAATGATTCTTAGTCACGTGCTGTTCATTGCTGCGCTTGGTTGCCCCAATCCAACTCTTGCTGCAACACAATGCTGTAGACGCTCGTCTTGAGAAGCGTGAAGACCAAGCTTGTCTTGCGCTCGAGTTCGCGCAGGCCGTCGAGGATCTCGGTCGTGGGCTGGGCTGCCATGGTGTCGAGGATAGAGGCCAGCTGTACACATAAAAGAACAATGTCAGCGACATGCAAACACATGTGTCTGGATTTCAATCGCGACAAGCGAGAGAGTCCCGTTGGGGTTTGGATCCGGGGGAAGGGGGGATCATTGTTCACCTTCTTCATGTTATCCGCAAGTCGCACATATTCGTCTATGACCTCTTGCTCTGTGGGCGAGAGCTCTTCACCCGGAGAGAGGAGCGCGCGGTCGTCCATATTGCTGAGCGTTGACAGCTGTTGCGATGATGATGAGGTCAAAGATCGCGTATTTGGAGGTCGTGAGAAACGCGTCGCGAAGAGATAGACAAAGACATGGAAAGAGCGAGCCAGGTCTGACGTGGGGCCTACTTAATTGGCGGGGACCCTAAACCACAAGTTCCACCTGCGGCTCTACGCGCAAGCGGGAAAAATGGTACTCTTGCCCCCGCCCAATTCTGGTGGAGAGATAAGTACTTCCAAGTACATGCCATTTGACAAGTTCCTGACCTGGCATCTATCTCACTCCCTCACTTGCTCTCTACACTCACAAGGCACAGCCATCTCACAGCCATTGGAGGATTCTGAAGGCTCATAGACTTAGTTTATGCAACGCATGCGAACTTGAGCTCTGGATCTTCCTTGTACATTCTAGTGAAGATGTCCTGGGACTCCAAGACCGCCTCACGGCGCAGGCAAAACTCCAGCGCCGCCTCGACTCGCTCACGAGGTCTCTCAATACACATGCGCAACGCCTCCAAATCCGTCACCAACCCCCCACAACCACCTGTCAAGATCGATCCAAAGTCTGCCCACACCTCCGACCCCTTCCTGCAGTCCTTCCTGTCGCCAGCCTTCGATGCAGCAGAATACCTCAACTCCACCCTGCCGCCCTTGCAAGGGTCATCATCATCATCATCATCATCATTCTCCTCGTCCTCTGTACGGACAGCCACCACAGCAGCGCCCGCACCCTTGGCCGACCTGTCGACGGAGGCGCAGACCCTCATCACGCAGCTGAATGCCCATACGACAAGGCTGACGGGCACGCTGACCCAGCTCACGGAGGACATCCTGCGCTCCGGCAGCCGGCTGGCGTACGAGGTCGAGCTGCTGCGCGGCGAGACCCTCAGCCTGTCTGAGACGCTAGCCGAGGGACCCCTGCGCGCTGACCTGGAGCGATTCGCCCCTGCCGGCCTCGTGAGCGGTGCCACGGCGACGAGCACGCGGCGAGCCTCTCTCGTGAGCAATGGCATCGCAGGGGCGACGGCCACCACACCGGCGCCGGACGCAGATCCCTTCCCTGTGCCGCCTACCCCCGCAGCCGCGGCAATCGCGGGGGCGGTGGATGGCGGCGGCGGCGGAGAGGATGAACCTCCCTACATCTCGCAGCTGCGCACACTGACGCTCGTGCGCGCCCGGCTCGACGCGGTCATCAAGACGTTTGGCGAGGCGATGGAGTTTGTCTTCCCGCCGAGCGAGATCTCCGTCTCGTCTGGGTTCCTGTCCGTGTCAGCGCCCGACTTCCCAGACCGGCACTCGAGCAGCGCGGAGCAGGTCAGCATGGAGGACCGGGGCCAGCAGGTGCTGCGCCGCATCAGGGATGAGGTCTCGGCCCTGCTGAAGGCTGGCTCTGGGCCCGGCGGTAGTTACCAGGAGAGGCTTAAGGGTGTCGAAGACGCAACCCGCAGGGTGGAGGAGATCAAGAGTCTGAGCATAGTGTGGAAGGGCACGGCTGAGGAGAAAGGCAGGCAGAGATTTGTGGACAGCCTCTCCAAGATGGTGGAGGACAGGCACCGGGAGCTCATGAGGGAAGCGGAGAGCCAGAGGGAGCAGCAGCAGCAGCAGCAGCAGCAACAACAACAGCAGACAAGAAGTAAGCAGGATGAAGCTGCCTCAAGGAGAGAGCAGGGAAGCGCTCCGGCGGACGCGACAACGATCGAGTCAAGAGGCCCGCTCGGCGGGTATGGGTTTATGAACCAGTGGCAGAAGATCAGAGGTGGCCTGTAAGAACGCAAGGTCCTCTTGAATAAGTAAATATGAAGAGAGAAAAAGGCAGCGTTGCCTTTGAAATATTTGGCCTGGGTAGTACCACCTTCCCTCGACGATCATCTACCGTGTTGCCTACGTAAACTCTTGGGGGAGGAATGCGCAGCTCTCCCAGTCCCCGACTACAACGTAATCGTGACCATCGTTTGACGCCCTTAAAAAGTAATCGAAGCCATTCCATCTCCTTACCAGATGTTGGCTGAGTTCCGCCTGCAGTCTCGTTCCTCCGGCAACTAGGCAGCCTTGCATATCGAAGATCGAACGCCAAATCCATGTTAGTCCCCTTGATGCGGCATCGTTTCATGTACAGAAAAGTCAAGCCCAGGTTTCCAGTCGCACAGCCCTGCCAACCAAAAGACTCGTACAACTCCGATCTCCGTCCACTTTTTTTACGTTTGTCGAATGTGCAATGAATAGACACTCACTTCTCGTGGTCCTTGAGCGCATTGATGCGCTTCTTCAGGAACTCAAATGACGAGAAGAATACGGCATTTACCGCGCAGGATCGGCCCATCGACACGCCCAATCCTCGATACATGTGTCTCCGAAAAAACTCGATCTTCACGGGAGGCACCTTCTGACCTCTGGAGTACATCAGACAATTGCGTTGGTAGATACTCTTCGCGGAGTCAATTGGGTCTAAAGAAACAAATGTTAGTTTTGACATCTTGTGAGACCAGACTGCCGTTGTACTCACATATCATTGCCCAGGACACGATACCACAGAGGCCACCTGCTACGAGGACCGCCAGAGGGTTGGAGTGGGTGCCGTCGCCACCAAAGGTCGTCAAGAGCTGCTTGCTGCTCTCGTAGGTCATGAAGTAGATGCCGGTTCCAAGCGAGTCCCTCACTGCGTCTATGGTTAGTTCAAGTAACCATGGGCTCAAGAGTTACATCTTTCATTTCCCCTCGGTGTTTGCTTCACTCGACCCAAGAGAAGGGGGGGGAGGAGGGCAGGGCAGCCGAATTCAACCACGTACGCAAATGTAGATTGAATCCGGTGTACAGACCAAAAGGTCCGCGGTGCCGCATGATGTTTGCCATCGTCTTGAGTGTTCCCTTGTTCTGGTATGTGGCGGCAATCTTGTAACTCTCGGGACGGGGGCAGTTTTTACGGTCGGCGAGGAGAACAGACACTTGAGCACTCAATTTCGTGAGCTCAAACGGACCTATAAAGTATCAGTACCTTGACCCGAGTGTGACAGCGAGGAGATAGGCTCGACATGTAAGACCGAGGGCCACTTACATGCGATCAATGTAATACAAGAACCAGCTGTAGCACCCGCCGCACCGAAACAAGCGACTGAAGTCAGGTTCGGATAAGTCCCCTTCTTGTTGACATGGCCAAGAACATCGATGTCGAAATTCGTCTTCAGCCAAGCCGAGTATACGTATTTCGATCGTTGGTAAATCGAGAATGAGACGGTTCGGACCAGCGTGATACTTGCTAAGGGGGCAGTCACACCTGAAGACGTAGTCAGACACAGAGAGGAGGAGGTCAGCACATTGAAGATGGCAGCCACAGAGATTATGCAACAGAGTGAAGAGGAGTCGTCTCAGAGTGATGTGAAGTGCCTATAGCCTTACCCCGAAAGAAGCCCCTCAGTTTCTCGGTCTGGTAGGTATGCCGGACGCAATCCACAAATCCAGAATACTTGTAGGTCTGCATCCGCGTCTTGACGCTGTCGAGGGGAAACGTCGCTAGGGTGGACAGGACACTGGAGGCACTGGCTGCCACCTCTGTCCTGTACCGTTTGATGAACCTCGTGTGCTCGTGGGAGAAGGGCTGCTTCGCCCCTGTCTCGGCGCTCGTGGTGCTATCCGCTACTGATGCTTGTTTCTCGGCCCTCCTGGCTGTGTTCCCGCCGCTGCCGCCTCCGCTGCTGCTACTGCCTTGTGAAGGCATGGTCGGTGGCTGGAGCTTGGTACCATCTTGGTGGAGGGATATCAGCTCAGCCGGCATGCTCTCTGGCAGTAATAGGCCCTGTAATGCAGCCGCCTCTAGACAATGGTCCCAGATACTGAGACCAAAGCCGTCGATGCGGTCGCGATACGGCCAATTGCCAGCAGGAGGAGTTCCATGAAGGGACTCCTCTTCGCGTAGGTTGTGGTCAGTCGTCGAGGACGGCTCTCGATTTCAATCTCAACGATGAGCAGGACGTTGTCTAGATAAGGATTGGTGGTGGGGTGGGATGGGACAGGTTGAGGTTCAGAAGAGGAAGGATAGTAGAGGAGGAGGCCAGGCTCAAGCTCAAGATGCTGGTACAGAAATAGGAAGGGGGGCCGATATGCTGCTAGTGGGCGTTATCATTATCACGGCCCATCTGGTACCATGGCACTCTATCTTGTGTGTGTAGTGACTAGTGCTAAGTGATGATGGCAGAGAGCAGCACGCTGCTGCTCCCGTGGTTGAGACCCTTCGACCCCGCAGTAACGGGACGTGCACAAAGAAGTCATGCCAGTGGAGCAGCACCCGGTGGAGCACGTCTGAAGCTCCTCAGACGGGAGGCCCTGATTCGCCAAGCCCCCCCCTCCCCCTCTCCATGCCACCCTGTAGCGTACTGTGGTAGCTCTATGCTCCCGCTCCCCACAAGTGACGACAGTACTATGTACTACGCCTGGGCACCCCCCCTCTCTCTACCATAGTGACTGACCCTCATCAACCTTAAACATACCAGCGATCCACCGAGCAGAAGATCCACCGCTATTCTGCCGCAGGCCCCGAATAAAAAATAAAAATAAAAAAACCACACCATTCTCGACTCGTATTGAAACTCGTGCAACAACACAACATTCTATAAGTTGGACGAAATCTGCTCAGGTCACATGCCAACTCTCCTGATGTTGAGGACTCGTCCCGAGACGGCGTGGCAATCAGGGATCTGCTTCGACTGACCCAAGCTTGTAGGCTGTAGCACAATGCAACTCGCCGAATCGGGTACAGGATTGATCATGATTTGTACTGCTATGGCTGTGCAGTGCACACCAACTGCTGACTGCACAAAACCCGACTGGACGAGATGGCCAGACGTCATCGAGCAGCAAACCCCGACTCTTCAAAAACCCCAGATCTACCATTCGAGCAACGGGCCTGTCAGGGACTGACTACTACTACGAGCAGCTCGATCAAATGATCTCGACTCTCTAATACTGGGCCCTCAAGTTCGCAGAGCACGCCGGACCAAGATAGCTACCGCCCTGCGTCCCTACATCATGAGAGTTCTGGCTGGTCTTGTTTCCTGAGAAGGTCTAATGTGCAGAGTGATTCGAAACGAGCCGACGAGTGTTTGCAAGCATGACCCGCCACGAAACTGAACATCATCAGAAATGTCAACAACAGCTTTCTCTATTCGCTTTTCTTCCGCCCAGCCCAAGGCTGAAATCCGAGCTGTGGCAAGCTACAAGGCCATACTTGCGAGTGGAAGCGAGAACGACATATCTCTGCAGATTCATCTGTTTATACTCACGTCACCTATCTTCTACCACTTCTGTAAACTTTGGGCGGTTTCTCAGTTGAACGATCTCGGAGCTCATGTGATGTTTTGTTTGGAAGTGAAGGCGCAACAAGACATGAGAAACGTTGATCCGGTTCTCACTTGTGCCTCCTCATGGCTCCTTCGCTACTCTTCTCTGCAAGCTAAGCCATCCAGGATCCTGGAAGAAGTGTCTCGCACCTGGCCGTTGACGAGAAACTGGAATGGGAGCCGGAGGCCGAAGCGAGATGATTTTCCTCGAGGATTTCGTCGATGCCACCGAAGGCTTTGCGGGCTGTAATGAGATACCAGATCCAAAGAGAAGTGCCTTAACAAGGCAGTTCTCCACCGAAGTGCGGTCGATGATATCCTGCAGTCTGTCGTTGAGCCTCTCCAGCTGGCTTGTGTTGTCCACAGACTGACCCGCGTCTCCTGCGTCAATGACGACGTAGCAGCTACTCAGCTGTACGAGGATCAGTCGTAGGATCTCCGTCATTTGATCCTCATCGGTGCGGTTGAGGTTGCCATTCAGACAGCCGGCTACTTTGGCAGGATCGAGCTCGTACAGCTGCCATACTAGACTGCTCAGCACACCTGCTACGGTAAAAGGCTCATCTCTGTCGGGGAGATACCAGCAGATCCATTTAACTTTGGGCTGGAGAACACCACCAATCAGTTCCGATGCGATCTCCTTGGCTCGCATAGCATCAACAACCAAGAGGGTTGAGTCTGGCGACTCCATCCAGTCGCTAATACTCTTGATCAAAGTGACAATGTCTTGGGCTTGCATGGTCCATGGTCGTGTCGCTCTGCTGACGCTCCGCTGCCCTATCAGAGCCTTGGAGGGCAGGACGCGAGGCTTGAGTGCTTCGAGCTCCGTCCTGAACTCGATCCCGCGCACGCGAGCTTGGATGTCGCCAGCACGCCGCTCCGTGACCTGAGACTTGTCACAAAGTGAGGACAAAATGTCAAGCATTGCTGTGTCATGAATGTTAGTTAACACACCGCGCCAGTATCGCGAAGAAAGGAGGGGGAACGTGAACCTTTTTGATCCTGGCGGATCTCTGAAACTCCTGCAGACATATCACCCTGCCACGAGTGCAGGTTCGGAAGCTGGCAGGAGACGATGTCGTAAGTCTTCCTTAGCTCGATCTGCATTGACGAACGAGCAGCCGCGTCCATGATCGTGGCGCAGGTTTGAATCTTGGCAACAGTATCCTTGAGCCCGGACTCAAACGGGGACACAATAGCTGTCATCGCCCGCTGGAGAGACGAGGAGTACCACTTGATAGCGGGCCTGAAGAATACCAGGATCTGCTCATACAGCCTTGCCACAGCCTCTTTAACGTAGTTGTTTTGGTACAGCTCCGCGTTGAGCTGCGCTCGAGGCAGCAGGTTCCCGATGTGTACCAGAGCGTCGGTGTATTCAGCCACGTGCTTGGCATGGTTCATCACAGCCTGCAATTGGGATCAGTTCAATTTGTCTCAATGCATGCTATGTTTGAAGCATCTTTCCGGTACTCAGAAAGATTGGGAGAGACCGGTGTCGGCCTTGACACGCACCGTCAGGAAGAATTTGATACTGCCCCAGACCAGGCTCACATACTGAGGTGTCTGCTGGGTAATCATATCCAGCGCGGTCCCGTAGTGAAGAACAACCGAGGAGAACTTGCGCAACCCGTTCCTAGCCTTCTCGAACTTGACTTCATCCTTGTACTTCTGTTCGAGCTGTTGGATCTCGTCGCGGACCTCTTCTATGGTGTTCGACTTGTCAAGCCAGGTGAGAACCTCGTCTTTTCCCCGAAATTTGTCTTTGAGGTTTGCAATGGCTTCATCGTGCGCCTCTTTGACAATGTCTCTAGATCTGCTGAGTAGTCAGCCACAGACTGACTGCAGGAGACCAGGCCTTCAGAAATACCCTGCTGCTTCTCCGGTCCACCTCTGCACAGCACTGCTGGGGGCCGGGAGAAAAGGATGCAATTGTTGAGCAAGAACGTTGCCTGTTGCCTTGTTTTCTTGACTTTGATTCGATTTTTCGGAAGTCATGATGCAGACACTGTAAGGAATTGCACACCGCAAATCATGCTGCTTCGGGCGATTGTCGAGGCTAAGTTTAGTACGGGCTGTGCAGCCTTATTTCACAACTGCACTCTCTGCGGCGGATCGTCACGTCCTTGAACCAGCCGGGGCGACTACTGACGGATTGAGAACAGGGGAGCGACTGAGAGGTAGTATATTTAAGAGACAACGAAGCTGGATGGTCATGAAATAAGTGAATTCATCGGGAACGAGTGAGTGATTACACGCAACCTGAGGCGGAGCAGAGGTACAGCCTGCATTTTCATGTGTTCTAGAACTTCTTCAGCCAAGTTCCTGTGATCTGCTAACGATTTTCCACTTCATACCCCCCTGAGGACAGGCCCCCTGCAACTATTCATGGTTGTGGCGGCTGACTTGCATATGCAGCCCCGCACATAAACGAAGCAGAGGCGCCAGAGGGAAATGCTGGCGGCTGGAGGTCTATGTTTTGGATGCCTTACAGGTCAATGCCAGGGGCTGTGCTGCTGACAGAAATATACGACTAGCTCCCATCCTGAACTCGCCCTGATATTCTTTGCTAGGCGTTCTTATTCGGTTTTGTTTGAAACTAACACACGATACTCTCGAGAAGCTTCTGTTTCTGTCGCGAGGATTATTTGCCGACAAACATCATGGCCACGAGGAGGGCTCCGTCACCGGACGATCATCTGAATTGCAAGCGCCGAAAGACATACTTGAATACTGAGAGTGATTCTGAGGCAGAGGCCAAAGATGAACTCGACAAGCTTCACCATGAGACAAATGGGCTGAAAGAAGTGTCGCATCACACCAAAGAGGTTATGCAAGCACCTAGTGTCCAACCCAGGGCCCTCATCGTCCATCAAGTCCTCTGTTCTGGAGATTCCAACTCACATGCTCACCACGTACCCACGGCATCCTTTTTGGACGAGCCCCGTCTGTACGCCGGAGACAACAAGACCCATCCTCTACGAGGCAAGAAACCCATTAAGGATTTGCAGTCTTACAGAGAAGACGATCCTAGTATCAGTTTTGTGGTGGAGAGATATTACGACTGCATGGAGTACCATGAAAACCTGGAAATCTCGTCTCAATTCGAAAGACTCGTGGCACGGTCTTCTCATGCAAAGATTCCGGCTCTAGTCAGGCCATACCTCTCCGTCATCGTCTCTGAAACACAAGCGGCAGTTCCGACACGAGAGCAAATCACGCTCATATCCTCGGATTTGATTGATGCTATGGAAGCAGCACGGCAGATGTCCCATACTCGAGTGCAACAGCAGCTGCCTGCCTTGTTGGCAAACTGGGACAATGCAGACAATCTGAATGCGCCATACTTGCGGCTCTACCATGCGCGGAATTTACTTGAGGCTCGTCGGAGGGAACTCGATCACAAGGACGGGCAACAAATTGGTGTTCTACTCGACTACTTGCAGGATGGGTTTGGCAGTGCATACGATGAAGCCGATTGTCTCTTCCAGCAGGGTTATTTCACAGAAGCCCACTTCCACAAGCTCTTCGCGCCAGGAGATGTTGTCGCGGTCCATCAGAACGGTCATGAGGTTGCACTCGCGATTAAAAACTGTCCACGACCAAATGTGCTGCCGATTAAGCTCGACTGCGAGACTTGGACCTTCGACGGCGCCTTTCACCGGAAATCGCAGAGTATCACGGTCCACCTGCCAACAGAATGTGAGCTGGGCAAGAAGGTGCTCATCTCCTCACTGCCAGTTATTCCGCTACGATTTGACAGAACCGGGCTGGAGGAAAAGCTGAAACAACGAGGGGAATACTTCTGGAAGTGCCGGAACGGACGGCTGGTCACCTCTACGGGCCCCAAAAGAGGGTTCGACATTCAAGTGGTATGTTTCCACGAAAAGAGCGTTGGATGAGCATATATGCCTATCTTAAGTCTCCATTGAATATCCCTGAGCTGACCTTGTTCTAGAGCAACCCGCGATATATGATCGACATGGAAACATACAATGCTCTCCATGGTGAAGAGGATGAAGTTCGCAATCAGGCAGATACCCTTCCTTGGCGAGGCAATTTGACTCCGGAGGAGATGCAGAGCGAGGGCCCGCCTCCTGGGAATTTCACCCTTCTTCTCCCGCCGACCATCAAAGCGTTCAGATTCCATGACAAGAAGTGGAGTATGCACTGCTCCTTCCCGCCGCTCCCTCCAGTAAACTGGATCATGTGCTAACGAAATCGTACGTAGAAACTTTGGCTGTAGAGCATCTTCAAGACATCAATTGGGACACCGAAGCATTCAAGAAGCTGGTTTTTGACAAGCAGAAGAAGAAACTCATACAAGCACTGGTGATGAATCATGTCGTGAACAGCTCTTCAGCTGACATCATCGAAAGCAAAGGCAATGGCCTCAGTAAGAATGCCCTTCCTCGTCCCTCCTGACCGTGAGGTTCTATGCACAGCAAACAAGCTGACGACTATTTATGAACGCGGCAGTCATACTCTTGCATGGCCCACCAGGAACCGGCAAAACGTTGACCGCAGAGAGCGTGGCGGAGTTCTCCAAGCGGCCCTTGTATCGCCTGACCTCAGGGGATATTGGCACGGACCCCGAGATTGTTGAGAAGAGCCTGGAGCACATCTTCTACCTGGGAAACATCTGGAAAGCAGGTTAGTCACCCAAAGAAAGAGTTCCGATTAAGTATCTCGTTGTCAGTCTGACTTCTGGTTAGTGGTCCTGCTGGACGAATGCGAGGTCTTTATGGAGGAGAGGGTTCCGACTGATTTGAAGCGGAACGCCCTGGTATCAGTCTTCCTCAGGGCGCTGGAGTATTACGATGGAATTCTCATACTCACTTCAAACAGAGGTAAGTTCTCTGCTACGGCTGCTACGGTCGTAGCACTATTAAAAAGAGATCAAAAAGCGTTCGGCGACTGATCTGTCCACAGTCGGAACCTTTGACGAGGCTTTCAAATCTCGCATGCATCTCGCTATGTACTATCCCACTCTAGAACAAGATGACCGCGAGGAGATCTGGTCGAACTTCTTCCAGAAACTCGCAGACGAGAAGGACCAGGATCCAGGTCTGGACATTGATGTCAAGGGCCTGATGAGTAGCACCCAGAGCCTCGCCCAGCACAAGATCAACGGTCGGCAGATTCGAAACGCCATACGGACTGCGAGACAACTAGCTTTGTTTGACAACGAAACATTCTCAGCGAGCCATATCCGTGATTGTATCAAAGTTGTCAAGGAGTTTGAGAGATATGTCGAGGAGACACAAGGCGAGTCTTCCACGAAGCGGGCAGAGCTGACTGGCATACGAAAGGATCCAGAGTCTTGATACATCTGCGTTGCAAGAAATAATTTCTCTGTTCGTCTTTCGCTCGTTTTCAGATTGGCTCTAGTATTGTTTGATTCCTGATACCATATAAACGAATCTAATGCTATGATTTTCCAACTGCATTCGTGTATTTTGCAATACCTAGCACATACATGACCTCCAGTGCTGGGAACCATTCTTTGTTGACTTGCTTGATGGCACATGTTTTAGCCTTTCTGTCTAGTTCAAAACTGTGTGCAACAGTCTGAGCAGGCTACTTTTGTTGCTTCTTCAAGCAATCGAGCTAGATACTACATAATCAAAACAAATTCAATCCCTAGATACAGCATTGATGGATCAAATAATAAAATGAGTCCCACCAAGCCCCTAGGTAAGTATGGTGACTTCCTGCCACATATAGGATACCTTGAGGCGTGATTCGTTCAACCCCAAAACCCATACGGAAGATTATCATGCGTTGATCCGAGAATGTTCCACGAGCTTCAGTCCTTTCCTTTGTCACCAAAGTCCGGTTTCCACTCCTCTGGGCTAAAGTCTGGATTGTGATAGTGCGCCGTATTGAAGTACGAGTTCTTGAATATAGGCGTCTCAAGGCTAATGGTGTTGATAGACTTCTGCTGTCGGGCCGGCCGACTAAATCTTTGGCGTATAGAGGCTGGTGTGGGCGGGAGCCAGACAAATCGCCCTCGCCGCTTCGGATCCTTCTGCGTCTCTCCACTGCCAGAGCCTGGTGAAATATACTCGGTGCTCTGCGGTTCGGACGAGGAAAGTGGCACTGGGGCGACCTTGGGACCTGGCGTTGGTCCGCTGGGTGATTTTCCTTCGAAGGCGAGGAGGCGCTTCTTGAATACCTTTCGGTCCTCTGTATAATCATCTGAAATGGTCCAACGCACTGCTGTATCATTTCTCGCTCGCTTAAGGGGGTTGCGAGGCACCACCCGGGCTGGGAAGGGACTAATCATGGTGTTGAGAGGGACTCCTGGTGAAAATGCGGAAAACGCTCGAGTAAATAGGCGTGAGACGAATCGGCAGTGTATCCGGTGTCGTGAGGGCAACCACCGAGGAATGTCAGTGAGTGTACAATCTCTGGAGGCGTTCAATATCTATTTGCGGGATTCTGGGTAGTCTGGCCAAAATTTGGAGGAATCTGCCTCAACAGTTCATAATTAACGAGCGAGAAATGCAGCTCATGAGCATATCGGGCGAGAGAACCTGTTCTCGATTCGATAAAGTTGTCAGAACTTGAGAGAAACTCTGTTGTATTAGGGGATTCATTCGATCAACCAGAACCGTGACTCATTTTATACGTACAACTCCTCCAGCTAAGCCCTAGCCCCGCTGGATAGAACCTCGGAATGTAGCGAGACTAGCAATTGGCGCAATTAACAAGTTTATTTGGCGATTGTCAGACGGTGCTGACGGGCTGCGGCTGGACAGGATGTGGTCTTGAGGTAAGGCGGCTGTGCGGTAGCTGCAGGCTCTAGTATCTTGCATAGCCACCTCCTCTGTGAGATGTGCAAAGTTGCTTTTCCATTTCATATGCTCGGCTGGGGGCATGCGATTGGGGAGAGTCAGTATATAATTACGGGTAAACGACTGCATTGATTATATTCGCATAGATTTAAGATTACCTGGGGATATTAGTTGACACACTTGTACTAGGGAAGCAGATTTGTTATCACGCGTGCAAACATAAAACGTTAAACAGTCCAGGCTTCTGGAACTTGTCTGCAATAGTTTGGAAGGTCCAAGACACAAGTCCTCTGAGCTGGCGATCTACAACCACGTATTGAGTCCCTTTCGTGAGGCTGCCCACGGTAAATGTACATTATCGTTGCAAGAGTAAGAGGCCGGGTCGCCGAGCTGATCCTGATCGTCAAAGACCATCATTTGTGTGACCAAAACTGTCTCACGAACGTATCACACAGGATACATATGTAGCGAACCGACATCCATGTGACTCACCTTTTTCAACAGTGCCAGATTATGCTTTGTTCATCCATCTCCATTCTCCTCCTGCCTGAATCCAACTCTACATCGTAGGCAAGGTGCGCGGTTGAGTGCCACCAAGCTCTATTACTTTTGTTGCTGCTCATTTTAATCTTGCTCCCGTCATCTCTGATAATCTGATAGGTGTAACAAGGGACAGACTCTGTTCCTTTCAAGATTTTCGCTCGCGGGGCCGCAGCCTGCGCAAAAGCTACAGACTAGATTTCCCTTGTAATGGGTCAAAATGTATCGCTCCTTGTGGTATGCTGCTGCATCTGTTGATAAGAAAACGCGACCATGCCAGTCATGATTCACCGCCATCCTGACCGGGGCGCATATAAATGGTGCACGTCTGCTGCGCGGCGCTCAGCTGCTGCAAATGCTGTAGAAGCTGTTGATTCTGAGCCATGTTGGGGTACTTGGCCAGTGTCTGACGCATCTTTTGCAGATATTGAGTGGCTGCGCTGTACAGGCGGTTTAGCAGGACGGGGGTTTGAGCCAGGTGTGGCATGATTGGGATATGAAGAACCGGATATCTCTTCAGAAACCCTTCGCCATCAGACTCCGTGCTATCTGCCAATAGAGATTGGTCGTTGTCGTATTTTGTATCTGCAAATGATATCAGCTTTCGCCCCGTTCTCCAAAAGCACCCAAGGCGCGCACGCACTGTAACCAGGCATAACACTTGCTAGCTCTTCTATTGACTTTGATTCTTGGTAATTCTACGGCAAGTTGGAGATCTTGCGCAGTCTGCCGGTGGTTGACTGCTCGAAGGGGTTGCGTGCGGACCGCATCTTGCCATCCAGGTATGGTTCCGGGGATCGTGTGTCGCCGACGCTCAAGTGTAGGCCCTCGTCTCGGCTCAGCTGGCTCGGTTGGTTCTCAGGCTTCTGTTGCAGCGGTAGCTCGTATTCCTTGATGACCTCGCCGTCCGCGTCCTCGATAATGATGGTACGGCCGAATTGGTAAGCACGGGCGGGCTCGTGTCTGCGTTCCGACGTCTGCTTCTCCTTGCGCTTCTGCATCTTGTCGCCGCGCCAAAGGCCCAACAGATCCTTCAGCTCGTCGTGGGTCCCTCGCCCGTTGTCACCTGCCTGCCTCCTCCTGGCTCGTGAGGAATTGATGCTCGGCAGCGGCATGAAAGCCTGCCGCTTGTTCACGGGCGGAGGTGCGAAGGGGGATCGGCCATGGGGAATCGCTCTTGGCGGGAGTCTTCCTGGCGGTAGCATAGGTACTCGGTCGTTCATCTGGGGTCGTGTAGGCCTCGGCTTCAGCGAGGGTTTTCGTATGAGGTCAGCCTCTTCAGCATCAGAGGACGGTGCTGCCTCGGCAATGACTCTCGGCACTAATATTCGAGCCGACACATGAGATAGTGATTTGCCATGAGGGTTCATGAACGCTAAACGGCGCCTCTTCACGACCATACAGTCATCTGTTTGGTCCTCTGAGATAGTCCAACGGACTCGCTTGACTTCGCTGCCTGTGCTGAGGCGCGGCTCGACACGTCGGGCCATGCGAAACGTGGCAAGACCAAAGGGTCTAGCTGAATAAAGCCTTGATCAAAATTCACCTGCCAGCACGAACAAGTTAACGATTGTGATCGGAAGGACAGGCGCAGCTGTCATTAGGTAGTAATATAGAGGTGGAACTTACGCAACAAGTTGACATTCTCTCCCAAAGCACTTCGATTTTCGTGAGCCGTTCTCTCGACAAAAAACTTGAGTCCAAGAAGGTCGGGTTCACGAACAACTGATAGAGTGTCTTTTTTAATAGTAGCAACAACGTGGAGTGCGACAACGAAGATGTTTCAACGCAGCTGGCACGGTTGACGATGGTTCGGATCAGAAATGTTGCCAAGCATAGAAGAACGAGTGGCAGCCATGCATTCTGGAAATTGCAGTCAGCACTTATATGAATGCACGCCCTACGCTCCGCCCCACTCAAAGATTTGGAGGCTGTGCCTGTTGCTAAAACATGCACTTATGCAGGCTGCTTCTCAGATGTTCAGGTACTGTTGTACCAACCGAAAAGACGCCTTTGACACCCCAGACCACTAGGCCCTGTACACTGCGCGTATACGGGCCAGAGTCTATTGATTCATGGTGTTCTCCTGTCATTGAAGTCACACGGCATTTCGACGAATTTCATCACGTCGAGAGCTGTGATTGATTGGCTCAAAATTCGGGCTGATCGCGATGGAGCGGGTTATTTCCTCTGATAACAATGAAAGAACTGGCCTTCTCAATACATTTAGGGGAAAATAGAAAAAAAAGCAAATCGTCATCAATTCCTCAGACCGACTCACTGAATACTTGGTGAGGGCCCAGGAGAGTTGGTATTGGTGTTACTTACTGTATGTGCTTGTAACGCCTATTACTCTAACAATTCCTTCCTCGATGATGACGATCTTGATGTCTTTTTTTATATCCGATCTGCGCACAAGCTATTTCTTTCTAGTGAGGCGCAGTTGTATTGGGCATTGAATAGACCAAGGCATGGATAATAATATCCGCAGATTTGGACTAACTTGTTCTACAGATTATCGAGGTCTGAATTGCTTCAAGTACCGACCTCCGCCCCATTCTTTCAGGACGGCCAAGGGAAGCTAGTCAACGTCACTCCCGCGAGGATTGAAGTGTGCTCTTCGCAAATGAGCTACCAGCTTATGAGAGGCGCCAAATAGGATGCATTGGAACAAGACATGCATCTGGATAGTGGAATGACGGAGCTATAGCTCCGCGGCTCACGGCAGACCGAACAGTTCGAAAACAGAACAAGCGTGTTGCCATAAGATTCTCGAGATCGGAATCAGAACCTGTGGGTTGATTCGAAACAACTATTTCGCTGCCACTACTAACTCTCTCTCTCGGTCGATGTCAGACTGTGACAGCTGAGTCGGTTGCGCAGGGGCTCGTCGTTCACACGCCCGAAAGTTCTCTTTGTCGATCGCCGTGAAGACCGTTGAGTAGGCTGCTGAGTGCTCCGTTGAGCAAGCCTCTCAGTCTGTGCCGCTTGTCTGGTGGATGTGCGTGATGGCCCATATCGTGGTAAGGAGAGATCCCTTGCTTCAAGATATGCCTGCGCGGCCCTGGTCAGCTCCGCGTTGGCGAACTCTTGCGCCTCCCGCATCGCCTCCAATTGCTTCCTCATCGCCTTCTCCATATCATCTCTGATCTTCGCTTCTATGTCCGCTTGCCGTTTGTCATCGTTTACCCTTCTGCTAGATTGAGGCTGCTGGAGCTGTGAATTTTCGTAGGCTAGACATCGCTTCTTGAGCACTGTCTTATCGTCGGTATGGTCCTCTGAGATAGTCCATAGTACCCCTTTCCCCCTCCTGTCATCATTAAAGGAACATATAGCGTCGGCTCGTGCTCGCAAAAGAGGAGGCAAGAAGGAAGGCATTGAGAACGCTTGAGGAGTCTGGGGAGCAGGATGCGGGAGGTAAGATTCTTGGAATAATTCTATAATAATAGGTACCGATTAGCATGGGTGGGGTTCAATACGTATTGGTAATTAAGACTCACCATATGATAATACAGCAAGTGGACTTACTGTAGACCTAAGATATCGACACTTGGAGAGCTGATACGCTCCCATGCCATGTACCGACAACACTTTGAGACAGGGTCTGCTCTAGCTGCACTTCAAAATGATAGTAGTTGTGCTGCTGCTGTTATGGAAAAATTGCTCGGAGAGTCATGGATAGCTCACAATGATCAGGGTTTTGTCGCGTCGCTGCGAGTGGCGGAGCGGGGGCTGTCAGCTGTGCGCTCCTTTGCCGCCGCCCATTTTAAGTATAGTAACCGCTCGATCGCTTCACAGGCTCGGGTATTCTGCTGGTTTTGAGCTATGTATGAGGTGGTGCTGCAGCCTTATTGGACGCACTAAGCCACAGCGCGACGTGCTCTAGAACAAGGGACCAGGAGTTCTGTTATAATGCTTCATCGACGATACGTTGATTACTAGCTTGACCACGCGGATGTGGAGTAGTTTGCCAGTCGCATTAGCGAGCCATCCAGCCTCAAGCACCTGGGAGAGCTAGAATATCATGATCGCGTCCGTGGCTTATAGGTACAACGTTGGTGGGCCGAAGATTCATCCATGACGCAAAGGCTTCCGGAACAAAGAGGATGAGAAGGTTAGATCATGAGGCCAATATCAGGTATATATTCTCCGAAAGTCAGAAACGGGAGCAAAAGCGTCCAGCGAACCCGTCTCTGAGCTGGCTGAGGCTATGAAAGGCACAGTGCTTGCGACCACATGAGATTAAGGTACTATAGCCCTCACAAGATGCCCATTTCAACGCCTCAGCGTTCCTAGGTGGAGAATGAAGTGGCTGCTACAAGAACCAACTACTCGGTCGTTGCGTCAGCATCCTCCATTACCATAGCAAATATCTTCTCCGACTTGTCCAGTCTGATGGCCCATTTGGTACCCTCGAAGCCGCTTCGTGTCTTGATCTCAACCCGAACGTCATGATCCGGCTCCATGACCACCGCCGCAACATTTGTATTAGCAGTAATGGGAAGCTCCCAACCCCCCTTCACAGGCTTCATGTCCAGTCTCGCAATGAAAACGGCGACGACAGCAAGGATCTCATTGGTGGCGAAGTGCCGCCCGGGACAGAGGGTCTTGCCGCCGCCGAACGCGCGGAAGCACACCTCGCCCGGACGTTTCTGCTTCTCTTCAGCCAGGAAGCGGCGGTGATTGAAATCAGCGGCGCTGGAGCCCCAGAGGCTGGCATCCTGATGAACGGCACGGCTTGGCATCTGCAGCATGGCGCCCTTCTTCAGCAGCCATCGGTCGAGACATGTGTCTTCCATGACCTCGCGCACAGATGTGCCCATGGAGCAATAACGGAGGACTTCCTGGTAGCAGGAAAGCAACAGAGGACAAGCTCCCTTCAGAGTCGTTATGTCAATGGTTTTGAGGATGGCGCCGTTCTCGGTCGTTGTCTCGGTGCAAGCATCGACTTCCCTGCGGACATCCGTGAGGAGACCTGGGTGAGAGTGAATGAGAAACAGAGTCCAGAATGCAGCTGGCGCCGTGTTCACCAAGATTGCGATTGAACCTCCTACTTCGAAGCGTGCGATATCTTCCAGCGGGACATTGTTGTCCATCTCTGCTTGATATCGTTTCTGCGCAAGAGCTGATGCTTTTTGCACTCCTCCGGCCTTGTAATATGCTTCGAATGCTTTAGCAACCTTGTTCCGAGCTGCAATGGGCTTTCTAGCAGTGATTGAAGGAAGGAAGCCAACTAGAACTGACATAAGACCGGCTTCAAATTCCCTGAGCAAAATAAATAAAACAATAAAATTAGATACGAAGCTCGGTTAGCAGCCAATTCCTGATCCTAGGTTGTACTTACCAGAAAGCATCGGCGATTGCCTTGTCATCATACGGGTTCATCGGACCATAGACGGACCTTGTAGTCGCAGATGTAATAACATCCCTCAGCCAGGAGTACAGACCAATGTCCATGGTCTGCCCTTTGGCTGGCTCCAGTACATCAATGAACTCCCCTATTTCGCGGATCATGCAGCGGTTCATATCATCGAGCTGTGAGCCAGGCCTGAGTGCAGACCGCATTGCAGAATATGACTCCATGGACAACCCATGATCATCCTCGTCGCCATTAACATTTTTGTTCAGGATAGCCTGGGCCTCAAGACTGGCGCCACAGACCTGAGAGGCGAACTTGGCCTCGATTGGCGGAAACGCGAGGGTTTTGTGTTGTTTCTGCGCTACCTGGATGAGCTCCGGCTTTGTCACCACATACATCTTTTGTCCTGGGAGCGGCATGGTAAAGATTGGAGAGTCCGTCTGCTGGCTGGTCTGGGGTTCAGCGGAGCTCAGTGAAACATATGAAAAGAATGAGAGCGCACCTGAGGCTGACATAGTAGTTGAACTTGTAGCGCGATAGTCCAACCACGTGGCCAACAATGGGAATTGACTGCGGAGCGAGCGGCGGCTCGAGGGTCGTGACGGAATATTTTGGCAGCAGTGAAGTAGGTAAGGGTGCCAATCCCAACCAAGAAAAGGAGAATGAGATTGGTATCAACAGTGGTTAAGGGCATGATGGTGACTGTGGAGCAGAGGTGATTTAATGACTGGGAGAGTGGGTAGGAAATGTGTGAGTTGGGTAGAAGTACGTTGGAAGGGCTGGGGCGGCACTAAGATCAAAAGAATATCCCAACATGCAAATGCAGTGTTGCAGCTCCCAAGTTATACCTTGGTGTAAGATGTTAATGGGCTATATATAACTGGATTCAGTGGGTACAAAATCCTCCCGCGAGGATACCTTATCAGCTCAAACATTGCTGGCCCCAAGGAAGACACACTGCTACCATTACGACTGACTACTCGGCGTGCAAGGGTCCAAGTGACCAATTGCAGTTGCTAGGCCTGTCATTTAGGGCATATACTGTACAATAGTAGTGAAGAAACCATACAAATGAAAACGATTGCGATATTGCAGAGACCATTGTCGTAAACGAAACAAGTCCATAGATGATGTACAATGCCTTCCCGTCCATCTTTCGCAGCTTTCAAACCAAAGGGGTTCACTGGCCGATATATGCATCATCCGCTTCGTCAGCCTCCAGGTAGACTGGGGATGGAGGCATCGCCAGCACCGCCCGAGATAGCGTATCGTCATCAAGAGCCTGTAAACCTCCGTTCCTAATAGCTAGTCCCGTTCCGAAGCCATCAACGGCTCGCTGTTGTTTCGTTCTTCCCCCACGCTGCTCGCCCCACTGGCGCTGTCTCTCCAGCAGCATCTCCTCGTCCAGGAGCGGCTTGATGCAGAACCTGCCGGCTTCCGACCTAAAGTGCCGTCCGAGGACATCAGCGCGGGCAAATCTCCGGCCGCAGCCCCACTGGCCCCCAGCCTTGAGGTCGCCCTTGCACACAAACTTCCTCTCGCCCGAGTGGAGGCCCTCGTGGCGCTCGCGTTCGTGCTGCAGGGCAAAGGCCTTGCCGCAGACAGGGCACACAAAAGGCCGCTCGTCCGTGTGCGTACGCAGATGAGAGCGCAGGTTGTAGGCACGCGTGAAGCGCTTGGAGCAGAGGCTGCACTGGAATGTCGCTGGGTGCTTCTGCACCAGTTTGGGTCTTGAGGTCGCGCCTAGCTCTGGTTCGGCAAGACGCATTGTGGACTGACGCTCTCGGCCAAGCGAGGGATTGGCATCGAGATGAGGCGATAGAGAGCCAGCAGATGACTGCTGTTGACGGTGGCCCTGACCGGAATCACTGTTGAGATTCTGCTGAGCAGGTGCCGTGACCGATGTCCGATTCTTATAAAAGCTGGATAGCCCTTCGTGAGCTAAGCGTCGCCTTCTGATGACCTTGTGATCATCCGTATGATCTTCTGAGACGGTCCATCTCACACCTTTCCTCATCTTTCTCGCATCAAGAAAGGCCAGCGCCTTGGCTCGCGATGGTGGGGGCGGCGGCATTGGAATCGTTCTGGAAGCGTCGACTTGGAAAGAATGGATGAGGCTGATCGTCGTCGATACTGATGAATCCGTTCCGGTGCAGAAGAGTATTCTCACGGCCCGCAACGTGGGTGGATTCTTGGTAATGAGCAGACTCGTGCCAGTTTTCAGGAGAATACCAGGCTCATCTGTGCCAGACGTGTCGGTATCGGGACAGCGCGGTCGCAGCTGAGCATCTAGGAAAGGTAGTTGGATGAGTTTGAGAACCTGATAATGATGTGGTTGCTGGCGTGATGAGTTCTGAAACGAAGGTATACTATGTAGTGGTGAGATAGGAGTGGCAGTGCCCATAGGATTGCCTCGGCAGGTGGTCAGACGGCCACTTGCGAGGGTGGCGGTGTGTGGCGATTGGCTATTGCATGTCCGCCCACGGCACAGTACATTAGGGCGCACCCAGTGAAGCTGGACATTGATTAAATCTGAACAAGCCTGTAGAGATCGATATCACATCGCTTTCCTTCTCAGAAAGCTTGAGACACGAAAAGTAGCACGCTGCATGATCGAACTGTTGCATGATCTCAGGGTAGAGGGAGACATATGCCCATCGTCTTGTTCAGCATTCCAATCGTCTTGTTGTAGTGAACGTAGGCTGTCTCCGATATAAGGGTCCTACACATGAAGTCAGCGATCCAATCTACTTTCTTGGTAAAGAAAGCTTGAGCGGCCCTGGAAATAAGATCTGAGCGACGTACGGTTTCTTGCTGGCGGTGTCGTCCACAATCTGCTTCCACGTAGGCTTCTCCTGTTTCCCCACGAAGTCCTTCCACCATTTGACAAACAGCATGTTCCTGACAATCCTGTGCTCTATGCCATTATTCCTAGCAGCGTTTTTCAGAAACCAGACCGTCCGCTGAATGGCTCTCTCATCGAACTTGGCGTCGGGGGCGCGGAACGCCTGGCGGAGCTGTCCGCGGACCACGGTGCTGGCGGGCTGGGAATAGCATACTGCCTTGAGAGCAGAACGGTAGAGATGCCTGTAGGCACGTACGACATCCCGATTGGCCATTTGGAGTGATGGTGGTGGACAATTGCGGCGATGCAGTCCAGAGTCGAGAGAGTTAAAATTCTGAGAGGAACTGACGGGTGAAGTTTCATTCGAGGTAGGAGCACGGATGAGAGCAAGTACGGCAGAATGGGCTGGTGCACGGGCCACATTTGGCAAGAATGCAGTGTCCAGCCAGGGTTCAAGGGCCTTCGTCTTAGCCCAGGTTACCAAACAAACGCAAACATTCGCACTGAACCACTAAAATACTTTGGATGCTTCTTGAATTTCTGATCCATGGCTTCAGGACACTTATACTTCTGCATTATTGAACCAAAGATAGTCAGTTATTATGCCACCACCAATCGGCGAAGAAGAAGAGGTTACTATACCCTGTCATTTGTACCCTCCCCTCACCAAGATGACCAATGTGGCTAATCACATGTCGTCAGGATCTCAACTATCATGACGTATCTGCCTCTCCTTCTCACAACGAGGCCGTCGACATGAAGAGTTTAAAACAGCCCGAGGTTGCAAGGGATAGTCGTCATGCTCATCAGAAATCGGAGTCTGGCCAGAGACTGCAGCGGGATTCCGCACCTGTGCTGGTGATCAGTGACATCCTCACCAAGAAGGTTGCTCCAGCCCGGACCCCCCTGCCATCGTCCAAGACGTCTGTATCTGAGAGGCGACACATGGACAAGGGCAAGGAAGTAAATACAGTCCGTGGCACAAAGAGAACCACATCACCTCTTGAATCAAATAATGGGGTAAGCCACCAACAGGCCCTCAGGCGTATGTGTGTGTATGTGTATGCGGAGATTTGGACACCAGGCTGGCCAGGTCCCACCTGGGCAGAGGAGGTTGCCACTGACTAGAGCCCATATCCAGCCTCCAGCAAAGAGAAAAAGAGACGAAAAACGAGATATCCCTTGCGCTTACTGTGTGAGGCGACTGACAAATGACCCTGCATGGGCTTGTCATGATGCTTTAGGTCTGTTACATCCCCTTGTTGTCGGTAGCGATACACACGACTTAGACTCTCAAGGACTATATACACTAACGCAAACCTTTGTCCCTCTCCAGTTGCCTTGAATGGTGTTGGAAGTTACACGGGTCACAGGTAATCGGAAAACTGGCAGCATCTTGTCTGTCGTTCTCTGGGCTGGCAAGGCCAAAATAAAGCTGACCCTGGTGTACCACCCTCCTTTTGTTTTCAGATGCCAGGAGTGCGTCAGGGCACATGTATCTTGTCAGTTGGTGCGTCCCGGTGCCCCAGTCTGGAGCTGTTGGTTGGCTCATCGACACTGACATGCCTTCAGATACCACCCCAGGCGGACAAGCCTGTGCAGGCCCTCTTGAAGGCTGCCGCCGACTTGGTAGCCAGTCCTGGTGTGAGTGATAAACCAACCATACTCACCCGTCTCTCATACACACATGTACAGACACAAACACACAACACCTATGTGCCTTACCACTATCATTATCACCACTTTAGATGTTCAACCTCACAACGACACATCGACATACTGATATACCCTTACAGGCCCGCAGAGGTCCGCTTCTCGCTGCCTACGAAGCAACCACCGGTCCCGCCCTACGAGCCATCGGAGTCGTCCCCGGTCCACGTGGTGTAGAGAAGAGCGAGCCAGCAAGCAAGAAACCAAGCACAATCAGATCCAAGCCGACCAGTACCCGCTCCTCAGCGCATATCAATACTCCTCACCATGACACCACCACCAAGCGCTCATTCCCCTCGGCCGGCCCCACGGACCGCTCCCACGTGGCTCAGAGCCAGCAGCAGGGAGCTTCCACCACAATGTCCTCTGCTCAGCCTCCGCACCACCGCCAAGAAGACGCTGGTGGCGACCACCACCTCGAGAAGCTGGAGCGGCAGGCCCTGCGGAGAAGGAAGGTCGAGGCCCTGGAGTCGCTGGCGCACACTGCGGCACTGTTCCTGGCCGAATTTATGACGTACACAAAAAGAGAGGTTTCACGTCCCTCCGCCACAGCAGAGCCTGCCGGTGGTGGGCAGGAGAATTCTGTATCCTCTGGAGGATCGCAGGGCCGCGGTACGGACCACGCGGCTTCTGCAGCAGCAATGGCTGTGCGTGTTCCGTAGAGTGCCCCCCCGTTGGAGATGAATCTGGTATGTGTCACTGACGCAGTGGATCAACAGGCCAACATGTTCAAGCCCTTGACAGCTACACGGTGGAGCGCCCGTGCCAGCGCCGAAAACCCGCTCAATGGCGCCGAATCCTACGGTGGTGAGAGCGACAGCGACAGTGATAGCTCAGTCGATGATGTGCTCGGCATCAACAGGCCAGCGCGAGACCACGATGGCAATGACACTGAGGTCGAGGGCCCTGGTCACTCTAACGTTAACGATGATGATGATGAGGAGGAGGATGCTACTGCTGCTGCTACTGCTGCTACTACTGCTGCTGTGACAGGGCGACACCAGGAAGACGAGAGCGAGGAGCGCAACCTGCAGCAGCGTAACGTGAAATCCGAGGACCAGTGAGATTACATTGCCAGGACACTCTGCATCTTATTGTTCATCTACTTGAAGAGACAGCCTGTTATGAGCACATGTATGACAAATGAGGAAAAAGTTTTGTATGCTGAAGAAAGGAGGACCGTCGTATAATACCCACAGATATATTAACCCATTCATCATCCATTTAATACGATGTATTTGCATCTCGCCTGTATATCCTTCATCTCGTCATGCAGAAATGCAATGCAGCAAAATTACCACTCACTTACACACACACACACACACACACACACACACACATTCGCTCTTTCAGCCATCCAAGATCACACCACCCTCGTCCGGAAAGAAGAAAGACACAAGAGCCCTCCAGGGCTGCCTATGCACCGTTGTAGAACTGAGCCCACGAAGCAGAGACGCACTAACTCCCCTCGCAGCATTGCCTCAACAGTCTGACCCGTTATGCCTAAGCGAAATAATAGGAAATAACCGCACGCGTGTGCTTTCCCAAGGATGTTATTGCGCTTTGTTCTCAACCCCGAATGAGGAAATGTCCAAAAATTCCGATATGGTCCCGGCCGCCGGGGGGGGGGGGGGCCAATGAGGAAATTTTTCGTCGCGCCTTGATCTTTGAAAACCCCTTTCTATATGCAAAACGTCTATACCCGGATAACCACCGCGCCTGTCTCCGCCCCTTACCACCTGATCTTGCTCCCCTCAAGCTCCCCCTTTAAAAATAACAACTCTCATGAGAAATCTCGCTCGGTCTACCTTCCACGACCACCTTATGCATTTCATGACCTTTCTTGGAGGGAAAATTCAGTCCTCCTCGTTATCCAGTGGCGCATAGCGGCCGTTGCGGTTCGACACACTGCCGGAGCGCGCACGGGACTGTGATCTGCCGACTACCCGTGAGATCCAACCAGCAACACCGCCCTCCGTCTGGCCTTGCTCGTACTGTGGCCGCCCATTAACAAAGTTGACATTTGGCGGGTCGATGTCGAGGCCAGGGAAATTGTTCTGCGGCGCCAGCAGCGAGCGGCCGCGAATATCGAGCGAGGGCACTGGTGAGGCTGCGCGTCCGAAAGCATCGTCTTGCGGGCCCAGTGCAGGTGTACCCATGGACGCGGGCGTGCCGATTGTGGTCGTCGCATCGCCGAAGATGGAGTTCATGTCCTCGAGTCGGACACCGCTTGTTTCGGGGTAAATGAAGTAGACTGCGCATTGATCAGTACATATGTTCCTCGTAGTCTCAGTTTGCGAAGAAAAGCAGGTCAACCTACCAATGACGAAACTAGCCGTGCAGAAGAAAGCATGCACGAGGTAAAGACGCCACTCGATCCATTCCTGCAAGATGGGCGTCATCTCTCCCACCAGCCAGTTGCAAGCCCAATTCGTGGCAGTCGACAGCGAAGCACCTTTGGACCGGATGCTGAGCGGGAGAATCTCGGGCGGATACAGCCAAGGAATAGGACCCCATGAATATCCGAATGCGGCATTGTAGATCATGACAAACACGACCACCAGTGTAGGCGTTGCTCTGATGTCGAGGTAGATAAAGTACGAGATCAGGGAGAGTGAGATCGCCATGGCGACGGCGCCAGAAAGGAGGATGATCCGGCGACCCCAGGTATCGACAATATACCACGGCGGAATGGTAGACAGGAAGTAGGTGATGCCATTGATGCCAGTCATCAGCACGGCTTGTTGGCCAATCCATCCCGCAGACTCGAAGACATAGGGGGCGTAGTAGGAAATGACGTTGATGCCGTTCAGCTGTGCGAGGGCCTGGGCAGACATGGCAATGAAGACGCGCGTCTTGTACCGGCGGAACATGTCTCTGTAGGTTCTCTCCCCCTCCTGTCGCTGCAGAAGAACGTTCATCTTGATCTCTCGATATTCATCACGCGCCTTAGGATTGTGAATATCACCACCTCCGTACAAGTTAGCAATGACCACAATGCCTTCCTCGTCGTGGTCGTTGTCGAGCAGCCATCTAAAAGAAATCCGTCAGCACAAGAAGAACGGGCAGGCTCCTGGAGCAAGCGTACCTTGGAGATTCAACAATGATCAAGCTTCCAAGGCCAAGCAGGCCGCCCATGATGCACTGCATGAACAGTGGTACTCGCCACGAGGCATCGCTCTGTATAAAGCCGCAAAAGTAGTCTACCCAGACGGATGTAGTATATCCAATGATGTTGCCAGAAAACTCAATACACGCCAACTTTCCGCGGTTATGGGGCGGCGAGATCTCGGACTGGTACACAGGGACAATGGTCGACAGCGAACCGACGCCGAGACCAGCAATGATTCTGCCAAGCATCATCATGGGCATGCCCGTCGCAAATGTCTGTAGGGCGCCTCCGACGAAAAAGATCATGGACCCGTAGAGGATGGTCCGCCGCCGACCGATAATATCTCCTATCTTTCCAACGAGCAGCGAGGATATTAGGGCGCCAATCTCGAGAATGGCGACCATTGTTCCTATCTCGGCCCTCGAGGGCTGGTTAAAGTATTGACGGAAGAATGGGCCCCTGCATAAGAGGAAATCCTTATCAGCGATGTTGTCTCGGCGCGCAGAGGAGAGAGAGAAAGAGAGAGAGAGGAGGGGAGATTGAGAATGGTCCATACGTGATGATGCCCGACATCACACCTTGGTCATATCCGAAAAGGAAAACACCTAATGACACAAATATACTCGTGAAATAACTGGTGGATCACATATCGTTAGTATCCACGACACGACGTACACAGGGCGCCATGGACACGCACATGAGGGGCTTCCCCGTGAAGCCTTTACTTGAGCCCGGCATGATGGCGGTTACGAAGCGTTGCGCTCTGGACGGCTGGAGAGAGACCACCTCTGGGACCTCAATTGCCTCCTTGTTGACGACGCCGATGTGCCCGTGGGAGCCGTCTTGATTATAGTATGTGGCGTCGTCGTGAATACGAACGCGCTTCTTCTCCTTCTTGCTCCCAGGACCGTCCTGCTTGCCGTGGAGATGCCGAGGCTTCAGGCCAGCGAGGACAGACTCGTCGAGTGTGTCGTTGAGCCTTGCGCGTAGCGGATCCTCGACGTCGATCTGCTCGCCAATGTCTCCAGTCTCGATCCAGGAATCGGTGTCGTCCTCTGAATCAGAGCCGGGCCTGTCGACGCGGTAGCCGGAAAACGAGGAGCTGCCTGCGCCTGCTCCGTGCTCTGCCCGGAGAAATGACGTCGATTCCTCGGTATCGTGTGAGTTGTGCAACCGAGAGCCGGAAGAGGAGTCAGGAAGGGTTCGTAGAGGGATGTTAGACGGCAGCCTGGAGTTGCTCTTTGGACTTGAGAAAGGCATACGGCATCACCCTTCTAATCCTCGTCAAGTAGAAGCAAAAAGCAAAAAAAAGAGAAAAGGAGCAGAAAGACAACGTCGGTCAGGTCAAAAGCCCGAGAAAGGAAAGAGAGAAAAAAAACCAGGCCAGTAGAGCCGATAGGGTGTGTGGGCTGGATCAACAAGGACAGGCGAGCGAATGGTACGGCAGTGAGGTTGCCGTCTCGATTCCAGTCAGTCGGTCACTAGAAGCTTTTGGGGGTGGTCTGGTGGAGTCGGTTCGGCTGCGTTGACTCAAAGCTGGCTGACTACACGATCCAAGCACAGTACAAGACGGGTGGAGGGCATGTGAGGAGAGGATGGATGCATAAAGCGTGCTCGTGCAATCGAACGGGTTGGCAAGGTCCTTGGGTGGCAGGTGGCTGGTGGCAGGTGGTAGGTGACAGGCCAGGTGGAGGATGCGGTGTGTTGCTAAGGTCAGGTTGCAGCAATCGTCGTGAACAAGGTTACGTGAGAGTAAGTGTCGAGTTCTTGGGTCTGGTCGGGCTGGATGGCCTCTCTGGGGGGCCGCCTGCCGCTCAGCACATGTGGTGGCCGCAGCTGAGCCAGGCCCCCAACCCAATCCAAGACCCCTGTAACGTACTTAACCTGGAATCCTGGGAGACTGGGGCGGATGGGGGAAGAGTGATAACGGCTCCAGGTACCTGTGCAGGCCTATGTGCTGTGGAGTTACAGGTGTCACCCCTAAACTTTAGCGTATCTGCTATGTTCGACCTATCATTCTTCATCATTCGCAACCCCCTTTTCCGCATCTTGAGACCCTGAGATTGGGATAGAATGGTCTCATGTTTGTTTATTATGAGAAGTTCCTGTAGCACATGGCACGTACAATCCTTTACCCTTCCCCTTGTTTTTCATCTCTGCACCTTCGCGTATCTTGACTTCCCCCCTCCTTGGGCAACAATTGGATCTGGTCTCCAGTGATGCCGTTCCGTAAGACTATAGCGGATGGACGGTGACCCTGCACGGTGCTGTCATGTCTCCACTTGAGGGTCTCTTTTTATCCTATCTTTCCTGCCCTGCCAAGGATATAGCCAGCAGAACTTCACAATGTCTTATCAGTATCCTCTTCCTCTTTTCCGCTCTTGTCTCTCTCAAATCAGGGAACGCTCGATGACGACGGCGGCTGTCCCGGTTTCACTGGTGGTCTCCATTACTTGTACAGTAAGTGCATCGTGGTCAGATTCATACGATCTGATTGATGTATAGTAATTCAAGATTCACAATAAAACATCGATGTATTATTAGTGGGGTCTCTCCAGCCTCCAAGGCTGGCCGACTCAGGCCAGATGACCTTCTTGAATCTGGGGTAAGGTCGTACAGCCCCAGGTCTGACCACGCGGACCTCCATCCAAAGCCAATTCCCCCTCCTCTATTAGGTAACCTTTTTTTTTCTCTTTCTATTCTTTCCATCTTCTCTCTTGACATCTGGTGTATTTGTATTTAGTGATTCTTTATTTTCTTTCTTCAACTACCTCTTTTCCCTCTTATTCCCTCTTCCTTATGCTCCCCCCTCTTCACTCCTATCTTCCTCTCTTCAACTTCAAATAGTTTCTTTCAAAGAGCTGATTGGTTGCCCTCTTCATTACCTTTCTATTTTCTATCTCTCTCTCTCTATAGAGAAGAAGAAAAAAAGCCCCTCCATAAAAGCCCACCGTTTCCAATGACGCAACCCTGCATAGGTATGAGACTTTAGAGTTCAGGGTCTCCAGGCATTTGTTTCCCCCGCCCCCCTTCCGGCCCGGCAGGACACTGCAGACCACCTACAGTACACTGTATTGCGATCAACAGCGCCAGGAATCGAGATCCCCCGTCAGATGAATATCAGGGGCGGCTAGGGCGCTTCGTACGATGACTTTGCACGGTCTCAGCCCATGGCTCAACGAGATCTTCATTCATACACGTACTATCCTCGTTACAGCTTTCCGTTTTGTGAATGGTGAATGGAGAAAGTCAGTCCAACAGGGGAGATCCGATCCTCTTTGGATGTCGTCTCTAATGCAAGATGCATCACCTGCTCATCTTCAGACCACCATGTCAGTCTTGCCCGCAGCTGACGTGCAGTAAACCTTGGAGAAGGGGGGACCCCGTCGCCCGCTCGCCGCGGAGGCTGCACACCACCTTTCATGGCTTTTAAAGTCTTTTGTCGCGTGAGAACTTACACAGTAATATCACCTGCACCAGCGCAGCGGTCTCGATGAGACCTGGTGAGGCGGACAAGGGGCTGCTTTGGTCAACAACCTCTCTTCCGACGGGTGACATGCGCTGAACAAGCCCTACGTACTTGAGTCAAAAGTAATCTTAGTTTTCTGTTTAACGGACGGGGAGTGCCGTAAAAGTCCTGCATCTATAGCCGTATCCCTATTGGTGGAAGACACAAGTGTGACTACTTTTGAGGCTTCTTTCGTGCTTGCGGAGAAGGATTCCATCCATCGTGTGAAGGTAACCCTATTAGGATATTAGGCACTCGTGCTCTTCATACATTTTTCTATTGTTTCGTGGTTCTGACAAGTTTATATTATGCAAACTTTTGATGCTGGGGTATCTTCTTTCTTGTCACAAAACCATCATGAGCACATCATCCACGGCTTCCTTCAATGGGATGTCTCGAGTGTCAAACTCCATCGCCAGCCAGACACACTGCGTCCTATGACGGCCCTAACCACGCCGGCCCAAGGACCGAAGGCCTTTACCATTCGAAGGAGATGGTGGCCTAGTCGTCGGTTCGCCAGTCCCATTTCTCGCCGGCCTCGGGAATGGCCTGGTGACCAGGCGCATCCCTGAAGCAGACGTCGTCCGAGGCCCTGCAACACTTGATGGTGTCCGGCGCCGACTCGTATCGCGCTGCGATCGCAAAGGCTCTCTCCACGCAGCCTTCCGTCCAGACGGGAAAGAAGGCAATCCTGGGCGAAAGCTCGAAGTGGGCATAGATGCCAGCCGTCCCGATGCGGTCGCATCCCCAGTTCTTGATATTCTGGGTGTAGCATTCTGCTCATTTTTGGGTTTGTTAGCGAAGGACGATCCCAACTTGCTGGTACGGAGAGAGAGAGAGAGAGAGAGAGAGAGAAGACGTACCGCCGCGAAGGTTGTCCAGAAGTCCCTTTCCGCACGAGCCGCCTCTGAGATCGAATTCCCTGGCGAAGATCTCAGTGACGGCGGAGAAATATGTGTCGTCGCCCTGGAACCAACATTTCCTATTCCAGCTGGGGTCCATTTCGGGCGGCAGCACTCTCGGAGAGAGGAGCACGGCCGTGGTGTTGCTACTTGGTACAGCAGCCGCCATGATGCTAGTAGCCAGCGGTGCTGCCACCATCGTAAAGAATACGAGCAGGCGCATCGTCGAGGCTTCTCTGAGCGAGGTTGGAGGAAGTCAAGAAGAAGACGAGACTGCACACATCAAGGACTTGACTGAGATCGTGTATGTCTAAACGGATTTTGGTTTACGAGGACCAGGGAAAGGAGAAACACCAGTTCCAGCAGCGGCAGGGAGGTGTCTATATATACTTTTCGGCTGCGCTCGATTCTCGCGATTGTCCACGTCATGGATTCAAGAGTGTACACCAGAGTTCTTTTGCAGCAGCTTATAGATCCAGCTATATTAAGCTGACCAGACCCAGGGCGACCGGCGTGAGCCTGTGGCCAGCACCGGCCGCCTGCGCCTGAGAAGTGTTAAAGCAGAGAGCTGAATCTAAGTTTTGCTATCTTGTTACGCTTGATTTTAGAGTGGTTTGGTGTTTATCACATGCCCCTTCTCCCTCCAAAAAGTGACGGCTAAACCTTAGGCGGACGCTGGCGAGAGTGTCAAGTCGCCCGCTAAGAGGCATCTATGTCGTCAGGACTGTTGACCATGCTGTTTTGGCCCATAGAGAGAACGGCCGATCTCTTCCAGACCACGACGGTGATGCTGAGCAAGAAATTGCTTAGCTTTATGTGTGTGAAAGAACAAAGACACCAAGAAGCTAAACACAGCGTCGTTAGTCTGGAGGGGGGACTGAATAGTTTGATCGTTAATGATGAGCAGGAGAAGTTTAGGGCAACCTGGCCCTGAAAGAGTTCTTTGAGGGTACTGGTAACACTGGTGATCGCTCCTTCCCACTGTGTACAGGTTTTACAACAAAACCTCTTATTCGCGACTTCTCCATCTCGGCCCAGAAAGAAGACGGCGCTTCAACGGAACTGTGCCTTCCAAGAGACCTTATTGGCGCTGGTTGGCTGGTAAAGCATCTGGCGTTGAAGGAAACAACCTCAAATCAGTCCCTAGTCCTACGGCCTTCCTAGTGACGGCTTGGTAGTGAATGAATGATGATGTTTCCTGGATTTGGAGTTAGGTCATCAACTAGGCTTGATCGTCCTCAGGAGACAAGCTTTGTAGCTCATTTAACTGCTCTCCATAACGACGGATGCTGCCTAGACGTCATTCGCGTTCGCACTATGCCTCCTCCTAGGACTGTGTGATCATTTTCGACTAAATTGGTCGAAGAAGAGGATGTAGGACTCTTTTGAGACTGTTGAGCCCTCTCTCCGTCGAGTTGGCGTTCGTTGATAACAACAGCATAGGCAACGGAGTCCCTCATGCATGCAGATCGATACATATAATTCAAATACCGGATTGCGCAGATGCCTGACAACTGAGGGTTGGGAACTGCCAGTTTCGCTCTTCTCTAGGCTGTTTGTGATGGTCTTGCCAGCTCCGAACCGCTACGCATAAGACTATATCGAGGGCGACACCTGGAACATTGAACGTATAGGGTTAGTCCGGAAACATCTGGTCTACAGAGGGAACACTCGGCGATTTTCAGCTTCAACCCACCCAACCATAGGATCGTTGCTGTTCCATTGCGGTTGCTATTTTCCTCTTGAGCTCGAGCAGCAGCTCTCACCGCGATCGACCGGAAACATCTGAGACTTCACACGCAAACCGTGGATAGGTCGATGAACTTTTGCATGCAAGGCTGGTTGTGGCTGAAACGTCGACCACGCAGCCCAGCGAGCGGTCCGGATTCCGCCCTTTAGTTACATGCACATCAGATATTAGCACCCCCAAAGTGAATGAAGCCGAAGCGGCTCGTCAGCCATGGTACGAGCTGTAAAAGTAATGGAAAGGGCGGACGCGGCATCGGGAAGTCCTGCTGTGTCACTGCTCAGCCACGGCCCTATTTCCATTTCCTGCGCCCTTCGTGATTCCAGCTGCACGGTACACGACATGAGCAAGAAGATGAATGTGCGTCAGATGACACAAGTAGCGAGGCCATTTCTCGTAGGGTAAGATCTTGTTTTCTCGAGTAAGACGGCCGGGCGCGACGGCTTGATTGGGCGAGGGCGAATGCGTGGTCTGGTGTTGCACAAGGAGGAAGACACCGGCATCCGGGGTTCTTGGGAGCAAGAGACAGATCCAGTGGCATCGCCCCCACAGGTCTGGGAAAACGTCGGATATGATTTGATACAGATACGACCTGATTATCCGTAGTGGTACGGGGAGAATGGTTTGGACAACCTCTCCGGGCCATATTTCCTTGCCTCGAGACTGAAACGCGCTGCTAGAGGTTCACTGCCAACTCGCTGGGCCCTGAGAGAGCTTTGAAGTTGATTCTGCTCTCGCAGTGAGCTGGTCCATATTCCCGCGTATACCGCGACGTACTTTCACGGACTCATTCAGATATCCATTTTCTAAAGCCCTTGTGTTCTAGAATACGAAAGGTTCGGCTGGTGGTATTCTATAGAGGTGGTACTTACCTCTGCCCTCACTTGAAGGCAGGAGGTCTTGAGTCCTGATATGTACTCAGGTACGTACTCATACACATACATTCTCTAGCGGGATACTCAAAACGACTTGCAATCTTTCCCTGCTTAAAGTATGTTAGGGCTTCGCCGTCCACTGGGCACGCTGTTTAGATGAAGGGTATTGCGAACTTTATCAGTTGGTGAGTGGCCTTCTTGCCAGAGAACAATGTATGCGACCCCAAGAATTGGTCGACGTTGAGTTTGGGGTTTTTCCAGGTCGAAAAAGTGGTTGTCGAGAGATAGTACCACCCGAATCCAACGTACCGCTCGGTACGAAGTATAAACCTCGGAGTAGCTCTCACTGAGAGCACCGCTCATGTGTTGGATATGTAGAAGAGAACCGCCAGTGGAAGTTTCAACGAGATATGACAGCCCGTACAAATCCAATCTTGACAGACTCCTAGGCCTCTCTTCTTCCACCAGCACCTGTTAGCCTCCACTTGAAGGCTCTCTAGTCTTCAGGCCAGAGTAATATCTCACGAAGAAATGTCCAGTGCAGGATGAGCAAAGAGCATGAGCACTACTCTGCTTATCGGAAGGACTCCAAAAGCTATGCTGTCAGCACCATGCTTCATCCTGAAAGTTTTGACCTACCATAGTACACTGCCTGCAGTAGTCGTCCTCGTGTTTTGTCCCATTGACTGCCTATCAGAGTTCGAGGGGCTCATAACGCTAGTGCATGTGATCAATGACTGTGGTACGGTAGTGTGTGTCGGCTGAAGGGGCTGGGCTGACAGCTGGGCTCCTACAAATGCAGCCATGGTTGGGCATACAGTATACCTATTCTCAACATTGGGTTGATTTCCCCTTCCAACTGAGCAGGGGGCGGGGCGATTTCCAAGACATCGGTCGCGACGTGCAAGGGGTGGTCCAGCGAGTCTGACCCCGAATTCGACGCGCTGTTATGGAGCTAAAACCGTGGACGTGACGAATAATTTTTCGAACAAGCACGATCATCGTGTTGATGATGATCAGCAAAGGGCAAAAACCTGATATGGAGGCTCGCTACCATGGACATTTTTGTGTTTAGTGTATGACCATCGGTTGCACACAACAATTGGGGGCCCAACGCATGCCGCCCAGCCAGTCAACAAGTCGGGGCTGTGGCGTGTGGCTGTGCCCACCCCTTCCTCTCTCCCCATATCATGGCTGTTAATATGCTATGCGGCAGACCACTGCATGACTGCGGGTAGGGGTGGTGGTCATGGTCGAAGGAGGGTGGTCCCCCCACTATGACACCCACCGGGGGCAGTGCGGCGCAGCAATGAGTGAGTGGCATTGTAGCATAACTTGCATGGGACATATCGTCCTATGGTACATTGGCACTACTAAGCAGAAGAGCATGCATGCCGGAGTCGGTCCAGCTCATCATGCATGAGGATGGCGAGATTTCTTGAAAACGAGACGGATACCGGTCGGCTAATGAGATGGCGCGCTTGAATATGTGAGGTGAGATGGTGCAAAGTCAGGCGACAGATGTGCTCTGTCCGGGCAGGATGGCAGATGGCGATCGGTCGTTCCAGGTCAGACTGGAAGGACTGCAACCTCGACCTGGAATTCGTCAGCCGGGATCTCATGTTTAGCGCTCGACTTGTGTGGCCACGATACCTGATACAAGGTACTTGAGTAAGTACCGCGCCAAATTTCCCTGCTATTGTATCAGCAGCGCCAACCAACCCCCCTCCAACACTTTCTTCCTCATCCTGCATAAGTAGCCAATGCGAATAATCTGCTTTTCTCCATGCTATTGCTGTTCTTATTTTAAACTTCCGTACCTAACAATACAATCTACATAGTGGCGTCTCCTGGTTGAATTGTCCCCAGCCCGTGCCCCGAACTAATCAATCCCCTTAGGCGGTTTGGACAAATGGCAGGTGAAACATGCGGTACCATAGTACACATGTCTCTTCTTGGTCACGTCGGACTCAGGCAAGGAAAGAAAAGAAAACCAGATCAAAGTGCAACGCAGGACATCGTCCCGGGCAAGCAGCGACACCAATTTTAAGAATCCTATGGCTTTTTTCTCTTTCTGTTCGTCCAGCCAAGGAAAAACCACCGCGGAGAGGACCTGTCATCTCGGAGGTCCTGGTTCATTTCACAGAGTAACTCCCGAGGTACCATTTCTGGCCCATCGGCCATCAATTCAGCCAATCAGCGAGGACCAATCCACCTGGAGGAGTGGGGCCGACCGCCTCTAGGACGCTGGTACCAGCCAACCGCTGTGGGATCACCCCAGGACCACCCCGGTCGCAGGCCTCGCATCTAATCGCAGCTTCCTTGGCAATCCTGCCAGAACTGCGTCTTCTGCTTGGTGCATGCATGTGTAGGCAAGGTACTCAAGTACACATACATAATAGGCAGGGTGCAGGGGCGAGGTTTCGTTCCTTCCCGCCGCGCCGCGCCCGCCGAGCTCGTGCTTTGCCCTCTTATTTTCTTAAAACCGCCTGTCTCTGCCTTGCGCAGCCCTCGCCCAGTTTTCTGCATGCGATTCTCAGCGACCCGCAACAGACAACTCAAAATTCACGATCGACTCGGAACGCGGTACCAAATTTTCGAATCCCACCCATTGCGACGTCAGGAGGAGGAGTAATTAATTCAAGGAAGAAAAAGAAGAGGGGGGGAAAAACATCAAAGGGCACGTTCAGTTGCCAACTCCTGCAAAGCCAAGAGACAGAAGACAATTCGCCCTGCTGGATGGCAGTAAAGCGGGAAGACGCGGTCCACTGATCGATTCAGCCATAAAAGCGAGGAAACAAAAGAGCTCGGACCAAAGATACAATCCAGAAGGGAGAAGACAGCCGACCCACCAACTCTTGCCGCATTCTACACCGTCGGTTCTTGACCGTCTTCGCTGAATTCTGCTGAGGTCGTCTCTCTCCTGGGTCCTGGGTAGTCAATCAGCTTGACTGGTTCCTGACCCAACCAGGCTTGATCTGTCCTCATCGCACTCGAATTCAACGGTGAACGCCGAAGAGTCGACTCGACCTGCTTGGAGATAAACCAGCTGCTGATCTTTGCACGCGGCCTAATCGCTCCTTGAACTGAACCCTCGTGGGTTTCTTTACTCGGAAAGGCAGTTTCCTCGGACGAGCCGCTTTTGCTGCACTCACACAATGGTGGCGACGCAATTCGGAAATTTCGGCGTAAGCAAGCTCTACAATCACCAACTCCTATCCTGAGGCGCCAATTGACATACTAATACCATCCCCATCACGTTAGAACTTCTGCCGAGATTCTACCCTGCCAGTCTGCAACCTCCTCTCGACAGCACACAACCAGAGCGGGCCATGGGACACGGCCGATAGCTGCCACCTGGTGGGCATCCCACTGAGTGGTGGGCGACACCTGGGCAACCTGGGTATGTCTTGACGGGACCCGATGGCATCGTCATCGCTCGCTGGCCGTCTTCCCAGCTGACCAACGTGGATAGGATCGATATTATTATGCGGCTTTGCTATTCTGACGAGCATATACCTGATCTTGCGGTCTGAGAGAAAACGGGCTGCTGTCGGCAGAAGGTACGTGCCCTTTCCATTTTTTCCAACAACGACCTTATGCTTTACCGTATTTTTTGCGGCATCATGTGTTTTCGTGTGGAGGCATACCACATTGCGTCTTCATGGACTGGTCGGCGGTGTTGGTCTCGCCTCGAGGGCAGTGGAATTCCATTCAATAAGGGATGAAGCGCCTGGTGGGAGGATCGATGGCATCGGACGGGCAATTTTCTGTCAGGATAATTGGTTGTCCAACGGCCCAGCCTTTCGTCTTTTTTGACACCAGCACCTATCCGTCCAGTCTTATTGACACGTTATAGGGAAATGCAACTGTTCCTCGCCTGTTACCTCGTCCTGTCGATATGCGAGATCTTCACCGTTGGAGAGTTTCCTCTCGAGTCTCGTGTTCGAGTTGCCTTCACTGGAATTCACATCGGCTTCATCATCGCCACGACATGGATACTTATGCTCAACGCAGTCGTCGGATACCAGGTTCTAGACGACGGGACGCCACTCTCTCTGGGTCTGCTACTTATCTCAGCCGCCATCCTTCTCATCGGCACCGGTTTCATCGCCCTCGCCACTGGTTATGGTTGGACAGGCTATTGGGATGGGAGCTACCAAGCGCCCTATCGAAACATCGCCCTCTACGTGCTCTACCAGCTCATCCCGCTCATCTTCCTCGTCGCCTTCTATGTTCTCGAGACCGTCCTCGTCCTAAGAGTTCTCGGTGAGACGAGACCCATGATCTACCTGACTCTGGCTGCCGTCCTCTTCGCCCTTGGCCAGATCTTCAACTATGCCATCAGTTCTCATATCTGCGCCGGCACAAACGGCAAGATCGACGGTGCGCTCTTCGAGACACTCTTCACACTCCTGTCCGTCGTAATGATCTGGATCTTCTGGTCCTCAATCACAGAGGACGACTGGCCAATGACGGTCGGAAACACGTATCCATAGTTTGTCAGTTCCCGGAACCGGGTCAGACACTCCCCCTTCATTTTCCTTCTCTACTTTCTTAAGCATTATAATGATACCAGCCTTCGAAGGGCAGGCGGGGAGGGCGTGTGGGCAGTTGGCCGGATAATCTATACCCAGTCGATCAATGATAATGTGGATACGATAGAATATCAATCAATCAATACCCGTCTAAAAATTACTCGTCTCTTTGTCTTTCTCCTTCTCCACAGGTCCCTAACCTGCGCATTCACCTAACAGCCTTTTAGGGGGAAAGGACGCGTGAGAAAGCCCTACGGTAGCATCGAGTCAACCGACACCAGCGGTCATCAGGACTACAATAATGCAGTGTTCATCATAAACCTACTTATACAATGGCGATGTTTGATCAGGCAGCCCTCCAACAACCAACCACCCCCTCAGAAATTCGTGCCCTGAATCACAAGTTTGGTATGCCAAGCACACATTCACAACGGCTTGCATGCTGAAGCGCCACCCCTTCCCCCTCTCCACCCGGGCTTCAGTCAGTACTTAATACACTTTGAGTCTGCTGAGAGATTCGCAAACATTTATCAGGCAATATAATCCGATGCCTTGCAGCAGATGAACCCGTACCCTGCGAGCAGCGCCCAGAGAAGGAACCAAACGATATTGGCCACCACGTAGCCAGTAAAAGTGAAGAAGCCAGCAAGCATGAGAATATGGGAGACAGCACAGAAGACGACAAAGACGTCGAGGTGTTTCCGGCCCTAGAACATGCATCCCAAGAGATCCGGCAAGGGAAAGGCAGAGTGTCAGCTTGTTCTCTCTCTCTCTCTCTCTCTTGTTTCTTCACGGGGCGACAGACAGCACTACACAGTGCCAGCAGAGCCAGCAGCGGGTTGACTTACGATCCGCAGGCAGAAGACATCCCGAACCCCCTCGGCGCGGTCGATCATAGTGAGGCACCAGACGGTGGAGACGAGGTTGAGCACGAGCAGGACGGCACCGACGGCCACGCTGATCGTCTGGGGGCCTAGGGTGCGCAGGATGACCATGAGGACGGAGATGAGGACGCGGATGAGGAGAATCGTCCACATGCTGAGGCGGCGGAGGAGGAGGGCGGGGCCATGGTTGGGGCCGGGGCCGGGGCCGGTGCTGCGGAGGCGAACCCAGGACGAGAGCATAGCTGAGGGGCCGGGCCAGGCGCGGGACTTCCAGGAGGCTTGGTGGCCCGTCTGTGCTTCCTCCTCCATGGCATGTATTGTTGTCTTGGGGAAGTAGGAGAGAGGTGGGGACGGCGGAGGGTGAGGCGAGCGCAGCACGGTTCTGAAAGTTGTTGTCGTTGTTGGACTTGGCTGGTTGGTTTGGATAGGGAATTGGCTATGAGGTTAGAAGAGTGATTTTCGTATCGCTTCAATGCAAAAGATGAGGAAGTCGTGCTGGTTCAACCGCTGCAGAGCTGGCTGTGTTTGTTTGTTCAACATGACGACCCCTTCCCCCTCCCCCCCCCAAAAAAGGGACAAGAGGTCTGTCCGTCGTTACTACCGACGGGCCGTTCGCATGAGGAGGGTTCTCTCATTTATGGCTCGCCTAAGGAGCCCCAGTCGGTGCTCTTGCCTGGGCTGGAAGCCTCTTATATTCAGCTCGTGTGCATGTGAGTGCGAATGAACGGGGCGTCTTTGTGAATGTGAAGGCAGGCCGTGATACCTCACGCAAGACTTGTCACTCCTTATACAAGCAAACATGGACACAGAGGCGGGGCTCAGAAGTCCGATGAGTAGCAGCTAGAGGGACACACGGTTGCCGTGGACAGTCTGTAACTATGGCAGTGATATGCATAATGATATCTATACGGTGTTGCAGAAGTTGAGAAGGGGAAAAGTGAGGTCGAGCGGATTATCTGTGTAGCAGGGTAATAATTTCACGAAATTATTGAGTATTTTCTCGGTCCTCAAAATGAAAGCTCTATCAGCAATACGGTCCATTGCAGGAATAAATCTATCAAAGCTTTGCTAATCACTCGTCAAGTCTGAGACAAGCGTTACAGTCTAAGTTTTTTAAAAAAAAAAATATACCTGGTGTCTTGTGCGGGTTTCCAGTCCCCACGTAGGCAGTGAAGATGAATGATGCTGGGCAGCAGGATACGTTGAGCACCGGTGAGACCTTTCTCGCTTGCTTCATTCAGTGCCACAAGATCGTGACCTCATCGTGTCAATGTAGATGCTCGCTGCACGATTGTTCGCTATGGCTTGCAGCCCCCGTGTTGTCTCTGCTCGGGATGCGACAGTTGCGCCAAAGTCTAGGTTGAGGATTAGTTTAGCCGGAGAAGGAAGGAAATCATGGGCCCTAGAGTTAAGAGTTAGTAATTCATTGATTCTGGGGGCTCATTATGAGAGCAACAGGACACAGCAGCAAGAGAGGCCATGCGCTTGAGCTTGTGTGAAGTTCTCGTCGTCCTATGGAAGTCGGACAGCGACAACAAGGACGAGGGTTGAAATATTGATAAGCAAAAGCGAGGCGCGCCTCCGTATTACACTACGAATGAAACCATACTATGTCGATGGCCTACCGCGTAAGTGGCTGCTCACTACCTCTCCTGAACCATCCATTGACTTGCTCGGCCTTTCGCGCTCAACCGTCCTGACAACCCCCTTACATTAATCATTGAGGCCTCATAGCAATCCTTCCTAACACAACTTCGGACAACAGAGGGTATAATGACGTCGATCTGTTTACTTTACAGTAATAGCATATACTCGATCGAACACATAGCAAAAGAACTGGAACTACATAAGAAGTCAAGGGAGAGTCCTCGAACTCTGGTGATTCGCATTGCTAAGTTCACCAAGACAAAACAGCTCGAATCATCAACACAACCGTTACAGTTACCAGCTCTCAGCTAGATTTAACACAAGAAAAGGAAGGAATCATGTCCGAGCAGTTGAGAAACCTGAAGGGCAAAGTGGCCATTGGTAGGACATCTCCTTCAGTTTCTAACAAAGAACACCTTTGATGCTCACTCTAAAGTCCACCACCCTTACTGATGCCGCAAAATCGCATAGTCACCGGCTCCTCCCGCGGCATCGGCGCCGCCATCGCCCTGAAGCTCGCCTCGCACGGGGCGGACGTGGTCATCAACTACGTCGCCTCTGCCCAGTCCGCCGAGGCCGTCGCGGCCCGTGCGCGCGATGAGCACGGCGTCCGGGCCGTCTGTGTGCAGGCCGACGTCTCGAACCGCGACGACATCGCGCGCCTCTTTGGGGCGGCCAAGAAGGAGCTCGGCCGCGTGGACATTGTCATGAGCAACTCTGGCATCGAGCACTTTGGTGACATCGAGACGGTCACGGGCGAGGAGATTGACAAGGTGTTTGCCGTGAACGTCAAGGCGCAGTTCTTTGTGGCGCAGGAGGCCTATAAGGTCATGGAGAATGGAGGGCGGCTGATCCTGATAAGCAGCATCTCTGCTGCCATGGTAAGAAACCCCCCCCCCCCCCCCTTCCTTTGTCTGTTGTAGATTGAACGTCATTTTTCTCACGCAAGAGAGATGCAGGGTTTCCCGCGCCATGCCATCTACTCTGCCTCCAAGGCAGCCATCACGGGCATGATCAAGTGTCTGGCCTGGGACTTTGGCTCCAAGCAGATCACCGTCAACGCCATCGCCCCTGGCGGCATCAAGAGTGACATGTACGCGCAGGCGGCGGCCGACTACTTCCCCAACGGCAAGGACATGACCATCGACGAGATCGATGCCAAGGTCAGCGCCTGGAGCCCCCTGGGCCGCCCCGGCATGCCGGACGACATCGCGGGCGTCGTGGCGCTGGTGGCGAGCCCGGAGTCGCAGTGGCTCACTGGCCAGACTTTCCATGTGGGTGGAGGAGCCCACATGGCTACTTCTTAGGATGCTTGTGGCCGTTTCGTTGGACTGGCCTACACAATGAGTAGCCTGAAAGATTTGGCAGGTTATGGTCCTGATTGCATGGGAGACACGAATTGCGTCAATGATCTTTTAGACAGCCGGTGTAGCCTTTGGGCTGGACCTGGCTGTTCTATGATGAATTTGTCTTCGATTTGATTATGGTTGAGCTCGTTCACAAATGGCTCTATACATATATCTACTTACTTTTAAAACACAGACTGATTTGACCGTATGAATAGCGGTCTGAATAATAGCTTGTTCTTATGACGTGATTTTTGTCTTCGGTACAGTCTCCTAGGGACAGAAAAAGACTTGCCAGAGGAATGACTTTATCCTGGTTCCAATGCGTTTGACGTACGGGTTTTAATTATTTGAGGACGCTCGTGGAAGAGCCTCTTAGACTCGAGTACAACCAACGTACCATCAAGATTATGACCTTGAATCGGAGACCGGATCTCAACAGGGCAGTAAGGGGGAAATTGAGATGAGATAAGCCAACTCAACAAGCAAATTATATCTAATTGTTGCGATCCAAACTGCCAGTCATGTAGTTTCCAGCGTGACCAGAGTTGAATGATTGACATACCTGGTGAGCAAGTACGCAGTTGGACGAGAGAAACTTCAGTAATTTTGAGTTGAATAAAAACTCGAGGTTAAATCTTGATTGTCTTTTTCTAGCCGAGCAAGTATGAATAGTTTGCAATTGCTTACCATTATAGATTTTTCCCAGTTAGTATCTTCAACAAACGCTACTACTCAAGCCTTTGGTCCAGGAACAAATCATGAATTAGAGTTCCCATCATCGTGATTCCATCCAGGCATATCTGCAAGGTCCTTGGCAGGAGCTGCACGAGTGGACTTGCGAGCATCGCCCGAGCCTGGCCGCCAACGCCATTCACGAGCCAAGTCCTCTGCCAGGTTGTCCTCTATCAGCTCCACAACATGTTTGCCTATGCTTGGCAGCAATTTAAAAGTGTGTCTGCCATTGAATCAATCTGTCAGCTGCCAAGTCTCTCGGCAAAAGAAATATGGGGTTTTCATTTTCCTTTCTTCCTTGGGGGCAAAGGGGAAGGGGAGGCTCTAGACCAACTCACCCGCTGTCTCCTGTTGCGAGTATGAGGTTCTTCCACTTGGGATGCTCACATATCAACAGAGAGGAATCTGCCGTGTCAGTACACCAACAGAGCGCCCTGTTGAACAGCTTCTTCCCCTCGAACCGCGGAAGATATGTCGAGATGGCCTTGCGTATCGTCACCTCGGACGCGTCGGGGTACGTGTCCGTCGGGTGCTTTGCGTGCGACCGCGGGACAGACACCGGCACGGGTGACTCGGCGCCGTACGGCTGGTGCATCTTGTACCTGGTGTAGCCCGGGAATTCATCGCAGACTTTGATGACGCCGTTTTCGTTGGGCTCGAAGAAGAAACCGATGTCGCTGTGGTACACGACCGGCACGCCCTTGTATTCGAGGGCTTCCTCGGGGGTGAGCTGGATATGTGCATACACCCAGGCCTATAGGGAGTGTTCAGGGCTTGGTTAGCGGAGATCCGATCATCAAAGAGAGAGAGAGAGAGAGATATTTAAGATGTTGTTTGGCGCACCTTGGAGCAGCACTGGTCTTCTAGGTCGATCAGGGTTGGACTCCATGCCCCGGCTGCGATGACGACCTTGTCGCCAAAGTACTGCGTCCCGTCCTCCGTCTCGACCCCGATACAGGTGTTTGGGTCCTCACTGCCAAAGAGCGGTCTCTTGAAGGAGCCGGCACTGTCCTCGACTCACTCCGAGTCAGCAGTGCTCATCATTTTGACCTCTTATCAATACATCAAGTTGGGGTGCGCATGTCTCACCCGCCAAAGCCAAACTGAACGCCTTGGTCTCGACAGAACTCGCCGATTGCGTTGATTGCTTTTGCAGCGGCCAGCCAGCCCCCATCATGGCTGTAGAGAGCTTTCCATCCCTGATGATAAGCACCAACACAGTCGTCAGAAACATTGGCTAGGTAAGTTGTCTACACGGAGGGCAGAAGGAGAGGTTTCAATAGTCTGACCTTGATATTATCTCGAGGCAACAACGGGGCTTTCTCGAGGAGCTTGTCTTCAGTATCCAGCCACTCATGCGTCTCTCCCACCCCTACGTCGATGAGAGTTTGATACTCGCGCCACAGCGCTGCTACACCCTCTTCGGAAACTTCACAGTCCATCTACCAACACAGGAAGCAAAGAGGCAACCATCAGCTTTTTTGTATCAAAGAACAATAAAGTCGAAAGTCGACATAATAAATAAAAGAATTGTCGTTTCTCACCCTGCCAGTCTTGTGAAAGAAGGGCTTGAAGAGGTCATCATGGCTCCACATATCAGCAGCTTCCTTGCTCAGGCGCACCTCGGCCTTGCTCGAGACGCGGATGCCCATGATCTTGTTGAGGTCGTTGCCGGCAGATTGGGACGAGGGAAAAGGATAGACGTCGAGGACTGTGAGGTTGGCGGGCGAGTAACCGGCCCGGAGCAGGTGGAGGGCCGTCGAGGATCCTATGGTGCCTGCGCCGCCGACGATGATCACTTTTGTCGTCGCCCTAGGAGGAGGGTTCGCCATGGTGGGCAAGGTAATTGAGCTGGTCGGGTGGCTTGAGTCTGTGTCTCTTAACTTGAGTTAATGATTGAGTAAATTGCGAATCCAGGTAGTTAATGGGCAGATTTGAGATTCCAAGTCAAGTCGAGTCGAGTCGAGTTGACGGGCAGAGCTGCTCCACTCGGGGGGGGGAGGGGGGCGGAGTACTTGACGTACTTATCCCGATCTCCTCCCGAGTCGGCGGTCATACAATTACATGAGTGACTGATTCGACTTGATAGCACCGTATCCACCGTCCCTTCAAACCGGCAATCTTTGAAGGAGTTTTCCCTACTTGTTAGGATAAAATGATAGAGTTGAGCCGGATATGCCAAGGTTGAGTTTAAGAACCAGATTATTGTTTCTCCATCTTTCGTGGTAATGGTTCCCCATCCAGATATCTTTATATGGTAGTCTCATACTCCAGACGCCATGCCATGTGAGTCCTAATTCCCACCAAGTCTAGCAGAAGCAGACCCAACCTCCTTCTGTTGATGCATCATCATCTATAACACCATCCCATCAGGCTCATCGCACAGACGAGCACGGATTATATGTATAGCACGCGCAACATTATACAAAATATACTGCATGCCCTGCCCAATTCGCGCTCTTCTTTTCCTTGCCCTCCTCTCTCTTTGTTCCCATTTTGTTCCCATCAATGAACGAACTTTCATTTCTCAATCCTTTACCATGAAAAAGCATCCAGCGAGCAGTCCACCCACAGTAGCCATGGTCAAAAAGGCCGCGCCAGCCCTGTCTCCAGTAGTGATGGCGGCAAGGGTGGTCAGCGATGACTCGGACTTCTCAGCACCGGCAGAGGCATCACCAGTCGAAGTACCGCCGGTATCATCCGAGTAGAGGGCTGGGGACCAGGCCATGACCTGGGAATAAAACACGGCAGAAAGAGCAGCCATCTGCTGGCCTACACCGTTGGTGCCGTCCCAGGTGGAATTCTCGGTCCACTTGAGGCCACAGGCGGTGCCAGCCAAGCCCTTGTAGCCGTCGGCCTCGGTGGCGGTGCCGTCACACTGCAGGGCGGCGTTCTTGGCAGAGGTGGCCAGGAGGGCGGAGATGGTGTCCCAGGTGTACGAGGCCAGCTGGGCGGTGCCGGCGAGCCAGCGGACGAGGTAGGCCTTGAAGCTGAGCGAGTCGGTGGTGCACGTGCCCTGAGGCTCGCAGGCGGGCTCGTACATGATGTCGTCCTGGAAGAAGTAGGTCTGGGTGCGCGCCAGGATGCCGTCCAGCCTCGTCTTCCACTTGGTCTGCGCGGTGCCGTTGGTGATGTTGTACATGGCCGCGGCGCCGTGCAGCCAGATGCCGGCGTTGTACGTCCACTGCGTCTTGTCGATGTCGGTGCAGTTGCCCGCGTCGGTGCCGAACCCGGCGCCGTCAAAGATGTTGTAGCTGTCGTCGATAAACCCGACCGTCTCCATCCAGTCCCAGATCGTCTCGGCCCAGTCGGCATACGTGTCGTTGCCCGTGTACCGCGCCAGCCGCGCCCCGATGTTGAAGAAGCACCCGTTGGCGATGGAGTTCTTGTACGTGTAGCCGTTGTTGAAGGTCCAGATCTGCCACCGCAGCCCGCCGCCGCAGTCGGCTGTGTCCCAGCGCGTGGCATACTCGTTGAAGACGGCCTGCGCCAGCGCGAGGTACTGCACCCCGCCCGCTGATGTGTCGTTTGGGTTGAGGAAGTTGGTCTCTGCGGCTGCCATGGCTGCGAGGGCCCAGAAGCCTTGGCTGTGGTGGTGCTCGAGGTTAGTCGTCTTGGAATGTGATGAACATGTATCTATATCTGCATATATAAAGATGTGTATATATGTATACATGCTTCCTTCTGGGATTGGACCGGTCTCGAGATGAAATAGGAAAAAAAATAAAAATAAAATGAAAGAAAATACGTACTCATCGTTTCCTTCGGATTTGGTCTGATTCGTGGGCATGAAATCGTTATCATCACCGACCTGGTGCTGCATTGCTATAAAAGTCTCGTTCACATAATCCGTGTCGCCTGTGTACGCCCAGTAGTCTATCATGGTGCCAAACATGGCTCCTGCTTCCCACCCTGTATTTTCATGTGTCTCAATCATTAGTTTATCAACCATGCCGTCGTCAATGCCTTAGCTAGGCTCTTTGTCCTGGAGGAAACCAAGCCAGAGAGGGGAGTAAGGGAAGGACGCACAGTAGTAGGGATCCGGCAGGTTGCCAGGCACGTCACCGGTGTTGTTACCAGTGTAATACTTCATCAGGCCGTATGCTATTGTTTTAGCTCCAGCCTTGATCGAGGCTGAGAAGGGCAGAAAAGCATTCCTGTTAGCTGACAGATAGCCAAAACGAGAGGGGGAGGGGCATGCATGAATGAATGAATGAATGACGTTCAAGAGGGGATGACATGGGACTCGTCCTGCGGAAGAACATACATTCTGAGGTCCAGTCGATATCAACAGCCGTTGCGGCCAGTGGCATCATAGCACCCGCCAGCCATAGTGAGCTTATTGATGAGGGCTTCATGATACGATAAATGGGCGACACACCCACGCCACCAGCTCAGTAGCCAGGTAGCTGTTCACCACGCGTCTCCCAGCTTGAGGCTATGAGAGAGGCAAAGAAGGATATCAGGAATGCTGCTGCTGTTGCTGCTGTTGCTGCTGTGGATGGGTAGCAGGGGAGAAATAAGAGGATAATGCGATCAACGGATAGAGAAAGGACAGGATGAACACCAACGACGAAAGGTCAGGAAGCAAGACAGAGGGACATGTAGCAGCACGAGAACGAGGAGGGGAGACCCGTCCAAGACACGAGCCACCACCCCACGGGGAGGGCCGCCATATTGAATTCCCATTCCAACTCAACTCTCCCTTTCTCCTTCTAAACGGATGGGTAGAGACAACAAAGGATAAAAAAAAAAGGGGCGGAGCCTGGTCAAGGTTCTTCTCGTCTCGGGAGGGCTCGCAAGTGAAGTTGGCCTGGGCCTGTGGGGCGCAACAGCCGGGGTCCCGTCGTCGTCACCCATGGCCATTGGAACGGCTTCTGCACCTGGACCATGGGCCTGACCCACGACAGGGTGGACCGAGCCCCGTTCAAGAAAAAGGAAAAAGGGAACATTCTGACATCGGATTGATCTGGCGGATGCGGCTTTGTGCGAAACCAGCCATATGGCAGTGTGGCACATGAGACAAACGCTTGCGTTGCTGCTACACGAGAGAGACGCAACACAAGAAACAGAAGGGGGATGCTGCCATAGGATAGTAGAAGACTTGTGGTGTGTCCTACAATACATATGAACTGCGTCGTCAGCTAAAGGCTCATTAGTGAGCGAGATTTGATGGCAAAGGGGGGCCGGGCCGTTGCTCTGTAATTAGAAAATACCAAGATATACCAAGAGTACCTAAGCACCAGACTCATATCATGGTAATAAGAATAAACAAAGCTTGATGATGAGAGGACAGAGAGAGAGAGAGAGTTAATTAGGATCTAGGGGTCCTAATCTTGGATGTAGCGGCAACAAAACGGGGCCAGCAGTAGCGGGAGGCAGCCCCTGACTCTGCCACGAGTAGGGTCCATGGAACTCTAGGGCCCAGATCTTAATTACAGGGGGTTTCTATTTGAATACGAAGTGGCAGACGCAAATCGGCCATGAGTTTGTTTCTTGTCTCTTTCTTTGGCCCCTTGGCTTCCAAGGTTCGTATTTGGTCGTGCTGTATTGCTTCGTGGAGGGTATGCGTTTGGTGAGCACCTAGCTGTACATAGTCTATTGCATATCGTCTCTGCTTGTGAGGTTCAGGGACTTTTTACTTCTTATTCTTTTTTTTCTTTCTTCTCCCGAGGACCCTTTTTTGTTGAACGTTGTATTGTATCGTGGATCTGCTACTCATCACTGCTGATCATGCGGAGAAGGGTTACTGCCAACCTTTGTCCACAGCACGTGAGAACGCGAGCCAGACCGATCGTCGAAATCCGCCCGCGACGACATTCAATCATCATCATCACTTCTAAGGATCAAGAGGTCACCAGCTTTGCAGTTGTACTCGCCTGACGTTGGGCCATGGTGTATCTACCTGACTAATAGTTTGGCATAAAGATTGGTCCCAGGTAGTCGTGGTTCATCCCAAGTTCAAACCAAAGTAACAGTTCCCCTCTTGTCTGGTGTCTCAGGTACTGCGTCTCTAACCCTGCAGTGTACGTAACCTTGGGGAGATCCGGAAACGATGCTGGGACGCCGCAGTTCTCTTTATACAACTCCTGACGAACAAGGCGATGATGGCCATGCCGTCTAACCGCCGGCCTGTTGCACTGCCCATCAGCTAGAGCATTCCATGACCTGGAAGAACAAACGTGGCAGAGACCCACTTATGGAGGAGCGACTGGAACTATCATGACTTTTACTTTCTGTTGCTGACCCGCAAGTATTGACTTTGTACTTAGTCAACCTGTTCACTCTAGAGAAAGAGGCCATTTTCACCAGGCAAGTAAAAAGTTACGGGGAGGAAAAGCAGTTGAATCGACTCGCCATAACACGATTATTATACATAAACTCTCGATCGTTTCCTTCAAGCTGTTTCCTCCGTATACTCCTTATTTTGACGTAAGGATGCATGAGATGATGGCTTTAGGCTCCCGATAGCCCCTCACTTTCATTGTCCAAGTCCTCCCACTTTGCAGTATTTCCGGCGGCGGGAACTCTCTTGTTCAACCCACTCCATCAACCACTATTGGACCGGATTGCCTCTTTTTAATTCTCCATGTCTCGCGATGATGTTGACCCGAGGATTCAAAAGTCGTGTCAGCCTTTCAATCAATAATAAACCATTAAATGAAAATCAATGTCCTCACTCACCCACCACATGGCACTCTTGCCTCTATTTCCTCCTCCTTCTCCTCTCTCAACGTAAGTAGTAGATGAAGACATTATACGACTCCAAGATGTTCACCCAAACGCCCACCGAGCTCATCTACACTTACGACCACGAGACCCTCCTCATCTGCCCTTGGGGTCCCAACGCACTGCGCGTGCGAGCCACAAAATGTGCCACGATGCCCACCGAGGACTGGGCCCTCGACGAGCCAGCACCTCCGACTCCCCAGCCCCAAATCACCATCGACCCAGCCAACAGCCAAGCCACCATCACGAACGGCACCGCCCGCGCGACCATTTCCCGCGGCGGCAAGCTCACAGTCCACAACGCGGCGACGGGCGCGCTCCTGCTGGAAGAGTACCACCGCACCCGCACCGACGTGCGCGACCCTAAGGCCTCAGCGCTCGAGGTGGAGGCGCGCGAGCTGCGGCCCATCGCAGGGGGCGACTATGCGCTCACGATGCGGCTCGAGTCCGTGTCGCGCTCCGAGAGGCTGTACGGCATGGGCCAGTACCAGCAGCCGTATCTGGACCTGAAGGGGTGCGACCTGGAGCTGGCACAGCGCAACAGCCAGGCCAGCGTGCCGTTCCTGCTGAGCAGCCTGGGGTACGGCCTGCTGTGGAACAACCCGAGCGTGGGTCGGGCGGTGCTGGGGACGAACATCATGTCGTTCTCTGCCTCGAGCACGACCAAGCTGGACTACTGGCTGGTCGTGGAAGGGGACGACAAGGCCAAGGCCAAGGCCAAGACCAACGCCAGCGCCAGAGCCAGCGCCAGCGGTCCCAAGGGCATCGTCGAGGCCTACTGCGCCGTCACGGGCAGGCCGCCCATGATGCCCGAGTACGGCCTGGGCTTCTGGCAGAGCAAGCTGCGCTACCAGACGCAGGACGAGCTGCTGGCCGTGGCGCGCGAGTACAAGCGGCGCAACCTACCACTCGACGTGCTCGTCATCGACTTCTTCCACTGGCGCGCACAGGGCGAGTGGTCGTTTGACAAGGCGTACTGGCCAGACCCGCAGGCCATGGTGGACGAGCTGCGGTCGCTGGGCGTCGAGCCCATGGTGAGCATCTGGCCGACGGTCGAGCCGGCCAGCGAGAACTGGAACGAGATGCTCGAGAGGGGCTTGCTGATCCGCAACGAGCGCGGGTACAGGGCCGTCATGGACTTCCAGGGCAACACGGTGCACTTTGACGCGACGAACCCAGAGGCCAGAACTTATGTGTGGGCCAAGGCCGCGCGCAACTACGGCCAGTACGGGATCCGGCTGTTCTGGCTCGACGAGGCGGAGCCCGAGTACAAGACGTACGACTTTGACAACTGGCGGTACCACCTGGGCCCTTCGCTGGCCGTCGGCAATGTCTACCCTCGCCACTACTCGCAGGCCTTTTACGAGGGCGCGCTGGCGCAGGACGGCAGCGGGCGGTTCCGGGGCCAGGACCCCAACGCCGTCAACCTCGTGCGCTGTGCGTGGGCCGGCAGCCAAAAGTACGGCGCGCTGGTGTGGAGCGGCGACATTGCCAGCAGCTGGGGCAGCCTGCGCAACCAGGTCGCTGCGGGCCTGAACATGGGCATTGCGGGCATCTCGCACTGGACGACGGATATTGGAGGGTTCCACGGCGGGAACCCTGACGATCCTGGGTTCAGAGAGCTGCTCGTGCGCTGGTTCCAGTGGGGCACTTTCCTGCCCGTCATGAGGCTCCATGGGGATCGGTATCCTCAGAAGGCGCCCCTGGGCAACAGTGGTGGGGGCAAGTGTCCCTCGGGCGTGGACAACGAGGTGTGGTCGTATGGCGAGGAGGTCGGTGCTGTGCTGGAGCGCTACCTGAGGCTGCGCGAGAGCATGCGTGCGTATGTGAGGGGTTTGATGGAGGAGGCGAGCGAGAAGGGGACGCCGGTGATTCGGACGCTGTTCTTGGAGTTTCCAGAGGACGAGCGTGCGTGGGAGGTCGAGGATGAGTACATGTTTGGCGAGAGATATCTTGTCGCTCCTGTTCTGTATGCTGGCTTGATGAAGAGGACGGTGTATTTTCCCAAGGGTGCAAAGTGGAAGGAGATGGAGGGGGAGAAGACGTTTGAGGGTGGTACGTCTGCAGAAGTCGACGCTCCTCTGGAGAAGATGCCCGTGTTTGAGCGAGCATAGGTGAGGAGGCAGGCTGATTAATTGTTGGGCACTGGAAGTTTGTCTTGGGATCAGGTCAAGTGCCTACTGATTATCATGCTTAATGCAACTGCTGTATCCACGAGCTATATTCGTGGTTGGAAAACCCCTTTTCTCGACTAAATCCTTGCGCTCTGCCTCTTGACATACAACCTGATTCTCGTCATCACGAATACTCGGCGCCTGATACATTTCTCGCTGGCAATTCCAAGCCCTTGATTCTTTTCTAGTCTGTCGAGTACCAGTTTCCAAGGGCGAGGAAAGGGGTTGGGTTTGTTTCGTATTATGTAGGTGTTATGGATTTGAAATCAGATACCTAAGTAATCCGATACGGGCAATGCTTGAGGGAGGTTCGTCAACAATTTTCCCTACTACAACATGTGTACATTTGTACAGCTGGTCCACATGAGGGTTCCCTCACACTGATCAATCTCCAGTGAGACTCCTCCACAATAGGTAATGAGGCACGGATGCCCTTTCTGGCCAGCCAAGGACCTGATCAGGTGTGGAGCGAGTGTTTGTGCACACTTACTGTGTTAGTAATTTGTGATCAGTAAAATTCTGAACGGGGTCTCATCCTCTTGCTGGAGGCGAAACACTTCTGCATGATGGGTGCGTTCTGTGGATGGTTCAAGTTGCTCTGGAAAGTTGAGAGGAAGTCGTGCTCTCATCAAAAGTCTTGTCAAGATATAATTTATGTAATGTGATGCAAATATAACGTGAGAATAAAAAAGACAAATGTCCAGAGAAGCAACCATGATTTGTCCCAATATCAGGCCCTCAGAACCTACCTTGTCTCTCTTCCCCTCCAACGCCCGCTGTAAGTCAAAGACAGAAAGTAAAACCAATACCCTTCATGAATCAAGTACTCAGGTTCCCCCATAGAGAACCCAAAAACGCCCAAAACACCATGATCCAGCCAGAAACATTTCTTGCCAGCCCAAGATAACCTGTCATCTATACCACGTAACTTGGCCCATTTGACATGCCTATCACTCAGTATCTCTCCGATTCGTCCTGGCTGGGTCTCACCTCGCTATGCCCCTCCAGCGGTATGAACCCAGGCACGAACCCAGGCATAGTTGACAGATCTATAGCAGGCACGCCCACGGGACCCGTCACAGGAGGACCATAATGCCCATGCAGAGAGCGGGTGCCCGTCACAGAAGAGGACTCCTCAATGCTCCCCAACGCACTGCCTGCCTTCTCTGTACCACCACCACCAACAGCACCAATAGCACCAGCAGCACCAGCAGCACCGCTGCCGCCGCCGCCGCCGCCGCCGCCAAAGCCGTTGTTGTTGTTGTTGTTGTTGTTGTTGTTGTTTTTCTGCCCGTCGATGGAGCTCGAATTACTGGCGCCCCTCCTCCTGGACCGGTTCGCATGTGCCAAGGGAGGCCTGTTGATGGTGCTCGCCGACATGGGCGAAACGAGATTGTTGATGCTCGGCGCTGTTGCTGATGATGACCGTCTTGGTCTGTACGGTTGTGGAGATTTATGTCCGTTGTTGCTGTCATTGTCGGTATCGGAACCAGGCAACTCGGGCCGCCACTCGCCATCCACGCCGAGCTCGAACGGGTGGCGAGGCGAAGGGGAACCGGGCCCACGAGGCGCCGGGCCGTAGTCGTCGCTGGCACCCGCCGACAACTCGCTGGCCTCGCTGGGGTGACGACCATGTGCAGCATTTTCGTAAGCAGGCGCGTAGACAAAGTTGTGATAGTCGTACTGGGCCGACGAGTCCATCGTGCTGGCCATGCTGTGCCGGACCAGAGCGCCATGCTGCCCTCCTCCTCCTCCTCCTCCTCCTCCTCGTCCTCGTCCTCCTCCTCCACCGCCGGGACGATCGTGTTCCCGTGGCGGAAGCTCAAAGTAGTTCCGCCCGCCGCCATCTCCAACATCCGAGGCCAGACTGGGCGTGGCCCTCATCCCGGCAGACGGCCCACTCCACACGCTGGGCTGGCTGGGCGCATCAGAGCCGCTCCTCGACCTGGCCCCTCCTGCTCCACCGAGCCTGTAAAGCTGCTGATGCTGGTGCTGCTGGTGGTGCGCCCGTCTGCCAGGCGAAGCAGCGCTCGACGAGGTGTTGTTGTTGATCATCAGCGGGTCGTCCTCGAGGTGGTCCACTTCTGTCGGCGTGGGCTCGATGCGCACGTGGCTCTCGGACCTCTTCTCGGCGTCTCGTCTGGGCGGCCGCGTCCCGCCCGACGTGGTCTCCCTGTGCGACTGGACGATCTTTTCGGTGCGCTTGAGCTGGCGGATGATGCAGAAGGCAGCCACGAGCACCGCGACGAGGACCACAGCGGCGCCGGCCACGATGCCGCCGATGGCGCCCTTGGACAGGCCGCTGTGGCCACCGGACGACGAGGACCCACCGCCGCTGCTGCTCGAGGAGGCGGCCAGCTTGGGCTCTGTGGAGGGGAAGAACTTGGCCACTGCGCCGTCGCCTGAGCTGGAAGAGACGCTGGAGGGCGACGAGGTGGGCGTGCTGACGGAGGTGGTGGTCACGGTCACGGCGGCGTCGTGGCTCCCTGTGGTGGTGGTGTAGGTGATGGTCGTCGTCGAGGGCGAGGTGCTGTAGCAGGAGCTGACGGCACAGCCCATGCCCGTCTCGCAGCATCCGTAGTTCATGGAGGCCGGGCAGAGGAAGTAGCCTGTGGGACAGGTCTGCGCGTACGTGGCGCCGGCGGGTGCTGTGCATCCATCTGAAGCACATGCGAGGCCTAAAGAGGAAGAAGAAAAAAAGAGAAGAAAGAGAGGGCCAAGGTTAGCAGAGCTGGGAACAAGATAGATATGGAATGATATCTTCTTCTTTTTTCGTTTCGGCTTACCTTGTGGACAACATCCTCCTTGAAGTGAAAGGGGACAAGCAAAATAACCACTTTGGCCCTGGCACGTCGAAACCGCAGCCGTCGTCGCATAACATGAACTCTGAGCGCAGGCATAGTTCTCAGGACAGCAGTCTCCGCCAAGCGATGAGGCGCAGAGGGAATAGCTGGCAGGACACACGCTGCCTGCACGTTTTTCCTTTGCAGCATGGTCTGACACCAACAATGACGACGACGACGGCGATGTCAAGATCCTCACGTCCTCAGTGACTTTGACCTTGAAGACTCGGTGGACGGTGTCGCGTTTTCCGGAGCCGTGGAACATGGCTGTGGCGCCCCGGGGCGGAAGGACCACCGAGAGGAGGAGCAGGATCATGCATGGCCCGCAGGACCAGATACTGCGGCCCTGGGCAGCCCTGCTGCTGCTGCTTCTTCTTCTCATGCCCGGATGCATGGCTCCTCAGACCGTGGTTGAGATTTTGGAGTTGAAAGGACCATTGATGATGTACTGAACCTCTCTTTCTGTTTCCCTTCTAACGTTGTCTTCTTCCTCTCTCTTGGTGGTGGTGGTGGTGGTGGTGCACCACTCGAGGTCGCCTTTCTGGGAATGGGAAAGAAGAGCTGAGAAGAGGAGAGGAGTGGAAGAGCGGGTAGAAGAAAATGGTAGGGCGTAAGTAAGCATACCAACACACAGTTGCTGCTGCTACTGCTTGCTGCTGTCAGCAGGCACACCCAATTATGAGGTGTGCGAGAAAGAAGAAGGGAGTGGAGGGTGGGAGGGAGAAGACGAAAAGGGCTGCAGGCCTTTCCAAATACAGCAACAATAGGCAGCTAGATTGATTTGTGCCTGTGGGGAAAGGAAAAGAGAGGGAGAGTATGTGCATATGCTGGGTTGGGATGGGGGCGCAGTTTATGTGTGAGTGTGGGTGTGGATGTCTGCGTAGGGCTCTTGCGCCTCACGACTGCAGATGGGCCCCGGATCACGATCCAACTCAGATCAGACACACACCCACCAAGCCTAAAGAGCAGAGCCGGCCCGCAGCGATGAGCTATGGGAAGACGGATCCCAGGGGACTGGTAAGTGGTGGAGGAGAAAGGGAAACCTTGAGATCATGATTTATTTAATGTGTGGACTGACTGCGCCTATTCATTTTCTAAATCTGGGTGTCGAGATGGAACCTCTCCTTCTTTTTTTTTGCCCTTTGCTCGAGCTGCAGCTGCCACACCTTGTCAAGCCTGGACACAGACGGATTCCAAGTCACAGTACTGTAAGTGTCAAGTAAACATAAACCCAGTTCCCATGAGCCACCCACAAGAAAGAGAAGAGAAAAAAAAGCCTTGTGTGAGCGAGACCAGGGTCGGGAAGGATGGGGAAAAGCTGAGAAGCTATCGGGGACCAACGAAATGCCATGTTGAGAGACAGCTGAAAAATCCTGTGTGCAGGTGGTCCTCTCTTCCTCCTCCTTCCCCGCCCGAGTGTCTGTATGTGTACTGGACCATAGTACAGTAATCAGTTGTGGATAACGAAAGACGGATCCCATCGCAGTCCCTGCTTTAACGTATCCCAACTCAACTATTTATTCGGATGGACGGACACGCATGCAATGTCAAGCATGCATATAGACTGCATACTGCATACTGCAGCGCTTCCTCTCCATTTCTTCCTCTCTCTTTTTCTTCCTGTACTGCCGCTGCTGGAGACCGGCAAGTGTGGATACACCGACTCACTGCGTGTTATCCCCCCTGGGATGCGACGCAGGAAAAAGAAAAGGCACCTACTATGGTAGTACGCACTGACTGGTGGTTCGTGGAGCGACAGATTTGGATCACTTGCCCGCGCTGGAAAAGCAATCTGACAAGGGACAAGCCAACCAACCAACCATGACAGGCCCGCCCCCATTTGCTGTAGGCGTGTGGTGACATCTTGCAGCTGGGCCCCCCCCCCCCGCCTCCCCCAACAGACTAACGAGCTGCAGAGACGGACGTGGCGCAATCCACAGGAGGGAACGTGATCGGTTGGGTCATCTTTTCCGATCCCTCCGTCCCAGCGGGCTGGCCATGGGCCATAAGACATGGGCATGGCATGTGAAATCCATTTGGGCAAAAATTCAATGGGTCTTTTGTGTAATGTGGTGGACCCTTTCTTTTCTTAACTGTGTTTGTTTGACAGGTAACGGATTATATTCGCACAGTGAAGATGGTGAACAATAAATAGCCTGGTCCATCCTGATGTCTCTCTCAGAGGGACGGACAGACGGAGAAGCACACCAAAAGCCCCATGCTGACCGAGGAGAGAGAGAGAGAGAGAGATAAACCTATCGCAGGGCGCGGGGGAAAGAAAAACAACTGATAGGCTTTTGGATGGTTGCACTACAGATTCTAGTTGCTGACGACTTGCCTGCAGTCAAACTGGATAGACTGTTAGTACGGCCGAAAGGAACGCCGTGCCAGAGTTGCTAGATGGGCTGTGATTGAGGCAGCAGAATGGTGACAAGATAAAATTAGAAACAAGAGGAATATAAAGAAGAAAAAGAGAGGCCATCAGTATAGATCCTAGCAGTAATGATTGCCAAAGTATGGAGGATGCAGCAGATACAACTACAGGCAGCGTGTTGTAGAAAAGCTGCCAAACCTGCTGATGACAGCAGTAAAGGACCCTAACATGGCGTGCATGGGACACGACTCAGGCCATGGAGGTTTGGTGCTGAGTGGGTGCTCCAGCAGGGTTTCTTGCAGCGTACAGCCTTACGACGACTTTTTGAGTTGTTAGTCTACTATAGGAGTCTGCTCTTAAGAATTTTTGTCGGTAATCATTTCAAGAAGACCTGATATCTTATTACATCAAGTAGAGAAAATCTCATTCCGGGACAAGATACATACAGAATGCTTCCACGTGTGGCACAAATCATGCCAGCGTGCAGGAAGCTGGCCGAGATTTTGGTGGTTTGCTGGTACTACTATTTGGAATTGTTTCCATCGCCACAGTCACACTACCTATGAAATGTAGAATTGATGTAACGCAACTCTCTTCTGTTTGGTTGTGATCAGTATGCATGTCGATCTATTTCCATCTGTAGAGGCGATCCCCACTGTATTACTATTTTCCAGTGCAGAGAGCTGGATGGCAACCAAAGGCGGCAACCCTGAGACTGATAGAAACAAACCACGTAGGGATTATAGCAAGAATTATAGCAAAGATGGGGTATAGTAACCTCGTAACTATTATGCGTCAAGCCATGTACTCCCTTCAGAGAATCACCACACCCATCCAATTTTCACCCCTTTCAGATAATCCGGATTAGATGTTCTCCTGTAGCTTCCCGATACTTGTGCGGCCACCCAGGCAATTTCATGTCCCTGCCGAGGTCAGGCTTCATGATGCCATGGCCACGCTTCCTCGGATGCGCCAGCTTATCTGCCCACGTCGACAGCTTGGTCAGGCCGATGCGGCGAAAGGTAGCCCGCCGCTCCGTCCCGCCCAGATTCCGCACCTGGTGATTGTTGTCGTCCTCTGTGGCCTGCTGCAGCAGCAGACAGATGATGTACTTGGAGTCCTCCGAGTCGATCCTGCTGCCGTACGCGGCGGGGATGCAGTAGGTATTGTTCGCGTCGAGGATGTGGTGGCGCTCCTGGTCGTCGTGTGGCGCGTCCAGGTAGACGTTGCGGTGGGCCTCCTTGTCGAGGCCAGGCCGGTCCACCAGGTGCCAGTAGTACCGCCCCGGCGCCGCTGCGTCTGCCAGGATCCGGATCTTTCGCAGCCGGCACCAGAGCATGACGTGGCCGCCGCTGACGAGACCGGACTTGTTCTCTGTGGCGATGGCGACCCAGATGGGCGACGCAGGGCTGCAGTCGTGCTCCGACGCCACCTGGATGAGCAGGTCCTGGTCGGTCACCTCTCCGTAGGTCACGCCCTTGCCGTCCTGCGCGTCGACCGAGGCCCAAGAGAACGACGGTGCGCGGTACATCATGTCTCCGTCGGGGTTCCGGGGCCGTCTGGACGGATGCAGGAACATGCCTTTGCTGTGGTCAAAGACGGGATCGACACGCCACAGCAGCTGGCTCTCAAAGTAGTGATCCCACAGGCCGGCCACGTACTCGAGAGGACGTCGGTGGTAGAGCAGCATGTGCCTGGCCGTCTTTGGATTGAGGGTTGTCGTGCCAGACACGCCCAGGATGTGTGACATTTGCTCGGCAATTCCAGACAGGGCGATGAGCTTGTCTCTGTCGTTGGTGAGGTCCAGCCCTGAATACGTCTCGACCACCCGTGCCCACAGCTCAAAGGCATAGAGGTCGTGCTGGGGGATGTGAGAGTCCGGCTCTGGCGCCCCCTGCAGTCGAACTTGTCGCAACTGCTTGCCATGCTTCATCGGGTCCAGGCCCTTGACGGGGATCTCTGGCTGGATCCTGTCGTTTCGTAGCCCGTATTTGGGAATGCTCTCGGGGTGACCCTCTGCTGCTGCAAACGTGGAGCACTCCCATGCGATCTGGTCGCTGCAAAAGTGCAAGACTCGCGGGGCCATGAGCCGTTCCTGCAGAACCCACGCGCGTGTGTTGACGGGCGCACGGGTGACGAGCTTGTCCCAGTAGGACGCCTCGATCAAGACACATCGTCGAATGCCTGCAGGCTGTGGTAGAGTAGTCACAAGGGCCTTCTCGCTGTTCCAGTCCACCTTGGCGGCGGCGGCGGCGGCGGTGGTGGTGGTGGTCGTAGCAGAAGTGGTGGTGGGCTCGTGCCCTCTGCAACTCGTCTCATCAGCTCCCCAAAACCTTCGAAAGAGGGATCGAGACTCGGTGAGCTTCTCGTCTCCCGCTTTCTTCGTCCTATCTGGCAAGAATCTTCGTTGTGCGCATTGGTTGTTTTCGTTTTTGTTGTTCAGCCTGGGTATGCCGTCGACATTCAGGTTCACCTCGTCCTCCCACAGGACCTTGGGCTCTCTCTCATGATGAAGCCCGGCAAAGCTGTTCGGGGCAGCTGTCGCCGAGATGTTGAGATACGCATTCTTGTAGACACTCTGCATGCATGCCGACTCGTCTAGCCAGTCCTTTTCGTGCTCTGGCCCGTCCTGGATAATGCACAGCGAGTCGATCCAGACCCAGCCGACCTTGTGCAGCTGCGAGGCGAACCGGATCGCGTCCTGAAACGTCCTGGGCAGCTTATCGATCTCGACGCCGTCCCTCAGCTCATCCTCGGTCGTCGGGCTGAGGATGTAAGGCCGCACACCGCCCCAGCAGTGGCTCAGGGTGACATAGCGATGATTCGTCTTCAGGGCCTCGTCTTCGTAAAAAGAGGCGTCCGTGTCTACCAGGGAGATCTTGGCAACCTCTGTCATCTCGGAAGGCTGAGTACTCGAAGCCTTGCCGGACTTCTTCCTGCCTTTGGTGGTTCTGCGTCGATAGTCGGCCAGTTTCAGCTGTCTCAGGTCCAGAAGCCGCGTAGGGTACCGTTCTGGACGTCCCTGTGCGCGACTGCACTCCTGCGACGTGCACGTCTCATCGCACTGGCTGATCCAGGACAGTGCCAGCCTGAGAACCTCGCCTGAGGATGTGGTCCCTGATATGGGGGTTCTGAAAGATGCGGCTGCGCTGTCTGGTGTGGACTAGTTGTTAGTTTTCATCTTTATGCACTCATTTAATGGAAGAAGGATTCACCAATTTCTTTGAGAATGAAAGTCTTTTTGTGCCAGAGAAGGGACTGTCCAGATCCACGCTCGAGTTTGAAATCCAGCCTGTAGATGCCATTCTCCTCAATGTCTTCGACGACGCCCAGCGCTGCAGTACTCCGGAAGTCTTTGTTCTGATCATCCTCCTCCGTAGACGGCACGCCGGCACCGAATTTCTCTGCCCATTCTTCGTTGAGGACACGGCAGATCCCACATCTAAGCCGACTTGATGTCTGGAATGACTCCCAGGAGCTGTGATGTTCAAAAGTCAGATTATAGGTGCCTTTCCACTGCTTGCCGTCGTGTCCTCTGAGCATCCCCCAGCACTTGTGGCAAAGCATGGCTGTCGAATCTTGGTGCCGCAGTCAATATGATGGCGATTGAATATTAATTCTGTCGCGAGCGACCATGCGAGTCCAAAGTCCTCACGCTGAACCATGAGAAAAGAGTGAACGCGTTTCTTTTGTCTTGTCTTTTTCCTTTTTCTTTTGTCATTCTCCTTGAAAATTGTTGTCTTCCTGCAATCCAGGAGATTGTTTTCACGGGCTGAAACGTCGGACAGGACGTCATCAGAGGGGTGGATATGTAATTTACCTAGTACCGGCAGTGACGGCAGCGCAATCATACTGGACTTGAGAACTTCCGACGTTACAATAGTCAGCCGCAATCATTGCTTACATGCATAAAAGCTGAAGAAAAGGAAGAAGAAACAAAGCATCCCACCCTTCTTCTTCTCCCTACCACATTATCCATGGTAGTCTCCCTTGCTGCTGCCAGTATAACATCAGCGAGCATACACACACTTAGAAGTTCAGCCTCGGGCCTGCCAACGCCATTGCACGCCCTGAAAAAACGTGTCAGGGCTCCAGAGCTGTTCCTAGGATGCTAAACAACCCCAGCCCTGTTCTTCAGAACTCGGCATAGTGTGGGGCTCATGCATGTTTAAACCCATAGAACTATAGCTCTCACGTGGCGCTCTAGCGAGTGCAACACTGGGCTTTTCTACCTCGCATACACCTTTTCGAACAGACGGCTCCACCTGTGGCTGCCTGCACCTACGCCCGATGTTGCCTAAGCCTCAGTCGCACACTTGGGCTACCTCGTTCTCTTCATGCCATGAATATGAAAGCCAGGAGATTCTCAGGCCGACCTCATCTCGAACTTCTCTTTTCTCCTATTCTCCTATCATTTCGTCAAGCTTGCCAGCCACATGAGCTGTTTGGTGTAGACAGAGCGAAAATTAATACCACGAGAACTCATCACGGAAGAGCAATCACATCACCCTGCTACAAACTCATAACAATCGGAAACCTCAGCTGCTAAGAAAAAAAGAAAAAAGAGAGGAACTACCAGAATCAAATACCACAACGGAAAGAGGAAGAGGAAAACAATGTCTGGAGAATTACCAGCCATCTCCTGGAAGGAAGACCAGCTAGATTTCTTTGGCGAAAATGTCACCCTCTACCTGCCCAGCACAATCACAAAAGACGAGCTAGAAAACCACAAAGCCTTCCGAGACTGGAAACAAGTACTGCACAAGAACCTCTCGGCCCAGGCAGAGGACAAACACCCATTCCACGCACACCAGTACAAACTCCGGTGGATCGAGATCCAATCTGTCGACCGGTTCCCGCCCATGAACATCATAGGCTTTATCAAGCTGAACGCGCGCATAGAGCGTGACCACATGCCGGACGACGACACCCCAGGCCAGCAGGCGCCGCGGGTCCCCAAGACGCTGCCCGGGATCGCCTTCCTGCGCGGCGGCAGCGTCGCCATGCTGATGATCCTCAAGCCGCGGGACTCGCGTGACGAGCGCTACGTGGTGCTGACGGAGCAGCCGCGCATCCCCAGCGGCTCGCTGCGCTTCCTTGAGATCCCCGCCGGCATGCTCGACGCCGAGAACAACTTCAAGGGCAAGGTGGCCGACGAGATCGAGGAGGAGACGGGCTTCCGCATTCCTCCTGCCGAGCTCGTCGACATGACCGCTCTGGCCCTCAAGGACACGGACCACCCGGAGAGGACGAGCCTGCAGACGGCCATGTACCCCAGCCCGGGCGGCTGTGACGAGTACATTGCCCTGTTCCTGTGGGAGAAGGACCTGGACCGGCAGGAGATCGAGGACCTCAAGGGCAAGCTCACGGGCGAGAGGGCCCAGGACGAGTCCATCACCCTGCACGTCCGCGCCTACGAGGATCTGTGGAAGGAGGGGGCCCGCGACGCAAAGACCCTGGCGGCCTGGGCGCTGTATGAAGGCCTCAACAGGTCGGGAGAGCTGCAGGAATATCAGAAGCGGAAGAGGGAGAGCAGCTCCAGCGGCTCTTCGGTAGGCGATGTTGGGCGAAGCCATAAAGTTGCCAGGACAAAATAAGGCTCTCGGTGACAGATGTTCTCTTCATTGGGCAGCGCTCGAAGGTGTTCGACAACATAATCATGGTTGGTGAACAGTAAAGGGAAAAGACAAGATGCCGGTTGAGGACTTGCTAGAGCTCAAATTGTGCAGATCCTGCCTTCTTTTCCCTTGTGCTTCCAGGACTTGTCTTTGGATAATTAACATGACCGCCAAACTGGACTCACGCATGAATCTTGTCTGCAATCTTCCTTTGTGGATCCTTGATTTGGATTTGGAATTATTTCTTTTTGCTAGTATTATGATACGATACATGTGGTAGAACCCAACACTGCCGCCAGCATCTCTTGCGTTAATTAGGAAAACACAGGATTTCGAATACAATGAATACATTCGTATCCAAGCTTACAAAAACACCCATGTTACTTTTGTAGGAAACTGCAAATAGCCCTTTGGCATCGCACGTGCTCACCTAAATGGCCTCAGATATATTAAATCTTTAGGTTTGGTTTCCTCGGCGCATTTCCTCAATCAACCCAATTTTCACAGTAAGAGCTGTCGCAATACTTATTGCGTAAGGATCGTGTACAGGTTGCAAGGCTCGTATGCCGCTCGATCTGTATTTCCGTGCTGGGTTCAGAAGACTACTATAATGCTCAAAAACTTTAACTTTTCTCGAGTCCCTTTCAAAAGTACGTGAATGCAGCCGACCGAGTTCGAGCGCATTGAGTCGACCATTTTCCAGCCATGTGATCACTTGCGCCAGGCTGCCATGGGACCCTTTAAGGACCTGTGGAGCAGTGTAAAGGAGGCGCCCGGTCCTTGAAATCCATGTGTCCATGACCAGACGTCTCGATTGTGAAGTTTGTTGAGCTCTCCTTGAGAGTTCTGCAGAGAGTGAGACGTTCGTCTCTCGTAAGGTTTGGAGATCCGCCACAACATCGGCAAATCTCGCCACGAAATGAGCGATGGTTATCGGATCATTCAATTCGACGGCCGCAAAGTCTGTTAGCAGGGCTCGCAATTTGATGCCCGCCTCGACTAGGCCCTTCAGTATGTCACCCGTGAATGGAACCACGTGGACCCGTCGAAATGATTCAATAGCGTTATCGTTGTTGTTTGCCCTGACTATGGCACCAGACCCTTTGATTTGCTGCCGTCTCAACCTGGCTTGTTGTGCAGTTGAAAGGGGTCTTCTTCTAGTGTGTTGCGTGTTCAGATCGATGTTGCGAGCAGAGGCCATGGAGAGGACGTCCATAGGTGGCGGTACCGGAATCGAAAGGTGCTCGGCGTTCTTTGAAACGGCACCAGTGCCCGACATTGAATTGAGAATTGACAGCCAAAGACCACAGGAAGGGCTGCCAGGAGGTGTTGTTAGACTACTTGTACGTACAGGATGTCGAGTTGGTCCACTCACCAAGATGTGCCCGTGTTGGAAGCGCGCTGACAACTGGACAGTATTGTCTGACATCGTGGGCAAACACGAGAGCTGAGCCTCTCTAACGTGATGGACATGGAAAGCTCATCACCCGGCACAACGCAAGTAGACCATGACTGTGGCGCCACGATTCTGCTCGTCTTGCTGTGCATCACAATGAATTTGCCGATTGTGACAAGATCCGCTCCCGGCTTATCGAAGAACATCGCTCCAAGTAGTCTGGAGAAGCCCTGCGAGCATGTTAATTTGATTTCTTCGACGAGGGTTGATTGATGATTAGTAGCTAATGATTGATATGGCATTGGAACATTGCTCACATCCCATGTATCGCACAATTGGTACGGAAGTAGCATCTTGATTCCGAGGACATTCTCGAACACGATGCTGGGGAGATCTGGCGAACAGTGATTCTAACCTAGCCAACATTGCATGCATTGATAACAACGTCTCAGTGTTCTTCTGCACCATGGCTATGAGTTGCTTGCACTGCTCGACAATCTTCTCTATCCACTCCTCCATATAGCGCTTGAAGGAACAAAATCTCGTCATCTGTGTATTGAGGGCGTCTCGAACGCCAGCGGTATGGCCCGCTTGTTGCTCAGCAAGCGTTTGGATGGAAGAGTACGTCTCCGAGGATTTTCCCTCGATTATTTTCAGTATTTGGAGCTGCTCAGATTGTGTGAGATTGGTAGCTTTGATGGCTTGCTCAAGGTGTTGGGAAGCTATGCGAGCTCCAAGTATGAATCTCTGGGTCTCGGTGGCTGCTCTCTTGGCCGTGTCGAGAAGTTTTCTCAACGCTTCCGTATGTCCTTGGCCGACCAGACCTTGAGTCTTGAGACTGGACCTATTTCAAGAAAAGCATCAATCAAGGTTCGCATTCAGCTGATGAAGCTCCTCCCACTACTTACCATTCGTGTATAGTGAGGAGAGTGTTGATGGCCACGATCTCACTCGTGAGGATCGATCTAAGCTCATCCACTTCGTGCCGTGCAATAGCAGACCAGTGCAGGCGCGTTTTGAAGTCCCGCACATCTTTAAGACCATGTCTGCGCAGCAAGAATGGAGCATGAGAAGCATTTCCATCGGTGCGTAGTCCAAATGTATTGTCATATTTCTTCATCTTGTCCTCGAACGCCCTCAGTGCGCCCAGGCACTGCATTGCAATAGCGCGGAGTCGCTCGATGTGCGCTCGTTCATCGGGAAGAGTCGGCTGTAGAGTAAAGACTTGGTTGCACACTTGGCCGAGAAAATCGAGCTCGATAGCCAGGCGACGAAAATGCTGGGGCGCTTCGCAGTAGGACTTGACTTCGCCGACAATACGCTCGATGGCCCCCGCAACAGCGAGAACATCGCCTATGCTAAAGGAATGATACGTTCATCAGTTCTTGGCCACTCAGTAGTCAAGCCCCCAATAAGGCTGTGCCACATCTAATAGAGCATACCCATAGCCAAAGGACATCGTTGTTCTGGTTCTTGCAAATGTTTTTCCCCGTTGGCATCGAGATGGAGCGTGGAATACGTGAGCAGGGACATCGAGCCCATGACAGAACCGAGTAGCTGCCGAAGCGCTGACATTTATTGGAATGTTGCCTCTGAGCCTTTGCTGGTGGCTATGCTTACTGGCGCCAACCTCGTTCGCCTGCAATACACCGTAGCGTCCAGTAAGCTTGATGCAGTGTTGCGGACGCCTGGAAATGCCTGCATGCTTATTGACTATTAAACCATGGGAACATATGCGGCTGTACAGAGCTCTATACCCAGTAGGTAAAAGTGTTTTTTCCTTCTTCTTCCAATCGGCGAGTCCTCTACAGAGGCTTGCGAAAGCCTTTTTGTTGCGTGTATATCGTAAATTAGCGGGTTTCTTTCTTTCTTTCTTTCTTTCTTCCTTTTTTCGAAGAAAACAATTCTCGAGCATCCCCTACTGCATGGTCACTTGCTCCAGAAGTCGGTGTACGAGGGCAGTTGAGCCACTGCCCAATTAGATTACTAGGCAAACACCCAGTCCAGGCCTCTGGCCTCTCTATTCCTTTTGTTTTTAATTGTTTCTCTTATTTTCTCAGGAAGGAAAGAAATCCTTTCATTGTTCATATTGAGCCGACAACAATTACCCTCGAAGCCTCCTTTGACTGCTTACCTCGCACTGCCGTCAAGATTCTCTGCCTATAGCTGATATATCCCCGTATGGTTCGTACTACAGCCCTTCTTCGAATCATATCAAAGTTTGTCGAGATTTGTAGAGCAATTGACTGTTTGCTGGGACCGAGCAGTTGCGTGAATGTGAGGGCGAGGGAGCCAAGCACCTGGGTAGACTACCAGTTAAAATTAGCGAATAATTACCAATTGACATTTGATGCAGGTATGAGCTCAGATCTGGAAAAGCGAGATTCATTTTCCTGTTTATGCATGTACCTAACATGCGCCTGTCGTCCCCATGGCGGTTGTCGCGGCTGCGGGCAAGCTGTATGGCAGTATCCCTACTGCTGTCGCATTATATTACCAGGACCGTACTCATGGCGGCCGTTCAAATAACGAGCACCACTATAGGCTTGCGTGCAACGTGGATGACCAAGCCATAAGAGTTCGCTCCGTCATAGAGGGCCGGCATCTGGACTGAGGATCAACGTGGAGTTTGATGTTGAAGTACTCGTGATGGTGCATGGAGAGATGGTAGTTCTCAGTGTATTTGGCAGAAATAGATGCTATCTATTGCTGGATTTGGTATGAGAATTGTGAATACTTATTTGGATTCAGTTAAAAAAATCCTGGGCCGTAGACAACGTGCTCTTTTGCGTCAGAGTGGGATGATATTGTTGCTTGTCATTGAGCTAGTCAGCAAAGTTCAATCTGTGCGTTTATATGAAGTAAGTAGTTTTGAAGCAGTTCGGAATCTTTTCTGCTATTTATCGACTGTTCAATTCGAAGATCTGATATTGTACTCAGAGCGTGAATGAATCTACTTTTCATTCCTCCTTCACCATCTTCGCGTATTTACTCATTGGCCCCCAACTCCACATAGTTAGCCAGATAGAATACTAGCATAATGCTACTGTAACTTCTTGGAGCCATTCTAGGGTTTCTCCCGGGATGGTCAACGAGTTACTTGGTTGACTGACTCTTGGTGCACCAACTCACTGTGTATGAGAATCCCTACTTGGCAGTCACTCCGCATCAAAACAATGTTTGATGATATGGCAAATTAGTTTCAGTGACATATATTATTTGGAAGGAGGGGTATTTTAGGTAGCAGATCTTCTTGAGCAGCAACAAACTTGTGCTTATGTACAGTGACTTCTACACCTACAGACCCTGCCATGTGTCTTTACATTAAGCACACCAACCATGCAAGAGTCGAGCTAGAGCTGCACATCATATTAATTGCTGCAGTGATCATGAGGTCTCCGCAAATAGTAATGATTAGCAGCCCAAATGCCTCTTATAGCCAAGAACAGTACTATTGTGTCCTGCCTTGCATTACAATTCGAGCCAATGAAATATTGTGTTCAAGATAACTGCTACCACTGTTCTGTATCTTGTTTCAGTCTCATCATTCCAACTAACTTCCCCCTTGATCACAAACCTCTCCGCCCAGGGACTTCGCGAACCAACTGATTAATGGAAACGTGATGGAGAAAATATTCAGCATTGGAACATTATCTTGGTAAAATGCCTGAGTGTCCTATATCTCCCTGAACTTGGTGTCAATGAGAGCTTCAATCTCTACAACATTGGTCCGTGTTGCTATCTCTTGATCAACCAAGCATGATACGGTGGGCAGCGAGTTTTTGCATGGTGCAGTTCTTTGCCACGTTGTAACTCTCACTGAAGCTCGCCGCAGTCCTTTCGATCTCATGGCGTCTGTAATTGAAACCCTCATATTCATGTCCATCTTCCTGCATCCGGCAACAACAAGATGGGCCTGGTACTCTCAGTCAATGCCCTCTTCTGTCCTGCTTCATTCTTGCTTCATGCATCTCGATGGGAGGAGCTTCGTTGCCTTCCCTCTGTCCGGGGTAGGCTGTAGCTTAGGGTCCGTGTGACCAGATCACCACCAATCACGGCTTGAGTTGGTTTCCCCGGACCGAAAACATGTCTGCTCGCCCTGATCAGAAGCTCCGTCATCTTGTTCGGTCTTTTATTTTCTTCCCGTTTTTTACTTCTCTTGTACGTGCTATTGAATAAGGCATTGTTCAGACTTGATTGACAATCTTAACAGAAGCTAAACGGAAAGCTTTCTTCCACCTCTGATGCTGACGAGAGGCAGCGTAACTCGTGTGTCACGAGGCCTTCTTGTTGCTGCCACACGGCATAAAGTGACGGCACTATTGACGGACCCTGTCTTTCCGGTCCCGTGGCCTTTCTTGCCTGTCACCCTCGTCAAACCTGTAAACAATACCCATAATTATTGGAGGAAATTCCCGGCACTTGAGTGACACGTGCCACTTGTCCGCAAATTACTATCCTACTATGTCCTTCCTCTGGTTGGCTCGCTTGTATACCTTACCGCTACTGCCCAATGCTATTGTCGTTATTCTTTGGTACAGCTCCTGCTAGACACTTTCCACCGTCATTATTATTAGCACATGGAAGATGCTCACACGACTCATTCACGATTCCACGTCGTCGGCAAGACGGACGTAACAGGAATGTCGCAACAACGGCGGACAGCTTTGACCAGGAGAGAATGGGGTAGGTTACAATGAGCTGAACAATACGCTCTGACCTTCTCGGGTCAAATGCATACGCGCACTTTTTTGCACGCGCCGCCCTGCCATCAAGAACATGTGAACAGATGAGCTATGGGATTGCATTGCCTTGGTTTATGTGATGAAGAATTTATTGATAAGAAGACTGAATGGACCTTTCACGACCATGTAGCACGAGATCTGATGGTTGTGGTTGTCTTGACATCGAAGGCCGTCTAAAGCTTCCTCGTCACAGGGTAATTCTCCATTCTTGTCAGACATGCAGGTGTTTTCACGGCTGAGCCTAGGCATTGTTGCCACGGCCTCTTTCTCTCTTGTGGCCGCTGGGCCCTGCGACTTGTACTCGACGGGCGGCACACCGTGCGTGGCTGCACACAGCACCACGCGTGCCCTGTACAGCGCTTACTCGGGCGAACTGTACGAGATATCACGAGGCTCGGACGGTGCCACGACCACCATCTCACCGCTGTCTGCTGGTGGAGTGGCCAATGCCGCTGCCCAGGACTCGTTTTGCGCAAACACAACGTGTCTCATCACCCTCATCTACGACCAGAGCGGCCACGGTAACCACCTTACCCAGGCTCCTCCCGGCGGCTTCGACGGCCCAGATGTCGACGGCTACGACAACCTGGCCAGCGCGATCGGCGCGCCAGTGACGCTGAACGGCGAGAAGGCATACGGTGTCTTTATCTCACCCGGCACGGGCTACCGCATCGATTATACCACCGACGTGGCCACAGGCGATGCGGCTGAGGGCATCTACGCCGTCCTCGACGGTACTCACTACAATGATGCATGCTGTTTCGATTATGGCAACGCCGAGACGAGCAACACGGACACGGGCGATGGTCACATGGAGGCTGTCTACTTTGGCGACTGCACCGACTGGGGCTATGGATCTGGCGATGGCCCCTGGATCATGGCGGATCTGGAGAACGGCCTGTTCTCAGGCTCCAGCTCTGGCTACAACTCTGGCGACCCGTCCATCGACTACCGCTTCGTCACGGCCGTCGTCAAGGGAGAGTCCAATGAGTGGGAGATCCGCGGTGCCAATGCTGCCTCTGGCTCTATCTCGACATACTACAACGGGGTCCGGCCTTCTGGCTACAACCCCATGTACAAGGAAGGGTCCATCATTTTGGGCATCGGCGGTGATAACAGTCAGTTTCCATTTTTCTTTGCATGTATTTGAAACCTGGTCGCCTCGGGGAGTTTCTAAAGACTTGGGAGCAAAGGAAAAGGAGAAAATATGACTGACACACAGCTTAGGCAATGGTGCCCAGGGTACCTTCTATGAGGGCGTCATGACCTCGGGTTACCCATCCGACACTGTGGACAGCGAGGTGCAGGCCAACATCGTGGCAGCCGGCTACGCCGTCACGTCGCTCATCGGCGGCCCTTCGATCACGGTCGGCGAGGCCATCTCGCTGCGCGTCACCACGCCCGGCTATGATACGCGCTACATTGCTCATACCGGCACGACGGTGAACACCCAGGTTGTGACGACGTCCAGCGCCACCACCCTGAAGGAAGAGGCCAGCTGGATTGTCCAGACCGGCCTGGGCAACAGCGGCTGCTACTCCTTCGAGTCCGTCGACACCCCCGGCAGCTACATCAGGCACTACGACTTTGCGCTCCTCGTCAACGCCGACGACGGCACCAAGCAGTTCGCCGAGGACGCCACTTTCTGCCCTCTGGCCGCCCTGAACGGCCAGGGCAACTCCATCCGCTCCTGGAGCTACCCGACCCGCTGGTTCCGCCACTACGACGACATACTTTACGTCGCTAGCAATGGTGGTGTGGACACTTTCGACGCTACTGCTTCGTTCAATGACGATGTGAGCTTTGTTATCAGCTCTGGCTTCGCTTCTTGAGAATCCTGTAGTATGTTGTACGAGATATTCTTTCTTACAGGTGTGGTGTGCGGTGATTGGTCATCAGCACAGCACATGTATTAATGGACTTGTACAAAGTACGGGACAGTTCAATTGTAGTAACTTAAATATAAGTTTATTAAGAACAAAATCGAGGAATTAATAGTACCTGCACACATAATTGTAAAATTCTTGATGAATACGAACAGAGAACATGACTATCATATGGGTTTAATCAAGTTTATTATATTGACAGAAGACGAAGGTTGAGTTCATCCTTCAATGGACGTGGTATTCCGAGCATGCTTTCTGAGAGACCTGATACTGAAATTGGCAAGATGTTGAACTGAAAGTAACATTTGTATGAGGCCCAGCTTGCTAATCATGGACTGCGGGTTGCCTTTGGGCTTGAGTGAGGGTATTAAGGATGCCATTACGTCTGTCAGCATGAACAGCTCTGCAAGCTTGACAGATGATTTACAGGTAAGAAAACTTAAAGTAGTAGCTCAAAGCCTTGATATTTTCTATGCTTACCAGACAAAGGAGATGGGTTTGCAATGATGAACCAAATTTGAATGCATAAAAGCTCGGTTTCTTCATGATATTTATTTTACAGATGGGGGCGCGCCCATCGCCCTACAGCTCATCCAACCCGCCAAGATCATCCAATGCTGGCAGATCCAGTTCTACAATGTCATTCCCATTGAAGTCTGTCTCCTCACCCTCCGGCGTTGACTCATTAACGGGCATTTCAGTGTTATCGGTATAGGTCGGCGCCTCGTCATTGGCAACCGAATCGGATGTGACGGATTGTGATGATCGAGCCACGAATTCCTGCTTGTACCTTTCCGGTATATGGAAGGTGTGAAGACCTTCGAATGTGGTGTTCCACCAAAGCTGTTGGGTAACACTTGCTGCAGACAATGTACCGATCCTTGTCGCAAATATCACACTCGTGTATGATGCCCCGACATTGCTGATTATTGAGGGATGCCAGTCAGCTATTTGGCTTCCCGCCTCAACCCGCTTGGCCATGACCGCCAAGGAAGCTTAGAGAGAGCAGAAAAGGAGACCAAGAGCACTCACACTGAGACAAAAGTTGCAATAGTCATTCAAGCATGTGTACATAGGCTCTTCGGATGCTTCCTTGCCTAATACATTTTTAGGTGTGAGAAGTTGAATGACAGCCTCACCGAACCCGCTTCTCTTCGCCATCTTCAATGGCGTGAGCTCCTCCGCGTCCACACCTTGGCTCATATGGAACGTCACGGATATGTCTGCACCGTGTCCGATCAAACACTTCATAGTGGCTTCATAATCCTGGGGTTCGGACTTTGTCCAGCACACCCAAGTGCTAGGCTCCGTTTGCCTTGAGGCCCAAGCCAGCGGCGTCCAGCCATCAGCGTCCGCAAAGTTTACGTATATCCTCTTTTCCTTTGGCGAGAGCTTCTGCAGGATTGCCTTGACGGTCTCTGCGTTCCCGAACTGCGCAGCCCAGTGCAGCGCATTCTTCTTGAAGTTGTCGGGAATCATGATGTCTTCACCATGAGCCAGCACGATCGTCTCGAAATTGCGGATGCCATTGGCAGCAGCAAAGTGTATCGGCAAACGGCCCAAGGGATCAGGGCTCCGCACAGATGCTGACTTATCGAGGAGGAAATTGATTGTACCAACTCCCGCGCAAAGAGCGGCGGCGCATAGAGCAGTGAACAACGAGATGCCCTTGGTGGCGGTGACATCGGCACCACGGGCGGCCAGGGTTCGCACGATGCGCTCTGCATCTTCGAGTCTGACCGGTACATTGTCAGTCTGATGGAATCTTCTAACCGGCAGGCACGCAGCGAAGAGTGGCATGCTTCTAAAATTCAGGCCTGTCACGTTGACATCAGCCCCTTTGTGGATTAACATATTGACCAGATCTATGTCCCCAAACGCGCAAGCGTGATGGAGGGCTGTCAAGCCCCATGCTGTTTTGCAATGAACGTCGATTTTGGGCCGGGCAAGGAGCCAGTTCTGAATGTGTCGACTGTTTTGGCCAAACCGGGCCGATCGAGTCAGCAACGTCTCGCCCTTTGAGTCTTGAGCATTTATGTCTGAACCAGCGCGCACTAGCAGGCGAATGCATTCGAGGCTTTCTTCGCCTAAAAGGTCATGGACAGCTAGCAACGGTGTCCGTCCGTCTGTACTACGCCGCATAAGGTCGTCGTGCGTGTGAAACTCGAGAAGCACCTGCAAAATGTCTGGCCGGGCATGCGCTGCGGCAAGGTGTAGTGGACTGTATCCGGTGGGAGTTGTATCCAACAAGCTCGCGCCGCTCTCCATTAGCATTTGCGCAATCTCTTTCTGGGGCGCATAACCTGCTGCGTCCATGATGGGGCTCCAATTCATCTTGTCGCGGTGATGTACGTCCATGTGTCTGTCTGACTCAAGCAGATATTTCACAACTTCCGTTCTACAACCCGCGACTGCGACGTTCAGAAGAGTCTGCTGTCTGTTATTTAGAAAATTAGGGTCGGCCCCGGCCTTTAGAAGTATCTTGAGCTCGTCGATGTTGTTCATGGCTATCTCTAGCAATGTCTGGCCGTGGCTACAGACTAGGTTCAGGCGTGGTTTCTCGCGATGATTGAGGAGGTGATGGACCACATCCCAGTTCTGCTCCACGACTGCGTGGAATAAGACACTGTGGTTCCCTGAATCAATAGCGTCGATTGAGGCGCCCTTGTCGAGCAGCCATTGCACGGCAGCCTGATTTCCAGCAATGCCAGCAATCATCAACGGTGTCCTTCCGTGTGCATTTCTTCTGTCCAAGTCCACGGGAGGATCGTGCCGAATAAGGAGTTCACAGATCTCAATCTTGGTCTTCTCCGGAATTCGGTCTTTTTTAATGATGTCCATTAATATTGGCGGATCCAAAATTTGATGATTGGCATCAGCTCCGTGCTCGAGCAGCATTTCCACCATCTCGACGCTGCTGGCTTCGATTGCTGCGAACCAAAGACACGTACCGTAGCCTGATGGCCCGGTTGTGTTAGGATCGGCGTCGTGGGTGAGGAGGCTTCGCACTGTTTTCAAAAAGCCTTCGTCACAAGCCGCGGTGATAGGAGTCCATTTGTTCTCATAAAGATCATCATTAGATGGGTTTGGCACTTTGCCGTTAGCTGTCAGGTTTGGATCTGCGCCCAGTCTGAGGAGCAGTTCCACAATGTCCCAAGAGCCCCATAACGCTGCTGTGTATAAGGGTGTGTCTGGCTGCGGAATGTCCAGCATGGTGGGATCTTTCTCCAGAAGCATTTTGACAACGTCAATATGTCCGTGCGAACAGGCGATGGAGAGCGGCGTGGCCTCCTCCTCATCCCTCACCCTCAAATCAGCGTTGTGGTTGAGGAGCACGTGGACAATCTTTGAGAAGCCCAATCGAGAAGCCATATACAGCAGAGACGGGCTACTAGCGGCGGATTGGTCGTCCGGTTGCTCACCACATCGCAGCAGGAATTCCAGCAGACGATCCATTCCGAGCCACGTAGCCCGCCACAAGACCGGCGGCGGAAATCTTATAGTCTCTTGCGGTGTTGTGCTTTTCGACTTGACAGCTGAAACGACCTCTTCAGCGAGAATGAGTGCCAGGTCTTCATTATTCGCCCTCACAGCCCGCAAAATACCCTGTATTGATGTCTCGTTACCGTCTTCCTCATCGGCAGCACGCAACATTACCAAATTTGGAGGTCCAAACTCCGCGCTGGACCTCCAAGCGCTCCAAGCCGAACTGGAAGGCCCCTTTGGTGCACGGGAGAACGGATTAGACATGGCCCAGTAGACTTGAGCCCATGGTCTGTATGGTCCAGACGGGTCCCTCATTCGGTCTTCAGTCTCAGCTGGAATCTTGATATTTGATAGATGGTGTGGCAATGCATGTACTGCGTAAAAGATGATGTCTCGCCCGTCTGTACTGATTGGTGGGGTGATTGCGTCTCCCGACCGCTGGAGACGCTCCTCGTACCTTCGGTACAGATCATTGAGACGTTCTTGCGTTGCTGGGAGCCTGAGATACTCAAGTAAGAATTTCGCTGTGTTCTCTGGCGCTCGCTTCTTGATTGTTTCCCAGTACTCTTCGGCGTTCTTGTCGAGTAACTCGAGCACGTCGGAGCGAATGCGAGTTTGGTCTCCATCCAGATATAGAAAGCCGCGTATTCGCTTCTTGATTTGTCTCAAGTTCTGTTGGATGGTTTCATCGTCAGGTGAGGTTTCCCACTGGCTAATGTCGCCGTTGGTGCCGAAAGAGAGAATGGCTGAGAGTTCCATCAAGGTAAGAGGGCGTTGCGCGGACAATATCCACGCTAGGACAATTCCAAGCCATTCTTGATCTGGAAGAGACCGCAAGATCTTCGACAGGATGTCGCCAGGTGTTGACAACGGCTGGATGCCTTCAATTATGTCGATGAATGCGATCAGATTGTCTCGAGATTGTTCTTCAGGCCACTTCGAATAAGTCTCAGCTATACGTAGAATTCTGGGCAGAGTGCCGTGGCTCAAGGAATCCAGTCTCTCCAAAGTCGTGCGTATACTTGACTCAGGTAAGTCTTTGGGCACCAGACGCGCAAGTAAGACTTCTTTCCCTTCTTCGTTTGCATGAGTATCAGTGATGTCTTCGGGTGCAACCGTGTACTCGAGGAGCTTCACCTCGGTCGATGTTTTGAGCTCATCACGCAGAATTTTAGCCGTCAGCATCCCGGGCTTGCTCGCCGTTAAGATGATCTTGAAAGGCTCCTCGGACTTGCTGGCAAGTTCACTCAGCATTGCCAAGAACCTTCTGCGGCTGCGTGGTTCGCACTCATCCAAGCCATGAAGAATAAGCGGGGTATCGGTTTCCATCCACAGACCTACACGCAGTGCCAGTCTCAACAGATCGTCATCCGTCCAGGCGTTCTGTAGTTTGTACTGGTCCTGCAGCAGTTGTTGAGACAATCGTGTGTCCAACGTTGTCAATTTCGAAAAGTGCAAAATGCATGCAGCACACATGGGCGCCATTGAATTTCTCAAAGGGTCGGAAGAGGAAAATCGGAACTGGACAAAGCGAGGATAGTACTGATAGATTGACTGCTGCTTTCTGACCCAGTCCAGACCAATCTGCTCGGCAGCTTCCGTAGTTGCTTTAGTGTCGGGACCATCGAGCAATAGCAACTGAATGCCTGGACACAGGAACCAGGATTGGTGAGCCGAACTCGAGAGCACCGGATGAGCTCGCGATGGTGATTTTGACAGCATCTGAACCTCGGGTGGGACGAGGTACATCACTGTCCGCTCCAGAGCAACTTTTGACGGTTCCAAAAGCCTCCAGCCTGCCATTAATGTCAGCCAATAGCCTTCGCTCATGCAGACAATGGTAGATTGGGAGATTTGGCGACTTACTATCTATTGAATCGCATATGTTTTCTGCAAGAGAGGGAAACGCCTCAGAAACCAGGCCATCACTCTTTTCTTGCAGAGATAGCTCGGTTGACAGGCCAAGGGTTGCCGTAGAGTGGTCCAAGGCCTGTTTGTCCATGTCAGTCTTTGCAGTCTCGTCGATGATTAAAAGCCATCTTACCCAATGGATGCGCTTCCCCGAGGGGCCTGCATACAAGCTGAAGATCCTGCTCCGTAGCGAGATCTTAGAGCCTAGGAATGCTCCATTAGATGCTCGTATCGCAGACACGAGGTTCTGTACTGCTAAAAGAGTGACGCATGGTACCCATTCTGCATCGTGATCGACATTGAGAAAGGTCAGGACTTTGAGTCCCAGTTGACGCTCATCTCCACGCTGGAAACAACCGACAAAGACCTAAGACTGTTTAGCTGAGTAGTTTAGAAGCGTGTTTTCTGTGTGTAAAGAGGAGATGTCGGGAATAGACATCAATGACTCACAATTCGCGCGATGCTTGTAAAGATATCATCATATTCGCTATCGTGTGCAGATGCAATTGAGACAGCCTGCCAGGGCTTTGTTAGTAACTCGTAGACTGATCTTGAAGATGCATCTCGTTGTTGCTACATGTTTGACGGCCCTCACCTGCTTGAAAACTATGGCACCAATGTCATACGCCACGACTATGATTGCTCTTCGGGTACGCTTGATAGTCTTGCGTCAATACGTGATGCTCCACAAATTCATATAGACACTGGCTCGTACCTGGGCGCCGAACTGCCGAAAATACCTGAGACCGCTGAGCAACTGACGAGCCCTGACTTCGATGTATTGAGTAGTAAACTCCGCATCTTCGTTCAACATGCTTGAGATAGTTGTCTCGAATACAAACTCTCTTTCGAGAATCCTCGGGGAGCGAGTCTGTGAGTAGGGACAGACCGACGAGGTGCTCCTCTCTTGGAGCCCCTCTAACGTGAACGATACTTTCATGAAACTATATTTAGCATTTGCATATTGTTTCACACAATATAGAGTACCTTTAGACTCAGAGTATGTGCTTACTCAATCTCGAACGGTTCCTCGTCTTCATCCTCTGTACTCGAGCTGGGCTCCGTTATTGATTCCAACTTGACGCCTTCATGAGAAGATCCAACGGAGTCTTCCTTGCCTAGGCCCTCTATGCGAGAGGTTGCACTTGGACCGTTATCACTCTCATCGGTTCCCATAGTGTCTTGAACACTCGGTATCGCGATCCTGATGCTGCTTTCAGTGGGCATGTTGCCTGGAATGATCCCCCACTTGACTTCCTATCAAGTTTCTTCATTCGGCCAGTTTCTATCAATATGTTCTTGTCGAGTATAACATAAAAGACTGGCTCCTCCGCGGTTTGAAGGCGTTCAAGCCAAATCCGTCTCTGACGCGACTCTGTGCGATGCGTAGTCGATCTTGGAGGCATAGCACAGTAGGCCCGAGCAGAACGGCATAAGGTCCTAGATGAGGGGACTCTTGGCTGCTTGTTCAGCAGCCTTGACGTGGTGCAGTACTCACTTGCATTAGCGCTTACGACTTGTTCGAAGATGGGCGTCTCCGTAGTCTCCGGATCCTACGTTGCACTGTGTGGTGAGACTTTACGTAGCAATAGTGCAGCAGGCTCTAGCTGCTTAGACACGCCCATGTCATTCAACAGAGCCTTTCAAATGGTGCTTGATTTCGTTTCATCCAAGTTCTGTCTCCGTGCTCTTGAGAACATGGAGTGATAGACCACTAAATCACCGCGCGCGAGCAAACAATGGCTGAGGAGCAAGATATTTGGCTCAGTCAGAGTGAGGAAGATGTGGAGCTAGAATCAGATCAAGGCCTGGAGGACTCTGTGAATCCTGAAGCCTTCACTTTACCCTTAGTCAGTCAGCATGGGCAAGACGGAGGTGAGTCGAGTCTAAGAAGACGCTTTCATCTGGGCAGGGCATAACTGAGACTGAAACCATGACAATCAGGATATCATGTGCATAACAAAGAGGGCATGCTTCAGAGGAGGACTGTGTCCGCTTTACACGGTGGTCTTCGTAAAAGAAAGCCCGCATTCAACTGTGGGTTGCGAAGCCAGGGCTATAATCCACGGACACGTGGGCGCACAATCTGACAAGCGAGCCACACTTCTCGTCTACGACCTTACGTTCTTCTCACGACGTGGAACACGGATCAAGGACGCCGACGTCCTTTTTGAGTTCCGGTCAAGGTCAAGACATCCCGGCGCGGTGGGCCCAACTGTCGCTGAGGTGCGGCCAAAGGGCCAAAGCAGGATGGGAGAGACCATTCAGAACCAGGCCTCCAAATTCAACGTATCGTTCAACATCAACCCACCCGTCGTCGCTGGCAGTTCCGGCCTCACCGCATCAGGTGAACACAATATATCCAAGGACGTCAAGTTCCATACCATTGTGACGGGCGACAATCCTGCGGACCTGGAGTGGGGAGATCATTATCAGGCAAGGTTCACACTTGCTGAGAACGAGTCGCAGAGGTCTGGGATCCCGACACAGCTCACCATCGTCATGCTACTCGAGCGTGACAACGATGATGATTTCGAGATGATTCCTCAGATCGAAGTGACGCCGAATCTTGCCTCCGGCATAACGTCTCTTGGCTCAACTCGATCTTCGGACGATCCCGTCCATTTCAGTGTGCAGGAGCCCCCCTTGAATTGTCTGAATGGCAACAAAGTGATTGATTCAGACAACTTGGGAGCAACGGATCTGGACAGCCTCTGGATTTGCACCATGTATAGTTTGTATGTCGACGGGGTCAAGCAATCTGCGCCTCATTGATACACGGAACAGTTTCAAGGGATGGGCAAAAGCCCTGACAGGCTCATCTGGATAGCAAAACGGACATTAATCAGACGACTTCTACCATACAGATGTCCCAGATTGTATGTAAGATTCTGAGTGCAATGAGGCTGCGGGGGACATTGAATTGGCAGATGATCTCGCACTGTACTGTAGTGATCGAGTCAGCCACTATGCCCTTGATGAGCGAGCTGAAGCGTGTAGCGTCAGGTTTTTACGGAACCTGTCCGGTCACTACGCGGACTATTGCTAAGGATTACAACAGTGCAACCGCACTGATGAGAAACAACCCTAGAACTGTAAAGGAAGGCGATTGCGCATGACTGCCCCTCAAACTACTTCTTCGAATGCAGACTCTCAAGTGCCTCGCGATACGTGGATGTGGTCGCTTGCCGCAGCTTGAAATTCTGACGATCTTGCTTGCTCTGAACTTATTACCGGAAGAGTCGTTGCTCTTGGAAGACTGAGCGGACTGGAGACGTCCACGAGGGGTACTAGATATCCTTGGCTCGGGAATGATGAGCGTTTTCGACGTGGATGCACCACCCATCCAATTAGACGCGCCTGATATTAACGAGCCACTCGATTCTGGCGCCGAGGATGATCATGTGGACGGGCGACTGTTGGATGATAGGGACAGCGATGAGTGGTATGAGCTTTCTTTGCATGATCGGTGGAGGAACGTCGTGAAGCGTCTGATCAGTGAAGAGGTGCATTGGGATGGTGACAATGAGCAGCACGACGACGACTGGAAGCCGGGTACGAGGGCTTTAGACCGGAGAGAGAAAGCCTCTCTGACCGAGTTTGACCGCCGCGACAAGACATGCCCCACAATACTGCACAGACTAGCATTCAATTTCGACGACGATGGCTTCACTCAACTGCCAGACAAGATGCAGCCAAGGGTGGTCGTTGAACATCTTCTCCATGAGCGCAAGAAGCGAGGCGCGCAGAGTGTGGACTCACCAGAGGATCCTATCTTGACAAGAGCTTTCGAGAACCAAAATGCCGACTTCATCCACTTCATTATCAAGAACTATTACAACAGTCACCTCCCTGACCTTCTCGATGATCAAGATAGCGGTGGAGCCAACTGTCTGCACTACATCTTCAAGAAACACATTCCCGAAGCTGTGGACGACTACCTAAAACTCAGCCAACGGCGGAAAGCGACTCGGGTGCCGAAGACAATGACCTTGGACCTCTCGATCACGTTACACTTCCTTCAGTTTCTCATCAGGGTTGCCAGGCCTCGGTGCATTGCCGCAAGCGACGGCGAAGGAAATACGCCCATGCACTATGCACTGGCGTACAGAGCATGCCGTATGCCAGTCCCGCTATACCAGGACATGGTTTTGCGACTGGTCAAGACTGGCGACAAATTTGAGGACAGGTCTAGACAATTCAACAGTGCCCAACAGTCGCCCTATCTCTACTTTGATCGTACCAAGCGGGAATTCATCGAGCATAATGTGCGAGTGAGAGTTCAGAAGCAGGTTACTCGCCCTCCTAAAAACTTTGCAATGTCAAAACCAACGGGAGGTGAGGAGATATTGAGGATGACATATGGAAGTGGGCAAGCAGACCCAACCAACGATGAGTTCGGGCTACGATATAATTTGAAGGATTCTCATCCACAGAACCTGAACGACATTTCACTCAAGCCGAAGACAGATGAAGGAACTCGGGCGCTCACATCAAGCTCTCAGTACAGGAGAAAAACCGATATGAGGAGAGACGTCGGCATCCTAAAGCATGGGGATCCCCTTGACGAGGCAGCAGCATTTCGTACGTCTCGGAGAAATACAGCAGGGCTGTCGGACAACGCTACCGCAAAATCATATCCCGGACCTCGATCTTCATCGCCTGCTATGACCGCAGCGAAGTCGACCTCCGACCATGTATCAGACAATACTGCAGGCTCATCCTTGGCTCAAAATGCCATCCCCGGCGTGGGCGGAAATCCGCGCATAGCGGAGTCTCCGACTCATGGAAAGCAAATCGGGTGGGAATCTGCCAAGACGGGAAAGAAAGGTATCGATGATGCGAAAGAGGAGCCAGCAGGGAAAAGGTCTTACGATATCAAAGAGGATTATGACATATGCCTAGAAGCGGCGGAAAACGTGCGACAACAGCTCAAGCTACACTACATAGGCAGCAGATCTGACATAGAGGCCAAAGAGCTGCTCTATGGACGAATAGCTTCTGGTACGTGTGGGCCCGATGAGCCACGTTATGAAGTGGATGGATGTGTCTAGAAGCTTCGTTGGGGTCCTGAAAGATGTGGCAGCTGACATTTTCCGTGACAGACAAGAACCTTTACTTTGATGCGACGAATCTAAAAGGAAAATCGCCTAAGGAACTTGCAGACCTCGTATCTATGCTGGCCAAACCAGGAGGCTTCGAGGACACTTTATCTTATGTTAGCCTACCGGTCCTAGGCTACACACCTGATCTACCCAGCGCTGCCAGCCCGACTTCGGGAGGGTATGATGCGAACGAGCGACGTCAGCGGAGACCAAGTGGTCAAGACGAGAAACTACTGGGACGCGACTCTGCGGTTGCTGTTCTCGACAAGCTTGGCTGAGTCTGGTGTCCGCAAAATTATTCGATTGATTGTTGAGGAAGATCCAAAATCACCACCGCATACGGATGCCGCGATTGAGAGGGCTGTACGTGGTGAGGATTCCTTGCTGCCGGAAAACAGGAGAAAGCAAGGGAGAATCGCTGTGGAAATCTGGTAAGTGTAATGGTGGTCCTTGCAGTGTCTAGTGTGTTGCGAGGAGCATCGTCGAAGCAGTACTATAGAATGCCAGAGTGGGAACTAACACATATGTCTAGGGACTGGAGAAAGTGGGATCTCAGCACCGATGTGATTCGGTTTGCTTCACCCAGTGTTTCGGAGGTAAACCTTTACTGGAACGGAAATCAGATAGTTCTCAAAGGTTGGGCAAGCGATGAAGGCATTCCACGCCTATTCAGTGAGTCCGAGAAGAAGCTGAAAACGGTTATTGTTCATTGGTCTCCTGTGAGTACTTGAGTATTCTTCACAACTCTGACCTTGGTCCATGTTTCTGCGCTGCCAAGACAACAACGGCATTCAGCCTGTCCACCATAATTAGCCAGCCAGCGTTCTTAACCTAGCATGATAGGGTTTTGAAACGGTCCAGAGATGCGAGTCCTTGCTCGTGGACTTCAAAAAGCAAGTTGAGAAACGTACCTCGACCACGGTCGACAAGAAATCGCAAACGGGAGTGACGGTCTACACCAAGAGGCTATCCGCCAGCAAGGCATTGGAAGCCGGGCCAGGGGATCAACTGGGGCCGTTTGCGGCAGGCAGTCTCACAGCTCCTCCTGATCACGGCTGGATAGAATCAATGGAGATGTTCAGGAGAGCTCTTATGACATTACACGAAACTTTGCCGAAAGAGAATAGACCGGGTAGGGTAAAAGTAAGTCATCTTAACTGCTGGCCAAGTCCATCATCTTGTTATGAAAGTCGAGGCTAACGTCATTCTCTAGGTAGCACTGATCGATGATGGCGTCGACCGTGCTGACCTGACGACGTACCAAAACCGTGTTGAGGTAACGGGAATGAGTTACTGGAGTCCATCCATGGGTACGACCTTTCAGAACCCCTCCTGGCATCAATCCACACACGGTCATGGCACGATTATGGCCAACTCCATCATCCGCATCAATCCCTGGGTTTCGCTATACGCAATGCGGATCCAAGACGATGTAGACATTGGTCCGAGAAACGAGGTGAGCATCAGGATCCACGCAGGCAGCGCTGCAGGGGCTATTGAAGATGCCATCATCCTGAAAGTCGACATCATCTCTATCTCCTGGACAATTCGCAACCTCGTCGCACAAGACGCAAGGGCTGTCAACGGACAAGAAGAGAAAGCCATCAAGTCTCTGAAGAAAGCTATAGAAAACGCCAAGGAGCATGGCATCCTCATCTTCTGTTCAGCTTCTGACGATGTCAAGAAAAAGGGCGCCGGCACCCTGCCATATAGCCAGGCGCGGGAGTATATCTTCCGCATCGGCGCGGCAGACGCCTACGGCTGGAGCCACAAGGCAACTGAAGACCAGCAAACAATCGACTACTTCCTGCCAGGTTATCAGGTCGCTGACGATTTCCATCCGCGTATCGTTCGTACCGAGGAACTCAAATACCGCGACGGCTCGTCCGTGGCAACGGCACTGGCGGCTGGGCTGGCCTCGCTTGTACTCTATCTGACGAATCTGATGAAGATGTACTACTGCACAGACACCAAGAACATGTCCAAGTTCTCCAAGTACGGAGATTTGTTGCGGACACGAGATGGTTTGAAGAAAGCCTTCGAAAACATGATCACGGATGACAATTACAAGGACAAGAAATTTCTCCCTGTATGGGACTTGTTTGGGTCGAGGGCAAAGGAAATTTTGAACAACATTAAGGATCCAGGGGCAAAGTGGGACTTGCTGGATGAATTGTGTAGAAAACTTGCTACATAAGGTCTTGGGGGTTGGTACTATCAACTAGGCCCAGACAGCTGCCCACAACGATTCGTTTTGCTTGTGAGCATTTCTTCTCACTATTCGTGACAGCTACAATGTTCTCGTGGGGACTAATTCTGTATCATGAAAGAGAACCACTCTGTCCAGCTTATTGTTTTCAAACAACCAACCTATGGAAAACCATGTGGAGAAGCCAGTTTCACGTATCAGAACTTGGTCTTTACATGTTTATGTGCTGTTAAGCCCTTTGGAAACCCTTAGTTTCTCTAGCAAATCGGTCTCATATATACTGTGCACCTTGAATACTTTAGTCCTTCTGAAGGAGGAAAGCTGTCAGCTGTATCGGTGTCACAACACCAAGGACCAGTTCCATATCATGCTCCAGTATGATATAAAAGCGACCATAAATATCATAGGCACAAAGGCATGAGTTGCAGAAGTCCTGTACATCCTCAAAATCGGCATTGGGAAGGATTGCTGGATTTATTGCGTTTTGTTGCTCGACGATGAGTAGCCCTGCACACTGTTCTATGCCTTCTTTTTGACGACCGCGACTTGGACTGGACGCTCTTAGCTTTTTTTTTTTTTTTTTTTTTTTTATATATATATAAAAAACCCCCCAAAAAATCTACAGGAGTTGTCCCAAGGCTCGAACAACTCCTGTAGGATTCATGTGTGGAGCACCTCCCGTGGGGTCTTCTTGCTGACCACCAAAGACATGGGCTGACAATGAGTTTGAGGTAGATCAGCTTGCACCTAGTCGCATAGTAAAGGCATAATCTTTTATAATTTTCAAACGATCGATCCCAGAATATGGCAGTCCCAATCGAGACAACAACCAGGCACCACACTCTCCCTGACGGCCGCATCCTGGCCTACGGCATTTACGGCCATGACAGCCCCGACGCACCCACTCTCCTGTACCTGCACGGCTTTCCGGGCTCCCACTTCGAGGCCGAACTCTTCTCTGCGCCTGCCAGGGCTCGCGGCCTGCGCATTGTGGCGCCGACACGGCCAGGCTACTCCGGGTCCACGCACGACCCCAAACGCACGCTCATCTCCTTCGCCGCCGATGTCCTCTCCCTGGCCGACGACCTCCACATCCGGCGCTTTGCTATCCTGGGCCTGAGCGGGGGTGCTCCATTCGCCTTTGCCTGCGTCGCGGCTAAAAGGAAGCAGCCAAATGGTGGCTCAGACGACGGCAACGACACAGGGGGACGACAGGACTCGTCATTTAAGGATAACTCAGGAGACACATTATCGCCTTATGTCATCTCTCGCGACCGTCTTGCCGGCGTGGGCATCTTGAGCGGTCTATTTCCTCTTTCCTTCGGCACGGCGGGCATGATGCTCATGAACCGGTTTCTCTTGGGCTTTGTGGGCCCTTACCTGCCGAGGCGGGTGGTGGCCAAGACATTCGACTTGGCGCTGAGCAAGACCATGCGGACCAAGAGCATGGCAGAGCTTGAGGATATGATGGCCAAGACGTTCAAGGGCCGGCCCGAGAAAGACCGTGTCGTGATCGAGAGGGATGAGGCTGGTATCCGCACAGGAATGATCAACAGCTTGAGAGGCGCAATGGTGACGTCGGGCGGACCTGGGGCCGCGATGGTGAGCTTAAAGAGCCCATATTGACAGAAAGGATCCTGTTGTGCCCAGATTATAAGATCATGCCGCTGACCCTCTCAATGCTTGATGTTAGGATGCGGCGCTGTATGGGTGCGACTGGGGCTTTAGCCTAGATGAACTGCAGATTGGAAGGAAGGGAGAAGAGGGAAAGACATCGGTTGTAGCCTGGCATGGCGGTAGAGATATCAACGTTCCCGTGGCGATGGTGAAGAGGGTGACTGAGTCGGTGCCGGCCATAGACTTGAGGGTGGACGAGGAGGAGGCACATATTAGTTTGATCGTCCGTAGGGCGGATGACGTTCTTGCGACGATGGCCGAGATGCTGGAAGCTTGAGCTTCAAGACGTGTATTATCCAGTCTGGAAGGTCATTTTCTAAAGTGAGCTGGCTTAGCTTCCCTAATGTGAGCAATTGAGAGGCGAGCTCTGTTCTTAGAAGCTTCAAGTGCGGAAGCGAACGCGAGGGGGTATCGCAACTAGGAGAACGGAAACAAATGTCAATTGCCGCGTAATGTATTCGGAAAAGCGAAAGAAAAGGAAGGATCAGAAATTATTTGTAGGACAAAGCAGTTAAGAATGCCCCCATTCCGGCCCAGCCTCTAGCAGCAGGCACAGGTCTGCTCCCTACTCATTTTCACTCCGTTGGACACTGTGCCAAGTACAGATTTGAAAAGAGAAAGCGTCTGTTCGTTTTATATTGGCTCTTGGCCGTTTTCAGAGAATCTATTTAGTCAATAGTACATACTTTACTGCTTCATTTCCTATGTGTGTGTGCTTTTGTTGTCCATGAGTGTGCACGACTGGTGGGGTATATCCCCAATTTGAAAGCTGGAGATGACAGCAGTGACTGCGCTTAGGACTGATCTAGATCTAGACTCACAAGGAACAACTGAGAAAATTACAAGTGAGGGAACAGAAACGAACAGGAAGGAAGGTAAAATAAAAACAAACGGCCAGGTAAAAAAATGCAAAACGACGCAGGCATGATTTGAACATGTTCTTATGAATGACGGAAAATAGGAAACGAGAACCGGTAGACAAGAACAAAAAATAAGTCGTCAGAGCTAAGGGTTTGGCGAGGCACGGAGTACGGGAAAACAAGAAACGGAAGACAGGCACAAAAATGTCCTCATCTTCGGTTTTCTATTGCATCAGATTTCCGGCCCCGTCGCAGGAAAGAACAGCTGATAAAGCAATAAGCAAGGGCCGACAGGAAACGAAAGCCATAAAGGCACAATAACAGTGAGAGAAGCCTGCCTTAGATTTGTCCAGAGGGTTTAATATTGAGAAAGGAAGGGGAGACGTCCTATTCTTCTGTCTGCATGAGGGGGGGGGGGGGGGGATCGAGAGGATGTGGTGCTTTTATAGCTGCACGATGACCTGAAACCCACTTCATTGTATGTCCCGAGAACCGCCACACTGGCCACTTCAACACTGCTCTGTAAATATGTATCTATACTTTAAGTCTTCACTGGGTTCAAACTACGATATCTCGGTGTGGGGGTAGCAGAAAGCCTGGGCAGAGACAGGATACGACGATGGCATCAAAAGTGAAGTCATATGGCCGCAAAGACAATATTCTTATGCTTGGAGACGATGTAGCTTAACGAACAAATGAGATCCCATGTTGCTAACATTCAACATGAAAGACTTGAAGTTTGGAATTGTTGGATAATGCTGTTTTTATAGACAGAGACAGAGACAGCAGATTAGAAGTTTGCTACAGATAGCTAGTTTCCAGTCAATAACTTATAAGAAAAGCTTTCTAATGCAGTCAATTAGATTCTTGAGATCTGTAGTCTGTAAACGGGCTAATCTGTACTTGTAACCGCAATCGGTTTGTCGCACACCCATAACGGTTTTTTCGGCCGGGCTCTTGCCTACATAAGTATACTTGGTAGATATCCAGGCACTGATTTAGTTATTGCGTTGTAAGAATCGTTTTCATCACGACCTCTACTAACTCTGTTCCTCCCACAGTAATGCATGGCGATTTGCCAAATGTGACGGAGTTGGACCCGTGTATCACGCTCCGCATGCGAGACACAACATACGCCACCATGTCGTCCGAAGACCAAGGATTCCCGTTAAAATTGGAATAGGCTGCCGTGAATAGTGAACGCCGTAACCTCTCACGACTGAGATGATCCAGTTTCGTCAGTAGCACTACAAATTCGGTTTTCGCGAACCACTAGCTATTCACTACCGACTCCTACAAGACGAACGACTCATCAAGGCGGATCCTGTCCTCGTCCTCTAACAGACGGCGATTATAACCAGATATATCGACCGTAAATACTAGTATATATGTGTTTGGAAACACACGGATCTGTTTCCTTCGCTTACTCCTTGAATCCCCGGGATCGAAGAAACGATGTTCGCTGCCATCAATTTCATACACCGATTCGTGAGTGCCAGTCATCTGCATATAGGACCATAGGATCGTCTACCGATAGTATATAGCTCAGCTAGAAAATACGAGTGCTCGAACTCAAGAAACTGTTCACAGTAAGTATCGCGTCCGATAGATCGGTAGACGGTTCACAATAGGCTCCCGTCAAATAATAAGACTCACTGTTCGATATGATCCATCCTGAATCAAACCCGAAATTGGTCTTGCAAGTCAATGATCGCTCCTGGCTGGAAAAAGTTCGCACCACATCATCGTTCCAGAATGACTTAATGGCAGTAATTGCCTGCTCACTACAGAGCCCTTGCCGAAGAATCCCAAGCTGATCTTGGAGCAGTGTCGCCTTCTCGCTCACTGGCATGCCTTCCCCTGGAGGAGACTGCCAAAATGGTTCTATCGAGTCAACGTCTAAGGCAAGCTGATCGAGAGTTGTTAACATGTCCTCGAAGATATGATCAGTGTATAGGAGCCGCCATCTGTCGTCGTATTTGAGACCTCCATACGCTGAATCCGTTGATTTGATCAAAGTACTTTTGCCGGATCCTTGAATGCCCAATATCAAAACTTTGCGAGGCTGTACACCTTGACTGGGTTTCCGGGCCCCTATGCCAGAATAGTGCCCGCCTAGCTAAGCTGGCCGTAGCTCATATAGCGGCGCTCTGCCCGCTCCTTCCTCTCCTTCCTTCCTCCCGCTTTCTCTCCTTCCTTCCTCAACCAACACAACCAGATCATTACCTTAAACCGAACTAGGAATACCTCATAAGTCAGTCTGGTTTCCCCACTTTCAACAATCTCAGGTGCTTTGACGCAGTTGGAAGCGCGTCGGATTTCAAAGATCCCATGTGGGTGCCTGGGTAGTGTTAGCGTGTGAATTGCAAGTGACAACAGCCTCCGTTCAACACGCGCCGTGGGAGTGACGCCCCAACATGAAGCACGTTCACATTCCCACATCGTGGCGTTGGAATTTCCGAAGGTCCTCCCCTTTCTTCCCCCCCCCCCCCCTTTCACTTGATTCTTGAAATTTGTCTAACTTTTTAACAGAGTTAGATGATGCGAGCAACTGTGGACGAGCACGAAGTCAAGGTAGCTGCCGATGGAGGCGTGGAAGTCCTGAGGAAGCTATTCTGTATACCTCTGCCCGAGGAGCATTCAACATCCCCCTCATCGTTGTCACTGGATGTGGTGTTGGTGTCTTTTGACCTAGAGACCTCCGGACGCACGAGCAAGGGCCAGAGAGACATTACCAAAGTCAACGAAAAAGAAGTCTCGGGCATTCGAGAAGCTGGATTCGCCGTACTTGACACCCGGTCCTTCTTTCCTCCGTCATCCTCTTCCTCTCAGCAGCAGCCCGATGCGTTGTTCAACGAGGCTGTCTATCGGGACGGAAACGGAATCAAGCACAAGCTCACACCACCGCTGATATCGACGAAACAGTTTTCCACTCTTCACGACTCTAAAGATTTCGAAGACTGTGATTTTACCAACTTCAGAGAATGCGCCTTTGCCAAAACCCGCCATGTGGAAAAAGAGCAACTGGTCGACACAATTACGAGCTGCCTGCGGTTCCCAAGTACGACGGCGGGAATGCGTGAGATAGTCATAGTCGGACAAAGTCCACAGAGGGACCTGGAAATTTCTCGAAAGTTAGGCGTTGAACTTTCCAGCGTCTCACCCATATCGGCCGTCCTCGACACCCACAGGTTAAGCAGATCCATCCTCGGTCCGCACTCGCCTCTCGTCGTCGCGGGGCGGCGCCCAGCCCTGGAGAGGCATGCTCTCCCGGACATCCTCACCGAGCCCGGGGTTCCTTTCGACACACGAGACCTGCACAACGCCGGAAATGACGCGACCTACACCCTCCATGCCTTGATCTTGTTGGCGGTCCGATATGCCGAGTGTGTGATGGCGGAGGGAGAGCCGACGCAGGAACAGCTGGAGCACGTCGAGCGGCTGCGTGCGGTCGCGAGGGCCGAGTTCGAGGCCCCTAAGTGGAAAGCCGGTCAGGAGAGCTTTGGGTGCACATAGCCTGGAGATTGCCCGACCTGCGAGGAAGCTCGGGAGTGGCCTGGAATCATTGACGGCCGCACTGAGGGCAACAAGTTCCTAGCGCAAAATATACAGAACCACTTGGGAGGGCGGAGCAAGGTATATTTAGCGAAGAAGTCCTGCCTATTTTCTGCCGGGGGCGTTACGATTAGAATTGGTAGCCGGGGCATCGATGTTATCATAGAATCTGTTAAGCAGCCGTCTCCCTGTCCCTCTCCCTCTCTTCCTCTCTTCCTCTCTTCCTCTCTTTCAGAACAACATCTGCAGAACTCGCCTCCAGGCATTCTTCTTAAAAAGATAGTGTGCCAGGCAGGAGCCAACTCATATTGAAGTTAGCCAATGGCGATAAAACAGTCTCAAGGCTTTTTTTGCGACCCGGACCAGAAAATATATGAATGAAGTGCTAGGTATCAACGTCTGAGCATGCTCCATTATTGCCCTCCTGTGGTATTCTGATTTAGTCTAGAGCTAGGTAGGCTACGTTGATTCTCGTGCTCATGTAGTTCCACGAATCAAATCAACAGCTCTCGGGGCGAGGGCGTAGACAGGAGTCTGTGTGTTCCCTCTCGTCCGAATAGGGGTTACACTAGAGTCCACAATTCGCAGCCCTTCAACGCCATATACATGCAACTGCGTGTTCAGCACTCCGCCTCTTTCCCAGGGCAGCAAGGTACACGTGCTCGTGGGATGCCAGCAGCTCAGTGTCGATTTCTCGATGTAGGCCTTGACTTGCTCTATGTCACTGAGATCCTCAGGAGCTCCATGACTCCGGCGCCCATCGGGCTTGAGAAGCCTGGAAAACGGCTCCGTGCGTGTGATGGTATCGATATAGGTGACGAGCCGGGCTAAGACATCCATGCCGAGCGGGCGGGTCATGCCCAGGTGTAACGGGGATCGATCTTGGGCTTGACGTTCACTTCTGTCGATTTGATGTGCAAACATGTAATGAGCACTGCAGTAATCCGAAGATTCCTTAATGCCGATTGGATTTATGCTAACAAAAGCAGTATCAAAATGCAAATCCTTAAATACGGAAATATACAAGTTCTGATAACATTGCAAATATTCACTGCCTTTAGGGCTTTCAAATATATATACACTTAGAATTTATATTAATAACTGAAAAGCTATATACAAAGATCTATCTACTAATAATGATAACTGTAACTATATATTCAGCTTTTTAATATAAATTCTCTGTTCCTTCTCTAGATCGCGGCGGTGATCTAGTGCTCCGAGTAAGCTGTGCTCCTAGTGCTCCCGGTAATCCACCCCTGCAATCCTAACCCTGGGTCACATCCTGATTCATGGTTCTGTAGGTAAGTATTGAATTCTCAACTCCGAGAGAGCTGTTTTCGGTAGCCGCAGTGTTCCTCTACTATGCACTGTTGAGGGTCATAACACAGAGATACTAAGAGTTTCGTTTTTGAAAATGGAGAGGGGGGGACAGTAATAGGCTAGGAAAACGGCAAAAAAAAAAAAGAGAAAAAACACGACGCAGGCACGATTCGAACGTGCGCCTCCGAAGAGATTTGATTGGTTGCTTCATTTCTTGTTTCGAAATAAATTCGAGTCAAACGCATTAGACCTCTCTGCCACTGCGCCATTTTTTGGAAAAATGGCGCAATAGTCAGTTTATATTTTTGTGGATACTGACTGTTGAGCAAGCCCCACGGGTGTCTGCCCGCTCCCAAGTACGGGGTGGGTGGGTAAAAGACAGACATTCTACGTAGTATTGTACGTAGATGATACTATAGATCAACTAGCAGCGATTCGAAATGGGCTCTAGAAGACATCATACCTCGAACCGTGTTTAGCCTCGGTTCGGTTTTCCAGGATGGGACTGCGTATCTTACTTACGGAGTACCTGTTCATGCACTCAATATGTACGCCGGCTCACGCACCCGGGGTACCTGCTTAGGGTGCTGTGCCCCTGAACGGGCTTGCGGTCTTAGGGCTGCGTGTGTGTGTGCCTACAAAACTATAGTACCATAGTACAGTGCATACTGGCCCCAGGCTTACCCCGCATGTTGGTCTGGTAGTTATCTCCTCACCCCTCACGAGTGTCCACTCTTAACAGGCCGACGGCCAATCAAATCCTTGTCGCTGGTCGCAGTCCATCAATGAGATGGCGAGGAGGATCAGAGCCTTTCTCCAGGTCTAGCCCAGAAGGGGCATAAGAGGAAGGGATCAGTGCCCAGGTACGGTGCGTAGTGTTTTTGCAACGTCGCAAGGTAGGGCCGAGGCTCCATGACGTGAGTTTTTGGCGACCAACAACCCTAAGGAGCGCATTGTATTGGAGATGACAGGCAGGCAGGCCGCTGGGCTGAATGGATTGAGGAAGCAGCACTGACATGATACAATAGTATGTATGTACTGTATGCTACAGTGCATAGGCGGAACAGGAACCCCCTTTGAATCATGCCAGCATGTAGTACTATACAGCCGCCACCAGTCGTCGTACCGTCACAATAGCCAAGATTTAGGGGCCAAGGGAAACAAAGAGAGGGAAAGGAAAACACGGGGAAGGGGGTGGGGGGGGGGGCCTTCCTTGCTTGCTCGGGTACGAGAACGAGCCTCCCAGACGGCATCGTGACTCGATCTTACTTCCCAATTAGCTTGTGACCACGGTCTGCCACTTCTTTCCCCAGTGTTTTCACTTTGTGCCTACTCTCTTTTTTCCCCCTTTCCTTTTCTGCCTCATTCTCTCGCTCTCTCGTTCTCTCTTCTCCCTCTCTCTGCCTCTCACTCATTGCCTTGACCCCTGCTCAGCCGTCCACCACAGGAAGGCAGATCTGCCAATCTTCCCCAGAAACCCAATCTAAATACAGTAAATCCCCGGACTTTTAGAAGACCCACACGCGTGCTACAGCACGTCGCCTTTTGTCGCGCGACCCCAATTTCAAGGTTGCCCCCCTCCCCGCAGCGTCAGGAAGAAGGGGAAGACTGGACGCGTGCAGCCGTTAGGACGAGCAAAGAGCGAGCCACTCACTTTCTCGCCTCAGCAATGTGATGCCGTCAAATTCGTTTCCTTGAGGGCACAGGAAGTGTTTTGGAAGTTGGGAACTTGAGAAGGCATACCAAGAGCTCTTTTTTGGAAGGTTCATTTTGTTTGGATTGCTCGAGCGCCAGGAAGGAAGGATGCTGCTCTACACCAAGGTTGCGCCGCCCAAAGTCCCCAAGAGACGGTCGAGAGCAGGTACGTCGTCCTCCATCAATGTCTCACCCCGCGCAAGCGACTCGTACTACCTCCTGCAGCACGCGTCCATACTGTCTGCATCACCTGCACATCTATTTATCTGGCTGCTGAGAGAAGGGTCTTGCACCCTCTTCACTGTCACATCGCATTACGATATCCAAACCCAAAGCTAACGACGAGATCGTGGTTCCTGCAGGTTGCACGTCTTGGTAGGTGATCTGCGCCCCAACCGAGTATCTCCCAATCGAGTCTCTCCCCTCCCACTCAATGCTCCTCTTCAATGTTACGCTCGCTAATACCGGTTCCATAAATGACACAGCAAAGAAAAGGTTGGTCATTTTCCCCTGCATGAGACAAGGCAGCACGACACTGCATTTTTCTTCTTCGGAACATGGAATCCCGTTCTCACACGTGTCCCTCCTGCAGAAGAAGAAATGTGACGAGGTCAGGCCAGCCTGCTCCCGATGTGCCGAGCGCGGCCTAGACTGCTGCTATGAGGCCGTCAGGCCACGCCAGCGGAGGAAGAGGGACTCGGTGGCCTCGTTTACATCCTCGAGAATTACGACTCCGTTCGACCGGAAGCCATCTTTCGCATCCACCCGCCGCTGGTCTGTCGGAAGTGCTGGCAGCAGTCGCCACAACTGGTATCTTCAACATCATGGCGACGCCGAGGCCGATGTGCCTCTAGTCAGCCCTCTCGGCGGCTCCTTTGACCCCATGTCACTGAGCCGTTTTCTGGACCTGAATCGCTCCCCTGTAGCCTCGGCCACCCACGCGGCAGCTATCGACCTTGATGACGATGACGACGACGACGACGACAACAACAACAACAACGACGACGACGACAACGGCAATGAGGGTCACACCTCCGATGCCTCGTCCACCACGACTAGCCAGGCGGTAACGCACATCTCGAGACCTCCGGATCTGGCCATGATCGCACCATGTCCGGTGGGCTCACCGCTGTTGGACTTTCGCATGCCCGCTTTCTCAGAATTTTCAGATCGCAAGAACCGTCGCGCCCTTGTCGCCCACTTCTGCAACCAGCTCAGCCATCTCATCGTGTTCAGGGAGGAGACGGGCAACCCGTTCCAGGAGCTCGTTCTGCCCCTGACAGCTGACCAGTCCCCCGTGATGAATGCCATTTATGCCCTATCCAGCGCGCACCTCGAGTATAGGGGGGTCAAGAACCAGGAGCAGTCTCTCCACTTCCATAACGAGGCCATCCAAGGGCTGGCGACCATGATCAACCACGGCATGAAAACGCCCACCAAGAGAAATGAGCTCCTGGCCGCCATCATGCTATTAGTATATTATGAAGTGGTATGCCACCCATCCACCCACTTAGAGTGTGCACGGTGCGTATGTGTTTGTGTGTGTGTGTGTGTGTGTGTTGCTGACTTGTCGGGCAGCTTGTTCAGAGGGGCCGATCCAATCTCGTGGATGGCCATTTGAAAGGTGCAATGACGATTATGAACTCGTATCCGGCAGCGAACGACGCCACAGGATTGTTTCTGGAAAGAGTATGCTTTGATCTATCTATATGACTAGTCGTCCTCGCTATTCAGGCATCTGTGGACACACACTCACTGACGCGCGGATGCAGGCCTTCCGATTTTACGACGTGATTGCGGCCTTGTCGTTTGGCACGGCGCCGTTATCGCAGGCTCCAGGGAGGAGCTGCCTGCCACCACTGCCACCTACGGGACTTTCGGGGGGCAGGTCGCCACTGAGCTCGGTCGATACCCTGCTCGGCATGTCTACCTCCCTCTGGCCTATTATCCACCGGCTGTCCAAGCTCTCGTCCGACAAGAGGGACTTGGAGACGGCGTGCAAGAGCAAGCAGCCCTCGTCCATGATTGCGGTCCTGAAGACGGAGTTTGAGACAAACTCACGCGCCATCGAGAGGGAGCTGGAGACATGGCAGCCCACGCTACCGCCAGGTTTCAGCCCAGACGACCCGCCATCGCCTGAGACCGAAGAGAAGAGGCATGATACAGAGACGGCAGAGAGGTCTCGCCTGCATTCTATTTTCAACAATGCCATGGCCTACCGCCACAGCTGTTTCGTCTACCTGTACCACACGATCTATGGGTATCCCCGCACACATCCTTTAGTCCAGAGCCACGGCCACACCTCACTCTGGCACTGCCTGCAGACATGCTCCCATGCAGGGCCGATGGGTGCGCTGCTGTGGCCGCTCTTCGTGGCCTCGTGTGAGGCTGTGACGGAGCGAGATCGCAAGCTGGCGACCGACTCGTTCAAGCTGGTGGAGAAGAGGCAAGGGATGCTCAACATCAAGTGGGCGTGGGACATTGTGCAGGAGGTCTGGCGCCTGGCGGACCTGATGGAGGAAAAGGATGGCGGTGGCGCCACGCAGGTGGAGGACGTGATGAGTGTCTCTGGGTATGCCTCTGCACCAGACCTGTGGAGGCAGGTCAGCAAGCAGATGGGCATCAGCATTGTGTTTGGTTGAGAAAGCATGTCCCCCAAGGGACAAAGGAAAGAGCATGGTAAGAATGATATTTGCTTGCTACCTTTGAATTGTTGAATATACCACCCTATCTTCTTGGCTGGGAGATCATACCCGCCAGGTCCTTGGGGAAAATAATCTACGCGATTTATGGATGGCCTGTCATGGAGTGAACAAGTCACCATTCGTCCTTTTACCTTGAGAGGTGAATCTAATTGGGACTGAGGCCCGTCTTTGCAGTACTATTATTGATACTACAATACACTATTGTGCAATAGCCGGGTCCTTACAGACGGAAGCAACCGAGATTGTGGGGTAAAAGAGGCCCCGAGCGTCTTGGGGGGCCCTTGTAAGGCCGGTGCACAAGCCTGACGGTTGCACTGCTACTACTGTGGTATTGAGGTACAAAGCCCTAGACACACCGAGTGGAATGAATTCCTGGCCTGTCACGCCTGTGCAACCTGTGTGCAGGGCTCAAGGCCCTAAATCAGCCACTGTGCCTCCCCCAACCCCCCTAATCCACCTCCTCTTAACTCCTGTCCTTCACCCATCCCCATTTCCCCTAGCAACAGCCCGCCCCTACAGCAAAACCAACCAGTCTCTTGTGCATGAACGAGCCTCCCCCCTTCTTCCTTTTTTTCTCCCTTTTCTTTTTTTCTTTCTTTCCCAGGGGTCTGGTTGAGAGCGTGCCCTGTGCTGCCAGGATGTGGTTTACTCCAATCGTTAGTTACCCTTTATGTTATAATTCGTCAACCAATGATACGACTTGCCATCATGACATTGTAAACCTATGTGGTACTGTAAAAATGGCAACCGAAACTGCAGGCAGAGGCACTTGGCCAAGGCAGGCGTGGGATTGATGGAGCAAGGCAGCCAGCAGGGATCCTCAATGGGCCCCTTCCATTTTGGGAGAGGCCCGCACAGAGAAAGAGAGACACACACGCGCCTGCAAAGACAGGGGCAGGCACAAAGGCACACCTCGCGAACCTCGACCATAGCAGGCCAGGCGAATCAATTCTACATACAGCACTGCTTACTTGGTTACTTTTTCTGCCTTCTCCCTGGTCCTGGGTCCTGCGTGTGTGTGCCTTGACCGAAAAAAAAAAAAAAAAAAAAAAAAAAAAAAAGGGGGGGGGGGGGTCTTTTGCTCTGCTACTCATTTTTCTCGGTGTTCTTGTTTTTCTTGCAGCCCGCCATCATTGAGCTATTTTCTTCCCTTCTTCTTCATTTCTTCTTCTCTTCAACGGTTGGCTCCTCCAAAATGCAACGTACACAACAGAATGATCGATTGAAGGAATGATTGGGTGTGTGCATATTGACCCAGGTACGAGCCCAGCCAGCGACCCAGATTGAATGCGCCATTTCGTCACGCATATGCATATATACTTATCTATATATGGACCTCCAGACACAACGACCGTTAGCACGCACGCTATCCAGCTCTTGCTTCCCCCTCCCTCTCGCTCTCTCCCTCTCACCACTATAGAGAGCCATAAGACAAACCATCCAAAGTTTCCTGGTTCCAGCTCTAGCGCCTTGCAAGGCAGTACAATATGGTAAAGATGACACCAAGGTTTCACCTCGTTCACAACCCGCTTTGACAGCTTTTGCTGTTGAACGGTGTGTCAGTGACAACATCCTCGTCTACAACAACAGTCAGCAACAACATTACCAACTCGGCCCTATTGCACGGTTCAAGCCCAGAGAGCCCTTCAACAGAAGAGAAATACTGCCCAAGAAGACGAAGAGACGCAAAGAAATCTTCACTCCCTGCCTCCCTCTTCCCCCCTGGTCCATTAATATTCAGCCCAGCATACGTTCACAGCTCCGACGTCGATCCCACCAGAGGAACAGGTTCCCCCGCACCTCAAGGTTCCATCCCACCGCGCTACAACAACACATTTGCCGACGGGCCAAGCTGAGCGAACCACGCACTCACTCACTACTCGCGCGCGCTGTCTCTCTTTTCCGCTCCGCTGCTGCGCACTGCGCCGCCTCTGCAGTGGCACCCCCCCCCCCTCGGACCATCATCGTCTGGGGTGTCATTTGGAGCCTTGTCTTTTTTTTTTGTCTTCTCTCTCCACCTTTCGTATACAGTCTCTTGTAATACAAGGTTTGCGCGCGCCTTGCTGCCCTCCCTTTTTCGGATCTGATTCACGACCCACCAGCTTTTCCTGCTACTGCTTGCTGTCCTCGATGTGAGCACCGCCCGGGCCACGCGTGATGGCGACTCTATCCGGTGGCGCACTGCCACCGCCGAAACAAATTCGCTTTGTGAACAATCAGGGCCAACCGCCATCCAAGAGACGTCGGGTCAATGCTGCGTAAGTGCCACATCCACTCCTCTGCTTTCTTCCCCGTCATATCTGACAGCAGCGGGCTGTCGCGTCATCCCGCCCCGTGCGTGACGCTCCGGGCGGGCTGTGTGGGGACGGAGGACCGTATGCGACTGAGAGCGCACGGAGTGCTACAGCTGCCTGCTGTCACCGCGCATGATCCATCTACATCTCCAGAAAATAAGCAATACTGACCGCATGCCTTATTGCAACACAGTTGTCTTACTTGTCGCAAGCGCAAGACGAGGTGCGATGGAGAGAAGCCGATCTGCTCGGCCTGCGAAAAGAACGGGCACCAGTGCCTCGGATACCCTGACGTGCCCGAAAAGACGACCAAGCAGGAGTCGACAAATAACTCTGGGAAGCCCGGGCCAGGAAAGGTAAAATATGAAGTTGCAGTCGACTCGGATGACGGCGGGCTGGAGGAAATGGTCAAGACCGAAGAGAAGGCCCACCAGAGGAAACAGGACGGAGGTCGCAAGCCGAGCACCTCGGGTCGGCAACAGAGTGATACCGCATCGACGTCGAGTGGACCGACGCCGCGGACGAAAAAGGAGAGTCACGAGTGGGAGGGCGAGTCCTCGGCATCCCAGACGCCTGGCAGATCTGCTGCAAAGAGGTTCTCGAGTCACCGGACAGTATCATTCTCGGAAGACGGCCGGAGTTCCAACAACCGCTCACCTGTTCCACATCGCCACGACTCGCACAGGGTGCCCTACTTCCGCTACTTTGGGCCCACCGCCATCGTGCCTGGGCTCAAGCAGATGGTCGTGAATGTAGGGCCCTACAGTCGGCGGCGCAGCAGTCGGGGTTCCATGTCGGCCACGTCGCCTCTCTCGCTGTTCAGCCACCGCAGTGCACCTTCACATGCCGACACCGTCCTCGAGCCGTTTGACGACCTGCCAGTCTACGACCCCAATGACCATGCGCCAGTCCCCCCGCTCATCACCGGTCTGGTCGAGATCTTCTTCCTGCACCTGGGCTGCATCCATCCCTTCCTGCGCGGGGAGAAGATCATCCGCCTGGTCAAGGAGAAGAAGGTCGATTCCATCCTCGTCGATGCCATGTGCGCCCTGGCCGCTCGGTTCGCCAACTTTGATAAGCTGCCCGGCGCCGCGGAAGGCTCGCGAGCCGAGTATGGCCATGTTTTTGCCCAGAGGGCCAAGGCTGCAACGGTGGATACCTTTCCCTGCCCGACAGTCGGTGCTGTGCAGGCCTACCTGCTGTTGGCGTACGAGGGCTTCGGGGCCAACCAGGACAGCGCTTTGTGGATGTACCTCGGACTAGCGATCCGCATGGCCTTCGACATGGGCCTGCAGAAGAACGAGGGGGTGCAGTACCAAGGAGACAAGGATCCCTGGTACACTGGGTCTTGGAACCGCCTCAGCAACGATGAAGAGGACGAGGGCTCGCCGGTTGCCGAGGATGAGAAGCTGAGCCCACAGGAGCAGCAGGAGATCGTGCAGGAACGTATCGACACGGCCTGGGCCGTCTACATTCTGGATCGTGTCATCTCTACCGGGACGGGTCGCACCGTCACTGTGAGGGACGATGAATTCGAACTGCCTATCCCCGAACCGGCCGTCGACTTGTCGACAGGCCTGCCAGCACCGTATCCATTATTCGCCCACATCATTCAGCTGTACGGCCGCGCGTCGGATGTTCTCAACAAGCTCAGGAAGGTGTCTGATCTGACCGGGGAAAAGCTCGCCATGCTTGCCAAGATCGAGCGCGACCTCATCGGCGTCTATGAAAAGCAGGACCCGCGGTTGCAGTTCAACCCGCTGCATTTCAGCAATTATGCCAAGAACGGGCAGGGGACGCTCTTCATCCTCCTCCATGTCTGGTTCCATGCCTGTATCATCATCCTCCACCAGCCACTGCTCACGCCCTTTGGCAGCCGAGACCACCAGCTCACGGCTGGCAGTCGCGAGCTGGCCATGTCCAGCGCCAAGTCGATCGCCGACATGCTCGCCCTCGCCGAGGTCATCGATCCCAACAGCTACAGGACCAGCCCCTTCACGTCGCAGCCCATGTACATCGCCGCCTGCGCGTTCCTGACGGAACTGGCAGCACAGTCCTCGCTGCCTGCCTCGCGAGCTACGTCACCGACGCCGGGCCGGCAGAATGGGGGCTCCGCATCGGGTACTGATGCGGCCGGCATGAAAGTGAAGTGCACTACGGAGGCGCCGTCGAAGCACTCGCTGCTGGCCGAGAAGTCAAACGAGAACTACCGGCGCTGCTACAAGAGCCTGCAGCAGTTACAAGATCACTGGGGCGGTGTCAAATACATCCTCAATGCTCTGGATCATCGATCAAAGGGTGTCTGGGACTGTGAGACGTATACTGCCGAAGAGTATGCCAGCACGAAACTGGCGCGGCGGCCTGCCTCGTTGGCTGCTTTTCCCCGCTCTGACACCCCGGCCTCGCCGCCGCCGAACATCGATCTCATGGCCTGGTCGCTGACGGGAACGACAAACACGTCCAACTCGACGCTCGTCCGGCTCTATCAAAACGTCAACAAGAACGGTGGTCCATCCCAGACCTCGCAGTTCCCTCCCCTGCAGCCTCCTGCCCCTCCTCCGGTGTCAGCCCCGACCCCGCCAGGGAACTGGAGGTTTGATCCGGTCCGCCAGAGCCTACCGGAGAGCACGGCTCCGCTCACGCCTGCCATCCCTCAACCCGTCGTCTCTGCCGTTCGATATTCTATGGGTCCTTCTCCTCAAGCCACCAGCAGCGCCCGGGGCGCGACCAAATTCGAGGCTGTGTATTCTGCCGAAGCAACTCCCGGCACGCCGGGAAGCGAGAACCGGCTCCAGGTCCTCTCAGGAATCGCGAGTGGCAACCCCGTCCTGCCCTCGATCCACCAACAGCCATTCACGCCGTCGTCCAACTACGAGCCGTCAGTGCTCCAGGGGGCTTCGCCGTCCAGCTCCCTCGCGGAACCCAATCCATCATCATCATCATCGTCACACCAGCAGCGGGCGAATGCAAACCACAGCAGTGTCGCGGCCGCGGAGATGATCAACCACTACGGTCACGAATTTGCGCAGAACGGCATGGCATCTGGGTCGTTCTCGTACATGGGCGGCAGCGGCTCTATTGCCGACGCCATCATGGTCGAGCAGGTCGACCTTGGATCGATGCAGCTGCCGACTGACATGTTCGCACCTTGGGATCTCTTTCCTGGCGCCAACTTTGCCGATGTGTTCGACGCGAGTGGGATGGGTGGTGATACGGAAGGTCAAGGACAGATTTGACCCTCAAGTGTCTCTTGTCTTTTTCTTGTCCAGCAGGGCGGCAATCTTCTCTTTGGAAACAAAAGCAAATTGGACCGCATGCATTGTGGGGGCGTTTTCTTTTTTTTCTTGGAATGATTGATGAGATGACCTTCATGATGATCCCCTTTCTATTTATCTACCAGCGTGCATCTATCTATCCGATGCACGAAGACGGAAGTTCTTTTCTATGCCCTTTGGCTTAGACCGCAGTATTTCTCAAGACAGCCTTTCCAACTTGCCTTCTACAACACGATATGAATAATTCACTTTTTTGGACATCACCGCTGGGAGCAAAGAGGGGGGGGGGGGGCAAGGGAATGCGAGGAATCGAAAGAAAAAATAAAGAATCTTGGGCATGGAAATATACAGGCGGCAGGCCCCCAGCGAGAAGGAAGCTGGCCTTGTGTGGGTTTTACTAGATTCTCCTCCATGGCTTGGTGTTGGAGGGTGTGGGTGGCAAGGGCTCTGCTTGAGGAGAAAGAGCAGGCTGGATTCCAAAGGTGTCTGGTGTGTCACATCAGATTTTCACTCTCGTGTGGATAATTATCTTGCTATGATCTCACGGCCACGCAAATGCATCAATTATCATCGACTGTCCTGTCATTTCTCATTACGATGAAATTGGGGCTCAGAATCAAAATGATAAAATTCTTCCCAAAGCAATCTGGTATCAGTCTCTCAGGAACATGGCGACCCTTGGCTGATTACATTGATTTTTTATTCGTCGTCCCTTGGTCCCTCTCTGTCTCCTTTCTTCATCGTCCTCACTCCCGTCCAGGCAGAACCGATCCCGCCTCCCCACTCGCATTCCGGTTGCCCAGCGCAGAGTGTGTAGGGTGTGGGTTCGTCCCTGGGAAATTATTGCCCGTCTCCGCTGCCGCCGCCGCCGCCGCCGCCTCGGTCAAATTCGCCTGCTCCTCCTCTCCTCCCGCCGCCGTGGTGAAATCTTCCCGCGGCCAATGGTTTGGCGGTAGCCCTGTTGCGCCGACAGGTTGGCGCGGGTGGTGATGGCCTGCGCGGGGCTGCTGGTGCTGGTGCTGGTGCTCCCCAGCAGCGCCAGCGGCTGCAGCGGGCTCGGGGCGGTCTGTGCCTGTGACGTTGGGCTCATCGCCTAGGGCGGCGGTGGTCTCGGCGTTGGCGTGGAGGTCGCCTTCGGTGCGCTGGGCGGTCACGGTGTTGTCGGCGGTGGTGGTGGTGCTGTGGTGGAGGACCTTTTTGATGGCGTCCATTTTTGTGTTGTTTTATTTTTATAGTTGATTTTGTTTGCTTTGTGAAGGAGAAAAGTTTCAAGGTTTCTTTTTTGCACTTTCGATTTGAGGAATCTTCTCCTTGGGTTTTTCCTTTGAGTGTGGTCAAGATGATTTGGGGATTTTTTTTGGGGGAAGAGAGGCGAGAAAAGAGGAGGAGGAGGAGGGTGGTTTGTATATTTCTATATTTCTTGCCTTTCCAAACGCCGTGCTCTTTTACACAATGAGAGGAGAGGGTCACGTCACTTTTCTACGCCATCACCCATCATGTCATAATAATGGGGCATAGACCAGGGAGGGGGAGGGACCCTGGAAATCCGGGGAAGTGGGCGGGCTTTGCTGAACACAGAACGGGATCTGCACGGTAAGTGTTGGTGTTCTTTTGTTCACACAAAAAGTGACTGTTGTCGATGAGGGAAGAGGCAACCAGGCAATGAACCACCTTCTCTGAGTGGCAGGCGGGTCTTCTTCATGTGGTGTGTGGTTGATGGTGGGATGACGTCGGTCCGTCGGTCTTTTGGCTTGGGTCTGCTTGCTGTTGTTTGCCCGGAACGCCTTGTTTGTGGAGAATGCATGCATTCATTGTTGCAGTCGGGTGTGGCTGTGTCCATAGTTATAGTCCAAAAACCCCCACGGTCACCTTTAACATCCATATAGCCAGGGGAGGGGGGCAGGCAAACGATTTGGAGGGGATAGGGTAGATAGAGAAGTGATGTTGCAGGAAAATAGAAAATAAGGGAAAACTCAAAGCCAGGTTTTGGCGCTCACACCTGGTCTGTGGTATATCATGCATGTTGGTCCATATATCATTCTGTAAATTATCATCCTGTGCTTGATACAGATCAAGTAGATTGTGAAAGCTTTATGGTACAATAATTTTGTTTTAATATGCAAGAAGAGGAGGCAAGAAAGAGCGAAGTTTTTCACATTCTCTTGAAAAGTCTCCCTATCTAGGGAAGACCAAATGTGACCAAGACTGGTACAAAGTATCAGCCTATTGAATCAGCACAACAAGGATCTCTTTCCATTTTGCCACGTACTCACTCATCTGCTTTGCCATGACGTTATTGAATCAACAGCTTAAAGAGATAATATCAAGTAACTGTGAATCTGGCGTCATGTTGGATCAAACACAGGGGTGGTTGGCCCAGCGGGCTTGCAATGTATACGACCAACTGAGAGAAAAAGGGACTCTGATGATTCTCCCCTTGCGCGCACTTGACATTGACCAATGATAATTACCTCTAACATTTTGTCAGCAGAGATTATGCCTTGTCAAAGAGCCATCAGTCATATAAATCAAAACGGAAGAGGAGAGCGTCTCACGGTAATTGAGCCTCGTAATGTGCGTGATCCGCCATAAAACTACAAGAGTGTGTTCACCCTAATACTGACTTCTTCCCCAACGTCCTGCACAAAATCAAAACAGAACCCTCATGGCTCTATATTTTTTTTCTGTTGCGTACCGACGCGCTGCCATTTACTGTCTGAAATCGTGGATGCCGATCGAGCGGCGGGGATTGGGTTCGGCCGGCGCGCCCATGAACGTCGTGCCACCCGTACCGGTAATAGTATAAGGGCATATTCCGGGGACATGGCCCTTGTCGGCTTCTGTTGTGATGTTCGCTTCCGTGCTCATAATGGTAAGAGTTACCGTGGTGGCGCTACTAAACTCGGTGTTGGATGTTGGTGTTGGGTGGCTTAACGGGGGTGCAAGAGGGCGGGGCTTGGGCGCCCATGAATGTGTTGGGGCCAGTACCAAGTGGATGATAAGGAGAACCTTGGGGGGACATCGTATTTTACTGTGTCTTGTTATTCTGCTACGGTTGGTTCTGTTACAAAGGGGGGAGGGGGTTATTTGGATTTGACGACGGGGGGGGGGGGGGATTTTGTGCTGGCCGGTTTGACAAGTGGCTGCGTATAGATATGGATAGACTCATATCACGGACTTGAGATACATTGTGTGTAAGAGATCAGTGTGTATGGATAACAAGACACAAGACTTGTAGGGTTGTACCACAAAAGTGTATCTTGGTGTTTGTCAGAGGATTGCACCATTTCTTGGGCCATGCTGGGAAGGGCCGTACACCTCGGGTTACGAAAGTCAGTAAGCCCACACACAGATGGATGGGCACAAGAGAGCAATGGCTCACGGACCAGAATAGCTTCTTCGATTTCAAAATGAGGAGGAGTAATACAGTTTTTTGGTGATGTAATAATTGCATCTGGCTTTTGGGACTGCATATCAAAGTCTGAAAAACACTTGGTCATCGCATAGGCATCTCTTATCAGGAGTAAAAACAGTGTGCAAAACATGACAGCTATAGGCCGGAGTCTTCACAGTAGATTGTGAGAGTGTTGATAGAGTCAGAGAGACTGCAGTCTGACAGCTTTTCTGCGTTTCCACCTGAACGTCCAAGACAGTAAAGAGCAGATATCTACATCTGTCCTGCGGAATAATCCCCAGAAGCAGCAAGTGTTACATAGAACAACTTGGTCTCTGCACAAATCACCAGCCGGCCGTCACCAGCAAACTGGAAGTTGGCTGACGTGTCGCCCAGGTAGATCTTGCCCAGGAGCTTCCCTGAGGGGTTCCAGACATGAACGCCATCTCCACAGCCAGCATAAACGTTTCCGACCGAGTCGACGTGGACCCCGTCGGGGACACCAGAGTCGACAAAGGCAAAGATCTTGCGGTTGTCCCACGTGCCATCGGATTGGATGTCGAATCGGTATCTGTGGCGGACATTAGCGCGGGGTGGTCTTGCTGGGTAAATCAACAACACAATGAATGTTCGGTCGCAAGCTTACATGGAGGCTGGGTTGGAAAAGTTGTAGCCCCAGAAACCTTCATTGATGCCCGTGTCCGTGACATATCCATATTTACCATCAGGAGAGATGGTGATACCTAAATGTGTAAGAAACCACCACGGTCAGTTTTCAAAATCCTTCGCCATGCCAGACCATTTCCGTGCGAGGATAAATGAAGCATACGAACCATTTGGAAGCACGAAATCATCAGCAACAACAGTGACGGCGCCCGTCGAATCATTCCAGCGATACACCTGGTTCCGCAGGCCAGGAGGCGGCCTGAAGTCTTGCAGGTACCCGTACAGCGTGTCTGTAAAGTAGAGGTCTTTGCTGATGGGGTGGACGACGGCATCGTTGAGCGAGTTGAACTGGCGGCCGAAGTAGTTGTTCAGGAGGACCGTTGTGTTGTATGGCTCCCTAGGGTTCATGAGAATGACCTCTGAGGTGTTGCTGGCTCCGGCTCCCTCGGCCATGTACACGATCTGGCCTCTGTAATTGGTAGCTCCTGTAGATATAAGTCAGTCACGGCCCTTTCTTGATGATCTGTTCTTGTGTGGAGGATCTTCACGGCATAGTGATGGGTAGGAAAAACAGGCAGACCGACCATTGGGATTGATGACCATTGGGTTTGACGGGACGACAGTGACCGTCACCTGCCCAGTCGCATTGGTCAGGTTCTTCAACGCGTCCACCTGGGCGAGAGAGATCTTCTGGATGATACTAGACTTATTGAGTCCAGTCCCTGCTGCCGCGGCACCCGCATTCTGCGCGAAGAAGACCTCATCTGTCGGCTCGTACCTGCGCTACCTCAGTACTTGGTTCCATCCATACATACAGTACCTAGATACATCACCACAAGACTGGTCCACAGAAGGAGCAGGAGCAAGAGGAGAAGACATACCACACAACAGCCTCGTGGAAGAGAGGATCCGTTGCTTGCTCCGCAATGAGCGTCAATGTCGGATTCTGACCTATCACTGACAAGAAGTCCTCATCATAGACGTGGAATGGCTTGGCCGAAAGGTCGGCTGCAGATATTCCGGGCGGCATAAACGTCTGAGTGCCGTTGGCAACGGTGGATGGTGGGACAGCGGTTGGCCAGACTGCAAGAGCGTGCGCGCCAAGTCAGAAGCTGAACGTCCCAAAAGACTCCTCCAATAGAGTATGAGGGGAATTCATCGTGCAAGTACTGATCAACTTACCATTGAAGCTTCTCTGGTCAATCACCTGAGCCTGTGCAGGCAGAGTCTGCTGCGCGTTCGCAGTAACCGCCTTCGGGTTCAGCAGCCATTGCACATTAACAGCAGCCAGCACGGCCAAAGTCGGCAACGAGATCATCCAAGCCATTGTGCGAAATTGGTTCTCCTTGGGCTCTCCTCGTCCCTTCTCGGATTTCTCTGGCGAGCCCGTCCCTCTTATGGAAAGAGGAGACTTGTGCGGGGTGCCCGCTGCCGTCGTCTCCATCGTCAAGGGGCTGGTTCGCGTCAGTCGTCGCCCAACGCCGCCAAGATTTACCGAATTGATGTTACACTGGCTACTACTCCAAAAAAGGCGGTAATGATATCATGTACCTTGCGGTGCCCTGAAAGTCCCCAGCTTTATTCCCCAAATAATTGATTATAGCCTGAAGTCAAGTGTGAAGAGGAGCCACTGGGCCAAGGCCGGATGCGGAACCCTGTACTCGGCGAGCCAAGGGAAAGTTGATGGGTTTTATGCTTTTTTTTTCTTGGTTGGGTTGATTAGACATGCAATATGATCAGCGCGGTGTGTCGAGGCCGATCTGCGGCTCGGCATCTGGGCAGTGAGTTGCTTGGCAGGAGAACCGAACAACTAACAAAAAAGCCTCTTTCTTCCGGGCCCTTGTAAATCCCCTTTCCCAGCCTCCGATCTCGAAAATCATTACATCTTTGAATAGCTTCGAAATGCAAATCCTAAGACACGTGATTGCACGACTTCTCCAAAGCAGCAGTCGGCACAAAGACAGTAGTAAGCTGTACTCATAGAATCCAATGTTGAAATGGATGTTCATGTTACAGCTGAACCTACAATAGCATACCGGCCTTTGCAACAGAGTGACCTAATACTTAGTAAATATTGTACTATAATGTCGCAGCTGCACGACTTTTCAAGATTTGGCAAAGTATTTACTCAGAGTCTCAATTGACCAAGGTCGTCACAATATCCAGATTCATTTGCGTTGCGATGGTGTGCTCTCTAAATGCAGCTGCTCAACGCCTGTTTGGTGTCCGATTTTCGGAAAGCCAAGGAAAGGCCTAGCATACGAATTCTCTTATGGATGTATACGGTGCCACAGTACTTGATATCGCTTCCTCAACGGATGAATAAACTTTTGCTTCGAAATTACCCATTTCTGATGTGGTCGAGGTTACACATTTACATAAGTAAGTCCTTTAGGGATGTACTTTTTCTTCTTCCGTACAATTAAAGCCCTGGATGGATGGCTTTCATGCAGAACTGATCCTCCACTCGCAAAAGTGCATGGCCAATCTCTGTTGGGCCGGATATCCCCACATCACCAGAAGGTCAATTAGAGGCTCAATTCCCTCCTTTCTAGGACCTTGGTAGTGAAAGCGCCTTCAAATAGTATCAGATATGGCAAACTACATCACTAATACTTCTGCTATATATATTCCTAATTTTCTGATCCAAGAATCCGACCCATGTCTAGCCAGAAAGAGGCGACTGAAATGTCCTTGGATATTTGAGCCATGGAAGCTCCTGAACAATTTGTGTTCTTGGTTGACTATTTCTTGGCTGAATCCTCAGCAGTGAAAGACTCTTTCAAATTCTTTTCAGTAATCGATACTTATTCTTTGAGTTCCAAGCTCAATATAGATGACAGATACTTACCGATACAATCCATCACAGCACGCCCTTCCGCAAAGATTACCACTATCTTGCTCAGCTCAAAAGACCTATCAATTGATATCACCTTGAAATATACCATGAATCCATGAATTGTTACTGTGAAAGGCCATTGCCAATTCCATGTCATCATCATCCAGTGGAGTGGCTTTGCACTGAGTGCCTGGCGAATGCAGTCCAATTCTTGTTCCCATCTTCAAATTAACCAAATATTCTCAACAAACTCGTCCAGTCTTCTTCACTAGATGGCCTTGTTGTAAGTGCTATTCTCAGTCTTAGATGGTAACCTGATTTCTGTCAGAGGATTGATGTTTAAAGGCGCTGCCGGCAGGTGGCCCTCCACCAACTCCAAGCTTATCTTCACTTCTGAGATGGCACTGAGTTGACTTCATCTGCTATGCACTTCATGCACCTTGATAGATCTATTGCTTCAGTCCACTTTACAGTTACTGCCTTGGCCTTTGCATAATAAGCTATAAGAAGCAAGCTGCTCACTGCTGAGAGCAATAGAGATGTTGATGTTAATGAACAAGCGACGTCATGAGGCTTGCTTTCTCTCTCTGCCCCACGGCCTCCTAAGATGTTAGACCTGTGAACAATTTCTACTCCTTTTCGGGAACGAATAGTGGTTCTTCTAGACAAGCCCGATTCCTAGCTTGGGCTTGTGAGACGCACCACGGGAATGTTGAATATCGACTTCATATTTGAAACCAAAGCAGGCATCATGATGTCCACATTTTCTATGCCAACTTTGTTGATATCATTTGCAGCAGTAGTAATTCCAATCCTGCCACTGCAGCTGTTTCCACTCCCATATGCCTTTTCCTACCGTCTCGAGAAAGAAGACGTGGTCTTTTTCTGGACCTTGGCAGGCGGTGCGGTTTCAGCCTCACTCTCGTCCTCCTCCTCCTCCGCCGAGTCGTCCTCGATATCGTCATGGTCGACGTCGTCCTCATCCAATTCTTCCTCTGCAAAGTCGTCTACGTCCATATCATCCTGCTCCTCGTCGTCCGAGTCTTCCTCCGAGTCAGAAGCAAATCCGTTCGTGACAAGAAGGTCGTCGTCGTCGTCGTCTTTCCGCCGTGAGACGCCATTCGACAGCGGTTCGTCCTCCTGGCCCTCCACATAGACGATACCTTCTTCGCCTTCGTCCTCTTCGTCACTGCTATCAGCTGTAGCAGCGCCACGGGACTTGTTCCCCCGGCGTAGAGTCATCTGCGCCTCCAACATATCCAGCTTGCCCTTCAGTGCCAACAAGCTGTTCAGACCTCTTGACCTCTCCTCGAGGACCTGGTTCAGCTCTGACAGCCGTCTCTGGATCTCCGGCTGCGTGGCCAGCGCGCCGCCGTGTGCAATCAGCGTCCACTGCACAAAGGACATGAGGTTGTGTGCGCGGCCGGGTCTCCTGTGCAGCCGCGAGGCAAGCTGCATGAGGAGTGCGCCGGCCAGGCTAGAGTCGAGACGCTGGATGGTGTTGCGGATGACGGTGGTGTCGGAGATCTGGAGGCAGGACTCGAGGAGGTCTGCGTCGTCGGTGCGCAAAGCCTGTGCCAAGACAGTGCCGAGCGAAGTGGCGGAGGGTGCGGCTATTTGGCGGGGAGGTGCGGTCACGAGCGCGCTGCTCGTCTGGTGGTTGGGGCCTTGGGTGGCAGCGGCGACGTCGACGGTCTCGTGGTTGCGAATGAGGTCGCCAAAGGTAGGTTCCGCGTCTTCTTCGTCGTCAACGCCTTCTTCCTTCATCTCGGTGTCTGCACCTTTGCCGTTCACCTGCGCAACTGTCTCTGATTGTTGTGCCGTCTGTTCATCGTCCTCGAGGTCGGACGAGTCGTCGTAGTTGCTCGCGGAATCGCTGGAGATCTCGATGGGCTCAACCTCTTTTGAAGAGGAAGGGTGGAGACGGCCTGAGGCTGAGACAGCCGTCCTGCTCTCGTCCACTATGGTCGCATTGGGTTGTTTGGCACCATGTTGCACGGGCTTCGCGACCGCTGCCAACTTTCTCTTGCCCATTTGATGTGTTTTGGCGGCAGGAGAGGGTGGGAAGAAGATGAAGTTGCGTTAGTTAGGGATAAATCAGAGTAGCGGACGCAAACAATATGTTGGGGGCCAGGCAGAGTTCGCCAGGAGGGGGTTGTGGTGTGGAAACTTTGAAAAATCTGAATTGGTAGGACTGCAATGTGCAGAGGCTGACGAGGAACTTTTCTGTAACTTTTTTTTTTTCTGCCGTTCTGATTTTAGTACCGACTTCCCTGGAGATTGGGCGACGGTGGTCCAAGCGTCGAGAACCCTGAGCAGACCCTGTTGGTCCTTCAGCAGGTACCAAAGATGAGTACCTTGACACTTGAAGTACGGAGTACTTGTCAAGGAAGGAAGGTACATAGTACTGCATCAGATCTTCACATGCAGGTATGGATGGAAATTATCTTGTACTGTAGAGTCCATCATCTCTCCATCATGGCCATTCCAGAAAGAAAGAAAAAAGCACTGTTACTGATCTCTGGTTAGGCAGCAGTGCCCTCACCTGTCCACCGTGCCCAGTGCAACCTAGGGAAACTGACGCGACCATGCAACGGAAAGCGAGCAGTAATACATTGACTAGTCTCCAGAAGCATGATTCAGTCTCACGAGTCGCCATTCGGAGTGTGTTGCTTTTGCGATCAGCTGGTATAGCGATTGAGTGAGGTTGCACGTATATTAAAAGAAAATCGAGTGCGGTCATACTCTAAACGGTTTTGCGCGCTAGATAATTCCTAAAGCCACGAAACGCATCTGAGTAGAGGAAAAACAACGGACAACTCGACTCGGCTGGCTCTCGTGCCGTGGACTGTGACAAGCTGGCAGCCTGTCTTGCTTTTTCCGTTTGCCTTCTGCTTTTTCTGGAAATTAATGAATGAACGGAAAGGAAAGGAAAGAGATATCAAGTGCGCCAGGAGATGCGGACAGACCAAGCTCGGGGCGTGCCTCGTGCTTTGCCTACTGCGGGTCGTCCTGTGCTGCCCCGACTCGTCCGTCGTCGTCCGTCGTCGTCCGTCGTCGTCTGAGATCTTATCAGACTGCTGCTGTAATTATGTTGAGACCTCTAAGTTAGTACGTTAGCTAGAAAGCAGAGTTCCGAGTCGTTGCATTCGCACTACGCTAGGGACGAGAGCGATGAGGACAAGTAGAGAGGTAGAGGAGAGGGAAAAAAAGACTGGCCCTAGTTGGGAACAGCAGTTTCTGAAGGATGAGTCGGACTCGTCTCTGGGAGAAGCAGTTGCTTGCAGGGGCTATCCTTTCTCTGCTCAGAGCCGGCCCAGATCCATCCAACCAGAAGCATCCATTTGGAGACAGCCCCGGACGAGCCTGCTCATGGCTTTCCGGTGTTCGATTACCCCTCATCCCCTTTCAGGTTAGCACAATACTGGCGCTAGCTGATTCTGCGCTGCTGTTGAGATAAATACCATCCGCCTTCCGACTATCGCCCAGAGATGTGGGTAGCGACCCTTGAGCATTTTTGGTCTTAAAAACCTCGGTACCCTCCTGTTCTTCCCAACCCCGGCACTCGACACTACCGTCCGACCTTTGCAGCACAGCAACATACCATTCGAGTTACTTTTTGTAATTTTTTCTTTTGTCTTTCTCTCAAGTCGTACACTCTACATCTTCGGTACGTAGTCTCACTTTTTTCTTCTAAATTCTCTCCCTTCCATCTCCTGTGATCCCTGTCTCTGCATGCACTAGCTCTGGCCCCTGCCCCTGCTGCACCCAATCCCAGCGTTGGACACAGGCTGGAAAAACCCAGCCACCGTTTTCCGGGGCCGGCTAGCGTGGGACCCACTCGCGTCAGTCAAGATCAGTGCACGAGGCTAGACCCAAGCTAAAATATTGATCCTTTTGCCTTTTTGCGATTTTGTTGATTTCAGCCTTCTTCCCTTCCCTTCCAATCCCGCATTGGGCGCCGAGCTATCACGAGCTTCAACCAACCCACCAACCTTACGGGATCAGCAAACCACCCACCACCACCTTCACAACTTCCCCCACCACCATTCACCACTTGCGATTCTTATCAAATTGCATTTTTTACTTATTTCTTCTCCACATTATACATTGTGAGACCCCCTACCGGCGCATTTATCTTTGATTCTGCAAAAGTAACACGTCGCTGTCACTTTGTTTGCGCATCGCATCGCATCGCATCGCCGTCCCATTCATTCTCCACTTTTTTTTCCTTTCGCGGCGCGTTCTGCTTTGACTGATCGCATCACACCCCCCCCTTGCAAATGAACCCTCCTTCACTCGCGACCTAAGCTTTATACAATCCGCACGACTTTGAATTTGATGTCGCAGTACGCAAACTAAACAGTTTCTTGAAAAGCTTAGAGAACTCGTCGGCTCTCAATTATTGGAGTCATGGCCACGTCGCCCCAACCAACTACTTTGGACGAGATATCGCAGTCGCTCAACATGGCAACACCGACCTCGGCCGCGCCTGGTGATGAGCGCAACGGTTTGGAGCTGAACGGGTGAGTCGCAATCTGCCACCTTGCCATCTGCCATCTCCGTCCCTGTTTGTTGCGCCTATTGCTTCTTTCTCCCTATGTGTGGTGTTGTTGTTTGTACAAGACCTCCCTCGCCTTTCTACCACCATGCGCGCCGCGCCGCGCCACTCACAAAGCCTCCTTCTCCTTTATCCTTTGCCTGGTCGCAAACTGACGCGTCTTGTCTCGTTAGCCACGTCTCGCCCGCCCACTCACAACCCGACGCGACAAATGCCACCAAGTCCTCTACCGACAATGCTGCGCCGCTCCAAAATCAATTGAAGAACACAGATGCCTCCAACAAGGACGCGTTTGCATCTAACCAGAGTGTTTCAGCCATGACTCCTCCGAGCGCAGACAACGTCACTTCGGCTGATGCGCCTACCGATAGCGCCCCTACCGAGTCGCATGAAGTGAAGGATACAGAGATGGCCGATGCGCCGACCGACTCTGCCAAGCCACCCTCACCACCTGCCGAGCCGGTCGCAGATGCACCTGCGGTACCTGACGAGAAGCCCGTAGAGAAGTCCACCGAGAAGCCTGCCGAGTCTGACCAGGCAGACGAGCCCTCAGCAAAGCCGGCGCATTCCTCAGAAGCTGCAGAGGCTACTGCGAAGGACGAGCCCGCCTCCCATGCGGTGACCGAGCCCGGTACAAACACTGCACGGAAGATTGACACGCAAACAACTACGTCCAGTGAAGCTCTTCCCAGTGATCTCATGACCCCAACTGTCCCAATGTCAGAAATGGCGTTGGATGCATCACAAGAGGCTGCTACAGCGTCGTCGACCGTCGACACCAGCATGACCGATGCCCCGTCTCAAAACTCCACCAAGGTGGCCCGAGAGCGCGACGAGGATGACGACGAAGAGCCTGCTGCAAAACGCGCCAGGACTTCCGGAGAGCAAGACCCGCCGGCCGAGGCCATCGAAGCAGCACCATCAACTACATCTGATGCGATGGTCGTGGACAAGCCTGCTGATGTCTCTGAGGCGGGTCCTGCGTCGGCATCAGCGCCGGCATCTGAGGCTCAGCCCGCGTCTACTGGATCCCCCGTATCTTTGTCGGTGGATGGACGTGCGCGCAAGCTAAATGATCCTGCGCTTGCCAACAACCCGATCACAGTCTACCAGAACCGGGAGATTAGGAAGGTGCTGGGCCTCGTGAAGAAGACCAAGTCCGGGCAACACTTCAGGCAGCCGGTGCAGGTCCTTTGGCCTACAGTGTGGGATCAGTACCGCCAGCTCATCGCACGTCCCGTGGATATCAGCTTCATAGAACAGAATCTGCGCGACGGCAAATATGACACCATAGGCCAATTCAGGAGGGACGTTGAGCTTCTGCAGGCGAACGCCACAACCTTTAACGGAGCGACCCACGACGTCACCAACTGGGCCAAGAGCACGGTGTCTCAAATCTATGAACGCCTGGCCGCGATCCCTGCAGAAGAGCCTGCAAAACCTGTAAAGCAGGAGCCTAAGCAGATGCCTACGCGACATGCTGAGCCGCGCCACCCACCTGCCCCCAAAAAGGAAGCCCGCCCACCCGCACCCTCACCGGTCGAGAAGTCATCGACTGATTCCCAAATCTATGCCCTTCTGCCTTCTGGTCTTCCCAACATTCGACGTGACAGCACCAAAAATGACGGCGATCGACCCAAGAGACCCATCCATCCCCCGAAGAACAAGGACATTGGTTTCCAGCCCAAGACGACCAAGAACAAGAAGAAGCCCGAGTTGCGCTTCTGCGACGAGGTTATGAAGGATATCATCTCCTCCAAGAACTGGGTTAACAATCAATGGTTCATGGAGGCGGTTGATCCTGTGGCTCTCAATATCCCCACGTACCACAGTGTGGTTAAACAGCCCATGGACCTGGGCACCATGAAGGACAAGCTGCAGAGGGGGGAGTACGAATCGGCGAAGGACTTCAAGTCAGACTTTGGCCTGATAGTGAAGAATTGTGTCAAGTTCAATGGCGAGGATCACCCTGTGACCGCCGCGGCCAAGGAGCTGGAGCAGATCTTCGAGAAGAAGTGGTCGGAGAAGGCCAGCTGGTTGAGCAAACATGCACAGACCTCAGCGCCACCTGTAGCTGCCACTAGCCCGCGCGGCGGCGCCAAAGAGGAAGACACGGAGGAGGACGAGGCCAGTGAGGCAGAGCCCCAGGATAGCGCTAGCCCCGACGTCAAGGAGATTCAGCGCTCTATTGATGCCCTCTCTAGCAGGCTCAAGCAGGAGCGGGCTGAGCTCGACAAGAAGTTAATGTCCAACAATCCGGACAAGTTGGATATCGACATGCACCAGGGCATCATTAACCATCTGCAGAGCCAGATGGTGGACAAGCGCCAGGCTCTCAACAAGGCAACGGAGACGAAGAAGGCATCGCAGCCGAAGGCTCCGAAGAAGAAGGCAACCGGTGGCGCTGCCAACTCTGGAGCTAGTGCGTCCAAGAAGGGTGGCGGCGCTCAGGCCGGACCTAAGAAGGCAGCCGGTGGTGGCGCAACGACAAAGAAACCTGTCAAGAAGAAGTTGAACGAGGAGGAGAAGGAGATTGTCAGCGAAGCCATAGCGCGGCTCGAAGCTAATGCCCTCGACAAGGCCATCGCCATCATTAAGAAAGATACTGGCCTCAAGGTGAGCATGTTCCTGGCAGAAACGTTTCAGCAGGCCCTCTGTAGCTGTTGACTGACCGGTGGATCGACCTAGGAGACCGAGGATGATGAGCTCGAGCTTGATATGGACCAGCTCAGTGATGATGCTCTGGTCAAGCTGTTTGACCTGGTCATCAAGGCTTTCCCATCCTACAAGGAACAACTCAAGAAATTGGACCCAGCGCCAACCCCTGTTCACAGCGCCAGCACCAGCAAGTCGACCAAGCCTAAGAAGAATAAGCCCATGGGCAAGGCTGAGCAGGAGCGCAAGCTTGAGCAGCTGCGAGAGCTCAAGAACTCCTACAAGCGTCCCGGAAGTGGCAGCCAGGAGCCGCTGCCGTCGGTCGAGAACAACGACGCGAACCTGGCTGGGAACCAGCCTGATGATAGTGATGATGCAAGCTCCTCAGAGGAAGAGTAGCGATCCTCCTCTTCTGTTGTCTCTGTGGAGGAGTGAACTGAAAACGGGAGCGGGCACAATGAAGCCCCCGCCTGCGTCAGACAGACGCGTGGAGGTGGTATGCTCCTGAGGGATTATTTATTCTTACGTCTGGTTTCTTTTGCGGTGGCGGTCATGCCCTGCCAGGACCCAAGGTCAACATCAGCTGGTGGTTTTGCTTACAAGAACCGCGGGTATCGCTGTTGGGGCTGACCAGTAATCTATGCACCACAAAGTATTAACTTCATCGATACTGGACGGAGCGAATATTGGCGACCAGTTCTCAGGTTGGCAACGGCTTTTCCCCCATCGTTTAGAAGGTGATTACTGCCATGAGCCCTCGCTGGGGCGGGAAACCAGCTTTTCTGAGCAGGTTCAAGATTGGGGGCACATAGCAGCTCCTCGTCGAGCCTCAGCTAAATGCGTCCCTTGGGGATCCTGCATCGGACCAAAAACCTGTCATGATATGTGTACATTACAGACCACTAGCCAACCGGCAATCTGACGAACAAATGCGACGGGAAGAGGAACTTTCTTCCCTTGACGTCTCTGACGGATCCCTTGAGTGGTCAGATGATTTGAGGATGGGAATCAAAGATTAGGAAAGGGAGGCTGAGAAAGGCAACCTGGGAGAGGGGTAGAGTGAGAAGAACTATCTGCCTCTAATAAAGAGATTCATGATTCCACAACGTTCTCTTGTGGTGTGTGATATACTGCATTGTGCTAGGGAACTTGATGGCAACCCTCAGCCTCACAGGCCAGGACATACTTACCTGTCTGTGCACTCGCATGTCCCAGAGGCCGTCTTCGAATGAATTCCTGCGGTAGACGTACCAGTATTAAACTAACTGCCACTGCACCCTCATCAGATACATAGAATAAGAGAGACATGGTGATTGCGCTGATGCCTGAACGATACTGGACTGAGAAAGCGGTGAATTATGAACCTGGCCGGCGTGCCGTTATTTAGGCCCGAGCCCGACCCCAATTTTAGGCCCGATCCCCAGTTCAGCACAGGAGCTATCAAGATGATGGGGGGATCGCGCGCACAAACCGTTACACAATGGGCGAAGCTGAAGCTTTAGGGCTTTTCTTTCGGATAAGGACGGACTTAAGCTTGCGCAGGTTTGCCCTCGCTGTATGCTCATACGCCAAATGTCATGGGGATATAAAGCCGGTGTGACTAGCGGAGCCAGAGTCCGGGAAGAGGGGAGGGGGAGAGATACTGCTGCTTATTTCGTGACCAACAGCCATTCAAACCGTGGAGGGACCACAACACACGCACACAAACGTCAGCGCTTCGTGGAGCATCGAACCCTGGGGAAACCAAACCTCATCCGCCCTGTGCAGATCTGAACCATTCCGTGATACATACCACCCTCCCTCACGCTCTGGCTCCAGAGAAAGAGAGAGAGAGAGAGAGAGAGAGAGAGAGAGAGCAAGACAGTATCATGTTCGGCCGCATCCTCTTGACCGTCGACTCCCTCGGCCTCATTTTCGGGGCCTGGCTCGCGGACTACAACTCCGAGTCGCACATCTTCAACCCACGGTGGCCGCCGCATGCGAAGTGAGAGAAAACAGCCCACCCTTCTTCATCATGTCCCTCCTCGTTGGGCCGCCTCTCCTTCAAGGATCGGTTCGAATTGGGCTAGAAGTTGGCTAACAAGTTCTGAACGCCCCCTCTGGGCGGCACAACCTTTTACCTACCAGATTCCACTGCGGCCAGACAATCGGGCTGAGCACAGCCCTCGGCGTAGCAACATTGTTCCTGGCCTGGCGGCCGCTGCTGGTGCGGTCGACCAGCCCGGCGGTGGCGCGCGACTCGCTCAAAATGGCGGCGTTTACGGGGAGCGTGTACTGGCTGGCGGGGCTGGCGGCGATCCTGTTCCCGGGGACGGACGGGCTGGACCCGGAATTTGGGGGCCTGGGTTTCCGCAGAGGCCGATTTTTATTGTGCTGGCGGTATTTGGGCTAGTTGGGTCGTGGCTGGGATAACAGCTGAATGGTGAAGAATTCTGGGCCAAGGGCCCTTTTCTCTCTCGCCTCGTCCTCCTCAAGGGTTTGGCCTGACTTGATGGGTTGGCGATGTTGGGAGAGGGTCGAGGTTGAGCGTAGAGAAAGGAGTTAGTGAGTGTAGTGTACTATGGGGCAGGGCTAGATCAGTGGGCGCTCTGTAGCCTTGCTTGCCTTGACAGGCTGTAGCAGTTGGTGGTTAGCAGCCGGCACTTAGGAGCAGGTGCAACCCAAGGTCCAGCCAGGATAGTAATTGCTCTTCAAGGCCTGTCTCCCTTGTTGTACTATAATACAGCAAAAGAGGGAAGGAAAGAATCCCTACTACTATGTATGATCCACAGTGCATAGCATGTTAGTATTGTATGTCTGAAGATTCTACTCTTCATAACGCTGGCCCATCTGGTTGGACACCGGGGCACCTCTAACAAAATTTGAGTCGCTGATCGACATGCATTATAGGATCCTCGCACGTTGCACCTAAAAATACTACTGCGCCCCAAGTGATGAGCAAGCAACCATGATAGGGGGTACGCACCAAAGATGGGACCTGTTTGCGGTGTGTGGCGTTTTCCCCTCCAGCTTATGATCCCTCAGTCAGCAACATCTCTGCTACGAGAGGGAGGGAGTCTCGAAAGGAGGCTGACACGTCTCGTGTCTACTGCCAAGTCGTTGGAAACTGGCTGGTCCCTTTTGTCACTTTCTTCTTTGATGGCTTCCGGCGGCTGTCCATCCGAGCAGGTGGCCGTTCAAGTCGTCGCCTCTTTCGATAACGCCACAGTCTCTAAAATACAAAAGGAAAAAAGAGCTGAGCATAATGGGGTGGCCTTCCATGTCATCTTCAGGGCTGTAGATGGCGAGATGCATAGACACAGTCTCCATGTGAACAGATGCTGGGGTCAGTTGGCACAGTCGGGCTGTTACGAAACTCACCCCTGAGCCCTGAGGAATGGCACTATGACTGTACCTGGACTGACCATTGGGTGCTGTTGGTGGTAGAATGGAAGGACCCACACGGTGACGACGCTCATGCGGTGTCATTTCTTTTTCCATTGCGACCCACCAACGTTGAGGGGTGGGGGAGCGGCATGATCACTACCACCGCACTGGCAGACTGCCAAGCGCGGGCCAGGGTCAGGGCGACATGACTAGAGCCAGTGCTGCGCTCCCCCCCTCCCCCATAGCAGAGCTTACGCATTCATTCTGGTAGGCCTCTCTTCTTTCTTCCAGGCTGCCCCTCTGCGTTTGTTCTCGCCCCCCCCCCCCTTCCTCTCTGCCCTACCTCCCTTCTTCGGCCCATCCCAGCCGAGCCTCATCACTTGTCCCTGCTTGTACCTCACATACTGTGGTGTTACTGTAATATCTGCTCATTGACTTTCAGAAACAGGGGCCAGAAAGTGGCTTGGCTGCCTTCCTAGACGGGGGGTGTTAGAGAGTTCCCTCCATTCTCCCTTGTCCGATTCCACTATGCTTTCGTCACCCTTTGGTGCTTGCGCTGGGTTGTCGTCTATCGCCAGGTGGGCCGCTGTAATCCCCAGATCTCCCAAGATCTGACATTACTCGCCTATTTTCTAGAACCAGGGGGAAAGGACCGAAAAAAAAAAATCATCCTTTTCCTCTTTCTTTTCCTTCTTTCTTCCTCCATCTACAACTCTCAGGTCTCAGACTTGGACCAAACCCCCCCCCCCCCCTCTACCGCCATCACACGGCGTGTCTCTTGCATTCCCGCCATCCACTTCATCCCTTGCTGGCTAAGCGAGCACGCGACACCGACCCTACTCAGGCACACCTACAGTCGGGCGACGCACGCCAAGCTCTTGGCGACAGTTCCGAACCCGCCGTCTCGGCACTGCTTGGCAGGGCACGCGACACGCCTCTTTTGAGGATTGAAATTTGTTTACAGACCTCGAGAGACTGAATGCACTCGTCGCCTCTGGGGTCGTCGTGACGAGAGCGAGAAAAGAGAGAGAGAGAGAGAGAGAGACGGGTCGCAAAAAAAGGGTGGCCTGCGTCTCGATCCTCCCTCCCTACTTACCTGAATCCTTGGGCTTCTTTGGACCAGATGCCAAAGCCACCAAGGAGGGACGCCACCATGACCAGTTTAGCGGACAGTGCTCGGGGAAGCATGTGCTTCCAGTCGCTGATGGGCTTCTTCTTCAACAAGGGCGTCAGGGGAGGCCCTCGCGTGTTGCTGAACCTGGCCGCCGTGCTGTTCGCCCTCTTTGTCTTCGTGAAGCTCTTGCCGCAGCGCATGACCCAGAGCGCCCTATCGTCGATACCAATCTCCTGGTCGGCACTGAGTGGGCATGCCGATGATGGCAGCGTGCCTGGTGGCCTGAGGATAGTCGTCTTTGGCGAGCTTGATGTCGGGACACCGGTCGGCGAGGACGAGGAGGTCAAGGGCGCTCAGACATGGACACAAGCTCTGTGCGATCAAGTAAGTCGCCGATTTCTCCGACGTCAACCTGTATATACACTGGAGGAGGAAGAGAAAAGGAAAAGGAAACGGACGCCTGGCCCCCCCCCCCCCCCCAAAAAAAAACAAGTTCAGGAAGGCAACGACGAAGTCGAACTTCTTCCAGGCTAGGAAAAAAAAAAAACCCACCTCATTTTTACTAACGATCCCATAGCTCTCGTGCAATACTCACATCTCCATGGTCCCTTCGCCCGACGTGGCCTCCTTTTCCGTCAGCTCCAACGAACTGTACGCTCAGGGTGTCGAGAAAGTCCTCAACGAGACGGCAGACAAAGATGGACCCGGCCAGGACTACTCATACCTGTCAACATATTATCCGCCGCAGTGGAAATCCTCCGACCTGAAGGGCCAAATCGATGCTTTCCTCGCCATGCCAAAGCCGCAGAACCAACCCGGCGAGACGCTCTGGGTCTTCTCATTTGGCCTGTGGGACGTGTTCTCGTTGTCGGCTCTGCCTGTCGCCACCGCCAAAGAGACTTTGGGAAGCATGACCAAGGATGTCTTTGAGCAGATTGAGCGGCTGCACAGCGCAGCGAAGGACCCCACATCTATCGCGTATTCAGACATCAACAGTGCCGTCCAGACGCAGGCCGAGGCCACTGAAGAGGCTGCAGCCGACGAGCCGGCGGGGGATCAGCTCGAGGCAAGAGATGAGGCAGCAGCCGAGAGCCCGGCTGCCAGGAACCAAGATGTCACAAACATCGGCAACTCGTTCAAGATCCTCATCCCGAGGATCATGGACCCATCCCTGCTGCCCGGGTGGCACGATGTGCGGCCTCAACTCCCCGTCGCCCACTCCAAGGCGGAACAGATGCGGAACTCGGCCACGCTGACCAACTCGTGGAACGACGGCATCATCAAGGGTCTCAGCGACTGGGTCAAGAAGGGCAGCTCCAAGCAGGATAATAAAGACGACAAGAGCCACGAGTTCTATTTCGACGAGACCCAGCAGCCTAGCGGGCCCACACGCGACGGCTACGCCTACAACCTTGCCGAGTTCATCGTCAGCCAGATCCTCGAGCGCCAGATGCTCAACGCCCACCTTACCGACGGCGAGGGCCGCGGCACCGGCGAGCTGGAGGACGGCTTCCGCGACGTGAGCAACGCCTGCCTGCAGCCCGTCAGCACCGTGGCCGTCGCCGTGTCTCTGGAGAGCGCCGTCACCCTCAACATCCCCAACGTAAAAGTCGACAACGACAAGCAGGTGCCCACCCAGCCGACGCCCATCGCTACCGCCGCCAACAAGCGCGACGGGCTCGACAGGAAGCCTGGCTATGCGTACACGAGTGCCGCGCGGGTGTGCGAGATCCCTAGTGATCACCTCTTCTTCACGCCGTTCGCGCTGTCGCAGCGGGCTATTCAACAAGTGGCGGCCGAGACGGCACAGATGGTCCGAAATGGGGACTCGGTGCGGGCAAAGATGGGGTCATGAAGACGGGGAATAGACCCCCGACATGGGCGTGGGCGTGGGCGGTTCTAATTTGAGGGATTAGGGGGAGGGTCGGCGCCTTGGCTTGGTGAGGCCCTGTATTTTTTTTCTTGCCCTGTTTGTATGCTATGACTGGCGCATCTTGCATTGGTCGGGGTTGGGGGCGTTCTTTTTGACTTTGGGGTTTTCAAAACTTGAAAATATATGCATATATATTTACCAGTTCATCTACACACACACACACACACACACACACACACACACAACTGCTTCACACTGTTCACGGTATGTCTATGAGTACTGGAGTCTGAAATCTCTTTGGCCAGAGCGTAAGCTCACCCTTTCCATCTACACATGCCGAGTATATGTCCTACTTCTCTCTTAGGCCATCAAGCATTCCCACCTACAAAGTTAGACGTAGGAGACGTCTGGCTTTCCTGCAGTTCCACACCCGGCAGGGTCCCACAACGGCGGCAGGCAGCATATGTATGGTTGCCATTTGGAAGGGCGAGCGCTGTGCTACGGGTACTAGGAGGGCCAGGTTCTGCCTAGCAGTAGTCTCGCCGTTGTTCCTTTTGGGGGACGGCAGCTGGATGTGATTCCTGGGGCCATCTGCCAGCTTTGTATGAGCACTTGCGCTGAGGCCAGGTCGAAAGGTATTTGAGAATGAAGATATCTAGCAATTATCAAAGCTGGCAACTCTTCAGCAGGTTATTTACCTGGGTGAGAAGAGAACTGCACAATGGATTAGCAGCCTACAACACCTCCCTCAAGTCTAATGTCGCCATCCATTTAGACTGAACTATATAAGACACGGAATGAAGTACACAAAACCTACGCGTTAACTAGCTTGGGCAAGCTAGATGGAAGCGGTGAAGCAATAATTGCCTTTAGCCTGAACCTAGGAGAGGTATATGTCTCGCTTTCCGGCTCATCGGTTCAACGCCGGGTCGTCGACAAAGGGACGATGTCCTTGCTAGTCTACCATCCAGACGACATCTCTCATATGTAACAAAATCGAATTGCAACAAGTAAGGGCTTTGTCTTGAACCACAGAACCAAAGAGGAAATCGAGCCGACCCGATTATCCGGAGGAGGTCCAGGAGGCTGAGACATAACTACTTGGTCAGACTAAGCTTCAGGCAATCATCGTTTATGTTTTGTGGCATGTAGGTGAAGAGACTAGTACAATTAAAGGCATTTGTCGTAGAGCAGGTAAGCACTATGTAGACGACATTGTTGGTCTGGGGGGAGTTGGAGCTCAAGTCTAATTGTTTTATGCAGTGCCTAAGTTGATCAGTCTAGGATTGATCACATTCAAGAGATATCTGTTCAATTTCCAGCAAGCGATGATATTATACGGAGAGTAGGATTAAGTCATCGTATTGCCATTGTGGTATCCAATAATATCAGTCTCTACGAGGAAATACCAATGAATTGAATGGCTTTTCAGGTTGTCGCGCTTGACGACCAGCTGCGGTGCGTAAGAGGGGGACAAATATTACGCAGACGATGTACAGTTGATATGAGATAACATCATAAGAGATACAATTCTTTCTTTCTTCGAAGGCATTGCGGTCCCTGACTACTCCTCCAGCCAAGCACAAGGCCACTCGTCCTTAACATGCAAAACCTGGGTTAGGCTGCTCAGGAGAGATTCTTATTCGTTAAACGAAAAGTCACGGACCGTCGGTTCGAGTAAACTAGAAGATTATCACCTCTCTCACCTGCTGCCAAGCTTCCCGTCTACTGGTTAGCCGCTGGGCCGCTCAGGCTGAGCCACTTGCATAACAATGACATACATTTATCCATCTTCATCTTCTTGCCCTTCGCCTTCTTGCTCTCCTGCAACCTGAACAGCTGAGCAGATGGCGACGGATCTCGAGCCGACAGACTTGAAAGGTTAGCCGGACTTGAAAGTCCACGAGGATCGTGATTGATCGCCGACAAGGCGGCCCTACCGTGTTACCAAGAGGCCATGCGCCAAGTGGTGATGGAACAACCTCGAGAGGGTACCTAAACGCTGGTCTGGGCCATGATGAGTAGTAAGTAGAGGATAATCACTTGGTCACAGTATCTCAGAGGGGGGGGGGGGGTCCAGGGAAAACTATAAAGAGGGCCTCGAGATCCATCCAGAATTCCTCTTCATCTAGCCTTTCCACAACCTCATCCTCCTCTACAGACCAAAAGACTAAGAACAAACTACACCATCAACTTTCCAAAGCTACCAGAAGCCACCTTCCTCCCCAAAAAATGAAGCTGTACGCCATCCTCTCTGCCCTGCTCCTCGCCAGCACTGCCAGTGCTTGCCGTCTCCGCGGCAACACGTGCAACCCCGCCATCAAGGACTCTCGATGCTGCGGAGGCAACCATTGCGTGAACGGCATCTGCGTCAAGAGCGACTAAATGGTAAGCCATCAGTCTAATCGATCAATACACCTACGGTTGCTCCCTCCTGTTTTTGTTTACTCACTGAAACACATGTACAGGCGGTCCGTTCTCTGGGTAACAGCCAGCAGCCGCACAGGACAAGGAATGCAACTGGCTGGTGGAAAATGGAGGATACATGTGAGCCCTGGCCGTTGTATGGAGTTCCCTTCTTGCGCGTGGGAAGGGTTTCAGCTCGGCCGGTCGAGGGCTGGACTGCTTGAACAGTGCTTTTGTTATTTATGAGGACTAGTACTAGTAACCCAGACGCTCGTTACCAATATTCTGCTTGCTATATTTGAATGTGAAATGTGTATCGACTGAAGTACGATATTCTTTATACCACTACTTTCTAACTGTCTAGGACTATACAATGCCGAGCAATGGGCAACGCTGGTCTAAACTATATCCAATTTCTATACATATAATGAACAGCCAGTATCATCCTATCAAGGAATCCAAAGGCCTGCCGCGCTTCCATTCAGCCCAAGATCACTCACCCTGACCTCCTTCGTCTGATACTGCGTTGATAGATCGGGCTCCAAAGCCTCGAGAGGCACCTGAACGCCCTTCTTGTATGGCGTGCCGAAGTAATTCACACCCTCGTGCCGCTTATACCCGCTCTCCCGCCTCTCGCGGCTCTTCAGGTCTTCCTGCTGCTGCTGCTGCTGCTGCTGCTGCTGCTGCACTGCAGCAGGCCACGACTTGCCCGGCTCGCGCTGTCCCTCGTCCCCGTCCTCGCCCGGGTCGGGGAAGCCCGCAAAGCCACCGCTGTTGTCGCCCTTGAGCTGCAGCCTGACGCCCTGGACGCTCTCGCGGCTGGGGTCGCGGTCAGCAAAGTTGTGCGGCACAAACATGACGGCCGAGGCGCTGGTGTGCATGAGGGTGTTGGGGATGTCGCCGGAGTGGGGGACGTGGTGGCTGCCGACGTTGAAGTAGATGACAAGGTCGCCGTCATTCTCATCATCGTCGTCGTCGTCGTCGTCGTCATCATCGCCATAGCCCCTCAGGGCCTCAGAATCGGCCAGCTTGTTGAAGTCGAGGATGGGGTGGAGGGTGTCGAGGTAGTTGAGCGGGTCTGCAGCGCGCGGCTCCTCGTCCTTGCGCCGGAGGACCCAGACGTCCCTCTCGGCCCACCTGGCGCTGGTCCCCAGCGAGGTCGAGTTGGTGATGGTCAGGTGCGGCGTGTTGCCCATGCCCGTGCCGGAGACGATACGGTAGCCTCGCCTCTCGCCCCAGGCGTTCTTCTTGTCGGCCGAGTACACGATGTAGAACTCGCCCGAGTTCTTGGGCCAGTCGAGGCCCGTCTCGTGGGTCACGGGGTATTCCTTGAGGTGCATCGTGTGGCGCTCTTTGACGTAGGGTTGATCCCATGGGTAGCTGATGACGGTGGGCTCGACGGCCAGGCGGACCATGTCGTTGGCGGTGCCGGCGACGTCCAGGTCGGCCTTGAAGCTGATGACGTGGTCGTGCAGAGACGAGGAGAGGGCGTCGTGGATGCGGTGGCCGTACTCGTCGTTGTTCTTGAAGGGGTTGTTGGCGAAGAAGGCGCCGTAGATGTAGCCCGAGGCGCGCACCTTGACCTCGATGGCCCCGTCTAGGTAGAAGTTGTAGTCGATGGTGTAGTCGTAATTGCCCACCGTCGACACGGAACGGAGGGTCAGGAAGGTGTTTCTCGAGACTGTCACAGAGTGCTGGGCCGTGTGGCGGGCGAGTAGATAATCCGAGGTGAACTCGAACAGGCAGATATTGTTGGCCAGCTTCTCCGTCCGGCCGCTGCGGTGCAGCTCCGAGTCGAGATAGTCTGCATAGGCAGGACAGTCGTAGCCAGGGACCAGCTCGAAGGCGTTGGTGCCCATGCCGAAGAAGGTGTCGAGGAACTCCTGTCCGCCTGCCATCGGATCATCGCCAGCATAATGGGCCAGCGCCTCCTGCAGGCTGAGCTCGTACATGACGCGCTCTCCCTTGAACCGGATATCAAACAGGCTCACGCCCGTGGCCTGCGTGCTGGTGAAGTAGAACTCGAACCCGAACCACGACACGAACCGTTCTGCCCTGTCCAGCCTGTAGCGAGGGCCCAGGGGCTGGATCGAGACCGGAGGCGGCAGCTCGCGGCCCGTAGGATGCGAATCAAAGTCCTCCGTGTCCGTCCATGGCCCGTCGACGTTGGGCTCTGTGCGCAGGAAGTCTGGGGCCTTGATCGCGCTGCGCAGGTGGTCCACGTCGTCAAACATCTGGCCGTTGTACCACCACTCGCTCACTTCCCACTGGCTGACCTCCTTGCTTGCGTCTACCCTGGCGTAGAGGCCCTGTGGGAGCAGTGTGCGGCCAGAACTTCCCCTCCCGGGCCTGAAGAATTGGATCCAGCCCACCACGAGGTCCGCCTCGAGACGTGTGAATCGTGTATACGCCTGGAGACTGTCTGGGTCGAGAGGGTCCTTCTTGTTGACCTGGGCCCCGAGCAGCTCCGTCGTGATGTCTGAGACGTTCTCTGCCAGGTTCAACGCGAACTCGCCGCTGCCTACAAAGTCCGCCATCAGGTTGGGCACGGAGCTGCGGCCATTGTGGAAAGGGTACGTCAGGAGCTCAGCCTTGGTCCTCACCTGCCCTTCTTCTCCGCCCGCCGAGACGGGGAGCGGGCCGACGGCGTAGTATGTCAGAAAGGGCCCATCGTCAGTGTGGTGGGACAGGACGACCTTGGCCCACCGACCTGGTCTGTCGGCTTCTTGTTCAAAGAGAAATGGCACGGCCTGGGTTTTGTTGGGTTGTAGAGTCTCTATGGTGACGATGAAGTTGTCTGTGCCGGACTTTGGGGTTTTTGTAATGTTGAGGTCGGCCCATTCTTGAAGGAGAAAATTGTATACTTCCTCTGCCTCGTCGGCCGTGAGGTCAGACCAGATATTGGGTCTGGGTGCTTGGAAGTGGTGGTGCTTGTGTCTTGATGCTGTTGCTGGCTCGGTGACGTCGTTGAGGTTGTGGGGACTGCGATGCCAGTCGGGGAGGAAGACGAGATAGCCCGTGATAAGGACGAAGATGGTGGCAGTGAGGATGAGAGGAATCATCCTCCTACGTTGCTCCATGGTGAAAGAACTTGTCCTATGCAGAAAGGAAATAAGGGAGAAAAGATGGCAGCAGGAAGAGAGTAAAGGAAAGGAAGCAAGAGAGAGAGAGAGATATGAAAAGAGAAGGGACTGTTTAGATCGCTTGAAGATGCCCTCCAGGCGGCATGATTTTCATCCGTCCGCACTGGGACACGAATTGTCGGTCTGATAAGCAACAACAATATCCCCATTGAGGGAGGGGAAATACGCGAGGCCCACTGTATGTGCGGAGAGAATCCCGAGGTCAACAGAAGCTTAGCATATCTAAAGCATTTCTACTACTATGGCATTATATGACAAGCCTCAAAGCCATGCCACGCGGGCGTCTCACTAGGAAAGCCACGCGGGTGGATGCTTCTGCCGATTGGATATCCGTGCCAGTGGGAAATCCCCGGCCAGAGCTCTCGGGCTACTTATCTGCACCAACTTAGCCGGACCGAGGAAGTAATGAATCGATGTGGTTATGACAATAGATCTAACACTGTAGCTATTGAATGTACTATTACCTGTTGGCCTCTTAGCTACGCACATGATGAGTTTCTAATTGTCTGCCATTGACCGTTTTGTTCTTTTCTCATTGATATTCTCGTGTGAAAGTTCATAACGACATAAGTCAAAGGGGGGGGTTTTGGGCCGGGGTAGTTTTGGGCCACCCTGGCCACCCTCGTCAAATACACACACCCATATATATATATACTGTTTATCTATTCTATTCACTCACCACGATGCAATCCTCCTCATCAGTAGGTAATTCGACATCGCTCTCTTCATTCAGACTATCCTCGTGGCGATTAGCCGCGTTTTGAGCTCTCTGTATATCCTCAATCCCTGCAAACTTCGAATTCGGATCCATATCAACCTTTCTTCTTTTACTAGGCCTCAGAGCCTCAATCTGCCTTTTCAACGCTTTATTTTCCTCCAATGCCTTGGCAAACTCGAGGTCCCTCTTCCCATAAGCCTTTTTTATCTTCTTGAATAGCATACGGCGGCCTGGTTCCGTTCGAAGTTGTTGCCGATTCTCTAGCAGCTGATAGTATAGCTGTTTAGCTTTTCGAGGAGTTGAAAAGAGGACTGGCTGGCTTGAGGAGGCTTTTGAGGAAAGATGAGGTGCTGTTGATTGTGCTGAGCCTGAATTGGATTGGGTCTGACGGCTTGGTTGACTGTTCTCGAGGAGAAGAGGGCTCAAGAGGGCTTTTGAGGGTCTGAGAAGCCACAGACCAGTTGCTTTCCATCCAGATCTAATATTCTGGCTTGAAAGGCCTTCCAGTCGAGCCAGACGATAGTTGCTGAGGAATAAACGCTTGCCTGCGATAGTTGAATCGCCCCATTGGCCCATATTGCTGACTTTCTTTCTGTATGCCCGTTTGAGAGATGAAAAGACTCCTAGATCGAGGGGTTGAAGAACATGAGAGGTATGAGGAGGCAAGTAAATAAGCAGGATATTGTTTTGGAAGCAAAGCTACATAAACTCATCCGTTTTATGGCTGCCATGGCTATCCAGGACTAACAGCCTGGCTTCTGAGGGGTCTGCTGGCTGGCTATGAGGAATGAAGATCTCTTTCAGCCATTCAACTGCCATTTTATCGTTTGTCCATCCGTTTTGCATAGCTGTAAACTTCCAACCATCAAAAAGCTCCAAATCAAGAGGAAACCACTGTTGTTATACCGTTTGGCCCTTGAAAATCACCAGAGGGAAGAGGTAGACACCTGTAGCTGAGATACACTCGAGGAAAGAAGTCCAGGCTTTTGATCCAGGATCTTTCCTTTGAATTGAACGCAAAGAGAAGCCTCCGAGAACTAATCCATTTGTTCCTTGGCCCTCCATCAGGCCAGCTTCATCCATATTCCATCTATTAGCTGGCTTAATAGCTTGGATATGAGGAAGATTGAAAAGACGAAACCAAAGCCGTATTACCTCTGTTGTAGCCCCATTCGTTCGTTCAGAGGCAATGCAGCGAGTCTTCCTGACCTTTATCTCTGGATTTCTCTTCAAAAAAGCCTGAGTCCATTGCACCCCGAGAGCCTGAGAGTCTCCCTGGACCTCGAGGATCTGCTGAGCAAAGTATTTGAGTTCTGAATGGCTTGGTGGAATGCCTAGGCTTTCTTGAATCAGGATCCATTCGGCTAGTCTTCTTTCCTGATCAATAGAGAGCCTTTGCTGGTTTTCGTAGGCTGTTTTATGCGATTCCCCTCCTTCTAGGCAAGCCTGAAGAGTACTCCTTGGAATACCCCATTCCCTCGAGGCTTGCCGCTGAGACTTGCCTTTTCTGACAGCCTCAACGGCCTGGGCTAGCTCAAACTCGGAATAGGGCTTCATAACAGTCAGATAAAGGTTTGCTGGAAAGATGAAGTTGTTTGGATCAAAATTGGTTGAGTAATAGCTATCAAACTAAAGGGGGTTGAAGAGGCGGTGAGGGTGGCCAGGGTGGCCCAAAACTACCCCGGCCCAAAACCCCCCCCTTTGACTTACCGCTCGTTTTGAGACTGTAGAATCTCATGACGGATAGTCTGGTTTACGCCATCAGTCACCTGCTCAGATTCGCAGATGAGCAGGAAGCGGTGCGGAGGGCGTCTTCTTCAGAATTGTCAAGTTATAATAGCTACTTAGTGGAGTAGACAACATTTTATAGTCTGACGGTCGTTGCTTAACGAGACTCTGGAATGACCTTGTGTTCACAATACAAAGTCAGCAGCATACTTTATATACTGATTAAATACGCTAGTCCAGAAGGATAGAAAGAGAAAAGGACACAAGGAAGGGAAACGAAAAGTGAAACAATTCTGATAACGAAAACGAGAAGTGAAACTACTACTATGGTTCCAATTATGCCTGCTTATGCCGTGTCTGAGAACCATATGACTTAATAGCTTGCATTCCACTGAATCTTGCAGAGAATGTCTCTCATGGAAATCATTGAGACACCTTATATATTTTCGTGTGATATTTGATTTCAGGTTTTATTTCATCTCACATCCAATCTGGATTGTCGACCACGCCAACCTCCTCAAGACACAGGCTGTACTTGTAGAGATCAAAGATATATGAGTACAACAAGGGTTAGGGTTGACCTGGGGATCAGCCCAAGGGTCCAGGCTTGCGGCTTATCTCCCGTGCACGGGTCCAAAACGTCACACGAGCACTTCCCATTCTCCTTCCTCTTTATCACCAACACCAAACTTCCCTCTTCACCCCAGAGCGCTGCCGTCCACATGTTGTTTTCAGTCAGAGATATGCCAGAGCCAGGTGTTTTGTGAAGAAGAAGTATGAGCCCGTCTTCATCCTCTTCTGGACTTCTTCGACTCCCGATGCCAGGCACTCCAGCATGGCGCGCCAGGATGGCCAGCGCCTTCAGCAGCCCTGATGCTCATGTTGTCCTGGCCTTTTGGCTATTTGGTGAGTTGTTTCTCCTCCTTGAGCGAGCCAAAGGACGATTTCTTGAATGGGAGAGGTTAAGGGAAAGAGAGAGAGAGGAGAGAAGAGAGAGAGGTAGGGACAAAGGGGGCGGCAAGCTGACCTCTTCGACCATCTCAGGTTTGATCAACAATGTCCTTTACGTGATTATCCTCTCCGCCGCCCAAGACCTTGTAGGCAATCTGCCCAAGGGTGTCGTTCTCCTCGCCGATGTGCTGCCCTCCTTCTTCACCAAGCTCGTCGCCCCCTACTTCATCCACCGAGTTCCGTACTCCATCCGTGTCCTCGCCTTCGCCGCTCTCTCGGCCGCGGGCATGCTGCTCATCGCCCTCACCCCGGCCACTCAGTCCGTGGCCGTCAAGCTCGTGGGCGTCGTCTTTGCCAGCCTGAGTAGCGGCGGCGGCGAGCTCAGCTTCCTGGGGCTGACGCACTACTACGGACACATGTCCCTGGCTGCATGGGGCAGCGGGACGGGCGGTGCAGGGCTTGCGGGCGCGGGTCTCTACGTGATGCTGACTACTTGGTTCGGCTTCAGCGTCAAGGGGAGCCTGCTGGCCTCTGCCTTCCTGCCCATCATCATGCTGATCAGCTTCTTCGTGATCCTGCCGCAGGGGCCTCTGCGCCAGGGGTCGAGAGCCAACAAGGGCTACGAAACGCTGCCGGAACGAGACCTCACTGAGGAAGACGTCGAGGATATGCCGGCTGGGAATGCTTCGTCCAGCCTGTTGGCCCCAGGGCCCGCTCTTACCGCTGCGGCCTACTCGGCCCACCCAGAAGAACAGAACCAGACATTTCGAGCCAACCTGAACCGTGCGAGGGTCTTATTCTTCCCCTATATGCTGCCGCTGCTGATGGTCTACATTGCCGAGTATACCATTAACCAGGGTGTCTCGCCCACGCTCTTGTTCCCGCTCCGGTCCTCGCCCTTCTCCGAGCACCGAGATTTCTACCCCTTCTACAATTTCTTGTACCAGCTGGGCGTTTTCATCTCCCGCTCGTCAACCCCATTCCTGCGCATCCACCACCTCTACCTCCCGTCCGTCCTGCAGGTCGGCAACCTCGCCTTCCTCACCCTGCAGTCCCTTCTGAACTTCCTACCGTCTGTCTATCTCGTCTTCCTGGTCATCTTCTGGGAAGGGCTGCTCGGCGGTGCTGTCTACGTAAACACCTTTGCCGAGATCATGGAAAAGGTTCCACAGGCGGATCGCGAATTCAGTCTCAGTGCCACGTCTGTGAGTGACAGCGCTGGTATCTGTATCGCCGGTTTCGTGGGCATGGCCATGGAGATGTGGCTGTGCGATTGGAACGTCCAGCATGGGAGGGACTGGTGCCGAAAGATCGATGTCGGCTGAGCATCAGATCGAGATCTGCAACGTGCCTGTTACCCATACCCGGGTCCATACTCATGAGCTTCTCTCTTTTCTTTGTGGATTCTGCAGGACATGTGCTGGCAGCGCTTCATCTTGCCTCCCGGCGGCTCCAGTTTGGTGTCGCCTGCACGATGTGCAGATTCGGTGGCGACCATCCTGGGTGACGCTCCTGCTCATCACTAAAGGCTTTCTGCACGAGGGCCCATATGCGCTTCACCTCGTTCCGCTTCAACCGCTTCAGAGCCTTGAGCGTTGAGGGCTCGGGCCACCCGTGCTCTTTGAAATCGACGAGGAGCGACAGTACTCTCAGTCGAGGGAACTGCCGAATGAACCTGATGCCTTCCTCCAAGGCGGTTTCGACCCAGCATGGACGCAGACCCCAGTTCATTACCAGGTTCTCCAGGTTAGCATACGTAGCGATTTCAGCCCTCGATATGTCATCTGAATTAAAGTCAGCCGCAGCGCTCCAACACCTGCAGGGAACGATCTATCTTACAGCCGCGGGAGATCCATATCGAATCGGTCCGCCAGTCCAAACATACGAAACCGTCTTTACGCCCGCTCATTTGGACCTGCTGGTACTTGGGGGATGCTGATATGGGCGCCCTTTCTCTGCGTCGTGTGACCAGGAGTCTTCTGGACTCGGCACAAGCCTGCAGGACCGAGGGGACCTTTCGTCGGAGACGATACCCAAACACTGCATCCCACGTCCGGGGCACAACCTCTGGCTCTGGCACCGCGGCTTCCCAGACCAGGAAACGAATCTCTCTAGGAAGATTTCCAAATTGAGGAAACGAGGATGTTGAATTTCGAGTTGGTATGACCGCACGGGAGGCGAAGAAGTCGCTCGTCAAGCTGCTCTCTTCCTCATTTAGAAAGACATGCAGGATGTCAGGACCAGAATACTCGGTGCCCTCTGCCTTCAGGTGGTATTCTGGTGTGCGGTCCAAGGTGCAGCATTGCGTGGTCGCCTTTATACCGGCCATGTCGGCTGCGTCAGCCTGGCGCCCTCGGGAAGTGCTGGCTTCAGTCATTGCTATACTCTAGCGAGCACAGGCAGCGTGAATATTCCTCGATTTACCAAAAAAGGGAAGCAAGAGCCAGTGACATGGCAGGATCTGGGTGGATATAGGGCGTATATTGATAAATAGCGAGGTGGTGCTGGCAGTGGGACCAGGAAATGGGACATGAAGAATCAGAAAGAAAATGTCAAGATAAAAATATAGTTTTGTTTAGACTGCTGGGTACGGTGACGTTGATATGCTAAACCGGCTCGGTCGAACCTGACTCTGCACACCTGTTTGGAAGGTGGTTCTTAAAGCGGGTCGTGTGAGCTAGGGGCGAAAAAAAGGAGCAGGAAGGAAATATAGTATATATAATTTTAAACACATATGTATCGAGAAGAGTCCCACACCGTTGGATAGCTACGGGTAATATAATATCTGATGCGGTGTAGACGGAGCTAGCCTGTTATTGTCCCTCACAATATTCTGTCTCACCTGTTGTTCCTTAGCGAGGAAAATGGAAATTGGAAAGGGGAAGGCAGAAAAAAAAGGGAAGAAAAAAAAAAAAGCCTGGGTTGCGCTCCCGCACAGGCGCCTAGACGAAGAAGACCCGGTTCCTCCCGGACTTAACCAGTCCTATATTCGACTACAGCAAATAATAATAATAATCTGGACTGAGGACCCCTTTTTTTTTTTTTCTTTCCCCCTGGCTTCGAAACATGATAAGAAGAAGAAGGGGGGAAAAATGGATTCCTGGCCTGGGTTAGAGTAGAGGTGGTGCCACTTACATGCGGTTGTGGTGAGTTGCTTATTCGTCCACGCCTGATCTCGTCGCCTTACGTGTGAATGGTTGGTTGCACGCGCTGCCACGCTGCATACCATCTGCAGATTGGTTGGCTTCATGACTGGCTGGCTGAATCGTTACGAGTTGAGTGGGCGTGGGTGGTTCCATTGGGTGGTTTTGTCTTCTCTATTTACTTGCTGTTGAAGACTTTCGGAATGTTTGTGTCATTGGGCTAGCGTAGCATATCGCGCGGGATGCCGGCTGGAGATCCGCAGCAATGTAACAGAAACTACCTGCCTTGCCTACCACTGTAAACACTTTCTCTCTAATTTGGTTTTTATTTTCTGCTATGGTATCTGCTGCGTTGTCGAGTGGGCCACAATAAAACCTCGTTTAACACTGGCCTGGTCGGAGATCCAGACAGGAAGGAAGGAATCGGCATGTCCGGTTGTTTGGCTTTGAGTCATTTCAAGAAAGAATTTTTTTTGGGGGGGGGGGGGGGGTTTGTTCTTTTTCTTCTTACACATGCTCAAAGTACCAGAGAAGACGCAGACCATTCTTACTAAGAAACATGGCTATAAATATTTTGATAAGGCTTAGCGAAAATATCTCCTGAATCCTTCCGCCGCCGCCGCCGCCTCCTCTGTCGTCATCGGTTTGATAACGACGGGTAAAGAATTTCTTGATAGGGGAAGAGAGGAAAAAACGAAAAGAAAAAGAAAGAAAAAATGTTCATGGGTGGGCACACATAATGCATGTGCGGCAGCTCCCGAGACCCTCTTTTTCGGCTCCGCGATCCGTCCGCTCGGAGCTTACGCTGGCAGCACAGTGGGCTCGTAGCACCTTGTTTGATTATCGTACTATGTAGGAATTTTCAAGGTCAGGATCAGGATCACTGCCTCTGTCGTGGAGGCTGGGTGCGGTAGACCTTGGAACAGGGGGGATGCAGGCGGGTCCTGAGTGGTCTTACAATTTATCAAGGGACAACCCTCTTTTAATTGAGTCTTCTTTACACAGGGAACAACAATAGACAATAGTGTCCGACCTGGGGGCTTTCTGGGCAGGTCTAAGACAAATTTTTCCAACCTCTGGTTTGTGCCTTCTTGACTTTCTTTTGCTGTCATTTTTTTCTACACAAGCTCGCTGAGGGGGTCGACAAGGTCACTTTGCAGGAAGAAACAAGACAAAGAGGTTATGCAATGGTCCGTATCAACAGTCAATGCTGAAGAAAGGAAGAGAGATCAAAAAAATTACTGCAGTTGATGGCCCATTTGAGGAAGGGCATTTGTGTCCCATCCAAAAGCTAACGATAAAAGATCAAGCTCAGACTTAACATAGGCTTAGAGCAGCGTTTGCTATTACTGTAACTGATACTGATGTAGAAGATGTACAAAGTTCCTTTTGTGTAGTCGCATAGTTGCTTGGTCGAAGTTGGTCCTGCCGGAAACTCCATTCAACCCAATCTTGCTAAATTCCCTACCTCGACAATATTCACTCCAAGACAAATTGCCCTATTCTTCTCTCTGTTGGCTCATTACAACGGTCGCAGAAGGGCTATTACGACGCCTCCTCTCCAGCAGCCAGATGACTTTCTCACCGCCAGGGAGGTTACAGTGCTACAACAAGCTGGTGTTTTGTTCGGCCCTCTTCCAGAGGCACGTGCAAAGTCAATAGCACTCTATCCACCAATACCGCCGCCGTCTGGTAATCCACCGTCACTCCTTACCTTCGAGGTGTTTTCACATATCTAAAACATGCCGACATGTTGGGCACAGAGATGCTGTACCCTGATTACCGAAGCATTCTCAAATTCCATTGACTGAATGGCTCGTAACCTGCTCCCTCCTCGTCGTGACGACTTATAAGTTGTTGTGCGAAATGCCTGTAATGTTCCTGAAGTTGGATGAGCTCTCTGCTTCGTAAGACGAGCCGAGCCGTCTTTAGTGGAAGCAGAGCAGATTTAGAATTCTACTCAAGACTCAAAAAAAAAAAAAAATTTTCTTTGAATTTAATTGATACTCAATCTTTGCAGATTGGAAAGCTGTGGTGTAGGAGCAGATGCTGCGGCTGGACTAAGGCAGTGATTACTTAGCCCGCAAGTAAAGCACCTTTCTTTGGTAGCCCGTTGCAGTCACAATGGCAAGGGCGGCTCAAGCAACCCTGTCGTGCCTGGCCAAAGTAAGTTCTTTCGATGTCGTCAAACGGTGCGCCGCAAGGGTCCGAACCTCGGCCTCGACTACCCGCGTCTACCTTTTCCAGAGAGCTCCCAATTCTCTACTTTTCCAAACTCCGCCACCCGCAACGTGATAAGATCGAGGGAAACAACAAGACCTCCCGTCAACCTTTTCAAAGAAAAACCACGACCAGCCATCCAAACCTTTATCCCAACATCACAACCAGCAAAAGAAGAAGGAAGGAAGAAGAAGAACAATTCAACCCAACAAGATGCACACCCGCCTCCTCCAACGAACAACCACCTCTGGCACCCTCCGCCACATCCGCCACAGCATCCTTCCAACACCAAACCTCTTCGCCCGCGCCGCCTACTCCTCCTCCTCCTCCTCCTCCTCCTCCTCCACCTTCCAGCCCTCCCCTTCTCCACCCCGCCTCCCTGCCGACCAACAAGCCGAGTTCGAACGTCTCCAGCGCGCCGTCGCCGAGCGCTTCGCCGACCCAACCCCCTTACCACACGAACAACCTTCCTCTTCTTCTTCCTCTTCCTCCTTTTCCCCCGTCACAGGGACTTCGCGGCACACAACCACCACCACCACCACAACAACAACAACAACCACAGCAACACCATCACAATCATCTACCCCAGCCGCAAAACAGCAGCAGCAGGCGGCGGAGCTACCCACAGGCGGCGTATGGCGCGGCGCCAAGCCCGAGTTCGAGGGTGACATCAATCCCAAGACGGGCGAGGTTGGCGGACCCAAGACGGAGCCGTTGCGGTGGGGGAGTGGTGGGGATTGGAGCTACAATGGGCGGGTAACGGACTTTTAGAGAGAGGAGAGAGAGAGAGAGAGAGAGAGAGAGAGAGAGAGAGAGAGAGAGAGAGAGAGAGAGAGAGAGAGAGAGAGAGAGAGAGAGAGAAAGATGCGGCGAGTGGAAGACTCTCAAACCCCCCCTCCCACTCCTGGCTGGGCTGTTGGAGGAAGGGGGGGTGGGCTAGGAGCATGAGATCAGCCAGCAGTGCAAGACTTTGGCTGTGCTTCTCTCGAGAGACGGTGGCAAGATGCATGTCGAAGCAAGCAATTCTGGATTGCGCTGGAGACGGTGTCAGGGCCGAGCGGGAATCAAACACTAACGAATCAGTTGAACTTTCCCTGCCGGTACATCTCTAACCGTTAATCATGGCTCATGTATCTATTATATACACCTGTGTTGGAATACCTATGTTCCAAAAGTACAATGATAATATATGCTCGCTCATATACAACACTCTATCCACTGCCGTCGAAAAGACAGCAACGCCTAATTGATGTCCTTGATCTCCGTCCCTGTGCGAATAACCAAACGCAGGTATCTTTGAATCCAATGTCGAATCCAGTTGTTTTTGGTTCGTAACCATGTATGCCGAACGCCTTGTGTAGGTATATATATCTTCATGCGCCTTGGATCCAGCTCCGATGATGCTGATAATGACGACGATGATGATAACAACCTCATGAACTCCGCAAAAGGCGATTCCGATACATTGTTTTTTTTTTTTCGTTGCAGACATGGTCTGCCGCGCGACCACCTTCCAAGCTCGTGTCTCGGGTGACCCTCAATCATCTGATGGAGGGGTCAGCCGGCTCGCAGCTGAGAGAGGCTCGACCGTGATGGGCACGCTCACCGTGTCCGCTGCTGCTGCTGCTGCTGCTGCTGCTGCCGCCGCCGCCGCAGCAGCATCACTCACGTCCCCGATGCCACTATCATCGTCTGTGTTGTTCTGCTCGCCTTGCTGGTCTTCGTGTTCAGCGTGGAGGCCCGACTCCCGCACGACATCCTTGGCACCAGTCCTCGCATCTGCTCCTCGGGGGCTCCGGTTCTGCTGGACACTTCCTGCACGGTCGCTCCCGCTCACTGACTGGTTTTCCTTGTTGCCATCGCTTGCTGGCGCCTTGGTCTTCCCACTGAGCGACAGGAGCCCGGACCCCGTGTTTGGGTCAAGCCGTACCTCAAACACCTTGGATCTCTCGACCTCCTTCATCGCCTTCCGCATCCGTTCTCGTCTGGCCTGTCCCCTCAGCCGGCTTTGTGCCCCGGCGCCATTGGTGACGAAGCGGACAGACTCGATTGTGAAGCTGAGCCCATCGTGGCTCGACCTCTGTCCCTTCCGACCTAGCCGCCCGCCCCACTCCCGACTCTTGATGCCGAACCTTGTGGTGGACGTATACTGCTCTAGTTTTGGCAAGATCATGACCATCACGTGCATGTCTTTTCCCGCTGGCGCTGCGACAGGTCCAGTCCGCAGGGGTTCTTCCAGAAATTCGGGACTAGGCCTCGTCTCGCCAGGCGCCTTGCCTCGGCCCTTCTTCCCGCCCTTGATCTCCTTGACATCTGCACCGGGCCCTACATCCAGGCCCAGCATCTCGACGTCGACATCCTCGGACCATTCACCTCGGATCCACCCGCCGTGGATGCAAGCTGCCACGACATCCGAATCGTCCGTATACACGTCCGTCCCCCATACAGCCCGCCGGGACGTGATCTCTGCCCTCGCAGACGAGGTCAGGTGCTGTTTTCCGACCTTGACCATAAGCGTGCTTCCCTCTTTCCCCCTTATGATATCAAGCGGCAGGGGCTTCGGCGTAGACGAGTACGCGTGACGCGGCGGCCGTCCGGTGCGAGGGTCCTGGATCCGTGCTGGTTGTAGGCTTAGCTCGTAGACGAAATCGCCCAGGTGCTCACGAGGCTTGTGAGCGACCGCTTCCAAGACAGCCTCGTTCGAGATGATGCGCTTTGTCTTGGGTGGGATGATCACTGCTGGGCCCGGAAGGGGAGCGGCGGCGGCGGCGGCGGCGGCAGCGGGCCGTGTGTTTTGTTGGTCCCTGGTTTGTTCGTGAGCTACAGATCGTGGGGGAGCATGGTGGTGTGTCATGACGAGGTCCTTCGCAAGGCCGGTGGGGGAAGAGGTCTGCGTGGGGCCTTTGACACTATTAAACAGCGAGACACCGGCCTGCTGAGGCGACATCTGCTCGGGAATGTGATGGTGGTGATGGTGATGGCTAATCAATGTGTAAGTTTAGTGGGTGGGAGGGCAAATGACATCCAGGGGATCAGGAACGTACTGGTGATGGTGATGGTGCGAATGAGTCTTGAGCCGCTTGGCTCTGCCCAGCGGTGTGCTTCTTCCATTGCTCTCCTCTTCGCCCTTGACATCCTCGTCCTTTGCCTTCCTGCGCTTGTTCCGGGAGGCGGTATCGCGGCCAGCTTTGGCATCGCTAGCCACCTCCTGAGGCACATGTTCAAGGTCCTCACGCCTGCCCATGCTGCTGTTGGAATGCGCCAGCTGGGCGCCAGATGCAACAGGGCTTGACACCCCCAGGCCACCAAGCCCACTTCCGATGCCAGAAAACATACGACCAAATTCGCTCTTGATGCCGGCCTCTCCAGGCGGTCCTTGCAGCTGGGGCTGGGCACCCTGGACTGCCTGGGGTAGTGGCGATATGCGGCCCTTTCTGTTGATTTCCTGTTGTATGCGTAACAAGTTTTGCTGTGGCGCCATGGGGTGTGGCGCATCCTCTGCTGGTCGAGACCGCGGTGAACCAAAAAGACCCGGATGGCCGTTGCTATAGGCGACTGAGGGAGGAGGCGGGCCTTCTTCCCCAGGTCGGCGAGGCGGTTGCTGATGCTGTGGAGGGAGCCCGACAGGCCGGTGCCGCTCTGGAGATTCGTGAGGTGTAGCTGGGTGGTGTGCCACTGGTTGCGGATGCCCTGGATGAGAGGATGGCGGGAAGCGGTCGAGCGGGGATGGCGCATATGACCCAGCAGGATGGCTATACGGAGGGGCAGAACTGCGCGGGTACTCTGGCTGCCGTGGTGGTGGTGGGGGTGGTGGTTGGGGGGGCCTGGCTTCCTCATAAGAGGGGCCCCGAGGCCCTTCATACGGTGCTCTCTGCTGCCAGTGTCCCTGCTCACGAGGGTCTGGCGGAGCCGGCGGCCTGGCGTATTGAGGCGGAAGAGGCCCATCTCTCCTTGGCATGCCTGGCGGGCCGTACTCGGGAGGAGGGTGCATGCCGTGTGGCCGTCCAGGATCACTACCAGACATAGTCCTCTCCCTCCTCTCGCGCTCACGCTCTCGCTCGCGCATGTCCATCTCCCTCTGCTCATATTTCTCCCGTTCGAATCTCTCCCGTTCGAACCTGTCCCGCTCGAACTTTTCTCTGTCGGAGAGCATTCTCTCGTCATACTTGAGCACGATGGGCCGCTCTGGGTTGTACTCTGCGCCTGGCCCAAGCTCCTCGCGCCTCCCATACATGTCGGGATGCCCAGGCCTTCCCAGCTCCATTGGGCGGGAGGGTGGCGGCTGATACGCCTTGGGCTGACTGCTCGGCCGTGGAGGGGGAACCGCGCCGCTCGGAACCCTCTGGTAGTCTCTGGAGTGCTCCGTAGGACCCATAGGCGGTGGAGGGTGTCGGAAAGTCTGTGGCGTGCCGTACCTCTGCATCTCTGGTGTCGGGTGCATACTATGCGGCGAGCCCCCAGGATTGCGTGCATCTCGAGTGTCGTACATTCTCTGGTGTTGTTCAGGTGTATGTGGTCGTCGATAGGAACCATAGTCGGCGGGGCTGGGGTTCATCCTCGGGGATGCATGCGTGCTCGAGGTATAGGGCGGCGCTGACATGCCGGTGGATGTTGAAGGCTGCTGGAACGAGGGTCCAGCAGGTTCACGAGATGGTCCCCCAAGCATATGAGATATCGACATGGAGCTCCCGCCGCCCGCCGTCCTCGGCAACGACCCAAGGGCAGGCAGCTCACGGCCGCCGGGAAACGCTGTCGAGGGCCCAACAGATACCGGAGGTGGTCTCGGTGGAGGGAGACTGTATGAAGAGGGCCCTGCTCCCATTTGCATACCCGGGCTGGGCCCTGCGCCTTGGCCAGGCTGAGTGGGGGAGCCTGGGTGCGGTCCAGACCGATTCATGGAAGACGCAGTGGGCATCGAGGAGGAGCTCTGATGGCGCGAGTGGTTCGAGGGCGCAGACGGGGCCGGGTCATATGCTCGAGAAGGAGGGAAATAGTGCGGGTCGGAGGTCCTCCTCTGAGGGTGGTCTGGCGGGTAAGCAGAGCCGCCTGGAGGAGGAGGATGTTGAGCATGTTGTTGCTGTTGCTGTTGCTGTTGCTGTTGCTGTTGCTGTTGCTGAGAGGAGCCGAATGGAGTCTGCGCAGGGGTGGAGCCGGCCGAAGAGGGCGTGGGGGGAGGAAGGGTCTGCCGGGCATAGAGAGGAGACTGCGCGTTTCTAGAGAAGGGGAGGTTGGGCGGCGGCTGTGAATGTCTTGGATCTCGAGGATCCATCTTGCAGGAGGGGGGGGGGAGGCCGTGAGGCGGTGGTCAAAACTTTTCGAGTATCAAGCTGTTGACGGGGAGTCTGGCAGGGCGGAAACGGTGGTGGCAGCACAAAGGGACGCCCAAGTGCATCACCGAGCGCAACGAGTGCTCGTCCTGTCTGTGCAGCAGTGGGCAGCAGCAGACAGTGCTAGATCGACGGCAAGCACCAGCAAACAAGCTTGAAAGAGGTGTGCGATATGGTTGGGGATACGGCGTGGCGGGCAGGTGAGGTGAGCTACTCAAGAAAGCTGGGACTCGGTCGCATGCGGTACGTGGTACCAAACTTCTCTCGTCTCGATCGAGTGCGCCGGCGTCTTGGTGTTGGAGGGTGGACTGAGACCCCCGTTGTTGCAGATGCGCGTTTGTGTGGGAGGTCGGTTATCAGGTGTCGTCAAAGAGGAGGAGTAGGAGGAGGTCGAGGTCTTGGAAGCAAAGAAGATAATAGACACAAGTCTGTGTTTGTGATCCACAGAAGAAAGAAGCGGTAGTGGCATGCGCTGGGGACCTTGGCACTTGGGAGACCTGGGAAGGGGAAAATATGGGGAAGTTGAAAGGCGACAAGAAGCTGGGCCTGGTGGGAAAAGGATGTTGCAGGGGGTTGGGCAGGGTAGGGGCAGGGGCCGAGGGCCCTAGGGAGGGTGGGGAGAACAGAGAAAGGGCAGGGGCGCTAAATTGGGACATGGATCGTCATCAAGTTTGTGCAGCAAAAGGTACAAACAACACACCAGCTTCTGACAAGCTGTTCGTGATGGTAGCCCTTTTTCTTGTTTAGAAAGCATCACCAGCAGGAGATACACAGCAAGGCATAAAATGAGCACTCAATATCTGAAGACTCAGGAGGTTGTTTATTTTCTTTTTCTTCTGTTTCCAGCCTGCTTCACAAGAGTAGAAAAATACAGAGGACAAGAGAATGACGGATCACGTTTGACAGTTCATGGAGGGTAACAAGCAGAAGCATGAGCTGGAGCAGGGGTGGGGGCAGCACACGCTAGTCAGGGTCCATGGCCTGGAACGACAGGGATAGGCCCAGTACATATTGTTTCTCCTTCGAATTTTCGTCCAGTCCCCAGTGGTTGCAGAACCCCATGACCGTGAAGCTCTGATGCCGTCACCACAGAGTATTAGCAACGAGTAAGAGGCCGGCATCAGAATATAGTGAAGCAATGTTAATAGTCAGTTGTATTTAGCACAGCAAAACCCAAATGAGACAAGAGACAGATACTGACCCGATAGATCGATCATTATGCTTGAATGGAAGGTAGGTGGTATGCTTCCAATGCTATCAGCATCGACGAGAAACAGACCGCCATTCCCGTCGCAACTAAGTGGGTGGTGGGTGGGTGAGATCATATGCAACGGCAAGCTGCAGATGATACCTAAGTGCTCTTCAGGCGAGAAAAGCGGGGGGAGGCCAGAGATGGATGGTACTGGGTAGTGGTACTATAGTAGTAGCAAATAAAATGATCCCTGACTAGGATACTGACAGTTCTTGACGACCTTTTTGGAGGGTGAGAGGGTGAAAAGAAAGCCATAAAAGAAAGCCAGAAGAAGAAAGGCAAAAAAGCGAAAGCAAAACAGATAGGGAGAAAAAAAAAGAGGAAGGTTGGGGTGGAGAAGGTCCATATCTCCCATTCCGGATACTGCCATGATAACCAGAACTCACAGTAGAAGTATATTCCCAGTGCATGCTGCTCAACATACTTCACACTATCAGTCTTTGTTTGTCTGTCAGACCAGTCATTTTAGTTTTCGTTATGTTTTCGCAGCATGACTTGGTGTTGAATCTCAAGCCAGGTACCATACAAAGTTACTAGTCATAGTCTTACATCTCCTTCTCACATGCTTCCGGACCCATCTAAATTTTTCTTTCCTCTTGTATTTCTCCCCAGGACTCAGGACCAAACTGCCGTCCGTCAGCCTACACCATTCATTATAGTTAGGCCCTGAATCATCCCTTCTGACATGCATCTCGGCTCCGTGTTAGGAAGTAATCCCGTGCTGCAGGTGCAAAGAGGAAAGACCAGATTTCTGTTCTGGGGCTGGACTGAGAGTGTTCTGGGAACTTGCATCGACTTTTAATCGAGATCACATGCAGGGCTTGAGTGCATCTTCAGCTGTTGCCACTGTAGCAGCCTGACTTCCAAGTTGTCTTCCCCGCCGCTGGGGCAGCCCAGCAGATGAACCCCCCCCCCCTGTTCACGTCTTTTCGAGGGTGGGGTACAATGACCTTGCCATCCCAGCGGCGACCCTGAACCTCATCCGTCGGGAGCGCTTTCCCGGCAACGGCAACCTCCGCTATAACCAGTACCTTTCTCATTAAAGAAGTATCGACTATAGTACCTACCATGGGAATGAATGACCTTTTGAAGCAACTCAACCCAGACTCTGCAGGGACAGCCTGAATTAGGGCCTCACAAACATACCAAAGCCCTCTTCTCTCCCATCTTTCTATTCCCAAGGTCTTCAAGAGATCCATATCAGGCACCACTAACTCGGATAACACCGGCCCAACAACAGTGATCATCCAGTTCTGAAGATGGCTTTATCCGCGTCGCAGAAGCAATATGCTCTCCATCTGCCGACTACGTGGAACACGTCGATACTAAATGTTGGCTGTTGCACCATCCTTGACTGCTGATGCCCCATGGACCTGATCGACTCACCTCCGACACGTATCAATTTGTTGTACCTCATACAAGTCACATACAGGGTAGAGGGCTGCCTTCAAAACATGAGGCGGCACGAGACCGCACTGCAGCGGACTCTTCTGCAATGCTACATGCCACCACACCATCTATTTGGGCTCCATCTGACATCCGCCATCCACCAAACACATCTGTCCCAATCTCTTTCTCTCTCTATGTGTGTGTGTCTACCCTACCATCCACAAAACATCCAGTACTTGCCACTCATTGGCGGTTGCCCCCTTCCTGGCCTCCTTCCACGGGCCTCCCAACTCCAGCGCTTTCCGACCACGCTGACTATCACAGGAGACTACCAGTGTACATAGTACTTTCGTATATCAAGAACACTGGACAGGGGCCATGTCTTCCCACTCGTGGGTCCTATTGTCTGGACTCAAAACCGGTTTCTCCGACCAGCTGATGCAGACTACGCGCCGCCATGCCATGCATGACATCGTCAAGACAAGTCTTCATCGCTTCAAGCATTTCGTATGTTTACCTTCTCTAGGAAGGATCTTCGCCATCGGCACGGCAGGGATGTCAATGCCACCCGGGTACTCTGGGGACGGCAGACGGTATGAATTTATTTTTATAATGATTATTGTCAAAACTTCGTCTTTCGAATCAGCCATGGGAAGCCATGCCGGAACTTTCCGCCCGACCCGTCTCATTACAGAAAATCCATTCTGTATGCATGTATACCCGGTTTGGAGCGCCACTTGTAAGAGGGCGAAAAAGCAACTGCTGGGCTGTGCAATACCAGTTTCAAATGCCCTCCTTCGATTGGTCCTCGTACCTGCATTTTCTTCTTTGCTTTTCCCGCGGGGAAGGGAATACGAGTTCTGGGGAGAGGCTGAGGGACAAAAGCAGAGAAGAAAGAAGTAAAAACCCGATCATAATTACGTCGCCGCGCATGTCAAGCTCCCTGCAGGCCGCATGAGGGGACGAGGTTTGGGCCGCAAAAGCAGCTTACTCAAGAGAAGCGTTGGTTACTTTCTGCTGCTTCTACTTCGGGAAAATCGGAGGCATCACTGCATGTGGCGAAAGAAGCAAGCCATGCAGCAGCTGAACGCGGAGTACGCAGGGCTCAGAAGAACAGAAGGCAAAAGTAATAATCTAATTATTCGTAGAGAAAGAGAGAGATCATCTGCTGTCCTGACCCCCTTCGGTGGACGGCTGATGCCGCCTACTATCAACTACGTATACTATTGTTCCGAGCGGCGAGGACCGGCCCTCTCCGTGCTATTCTTGGCCATCACAAAGCAAACGAGAGACAATAGACTGTTTTCCCCCGCCTCGTGTGCCGTCGCTTTGTCCAGACGGGTAGACTCTGCTCTATATAGCACAAAGAGCTTGAACGCGTCTCGATTCATGCAGCTCATGAGTTTGAGATCTTCACATACACACTCATATCTAGGGGAGGAGGAGATTATTGCTTGCCTGGACATTGGTCTGCAACTCTCTCTCTCTCTCTCTCTCTCTCTCTCCCTCCCATACGGTCTACATCGAGCTGCTCTGACCGATTGCGGCTTCTCGAGCTGTCTCCCTCTCTCTCACACACACACTACAGCTTTTGCAGTCCACCAAGTAACTTCACACTGCACCCATCCACCCAAGAGAAATACACATACGTCCTGATCACAATGTGTAAGCTAACACCCCCCCCCCCAAGATCCAAACATCACTCTCTCTCTCTCTCTCTCTCTCTTCAAGTCCCGTATCTTTTCTTCTCTTCTCGTCCTTCCTCCCACACGACCCGCGGTCCACCAGGTGGCTAATAAGAGACACTCAACCCCAGGCTGCGCCTTCGAGGAACACAAGCGCTGTCAAAAGTGCAGCAAGATCTGGAACCGCGAGTCCCACCACATAGCCTGTGCCAGACCTTTATGCCGCCGCGACTTGAACCTCTCGAGCATGCCGCCCCTGGTGAACACCGATACGTGTCTGACGTGTAGGATGGCCAAGAGGCGGGAGCAGGAGGAAATGACGAGGAGGCCGGCGTCGAATGCGACTACATCGACGACGGCAACAACAGTGGCATCAGAGGAGGCAGAAACAGATGGGAGTCGTAGTGGCGGCGGAAGCAGCAGCACGGGCAGTAGGGGCAGTAGGGGCAGCAGTATGGGCAGCCGCAAGCTGACGCCGCTGTTTTGGGACTCGAAGATGAATGGGTTCAGTGACGTGTGGAGCTTCAGTGGCGAGTCGTCGGAGGATGATGGTTGGGACAGTGTGCAGTTTTGACATGATTTCTTACGTTGTTTGAGGTCCAGATGTCTTCTTTCCTTTCCTTTCGTTTTCCATTCTGTTCCTTCACTGCTTAATCGTCTCTCCAACCATCACTCAGTCATGCTGAACGCTTTTATGTAATGAATGAATAAGATGAATTGCTGGTTGAGCCATTGCTCAGCATAGGTACTTTGTCCAAAGGCATGAGTTGTATCAGGTAGTCTGGTAATATCAATTCGTCTTGCTTAAGATGGAAGAACAATAGAGCAAAGGGCAGGACTGACTGTACTCGTTGGTATACACATAGGGCCGTAATGCCATATCTGTCAGAACGGGACCGCAGTCAGATACAGGGCCGCAGATCGCAATCAGTATGCCATCCATCTCTCTTATGACGTTTGCCATCGCTTTGGTAGGTAGTGTTGGACATGCTGGTCGATTCTAGACGGGTAATGGCCCCTACCGAGTGTACTCAACAAGGTTGCGCGCCAGGGTGACCCTGATGCGGCGGTGAAGGTTGTGATGCGATGCGCCGGGGTGTCGTGCCCTGAGGCCGGGAGAGGGAAACAAACAGAGGAAGAGCAGAAAGCGGAGAGGAAACATGAGGGTCAGATTCCACACTGGCTTGGATACGCGACGATTGATTCTGATCAAGGCAAAATACAAGAGAACTATTTATTTTTAGAGACAGTGTTTCCTTAGTCTTGACCCGGAAAGGCAGACATATAGACCAAATGTATGACTTGAAGAGTTATTAATCAGAGGAAGATCAAGTCTCGATTTATCTAAACAGAAAACATTTCTAGGTGCACATCATGAGTGAGAGGGATATCCATAGACATCCTTATATGTGGCGAGACATGGCTTTTGGCCTCATACACGGGGCGGTCCCTTCCGTCACCATCATACAAATTTCATATTTTCAATTACGCAGTGCCGCGTTCACACGCATCATGAGACTGAATTCGACGGCTTCTCTGACAAGGTACTTGGGACATGGGTCTCAGAGCAGGAGAATGAGACCGAGATTGATGAATATTCTTCTGCCCGTCTTTACAATAAGGTATGAATCGTAGAGTCTGCCGCAGCAAATGACAAGGTCGAGACATCGAGACCAATTTAGATTCTACTTCTTTTCATTTGTCTTCTGTTTGAATCCTTGGACGCTTGTTCCAGGATTTGACAAAAGGGCTCATGTTTGGCGGACAGTCACTCGGCGTAATTATGCTGCCGATAATACAAGAGGCGGTCAACTGAGCAGCTCGCCACCCTCAGCGGGACAGGCAACAACGGCTGTCTGCAGTCTAGCAAATCGCCATGTCCGGGCACGACCAAAAGGTTTGGATATTTGCTGTCGAGCTGCCCGCTGAGAAAATAATCCTAACGCTGCCGCCATGAGCGCATGCACCCGTCTGCAGCTGCCACCCCGCTTGACTAAGATCACCGATCCTTCCTGCTGAGCCGGTCTGTAGAGAGGGATAGTTGATCCCGGCATACTGGTACAGCTCCGCATTGCAGCTGAATGATCCCGGAGACATAGTTTAGGTTTGGTATTGTTGGTGCTTGGCGCGGAAGAGCGCATAATGGCGCACCCCAACAGAGAAAAGTAGGGAAGGGTTTCTATACACTTATTGGATATCTCGTGGATGAAGCCATGGGCATTAGTGCAAGAGCTAAGCATAGCCTCATGGCAGACACGGCAAATCAAAGGCTCTTTCCACCCTGTGTAGATCACACTGTAGGCTTGGTCCTTTTGATGTTGGTCCACGCCCGTTCGTTCACATTATCGTGAAGGCATTCCGAAAGCCTTGTTGGTCTTCTAGTATGTATGCATGTCAGAGTTTCAAAGCAATGCCGCTCATAACCAATCCAACCAATATAGGTAGTATTTCCGCTACTAGGAAGCTTAGCTGCTATTGTTTAAGCAAAATTCATAGAGGTCCCGGCAACCAGTCACAAGTCCAGGCAGCCACAAACCTTCCCATGTTGTATCATAAGACTCTAGTTCCGGCCCACCTGCTGAAGATCTATGACAGTGCCCACAAGGATGCCGGGGTGCCTTTTTGAGGCTCAAACAAGTCGCTCTATAACAATTTCTCAAAGTCTCCTCCCCTCAGCTCCTGGAAGAACCTGCCAACATGTGCATATCATCCTTGGAACTTCACATTCTTACTTGAGACATCCTTTTCTACATCTATCGTTTACACCAGAAGCACCACTCATTGTTTGAGTACTTCCTTTCTCTTGTATTTCTTTATCTACCTGTCTCCCACTCTTTCTCCCCTTTCTTTCCTCTTTCGAAAGCTTCAACACGAGCACCAGACTCTCATATTCAACATCTTGGCCACTGTGTCCTCTCTTATGGTTTCTCTACTGCAGTAGGGCAAACAGGCGGACATGGCTAGTTTCAACGACATGTCGTCTTCGCTGCTGGCGGGCGCCAACGCCACAGTGCCACTACAGCAGATGGAGGAGTTTCTAGGAAACGTGGCTGGTTTCGGCTGGCTTCAAGGCTTCATCTCGCAGTGGATCAAGCTCGACATTACCACGATCGCCGCTGCGGTCACCATCCTAGGCACACTCTCGGGCGTATTCCAGTTCCTGCACTCGTTCGCCGTCAAGGTCTACTGGTACGTCACGCGGTTCTTCACAGCCTCGGTATCGATCAACGCGCGGGACAAGCTCAACCGGGAGGTTCTCAACTGGGTGGGCTCCCAGGTTCTCGCGCAGCAGGGCGCCCGAGTAATTACCGCTCGTTCTTCTCAGATCCATTCCGACGCCTTCTTCTACTACCGCCGCACACCGCAGATTGAGCGCATCGACTACGAGGTCGAGAAGCGCAAGCCCATCCAGTATCTGCCGACCTTTGGCAGCACGTGGTTCCGCCACGACGGCAATGTCTTCATCGTCCGGCGCGTCTCAGGGTTGGCTTCGGGTGCGTCGGCCACCACCACCTCCTCCTCCTTCATGGACAACGTGCCGGATGAGTTTGCTTCTGCTCCTGAGGGCACCGAGCCGCTCGTGGTTATGTGTCTGGGCCGTTCTGTTGAGCCTGTTAAACGGTTCCTCAGCACGTGCCAGAAATTTGCAGAGAAACAGCGCGGCGCGTATGTGACGATAAGGGTCTCCAAGTCGCGGTACGATGATGAGTCGTGGGAGACGACAATCTTGCGGCCGATCCGCCCGATCGAGACGATTCATTTTGACGAGGAGACCAAGGCCAGCCTGGTTGCTGATATTAAGTCTTACCTGGACCCTGTCACACGAAAGTTTTATACCGATCGTGGCATTCCGTACCGGAGAGGTATGTCAATAATTACATCTGCTACAGTCCTTTTCAGAGAGCGAAACCTACAAGAATTGTGATATCTCTTGGATGTACCTTACCTTATTACTTACGCCTTATGTGTGCTCGTATACTGTAGGCTATTTACTGCACGGCCCAGCCGGCACCGGAAAGACAAGCCTCTCAATGGCCCTGGCTGGCCTTTTTGGCCTTGAGCTTTACCTCCTCCACCTCCCCAGCGTGAGAGGAGATTATGAGCTCGAGAAGCTCTTTACCGCTCTGCCCCCACGGTGCTTCATTCTCCTAGAGGATATCGACGCAGTCGGCATCAAGAACCGTGGCAGCTTCTTCAGGCGTGCAAATGACGCGCACCAAAGCCCCGAGGACGACAACGACGAAGAAGAAGACGATGTGGAGGATGACGACAGCTCGAAGCTGGGAATCCGCAGCTCTCTCTCCCTGTCAGGGCTGCTCAACGTCCTGGACGGCGTCGCCTCGCAGGAAGGCCGGATCGTGTTGATGACGTCCAATTTTGCAGAGCGTCTGGACCGCGCCCTCGTTCGTCCGGGCCGTATCGACAGGATGATTTTTCTCGGCAACATCTCGCAGAGGTCTGCAGAGTTGATGTTCATGCGCATGTACGACGGGGATTCTTTGCTCGCCACGTCTCATGATGATACCCAGGCGGCGAGGGTGAGCGTGGCTGGAGAGGAGGAGCTGAAAAAACTGGCGCTGCAGTTCGGCAGATATGTCAAAGCTGATACTTTTACACCTGCGCAGTTGCAGGGCTACCTGCTGAACCACTGCAATGACCCCCGAGGGGCCGTGGAAGGGCTTGACAAGTGGATGGCTGAGGAGGAGGCCTGCATGGAGGAAAACAAGAAGCGCCTTCAGGAGGCTGCTCGAGCGAGAAGGAAGAGGAAGGAGAAGCAGCTGAGACTGCTGGTCAGCCCACGGCCAGGAATACACAATGCTTGTATGGGAACTGGAGGCGTTTCTGGTTTGCGGGACTCGATTCCGACACCGCCTGCCAGTGCTACACTTGCAAGTCGTTGTAGCTGTGGTGGCTCTTCCGACCAAGTTGAGGAGGACAAGGGGGCAGGGGACGGCCAGGAGGGCAAGATTGCGAGCACTTTCAATACTCATGTAATATCTGTTTGATTAGACTTTTCTACGGAGCTCTGAACTCGGTATTGGCGGTCGTCCTGCAGACCTTAATCAACCCTTCCATCTTCTCCTACTCGTCGTAATCCTCTAAATCTTTCATGTACACTGTTAGCCACACACTACCAGAAAATATCAACAAGTGGACGGGGAAAAGGTTGTTGCAATTGTTTCATAACCTGCATCGGTCCTTGGAACATTTGAAGTCATCAGCCGTGCCCAAGATGACAGCAAGTTTAAGCGTCTGACGTTTCTAGGTTTCACAAACTTTCGCGGCAGAGGGGTATGTATGACATGCAGCGCTGTAGTACGAAGTCAACCTACGTCTGGCCACACATTTACGACACAGCCATCCTGCCTTTCGGGAAGCAAGCCGCATAATATAGCACTCGAACGGGATCAGAAGCGACTTTGACGGTGTTCACAGCCTTAGGCGGGACGATGTGCTCACACTCGCAGAACTGGTTCACCAACGAGTGTCTACTTTCATATGACCATATTATATATTATGTAATACGTATCACATGGTGTCCCATTTCCTGACTTTATGAACAAATACGTAAGCATATGCCTTTCGATGTGGGTGTGAGAGCTGCGAAAATAATCAGTAGCTTTTGCTCCTCGCTCCAAACGTACCCGCTTAACGGATAATCCCTTTTCCAATGTCCTGGACATCAGGTAAATCCTTCAGCCTGACCTTCTCTTACATCTCTTGTAATGTCGTGAAAGCACGAGTCGAGAGATCTAAATGATGGTTGTTCACTCCACCGCACGTGCACTCATCCAACAATTTATCGAAGTAGTAATTAGATAGATCATCTGAGAAACGGCTCATATATGCTTGTCCACTTCACTTCTTTCTCATTATAGCGAATTATATTAGCCACAACTTGAAGGACAAGCAGGTACCTTGCTCGACCCAGGAATTCTTCCCCATCTGCGCTCAAAGCAAGTACCTGAAACCTTTCCTCATCCTCAGCGCCTCATCCACCGTCGTGCCCTCCATCTCGGCAGTCTGGTGGGCAATATCTTCAGCATCCCAATCAGCCAGCTCACCAAGCTCCAGCTTCTTGTTCAGCCGGCTCAGCATCATCCTGAACACCAGACAACCCATTATTGTAACGCCAAACATGGCCGTGACAATGCCATACGATTTGCGATACCCGTTGGCACTCAGGTCCCACACATACGAGCCTGCGATATTACCAAATTGGGAGAAGGCGTTGATGGCGGCGAGGGCGACGGCACGCTTGGCAGGAGGTCGAGGGAACGATGATGAGATCCACGAGTAGAAGACAATGAAGCTGCGGCGTGTAAGGGTCAGAACCGTGGTAATAGTAATCAAGAGATGCGCGAGAGAGAGAAATGCAGTATGAAACATACCCTGCATAAGAGCTAGCCTGGAGAAACAAGGCCACATAACGACCTGCAGTGCTGAGCGTCGACATGGAAATAATAAATCCAATGAGGCCAAATATGATGGGTCCGATAATATGCCAAAACTTCTCGCCAGTCTTGTCCGAATGCCACGCATTGATCAGGGACACAATGCAGGCAAACACCCATGGCGGGGAGCTCAACAGCAGGGTCGGGACATACCCATAACCAAGCGTAGCGGTGAGTGTAGGCTGTGTAAAATGAACCTTTGGTCAGCAGCCTTCTTCCACTCTGCTGGAACACGAGGTCACCATAGCTCGGATGACTACTCACAAAGAAGGCATTGAAAGACAACCCAATCACGTATGCCATGAGCGTGAACATCATCACCCACACACCGGCGTCCTTGAGAGCCAAGACCAGGCCGTCCGTCACGCCCTGGTCCTTGGAGTCGGCATCCGCCTCGCCCACGTCCTCGACCATGCGGAGCTGGGCAACCTGGCGCTCCTCCTCCGTGAAGCCGCGAGTATTGTGCGGCAGGTCAGGGAGGATGAAAATGGCCGCGATGGCGACGAGCATGGTGACACCGCCCTCGATCCAGAACAGCCAGCGCCACGCCGCATGGCCGAGCGTGCCCTCCATATTGGAGAGGACGCCGGCGCCGACCAGCGCGGAGAAGGCGTTCGAGATGAGATTGCCGCAAAAGAGAACCGCGTTCCTCGTCGTCAGCTCGCGCCGCGTGTACCACTTGGACAGGATGAGCAGGGCGCCAGGGAGAAAGGCCGCCTCGATAAAGCCCAAGAAGAACCGCACCAGGACCATGCCCGCGAAGCTGTGCACGGCGCCTGTCACGGTCGACAGCATGCCCCAGAGCAGCATGACGATGCCGAGGTACAGCGAAGGGCGGGGGATCCGGTTGATGAACATGTTGGAGGGGACCTGCATGAGGATGTAGCCCACGTACAGAATGCTGAGGCAGGTTTCGTACTGCGTGTTGCTGAGGTTCAGGTCTGTCTGGAGGCCCTTGAGGCGCGCAGAGGCGATGTTGTTCCTGTCGAGGTAGTTCATGATGTAGATGAGCACGAACAGCCCGCAGCGGGCGTCGAGCTTGCGCTTGAGGCTCTTCTCGATGCGCACGCGGTGCTCGGGTGTCATATGGGCCACATTGAGGTTAGACTCTCCGCCGTTGTTGGTGTTGCTGTCGTGGTTCTCGGGAGGAGGACTGGAGATGTGCTCGAGGTTCGTGACATTTTGCTTGGCTGATTCAGAGCCGCCTGGGGCGGCGCTGGAGATCTCATCCGGCATCTTGCTGCGAGCCTCGATCGTGAACTCTTTGGGAGACAGACACCAGAAAGTCAGAGGGTGGGTGAGTCTCTTCTTTTGGCCTCGTGATGGTCGACCAAGAGAGGGGAGAGGAGACACGAGGGATATATTATACTTAGACAGACCCCTCGGAAGAATGTAAAAAGGAATCAGCCGAGATCGCAAAGATTGAGGTGGAAAAGACGACAGGACATGGCCAACTTTTTAAACCATCAGCAGTCGATCCACTTTTACCTCCGCCTCCGCAGCACATAGCAGTTGAGCCGGCCGTCTTTAACCCCAGAGTGACCCACTCCGATGGTCGACCCCGTGGAGAGGTGGGATGATCCGTTGCCGTTGCGGGACTAGATTCTCCCACCGAGACGCAGCTTATTCGTGTTTACGCAGTGGATAGTGGTTCTCATTGTCAAGCTTGCATTGGTTTCATTTGTTTGCAGCCTCTCGGACCAATGAGGCCGAGAAAAATAGTTCCGCACTGGTCTCGCTACAGTGGAACCTCTTTGAAGAAAGTGTTGGATCCGGGATTATCATGGTCTCGATGTCTGGGGTGCTGAAGCGAGCCTTGGATTTGCAGGTGGGGATTTCCACTTCCAGTGAGGGAAAGAAGGAAAAGAAAAAGAAAAACGGGGACGTGTTGATGATGTTGACGCGAGGAAATTCTCTAGTGCTACGTGGTTCTGGAAGATGCTCTTGCTCTATGATTTGGCTGTTGACCCTGCCCAGGTGATGGTTGCTCCTTGCCTCATACGAATTCGTTTGTCACTTTGAAAATATTTCCGAATCTCAACGTCTGGCGAAGCAGATAATATTGCTTATGATTACGTACCAAGTAGGTGTCAGGTTGCCCGTCAAGCTGTCATCCAATACAAGAAGAACTGTTGTTGATTTAACTTTGTCTCAAAGAGGTAATTAATACTAAGCCGTCCTTTGGGGTTGTCACTCAACTTAAGGCCAGTTTTCATATACTTATCAGTCAAACCCAGCCCAGCTGCCGTCCCTATAAACACTGTAATAAAGCCACAGGCGATTTCCGAAAGTAAGTAGAGCGTGGCCCATACCATTATGTCCCACTTTTCCTCAATATTGTACTGCTCATTGAATTTTCTAAAAGCTCTCAGGCCACCATGTTATCATAGAGTCAATATACACGTGAATCTCCACTCTTATCCAATTTCAGAACTAGATAAATACCTGTTTTGGGTCAATGAAAAGGCTTTCATAGCACCAGGTACTGCCGAATTGTTCCTGTTGTGGTGTGCCATAACTATAGCAAATCATGTTTACGGCAATGCAGCCACAGTCACTTTCAGGGCGTCTGTGACAGGCTGATGGACCCTATGTGGGGCGTCAAGAATGAAAATAAACCAGAAAGTAATTACTCATAGCGAAACAACCTGCTGTGATGCAGGCTTCACCCAAATGTAGACTCACAACAAGCCGAGAAGTCATCGGATACGTCACATAGACTACAGGCTGAGCATTTGATTGATCCGGGCTTTGAAGTGATGCATCGAGGTATTATTTGTCGGTGAACTTGACAACGACTGAGATGATCACGCTCCTATTGAAAAATTTCATTGTTTCAACGGGAAGCCTTGGCTGGCATGTTCTACAGCCAAATATTGGACAGGCACGTACTTGTGTTAACTGACAACTCGAAGCTCGACTAATGTACCATCGACCATGGTTGAGAGGGCCAGTAATTTGTATATATTACACTAGTCAGCTTGGCTTGTATAAGATGGACTGTGGAACTATAGGAATCAAAGTAGCTTGAAGCCTTATTTGCAAGCGGACTATCCTTCTCCTTACAAGTCCTAACACGAACAAGTCCTCGATGATGTCAATTCATAAACAATCACAGTCTTGAGTGTTCAGGGGCCTCCAAGCCAATATATTTGCCAAAGCTGATTTTGTATGGCCAACACAGTGATCTATCGTTTTGGTAAATGCACTCCATTCCTTTCTTCAACGACGTCTGGGGATGCGGAGTACGTGCACGGACAAGACACTTCAATCACTTCTATACATGTAGACGATGTGGTCTCAATAGGTATCCACATTGATATATTGGCCTGGACTACGATGAATGACTGTAGAGATGAGTAATCCACTTTTTCTGCTCCATGAACTCACCGTTCGCAGCCGGCTCTGGAGACCAAAGGCTTCTGATGAATCACTGTCTTAGGTATGCCTCAGCAGAGGCGATACAGTTTTAGTATTGTTGTAGAGCATATCTAGCAACTCAAATCAGTCCAAAACGACAACAAAAGGCGGCCAATGGTGCGGGGCGATAATTCTGCGGAGGACCTCCGGACGGGCAGAACAAAACGAACGACTAGGAAGGACTGAAAAGTGGGCAATAGTTATTACCTAAACCTTCAACAGTCTCGAAGAGTCAATAGAATCATCGATGAGCTCGGTCCCTTTGGCTATCGTGGTATCACATCGTATCATCACTTCAACTGCTCATTATCCCCCGACACGCTGGTATCTGGTTGCGACATTTTCGTCTCTGAACTTTATCGGTGAATAGCTTCTCAGCTGTGGAGGCCTCCAGAGAATTCTGCTCTCCTATGCACGGTAAAGTCTGTGCCAAATTATAAACCAGGATAGCAACTTATCTATAAGACATGTTTAAGGCTTACTAGTAGCCCTGCAAGTCGGTCCCTTTCTCCAGAACGTGTGCTCGTCCACGTGGATTACATGGTTCACACGGAGCGTTTTCAGCCAAGTTGGGTGCCGTTTTAATTTATCTCATATTCTACTGTACACCGCGCGGACGGGATCAGCTTGCGAGATAAACGATCCGGACATCCACTGCTCGTGTATTGGGAAGCTCCACCCCAGGGGAACAAGACGCAGAGAGACGGCCCGGAATATATATGACACATTTGGTACTACGTTAAGCCCTGCAAGTCGAGTCGAAGACAAGGCTGACTTTCATTGTACATCTCGATCGCTAATATGGACTGCTTTATTTCTTGTCTGCAAGCTGCCAATTTCTAGATGACAACGTAGAGACGCTTCATTTCACTTGACTCACACCTCTAAGTAGCGAGGCTGAACAGTGCTTCGAAAGAGCCAAATTGCAACCGTCCGGGAATTAAGCTCAACGGTTCTGGAAGAACAACCCCATGCGGTTCCTTACATTGGTTCCATGGCCCGTCCGCGAAGGTAACCTTCCCAAAAAAACGAGACCGGCTTGCCAATCCGGATGTCCCTCTCAGGCTCTGCATGAAATAGGTTTGTACCCACCCAGGCGTACGCCTCGCCTCGGCTGGCCCCGCTGAAACTTTAATCTGGGCGACTATATGTGGACCATGAGGGAGATTATAAACAGGTGATTCTTACTCGGGAAGTTGTCGAGTCGTTGTCGCGCCCCAGAAAACTCCCATGTCAAAGCACATGAGCTGGGAATGGAGGAGGACTTATGGCTGAAGGATTTATTGAATCCTCCCTCTTTTTGTCGGGAACATCGAAGCCCAGTGATGTCCCATCTGCTGAATCACAACTGATCCCAATTTTTGTTGCACCCAAAGCAACTATTTGATTCTTGCCAAGGTTTGAAACAGAAATTGTTGACCTGTCCACAGTGAGCAAGAAATGATCAGTGAAGATCAAACGTGTAAGGCAACAAAGTCGCTCTCTTCCTCTGACCTTGGGAAGAAAGTGGGTGGCGCAGATAATCTTATACAAGGTCATGGCCCCCAAGGAAAGCAAGTCAGGCTGCAGTGCCCCGAGCGCAAAAACGACGAGTCTTGAACCTTTTTCTGGGTTCTGCTAACTCGAGCCCGATAAGAAAAGGAAGGAAAAGAAATGAAAGGAAGAAAAGACGTCAGAGCTCCAATTTCCATTGCTAAAAAATAAACGCGTTGAGTCACTGTTCCGAGGTCCCAGCCCCGTACGTGTATCCTGCCCGGCAAAGGCGGGTTGGATGGAAGGACGGGATGAGGGTCTGTTTTGACCGGGAATGGGCTTCAACAAACAACACAATGACATTACATACCCGGGCCCTGGTTGGTGCTTGTGTGGGACGGGGACCCTCGGCCTTGCCCGACGATAAAACTGCTATAATAAGTGGAAAGTGAAACGCGAGGAAGGCTACCATAAGTATTTGCTGACGCACACCAATCCCAACCCTTTGACGCCCAAGGGCAGATCCCTCGTAATGTTGTCGGTGCCAAATTCCCAGTTTAGGGGCCGCAGGAGCACATTATTGCCTGGGGGGGCCCTCCCGAATTTCCCATCGGGCACTAACGTCTGGTGGAGCACGCCCGGGAGAAGAGAACGGACATGGACCAGGGTTGGCTCCTCTTTCCAGCCTGGGAGGCCCTTTCTTTAGGAGAGAGAAATTTACATAGATATATCAAGGGAAAGTGCGGATGAGAGAGGGAGGAGGAAGGAACCTCCTTTCCTTTCCTCACCAGTAAATTTGGACTGTTTACAGGTCCCTCCTCCTGAGCCACTGCCTGCTCTGCTCTGCCTGGCAAGTAGGTTTCTTTCCGGCTGGCCGACAATCAGGAGGTGTTCTCATCCCCCCATCGCCGCCGTTCCTCGAATCCTCCTCGTACGGAAATTTCCCTCTCTCTTTTTTTTTTTTCTTCTTTCTTTTTTTCTTGTTCTTCCACACAGAGCAAGAATGGCGCAGACGACAACGTTTGGGGATCTGGAAAAGGCAACCTGCTGTCTTTTGCAGATCATCAAGGACACGCCTGAGCTGGACAAAAATACAAAGGTGGCCATCGCCGGAGATATGGCTGTGCAGAAATATCTTCCCAACTCGAGGCAACAATTTGGAGCAGGGGTACGTTTATATATGGACATTTACTTTTTATACACACAAATTCATCTTGACTCTGGAAAGTCACTGTGGACAAGACACAAACCAAAGCTAACGGGATTACAATTGTAGCAAAGCATCGACTTGATCACAAACTCTGGAACATCCGCGTCTCTCCTGCGCAAGAAACTGCTTCACCACCCCATGTCACCACTGACCGAATCCTCCGACCGGCTTCTCTACTACCAGACGTCTCCACCAACGTCTCCTCCACCAACATCGGCACCCGCTGCCCGCAGCAGGTCCGCCGGCATCGAGGTCCGCATCACGCCTGAGATGCTCTGCCCGTTCCTCCCAGGCGCGGCCAAACTCGTGCACGAGATCACGCCCTCGCCCGACCAGCTCCCGTACATCTCGCTGAACGACCTGATCGTGTTCAAGATGGACGCGTGTGGGCTCCGGGACTCGGCACAGGGCAAGCAGCAGGAGGCGAGGGACGCGGCGCTCCTCCTCGAGGTGGCGACCGAGCACTGCGCCCTCGACCTCAACCAGGACCAGGCACGCGTGGTCGACGAGTGTCTGGCGGACATACTGCGCCACTCCGCGCCCGACAGGCAGAACAAGGCGTGGTGGCAGGCCAGGCTGATGGGCAAGTGTGACCCGGACGCCCGCAAGGAGGCCAAGGAGGTGCTGTCCGACATGATCCAGAGCATGAGCCTGAACGAGAACAACAACAACAACAACAACAACAACAACAAGCGGACCTCGGGCGACGAGGCGGCGGCAGACGGCAAGCGGTGGTCCCTCAACCTGTCGAACCGCACCTCCAGCTCCAGCTCCAAGACGTCGCTCGACTCCATGGCCTCGGGCTTCTCCAGCGGCGCCAGCAGCTTCAGCACCTGCTCCTCGCCCACCACCACCAACGGCACCAACAGCCCGGACCTCCCCCGCTCGCCGAGGTCGCCACACGATCTCACCTGCGCCATGCCCCAGCGCCCGCGCAAGTTCAGCACCTCGCAGCACAGCCCCACCAAAGGGCACGCCAGGAAGAAGTCGACTGCGGACAAGGGAGGCTCGAAGCGCCACAGCCAGATCCTGGGAGGTCTTCCGAGCGGCGGCATCGCGCAGATTGCCCAGCTGCTGGATGATAGTTCTTCTGGTTCTCCTGGTCTTACCTTGACTGCCAGATTCGAGTCTACACCCGAGGTAGACCATGGCTTCTCGAACAATGGTTCTTACTTTTAATCTCTCTTCTTTCTTTCCTTTTGTTTTTTTCAAAGCCTCTCTTGTCACTAGCGTTTTTGTGTTTTTCCTTTCCTCTCTACTCTCGTTTCAAGGTACACTTTTTCTCTGGATATGATTGACGATTTCGCGGCGCGATTGTATCTATGGTATCAAAAAGGAGAAAAAAAAGCACGGTTGGTTTCGAAAAGTTGGGTTTGTTTTCGTTTGGCATAATGGTTTTTGGTTTTTTTTTGGTACTAATGCGTTTGTACTATTATTGACAAAAAAGAAAATATATACCCCGGCATAGACATTAGATAGAAATTAGTTCAGCAGTAGTATTGGTTTTTGTTTTTCTTTTGGAGTTAGACTCTCATTACAATCAACCCCTTTTCTTTTGTCGGGCGAATTGAACGTTTCTTTTGCTGCAAGACGGTGATGCTTGGAGGTCGAAACTGGATAATAATACCATATGGAACAATTCTCGTTGCTCGTGTCACCTCGCCATCCGTACAATCCGTGTACAAGCTTCTCTTCTTTGCCTGCCCCTTCACCTCCCCATCCTCTCTCTCTCTCTCTTTTTCTCTCACTTAGTCACTCACACATACACAGACACACACACTTACACCTCCTCGAGCAGTGGCGTATTCTCGTCTGGGTTTGTCGTCCCCACACGCGTGGTTGCTCTCGTACAGGCCTTCACGCGCAACGCCTCCCGGATCTCCCCCAGACTCCTGTCCACCCAAGAATCAAACCCAGTCAGGCTGAGCGGGTACATGACCTTGTTCGTCGACGAGGTCATCCACTCGGCCGCCTCGGGCGCCGGCGCGCGCGTCAGGACGTCAAAGTCGGCCGACAGCTCCCTGCAGTACTGCTCCAGCGGCAGGTCGTTGACGTCGCAGCCAAAGGGGTCCTCGATCTCGCGGCCGATCCTCTCGAAGCTGAGCACAATGTAGGCGGCAAACAGGGTGCCCGGGATGGTCAGCCAGCCGAGGAAGTTCCACAGCTGCAGCGGCAGCAGGAGGACGTAGACCCACGTGACCTGGGCGATGGCGATGCTGTAGGCCACGGGGATCGGGGTGTTGGAGATGCGCTCCAGGCCCCCTTGGATCTCGCCCAGGTTGGTGATGCAGCCCATGGCGGTGCCCTGGTGGAGCCCGTCGAGCGTCTTCTGCTCCACCACGTGCTTCATGTACGTGGACAGGTAGGTTAGGATCTCCAGTGGGAGGTTGCCCAGATTGTCTGTGGCGTTGTCGAGCACGATCCGAGGATCCTCTGCAGCCATGGGGATTCCCAGATATTCAGCGGCACTACATTAAGTTTGTCATTCATTAGTGTCAGTTCCTGCTACAGATTTTCTTTCTTTTCGTTGAAGAAGATAGACTCAAATAAACATAAAATAAAATAAAAATAGAAAGGCAAGTAAAAGAAGCATACGACAAGAAAAAAACAAAATGGAATGAAGAGGGGATCGGGATCGTCTTACTATTGCCAGCGGCTCTTCGGCTTGGGTATCAAAGAAGCCTGGTCAGCCCTCCCAGCCATGGTGTCCAGGTGAACCACCAGCGGCGCCAGGTCGAGGTACACGGTCGCAGGCTCGAAGCGCAGGCGATGTTTCAGCGCCGTGGCAAAGGCATTGAGGAGGTTGATGGCAGAGAGCTTGCCCAGCAGGTCCTCCTTGCCCAGCTCCTCCGACATGCCGTGGCGCTCCTGCACAAAGATCCAGATGAGCCGGGCCATCACCCTCGAGTTGAGCATCAGCGCCGACCAGTACTTGCTCCCGTCGTTGTACCGCTCGTACGCGGTCGAGAAGCGGAACGACAGCGCCAGGCCCACGATGAAGCCCAGCACCGTGAGCAGGATCGAGTCGATGCCCAGGTCGTAGACGAACTGGCAGATCGACGTGATGGTCGCCGCCCAGATGCCGACCAAGACCAGCGGGGCCGTGAGCTTGGGCAGGACGCTCCCGTACAGCCGCAGGCAGAGCGGCCAGCGGCTGAACTGGCGGATGTCCCGCGGGCCCTCGAAGTAGTCGTCTAGGTCCAGCTGGAAGGATCCCACCGGCTTGATCCCCCGCGGCGCATAAAAGTCATGGTGCTTCCACGTAGGGTCGCGGATGGCTCCTGACGGCGTCGCTGGTCCTGCGCTGCTGGTAAAACTATCGCCACGCAAGGTCGGCGCGGCGCTGCTGCGCAGAGTCGTGGATGGTGACATGGTTTTCTTCAGGTTGCTGCTGGGCTCTTCTTCTTTCTCTCTCTCTCTCCTCCTCCAAGGCTTGTGTCGTTCGATGATTGCCTGACGGTTAGGAGGGGAGAGGAGATGGGCTCGAGCCCTTTGGGACTCGAGAGCTGAAGGACAACGAACAAAAACTCGGTGCCATCCTGAGGCGCTTTGGCCAACAGTCCCATGGGGGGGGGACCCGTCTTCGCGTAAATAAAAGAGAAGTGAAAGAGGTGTGGGTCTTGACAACGCGCCTGTGGGCTCAGCGGTGAGCAGGGGCCACGACGATCCTCATTCACTCGATTGATTGGCAGTGCGTGTCTGGATAACTTTTCTCTGGAGAGCAACATGTAGGCTAGCAGAGATTCCACGTGGCAGCTGAAGGGGTGTGTCCTCTGAAGTGCATCAAGGCGGTCAGCCACCTGTCGTTGTTGCGACTCTGCAAAAAGTTGAAATGAGACTATCCCGAGTCGGTGTCAACAGGACCCATGTTTCCTTTCCCCTTCCATCACCCCTGGCTTTCCAGCACCCTTGGAGAATGGGGGAAGAATAACCCTTGTCAGAACAGGAAACACTAAATAAAAGTGACAAGACACTTATAGAATAGCGGGAATTGGCAAATCCACTGTGCTTGTATTATCCTTGACGAGTAAGACCTTCGGGTAGGCTACAAGAGTTGATAATCATCGTCTTGCATAAGAGCTGTGCTTAGCCCGGCAACCATGTGTGCCCAACTTACATCGCATGCTTTCATCAATGACAATGTCAAGTTCTTGCCTGAAAACTCTGATGGGGTATGTTGATTTATGATTAGTGACTTAGAAGGAAAATGCTCTCCTATTAGAAAAACTATAAGGCGAAAGGGATTGATTTCTGTGCGAACTATTGGAATATATTCGCCAGGCAACACCTAACTTTTTCTGTCCTGTCTTTCTTTTCTTTCTTTTCTCGGTAATCCCTAAGCTTTGATCACGTTATCATTACCTCGTAATATGTTCATGTGGACGATTGATGCCCATACCATAATATTTGCTAAGCCAGAAGGCTGTTGTCTGCTCGTTCTGCAGTCCAATACAACAACCATGCAGACCCTATTGATGACCCCGAGTCTTAACTGGCCAGATGCCACGGACGAGAAAGACACAGTATGATATGCCCAAGTCCATAAGTGCGTAGTATGTAATGACTGCATTCACAGAGATCATTTTCTAGTACAGGCATGTTTGTTGGTTCTACACACCTACTATTCGTGATAAGTCGAAGGGGGGGGTTTTGGGCCGGGGTAGTTTTGGGCCACCCTGGCCACCCTCGTCAAATACACACACCCATATATATATATACTGTTTATCTATTCTATTCACCCACTACGATTCAATCCTCCTCATCAGTAGGTAATTCGATATCGCTCTCTTCATTCAGACTATCCTCATAGCGATTGATCGCGTTTTAAGCTCTCTGTATATCCTTAATCCCTGCAAACTTCGAATTCGGGTTCACATCAACCTTTCTTCTTTTACTAGGCCTCAGAGCCTCAATCTGCCTTTTCAACGCTTTATTTTCCTCCAATGCCTTGGCAAACTCGAGGTTTCTCTTCCCATAAGCTTTTTTTATCTTCTTGAATAGCATATAGCAGCTTGGTTCTGTTCGAAGTTATTGCTGATTCTCTAGCAGCTGATAATACAGCTGTTTAGCCTTTCGAGGAGTTGAAAAGAGGACTAGCTGGCTTGAGGAGGCTTTTGGGGGAAGATAAGGTGCTGTTGATTGTGCTGAGCCTGAATTGGACTGGGTCTGACAGCTTGATTGACTGTTCTCGAGGAGAAGAGAGCTTAGAAGAGCTTTTGAGAGTCTGAGAGGCTACAGACTAGTTGCTTTCCATCCAGATCTGATATTCTGGCTTGAAAGGCCTTTTAGTTGAGCTAGATGATAGTTCCTGAGGAATAACTGCTTGCCTGCAATAGTTGAATCCTCTTATTAGCTCATATTGCTAACTTTCTTTCTGTATGCTCGTTTAAGAGATGAAAAGATCTCTAGATCGAGGGGTTAAAGAATGTGAGAGATATGAGAAAGCAAGTAAATAAGCAGTATATTGTTTTGAAAGCAAAGCTATATGAATTCATCAGTTTTATGGCTGCTATAGCTATTCAGGACTAACAGTCTAGCTTCTGAGGGGTCTGCTGGCTGGCTATGAGAGATAAAGATCTTTTTCAGCTATTCAAGTGCTATTTTATTATTTGTTTATCCAGTTTGAGTAGCTGTGAACTGCCAGCCCTCAAAAGGCTTCAAATCAAGAGGAAACTACTGTTGTTGTACTGTTTAGCCCTTGAAAATTACCAGAGGGAAGAGGTAAGCATCTGTAGCAGAGATATACTCGAGAAAAGAGATCCAGGCCTTTGAACCAGAGTTCTTTTTTTGAATTGAATATGAAGAGAAGCCTCTGAGAACTAATCCATTCATTCCTTAGCCCTCCATCAGGCTAGCTTCATCCATATTCCATCTATTAGCTGGCTTGATAACTTGAATGTGAGGAAGGTTGAAAAAAACGAAACCAAAGCTGTATTATCTCTGTTATAGCTCCATTCATTCGCTCAGAGGCAATACAGCGAGTCTTCCTGATTTTTATCTCTGGATTTCTCTTCAAAAAAGCCTGAGTCTATTGCATTCCAAGAGCCTGAGAGTCTCCCTGGACCTCGAGGATCTGCTGAGCAAAGTATTTAAGTTCTGAATAGCTTGGTAGAATGCCTAAGCTTTCTTGAATCAGGATCCATTTAGCCAGTCTTCTTTCCTGATCAATAGAGAGCCTTTGCTGGTTTTCGTGGGCTGTTTTATGCGATTCCTCTCCTTCTAGGCGAGCCTGAAGAGTACTCCTTGGAATACCCCATTCCCTCGAGGCTTGCCGCTGAGACTTGCCTTTTCTGACAGCCTCAACAGTCTGGGCTAGCTCAAACTCGGAATAGGGCTTCATAACAGTCAGGTAAAGGTTTGCTAGAAAGATGAAGTTGTTTGGATCAAAATTGGTTGAGTAATAGCTATCGAACTAAAGGGGGTTGAAGAGGCGGTGAGGGTGGCCAGGGTGGCCCAAAACTACCCCGGCCCAAAACCCCCCCCTTCGACTTATTGTTTCTGTATGGTTCAAGGCAGGTATTGTTTTATCCATAGCCACCCTTCTGCTCTCAAGTTATAGGAAGTGCCATCTATATGCCCAATCCAAGAAGGAGGCGTGGCGCCCCAGCAGCCGTGAAAAGGTGCATATTTGAGCACGAGGCTTATGCATTCAAAACAGCCGTACTACATCCAGCCACAAATAGCCACAAGACTGCCGAATAGCAAAATCCATCCAGACCACGAAGTGTACAAAGAAACAACAACAACACGTGCTGCAGACGATTCTTTGCAGCCGCCAGCAGTTGGGACGGCCTTGCTACCGCTTCCAATTGCCACGACATTTGATCCACAATCAGCAGACTGTGCTAGGTGAACCTGCTGGTTATCCCAGTCAAAAACCGCATATGCCGCCCTGAGGAATGGAGCCCCGAGGATGTAGGTAGGCGGATCAGTATCGACACTTGTGTCAGTGACTGCGAGAAAGCAATATTGAAATCCATTCTCGGTTACGTCAGTTAGCATGTTCTCATATGTCACCTGAATGGTCTTGCCGTCGAAACTAACATCCAGGCCACCGGTCTGTTCCTTGATGCTGCAGTCGACCAGACAGAAACTGGTCTCGCCCGATGCGATCTCCGTGCCGTTGACGTCGTTACAAATCTGTAATGAGAGGCCCTGAGGAGTGAGTATGTCGCTGGTCCCGCTGTCGAGCACCGCCAGAAAGCTTGCTTGGCTGTATTGGCTTGAAGTTGTGGTGTCTGGTTTCGTGATGCCCACAGATTGGACCGTGACATAGTAACTAACACAAAGACGTCAACGCATAGCCGGGCACAGCTTCCAGTAGAATTTTTTAATTTTTTTGACACAGAAATGTTAGACATATAATCAAGACTGGAATACGAACCCATAATCGGAAAATGTCTTTTGTCCATGGTCATATGACGGAGACGTCATCTGCACCGTCTCGAGAGGCAAAGTCTGCAGTGAACCAGAGAATTTCTTTTCATCTAGGCCTCCAAAAATGATGGCGCCAGTCGTATTGTCGTAGTCTCTTAAATCGAGGCTGAACGCGCGGCTGGCGATCTGGCCCTGGGAAGCAAGAGAGTCCAAGATGAAGCTGTACGGCTGCTGTGACGAGTTGTACCCGTATGCGGAGCTTGGGCCCATGCCCATAATCCCCAGAGCTGTTGCATTGGTAACGTTCGCAACCCCGAATTGCTGTTTTGATATTGTCAGACCTCCAATGTCTATGGTATCGGTATAGTAATTCAATTCGATCGTCGTTGTGTCGGCGTAGCTGAAAGTAGTGCCTTCGTTCAGGGCCTCAGATGTGGAGGATGAGGCTGGATCATATCGAGGTATGGACTCGCAGTACTGTGGAGAGGTGGCATCGGAATCTGCTTCACTGCCACTGCTGTCGCCGCCCTCACTGGTTGTCGTATTGGACCGAGATGCGGTGCTGCAGTCCGGATCGACCCAGAGCTCGGACGAGCCTGTGTCCAACACCACCGAGGTAGACTGTCCTCCGATAGAAATGTTGATCGTGTATGCCTCTTGTAAGTTCGTGAGGTCGATCGAGGCAAATTTGCTGCTTGCTCTCTTCCGGATCATCTGTTGAAGTTCAGGGCGCTGGCCATTTCTTGCAACTGGTATGTGGACTGCTCCGGGGACCCGGAGAGCCGCAGCCAAAGGTATGAGTGGGAGCGCAAGAAGCGCAGAGGTGACAGGGAAGAACATGTTAATCTTGACAAGGACGTGGATTCCGTAGTCGCCGTGGATTGTAATAATATCAAGCTCTATATCTGATGAATGTGAGAGTGGTACAAGGATTAATTATGAGTGAGCAGGAAGAAGCCAAGAGGATAAAGAAGCCTTAAAGTGCTGACGGAGAGCATCAAAAAATGATGAGCGTCTGTGTCTGCTGGAACATCGCCGCCTTCCTGCAGAACACACAACCTCGTATCGGATACTTTTTTACCCTTTTTACCCCGTTAAGCAGGCATATATCAGGGATCATATCGAGCCTCCCACCACTCATACCTGCCGGGCTAAGCGCCCAAGCAGAGGGCAGGGGCCGACCGTGTACGCAAAAGGACAGCACTTTCCCGAGAGTTTCACAGGTCCGTCAGCGCAGTGCGACTCTGTTGCCTGCTCCTTTGGGTCTTATTCAGCTAGTGATCCACTGGAGGGTGAGTTGGTCCACAAAGAGAGCTTCATATTGATATGGGCGCCTACGTATTTGTCCGTCTGACATGAAAGCGCCTCATCTCTGCAGCGAGTCTAACCCGTTGGAGATAATGGCTTTGAAGGTTGTCAACAACCTTATTTATGCTAAACATCCGAAGACCCAGAACAATGAAGCTCTTAAGACTCATTATGCTAGTGCTCACTGAAGCGTTCGCAATCACAGACCTATTAGGTTTGAGATCGTGATGCTGTTCACAAGGGTGGCTTAGAGAACGAAGGGCACGGGGTTATAGATCATGAAAAGAAAACCAAAGCATCAAGGTCAGTTTGCAACCCCTCCCCCCTCCCTTCTTGTGAGGGGTAGTGATATGACAAGTTACCATGCCGATACTCACGGGGGCTGCCTTTGCGATGTGAGTGCTCAGTACTGCTATCTTTCTCCTCCTTGGAGTATGAGTGTAAGGTGACCAACCTTTCAAGTATTACTCGAATTTGAAGAATCATGATTTTCTAGTGGTCACTAACTTGTTCCAAGGGGAGAAAAATCCGGAATGATATCGGAAAGTATCTATGACTCAAGCGGTCAGCCTCGAGCATAGAGCAGCAACAAAAGAAGAAGAAAAAGAGAGAGAGAGAAAAAGGTAAAAGGCACAACATACAACATTAAAGGTGTAGAAGGAAGGGAACAAGACAAAATAGGTGATCCAAGTTGAGCGCAGAAACAAAGAAGAAGATAAAAAACGGCGAGAAATCATAAGGAAACCAAAGACGATCCCAGAATGGGGAAATAATGAAAGAGCAGAACAAAATTGAGAAGGTTGCTTGCCCAGATGGTACGGCTGACGTCTAGTCCTTGGTGGCAACTGATGGGCGACGGCCCTAACCCTGAAGAAAGCACCTACAGTGGGCAGCCACTGCAAATTTGAACATCGTCACTGCTACAGGAGGTCCCCGCAGCTCACCACCCACCATCAACCAAGACAACCCACGATCTCACTCGCGACGTGCGCCTTTGGGCAACTACTCACCTCTCGATGCTTCTGGTGCCTGATTTACATCCTCCATGGTCATCACTGTGGTCACCATTTTCCACCTCTTGTTCGTCGTCCCGTCCTGCGCAAAGCAGCACGTGCCAATAATTCAACGCCACCGAACAAATTCTGCGGCCTGCTCTGACAGCAGAAATTTCCTGACGTATCTATAAAATAAGCACCAAATCCAAACTCGCACCATCTTACCCAAGCCTGGTCTCTCAGAAGCCTACGCATCTGGTGGCGGTCCTACCATCATGAGTAACGAGGACGAGGTGACCTCCCTGGGAACCGCGACCATCGCCCGCATAGACTCATTGATTGACGAACTAGAGTCTCTGACCACTGCCTGGAGGCGAAAACTGGAAGCTTCGACCAAGTTGGAACGGCGGGAACAGCCCGACACTATCCCTGGTCTCCATGATTTTATCGTGTCCGTCAAAGGAACGAGAAACTCGGTCCAGCGCCTTCTCAAGGCACGAGCTGCTTCGCAGCAAGGACAAGCGGGCGTTGGCGCCAGCTTTGACAGAGAGGAACGGGACAACAAGGATAGAGCGGTTATTCAAGGTTGTGGTCTGGCCCCGCACCAGGAGCAGTGGGATGCCATCAAGCGTGCCCGTGGCCTCCTAGCATTCCGCCGTCGATTCGCCGGAAAGTCTGGAGAATTGGGGCCAACGATAGATGCTGTGGTCGAGAATGGGACAGAATGGCTGAAGATCTCGACTGTGACGGAAAAGAAGTTGATCTATCAAATGGCCCAGGAAGGATGGCATCCTGACGACTCGTCGGACGACGACGAGTCCGACGACAGTGATGACGAGAACAGCGGAATCAGCATCGTGAAGACCACAAAGCAGCTTGTTGAGGCTGCTCGGATGCACCGATGTAACACTCGGATCCCGACGATACGACTCGTGCTGCCAAACCTCACCCTGCGACGTGTGCACGCTGTCGACAAGATCCTCGAGAGGACCCGCAGTCTCGGACTATCCAAGAAGCAAGAGGGCGATGTCGAGGTCATTGTGGACTGTGCAGATGGTGCGTTTCTGCAGAGACCCATACCTTCCCTGGACCAGGTGTTCACGGGCTTTTTCTGCGACACCAACCAAGACCGCCTCACTTCAACGGTGAACCTGGAGCTCACCATCATCCTCAGCCTCGTGTCCGACATTGCGCATGCGGAGGCCGAGCCGAAAGAATGGTACTCCAGACAGACTCTTTCGCATATTGAAGACGAGAACCACGCCCCAGGCGTCCGGCTGCAAAATGTATATGCAGCTTTGGGGGACAGGCGTCTTCAATGCACTCAAGAGGTCGCTAGGGAAGTCCGGAATGTGGTCGATGACTTGGGAACCGAGACCACCAAGACCCGTGCTTTGATTTTTTTTGGACGACGGAGTTTGCGGGACGGCTTCGACATACCGCGCAGCCACACCATTGACACTTCTGAGAAGGAGGGGTTGGATAGAGAGGTCGAACGCCAGAGACTGGTCGAGCAGCTGCGCAAGCTCTCGAGGTACCCTGTGCCCGATAATCTCCAGCTACCCATTGAAATCGTCGGCGATGATGAGTTTAACCATAAGAACTATCAAGCGCTCATAGATTCTGGTCAGCTTCCCCCAGTAGCGGCGAAAGTGTGGGAAAAGCTTGATAGGTCTTACAACAGGTCCTGCCACCTATGGGGCTGGCTACAAGACATTACGACGGTCTCTGCAAATAATCTCAACGCTAAGCTGATCGATGCAACTGTTGACAAGGTATGTGGCTGTTGTGAACCGTGTGATTCCATGACGCCCTGGTCATGTGTGCTCCATAAAGTACCTGGGACAAGTTATGGGGCTACTCTGCCCTACTTTCTGGGATTGGTTACACCATCTCAGGTTCTGAATACTGAACTTTCTCTTATTGCACAGGAACGTACTAGTGCACTCGAACTCGGCCCCAGACTATATCTCACTACCCTTGCTATCAGCATCAACACTGCCAAACCTTGTCCCAGCGACAAATGGGAAGAGATCAAGGACGCGAAGCACGAGCGGAGGGAAGCCAGAACCAAGGAGGCCAAGCAGATGAAGGCTGCAGGGACTTGGGGCCCGAGCCTAGGTATTCCAGTCAAATGGGACGAGCGGCAGCTGAAGAAGCAGTATGTTCGGCGGAAGAAAAATGGAGGGGAAGGAGGAGGTGCCAATGGATCAGGCATATCGACACCATCTACAGCCGAAGAGGTCCAGTAATGAGAGGCGTCTGTCAGTCTCATCCCTTGATCAATCGAATAAATGCTTGCAGGAGCGTCGTCGTCTTCTTCTTCAACAAACAATGCTCATCAGCTACGCCATCTGCTCTGCCGATAAAGCCGTTATGAATGACCCATTTCTAAGGAGGGGATCAAAGGCGTCATCAACGGACGCCTCGGCATGTATGTTGTTGGTGCTCCTTGTTTTGAAACTCATGCATCATGGTCTAGACTCTTTTGGCTCTCAGTTTTTATTTACGCACGTATGGAATTGGTGATTCCAAATGCAGCAGATAAGCACTACCGGGGCAGTTTCTTGGGCCAATGGCTTGTTGGCTAACCAAGGCGGCAGGGCGTCAACTCAGTGTGGCGCCACAAGAACATCCCTAAGTCTACTCCCGCCCTGGGAACCCCGCGGAAGTATTTAAACGTATCCCATCCAACCTGCACATACGAACTCTTTTTCTTTTTCCTTTCCAGAGCTGTGGGCTCATCTCACACCAGCAACCTTCACAATGAACTCGACACATCAAGAAGGAAGCCCTCTACTGGGTTCTCCCGATGTGGATAACATCATCTCCGGGCTGCCCTATATTCAGAATCTCTGTGCGCGGTATCGCCCAGAGCTCGAAATGCTCTGGGTCCTCCTCACTTATGCTCCTTTCCTTACAAGCACCTTCCGTTACACCTCGCCCAAATTCGCACGCCATCGAAACTACCCGCCTTTTACAACCACGATCCACATCTTCTCTGCGTTCCTGCTGGTCCTGCGCTACCACGCGCGCTACGCCGCCACCCGCACATGGCCTTGCCCGGAGCTCCCAGACTTACTCCTTTTCGCCGTCTTCAACATCTCTTCCTTCTTTCTGGAGGCCCACCGGGCGAGCGTCCCGCAGAGCATCCCCGTCGTCAGGGCGGGCTTCCAGGTTTCCGTCCTTATGCACGCGGCGGTCTTTGGCGCCTCGTGGGTGCAGCGATGCAGCGGTGGTGGCGGAGGCCAGGTCTTCTTCCGCGCTTCTGTCAAGTTTATGAACTGGTTCGCCTCGTTCCGGGCCATCAAGGAGCTTCTTGGCTTAGTCGACCCTCGTCTGGCGCAGCCGAAGAACACCGTGGCGAGTTTTGAGGTCACGATGGTCCTGTCTTTGCCTTTGGGTTTGTGGGAGGCTGGGGTCCCGGCTGGGGTGCCTGCGTCCTTGGTTTTGCTGGCAGGCTTCTTGATTATGGAGCGTGCTGTTGCTGAGGCTGTCTTTGGGTGAGTGTTACGGATTTTTTTCCTTTTTCAGATCATCAGCCAACTTTTTTCATGGGTTTCTTTTTTCTTCACTGACCAATTTACTTGATGAATTAGGATGTCTGACAGTAACCCTTGCAAGAGGCTTATCCTGGCCTCGGGTTATGTAGATTTCAACCTTCTCAGGGAGAAGAAACAGAGGTACGACGAAGCCAGAGTGGTAGAAGGTGATGGGCTACAGGTTGAGATTTGAAAGATCACCTCCAAACTACAGGATGGCTGTAGATCTTTAAAAAAAGACAAAAGATTGCAATGACATGGTCAAAGCATTGCAGTACCTCAGTACTACGCATTGGCAACTCGTGCACAAGACTTAGAAACGTATGCATATAATTTGTGGAAAATACTGACTGGAAAAATCTATTTGTTGTCCAATTGCACATTGAGACTGGATATCCCCTGTGTTTTCGAGCCTCGTCATCAAACGGCGCTGCCTTTGATTGTTTCCAATTTGTACTTCGCCCCCCTCGACCACGCCGTCTTCTTGTACAATTAGTCTGGGCCGGGGCACAGATGAGGGAAGGCAGCGTGGTCGTCCAATGGAAATGCAGGCCTTGTCGAAAAGTAATGGCCAGTTCGCTCGTCTGTGCTGTTGAACTTGTATTCAACTTTGTCTCGGAGAAGTTGAGATGGAATTCCTGCATAATCATCATCAGATTCCCGTTGCACACACGTCCAAGTCATCAAGAACAGCCCGAGCCTCATTATAGCATAGAATAGAAGCAGGTCATGTGAGTTCTTACCCCAAGTCAAATTTAGCTACAGTTACACTGAGCTATGAATTCTGGACGAGCTTTTACGCATACTATACCTAAACTCGATTTATGATTCAAGTTATATTTTGAGTGTTGCTTCCTGTGTCAGCGGCCGTCGGTCCACTTAGGGTTGATCAATATACCCAAATCGAGCTGCACTAGAATATATCATATGAACAAGTAGCAGTGGTTATCGAATCTGAATTCCGCAGGAACCTGGCCAATAATAATACAAGGCAATTAAAGCTTTCTAGAAAGGAAAAGGAAAAGGAAATATTTAGAACGAGGCTAGGTCTTTCGAATGCTGAATCCTGGTTCTGCAAGCAAAGACGCATGGTCGCATTAGACCCACTAGACCCGAAAGCTTATCACCATGATCCTTTGGGAACACAAGCCCCATTTCCAAAAGCGCACCATGATGACAAGACAATCCTTCAAGACCCGTCAACCCTGGATTATTATTATGTTTTTTCTAGAGGTTTGTTTCCCCAGAAACAGAGAGGAGTCTCTCGAACGGAGTTTTGGTAATTACTCTGGATGCATGTCCAAGCCCAAGTCATTTGCAACTTACAAGGCGATTGAGAAGTGAATGAATGGCCTCAGTGATTGCTCCGAGAACGATACTCCGTTGACAGCCCAGGGAAGATCTCAGTCTCCACCTCACAGTATATTCACCCTGCTCCTCCATGTACTGTAATGACAGGAAATAATACCTATTCAATGGGAAAAGAAGTCTGTCCTCCGTCTATCTACCTCTTGATAATACATAGCCTATTCTCATGTCCTGCGATACCCTACCAGCGCAAAGGCACACACCACACCACCATCCCAGATCGCCGGATGCATAAAGATAACCTTCTGACAAGGTATAATCGCCAAGCAATACACATATGCACCCACATGAAAAAAATAAAAGCAAGAAAAAAAAAGAAGAAAAAAACAAGATGAACAGGACAATTGTCAAATCTATCTTTGTCATCCCCGCGCGACCTCGTGTCTCGGGCCGCCTGCAGAGGGATGGCCCTAACCCCGCGCACCTTACCATTCAGCCCCGACACACCTTCTATAATAATAGCAAAAAGTAGAAAGGAAAAGACTCCCAGGGCCCTGTGGTCTCTTCTGAGCTGACATAACACTAAACAATCGGACGCGCCCGCCAGGACCTATGAAAATCATATGTAAGTCAGCAGCAAGGGGGGGTTTGAACTTAGCAGAGCAGGCATGCTTACTTACCATGGTAGGTAAGGTGTTGAACAAGAACCAGCAGATCAGTTGGTGGCCATTGCTCCCCCCTCCCCTGCCCCCCCCCCCCTCGGCCAAGACAGCGGGCCGTTCCAACGCATGTCAGCCCAAAGCCAGTCATCCAGCAATCCACAGTAGGCAAGGGTTTCACACACACTGCCGTCAGTACTAGAGAGAGAGAGAGAGAGAGAGAGAGAGAGTTGAAAGGCAGTCCAGTAGTAAGGCGGTCTGGGGCCCGGGAGCCCGGGTCGGCGTGTTTCGTCCGCTGGGCCTGGAACGGGTTGTAAAAGCAACCCAGCCAAATCTCACCCCCAAATAAGAATAATCAAGAAGAGGAAGAAGAACAAGAAAGATACAAGTAAACAAAACAGATTTGGTGCGTTTCTATTTTTTGTTTCCTGTTTAGGACCCACCGGCGGCCGGAGGGGGAAACAAGGGCCAAGACCTTCCATTAAACTCGGCCGCCGTGCTCTTCTTCCCACTCGGATCGGAGGAGATGGTCTTGGCTTTTTTATTTTTTTATTTTATGATACAGTGTATTCTTCTCTTTTGTTTTGTTTTGCATCTTTTTTCTTCTCATTCCACTTCCAATCGTTTTATTCCTTTTGTTTCCTTTTGGAAAAGGGATTGATTGTCAGGAAAGGGGTAATAGAAGGTCTGCTTTGCTAATCGGCATTTGCTTGCGCCTTCGAAAATAATTGAGCTGGGGAATTGGTCGTTGGATTTCTCTCTCTCTATTTTCTTTTCTTTTTTCTTTTGTTTTCTCTTTCCCTTTTTGTCCTGTGTCCTTTTACACGACACCCTCGTTTCCCACCTCCTCCCTTCTCTTTTCTTTTCTTGTCTCTTTCTTCAGCCCGGCGCTGTTGTAAAACGACTGCTAGAGATTAATCTCTTAATTTCTGAATGATCAATTTTTAAATTTAAATCGAACCAAAGACAAACGAGGCTGGCTACCCAACAAAAGAGGATCACCAATATTTCCTCCTCTTACACAATCCGACATATTCGATTCATATAAACACAACAAACAAAACAAACAAAAACAAAAATGGCCTCCCTACTAAACACTTTCCCACAATTCTCCCTCCTCCCCGCTGAGCTCCAGCTGCAGATCTGGGAATCTGCCGCGGCCACCCAGCCAAGCATGCACATGCACATGTTCGACGTGCATGCGCCCTCGTCCTCCTCACCGCCACCAACACAGACAACCAACACGGCTGTCAGCAACCCCCTGACCCGGAAGATCTCCTCCCACCGTCGGTCCCGAAGCCGGTGCTCCTCGTCCGGCAAGGTCCGCAAGCCCTCCGCCTCGCCGCCCCGCAAGCTCAACAGCAACATCGCCGCCGCCGCCGCAGCCATGGAGCAGGAGCAGCAACCAGAGGCGGGAGCGGGCGTGTCGATCCAGGCCTTCGACATGGCGCCCGATGCGGCTGCTCACATGGCCCTCCCCGGAGCACGGCCTTTCACCTCCGATCCGAGCATGTACAGGTTCCGCAATGCCCTTCGAGCCACCTGCACCGACGCCGCGGGCGCCGTCGCCAGGGCCCAGGCCGCCGTACCAGTATCCGACCGCGCAGTCGTCGAGCTGCCAGGGGGCGGGAGGATCGCGTACAACAACGCAGCTGACGTGCTGCACCTGCGCTTCCTCACCTCTCCTGTCACGAACCTCATGGAGCCGGACTCCGATTCCGCCATGGACATCGACACGCCGCTGCCCACCAACACGGCTGGTTCCGCGCCCCTAAGCGCCATCTTCAGGTCCTGCTGGTCGCGGGAGCTCGCGGCGGCCCTGCACGGCGCGCGGCGTGTGGCCATCGATGTGTCGCAGATCTGGCCCGAACTGGCGGAGCAGCAGCACAGGCTGGTGCAGGATGTCGTCTTCCTGGTATGCACGCTGCAGAACGACCTCGAGGTGCTGTACTTGGTCGACTACAGCGCAGGTCGGTACCCACGTGCGGGCGCAGGGATAGCAAAGGAGCTGATGGGCAGGGAAGGCGGTTTGTACCGGGCCCTCCACAGCCGCGCTGGCGGGCAGACAGAGGGGGGAGACTGGTGGGAACGCGAGCTGCAGCGAAAGGGGGACGTGATCCACGGAGCGGACAGGGTATGGCGGGAGGTGTTTGATCTCGAGAAGCTGGGTTGGCACGAGCGCCATCCGGCTTTCGTGTTTGCGGAGATGTTTGGCGAGGTGGTGAGGCTGCAGCAGGGAAACTGGTTTGGCGAGGGACAGAAGCAGGCTGCGTTCAAGGGGGTGAGGGTGCTGGTTGCTGAAGACAAGTAGCTCCAGGGGGCCCAACATATGGGCATAATCAGCATAGCGAGTGGGCGTGTTTGATTCAGCATCTTGTAACTTTGGGAATTCTGCATTGGGAATTGGGTTCTGGGCTTGAAAACAAAAAAGCATAGCATGGCGTTAGGTATGGGCAACAAGTAGAGAGGAAAAACAGAAGGCAGAAGAGGGGTAAAATCCTGGACTGACAGTAATCAAACTGGAAACAAACTCTCATCCGGTGGTTGAAGGACCAGAGGCAGTCTTAAACACATATATGCCAGCATTTGAACGAACCTGAGAAGCAAGAAACATATTCAACAACATTGCTTGAAAGGCTGTGATATCACTGTATGTGCCTTTTCTTCATCAGTGATGTTTTGTTCACCAAAGGCTACCCGCTGTTTCATACTACACCTCAAGCGTAACCATTGGCAACCAGCCACTCCTTCAAAACCGCAGCATCTCTCTCCCGGTATGCTGCACGGCCCCGCACACTGTCTTTCGCTGCCTCCAGCGTTCGGTTGAACGCCGTGGTGTCCTTATCCTTGAAGAACGCCTCGAGTTCCTCTAGGTCCTTATACGAGGTAAACTTGCTCAAAGAGACCTTGATAAAACGGTCCAAAAGAATTGGGTTCCCGCCAACCTTCTGGTCGATCTGACTCCAATTCTCCTTGATGAACTTCCAAAGCAACGGCCGACCGACACGGTTGTTGGCTAGACCACCCGAGAGGAAGTCCATGTCGCTGGCCGGAATGCAGTCGGAGGCTGGTGCGGGCGGCGAGATGTTGAACAGGAGCGGCAGGAGCGTGGAAGTGATGACGGATTCATCCGTACAGGTCCCGAGGACGCCCAGGCACAGGTCCTGGCTGTCCACTGCGGGAGCCGTATACCACTCATTCTTGAGGAAGGCAGCGGTCTTGGCTGGATCGGACTTGAGAGCGATACGATACACCGGGCTACGCAGGTCAGCGTGCAGCGGGTTATCTTGGGGCGAGGCAGAATACGCGGCGAAACGCTTGAGCGCCTCCTCAGTAACGCTGAGGCGGGTTAGCCAATCAGATTGCGCGTCAAGTGGATGAGCTAAGTCAAGATGCTTACCCCGGGTGCCCGTTGGCACCAGCTGCGAGGAGGAATCGCTTCCGCAGCAGGCCGCTGTTGAAGTCCTCACCGGCAGGGAAATCCCAGCCCACCTTGTTTAAGACGTTGTCGATCAGGCGCAGCGTGAATTTCTCCAGCCCCGTCTTGATAGTCTGGTCGTCGTCGAAGATGGACTTGACCAGGTTGATAGAATCGAGAGCCTGGCTCAGTACGCGGAAGTGGGTCTCATTCTTGAGGCTCTGAATGAAGGATAGCAGGGCTGGCGTTGTGCCGTAGCCAGAGAACGCAAGATCAGCGGCGGACCCAGTGATGGAGATCTTGTCTTCAGTGCTCAGGCGGTCGAGCTGGCTGCCAAGCTTCTGCAGCCTCGCCAGTGGATAGTTGACTCGGTAGAAGGCGGGAGCATTCTTGTTGATTACGTAGAATTCATCATCGACATCACGGATAGTGTCTTCCTTGGTCGTCAAGGCAAGGGACTGGACGCCTTGCGCACCAGTCTTGCCCTCAAATGCGAGGGGAACCCACCAGGTCGTGGTATCGTCCTGGGGTTTGACATCACCAGTGGACAAGAAACGCGACTGCTTGATGGTGATCTGACCAGGCTCCTCAGCCACGGTCAGGACAGGGAAGCCTATCTCCTCGATCCACGGCTTCATCAGGGCTGGAACGTCCACGCCCGAGGCCTCAGTCAGGGCCTCCCAGAGGGCCTGCGTCTTGGCATTGCTGTAAGGGTGCTTCTTGAGGTAGATCGATACACCCTTCATAAAGGTCTTCACTCCGAGATGGTTGGCCAGCATGCGGATGACGGAGCATCCCTTTAGGTAGCTGATGGCATCAAAGACCTGGTTGATGTCCAGCGCATCACGTACGGGGACTTGGATCGGGTGGGAAGAGCGCAGACCATCCAGCTTCAGGGCTGTCTCGTAGCCCTCGTTGATGAATTGAGGCCATACCTCCCAATCAGGATGCAGATGGTCTATGGCGAGCCAGCCAGCCCAGGTGGCAAAGCCCTCGTTCAGCCACAGCTCATCCCACCAGTCCATGGTCACGAGATTGCCAAACCACTGGTGGGCGAGCTCGTGCGCCACAACATAGGCGATACGGTTACGGAAGCGAGAGTCGGATTTCTCCTCGTCAAACAGGACGGTAGTTATGCGGTAGGTGACAAGACCCCAATTTTCCATCGCGCCGGTAAACTCGTGGACGGCGAGAATGTCACTCTTGGGCAGCGGGTAATCGATATCGAAAGCCTCGGAGAAGAAATCGATGATCTTGGGGGCATGCCACAGGGCCCAACTGCCCTGCTCTACCAGGCCGCGGGTCGTGTAGACGCGGACGGGGACCTGCTTGCCATTGTACCGACGGTCGGTGAAGGCCTCGATGTACTCAAAGTCGCCGACGGCCCAAGCAAGCAGGTAGGTGCTCATGATGGGCGTCGTCTCGAATATCACCTGCTTTTTCCCGGTCCCGACAGGCACGGTGTCCTTGACAGGCATGTTGCTGAGGGCGACCTGGTCATCGGGGATTTCGATGGCGAGGTTGAAGGTGGCCTTCAGGTTCGGCTCGTCGAAGCAGGGAAAGGCACGCCGAGCATCCGTACTCTCGAATTGGGTGCTCAGCATGTAGTGCCACTCGTCATCTCGTGGCACCGAGGCCGCAGCCGGGACAGCGGGCTTGTACTGAGACCGGTAGAAGCCGGCCATGTCATGGTTGACAATACCCTGAAACTTGATGGTGAGGGCGGCCTTGGACACTGGCAGCTCTGCATCAAAGAGAATAGTGGCACGCTGGGCTTTGGCATCATAGTGGATGTTAGCTGCCGTGTAGGAGGTGGTGGCCTTGCCGGACTCGACCTCGACCGTTGCGGTCTCGAGGGTCAGCTCAATGGCATTGAGGACAACCTCCCTGGTGGGCTTGACGAAGTTTCCAGTAATGCTTCAAGTAACGGTGAGCTTCCACTATCTCCTTTCTTTTATTCAAACTAACCAGGTCTTGCAGCGCAGGTGACTCGGGGCCGATGTTGAGAGTGAAACAGAGACAAACAGAGAAAGAGGAGGATAATCCACCTACGTCACAATACCATTGTAGGTCCAATTCTTGAATTCGAGGCTATCCAAAGCCAGGTCATAGTGACCAGCCTTGAAGTAGTCTGGCAGTATGTTCCGGTCAGTCATGGCTGCGCTGCTGGCGGTGAGCTGGATTTGTATTGAGGGGCTTCCAGCGTGGACGTCTTCAACACAAGTTGCGTGGACCCCGCGGTTAGTTAAACAGTGGCGGCAGTGGGAGGAGATGTGGAGCTGCAGCTTGGAGCTTGGGCTCGGACTCGAGCTTGGGCAGGAGCTCGGACTAGAGCTGGAGCTGTTGGCGCGTCGCGGGAAAGAGCTAACCGGAGCTGTTGCCAGGGCGCCACCACCGGTACTTATGCTGAAAATATGCGAGGGCAAAAGTGGCTTATATTGCTATGCGCTGAAGAGAAAAGAGAAAGAAAGAAAAAAGCCACGAGGGCAGCTAACTGAGGCTATCAACAGGTCTGGCTGTTGGCTAGCTGGAGGGGCCAAGCATGGCCCTCGCACAGAAAAGGGCTGTCCCACCCACCATCACGACCGACCCCAAAAGGCCTCGAACGACAGGTCAAGGAACAGCTGACCCTGCAAGCAGTTACGAACATCTGATCCAGAAGTAGGGCTGACAATTCTGTTCCTTCCTGCGCCCGAGTGGTGTGCGCGCAGGTGTGAACAGCGCAATCCCACGCCGTGGGTGACCCAGCCAACGGTCTTTACCCAAGATACAGTAGTAGCAGTGGCAGCAGCATAGGTTGTTCTTGCTGCCAGTCGTAGTGACGACGACGAAGCGGCCTCTGCGTGGGATAGACAATAGGGGGAAAGGCTTGCATCGCCCCTCCCAGAGATCACCTGTCCTCTTCTAAGACTAGTCCTGTACGTTGGCGGCGAGAAGAGGGAGGGAAGCAATGACCTGCCGTATTTAGGAGGTTGCAAAAGCTGCTGTTATGGCAGGTAGCCCCACCTCCCCAGTTTTGAAGGGTGGAAGAGGAGGTGGAGGACGATGTCTCACGTTTCCGGCGGCGGCGGCACTAAACTGCTCGACGCGTTGCAACGGTTGATGAGAGCCGCAGCAATTAGAAGAGATCATCGCGATCGGCACGCGATCCGTCAACTGCTCTCAAGGTCAAGGTTGCATATTTTGGTAGCAAGTATGCGGGCCCGCGGGTCGGTCCTCCAAACCTCAGCTGGCTCGCGAGCTAGGCCCGAACGAATCGGACGATGATGTCCCTTCGAGACAAGATCCCATAGACCTTTTGACTCTTGGTTTCTATTACCCTGCCAAGGCTGAGAGTATTCGTGAGATGGAACGGACAATCTTGCCTCGGTCCCGACAATCACGATCCTATTGTCACGTTCCTATCTCTCTCTGTGTGATTTGCCTCTCCTTTCCTTCCGTCTTAACTACTCCTGCTACGGTAACACTATGCAACAACGCATGATCGGGCCTAATCCATATTGTGTTGGTTTTGTGCTTTCAGTGCTCATGTACATAGTATCGTGCCATGCACAGCAAGCCAGACCAGGGACAATAGGATTGGAGGATAAGGCTGACATAATCGTTGCAGATGAACTCCCCCGAGGGTGGACTCAGACCCCCTGCAACGAGGTGGAAATCGCATGCAGGCCATCAACTCAGGGCTGTTTTGATGTGGAGCCTACCCATCCTCGTTCCCCTGTAAATGGACCAACAGCAATGATGACTGGGATAGTCATTGGGGAGGCAAGAAGATGGAGCGATGAGGACTCGGAGCGAGTTTGCATGTGTACTTGTTATGTTATGTTGAGGGAGGGGAGGAGCAAGGCGGAGGTGTGTATAGTGGTGATTGGGTAAGACGTAGGCGATCACTTCAGTACAGTAGCAGCACTACAATACTACATAACAGTACCAAAGTACTTGGGTACTTCTCCATAGTGCCACATTCCCCAGCCTTCTCTCCCCATCCACAAGCATCCGTAAGCAGCAAGTTGCTTTGCTCAAAGCTGACTCAAGGATTTCTTGAAAGGACAAACGCAAACACAGTCAAATGGAAGACACTTGAGCAGGGAAATCAGAATTAAAATAACATAAAATAAAATAAAATCTACCATACACTGCATGCTTATTTTTTTTATATTTTTTTTGTCCTCCTTCTTGTTCCTTCGAATACGCATGATAAACAGCCTAGACGTGATCGAAGGAGAGACCAGTACGGGACAAGCAAGGCCTGAGGCGCGCGGGTTTCATCCTTCGGCTGGCACGCCCCATGCCTATGCAATCGCCGTACCCAAAGTACTCTGACGCTAACCTGCGTAGCCTCTTCCTCCTCCTCCTCCTCCTCCTCTTCCTCCTCCTCCTCCTTCTCCTCCCTCTCTATCTAAGGGAGACCAGACAAGACACCCCTCCTGCACACTCGGTCTTCAACCACCCGTTATCTTCGCCATCCACTTCAACTCCTCGACGGTGTTTCCTTCCTGCCTCCCCTGCGCGCGACCGCAACAATCCTTCCCTCACGACCTGTGCACCTCCGCCGTCGAAACGCCCACCACGATCGTTACCCGTCATTATTCTCGTCCTCAACCGGCAACGAACCCCGTGACCGCGTCTGCATCCCTCACCAAAATACCTGCAAACTCCCACTCCTATTCTACCCTAGACAAGACGAGACGAGAACATCGCCTCGTCGGCCCCTCGACCCGTCATCCCTGTGTGCAAGCAAGCTACGACGATTCCTCATCATCACCTAGAAAAATATCAGACAGACACGATTTCCGATCACCGCACGGTCGTCCCGTCGACCTACTGGTTCCTCGAATGCCGCAAAATATCCATCTGACCAAAGCGATATCCTAATTACACATAATTTGTTTTGCCCACCATGCGGCGACCCTCGGTAGACCTTGCCGAGCCCTCGCGCAATCTAGAGGAGTCGGTCGGTGCCCCTGCGCCAGACTCATTCGATCCGGAGACATCCGACTCTCTCGCTTTAGAGACCGATTTCACGCAGACCCTCGACCTACATGAGGATGGTGGCGGCCCCCAGTCGCTCCCTCGCGCCTTCACGCCTCCCCCACACCTCGCTGCTCGCTTCTACCGTCCCTCCCAAAACAGGCGGAAAGACTCGGCTGCCTCCTCGCGACGAAACTCGGTATGCTCTGTGCCCTCCTTGTCGTCGTCTCATGGCGCTGCGCAGCTGCACAGCGGGCCCCAGAGCAAGCATATTGCCAATCACCAGCGGAGGGATGCCATCTTGAAAGACCGCCAGAAGCGCCTAGCCGACCGCGCTGCCCATGTCGAGAAGGTCCGACTGCGCGCTGCGCGGGCCAAGGAGCGCACCATCTCCCTCTCGGAGGAGAGAGCGATTGCTGCCAAGGAGGCCCGCGAGCGTAATCTCAACCAGATTGCCGCAGCCTGTGCCGAGGAGGTCAAGAGGGCCAAGGCCATAGCCGAGAGCACCAAGGGCAAACGTGAGCTGGAGCTCCAGAAGATGCGCCAGCAGATGGAGGAGCGACAGGCCGAGGCTGAGCGACGCCGCGAGGAGCTGAGGAGACAGCCCCAGAGGGCCAGAGGCTCCAGCCTCGATAGCAAAAAGTCCGTCGAGGCATTGTCGCCCGTGGGAGAGGTCAGCACGCCAGAGCCAAGGCCGCTCGCCGAGGATGCTGCCGTCTGTAGGCTACAGACCTGGTGGCGTGCCACGACGAAGAGACAGGCAGTCAACGCATTCTCTCAGCTGGGTCTGACGCTCGATGAGTTCCGGGACAAACACTACGATGCGGCGACAGAACTAATCCAGGACCAGCGCGTCATGCTAGCGACAGCCCGCATCCTCGCCATCTGTGGCCTAGAAAAGGGAAAACCTGACTCTGTCGCCCAGATGGGCACCGTTCGGCTCTTTCTCAGTGCCTTCTTGATCTTAGGCCATCCGTCACAGGTTCTCAGCAACACGTACGACCTCGGTGAACAAGACCAGGGCTCTTCCTCCTCCTCCTCCTCCGCCTCCTCCGCTTCTTCGCCGCTGCGCCCGAGGGACGACCTGGCCAATCCGCTGGTTCAGGAGCTAGTGGGCAAGGCCAAGGACCTCCTCATCACGTTCGAGAACATAGTATCCCGGCTGACAAGTCTCAACAACTACACCGTTCCGCCGTCGCTGGCTGATGCGCTGCCCACTGCGCATGCCTGCTTCGAGAGGGCGTTTCTCAACTGGCAGACGCGCGACAAATCCGCTCTGATTGACGGGATGTTGAAGCAGCTGGTGGAACTCGACGCCCTCATTGACCACGTCAAGGAGACCAGCGTGCCCGCTGCTGTGGAGGAATACAAGGAAGCAGTCGCACCCAACCAACAGATGTTTGTTGTCAGGATCAAAAAAGTCCTGGGCCCGGAGAAGGGATTGAGAGTTATCCGGCAAGCCCTCTTCCAAGCTCGCAAGGAGAGGGCCGCGAAAAAGAAACAGAGGACAGACATGAGACCGCGTGCTGCCGAGGAGTCTATGACAGCCGAGTCTGTTATGGCTGAACTGACACCCGGTGAGCAGCAAACCACTGCCACTATCACCGCGAGGCAGTCTGTTGCGAGGCCGGTTGGGGCTTCTGCCGGCACGTCGCCCACCTCCTCGAGCAGATCAAGCGTGCCACAGATGGCTCCTCAGGCCAATCTTCTACCCGACAATCGTGTCGTGATGCACGAGCTGGCCATCAACAAGGAGTACCGCACAAGCGCACAAGACTTTGTTGACGCCGAATCTAAGGCACTCAAGCCTTACCTGGATGGAATGCGCGCAACCATGAATGGAGACGCCTTGTCGCGGGAGATTCACTTCTGCCAGCTCATCAATGTCGCTGCACACATTCAACAAAAGCTGCTGCGACTCGTCCACCCCTCGAATCCCCTCCATAGCGTCGTTATGGACCTACTGGATATCGAGCAATTCAAACAGACATTCCGAAACGGGTCATTCTCGTACGAGAATTTTTTCTCCTCCATGGCCAATCTGTTGCCGAAGCTGTGTGCTCCGGTCCGAGACGAGCAGGTCAAGGACCTGGCTGAGAACAAGCTCGTCCAAGGCAGCTATGTGGAGCGCCTAGAAGCACTCATTCTCTTCATCGACGTCATGTTGAGCGACTTTGCCAACCTTCTCCTACACATGGCCACGCCTAGGCTGCTGCGATCGGCGGCCCAGTACGAGGCCAAGGCCTTTGCAAATGCTATTCACCGGGGTGAGCACGGCTTGTTCGCAGCCGAGACGGCATGGCGGGCAGCGAGGAGCAAGGTCATGGTCGAGACGGCAAGACGCGACTCGGAGAACACAACAAGCCAACCCAAGAACCGGCCTACTGCCGACAAGATCTATTCACACATGCTGGTTGGCATCTTCACCCAGACCAGCCATATCCGTTACGGACAAATTCCCGAGATGCTGCAGCTTGACTTCAAGCGGATCCACAAGTACGGCGACCTCACGCGCAACATGATCACAGCTGGTGGCATCCTTCTGCAGTGCAAGAACCTTCTCAAGCGCGACGTACGTGCGCCGTGGAAGACGGAGGCAACGCGGATCATGACCGTGCTGGACACGGCCGAGTCGGAGGAGGCTGCTGTCAATGGCGTGATGGCTGCTCTGGAGGCAGGACGATCGATGCCTCCTGCCGTCAAGACACACCTCCGCGGCTTCGTGCAGAACCTGATCGCCGCGCATTGGCAGATGGTCAGCGCAACCCAGCCAGAGGCCAACACAACGTGGGACCCTACAGGCCATGACCCAAACCAGCCGGTCCTCCGACTGCTGCTCAAGCGCCTGCGCGACCATCTCGTTGCTCACCTGACAGCGGGCAGCAGGAAGGCGACGAACGCGGCAGGCGAGAAGCTTGCGAGCTCTGGCCTCGGGGAGTTTATGGACCGAGTGCGGGGCATGACCGACGAGATGACCAAAGTCGGCGCCGTAGACCGGGAGGCACACCGTCCTTGGTGGGAGCAAGTTGCAGAGAAGATCGAGTCCGAGAATGCTGGGGGCGACGTCACTATGGTCGGCAATGCCGGACCTGCATAAAACTCATCTCTCTCTCTCTGCCTCTCTTTTGGTCAGAGGAGGAGAAGCTACGAAGTTCATGAAAGCGTGCATATACGATACACCTCAGACGCAACAACGGTCGGGGATACTTTTTTGATTTCAAGGGACTTTTTCTTACGTGTTCACAAATATGGGCGGCGGACTGGTCAATGGATGGGTCATGGATTTGGGTTCACTCACAACGGCAGTGAGAATAACTTGGCGTTAGGTCACTTTTGCTCAGGGTCTTTTGGGTCTGGTTCTGGTTTTGGTTTATGGCTGGTTGCCTCGCACTGGGCTATGGACCATCACCATTGAGCACCAGCACCAGCGCTTCTTGAATTTGTGCGGGTGTCATCCATCCAAGTCTAGTCTTTGTCTGTTTCTCTCTTTATGTATGCAGCGTTTGTGTTGCCGGCGGTAATAGCTATTCTATCTGAATTCATACAATACCCAGACTCTACTGTAAGTCGTGCTTAAGGGCTACCTCTCATCCTGGTCCCCTCGGTGATATCATTGCGGCCGGCATGGAAGATCACTCAGTGTCATGCTCCTCTTTCGGCCATTAATTACTGTATGCCCTCTGAGCTGATAATTATTTTGCGATCATATGGGTGGTATTTATGTATGTCTTCCTTTTTCCTCTTTTTTTTTTTTCTTTCTTGCAATATTCCCTAATATGCCGGGGTCCTTTTCGATAGCAAGGTTCTCTCAGCTTGCGGCGAATGATCCCCAACAGGGTGGCTCATACCCTCCCGCGACGCTTGCCCGGCCCGGGGCCCTTCTCCCCGAGCAGCTAAACCCCCCAGCTCACTCCCCCCCCCCCTTCTCCCAAAATCCATCACCTCCAAATCGCCTCCCCATGCTTACATGCAAGGCTACCCCGCCATGTTATTGGAGTAACTCGATCACACTCCTCTGATTGGGGGAACAGGAGAGACAAATCAACTCAGCCTCGTCTAAGCAAAGCATGGCACGAAGGAGGAGGAGGAGGAGGAGGACCAGGAAGAAGAAAAAAGGAATGAGGAGCAAAGAAAGACAAGAATACACGCGACGGTTAAAGGCAAGCAAACTTAAAATCCGCGGCACAAATCATTCATCACGCAACAAGAGGGCATCTTATCAAAACTGGATACCCACCGATCTCTCTCTGTCTGTCTCTCTCTCTCTCTCTCTTATTTTCTTCCATTCTGCCCTGTCTTGCATGTGCGTCAGGCTCCTTTTTTTTTTTTTTTTTTTTGCTTAAAAATGCTCTCTGCGCGGGGTGTGGGTACACACTACGATTACGTCCCACCTCTTGGCCCGCTGCGAAATCGGAAGGTCAGAGGCAAGGCTCAGGCTTGACACGGCAGGGTGGATTCGATTTGCTCACATTTTGTCAACCCTCTTTTTTTTTCCCCCTTGTCCACTTTGGCGTGTGTGGACAGAGGGAAAAAGGTGTTTTCTCGGAGGTTCTGTCACGATCCGGTCTGCCTATGGCGTTATCTAATCTGTATTATCTCAACAGTTTTCCCCTCCGTATATACTTTCGCCTCGCTCTCTTTTCTGCCGGTTTCTTGCTTCTTCTTTCTCCGTCTTTTCCATCTGCCCAAACCTGATCACATAACGCGTCGTCTTTAACTTTTCTACCTTCTCAACAACAAACTCTTTCTTCCCTCACCTCATCCCGTTTCCCCCCCAAACAATCATTCATAATGGCCACCAAGGCATTTGTCCAGAAGCCCGCCCCGGCCTTCACGGCCACTACTGTCCTCGAGACTGGCGAGTTCAAGGAGGTTTCCCTCTCTGACTACAAGGGTCAATGGTGAGTTGTCAAGTCAAAGCACAGCATCGAGTCTTCTGTCACCTCTTGTTACTCTACCTGCCCCCTCACGGCACCTTTTCCACCCATCATATCACCTAGTCCCCCTTCCTTCACATCGTGCTGCAGCTTGCTGTTTGGAGATATCTCCTCCACTCCTCCACTGCGTTGTTCTCATTGCCCTCCTCCTCCTTCCTCACCACACCTTCCCCCCCCCCTCCCCAAACACCTACGTGCACCATTGATATGCCTTTCCTTAAAACAGAGAGTGGACAATGAAAAGTTGCTCCACCACCTCTTTTAACTCTTCTTTGTTTTCTTACCCAACAAAATAGGGTCGTCCTCCTGTTCTACCCCATGGACTTCACCTTCGTCTGCCCCACCGAGATCCTGGCCTACAGCGACGCCCTCCCCCGTTTCCAGAAGCTCAACACCACCGTCCTGGGTGTGTCGACCGACAGCCACTTCACCCACCTGGCCTGGCGCGAGCGCCCCCGCAAGCAGGGCGGACTGGGCGAGGACCTCAAGCTCCCCCTGGTGGCCGACAAGAACTTCAAGATCTCGCGCGACTACGGCGTGCTGATCGAGGAGGAGGGCATTGCCCTGCGCGGCCTCTTCATCATCGACCCCAAGGGCGTCCTCCGCCAGATCACCGTCAACGATCTCCCCGTCGGCCGCAACGTCGACGAGACCCTCCGCCTGGTCGAGGCCTTCCAGTTCACCGACGAGCACGGCGAGGTCTGCCCTGCCGGCTGGCAGTCTGGCGGCGAGACCATGAAGGCTGACCCCAAGGGCAGCCTGGAGTACTTCTCCAAGGCCGGTGGTAAGTCTTCGAGGCCCCTGAGCGGGGGCGGCGGCGATGATTACCACCCGTCGTCCCCTATTGCGAAGCGTCCGCGTATTGAGTAAGAGGTTCTTTTGGAACGACAACAGGCAACTAGAAGAAAATCGTGACAATAAGGAAGAGAGAAAGAAATGAAAAAGAGAACCGAATCTCACGCACGCGCACACAAACACACAATACCATCTTTTTTGCGAAACAACAACCTCCCCCTCTCTGATGAGAGACAGTGCAAGGAGTGAGGACTCGGGAGGAGGGTGAGGGGACGGAGGGGTGGATAAAAGGGAACCCATCGGATGGACAGACTTTCCTGTTCACTTCCACCCCTTTTTCCCGTGGACTGGGTTGATGAGGATAATGAGCATCTGTGGGGTTTAGCACATACAATCGGCGTTTTCCTTTAGACGGAATAGACGAGTTGTAGAGTTAGACCATAGAAGCCAGAGCCGAATTTTATGTCCAGGTCGTTCGACTTGGGACTCTCTCCCGCAAACGTCGAGCTGGTTATGATACGTATCTCCTAACCCTCCTACCTATTACTATCATTTTGTGTTGATCATGGCCAAAGGCAGGGCTGTGACTTATCTTTCCTTTGGCCTGCATTCCAGGAGGGCTCTGGTCTCAAGCGCTTGAATACAACAATCCAGACTCGTACGCCCTTGACAGCTCAAAAGGCTCGTGACCTCACGTCCCGCGTCACGAGCAGGCATGATCGACAAGCGGAATGTGGACGACGTGGACACTCACCAGCGCTCCTCGTCGACCAGTAGCGGACCGGGCGGGCACTGGTCTCGGTCGTGGTCGCCTTCTTGAGTCTGCTGAACACATCGTCGCCATGCTCTTGAGAGAGAGAGCCTCACTGGAAGGAAGGCTGCTGTTCTTGTGAAGCACGGTGCTTCTGGAATCATGGATGCGCAGCAGCAGCCATGTCCATGTCCCAAGCTTTGGTTTGTACACACGATGTTCACGCACCCCTGAAAGTCTAATGACGTCTGCTCTCTCCCCTTCCAGTCGAGAACTGTGGCGAACGTCATGCCTCACACTTTGGCTGGTTGGGTCCGGGCATGAAAGTAACAACACAAATGGCTGGGAGACAAGAAACAGCATACCGTGGAAGTGCCAATCCTTGTGTGAGACGTTTTTTCGGAGGGCATTGCTCGTGAGTTTTGAGATCCTTGGAGTTGATGGCCAAGTCCCCCCTTGTTAGATGAATGACTTCATTTGGGGCATTAAGGTCAGGGGTCACAGTGGCCACTGCAGTGGGTACAGTTGTCGATCTCGGAAGGATCTCTACAGCACTAGCCCCTCGGGAGTGGCTTGAGCTACTGTAGTAGCGGCCATCCACTGTTACAGCCCTAAGATCAGACACTGGCTAGGTGCTGTGAGGTCAGTCCAGAGGAAGCAACAACGACTTGTCCAGTGAGTTTAAGGAAGAGTCATCGTGATCATGTTGAGAAGGCGAAATCATAGCAACTTCTATACATATTATGCTTTGGATTTATTGCATCTATAGGTTTGCAAAAAATTTTCTCGAGGCCATGGTTTATGATTGGTTGGAATATTCAATATTGGTTTATGTACCTACATATATTTCACCACGATATGTTTGATATATCAACCCAACAATGATATTTTTCTGCACTCATCCGGAAACCCCAGACCGAAAAAACGGACGTTGTGCGCCAAAGGCCACCATCACAACCCATATTGTAAGAATATAATGATGGTGTAGACATTGCATGCCTCCTTTTCATCTCTTTGCACAAGAAGAGCAAGCATTCCTCATTGGTGCGCAATGAGACAATTTTGGCGGTGGTGTGCACCCTCCCTCGGAGCAAGAAGAAGGCGGTAGGTGGTTCGTCTCCCACGACCGCACAGGTTACTCCATGTAGCCATACAACAAGTCTATACCTACATTTAGACCGGCAAAGCGGCAAATTCAGAACAAAAAGATGATGATGATACAGTTTCGTGAACTTTTATCTGTTCGGTGGCCGATAATTATGATCTCACCTGCCCCTTTCAGCCACACCTGTACGCGTCGCCAGAAACCCAACGCCACTACTATACACATATGATTCCAAGATATATAACATATATTCCAAGAAACTTTATTTCGATACTAAGACACCAATGTGAATCGTAGTGTTGGCATCTAGCTTTCTTCCCCCTTCCAGCTGTGTTAGCAGCCTCTTCCAACGAGCAAGATGTACAGCCACTCCAGCCTCTTCCTCCTGGCCGCGCTTGCCGTGCGTGCCACCACCGCGGCCTCGACCAACTGCACGACCTCGGGCGCCCACATCATCGTCACCCGCGAGAGCGACGCGCCGCCAAACACCAGCGCCATGAACATCATCGCCCTGGGCATCGTGGGCCAGTGTGCCGGGTCCGACATCGCCGAGACCCCCTACCCGGCCGCGCTGAGCCCGTACGAGCCGTCCGAGGCCGAAGGGGTCGGGAACCTTACGGAGCTGGTTCTGGACTACCAGGCTGAGTGCCCGGATTCCAAGATTGTGTTGCTGGGTTACTCTCAGGTATAACTATGGATCGACTTCGTTTCATTCCTCCTCGTCTTTTTCCTCTTCTTTCGCTACCTTTTCTCTTGGCATAAAATAGACTTAGTCGATGGCCTGAAAGAAAAGAAAAGAAGAAGAATAAATAAAAAAAAAGAGAATACTTTCTTTTAGAAACAATGGGCACTGATAAAATACTTTTCTAAACAACCAGGGCGCACAAGTCACTGCTGACTTCCTCTGCGGGACTTCAGAGGAAGGCTGGCCAACAACCGAAGCCTACGCATCCACCGTGACAGATAACCGTAAGTTTAAGATCCCCTCCCCTTTCCAGCCATCAAAATAATATGTCCTAACCGCCCCCAAAAAAAAGTCGCCGCTGTCGTCTTGTTCGGCGATCCAAGTTTCGTCAAGGGCCTCTCGTGGGACCGCGGGACGGCCAACAACACGAGCTACTTCCCGCGCCAAAACAACACGGCCTGTGACCCTGTTGCTGCTCAGAGTGAGAATCTTTTTTTTTTTTTCTTTTTTTTTTACTTCCCTTTCTTTCAACTTCATTGCTTTATATATATGTATACCGCCTGTAAAAAGAGCATGTTGACTGACTCCTTCCTCCTTGGTGATGGTGTCCAGTCGTGTCATACTGCGACTACAACGACTATTACTGCGATGACGGCACGAGCATTGAGGTCCATGCGTCTTATGTGGAGAGATACCACACCGAGGCGGTTGATTGGGTGGTTGAGCAACTGGGTGGTTGCTAGGCGATGTGCAGTGTACGGGTCGGGCTTTGGAAAATTGTTTCAGGTAGTTAGTAAAGCATTTGGATTTGACATTGCCGAACAGTGAGGGATGCATCCGATGATTACATGGACATCCTGTTTTTACTAAAAGTGCACAAGTGAACTTTCGTAAAGTACTTAAACAAACACCAGAAGCTGGAGGTCGACATTTCACTCGAGGTAAGCATTCTGATCAGGCAAAAAAGTTTTTTCCCCAAACTACATGCGCTTCGCTATAGTGATCACCGAATGTTGAATGCCCCACGAAAGCCAAATACTCTAATACCTGGAGTGCTTCTTTCGTGACGCCGAATCCCCGCCATCTATCATAACCATGACCCTAATCTTGACCGTAACCGTGACCGTTACCCGTGACCGTGCGAATCACTGAATACGCCTATAAGAATCCAACCTCCCATGCCGCGCGGAGAGGCCGGAGGGTTATACCACCATGCGAACCAATCTTTCTGCTTGCGTTGAATCACAAAGCTATATCAACCCGAAACTCCTCAAGAATGCCCATCACATCTTGTCGACTGTTGCTGCGTATAAACAAAAGTAGACTGACCATTGTCAACTGGACTTGATGGGGTCCATGACACTAGTACAGTCAAGTTGTGTCTGCCGAGCCCGGCACGGCTGAGTCTTGAGAGCTCTGCGCCTAGCAGACCTCGAGCTCGTTCCTGGCTTGCGTACGCCTCCTCTTGGGTGTCCTTGGTGACAGCGGAGGCGAGGCAAGCCGGACTCCAAGCCTGGCCGCCGCCAGGGCAGGTGAGGAAGGAGGTTCTCTACCAGGAGAGCCGCCGGTGATAGAGTCGAAGCTGGTGTGAAAGACTTCTGAGAATGTCTCCCTGCGCCGCTTCAGACTGCCGAGTCGCACCTCGCGCTCCAACTCCGACTCCCAGGTTTCCATCTCACCCTCTGTGAAGTCGGAAAGTTCCTCGTCGACAAGCTCTGCGCCGAGGGCTTGAGCAAGTCTCTCCTTGAGGCCTAAAACAGGCCAGATAGGCACTCTTGTGACCTCCACCTTGAGGCCGCCGTTGTGAAGAGCATCAGCGCTGGGTGCCTTGGTTGGCTCGGCAAAGCGCTCGAGGAAGGCGGCTGTCACAACTGTGCTGTAAACAACGAACGCTGCGGCGCTGCTATCCTGCGATAGGATCCTGACGGGTACGTCTCTGAAGACGGGCCGTGGCTGTACGCTGTCTGCAGAAATCGTAGATCCCTGCGACGACTTCTGTGAGGAGGCCCGGGACGACGACGCGGTGGTGCCCTGCGCATAACACTGTGATTGTGCTATGGCGAGCATAATGGCGACCAGGTAGGAGTCGTGGTCACCATTCTCGGGCACCAGTTTCTTCGACCGCAGTCGTTGGAGGTTGAGAACCGGGGTGTTCATCTGATCGCCATTTGCCGGTCCAGGTACGACACGGTACAGGTTGTGGCGCACCATAGTCAAGTGCGTTCTGTTGACAAAGGCGAGCACAGGCCGGCTCAGTTGTTGGCCAGAGGAAGAGGAGTACCTCCTCCAGTCCCTGATCCGGCTGTCGTTGTTGTCTTCGCTGCTGTTGCTGCTTCCTGGGATCTGCCCATAACAACTCGAAGGTCTCGTTTCGGCACTGTCAAACGAGGCATCAAGGCTGTCGGATTGCTGCCATAAGACGGTGACACGCACAGCGCGCTTCAGAGTGTGATCGCCAAAACGGCATTCGAGATCCACGTTGCTTTTCGCCTTGGACAAGGTGGCGGGGAAGAAGGTGCGCAGAACCCGTTTGACGGAATGCGCAGTGAAGCAGCCGAGTTTGGGGCTGAGAATAGCAGTGAGATCCTTGCTGAGCTCCGTCGCAATCCTACTTGGGCGGAGCGGCAGCTGAGACATGGAGCTGAGGTCGGGAACGGGGTTCTGTACGGGATCGCAATCGACAAAGTTGACGCCGAGCAATCGGGCGTGTGCATCTGTCCAACAGATTGGGGTGATAAATAGCGACTCGCCACAGTGATCGTGCATGATATCGTAAAGAGAGCCAGGCGCAGGACGGACAACACGCGCTACGCGCCCTCGTTTCCTCAGCCTAACAGTCTCAGGTGGTGAAATGGGTGTCGCTGGTGTCTGTTGGATCGAGAGCTGCATGCTGTCCACCGCGTCAGGCATCTCTGCGACGGCCTCCTGCGATGGAGAGGGTGTTATTGGCATGGTCGCGGCCGCGGCCTTGTGTTGTGTCGGGGCCATGCTGTTGAATCTTGAGTTAAACAGCTGGCCTAGGAGAGGGCTGTGGTTGAATAACGAGCTATACGCGACGTGTTAGTGGTAAGGATTCGGCGTGGTCCTGGTTTGTATGTCGTGAAGGTTGCATTGCAGTGAATGCTGCGCAGGCACCAAAACATGTGCAGCCAAAAGCGAAACGAGGATGGGCGATACGCACTCGAGGATCTGCATTAAGGAAGCCTCCCTTGACGGGATGCCAAATTTCTGAATGTAGGCGCTAATGAAGTGAGGGGCAAGACTAGACCGTCTGCGTGTATTGGCGATAAGTCGATAGTCGTGATAAGGCTGAGGTGCAGAATGCGATGCGGAATTGAGTGGAGACTGAAATGTTGACGTGACGCGACCGGACTTGTAACCCAGCAACTCAGAACTCTTTGTTCCTCAAATAGGATCCAAGCTCGGAAATTTGGAGATGACTGCTATGCCAGAAATGAGATCTGCATACAGTAGAAAATAGCAAGCATGAGGAAGAATAAGGAGCAAAAAGAGGTGAGAGAGAGGGTCGAGACAAGGTTGCGTAAGAGTTAGGGTCACCAAAACAGGCGACGTGGACGGACCCAGGCTGGACTGGGAGTTGGGGGGTTTTAATCACGGCCGGAAAAGAGAGAGAGAGAGAAAGCAGACAGACGGGCTAAGCAGTGGTGGCCACCGGGTTCACAAAGGAGGCCTGGCACAGGCTTGCCAGGCGTGCAGAACGGAAGAGGAGGGACTGGGAATGCGACCTGGGAGGGACAGAAACCTTGGAATGACACGCAGAGGTAGGTCGGCCGGGGTGCCAGGCCAATTGGGGGCGAATGTCTCATGCGCGCCCTGGCCCCACTTGTCCACCTGGCCACCTCGTCCCACCCTCCAACTTCGGAATGCTTGACTGCAAGCCGACGCGAAACATGACACCAGACCACGTGACTCTAGGCAGCACCAGCCCCCTCCATCCCCCCTTCCCTGTCCGAAATGTGGCTTATCCTTGTCCAGCCTGGCAGGACGGCGTTGGCTGGATTCTTGTTGCTGACTCAGATGGAGTAGAGAAGTGCCTTAACCGAATACAGTTAGTACTATCTTCTGGCCTGTGAGTGTGAGAGACGTCACCTAACTCACAGCTGGTCAACGTCGACTCAGGGGAAAAGGGAAGTAGCATCACAGCCCCTCCAGACGGAACCCTTGTCAACAGCCACCTCGACAATTCCTCACGACTTCCTCAACCCATTGAACCAGAGCTCCCCTATAACAGCTCGCCTGGTGGGCGCATAAGTCATAATGCCTGTGAGTACCCAAATCACTACCACCAACACATTTCTCCCCTCCTTCGGGCTCTCCAAATGACTCCAACTCGAAGCTCCCACCCACTCCTCACCTTCGCTCACGACACCGCCACAATAAACTCACCTGCTGACCCTTCCATCCCCCTCTTCCTTCTAGGCCTACAACTCCATCTTCAACGCCGACCCTAACGTCCCGCGCCTGATCGGCAACTTTCCCCTCCTCCCCCTGCGCACCAAGACCCGTGGGCCCGCCTACACCCTTCCCCTGCCAAACCCGCCGCTACCGCCTAACGAGTCTCCCGACCCGGAGTCCGAGAGCTACGATGTCCTGGACGAGGTCCTGTCGCTGTTCAGGGCCAACACCTTCTTCCGCAACTTCGAGATTCAGGGCAACGCCGACAGGCTGCTCATCTATGGCATCCTCTTCGTGTCGGAATGCCTGACCAAGATCAAGCCGAGCGCCGACGTGCGGACGGCCGGCAAGGATGTCATGAACCTGGCGCTGGATACCAATTTCGCTGTTCCCGGCGACCCTGCTTTCCCTCTCAATCAGGTAATGTTTTCCTGCTGCCGCCCGCCTTGAGGGATATGTGTGGTTGTGGTCCGTGTCAAAGGAAACGAGGAACAAATCCGCTGACTATTGGCGGTGTCGGGGAAATAGATGTACGAGCCACCCCGCGACAGACAGGATGCTGAGCAGCTGCGCCAGTACATGTCCCAGGTGCGCCAGGAGCTGGCTACGAGGTTACTGGCGAGGGTGTATGCGGACGGTGACGAGAAGCCCAGCAAGTGGTGGCTAAGCTTCACGAAGAGGAAGTTCATGGGGAAGGCACTATAAGCGGAAAACGCTGTGAGGGACAAAACATTTTCGGATCCCTCTAGGCTTCACAAGAGCGTGCGCCGTTAATATAGACTTCCACACGGCCCCACGAAGTGTAGTCCTGAAGCGTCTTAGCCAGCCGAAGGGTAGTCTTGGGGCACTTTAGAATGAAGAGAGAACAGGACTTTCGGAATATTGTGGCTCGCACGGTCTGGGCAGAGATCACGTCAACCCAACCCGGCCCAGTTGCATGCCTCGGGTAGATTGGACGGCTATGTTATTGGGAATAAAACTCAAATGAGTGTTGGCAGGCCTTACGATTCTCTTGCTTACTGTCTGTCTATAGCATAGTGTGCGTGTGCGTGTCTACAAGTCATGCTCAGAGAACTGATGGGGGTATCATTACTTCTATGAAAGCTTTGCTCTGCCATGAGAATCGTGTCTCGACGACTCAAGGTGATCTGATATCGGTGCCCCAGCTAAATCCAGACATACGAGTGTCAGCTATCAGGCTTCGACACCAGCAGTGGCAGGTGTACCAGCCTCGGCAGGAGTCCCCCCCTCGGCCGTGCTCGCCCCGGTTCTCCTCTTCTGGAACTTGCCTCTCGCCGCAATCTTGCCCTCGGCAGGCTTCGCCCGCCAGGCTGTAAATACGAATCCCTCGGCACCCCCGCGGGTCGTCATCACGGGGTGTGTCCTGCCGGGCAAGACCTGCCACTTCTTTGCTCTGCTGTTGTGCAGCTGCACGCCCAGCAGGAGCTGGGGATTGAGGGGAAACTCCTCCGTGCCCTCCCACCGCTCGAGCTCCTCCGGCGTCTTGCCGGCGGTGTCGGGGCGCCCGATGAAGGCGGCCCGCCTGGCCACGCTGAAACAGTCGACGAGCTTGGCGAGCGGTTCTATGTGCGGGCTGTAGATGGCGACAGGCGCGCCGCCGTCGAGCAGCGGGAGCAGAGGCCGCAGCACCGAGATAGGGTCCATAGTGCTTGCTACCACGAGTCCGCTAAAGCCGCCTGCCCGTGCGGTGTCGACGACGTACCGTGTGCGCGCCCAGCGCCGTCGCTTACGGTGGTAGTTTCCGCGGCGGTTGGGTTTCCAGGAGGAGACCTCCTCGGTCGTGTTGGTCGGGGGCTCGGTGGTGTAGACGGAGTCGAGTTGAGGCTCTAACAGTTGGAGCCAGGTGAGAGAGAGAAGGTGGTTGAGGAGTGGATGTGGTGGGTGGTTCGGATTCGTGCTGTCATATTGCCAGTAGTTGAGATGGGTGAGATTAGGTTGGCCATTGGTATGGACCAGGGTCATGGTATTGGTGGAACTGTAGGGGATGTGAAAGTCGGATTTTCGAGGCGGTGGTTGTCGGCGTTTCTTGGAAGAGGGCTCTGTGCCGTCAGAAGAGTGCAGTTGCGATATCACCTCTCCAGATTCCTTCGGGTTTCCTGCGTGGTCACGCTTGCCTGACGAAGCAGTCTCCTTGGCATCGATCTCCGGCTGGGCAACACCGTTTGAACGCTCTTCCGCGCCTTTCTCTGCGCTCTTGGCGTCGCTCGGATATAGGACTCCCATCCTCTCGGCCAGTGCTGCCACGAGTAAACCACCTGTGTCATCTACGACCAGGTATCTTATGCCCTCAGTTTGCCTTGGCTTTCGCGCATTCTCAATCTCCATCTCCTCTGTTTCTTCCTTGGGGGGTATCTCGTCCACTGCCGCATGATCCACTCCACTGAAGTGAACATTTGCCCAGCAGCCAACGAGCCCGATCATCTCCTCCTTCATCTCCATGATCTTACTCCCGTCCCTCTCGCCCATCCAGAAATTTCCGAAATTGTTCACGTCCACTGGCAAGACCGTAAACCTTCTCAAAAACTTCTTCTCCTTCAGCAGCTTGTACTTGGCCATACTGAAAGTTGTCTTTTGGTCCATGCCCGTATGTGCCAGCATAAGCTTCGCAATCAGGTCCTGGCCCGAGTCCGTCCCGTCGCGCTTCAGCGCCTCAATCTCCTCCCAAGTCAGCGTCTGCCTCGCATTGTCGTCGATGATCTCGCGGTTAGACCGGACGACTACCGCTCCGGTCTCGCTGTCTACCAGGCTGTACTCGACACCATCTGTTGCTGATATTATGTTGTCCTCGGGAGCGGCGCTATCTTGTCGAGAGGATGTGGACTCTTCGGCTATTACATCGGCGTGGAGCTCGGAGGCGGGCACAATGCGGAGGCGGGCAAAGGAATTGCTCGATGCATCTTTGTCCTGGAGCTCGTAGGTAAGATGGTATGGACGTCTTATAATGAGGTTGCTTGGGAAACAGCCATATCTGCCCAGGGAAAGAGTTCTAAGAGGCGGGCAAGTCAGTTCGTCATCATTCCTCCTTGAAGAAATGGAAAGATACTATTTGAGAAAACAACTAGCTGCGGACTTCATACGTGTTTGGGGTGATCTGAAGGAGTCGCGTGCTCCCATTGGGAAGTCGGAGAATGACCCAGGCATGGGGCTCAATTAGAGAGTGTGTACCCATCTTTTCAGTGCTTGCTACTGAGGAGGGCGCCTCTCGTTGTCTGCTTCGAGAAATCGATAAAGAAAAAAGTTCGCTGACGAAAAATTTGGGTGCGGTTGCTCAGTGGGGTTGAGGTTTGAATCCAGGTCCCTGCATTCCCCCACAATGAAGTGAGACCCCAGTAAGCCCTGCGGGGTCAGCAGCTGAAACCCCCCCAACGCTCCGCAGCAGCGGCTGCCTAGGACACCTAGTTGCTAGGTAAGTAGTGGGCAGTATTTACTACAGTACGGTAAAGTAATACAAGGCTACCGTAAATCACTTCACGTGAAGCCTCGCCTAATGAGCAGCTTGAACAGGATAACAACCATAGTCAACTACTCATTCATATTTGATGCCCAAGTCAGGGGATATAGAGGTAATATCAAGATTGGTCGAACGTAAATAACTTTTTTTATTGGTTTTGATATCAATGCAGACAGTTGCACAACGGTTCAATATAACGCTCTCAACCTTTCTAATCCACACAAAATAACATCACCTGATACAATCGTTTGATGCATATCGTTGATAATATGCAAGTAATAAATGCAACGAGTGGTTGTACTCAAAATACTTGTGGGAAACCTGCCCTCTTCGCAATGAACAGTATGCTATTTTCATGGAGGGACGGGATAGGACGTCAACGTCGTGGTTCTGGTCTCGTTCACTGAGATTATCAGCATATGGGTATCTGTACGGAAGACATTAATGCAAAATACTCACTTCCTCACGATAACTGCCCTCCATATCCTCGCCAGATGACCCATCATGGGCTTGGCCAGACTGGGGACCAATCTCTCCAGACTTCTTCTTTCCTCGGCCTCTGCCTGGTTTCTTGGCCGAACCCTTCGCGGCATCTGCAATCTGCCTCTTCTTCTTCACAGATTCATTTGATTTGATGAAATCATCATCTGAAGCTTCTTCTTGTGCCCTCGCGTTCCAATAAACTGAAAGCCAACATGTTAGAGGCCGAGCCAGACAATACTAAGTACAAGCCACCTCTGAGTGGTTGGCAGCGCAAGTGGGTTGATATACTTACCCCTACACGCGAATCCTCGGATGATATCTTCCTCAGTGTATCTACTCTTCGGTTCATGGCATCTCCGGCGCTTGTCGTTGAAGTGCTTCAGAGCTGTGTCGTCCTCAAATGGATGCTGTGTGAATCGCACTGCGTCGTTGATACCAGTCTGCTTACTCAAATTGCATCTGACGACATACCATCCAGGTCCACACCTCTGGTCAGCAAAGGCGTAGTCCTCTCCATCCACCTCAAAAAAATCAAGTGCATTCGTCGCTTGGGCCAAAGCGGTATTGCTCGGGGAAGCAGCCTGCGCGGAATTCTTGGGTCTCTTTGACGAAGGCCCGGAGGCGGGCCCCGGTTCTTCCGCAGAACTGCCGTTCAAGGGCCGTTTTCCATTTGTACGTTGTCCTCCTGTGTAACCTGCATCATCTCGCGAGGCCGTTAGTTCATCGTCCCTTCGGGTATCAGACGGCCCGCCTCCATTCGTCATTTCAATCACGCTTGGTGTAGCCAGTGTCATTGGCGCTTCAGGGGCGCACCCTCCAGCGCGAGAGGGCGGCGGACCCATGTTGAAGATTGGCTCGAAGCGAGCTGTAGTCGGAGATGCCTCCATGGCCAGAGGAATAGTGAAGGATCGGGCATCTGTGTTGTCTTCCTCGTAGTCGTCGTCAATGGTAGGGACTGTCAGGTCTGCAATGTGAAACATCGAGGACTTATAATCCTCGAGTACCTTGAGGAGCCAGGGCTCGTTTTCGTTGATGAAGCCGCTGACAAACTGCTCAGCTGTCTCCGCATTCACTTTCTCGGTCATGATCCTTCGTAGACGGTTCATTCTGAAAATGCCAGCATCGAGCACATCTTTCAGTTCAGAGAAGTATTCAAGGAACTCATTATTCAAAACGGGCTTCCAATCTCGTCTCGTCGCCGTGACATCAGCATAAGAAGAGATTGTGCATTCTTCGGACACCTGCAGCGGCCGGCACACTTCGTCATCGGTCTTGCTGTCAACTCTGCGGTTGGATGCCATTCGGACGATCTCGAGTATGCTCGTGGCCTGCCTAGAGAATCTAGGGAGAATCTAGGATTTATGAAAAATTCCTGAAGCACTTAGAGAAATGACTATGTGCGTTTTCTGAAAGATCTGAGCAGGAACGGCAGACTTGATGGACTTTTGCAAGAGAGCGGAGAGCAAGATGAGAGTGGCTTGAGATACGGAGGTTTCTTTTTTTTCTTTTGCAAGAAGTAAAGCGGTCTACGTAGGGCTTTTTATAATGGGAACTGACCCTGGCCAACCCTTAGATTGACTAGGTGAGGAGATGGGGGCCTGCCTGTGAGTGTAAAAATGCCATTTAGCAACGGTGAAAAGATTGAGAGTGGAAAATCAGCCAGATTGGCTGAACAAGGACACAGCCTGCCTCAGCCGCGCCAGGCGACAGATAATGGAACCCTTCCAAACACATGAAACAAGAACAACCTGCATACAAAAGGACCAAGTGGGTGCCGAGTGTCTTCAGCTTCCACGCCAGTCCATGGTTCAAGCTCTGGATTCCGCAGCTTTCCAATCCGACATAGCGAATCGAGCATACCCCTGAGTGACGTCTGGATCGAACTAATTAGTATCATGTACGTGGTAATATTGTAACGGACAAGTACTCCAAGAGTCCAAATAGCTTCTCCTACACCCTCCCAGAAATACAAACCAGGGAATCGTGCCTACCTAGACAGGTGTATATACATATATATAGCACTAAGCAACCTCTTCATTCGCCACCCAACCCATCTTGCATTAAATGTTACACAAATCAGGCTACTTTTTGAGGCCGTTACTTTTTCCAAGATCGTGCGGTGCACTGCCTGCACAAAACAAATGGCTCTCAGTGTTGCGAATGCAAGCAGAAGCGCCGTTATCACTTATTGGATCAGCCAATCACACGACCGAGCCGAGCAGGCAACCAATCAACGCACTTCACTTTTGTGCTGTTGAAACCAACGTGCATATCCAGCCACACAGCCTCCCCTTCGCTTCCAGAGTGTCGGTAACCTCCAGTGCTACAACAAGTTTCGACCGCCAGCTGCTGCCTGCAATCAGAGGCCTCCTCGAAGAGGCCTTCAGTCGACTATCAAGGATGTTCTTGGTTTTATCCTGGTTCAGTACACCAGGTGTTCAGCTCCTGCCAGGAGTCGGTGTAACAGTATGATGATAAAAGTGTATTTGTCTTTATAAATAAACACTAAAATAAATGCTAAAAGACAAGACTTTGAGCGAGAATATGTACGAGAATTCTTGCGATTGGTCAAGATACGCATTTGCTTTTTGTATCCGAATTATTAATTACTTGGTTTTTATACTTTAGTAAAGCATGCAAACCAACAGGCTGAAAACTGCGCCCGTGTAAAGCCTCAAAAAGTTGGTAAGGACTTACTAAGGTACTGCATCGAGAGACCTGTACGCAAGCACTTCCTTTAGCTGGATTCACAGTTGGGGGAACTTTGATCACCCTTGCAAGGCATAACCTTGCGAATTGATGTACTATTCAATATATACATACGATGCCTGCGGATCGTAATCGTACAGGTATGTAGTACAGGTATGTAAACCTCCTCAAAAAGGTTGTCTAACCTCGCCAATCCTCGGCGGCAAGACCTCTCGAGCTCTAGATATTATTCGCACATGCAATCCTCAAGATGTCTTATGTCCTTCCGAGCCACATCAACGGAAGCTTAGTCATACAACTGACATGAGTACAAAGGACACAGCCTCGCGGAACCATGGCACGAGGCAGGTCATTTACAGGTCAGCCTCGTCCATGTTCCTCACGAACATACTATACCACTGCACGCCCTTGACGTGTGCCCGCATGCTGACTCGCTCGTCCACGGTGTGAATACCACCGAGGCCAGCATCCTGCTCCTCATCATAACCGGGGCCGTATCGGTAGATGTTGTTTGTCAGGTCCCAGTAATACTTCGTATCTTGGGGGTAAATGTCAGCATTTTCACATTATCAAAAGTCGACGTGTGCTAATCTCTACATACCTGTGTTGCCAGTCGACAATGCCGGTGCCATGATCAAATCCTCTCCATAGAGAGCGCGCGTGGTGCCCGACAAGATGGACCAAGCATTTGTCTCGCCATCATAGGTGAAGGGAGAAACAGGTGCCGGCTCAAGAGTCGAGTGGAACGCAACCTTGAGCGTGATAGAGCTGGGCGTCTCTCCTTCGCCCTCTGGGAAGGCATGCAGAGTGAGATTGAACTTCTTGGCCACATGCGCTGCAATCTCGGTGATATGCGCCTTGACATCCGAAGTATGGCCGCCGACATTGACGCGGTGGTTGACGGTGAGCACAGTCCGCTCAGGCAGGGCGTTGATCTTAGCACCGCCGCCAATGAGATCTGCCGCCTGGGACGTCGTGAACAAGTACTTGAACGGGTCTGAGATCTTGGCCGCCTCCAGCGCCAGCCTGTCCTTCTTGTGGCACACGGCAGCATCGCCGGAAATGCGATGCCGCAGCTCTTTCTTCAGCTTGTGTGGGAAATCCGGCGCGAACGCAGCACCACACTGCAGCAGACCCAGCGTGGGATTCTCATCATAGATACGAGGCTCATAAATATTGGCCTCGAGATGCGTGATGAGTTCGCCCATGACACCGATGCCGTTGTGTTTCGGGGGCACGGAGGAATGGCCGCCGGGCATTCGGACGATGACATCAACGTCAATATACCCTTTCTCTGCAACTGCAGGCAAGGAGAAAACGGTTCCAAACTGTTTCATCAGACCTGAACCCTCGTCGACAATGATAGCCGCTCCGTCTTTGCCATATTTGGCCAGAATGGCCTCCGCGAGATGACCAGCGCCTTGGGCACCCGAGATCTCCTCATCGAAGCCAAACGACAGCACCAGGGACCTCTTGGGCTTGAACCCAGCGTCAATCAACAACTCGACCGCTTCCAGGATCCCGATGAGGTTGTTCTTGCAGTCAGAGGAACCACGCCCCCACAGAAAGCTGCCGTCAAATTCGCCGCTCCATGGTGGATGCGTCCACTGCTCAATGGTGGACAGCTCGACAGGGACGGTATCCTGGTGCGCCATGAACACGGTCGGCTTCAGGCTCGCGTCCGAGCCCTCCCAGGTGTACAGCAGCCCGTGGGTGTTGACCTTTTCCAGCTGCAGCGTGCTGTAGACAAGCGGGAACGTCTGCTCCAGATACTGCGCGAGGTCGTAGAAGACGTCCCAGCGCGCGTCATCGCCGATGGCGCCCATGGTGTCATACGACTGCGTCGGGATCTGCACGGCGCCGGCCAGACGGGGCACGCTGGCGTTGAGGAACTGGGGGGAGGCGAGGTACTCATCCATCGAGTCCAGAGCGGGGCTTTTCTGGCCTGGGAAGAGAGGGTCGACCTGACGGCACTGCTGGGCAAAGTCTGTTCCATGGTGCGGGCGGTGGAATGGGAAGAATACGCCCACAAAGGACATTGTCCAACACAGCCGTAGGAGGGCGATGGCAGCGAGCGCCGTCCATAGCCTTGGCCACTTGGAACGCGACGCCGCCGATGAGGCCGTCGTCTTCCTGTGACGTGCCACTATAGGGCTCTCGCCCTCGAGTAAGGGCAGCTTCTCGTTGGTAACCATTCTCTTTTCGTGGTTGTGAGACTCCCTTTCCACTGTCGTTAATGACAGAATGATTTTGTTGATGAGAAAGAAAGAAAGAAAGGGGAGTAAAGAACGATGTAATTAGTAAGACGCCGGGAATATAACCCGAGCGGAGTTCATGCTAGCCGGGATTATGTTGTGGTATGATAGCATCGCCACATCTGGATAGTTGTCGATAGCAAACAAGGGTATCTTGTTGCCGCTTTCTCTCCGCTATCGCTTCTTGATCTCACCGCCCTGTCAATGCGGGGACTGGTATCTGAATAAACTGTTTTAGCAGTTCTCATGATAATGTCATGTTGCTTTCGCAAATGCCTGATCTGCTTCACAACCCTATGATATAGTATATTATTTTGCCATCTGAGCACTAGATACCGTACCTTGCAGGATCCAAACTGAGATTAGACTTACATAAGTCTAATATGAATGCTGAATTCAGGAATTCCGAATGAATACTGAGGTCTAAGAGGGCTTGTTTGTGATGAGTGTTGTTACGAGACGCGTTGTAAAGCCCAACTTGTTGTGCCACTAATAGATTACATTTTCATACTCTACAAACAAATGACTATACGGCGCGGTGGGAAGCTGAGTAGCTGAGTAGCACCCACGAGACTGCGATACTATATGGTACGACCCAATTTTTCTTGACAGGTACTTACTTTAAGTATCCATCCATGAAATATTGACTGAAGTTTACTTGCGTTGAATCGAAGATGAGACAGAGGATAGGGCTAGTTAAGCAACTTTTTCTAAGCAATTAGAATGTATTGTGACTAAGAAGCTTGATTGTATAAGTAAACAAATGAGTGGTAACTAAAATTTTCAATGTATTGAGACATTACCACAATCACTACAATCCCTTCCAAATCATATGCTTTGACCGACTTGACACAAAGCGCACATGACTTCAATAGCACTTTCGCCTCTTGTTGACTTGACGCTATGCATTTTGATCAATGCTCCTGAGCTTCTTGACAATCAGCCCAGCAATGGCAGCCCCTGATTCATGATGGACTCTTTGACTGTACATAAGAATGATTCTCCCAGGTAATCACCTACTAGAGGACGAGCCCTCCCTCCCCTCCGTCCCTCTCTCTTCTCTTTTTATCCTGATCAATGACTACATCTGAGCCAAAGTACGCTGACGCCCGCATTCTCTGCCGTCATCTCCTCCTTACTTGACCAAACGTTGCTGCTGATTCAAAGCAGACCGGTACCTTCGGTACCTTATTTCCGCTGGATCCCTTGTTATGAGAGCCAAGGTTCAAAGAAACTCAGTCATCTCGCCAATCATTCTGCGCTGAAAAGAGACTAGAAGGCTCAACCCTGGGGCCCCTTTCACCGCCACCCTCAATCGCACCATATCTCCTCTCATTCTCCTGTTCCGTCTCTCCAACCTCTTCATCCACCTCCTGGATCTGTGCAGTATTATCAGTCAGTAGCGGTCGAGAGGCTGAACCTCCCACTGGGCCATGGCCCCGTGCCCCGTGCCGTGATAGAATATCACTCCACGAGAACCTCGAATTCCGTCCAGCATACCGCCTCGCGAGGACAATACTCAAGACCTACCACAATGAAGGTCAGCATCATGATTATCTCACATCAGAAGACTTGAGCGCGCGCGCGAGAGAAAGGAGACAGTGGAAACAATTTTACCTGCAACAGGCCCACAGCAACCACCACCCCAAAATTCACCCCCGCGCTCTTGCGTAGCGCATCAGCCCACGGCCCACGACAAGCCAATGCCCGGTCGAACCGCGCAGCACACTCAATAGCCGCCGGCGGGAAAGGCCACGCCATGTCGTGCACGCTACGGAAGCCGCAGCACTGGAAGGCTTCCTGAATAGCGCGGACGGAATCGGCGTCCTTGGCGCGGAAGAGGTGCTGCCATCGCGTGGACAATTCGCAGTCACTCGAGGCGCTAGGCACAATGTCTGTAGCGAACAGAGTGGCTAGGACTGTGGTAAGAATGGCCTGGAGCACCTGCAGGACGATGGGGCCCGTGACTCTGAAGAGGGCAGGGTTGTTGGGAGCGGCGCGGGCGGACTGGCGCGCAAGGTAAGGCAGGGCGAGGACGTTGCCAGCTGTGAGGAGAGGCACGAGGATCGTGAGGAAAGTGAGGGCTGGTGAGAGCGGTAGGGAGAGGGTGACGCTGTTGACGTGCTCGTAACTGTAACAAGATAACTGTCAGTTTTTTGGGGGGGGTTCTTTTTCTTTTGAGCGCCATTCAAAAGCGCTGCGGACGACGCCCTCACATGGCGACTGCCACAAGGGCAAGAATGATCTAAACGACGGAGTAAGCCCAGGCTCATTAGACCTCGTGAAATCCACCAGCTGCACTTACAAGGAAGAAAATGGGGATGAGTGGCGTCATGTTGGTTCGTTAAGCTTGCAATCTTGTTGTAGTGTCGATGCTAATAACTGCCACAATCCAGATATCGCGCGGCTGGTAGGTCTAAAATTTTGTTGCGCTGAAGGCAAAACTCGAGGGAGGTGGGGGAAGGTTGAATGCTGGGGCGTTTGACAGTAAGTATTTAAGTATACTTATGATGTAACTTTGATGCAGTGCGTCTCTAAAATCAGCCCTGTTATGCAGGAGGCCCTCCACACACAATTCCTCTAGAAAGTACCACAGTACCTAATGGAGATGGGCACCGGCTCACTGCAAGCAATCCAACCAATAGCAGTGCGCTTCTTTGACATATTAGGCAGATTCAAAACACCTGAGGAGACAAACACTCAACGTATCAGTTTCTGTGTGCTCATTTTACAATTCTCTCTCCATCTCCACGCGGAATCCGCGGTTGGTCAAACTTGTCACAACAAGCCTATTGTCGCCAGGATCTGCATTCAGCTCAAAAACGAAGTCATCGATGCTGTCAAACCCATAAGGAAATCTGTCCATGTTGGCCCAAGTCTGACAGCTCTGCCCAGGCCAAGCAAATTGCGCATCATTCTCTGCAGCGGACTCGGCAGTCCCAGCATCGAAGACAACTCGCCACGCCCAGATGGCCTGGGTATCATTCACTTCTGTATGGAGGCCTGTAGGATACAGGCGTGGCCGCACAGGCGCCCCGGATCCAGCGATCGCGGAGGATGCGTACAGATCGCCTACATCGTGGCCGCGGACGATCCAGTTGGAGATGTTCAGGCCTGGACCGTCATCTACTGAGAGCGTGATGCTTGAGCCAGACGACGCATCTGTGAACGTGCTAGTCATCCCCGTTGCGGCTACCTCGTCCTTGCCGGCTTGCTCGATCGCTGGAAGCAGGATAGTGAGAAGCTGGGAAAGTATCGAGAAGCTCAACTGGAAGTCTGCCTCAGATCCTGCGGTCAGGATGGTGACTACCAAGTCATAGTCAGGAATCAAACAAAGCTTCGAGTGGTAGTCTCCAATATCGCCGCCTTTGGTGTACAGCTCTATGAGTCGATCGTCCGCTGTCTGTGTTAAGTACGAACGTGAAATTTGGTCAGCCGGTGTGCACCGTCGAGACTGCTATCTCGCGTCACGCTACTCACCAAATTTGTGGATCGAAGGATTTCCCACGGCGCTCCCATACTTCTTCCAAGAGTCGAAGTTGAAGAGACCGGTTTCAGCCATTTTCTTGTTCCGGATGAGCCGAGAAGGCTGCCATTGAGAATCGCCGAGCCTAATGTGATCAAGTCGTTTGGAGTGGAGTAGAAGCCTCCAACGCTGGTTGATGAGACGTTAGCAAAATCATGCAAGAAGCACGATCGAGAAAGCCTCTACTTCTTACGGCGTGTCCCATCCCAAATCAACACCCCACCAGTCCTCCTCGACACCTTCGCTGGGAATGAAGGCTTGTGACGGCGAAATCGGAGGTGTCCCGACGGTGGTATTCACCAGGCCCAAAGGGCTCAGAATGGTCTCCTGGACATAATTGCTGTAAGTCATATTCGAGACCTTCTCGAGCACAAAGCCCAATAGGACGAACCCCAGATTCGAGTACATCGGCGTAGTAAAAGGTGCGTAGACGGGATGGTGCTTGCCAAAATCATGGAAGAACTCAGAGTCAGAACAAGGCGGCAGGCCATATAAGCCCTGACACCTTGGAGTAGAATTGCTTGCGAGCGCAGGAAAGCCGAGGGATGTCCAGACTTCTGGAATGTTGGCCAGGTCCAGCATCACTACTCGCCATCAGTGACGGGCAATGAGAAATACCTCGATCCGAGTGCTTTGAAGATTGCTTGACTTACAATCTAGCCCAATCCCAGACATATGCGAAGCCAGAGCTCCGATGGTGATGTCGTCCCAGCTCACTGTAACAGCAGGGTTGCTCGCCTCACCAGTAGCCTCAAGACCCTGAAATTCCGGAATATAGTCCGTCACCACATCATCCATCTGGATGCCCACTTTGAGAATACCGAGGGCTGTGAAGATTTTCGAGATACTTCCTACGCGATAAACCGTGTTTCCATCCACATGCGTGGTCGAGTTGGCCTGTCGAACAGGGGGCGTGTAGTGTAGGTCGACCAGATGATCAGGTTCGTGCATCGACCTGACAGAGACGGAAACCGCTGAGCCTGTGAAGGGGGAGGTGAGAGTTGAGAAATACCCTTCGAACTGAGACACGGCGGACTGAACTGGTCCACTGGAAGAGGGGTTTGTGGGCGCTGGCAGGACGGAGCCAAAGGGTGGACAGTGGCCGTCGAGCCCGCCCAGAGCAGTACCCAGGAGAGAAAACATGAACCGGAGCTTTGCAAGCTCAATACTGAATTGTTGGCCTCGCATGGTGGACAAGTTGTGGGCAGCACACAGGATGATGTTTGAGGTGAAGTATTGAACAAAGAAGAGGGCGTTGAGGGCAAGAACTACTTGCCCCTGGACTTCCCTCCTGAGCATCCAGGAAAGGCAAGCATGACTGGACTCCAAGACTGGCACAATCTATTTGCCATCGGTGCCACCACGGCTCATGTCGAACGTATTACCGCACTGATGTTTACACTTGCCGCTGCTTTGCTTAGTGAGACCACCTCATAAAACTGGCACCTCTCGTTGCAGTTGTACAGGATGCCGCAAACAGCCATGAACGCAAAATCGTCCCGAGAGCAACGTTATTTTTCTTTCCTCTCAAGTGACTCGAGCAACAATGAAGTCTTGCGCCACAACATGATGTATGCGGCCAAAGGACCAGGTCAGATGACACCATAGCCTGTGGAGTGTTGTCTCATGGGAGAAGACATGATATATGCTCCAAACCCAGGACTGCACCAGGGGAGTGTAGCATGGAAGACGTCGACAGTATGATTCTCGAGACGCTGTACTGTCAGCTGAATCTTTGACGGATTCAACTTGGCCCTTATTTGAGCCACAATGCGCCTATAAATGTCTGTCCTGGGAAAGCCGAACTTCTCCTGCATTCAAGTTAGTCCCCAGTCATGAAGAGTGGGATCGTCCCCTTGCTATCCCCCAGCCTCCGCCCCCGCCGTGACGCAGAAAAGTCATGCAGGAGTCCCGGCAGATGACATCCCAGCAAGCCGCCTAAGTGTCATTGGCAAGTTGGCGATGAGCCTGCCAAGGTGACTGAGTGAGTGAGTGTGTGTGTCATTTCATTCACTGCGACTTGTAGCGTGTTGTTGCTTTCTCTCCAAAGAGCCATCTGAAAGATACGAAAATTTGGGCCCGACAAAGCTGAGCAAGTCGTGATGAATTTTTACTTATCTCGAAATTTTCAATGCGTCAGGTTTCATCAGTATCGTGGTATTATCGAAGGTGTGGTGCAGGCAGGCTTGGTTATGATGACAGGCTTTGGAGATGGATACAGTGGACGTTACATTATGCACGCGCGGTGGGGATATCTTGGGACACGTGTGGGTGGTAGCGCTTCTCGCTCTTAATTGTGCCCTGTCACGCCTGTCTTGCCCGTCACGACGGTGAACCCTAGAATTCAGGGTCCAGGCTCAGGTGGGTTAGGGCTCTGAAGTTAGGGCCTGGGTTGAGCCTGAAAGTGGGTTCCGTTGGGCCCAAAACACCTGGTCCTGCGACTACCAGAGGCGACGGGCGCCTGACCACATCGCTGTGGTGACGGCAGCGTAGAGTGGAGTCCTCTACCACTGAGGAGGAAACAGTAGACGAGCGGGCTTCGGACTTATGCTTTTGGTGACCCCATCTCCATCCTCATCTCCAACCTCCAACCTCCATGTTTGAAAGAGTCGACGTCGATCGACGCCCTCAACTTCTGACCGTTGAGACCAGAGACATTCTCGACAATCTCGATGTTTGAATTCGGAATCACCTCTTCCACCTGCCCATCCGTACGTATGCGCAGCATAGCTCCAGAGCTCGGGAGCTCATTCAGAACTACAGTCTGTTCATTGTATTTGTGCCATTCATTATCGACCTGCTAGTTGTCCCAATCTGGGACGTTACAGGTCGCCTGAAACAAAGTTTGAGCAACAAATAGCCATCAACGCAGGCTTGAAGTTCTATCACACGACCAGTTGCTCAACAAGAATTCAAGCACGACCCTGACACGGGCGCAGCATCAACTCTCGTCTGCGAGGCTTTCAGAAGCCAGAGTCGATCTTCGTTTCTGTGGTCACTTCCGACACCCCTTGGCCCATCGACCTAGGACGACACATCGGGACCACGGGCATATAGTGCTCAAGAAGGCTGAGGAGAAAATCACAATGCAGGCACCGGGCCCCTCGCAGCGCTCTTTGCGACGGTCTCCAGGTGCTGAGCCTGGACCTCCTCCAAATGTTCCTGTACGGTCCATCTCGCCAGCTGTCGGTCTCCCATCAAGCGTGCAGCCCCGATCATCAACAGCATCGTCAAGATCAAATCATTCGAGTCATAGCAATGAAAGAAATAGCGGGAACCCTAAAAGGCCAGGTGTGAGTTGCCCCCCTCTTCCCCTATCTTTTCCCCAACGTACCAGCTTGCGTATGTCTGTTCTATTCTTGTTCATGCGATCATGCGTGCAGTTGGCACGACGGAACAAGCGTGAATAGACCTCGCAACCCATCCTTCAAACTCGTTCCAACCGCTTTGCGCATCTGTGTACTCTTCTTGGAGAAACTCGAATGCATATGCTGACACTAGAGACCATGCCTCAGACTTCATCAAGTGGAAGTGCCTCCTCCGTGCCCCTATCTCAAATCGAAAAGAGCGTGACGCATCTCCTCGTCGCCACGAAACAACTTCTCGAGACTTTAACACAATGGTCGCGCGGCCAGGCCACAGACACGCAGGTGTCGGACGTCTACGTCAGGCTGGGCTATGAGTTCAACATGGCGTGCCGCGCCTTCACAGCCATTAATGTCGACACGTCCGACCTCGGAAACGTCCCCGAGCTCCTACGAAATATTCTTGAAGCTACGCTGAGCCAGGAGGCAAGCACCGAGAGCCTCGAGAAGTACCTTCCACGCATAAGAGACATCATAATCAATTTGCTGCACGGCCTGAAGAGGAAACAGCAAAAATTACGGCAAAAGTCATCACGAGACAAGGAGAACGGCGGTGAGCCCTCACTCGGGCGCGTGACGAGCACAACCACCAATGGAACCAACTCGGGACTGTCCAATCTGATAGCTGAGGGTCTGGACAATGGCTTCCGGCCGGCTAGCCGTCTTGGACCGGATGAGGGCCCGAGCAGGGGAAGTGGCTCTCCTCGCAGGTTTCAGTCCCAGCGAGACGATACTCGCGTGACTGTTGCTTCCGAAAAGTCTTCTCTATCGAGCGATACAATGCAGAACCTCCCAGTCGTTCCTCCGTACCCACCAGAAGAGTCCATGCCGGCTGGCTCCCGTCCCGAGGAGCTCGATTCGTTCCCACCGCCGCCTCCTCCACCCAAATCGTCCACTCAAAGCGCCTTGGCGGCACTGCAGAGAGGAGGAGATCTGGAGCGTCGAGCCTCGCGAAGATACTCCGCCTATCAGATCTCGAAGCATCTGGGCAGTGGCGCCAATGGCGTGCCCATGCTGCCTTCGCAGAACACACCGATACCCAATCGTGGGAGGGGTGAAGTGAGGGAGTCGTTGCGGGCGGTTCAAATACGGGAAACATTACGAAAGGACAAGAAGAGCGAAGGCTCGAGCGGCCACAAGGCCACAGCATCCGAATCACCAGTACGCGTGCCGAGCCGAGTCTCTGAAGAAAAGGATGAGTCGTCAAGGCTGGAAAGCCCGGCGGCGACGCAGCCGCCTGAAGAACAATATAGGCCGAGTGCAACCTTGAACGGCCCCCTCCCGGACGTTGTTCCAAGTATCGCCACGGGAGACGAGGAGACTACGGCAAAGGCCGAACCCCAGACGGAGCCGGCGCCCGTTCCGGAGAAACCCGCAACACCAACAGCGGAAAAGCAGGCCTCGAGCTTCATGCTCGACTCGTCACCTCCGGGCACACCCTCCAAGGACCTCACGCTGTTCCTGCAGTACAAGTCCAAGGTCAAGAAATTTGTGCTACCAGGTGGACACAGCGAGCTATCGATCGGGAGGTTGCAGCTCGCCTTTATCGAAAAGTTCTCCTGGAATACCCACGCCAACGGCGCGGATCTACCCGAGATTTATATCCAGGATCCCGTCTCCGGGGTACGGCACGAGCTTGAGGATTTGTCGGACATCAAGGATCGGACTGTGTTGGCCTTGAACGTGGAGGCGCTGGACGAGATCAAGAAGCACGTTGACGATGGGTTAGGCTCCATTAAGCACCTCATCGAGACCGTGAAGGTCAATGTCGATGAGCAGAGCGCGGCTCTGCAGCGGGTCTCGGAGCGTCAGTCAGAAGCTGCCAAGGAGATTGCGCGACTCGCAGCTGCGCCTCCCACGCTGCCATCCGACTCGCCCAGGTCTACCAGTGTTGGTCCGGGACGCAAGCTGAAGGGCGGCCAGTCAGGCGAGATCCAAGGCCTGCGTAGAGATCTCGCGGTGCTCCGGCAGACCTACACTAACTTCCAGGCCGAGGTGGAGGACTCGATGAACACACTGCGCAATAAGGCAAACTCGGTCAAGGCTGCCGCCGCCAAGGCTTCCCTTCCGGACGTCGAAGGAGGTTCCGGCTATGCTTACGTGTCTAAGGGCCGGAAGCAGCTCAACACCGACTCGGATCGCCTTGTCAACAAGGTCGATGATCTTCAGGATCTGGTGGAGGATCTCCGCAAGGATGTGGTGCACCGTGGTGTGCGCCCACGTCCTCGACAGCTCGAGACTGTGGCCAAGGACATACAGGCGGCCATGAAGGAGCTCAAGAAGATGGAAGAGTACATGAAGCGCGAGAAGCCCGTGTGGACCAAGATCTGGGAGAAGGAGCTCGAGGACGTGTGCAACGGCCGTGACGAGGTGAAGCTGATGGAAGACCTGATGGCCGACCTGCAGGATGATCTCGAGAAGGCCAGCGAGACATTCGCCCTCGTAGAGCAGGCCACCAAGGAGCAGATGAAGGATGTCAATGCCGGCAGCACCAGTCCCACTATCACCCGCCAGTTCTCCCGAGGGCTGACCCACATTGCCACCAACATCAGCGTGGACCCTAGCGAAGCCAAGGAGGGGGTCTTGGGCGAGGTGCGGGCTCTGCAGCCCAACCACGAGGACCGCATGGAGGCTATCGAGAGGGCAGAAAAGCTCCGCCAGAAGGAGCTCGCGACACGCAGCGAGAATCCAATCAAGAAGGAGCTGGTCGCCTTTGTATCAGAGGGCAAGCTCAAGAAGAGCGGCGGTTTCGAAGAGGTCGAGAGGACCCGCAAGGCAAAGGACGACATGATCCGGAAGCAAGTCTGGGAGAGAATGAACGGGGTCGCGGCTGACGATGTCGGCGGCGAGGGAGAATACCCCGAGGCAGACGATTTTGACGATGCCGAGATGGCAGAGGAGGATGAGGAAGGAGAAGAAGGTGTGGAAGGGGAGACGGCCGTCGAGGACGCCGAGGAGCCCGAGGCGCACGCTGAAGGAGAGGCTGAGGAGAAACCAGCTGCTTGAGTTGTCAAACCTCCAAAGATTATGCCGACGGCTTGGCGATTGCAGCAGGCGTCTCAACCAAAGGGGCTCCTCACCTAATGACAATCTGAAGACGAAACGGAAAGGGGACTGTCTCTTTCTTTTGCAGCGCTGCACTCACAAGCACGGCGTTTCATACTATTTTACCCCGGCGTGCCTTTTTTTTTTTTTTTTTTTTTTTTTTTTTTTTCGCGCTTTTCTTTCATGCTTCGGAATGTTCTGCTTTTAATGTCTACATCAACACACCATCACTATCTTCTGTTTCATACCTATATCCCCCATATCATCATTGGCGCCGGCGGGCTGTTCAGTTTACAGCACCACTACGTGGGGAGGACCTCTCTACGACTTTGTTTTCCATTTTTTTTTTCCTCTTCTCCTTCTTGTTCTTTTTTTTTTTTTTTTTTTTGGATCAGCAATTGTGTATAGCAGCGCCTGCCATTGCGTTTCTTTGACCTGGATCGATTGTTTGGATCCATTGTAAGGCTAAGGAACAGGTGGATATCTAACGTGACACGGTGATAATCTTAAGTTTATATTCTCCCACGTGTTCCGTTCCGTGAATGAGTGACGAGTCCAAGCATTATCTTCATCATTCCTAACAGATCCGAGAGATCATGACTGCAAGTGTGAGCATGGATACCAAGCATTCCGTCGGACATTCTTCAATGAACCTCAAGTACACCCCGGCGCAACTCAGACAAGAGAGGCATACATTACGGGATTTGTGATTTAGACTCGGCGGAGTACAGGGCGCGAAACCTCCGGGCAACGCACGCACAAGAACAGCCCGTGAAACCTATCCACCGCACGCACAGAGCTCCTGAGCACCATGAACACGAACATGATATGTGTCGGTGCTGAAGCACGGCCTTTCTCGGATAAAGTTCCTGGCCGAGGAGACGACGAGGAAGACTTCTGCCGAGAGGGTTGGCGTAAGGTTCTCTGGGCACCGGTGTCCGCCAGTAATGTCCGGAGGGACCGTAGTAGAAGGGTGAATACTGAGAATGTCTCAAGCCAAGAGACTTCGTGGGTAGGGTTGGGTATATAACATTGTTGCCTCGATCCTCGACCGGGAGATATTATAGGGGCTCATGCTTGAGGTTCCTTTCTACCATCACTCACCGCTCTGTCCAACTCTACCGAGACACATTGATTACTATTATCATTATTTTCTATTCTTTAACCAAAAAAAATCAGCATACTTTCAAGTCTGGGCATCTTTTTTCTTCAAGATGGCTCCCGGTTTGACAGAAGAGCACTTGGAGCCCCCAGTCTCCCCTGCCAAGACCAAAGTCCTCAACACAACGATGGTCGAGAGCCAAGCGGACAAAAGCACCACCGTCCCCATCACCAATGGCAAGCGCTCTGTCGAGGATGTTGTCACGGAAGATGAGCCCGCCGTGGTGAAGAAGGGGAAATATGATGCCATCCCTGGCCCTCTTGGTCTGGCATCGGCTTCACTTGAGGGCAAGGTGGCGTTGGTTACTGGTGCAGGTGAGTTTGAACTCTCTCTCTCTTTCTCTCTCAATGGCTCTTGTCAATCGCACCATCTGCCCTGTATTTTCTGCAACACCGTTCTTTGTTGTCTCTTGAGATTCCCTGGGTCGTTCATGTCCATGCCGTTCCCGGGGCGTTGAGCCGGACTCCGGGTGGGGATGTCCGGTTCGCCGCCGGCCCGCCCGGGACACCCGCGACATAAGACTTACCAAGGAGAGATGAATGATTTTCACTTCCACTACACATTTGAAGAAGGAAAAAAGAAAGAAAACGGTCGCGTATGAAGGAATTTGATTAACTAAGAAACATTTCCCGCACCAGGTCGAGGCATAGGCCGCGAGATGGCGCTCGAGCTCGGCCGCCGCGGGGCCAAGGTGATTGTGAACTACGCCAGCAGCCTCTCGTCAGCCGAGGAAGTAGTATCCGCCATCAAGGCCACAGGCACGGACGCCACGGCCATCCAGGCCGACGTGTCGGACGTGGACCAGATCGTGCGGCTCTTCGCCTCGGCGCGCCAGGCCTGGGGCCGGCTCGACGTGGTGTGCTCCAACTCGGGCGTGGTCTCGTTCGGGCACGTGGGCGACGTGACGCCCGAGGAGTTTGACCGCGTGTTTGGCGTCAACACACGGGGCCAATTCTTTGTGGCCCGCGAGGCGTACCGGACGCTCGAGGTCGGCGGGCGGCTGATCCTCATGGGGAGCATCACGGGCCAGGCCAAGGCGGTGCCGCGGCATGCCGTGTACTCGGGGAGCAAAGGGGCCATCGAGACGTTTGTGCGGTGCATGGCTGTGGATTTTGGGGATAAGAAGATTACCGTCAATGCGATTGCGCCTGGAGGGATCAAGACGGATATGTATCATGCGGTTTGTCGGGAGTATATTCCTCAGGGGGATGGGCTGGATGATGAGGGGGTCGATGAGGTAAAGTGCACTCCTTTTTTTTCTTCTTTCTTTTTCTTTTCCTTCTTTCTTTTTGCTTCCCCGCCCTGGGCCCCTCCTCTTCCATACGACTCCCGTGTCCAAGAGGCAAAAGAGAGAGAGAGAGAGAGAGAGAGAGAGAAAGAGAGAGAGAAAGAGAGCGCTGACACTTTCTTTGTTGCAGTTTGCTGCTGGCTGGTCTCCCATGCACCGTGTTGGTCTTCCCATCGATATCGCCAGGGTCGTCTGCTTCCTCGCATCGCAAGATGGTGAGTGGATTAACGGCAAGGTCCTCGGTATTGATGGTGCTGCTTGTATGTAATTGTAGATATTATTGGACGGTTATGTTATAGAAGAGATTGTCAGATTCCGAAATTACAGTTTTTCCCCCGTGTTCCATTGATCGATAAATGCCAAAGACCGATTCACACACACATTGTTTTCCTACCTAAATTACCTTAGGGAACGCAGTATGGAAGCAGAGGCTGCTCGTTCCTCACATACAAAGGATGACGGGGCTGTCCGCTGCCCGTACAACCAAGACACAAAAGGTCTCCAGCACCACCAGTAAGCCCTCGACAAAGACACGCTGCTCTCTGCACTCCTTGATGCCGCAGAGTCCCCGGCACGTTACCCCAGGCACACACAACGTGTGTGAACCGGCCAGCAGCGTACCGGAGCCAATAGTCAGCCAAGAGGAACTCAGTGAGGCTGTCATCTTTGCCGTCCATCGTTGTTGCCGCCAGACGCTTCTTCAGGTCCACCGGAGACGTCGCCCGCAGGCCCCACAGGTTAAAGATACAGATGCCCCCGAACCCGTCCCGGCGTGCGAAGGCTATACACCGCCTAGTGGTCGGGTCGTCAGCCTGCGCGTCGGCAGTGCTTGGGTTCAGCATGACGAAGGCGAGGGTGGCAAGGGCTGGGTCCCATATTCGGGTGAGCCACCAGCGATATTTCTGGCAGGGAGAGACATAGGCGTCTTTGGCTACGTTCTCTGGCTGCCGTATTGCTGGGATTCTCTCGCTCGTGTTCTCTTCTCTCTGTCTTTCTTGGGTGGTTGTTCCTGATGCCTCCTCGGTCCCCGTATCAAGTCCTGAGAACGGCATCACTCTTTAGTCCACGTGTGGAGCAGCACGCAAGTGGAGTGCTGAATTTAATAGAACAGTAGAAAGGACTGGTATTAACAAATGACATGAAAATACAGAATGGATTCTTTCCCTCCACAGGTAAGAGCGTGTACTTGTCCCATAGAATCGTAGTGAAGAAGTGCCGCTGAACATTGACTGGAGGCCTAAAGCGGGGTCACGAACAAGGGAACGCCGGTGGTTGTTGAGTAGTTGGCCAGGGGTTGCAAGGCAGGCGCATTCGGCGGGTTATGTACCCTGCAAGCTCCAGCATAGGCCTGCCAACTTGTTCTGTTTAGGGTCAAGCCTGGCCCATTTACCAACTCCTTCGTCTCCTTCTCGTTATCTCCTCCTCGTCGCCTTTCAGAATGTCAAGAACTCGAAGCTGAGCCAACATGGACCCCACAAGGATGTCGAAATCCTTGGAGACCAGCTGACAGATAACGTTGCTGACAGCAGACAGTAAATAATATGTGTGGCTATCAAATCACAGAGGCTCTTTTGATCCCCTTCCCCTATGGTCAACTTGGACCCAACGTCTTCTCTTCAACGGACAAGAAGGCATTCGTGTCGGGATGGCTTTCATGACCTTAGCAGACAAGGACAAGATGTACTCGACCAAGGCACTCGTCATACGGATCATCCTTGGTCTCCTTCTTCTGGCTCTCGGTCGTTTCTTCTACCGGCTGTACAAAGTCAGGACGCTGTTCAGAGACGCAGCCCGGAAACATGGCGTCGTAAGTACACACCAAGAAATCATTACCTGGTCTGAGGGGGAGGGAAAGCAATCATGGCATGACTGACACGATAGTATGGATAGCGAATGCCACCACATTCGTTCTGGCTCGGCCACCTGGCAATCATGGGAAAGACAATCATGAAGTACCCCCCCGATCTACTCTCAATGATCATCCCCAAGCTTCTCGCCGATGACTACCCTGAAGTTGTCTCGCAGGGACTTATTTATATGGATTCCTGGCCCTTTGGGTACCCAATCGTGGCCGTCTTCAACCCAGACATGATCGCCCAGTTCACTCAGGATGTTTCCCTGCCAAAACACCCGACGATGGCCATGGAGTTTACGCCTCTTACCGGGTGCAAAGACATTCTGAATCTCGAGGGGAAGGAGTGGAGGATGTGGAGGTCCATTTTCAACCCAGGTTTCTCCGTAAAGAACCTGATGGCCCTCATCCCTTCCTTTCTGGAGGAGATTGATGTGTTTAGAGACTGGCTCCTAGAGGTGGCCGACTCGGATCAGGTCGTGCCTCTGGACGACCGGGCCAGCGCCCTCGCCACTGATGTTATAGGCCGAGCAACACTGTAAGTGGCACTGCTTCGAGAGGATTTGGGTCTTTCTTTGGATACAGAAAGTTGCTGAATTTTTTTTTTCTCTTCCTCTGTACTTTTCGATTTTGAAGAGGTATACGACTAGACTGCCAAGTGCGCAAGAATGTCCTCTTTGAAACCCTGAAAAACCAGATCAAGCAACTCATCGTCGACGGAAGCCCAGCAAGCATCTTGAAACAGATCAACCCCTTCAGGCCCTTTCGCATACGCAAGAACAACCGTGTGATGCAAGAATTCCTCGGACCACTCATCCAGGAGGCTGTGATCAAGCACAACAACAATCAGGACAGTGGCTCATCCGCCGAGAAGGAGGAACCTAAGACGATCATGTCGCTCGCTGTCAAGGCCTATGCCAACGAGGCACAACAGACCCCAGCCAAGGGCACGACCCCCCAGGTAGACGCAACCTTTGTGGACTTCGCCATTGCCCAGTTCAAGATCTTCATCCTGGCCGGCCACGATACAACATCCTCCGCCCTGTCATTCGCATACCACCTCCTCGGCAAACACCCAGCAGCCCTCAGGGCCATCCGCACCGAGCACGACAGCGTTCTCGGCCGGGACCCAAGCCAGGCCAGAGCCGCCCTCGCCGCCAACCCACAACTCCTCAACCAGCTCCCTTACACCTCCGCCGTAATCAAGGAGTCCCTTCGCCTCTTCCCACCCGTCGCCACGGTACGCATGGGGTCCGATGATTTCTTCCTCGTCCACCCAGAGACAGGCCAACGATTCCCGACCACGGAGATGATGCTTCTCAGCTGCCACATAGCCGCACACCGCGATCCAGACTTCTGGCCCCGCCCGGATGAGTTTGTGCCTGAACGCTGGCTGGCACGCGAGGGCGATGCTTTGCATGTGCGTAAGAATGCCTTTCGCCCCTTCGAGCTGGGGCCGCGCGGCTGCATCGGTCAGGAGCTCGCGCAGCTCGAGCTGCGGGCCATCCTGGCCATGACAATCCGGGAGTTTGAGATTCGGAGTGTCTATGCTGAGAACGACCCGGAGTGGATGGGAGATAAGTGTTATCCGTGCTGCGTTCCGGGGGAGTTCTCGACGGGGCATCCGAGGAAGTCTTTGCCTGTGAGGGTGACGAGACGGGTTTGCTCGCCTCAAGAGGCGGAAGTTTGAGAATTCGTAAGATCTGAGGTGTGCAGAGATGCAATCGCTCTGTACAGCCTATAATCACACACATATTGTTCAAGTTTTTGAAATCAATAAAGAGTTGTGGTTGCCATTGAACAAAATGATCATCCTTCATTCATACTTTCTCAGTCTCGTGACCTCAGTCGTAGGCTCAACTACTCCCTCTTCTTCTCATTGCGAAAGCCAGCAAGCATCGACTCCAGTTCGTCTTGACGCTTCAGAGCATCCTCGAAAGTAGCATATCTACCCTCCTCCCCATCTGCAAACGCCTCATACAGCGCCCCAATATTCCTCGCCGGCATCGGGAGACTCTCCTGCCACGCCTCCCACTTCCACTCGACAGGCTGCACCGTATCCGTCGCTCTGTCATGTAGCTGGATCAGGAACTCGCCTCCTACACCGGCGTGCGGCCACACGGGCGCCATGAGACGCACGCTGCCCTTCTCGCCGCTGATGACCCATGACAAGGCTGGTTCTTCAGACTCGGGAAAGGTGGCGCCGCTGCGCCAGGTTGCCAGGAGGGTTGCATCTTCTCTAGCGACTGGGGAAGCTGGGATGGAGGCGGATAGGGCGAGCAGGTCGGGCACGTTGGTCGGGAGTTCTTCGAGGGTGTTTCCTGCTGTGTCTACGACTCGGACGGTTGGTCGCTGGATTTGCATTACGGCGTGGATGTCTGTCACGTCCTTGAAGATAGACTGGACAGCATCCCACTCTAGAGGCGGTGGAAGTTAGTACCGAGTATACTTTTCTTTGACGTCCAGAGTCGGGGGAACGTCTTTCTTGAGAAACTCCCTGGATGCACTTACGATGCCCGAACCAGATAGTAAAAGGGTTCCCGCCATACTTGGTATCCGTAAAGTGCCTCGCCACAACCGGGACTGTCCCCTCCACAAAAGGCGACGCTCCCTTCTTCCCATTCATCCTAAACTCGCTATTGACGACCTTCCCAATCGTACCGCCCTCCACAATCTCCCTCACCTTGAGAATATACGGCGCCAGCCTCGCCTGCGTCCCCACCGCCGTGCGACTCCCGCTCGCCCTCGCCAGATCCCTCAGCTCCCGCGCCACGTCCGCGTTCTCGGCCAGCGGCCACTCCACCAGCACGTCCTTGCCGGCCTGCAAGCTGGGCTTGACGGCGTCGCGGTGCTTGAAGCAGCTGATGGAGCTGACGACCAGGTCGACGTCCGGGTCCGCGGCGAGGTCCGACGCGGACGTGTAGGCGCGCACGTCCTGCGGGCTGGGGAGGTGGAAGGCCTCGGCGGCGCGGCGGGCGGTCTCGGGGCTGGAGTTGAGGAGGCCGATGATCTGGAACCGGGCTTGGCCTCGGGCGGAGAGGAGGTAGGGGAGGTGGGCTTCTTTGGCCCAGCCTGATTTGGAGTTGGCGGAGAGGCCGATGAGGGCTATGCGGATGGGAGCCATGGTTTGTGTTTTTTTTTTTTTTGGGGGGGGGGGGGGGACTTGATGTTTGGGGGGTTTGGAGTGTCACTTTAGAGTAATATTCAGATGTTAAAATTGATGGACATTTGAATATACGAGGCTGATCTTTATATATATATATATATATTTCCTCTTTTCTCTCGGACTTTAAGCTACAGGCTGGTTTATGTGAGGGCTGGGTCATTCCTCATGGATCTTCGACGCAGTGACTTGTAGACGTCCCTGTTAATCATTTCACACATTATAGTGCTTGGTATAGGATTGATCCTTCCCTACGACAATATGGTAGATCATCATCTACTTCGCCGTATCTCCATGAATCCGAGCTGCCACAGCAGAACAGAGGGTCATATTTTCTCCGGTGCTGCCAGGGTTCCTCCGAGATATATGTCAGCAACGAGTCGTCATCCACCAGAACAATGAGTTTGGTATCACCGCACCACACTCTCGTATGATACACGCTCCTCCTCGACCCAGAGAAGAACCTCCGAAGAACAAATGCAATCATTGAGACTGTTTGTCCATATCACCCACGCAAGGACAACTTTGTACACCGAAGGCCGAAATCCATCCTGCGCTCGGTGTCAGCTGACAAACACGTATTAGCAGACGAGGGTTCGGATATGTCAGCAGCCTTGCAAGGTCGCTATTCTCCAGTGAGGCACTAAGTGCTGGTTTGTGTTCAATACACCGCCGCAAGAGTTTGGGACGTTGTGCACAGAGATTCTCGATTGATTGCTCAAGTATATGATTGAAGCTTTCAAACTACTCTTTTTCTGGTCCTGGACAACTCTAGCCTGAAGGTTATGCATTGGTAGATATTGCATATGCTAGAGCCCCGGTTTTTCTTTTTCTTTGGGGGAGGGCGGTCGATTGTTATGGCTCTCCTTGAATTCAATCCCTTTGGTTGATTATAGAGGTATGTATGGTGTTTGAACTCTGTACAAATCAATTCAATGTTTAGTGCCAGGAAATAAGATCATATTGGTCGTCTCTCTACGCCAACTGTGAGATCTTGTATGAGCCTTCTCCTGCTTGTGGACTTCCGCGATCTCATCAGTATACAGCTACTCCTCATTACTCTTGCAATGGCTCACAATAGAAATCAAGAAACAATAACCAGCAGACACAATGATCCTCATGTAGTATGTTTAAAGTTAGTCCTTGCTGTGATTGGATCCTCCAGCCAGAGACAACCAAAATGCAACCACATGTAGCCTTGTCAGTTTCCAGGAACAATAGAGTCAGAGACACAAAATCAAACCTGAAAATTATTTCCCGATAAATTCTGCCTCATTGTTCTATACTATTCTCCCATTCAGGCACGCCCATTCGATAGGAGAACAGGAAAAGGCATGCTTTTCCAACCGAAGTGATTCAGCGTTTGGAGTGACTGGCCTCATACCATGAATGCATCGTCCCGGAACACTATTATAGTTATTACCATTGTGATCGAGGAAAAGGAGAACAACAGCGGTCCGTTTCACTATCAGGCAGAGGTTCGTGTATGTTCCCTTTTTTTTCTGTACTCTTTCGCACTCCCTTCGACCCTCACGTGCACGGCAGCCGACCTACCGCGCAATACAACCCCTACATCTCATTGCTTCCTCCCCTAAACATGCCACGATACCCCTACTGCCCCTGTCCCAAGTGCGAGCAAAAGTCCGCCCACTCCAGACGCTGCATCTCCAGCCACTGCCTGATATGCGCCCAGAAACACGCCGACCCCACCCAGCGGCGACCCTCCCGCGCCAGGGAGGACATCGAGGCCGACTTCAACAGAATGGCAAGCGAGTACGACGAGTTCGACGACAGCCTGCATCCCTTCACCGAGACTCTGGAGCGGTTCAAGCGGTGCGAGAAGCGATTCCTGGCGATGAGCCCTTCGTCTCGGAGGCGCCGGCGGGAATCCAGCATTGCTCTGCGTGATGCGGAGGACACGTGAGTGGCCTGCTCTCTGCTCGTCATCAAAGGTTCCCCCCATGATGACTTGGGCTTTTTTTTTTTTTTTGGACCTTGCAAGGACAAAAAGTATCTGATTGCAAGGGTGGGAGATACTGTTCAGACTCTTTGATCGAGCGACAGATGTGATGATGACATACATACAGCTGAAAAGTAAGATTTCTGCTTTCCCAATTCGGAACCATCATCTGTGAGTGCCAACTAATGCCTCCGGTCTTTCAGAAGAAGAACGCGCCCAGAGAATACTGGAGAGGCTGCTCCCTCATGAGCCGAAGGCACCCAAGGGATACAAGGCAAAGAGGAACTTTGGCCAAGTGGACATCCTAGAGCCTGGAGAGAAGGAGTGGAAGCCTTATGGTGCAGGGCTGGCATACTGGTCTTTCGAGCCCGAGGAGGAGCTGGATTCTCTCGAATCTTCTGAATATCATTCTGAAACTTCCTTATCTGATTCCGAATTGGAATTCCTCAATCAACGGGTCGGTGGCAGAACTTTCGTAGGGGAGAAAAACAAGCGATAAGGGAAAAAGAAGCAGGAGATGACTTCATAGCATCAGAGATACCCAAGTAGGCTCGATGTCTCCTCAGACACGATCACTTCCTGAGAACGAGACATCAAGATCCATTTGAGCCATGCCACAAGAGGCATTATATTTGACATTATTTAAGATAGATTACCTGCCCAAAGTCCGTTAGTCACAACGCAAGCCACGCCGTTCCAAATGCTGATGCCCTATAATTTTTTCCCAAAGGGTACCAAGGACCGAATGCATAACACCATTTAGTCTGTTAAAACCTCGTGCGCCGGGTTTTCCGACATCCTGAGGTCCTTTATTTTACACACCTTACTCCGACTCCATGTGCTACACGCATCTTACAAGACCGAATTACGCATCTCTTCGTGGCCTGTAGGGCTCATACCATTCCGGCCGATTAGATGCTGTGGATGGCTGGTCAGTCCCAGAGTAGCGAGAGCTTGGCGACTCCAGCTCTGCCGGTGATGTGACTGATATCGTGGGCATCTCCGCTGGGGGTACGGCCAACGATGATGCTTGTGTAGACTCGGCTGGCATCTCGTAAATTTCTTTTTGTGGCGGGACCTGGTGGAGGTTTTGCAATCGCGCATTGACCTTGACAGCCTCAAGCGCACCTGGTGACCATGGAACCGCTGCGCCGTCAGATGACGTGAGCCATGTGTTTTCAGTCCTTGGGGTGTCCATCGTGGACGTAGCATTGTCTAGCTCGGATGGCCCGTAGGACACATGGCCCGGGTGCTGGCTTGGAAAAGTGCTGGATTCATATGCACTGCCCAATGGGCTGTTTTGAGAATTGGCCATCATAGGATGCACCTCATCGTACTGGTGCTGTCGTTTTCGATAGCGAACGATGAAGACGGCGGCTGCGGCCAAGATTGCCAATCCTGCTACTGAAGCTCCGGCGATGATGCCGATCTTGGCCCCAGACGAGATGCCACTTTGGTTAGAATTGCCTGTACCAGATGTCGCTGTCGAACTTGTGCTCGCTGCATTTGATGCTGATGATGATGATGAGGAGGAGGAGGAGGAGGAGGAGGAGGAGGAGGAGGAGGATGTGGCAGTCGGCGTGCTACTTGATGTGATGCCTGAAGCCAAGGCCATCCATTGCGATGACGATATGCTGAGGGGAGTGCCTGAAACTCTGCAGTTCGATTGCAGTACTGTCTGTAACGTATTGCGTTAATGATCTGGTCATGTAGCGTATCATTGCCCCATCTCGAGACTCTGAAGCCGCTGCCTCAAGACCGCCATCACTGCCCACAGGCTTGGGAAGGTCTTTTTCTGTCCTGTCGTGTATTTTCAGAACACTTACAAAAGCACTGGTCATATCTGCTGAGTCCTCCTGTGCTATGCACCGACCAGAATTGGTAACGAAATCACCCCCGTTGCTACAAAGGCACGTGTTCATGGCCTGGGACGTAGCGCCATCGCAGCCACTGCTGTTGGCGGCCTGGTACAGACATGACTGTGTGCCTGAGGGATACCCGTCGAAATTGTTTTGGAATTGTGCGATAGAGGGCCTGACGATGGCGAGGAGGAGAACGAGGACGAGTGGGAGAGTAAGGTTGGTGGAGGCAAATAATGACCTCGGTTGCGAGAGCATCGTGAATGTGTGGGGGAACCTCCCAAGCTGAGCCGCTGCAGCTTGTCGACGACAGGGGCTTTGAATCCCTGGCGTGGGGTTTGAAGGTTGCTTAAAGGTTGTTTAAACACGAGGTTATTCAGTGGGCCCTCTCTATGAAACGTCGGGCCCAAGCTGCAAGCAGCGGTCGACCAAGACGCTGGCTGTGAACCCTAATTACAAGAAAGAATAAGCAGGCAGACAGCTGTCTTGATGCCTTGAGGATTTTGATTATCGATATTGACTTTGGGCTGGACAGCTAGGACAACGATTGGTGCGTCAACGATCGTTCTGTCGCTCGACTCCAGCTGCTGAGGCGACTGGGAAAGTAGCTGTCGATGGGGTTGGTGTCGCTGGCTCAATTTTGAGGAGAGTAGCGGCCTCGAACTGTTAAAAAAAGAAAACAGATCAAAGAGATTGAAACGAAATCCTGAAAGCCACAAGCGGGACAAGTTCATATTAAAAGAAGCAAGGAAAACTCCTTGGACAATGAGCACTAGAGAGCTTGTGGCTCGTACCAAGGCGGCCGGCCGGATTGCGGCTGTGTCCTCTCTGACCCGTCATCTTGGGAAAGCTCAAATCCCTGGCGTAGGTGGAACCTGACATGAGCCAAGCCTTGAAGGTCAAAGAGAAAAAATTTCTAATCAAAGTCAATTATTCAGGAGAAAGTAGAAAGGAGAGGGGAAAGGCCCATCCTACGAGTTGGAACGAACGAACTTAGCACGCTGGACGAGGCTCCACAGCAAATACGGTCGGAAGGCAGGCCGTACCTTGCGTGATGCTTGGATCATGGCTCGAACACAGCAGCAACGTCGTTGACCTCATTAAGAACGCTCTCTTTGGGCTGCAAGTGCGTTCCACCAAGCACCTCCACACTTTGTTATTGTCGATGATCATTTCGACTACCATAGCAATATGCATAGAGCAGTAAGATAAAAAAGGCACTCTGCATCGGTTTGCTCTGTGGAGACGGAAACGCCATCTCGATACGGCAACCTCTCGTCCAATCACTGCGTCGTCAAGAGGACACCACAGCAAGCCAGGCGAGACAACTGATGATGTGCCCAGAGTTCTAGCCGTTAAAAGATGTGTAGCAGCCTGGAAGCTGGGGTGGTGTGGTGTAGTGTAGCAGGTGATGTGGCGTCGATGTTTCCGACGATGCGGGCCAAGGATCGGTAGGAAGACACTTGACTGGTGGCAGATCTGGCTCGATGTTGGGACGCCAGACAGGGCTCTCTAATGCCGCCACCAACTCGAACTTGATAGGCGGATCACTGGAGAAAAGCCCGGGCCTATAGTATGTACTACGTAGCACGGAGTTAGTATTACTCTGACACGAATGGCAGTCGCCAACCACCCGTATAGCAAGTTACACACTATGTACTGTGGTGTATACTACGAATTAGTAGGTATTGCTAAATTTGGCAGCTGCTCACACCCTTATTACCTCTTACCTCTGTAGGCTTGACTGACCCCTACTGCCTCACTGTGGCCTGCGTCCCCTCCTCAGTACAGGCCTCTTCTTCCTCTCGCGCCTCTGCCACAGTCTCAGCCTTAACAATCAGCCTCAGCCTCTCTGTGCCTTCACTTCAGGCGTGTGACGTATAGATGACCTTTTACTTCCTCCCTCATCTTTCCAATCTCCTATCGAGTCGACCCTCTGGTCGACATGGCGACAGCTGGCCGTTCTCTAGGCTAGCGAGGCTGGTTGATTGGTCGTTACTCACGGGCCCGCCTCCATTGTCTCACGATAGCCGCAGCCCTGTCGAGAAACGTTGCAATTTATTCCCGTTACCATAAGACGCTCTATCGATTCGAGATCCCCAGTGGGGCGATTTAATTGGCAAGCGATGCCGACCATCGTCAACAACCGGCTGGCAGTCTATAGGGGCGGCACACTCACAACCTCACCTCTTCTGGCGCACTCCATATGCCCTCCTCGTCATGAGATCTTGTCTACGAAATCTCGTCCTATTGACGAGTACTAATAAGGTGCAATCAGACACGCACAGAAATCTCGGCAGGTACCACGTACCAACGGCATGCTCCCAATCGCAGTAGACCGCGAGATTGGTGAATTGCTTCCGGGCCGACCGCCGCAACGGCTTCGATGCGGAGCTGCGAAGCGCTATGGAACAACGGCATGGGCGATGGTGTGGGGCGGGGATCAGGGGGTATGTGCCCCCTGTGTGTCTGCGCTATCTCATCGTGGGTCGCTTATCAGAACGTTTCATGCATTCTTCCGAAAGTCTGGAGAAGATGCCGGTTGCCACGATGCCAGGAATCATGTTATCGACTGCAGCTGTAACAACAGCATCCAGGTAGAGGAAACATGTCTGTTGTAAAGGCACTCAGGGACGACGTCCAGCACATTGTCTTGACGGCCAGGCCGGACGATCCACGGCCGCCCGTCCGTCTCATGACTGGCTTGTCCGTGGCGACATGCTGGAGACAAAATGGCGGCTTTCTGTCCCATTGGTGTCTTGACCCGTGTGCGTCTTGTCCGTCTAGATCCCGAGCCGAGGCGGGCCTCTTCTTGCAAATACTGCTTGCTATATGTGGTTGTCCTGAGCGGAACTGAATGACCAGAAGCCATCCCCGTACAGTTACGCTAATGCGTGCCATCCATGCTACAAGTGGATCGGCACCAGTGTTCATTCCCACCTTTGTCGCGTCGATCACCGGTGCCGCGCCGACAGTCACCACCTTTTGCAAACTCAGTCACCGATTTCGTCAATTCCTTCTGCTGCACCTCTCTCGCTCGCTGCCACTGCATGCACCTCCAAAAGGCCGTCTGTGTCCAGACCGCCACTCCGTACCATAAAAGCCAAATCGCAAAAGGGCCCTGCAGACAGTAACCCTGCTGAATATATTGGGGTTCTCTTTCTCTTTCCTATCTCTTTCAAGTCTCGACCTGCCTGCGATGAGTTTGTCGGGATCCTGTTGATCTCTTCTTGGCAATCTTTCAAACGATAACATGCAATGACTTTTTGAGTAGAGCTAAATCATCTTATCATTTTTAGCAGACTCTCGAGGCTTATGATGGCCTCAGTCCCATCCCCATACCTCTCATGGGACATACTGCGGCCATGTCTCAAATGTTGCGATCGCCTTTGGGTAAGCCAACCCCGCCCTGTTTCCGATGCTGTAATGAAAGAGAGGAAGCAGAATAGGCTTTGCGACCCTCTGCTGACAGTTAGCCGCTAGATATCTGAACTCGCCATTTTTGGAGAATGCATCGGCGCCATTGCATGGATTCCAAGTGCTCTCTCTCTTCTTCTGCTCATATCAGGATATGGCTTGCAGCCAATATGGCGCCGCCGCCCAATCTGGCTGCGCAACTTTGCAGCCGAGTCGCCCGAAGAGGCCGAAATGTCTTCTGTCGAGCTCGGGCTCCCGATGCGAAGAAATTGGAGCCGCTCAGTTCTTTTCCTCTTGGTCAACTCAGCAGTCGGTCTCGTGCTCAGCCTTGTGGCCAGTTTAAACCCAGATATAGGGCCCCTCTTTCTCACGCCACTGATACCGCATGTCAGTGAGAAACCCCTTGACTAGCTGCCTGAAAATCCAAGCCTAACTAACGATATCAAAGGCGGTCACTTGCATTACATTGGCAGCCGAAAGGCCGCGGTCGACGCCAGGGCTGGTATTGGTCGTTCAGGGTGCATTGTTTCTCATCCAGCTCGTTATGTTCAGCACTATACTGTATGTCACGACAAGGCTTGGCCTCGTGTGGTGGATACTTGAGATGCTCGTCACGGTAGCCTCCGTGATCTGCATTCTCAATATGCCATTGCGTGACCATCACCTTGGCAGCATCGATATTTGCTCCCCCTTTCAGACGCCGACATCGAAACTTCGCAGCCCAGAAGACAGCTTCACGCTCTGGAACTGGATGTCTGTAGGCTGGATGGGACCAGTCGTTGCGGCGGGATGCCAGAGACAGCTCCACGCCGAAGATGTGTGGCAGCTGCCCCTCCAATTCCAACACGACCGGCTGCACCGCCTCTTCAGGGATGTCAAAGGATCAGTCCTCATGCGTACCGTCAAGGTCAATGCGCCAGATTTGATCATAACAACCTTCTTGGGTATTCTCGAGTCGCTTTGCTCCTTACTCCCAATTGTCTTTCTTAAGGAGCTTTTGACTGCCCTCGAGGGCGAAAACGCAAACCGAAGGGTTGCTGTGGTCTACGGTGTGTTCATCCTGCTCGTTCGGCTGATTGGCGCCCAGTCTGGGATATTCAATCTCTGGTTCTGCCGGCGAGCTTATGAGCGGTGCAGGGGCGAGCTGATCACTATGATCTACGAGAAAACCTTGAGGCGGAAGGCATTCACATTTCCCAGCAACCATAACGAAAAGGAAGGTGAAAAATCAGTGGACAAGAGCAAGACCAATGGGGGCCCAGCGTCCATGGGCAAGATCCTCAACTTGATGCGCAACGATGTTTACGAGGTTGCACAGCGCTTCTGGGAATTCGCTAATCTCGTTACAAAGCCCATGACTTTCATCTTAACGATAGTCCTGATCTGGGAAATCCTGGGACCAGCAGCGCTCGGTGGGGTCCTGCTCATCGTCCTCGCCCAGCTCATCAACGTCTTCACCATCCGCGCCCTTGTCAGTTGGGAGCGGGCCCGACGCGGTGTCACCGACGTCAAGCTTCAGCTCACCTCTCAATTCGTGGAGGCAATACGTCACCTGCGCTGGTATGACTGGCAGGATAAGTGGTTGGGCCAAATCCTGGCGTCCCGGCAGAAAGAGCTACGGTACCGAGTGATTGTAAACCTGATCAACAAGGCTGTTGCCGCCACCAATAAGATCTCGGCCTACTTCTTTCCCGTGGCGGCATTTTACGCATATACTATGATTGGCAAGCAGCCTCTGCGAGTCGACATCGCCTTTCCGGCATTGACCCTGTTCACCCAGCTGAACCAAAGCCTGAACGAGCTCCCAGGGCTAGTCACTGTGCTCCTCAATGCGAGCGTGGCCATGGGCAGAATTGACAATTTCATGGCCGAGCCAAACAAGGACGAGGAGTACGATGCCCTTGGAGAGTCTGGCACGCAACCAGCTGGGGAGCTCGAGATAGCGTTCCGCGAGGCATCTTTCTCATGGCCCGGATCTCCGCCAGCGCAACACGTCCTCTCAAATGTCACCTTTTCAGCTGGCCCGGGCCTGACTGCCATCTGTGGAAAAGTGGGTTTCGGAAAGACTGCCTTGCTTCATGCCATCCTGGGAGAACTTGATGATCGTGGGGGCACAAAGAAGATACCCAGTGAGGTGGCAGGGTACTGTGCGCAGACACCATGGTTGCAGAGCATGAGTATTCGGGAGAACATACTGTTTTCCTCCGGCCTCGACGAGGCGAGGTATCGGCAGGTCCTCGCGGCATGCTGTCTGATTCCTGACTTGTCGAACTGGAAGGCAGGAGACTTATCGCTGATCGGCGAGAATGGCGTCGGTCTCTCTGGTGGCCAGAGGGCGCGGGTGGCACTCGCCAGGGCTATCTACAGCCAGGCGAGGATTCTATTGCTGGACGACCCTATCGCTGCACTGGACCACCAGACGGCTGAGACAATCCTGCGTAACCTTTTCAGAAACACGGACTTGATGAAGGGTCGGATGGTCTTCTTTGTCACACATCGCATGGACATCTTGACGAGATATGCCGATCAGGTCCTGGAGATCTCGCAGCCTGGGATGGTGACTGTCATCTCCCGCGAAGAGATTAACGCTCACGAGGAGCTACTTCACTTTGCCGCGGAGGAAGAGCACCGTCGAGAATCACTGGACGACGAACACGCAGACAAACCAGACGAGGACGTTCTACCCGACAAATTCATCGAAGAGGAACATCGGGCCCATGGCGGTGTCATGATGTCAGTATACTGGCAGTACATCAAGGCCGGTAATCTCTGGTACTGGGCCGGTCTCGTCGTCCTATTCACCGTGTTCCGAGCCTCCAGGCTTGCGCATTACTATTTCTTGAAGGTTTGGGGCGAGGCCTACGAAGATACCGCGACGACCCAAATCTACTTCGTTGCCAATAACGAGCCAGAGCACATGTTCCCATCGGCTGCGGGCCCGAACTTGAGCACTGCTGCTTCTGGTGACTGGTGGAACATTAACCTTGACCTCCCACCTCCCGACGCCGACGCACGGCCTTGGCTGTTCTGGTTTTTTATCATCGCCCTTCTGCAGTTCGTCTCATTCATGCTATCCGACCTCACGATTGTGCTCATCATCTACACTGCGGGCAAGCACCTCTTTCAACAGGTCATGCTCAAAGTTGCCAACGCCACATTTCGCTTCTACGACGTGACGCCCGTCGGTCGCCTGATGAACAGACTGACAAGCGATATTGGTACTATCGATGGCCAGATTGTCACGCAAATCCGCGACGTCGCGTGGTACTTTATGTTCTGGGCTTCCAGCGTGTTCGTCATTGCGTCGACGACGCCGGTTTTTCTCCTCATCGCTGTCATCATGACCTTCCTTTTCATCATGATCTTCATGCGCTTCCTCCCAGCATCACAATCGCTTCGACGACTGGAAATGGTTTCTTTATCCCCACTCATGTCGAACTTTGGCACCCTCCTTGAGGGCCTTACAACTGTCCGCGCTTTCCGCGCCGAACCTCACTTTCAGAACCAGATCATCATAACAACCGAGGCCTTTCAAAGAATGGACCACTTTTTCTGGTCTCTCCAGGCATGGCTCATGTTCCGCTTCGACATCCTCTCCGCGCTCTCGACCTTTATTCTCACAATGTCAGCCCTCCTCACTGGTCTCGGTGCCGGCACAGTCGGTTTCGTCCTGGGGACTGCTGGAAATTTTGTAACTTGTACGCATAACCTCTGCCGCAAGTACGGTGACCTACAGATGCAGTTCGTCAGCGTGGAGCGTGTGATTGAGCTTATTGATCTGGAGGAGGAACCTCGCGGTGACCTCGATCCGCCTGCCGCATGGCCTAGCTACGACGACGACATCATCTTCGACAAGGTCACAGTTCGATACGCAAAGGGCCTCGACCCATCGTTGCGAGACATCAGTTTCCGCATACCGGCTGGTGCGACGGTCGCCGTGACTGGCAGGACGGGAAGCGGAAAGAGTACGCTCGCGTTGACATTACTTGGTACGATCCTGCCCGAGTACGACGAGGCTACCGGCACTCTAGGAAGCATTCGTATCGGCAGCATGGATGTGGCGAGGGTGGACAAACATGCGCTCAGGAAGAGGATCAGCTTCGTGGCGCAAGATCCGGTGCTGTTTCCTGGTACGCTGAGGGACAATTTGGATCCCATCGGCGAGCACTCAGACGAGGAGTGTGAGCTGGTCCTGAGGAGAGTGCTGGGTGCAGCAGACGAGGTAGATGCTCTCTCAGGCAGCGCTTCGCCGACCCCACGAGGGTCTGGGTTGAGTTCCGCTTCTGCCAGTCCTGTTCCCAGCTCAAACAGCAGCAGTGGTGCAGACAGTGACCACGGGGAAGGCCACAACGGTGAAATGGTCACTGAGGATCTCGCAGCAGCAACAATCCTCAACGTCGATGACAATGGAAGGGCCAAGTCCGGCCCTCCGTATTCATCCGCCCTGACGCTGACCACCCGTGTAGACGGCGGCGGCAAGAACCTCTCCCAGGGCCAGCGACAGCTCATCGGTCTGGGCAGGGCCGTGCTGCGGCGGAGCCCCGTGGTGATCCTGGACGAGGCGACAGCAAGCATCGACAAGAAGACGGCGTTCTACATTCAGAAGGTTCTGCGTGAGGAGCTGCGCCAGAGCACAGTGATCACCATCGCGCACCGCGTGGAAGCCGTGAAGGATGCCGACTTTGAGATCGTCCTGGACAAGGGAAAGGTGGTGAGGGCACAGGCCTTGATTGGGGGTTGAAAAGTAGCGAGTAGTTTTTCTTTGAGTGTAAGTAAACAAAATGGAAGGTAATCCCAGGGCATGAAGGAAGAGGTTGACAGGTCATGAGGAATGGATATCAGAAAAACCATGAAGAGAGGAGCCAAGAAGAACTCTCCAAGAGGGGAGGAGGGGGGGGGGGGCCAACAATACGTTTGCCCACTACATACCCTGCAGTATTATTCGAGATATACCTGCTTTGTGCAGTTTGATACCTGCTTTTCCTATAATATATAATAGCATGGGAATTCCAAAGTCAGCTTACAAGACAATCTGGAGAATTATGTGACAGTTGAAGATTTTTCATGTCCTTGGTGCATGTTCCTCAAGGGCCTTGCATGCTCCCAAGGTCATGCTGATGGCAGCGCTCTAGCAACCTCTATCAACCAAACTAGCTGGGAGGCTGGACAGTCAAGATACATGCACATTTACATTGAGTCATGTCATAGGCGTGCTCATGATACACAGCCACCATATTTTGATCAATGACTACTTGCATTGCTTTTGAGTGTAACATTTTGCATCACTCGCCATTAATTACTGCCATCCACACCTCCTTTGACAGTTAATACTTTCTCCTCACGAACATCTCAATAAAACATTCCAGACTCTCTCATTCACTGTGCGCTTTTCAACTTGAGAGCTCGATTATTTTCCTTTCTTCTGTTCGAACTGGATGTATCTCTTTTGAACGAACACCTTCTCCCTCAGCAAACACCTCGGCAGCGCCCCTCTCGCCTCAACAGAACTTGAGCAAGTTGAACTGGCCCTGCTACCTCCTGCGCAACCCCTTGGGCTTCGTACATTTTGTTGTTGTCCCGAATTCGTTATTGGTTTCGCATTCTCGAGCTTTGCGCTACCTGGAACGCTTTTGGCCAGAGCTTTTGCTTTTTGCGTCGAGCGTTGGCACCCTTCTCTCCACATCATAGGAGCTTCGATGTTGACCTTCTACTGGGCTTTCCACTTGACCTTCCCTCCAACCTTCTACCCAACCTTCCACTTACCTTTCCATTCAAGCTTCTACTCACCTTCCTCCTCAACTTCCTGCTGAGCGTTTCTCCTCATCAACTCTCACTCACTTCTCTTCATTCACTTTCCTCATCCTTTATTTGACAGCGCTGCGCCTCGCTGTCTTCTCCGGTGCCACTTCTTCCCTATCCCATCACGTCTCAGTCGAGGCTCTGTTTATCTACGAGTCACGTCGCAAACTCCATCTCTTGTTTGTTGAGAAAGAAGCCAGTCCCTTTAATGAACGAGGTCAGAGGCTTCGTCGAAGCTGAGCCAGACAAGACTTCCCTCGCCAGCAGTCAGACCCCACAGCCCTCGCCCCATCAAGATACAGAAAGCACCATGGAAGCTCCTAGCAACTACTTCGATCGCCTCATGTCCGAGGCGTCCATCGAGGACTTAGAAAAGGGCGTTAAAATCAATGTGGAGAGGCTCAAGGAGATCGAGGAGATCCTGAGCTCTCTTCCTGAATCTCTCTTAACCATCACGGTCTCACAGGTACAAAAATGGCTAGCCAAGGTCAAGAAGCTTCGAGATGAGGCAAAGCTGACTCGTTTTACCATTGGTGTTATGTATGTGTTCCTGTCTGGTTCTCAAACACGAGGAGATACTGATATGGGTCTTGCAAAAGTGGCAACACTGGTGCAGGCAAGAGCTCACTTATCAACGCGCTCTTAGACGAGGAGAGGTACGGCTTGTTCACCCATAATATTATGGAAAACAGACCTACTGACGACATTCATAGGCTTGTGCCTGTCAATGGTGTGCGGGCCTGCACTGCGTCAGCTACCGAGATAGCATACAATTACTCTGACGACCCAGCGGAAGCCTACCGTGCAGAGATCGAATTCATCACCGCCGAAGGCTGGTCCAAAGAGCTAGAGACACTGTTGTCTGACATGATTCTGGATGGAAAAGTGTCCAAAGACTGCCTTATCGCGGACAGCCCTGCTGGTGTAGTATATGCCAAGATCAAGGCCGTCTATCCCAAAATGAAAAAGCATGATATGGCCGTGGGTAAGCCTTGCGAGATGGCCCAGTCTGAGAGTATCCGCGGACTTCTGGGCACTGCCAAGAGCATCCACCGCAGGACTGCTTCCGGTCTATATGATGCTGTCCAAAAGTACGTCGACAGCAGGGACAGGGCAGCTGGTCGCGGAGGTGACGTCGAGTATTGGCCCTTGATCAGGTCAGTCCGCATATACTGCAAGGCGGTGGCTTTGTCCACAGGCGCGGTCATTGTAGACCTTCCGGGCGTCCACGATGCCAACACTGCCCGAGGGGCTGTGGCGCTGAACTACTTGAAGGTATGTGATGCCATCTGGATCACTGCGGGCGTTCAACGAGCCATGGACGATAAGGCAGCCAAAGAACTCCTGGGTGAGTCTTTCAGGCGTCAGCTGAAGTTCGACGGGGCATACTCAGCTATCACCTTCATTTGTACCAAGACAGATGATATCCTGAAGCTGGAAGTTGCAAGCGCGCTCGATATGGGAGATGGTGTCTCCGATCTAGAGGCACAGCTCAAAGACCTTGAAGCTAGAAAGGTTGCGTTGCGCCGCCAACTTCGCGAGCTGAAGCAAAAGCGATTCGCATCCGAGGCCACAGTAAATGACTGGTTGGACAAACATCAGGTATGGTCGGCCTTGTCCGTCAAGGCGGCGAAAGGCGAGACCGTGTACCGGCCGGTACTCAACAGCAAGAAACGCAAGCACTCAGGAGATTCTGGTAATGAAGACAGCGGAACGGCGGATGATTCGGGCGATGACGGCAACACCGACGGCGAGGCTCAAGTCGAAGAGGGCCACGATCGTCAAGTTTTGACAGTTGAGGAGATTGAGGGAGAATTGAACACCACCAAGGATGAGTTACACGCTGCCAAAAAGGCAAAGAAGGCCCTCAAAAAGCAGTGTCGCGAGGCCGACAAGGAGCTACAGCAGGTTGGCGCAGACGAGAGCGCCATGCGCAGCCGCATCCAATCGATATGCATCAAGGGACGGAACCAGATGTGCAAAGGTGCGATCAAGGCTGATTTTGCCCCGGGTATCAAGGAGTAAGCTCATCTTTCGATCGAACATTTCTAACAAGTTTCCACTCATTGACCTCGTCCACAGGCTTGATCAGCAGACAGCAATGGAGAAAGACGAATGGGCTTTCGACCCGAACGTAGAAGCCAGAGATTATGATGCGGTAGCACGGTCCCTTCCTGTCTTCTGCGTCAGTGCTCGGGCATATCAAAAGCTCACCGGGAAATTGGTAGACGAAAATGTGCAGGTCCAAGGGTTCATCCAACCGGACGACACTGAGATTCCTGGGCTTCAAGCCCATGCACGAACCTTGACGAAGGCTGGGCGCAGAGACAAGGCTCGCTACCTCATTAATGATGCTGACGAGCTTCTTAATTCGATGAAAATCTGGACAACAAGCACTCGGGCGGTTCACATGACCAAAGCTGAGATTGTTCAAAGAAAGGAATTCCTTGGCAAGCAGTTGTCTGTCCTGGACATGGTGAGTAACGAATTATGATTGAACTCCCTTCATTGGTCTGAACAGATATCTCGTCAAGGCCTTCGAGAAACTCATCATTATCGGATCCGAAAAGGCCGTTGCCATTGCAGAATCATGGGGAAACCTTCTGTGGTCCACAGTGAGTGTTCCTCTCTCGTATAATTTCGTAAAGAATTAAGTCTAAGCTTGCGCTTTGCTAGTATCGCGCGACCCTCCTACGGTATGGAGAATTCTCAGGAGCCGCAGGGCCGCGAGACTTCAATGCCGAGCTTCATGATCCCGTGGCCCAGCATCTGGCTAGCAGTTGGGAGATGGTCTTCCAACGCTGCGTCCCAATGGCGTTCGCCGCGTTTACAAGAAGCACCATAGAGGCTATGGAACAATTCCAGCACAACGTCTGTGCAAGCATGCCACACCGCGGAATACCACCTCTTGGTTCCACCACAATGGAGAAACCAGTCCGGATTCAAGTTACTGCTCTGGAAGCGTCAATGCAAGAGCTACGCAAGGAAATCGATGCCTCCCAGCGGGACTTGAATCGGATGTTCTGCCCCGCCATTCGAGAGGTAATGCGTGAGACGTATGACAGCTGCTCGAAAGAATCAGGTAAGTCTGCCTTCCCCAAACATGCTCACAGCTACTTCTGGTCCAGCCACAAGTCCGCGACGGCTGACGCATATTTATATATGTATGAATATATTTCTTAGGCCCGGGCTGTTACGCGCGCAGGAAGAACTTGATGAAAGCAAATGTAGAGACCAACAAGCGACGCATCTTCCAGGAGGCAACTCGGACAGTCAAAGATGCGCTGCAGAAGATGGCCTGTGAAAACGATGCAAAGCTCCAGCATCTTGTCAGCGACCTTTTGATGAAGCTGGAGCGAGACTTCACAGCAGTGCTCATTGGCGATGAGGATCACGCGGCCGAGCGCGAACTTCGCAGCCAGCTTCGCAAGCCCCTGGATGACAGCGACTCTTGGTACGCCGAGCTCTTCCCGGACGTGAAGGACAAATCAAACTCGGAGCACGGTCCTGGCCCTACGTCTTCTTAAGAACGTCAGCGTGTTCAAGGCAGATAGATGGTTCTAGAATGAGAATTTGGAAATAAATATCTTTGTTTTCCTCCTCTTTTCTGCGACCATCACTGTATTTTTTCACATACACGTATGGTCTCAGTAAGAAAATGTAAAGCATTTGGTGTGAGAATGCTGGGTGTTATGAATCGAGGAACGGACTGGCAGACTTTGAAGTGTTCAGTCTTTGCCTCTGATGTCTTCACTCAACGGTGCTTGCCTAGTCCAAATATTCATCCCAATCTTCTGTCCCGTTGTCACGGGCAATCCAGCGTGCAATGTCCTCTCGTCGCCTACGCCATTCGGGAACAAATTCTCCCAATACACCGCGTTCCCCTCGACAGGGCGAAAAGTAACGCCCTCTTCATACGGCGCGTCACAGTCCACAACCTCGCACCACCTCTCATCCCTCGGCGCCTCAAGAAGCGGGAAGTTCGTGCCGCCTCCGGTCGTGTCATTCGACACGTGCACGTACGCGAAGAAAGACGACACGCGGTTCCCTCCCACGCTGGCCACCGCGTTGGCCGGGTTCGTGAACCAGTCCGTGTGGTACCGGTACTGCTCTCCAGCGCCGTACTTGACGAGCTGCAGGGGCTCGAGGTGGTCGGCGGGGACGCTGTGGCCCTGGAAGGCCAGGGCTCTCTGCTCTATGCAGTGGACTGTGGCGTCCCGGGCGACGGAGGTGGACTGGGATGTTCGCACGCTGTTGATGGTGTGCTCTCCGCTGGCTCCGGCTACGCCTGAGTGGAGGAAGCTGTCCTTTCTGTAGCAAGTTTTATGTTTAACGGGCTGTACACTTCCTCCATGGACGACATTGTGAAGTGGACGGGAGACTCACGTCACTTCTTGGAGATGGGCTCTTTCTTCTGGGGTGATGAAGTCGTGCAAGTAGAGTACTGTTGGTGATTTTGATATGATTGAGACTTTGTAGGGTGGGTGTTGACATTGGTAGTCGTTGCTCATTGGCTTCTGCGATGCGTCTGCGCAGGCGAGCAGGGCCAGCGCCGCAGCAGATATGGAACCTCGAATCCTGACCATTGTTGATTGGTTTCTTTCAGACAAGTAACTGTCGTCGGTATAATCCTTGTGGTCCTTTTGGAAAGAAGACTACGAGTCGAAATAAAATGCAGCGATATCGAGAATCATTCTCGAGCCTGTGTGGGCTGAGTGGTGTATGTTAAGTGGGCTGCCGCAACGAGCCACAGCATGTTCGGCCATGAAACATCTGCGGTTCAGGGGGCAGGGCTCCGAGCGGTGACAGCTCATGTTTCCGCACATCTCATGGAGTAAGTCTCAGGGGCTCGTCAGTATGATCTTCGAAAGATGCGACCCCAGTGATGCAATCCTGTTCACAGCCCAGTCTGAGAAGCTTCGAAGCTCCCCAAATTGTCCTCGCTCGGATGAAGCCGACATGACTATTGATAAGGCAAAAGCAACACCACTATCTTACTATCCCGTCTCTGATGACATCGCATTAGCACATCTGCATCCATACGCATCCTGTTCAATTACACGATGGCAAAATACGGCATTGTGGTTCTTTCTAGCCTGATTGGCTTCGCTTTGGGTAAATGGCAGACTGTCGACGAGGCTGGCTTTCGAGAGGCGTTGCGAGCGAACGACCAGACATTGGTAGCATGTAAGCCATGAAGAAAGACCTTCGACTGCATACTTGACTCTGACTGAATTATTGATTACAGATATTCATGTACGACATAGTCCCTGTCCTTGATATCAATTCTTGACCTAGGCTGATCCTGAAAATGAACTCAGGGCGCCGAGTAAGCACACTGGACGAATGAAAGCACAACTGCTGTCTCGTCCCGACCCTAACAAGTGACCACAGCAGCTTAGAGACCTTTGAAAAAGAATGGTATTCTCTTCAGACATCACAACAGGAAGGCACAGTCATCAGCATCAACTGCTCAGCAAGCCAGGCTCTCTGCCGCGAATTCGACGTTGTGTCTTTCCCGACTGTCAGACTTCACGGGCAGGACGGGCAGTTCGAGCGTTACCGTGGTCCTAGAAAGGCAGAAGAGTAGGCTCATACCTTATTCAGCCGGCTTTCAGGAGGAAATAGTTATGTTTGTGCTGCTGCACGGCTGACGTTGAGTGTTCATTAGCATCATCGCGTATCTCCGGCGCATGTCACGACCGGCAGTCTCCAGTCTCGACGCCACAGAGGCATCCTCGTTCACGTCCGTAGACGACGTCGTCATCGTTGCAAGCGTGGGCGAAGATGATGACGACTTGGGGTTTGAAGAGCGCTTTTCGAGAGTAGCGCAGCGGTTCCAGGATCGGTATTCCTTCGCGGTACAGCAGCGGAAAGCTGGTGGTACATCCCTGGAGTGCGTGAACAATGTGGACTCGGAGGCGTTTTCGATTACCGATCTGTCGGATCCGCTGGCCATCGAGAACTTCATAAGGCAGTGCTCGCAGCCTCTGGTTCCCGAATTCACTAGACGCAACGAAGGTGAACTCACAAAGGTAAGATGGATGCTGTGTCCAGCCCCAGTCGCCCCCCCCCCCCACCCTCTACCATGCCAAAATTTAGAACACGCGCTGAACCTGCTGGCAGATGGGCAAGAGTATTATACATTACTTCACCTCGTCCGACACAGATCGAAAGTCCTATGTCAATGCCATCCGGGCGCTGGCGAAAAGGTATCAAGAGTATCTCCTCTTCGTCACGACGGATGTGGCCGAGTACCCGCACATGGCGTCCATGATGGGCCACAGGGAGGGAGCCAGCAATGTTCTGTCTGTGTTTCAACCTGTCAATGGTGGGGTCTTTGTGTATCGCGGGCAGACCATCACGGCGGAGACGGTGGAGAGGTTTTTGGGAGACATCAGCTCTGGCAGGGTGAAGATGTGGGACGGCGTGCTGCCGGAAGCGGATGCATTCATTACGCATGAAGAATTGTAGAGACCAAACGGCCAAAGGGATGATGTTTGGGGTTGATGTTATTATCTGGAGTAACGATAGTGCCCATATTGCATTGTCTGGCAGCCACAGCAGAGATGAAGAACATCGGGCCTTGTCTTGAAGCCAAATATGGTTGTGATTTAGTAGCTGGGTCATATTGTCCCACAGTGTGTAGATTATTAGTTACACGCTAGAAACAAGCTACTGAGCTGTTTTGCGCTCTAGTTCATTAGACGATGATTATCATGCTTGAGGTGCTCCTGATTCATCAAGTTGGATGTCTTAGAACGTATCGCAGTGGGTGTCGTCTTCTGATACATTCGAGTAGCCTGCTCACTTAGCTGAAAATGAAATGTTCTTTTTCATTGTTTCAATGATTCTCTTGATGAGGAAGACTGACCTTGCTAATTTGATGATGCCTTAGCTCTACTTATTAATGTTCATGTCTTTTTCCCCTCCTGACCATACCTATCAGGACTTACCTTTCCCATGACGTGCCAGTAACTAAAACCGGCGCATCGTAAAACACAGCTGTGGCTTGTCGTATTGATAAGATACTTTCCTCGAGCATGGGGCAATGACTGTTATGAGACCATAACCGTAGGTGCTGGGGTTGAGGTGACAGTGATAGTGTTAAACAGGATAGCGGTCACCGAACCCGTCGGCGCCGGGACGAAACCAGTGGTGACGGTGATGGTGCTGAAGTGGATCGCCTTGACACTCGGTGTCGATGCTGCATCTAGTGCGAGGAAAGAGAGCAGCGAGGACAGCACGGAATGCATTGTTATTGATGTTATTGTTATGGCTTGCAATTCCCGAAAGCACTGTGCTGAGACGGTTAATAGGCGAGGAGAGAGTAGTTGATGACAGTCTTACCTGATAGGGTTTTTCTGCTTCTCTTGCTGCTTCTGCCGTCTTGTATTTCTGGCCTGTGGTCAGATGGGGTCCGCGAGTGATGTAGATGTGGGTTACTAGAGAGATAACAACATCAATCAGGGACGCACGGATGAAATGCTCATTATATACCATTAGGTGAGGAAGTTGTGGTTGGGCATGTTGACTATGAGCCGTTTGTTAAAGCACACGACAATGCCATTGAGTTGAATTGCTAAGAGAAGAAGCAAAGGTCGCCACCACACACTGGCGAGACTGAGAATGTCCCGAGGTCTTTGTTCGCAATTCAGGAACAATGTGACTGTGTTTGTCCTATTATTAGGACTGCATTGCTCTAATTACACACATGAATACCCACAAATAGATTTGAGGGTCTGAATTGCAGACGGGCTATGTTTGAGAGGTCCTGGAACAATTGCAGTGTCATGCGGAGCCCTCGAACTTCGCAAAGGTCAGTATCATTACGGTGTAGCCCGCACTATGCCTACAGGTATGTTCACACAGATACACCGGACCGGAAGGAGGAGAAGCCAGTGCACGTGGGACTACGAAGCCATATGCAGTGAGCAACTATGGGTTATCTCTTTGCGAGGCCCCTGACAAACCTTATCCATCTTGTCCCATTGTGCACTGACTGTGTTGTAAATGCTAAACTGTTGGCTGCAGACCAAAATCTGAGAAGGCCGCCGGCAACAATTGTGATAACCGCTATTTTCTTTGCGAAACTTAATAAAATGGATGTCTTACCCCCCAATGTGACGACGCATTGGGGTTGGCTTGATCTCGACCAGCCGGTAAACCGCCACCAGCATTTCCCCAGGTGCGGCGCGAAGGCGACTGGCGACAAGCGAGACTATGACGCCAAGATAAGGTTCTGGGATGCGAGATCCGCTGTTGTAAGTACCGCCATAGAATGCACTACAAGATATACATTGCACTCTATTGATCTTGCCCAGGATAAATGTGTGTACGCACGAGTCAAAATGCAGTATCAAAACATTGTGCACCTGGTGATAGACTGATCCTTCATCTGGCGCTTTTCTTTTTACTATTATACAGTATTATGTATGTTTATACATAGGATCTAGCATCATGACCGCATGACCAACCTGGGTCACTCTCAAGGCATACGGTACATAAGTCGAAGACTCGGTGTGGGAAACAGGCCTAGGCTGCAGAAGAGTAAGCCCCCTAGCCAGTGACCGCTGGAAACGCCACGCCAACGCCAACAGCGCACCTCCAACACCCCCCCAGAAAGACCCCATACCAGGTTCTAAGCTCTCATTCCTACCTCTCCACTGACAAGAGGCTATGCAGCCGTGAGTAAGTCGGAATACCGCCTATTCGTGAGGTTTGTAGTGGGTGCGACAACGCCACTTGGACGGATCTTGTGGTCCTCCAGTCTGGTTCTTCTAGTTCATTCAATTCTCCCTCCTCCCCCTTCTCCTCGTTCATCACGAACCATTGTCTGTATTGACAGAAAGGCTTCCTTGACCTGAAGTAAGTACCGTACTACATGTAGTACATAAGCACGTACTGTACAAACACCCTTGGGCTTTTGCTCCACCACAGATCGTCTTAGTGTGTGATCGGATTTTCGACAAACGACAACCACCCCTCCTCCACCCCCCATTACAGTTTTGCAAGGGCCCCTCCACACCTTTTCTTTCACGAAGCCAGCAGCAGCAGCAGCAGCAGCAGCAGGGCCAGATGCATGCCTGACGGGTACGGTACGCAAACGGTACGACGATCATTGATTTAAGTAGTAGTATCCTGTGTCTCGTCGTTTCTCAAAGGGCCGAGGCAAAAAGAGGTGTGTTTTTTTCTTTCTTTTCTTCTCTCTCCAAAACGCTTCTACTACGCCTTAAACCTTAAGCGGTACGGATTACCAGGCCCAAAGAAGATCAGAAGAGAAGGAAAAAGAGGGCGAGTCAGCCAGTCGGCAGACTGGAGCCTCAACACGTGGGCTTCTGGACCACTCAACTTGGAGCACGGCCTTGTCATCTGCTGTCTTTCTGGGTCCTCTCGCTCTGCCTCACGTTTCCCAATGCAACTCTATTCGACTCATTCGATCACGACGACGCTACCGGTACTGAACTATCTTTCGCAGCATCTACAAAGGCATCCACTGCAACCCAACTTTACGACCCATTGGACCCCAGATTTTTTTTGTCGCGCAATCCACTACGACGAGCCCACATAATCCACCTCCTCTCCTCCCTCTTACCTCTTCGTCCTCCTCCTCGCGACTGCCACATACCGCGCTCGCTGGCGGGGTCCTACCCTCCCTCTCTCTATCTCTTTCTTCGACCTTAAGAGATCCCGGTACTACAACTTAGAGCGACTCTACATACCAATCGAGAGGGTCCCCCGAGAAAGAGGGAGAGAGGAGGGAGAGAAACACAGAGAGAGTGGACGGACGTCCCACGTTCCTGTGGTCTGTTGACCTCCTCCTCTGGGAATACTGGGGTTGAATCATCGCGGACATTGGACTCTCGTGAAGGCTCGCCCTCTCTCTTCTCTCTCTTGAGGCCCTCCTTTCCTCTGAGGTCCTCCACACGACAGAACCCCCCTCCCTCTCTCCCACACCTTTGTCTCACAATCGAAGAATGGTGAGGAGAATATGTTGACTCGCTCCCCCGTGCCTGCAAGGGCTACAAGTGCCTCGCCGAGCTCTTTCCACACCACTCGCTCCCACAATCACAACCACCCTCATCACGCCTTCCACTATGCGTCGTCCGCCTCTCCACAGATACGATCTCCCAAGCCGTCGGCTGCTGTCTCACGGCGGCAGTCGTCGTCCTCATTGACAGCATCGTCCCTAGGCCTGAGCAATAACAATAACAACAACGATAATAATAAAGCCTCCCAGTCTCAGCCCCAGGCGCAGGCGCAATCACACCCTCCGCCGCCGTCCAACAGACCACCACCACAGGCCGATCAGCCTGCAGCGTATGTCGCCGTTGACGCTGCGACCCAGTATTCTCCAATGGAACCACATGATTATTTTACGACGCCCGACGCCCCTGCGAAATCCAAATATCTGGCGGGTGTCGATTCCCCTTCCGCCCACGCCTCCACCAAGACGACAACCCAGTCGCAACCACAATCGCTACCAGCGGCAGAGGAGGCAGCAGCAGCAGCAACAGCATCCTCATCCTCATCACGAACAGCAGTATCCACCATTCATCGCCCCCAAGCCAGCACCAACGGTGACGTCTCGCTACAGGAGGGGGACCCTGCCACGCCGGGCCCCTCTGATGGGCCGCCCATGCTCAAGGCGCCCCACCCTCTCTCGCCCAGCAAGCGGCGGAACTCAGACGCACCTGGGCTGCTGGTCGGAGGGAGACCATCTGGCGAAGGAGGCGACGGCGCTGCCACAGGGGGGGTGCCGAAGCGCGTAAAGCCCGAGGCAGCGCCGCCCAAGGTCCTGCCCGTGCAGTACGAGCTGTGCGCCTATGAAGATATCGTGGTGCTGATCGCGCACATGCTCGCGGAGCTGATCGAGACCAACGACGCGCTGGCCCTGAGGTCGGGACACCTCACGCGATTTCATAGTCGGTAAGCTACAATCTGGACCTATTCTTCCCTGTTTCTATTGATCTACAGAGCTTTTTGCGCTGACGAGGCGACCGTTGAACTACTATACAGGACCGCACCAGGCATCTCCGTTCTGGACTACCTCCTCCGCCTCGCCAAACATGCCACCCTTTCGCCGCCCCTCCTCCTCTCCATGGTTTACTACATCGACCGCCTCTGCGCCCTGTACCCAGATTTCACCATCAATACCCTCACCGTCCACCGCTTCCTGATCACGGCCGCCACCGTCGCCGCCAAGGGTCTGTCTGACTCCTTCTGGAATAATTCCACCTACGCTCGCGTCGGCGGTGTCCGCGTCGCCGAGCTCAAGCTGCTCGAGCTCGAGTTTCTGCACAAGGTCGACTGGAAGATCGTCCCGGATCCGGACGTTCTGGTCGCGTACTACCGGGGCTTGGTCCAGAGGTGCCCTGCGTACCAGCTTGAGGATGAGGTGGGAGGCGAGGAGGATGATGATGCAACAGCCATCGCCGACGAGTCGGATGGAAGCGAAGTCTCAAACGACCCTGATGAGGGCGACGAACAGGAGGAAGGGAAGAGGGAGGCCGTCACCAAGGGGACCATGACGACTGCGCAGGGGAAACCACCAGATGCGCCATCTCAGGCATAGCATGGCGACGGCGCACGGTGGTCTGTAGTTCTTGCGCTGCGTCCATGGTGGAGTTTCAAAGCAAACTGCTCCCCAAACACATCCACACACACATCGAAGAAACCATTGGAAGGGGATTCTTGAGAGTGTGTACATCGATCCTGTTGTGTGCGCTGCTTGAGACGGGATATGCAGCTCAGGCTTTGCATATTGCGTCGAGCGTGAAGGGTAATGACATACATTAGTCCCTTAACTTTCTTTGTTGTAAATTAGAAAGCATGCGATGAAAAATTATAATGTGTTTATGAAGTTCAATATCATCATTACTTGACAAGACTGCTGCTTGTTCTTTGTTGTTTTTCTACCTCCTGCTGACGAGGCTGCTATCGAGGATTATCAGCTGGCGCTGATCTATCTTGAGTAACAACAACCCAAGAACGAAGATGTAAATGATGGATTCATTCAGTGGATACGACCTGGTTTTCCAGAGTGCAAGTTTGAGGTTTCCAGGTGTGTAATTTGCATGTACGGTGAGGAGGACCTCGTCCTATGTTTCGATACGCTCCCACCACTCACTCATCAGTCCCACTCCCCCCTACTGGTGCCCCAGCTTGCGGGAGGAAGAAAAAGGCCAGGCAAGCCCTGATCTAGAGACCAGAAAAAAAAACAAGGAAAAGCAAAAAAGAGAGAAAAGGAAACAACGCCCGAAAAGCAGAAGACCAAGAAAATAGAAAATAACAAATTCCCATATCCATGTCTCTCCGTCTCTATGCCGATCAGCCAGTCAAGTCTAGGTGAGGCATTCTATCCCTGGATGAAGAGACTCCTAGCACCCGTTTCGTCCTTCCTTTCCCGCCTATACTAGAGGAGGAGGAATTATGCAGAGGGGGGGGGGGGGGCAAAACCAATCCCGGCGCCAGATAGATGAAAAAAAACCCTGACTCAACCCATTTGCGGGGAGAAGAAAAACGAAGAAGAAAAAAAGAGGCAAGGTAGAGCTAAAGTATGAATGATGAAAGGCAACGGAGGAGGAGGAGCAAGAAGGCTGAGGCAGATAGAGGAGGCGGCAATAGACTAAGGGCAAGTAGTAGATTTGGCTGTAGTCCTTTGTGTTGAAGGACGCGAGCGACAACCCGTACTAGTTGGGATTTTCATGAAAGCCTGCTTGCTGCCTCTGAAGTCCATTCCGACAGAAAAGAATCATATAACGTCCACCCGCCGTCCGCTGCCCAGTGTGTGCAGATGACTGGCTGACTACACACCAAACCTCTCTCTTCAGTACTCAGCATCATTCCAATTTGTGCCCCTGCCACGACCACCAAAAAGCTGCGCAGCCTCCATGCAGTACCCCCCACCACCACTCGCCATCTTCGTCTCGCTGCCGTAGCAGATGATGACGGCGTCCACGATGGAGCTCAGGATCCCCTCCATCGCCCCGAGGATGCCCCAGCCGATGAAGCTTGCCACGAGGCCGACCATGTACGCGTAGGCGCTGCCCTTGAGGCTGCCCTCGGGAAGGGCCACCTTGAGCTGCCGCGCCGTGATCACCCAGCCTGCGAAGCCCAGCGCCGTGGCCATGATGAAGCGCGTCGCGTGCAGGAGGAGCTTCGCCAGGCGGTAGGGCAGGAGGGGCGCTGAGCCGCGGTGCTTAAGATTGCGGGGTGTGAGCGTCGTCGTCGGTGCCTGCGGGCCCAAAAAGTCCATCTGACTCAGGCCGCGGGCCGAGTCCACGAGAGGCTGCGAGTGGATGGCGGCGTAAGTGAGCGTGAGAGGGTTAGTCATGGCGACGATCGAAGTCGGGACGAGGGTGTAGAAGAACGCAGCGATGATGCCGGCGATGCGCCTGTGCAGGACCAGGAGGGGCAAGCGGACCACTATGGCCAGCAGGGTCGAGAGCGAGATCGTGCCAAAGATGGTCGTCACCGAGTGGTTCAGTGCCGCCATGACAATGTCTCGCGATGCCACTGCGGGCACAGCGTTGCGGTGAAAATACCACTGGGAGACAGTCGCAGCTGTGGTTCCCCGCTGGACACCTGCGATCATCGACAGCGTCCAGAGATACATGAGGAGGAAGTATGCGCCCAGCCACCATGTCGAAGCCTGGATGATATACCTGGACAAGGTTCCCGAGTACGAACCGCCCAGGAAGACCCTGGTGAACATGGCAAGCCACGCCCACGTCCAGAAGACGATCAAGGAGAGAGCGCCCATGCCGACGAGCACCAGCGCATTGTTTGCGGCAAGAATCCGACTCGAGAACTCGAGGATGGCAATAGACGAGGTGAGCGCGCGGCGTCCTTTCCAGACCATATATATCCAGATCAGCGCGAAGAAGCCCGGGATCATCGAGGCCCACCTCATCACAATGTCCTGCAGACTGGACCCCTCTCCAGGTCCTTGAAAACTGGAAACAAAAGGGTATATCGCAAATGAAAGCATGATGACTGGAACGGCAACCAGGATCAGTGCGACCAGCGGCCTGACAAAGTATCGCAGAGCTGCTAGCCAGACGAACGATACTATGATCGCGACCAGGGTGTCCACAGCCAGTAGGTGAAATGATGATCGCAGAACCGTATATATCGTATCTCCTATTGGTTTCGACCCGTTTTGTGTCGTTGTTGTGTGCAGCCATACTAGGCTGAAGGTGGCAAACATGGCCGCCAGCGCGATCAGGTAGACCCAGGCAAAGAAGGCATCGTGCTTGAAGATCTCGCCTTGCGGCGGTGGACCCCCAGAACTCGGTCCAGCATGAGCAAAAGAGTGACCTTCAAGTTCTGACTCGGGTATAGAATTTCGGCGCAGTGGTACCCGCGCAGGGCCGGTGGTGCCGCGTAGCCTCTGGAAAGCCGGAGGGTGGTCGTCGACGGATGCCTCCATGGTCAGGTCTGCTGGTGGTTCGCCGTCGGCTATTGTCGACTCGAGACCGACGTCCTCCATCCTCCCCCTGCCAGACGACGAGTCGCTGCTGTTCGATGTCACCCTGTCTAGGCCCTCGTGGCCACCACGCTTGCCACCGTGGTCGGGCCCTCTCCGGACAAAGCTGCTCCTGGGTCCATTCCAACTACTCTTGATGCCCCGTGTGTGTGCCCGGTCCAAAAATGCCCTACCCTCCTCCTCGTGGTCCTGGCTCTGCTCCAGCGAGCCGCGGCTACCCTCGTCCTCCGGTTCCGTGCTCTCCTCCAGCCGGCTCGTCTGGAAGACACGGCGCGACTGCTGCAGAGCATAGAGGTCTACGGCTTCCCGGTCACGCTCGTCCTCGTCGTCGTCCTCCCGCAGCTCGTCCCTGGCGCTCTGGAAGAGGGGCGCATCCTGGGTGGTGGAGTAGCGCGAGGCGAAGGTAAGATGGCCGAAGCGGGAGGCTGCGGGCTGATAGGGGTTGGTTCCGCGCGCTGCGCCTAGGAATGAGCGGCCGCCGTGTCTTGATGCTCGCGACCAGTCGCCTGGCTGGCGATGGGCTGGTGCGTCGTTGCCGTTGCCGTTGCCGTTGCCGTTGTCGGTCTGGCCCTGGAAGTTGGAAAGTCGGGATTGTGACTGAGCCAGGAACCTCGACGCATCTAGAAGAAGGGAAAAGGGAGGGGTCAGAATGCATCCACTATTCGGCCTCCTAACACGGAGGCTTGGAGGTGACTCCTACGGATTAACGGGCCAGAAACTCACACTCCGAAAACATCTCTAGAGAACCCTTTTTTTGCACAGGCTTATGGGCGAGCCTCTGGTCAGTGAAGAGCGAATCAGTCGGAGGAAACTCGATGTTGCGGTAGGATATTGCGGTGTAGCCTTGGGCAGTGGCAGTGGCAGTGGCAGTGAGTCGTGCTCTCGTTCACGTTTAACGCAGGGTGGGGATGACGTCTAAACAGGGTCTCCTTGCCTGCGCTGCAGCTGTGGAGAGAAGATGGCAATGTGAAAGTTCACAGTCCTCGAGTTCAATATACAAGATAGGTGAGGAGAAAGTATGCATGTGACAAACAAAGAAGGACGAAAAAAGAGACGGCAGGATGGTTTGTTTGCACGAGGAGATAGGCGGGTGCGGCTCCGACGTGCGCATGGGACGTGAGGTAATGGCTGTAGGATCGTAGGGTCCCCTGTCAAGAGCCTTGGGCGGTATGACTGATTCTTGACCACTGACCAATCGCAGTAATGGTTGCAGGATGGGCCATGGGCATAGGGAAGGGAGTGGGTGTGTCTGTGCCTGGTCGAACCCAAAATTCATAAAGGATAGGAGAAAAAGGGAGCAAGTTTGGTCAGAAGCAGTAGGCTGCCACCTGCTTCGTAAGTAGTACCCATCTACAGTTGCTTTTGGACAGAACCGGCTGACTGACGGACTGACTGATTAATACAGTACATAGTGCCGTAGTACAGGGTTTCTGATGCACGCAGCTACAGTGGGAGGCAGAACAGCCTATGCCATAGTAGTAGTACCTATGCTCAGTAGCCGAGTGCAGTACTCTGACAGGTACCATTCCACTATAGCACCCATGATGATAGACCCTCGGTAGCTGTTATCGCCGGCCCTCTAGACTCGATATCAGCGTCATACCCCAGCAAAACAACGACCCCCTGTCTCCGTCTTGTCCGCCTGACGTTATCGCCTCTGCTTCGCTCCCCACCTTACCCCCAGCTACCCTGTTGTGATCATCAGTTCTCATATCGACGTCAGCTTTCTTGGCCCACGGGAATGTGAGACCATCCTCGTGCTTAAACCTCCTGCTTAAACCTCCTGCTTCCGCTTCTCCTCCATAATTCTCTTCTTGTCTGTTGTCTCTCTCTCAACAATGCTGAGCTCGTGATACCTTTATCCTCTGGTCCTATTTTGTGTTTGCCCCGTGTGAGATCTGTCAACACGTTGGGTGCTCTTGATTTGCTCACGAGGCCTGCTGTTTTGGTTCCTGAGCTCTGTCTCAGCTTCCCCCATCTTCAGCAACAAATTTACCTCGTCTGATCCGACCTCGTCCACCCGACACGCCACATTCCCTCCCATACCATAGCCTCGGGACGTGGTCACTCTCCCTCCTACACCTCGGACAATACTCTAGTTACCCCACCACTCCGTCCACTACCACCCATCCACTAGGTCCAGACCGCCCTCATGTCCTCACCACCGTGGGACTACATCGCCAAGCTGGTGTGCATAGGCGACTCCGGCTGCGGCAAGTCCAGCCTGACCATCCGGCTCTGCGAGGGCCGCTTTGTCCAACATCACGATGTCACCATCGGCGTTGAGTTCGGCTCACGGATAGTACCCGTCGGCGCACCACACTCCAAACCGCCCCGGGCGTCCCAGGCCACCGAAACATCACCAGCCGACAGCACCTCCGACTCCTCCCCACAGCCGCCCAAGCCCGAGGGCCTTCCTCCACCCCCGCTGAAGCAGGACCCCCCGCCGCCCCAGAAGCACATGAAGCTATCCCTCTGGGACACCGCAGGCCAGGAGACGTACAAGTCCGTCACGCGCTCCTACTTCCGCGGCGCCTCGGGCGCCCTGCTGGTCTTCGACATCTCGCGCAAGGCCACCTTCGACCACGTCACCGACTGGCTCAACGACCTGCGCCAGATCGCGGAGCCCGACATCGTCGTCATCCTCGTCGGTAACAAGGCCGACCTCGCCTCGGAGAAGCGCGAGGTCGACGAGGCCGACGCCCGCGACTGGGCCCGCCGGAACGGCGTGCTGCAGTACGTCGAGACCAGCGCCAAGAGCGGCGAGGGCGTCGAGGAGGCCTTCCTGGCCGTGGCCGAGAGGATATACCAGAATATCATGGCGGGCAAATATGACCTGAACGACAGGCGGTCGGGTGTAAAAGGTTCTGCGACTGGCTGGGGAGGCGGGACGAATGTCAGGCTGGACCAGGAGAAGGTCAAGAGCGGGGGTATGTGCTGTTGAAGCAATCAAGGCATAATGACTCAGTTAGTTCGCGGCATCTGCGTACCTGGAAAGTGATGTCTTTGATGAACAACGTGCCACACAGACTTGGCCAGAGCATGAGCGTTGTTTCGTCTTTCTTCTTTCCTGTCTTTCCCCCCCCCCCCCTTATGAAAGGCCTCATTAGGTTGATACCCCTTATGGCCCTGGAAGCATCTTTTTTTCTTCCGCCCAAAAATATGTAGTAGTTCCAAAATCATTGTACACCACTGTAATGCATAATCAGCATGGACCAAGGGCGGGCATATATACATATCTATCACCTCTGGCATAGGAAAATGTGGCGGGCAAGTCATTGAGCATAGAGCACAACGGAGATATGGCATTACTCTAGACTGAGCGATCCTAGGAGCTTGTTTTCTCTCTCCATGCTCAAACAATTTTCAAAGAGTCCATCCTTACACACAGCCGGAAACTCCGTCCCTGTCCTGACCATCCATACTTTATGCAGCAATGCCAGCCGTTCAGCCGTGCCCGAGCCCAATGGAGTCGAGATGAAATGGGCCCCGCGAATGAAATTTCCCGATTATAGTAGTGACCATCGCAAAACCTACGCAGTCAGAGAAGTAGCAAAAAGAGTGCGCCTTTCCTTCCCTTTCCTTTTTCCCCTGCATACACACACACATCCCATACACACCCTAGTCAGTAACCCTCCACGAGTCGAACCACTTCATGTAGTTGTACTGTAGGTTTGGGCCGCTCATGCCCCAGCAGATGGGCATGAAATAGATGTACAGTCCGATCGTGATGCTGTACAGTGCGCCGTACACGACGTGCTGGATGATTTGGGCCCTGTTGCGGAGACACCAATCCGCCAGGAAACCTGTCGTCAGGATGGCAAAGTATAGGGCTGGGTAATAGTGGTGGACGTAGGTAACACGCGCCATGACGACGAATGGCAGATAGTGCAAGAACCATCCGATAACCGGGTAGAGACCAGCATAATGAATATGGTCGATCTCAGACTGGTTGAGCTCCTTGAATCCACGCTGCCACCGTACAACGTACCAGGCGACCGTCAGGCCGAGGACCCCGAGGGAGATCGTCGACCCCCAATAGATGAAGGGGTTACCAAGGAGGAAGTATTTGATGATGTTGTCATCCCAGCCGCACATGCGCAGTCCGACGTTGAGGATCGGCCACTGCCACCATTGAGAAGCCAGGTCGTCCTGCTTGTCGGGGTCTGGCACCAGGGCGTTGTTGGACGTCATCATGGCAACATTGAGGTGGATGAAGTCGTGGATGAACGGCGACTTGTACTGGCCAGGCTTGGCAGGAGGCAATCTGTCGTTCCAGTGGGCCTCGACGTTCCAGTGCGTGTAGGTGTCGCGAGGGTTGTTGTCCTTTGTGCAGGTGACCTCGATCTGCCGGAAACCCCATTGTGGCAGGTTGACATTGCCAGCTCGGAGGTAGCAACCGAGGACCTCGTGTCTCAGGCGGAAAGCGGTGGTCAGGGTGCGGATTCTGCTTCGATCGTTGGAGGCAACATCGCGAACAACTTCAACCTTCCAGTGGTCCTTGTCATCACCCACGGTCAGATTGCCGTAGCAGGAAACCTCCTTATCAGCCTTGGTGACAGGTGCAGAAATGTCGTGCGAGTGCAGGTTGCGACCAGTCTGAGCATGAATGAAACGAATGGTATCGCCATCGCCGAAGAAGCGCGGCTCATCGCTCTCGCTGTAATCAGCTTCGCGGCGGTTGGGGTAGAAGAACCAGTCATTGTTGGCATCTTTGTGGTGGTAGCAGGTGACCTGTTGCTGGTTGGATCCCTCGGGGTACGTCTGGACGTGCGAATGCAACAGACCACTATCTCAAGTTAGCATCCAAGACTCTATCTGCTGTTGCGTATAGGCTTCTCTTACCCTCCGTATCCCATGTTCTTGATCGTCGCCCGAGAACCGTAAGCGACCTCCAGAGGGCTGTTCTGGCCGACTTCGGTCCCACGCAGGTTCGCCTGGAAAAGAGAGCTCATCTGCGCATCACCAGGGCCGGTATCAGTCAGAACAGCGAAATGGATCGCGAAGCTGAGCATGTAGATAAGGAAGGGAAGAATGATCAGGCCGACCACCCTGGCAACCACATGAGCTCCAAGCTCAACCTAGACTCGTGTTAGGATCAAAGTGCACGTCGAAACAGGGCGAGAGTACGTACAACAGGCATCTTCAGGTTGCCAAACTTGTTCCACAAATCCTCGACGGTGTAAAGACCAACCAGCGCAGTGACGAAGAGCCCGACCAGTTTAACACTAGTAACACAGCCGATGCTAAGCCCAGTCATGAACAGCCAGAAGAACCATTCGGGCTCAAAGCTCCTGTCCTGTAGCCGGTGGAATTTGGCCCAGCAGAGAGTTGTCGCGACGGTACCGCAGAGGAGCATGGAGTCGAGGAGGATGAACCGGCTGATGGTGGTATACGAGTTCTCGCAGAGCACCATCAGCGTGACGAACCAGACCGCGGGACGCCTCAGGTTGAGTTCCTTGGCAGTCCAATATGCCATGGGCACGCAGACTGCACCGAAAAGGGCATTGAACTGGCGCATGAAGGTATAGTTGACATCTGCAGGGTAGTGTTCTCCGGACTTGAATTCGAAGGAGCCGTTGTATCCAGCCAAGTATCCAGAAAGACCGACCAAGAGTTTTCCCAGAGGCGGCTACTTCATGATCAGCAAGAGACTCGAAGCCTCATTTTCCCATAAGGTTGCTCACATGGACATCGAAGTAGTATTCATGCTTCAAGTAATGGGATCCGAACTTTCCGAAACTGTATTGCAGACCTCATGTCAGCAAATAGTGCCGTCCAGTGTAGAGTTCGGTAGACGACGCAAGAAACGTACTGGGCCTCATCCCATGTCACGATATCAGAGATTCCGATCTTGTACAGTCGGGTGAAGAGCGCAAGGGCCGTAAAGACGAGAGGGGCTATGACGAACTCCCACTCCTCAAGTGTCTGGAGGAAGGATGACTGTTGCGATTCAATGGTGTTAGCTCAAGGCCTCTTATGGTACGATCGCAAAAGCGGAGAGTTCGGAGTAGCCCAACCTTTTTTGCCTGCTTCTTCTTGTCGTCGACCTCGAGCTGACCCTGGGCGGCGCCAGTCTGCCCAGGCACATTGCGCCGTCGCAGGGCATTGCCGGCATCAGCGCCAGAGGCGACGGCGGCCTTCTCAGCGGCGGCCATTGTCGTGTTCAGGCGTGGTCGATTGAGATCTCAGAGCGCGTCTTGGGAAACCACGGTGGAACAAAAAAAGCGTGGGGAGAAAAACGGGATAGGTTGTTGAACGAATGTGTCGAGAAGGCGAAGGGGGAATGGCAAGGTCCAAGTGGTCTGTCCTCGAGGCTCTGTCGAACAAGAACCCAACTGCTGTTACTAGGACATTAATCCCATCGAAGGAGAAGAGAAGATGGACGAAATATACGACCTCCAGAGACAGGAGGACGATGGTCGCAGGCGAAGACAGAGCTTCGTTGGGAAATCAAGGGATGGACAGGTCGACGGTGGAAATAATTGAAGGTGGCCTTTCGCAGCAGCTACGGCTGTGCTGAAGTGCAATTGCGTGTTACCTAAAGGAGCATCCCTGCAGCAGCAAACAATCTGACATGGCGGTACGTACCGCCCCAAGCTCCAATTTGATTTGGTCTCAGTGTGTTCAGGTGGTAAACAAGTGGGGGTTGACGGGGATCCTCCTGGCAGCAGCACCCCTTCAGCTTTAGACAAGGAGAAATGAGGGGTCCAGCCAGGGTACGAACGATTCTTGCAAGGCTACTTGCTTACTTCTTCTATTCTCCCATCCATCATTATGCATACAACACAGATGCGCCTCTTCTTGCATGTGTCTTGTTGTTTATGTACTGCGGGTTGACTACACATGCACCTCGCTTGCAACTGCAAAAACCCCAACGCTGGTTCCGTGTGATGGTCGGAAAACAATCTGGAACCTTGCTAAGGCCTTCAGGTTGTACATTACATAGTCACCCACTCCCCCCTGACCAACAGGAAATATGACCGCCAATGTGGGCCGCTAGACGTCGTCGCCGCCGCGAGGGCAACTTGGGCAAGACTTTATGTGCGACGACCACTGGCGTGTTCTCCTAATACGAGCAACAAAATGATCTGTAGGTACTCTGGTAAGAAATTGTTGAGCTCTTGAGGTTGGTTGCAACACCCACGATTTGCCTGTACCCCCGTCGTTGCTAGCCCTGTCGAACAATTAATGATCCCACCGAAGCGGGATCAATGTACTAAAATCAGAGCAGCAGACTAGGTACCGCCCTCTCGGAGGAGTGAGGAGTTGTCCCCGACTTGGGAAAGGGCGGCACTGCCAGGGCAAGGTGAGTACTATTCTGGTCCCTCCGATAGTTTTCCTGAATGGGCAAGCTGCGGCTGAAACCTTGCCTGAATTCTCATAGAAGGCTCCCTCCCACGTGGGTGTGAGGGAGGCGACCTAGACCGGTCTCTCAACCAGAGTCTGGTCCGCGCTGAAGATGACGGCATCTTAGCAGCCATGCCTTCATCATGTGAGGGACATTCAGCTCGAAGACGCGCACCCAAAATCCAACAATTATAAAATGCTTCCTTGTGCGGCTTCAGGGTCCGTGAGCATCTCCTTCAGCACCACCTTTCGCTCATTGCCCTGCAGAACTCATTCATATACGCACCCGCCATGGCATTCCAGTACAAGCCGCTGCGAGTTGACGAGATCCGGCTCCTTCGTCTCCGCGCTGGTCGAAAAGGCAGCCTATGTTCCTTCGAGATGGTACATGTCTCTCTGCGCTCTCACCCGACATATGCAGCACTTTCTTACACCTGGGGCCCGCCGGGGGATACTCACTCAATACTTCTGAATGGCACACATTTTCGCATCCGTCAAAATCTGCATGACGCCCTCGAACAGATCACATTGGCCTGGAAGCAGCATGTTGGGTATGGTGGATACCTCTGGGTCGACGCCATCTGTATCAATCAAGACCCTGTCGACACCAAAGCCCTTGACGAACGCGCCGTCCAGGTTGGCCATATGACCTCAATTTACACCCAAGCCTCCAAAGTCCTCGTATGGCTTGGGCTGCCGGCGAATGACATCGACAACAAAATTGCATTCCGCCTCATGAAACGCTTCGAGAAGCGCTACCGGCAGGTCTTGAAGGAAGCAAGACCATACCGGCCATGGTGGTGGCGCAAACCCGTGCGCAGCACTGGTGACGACACGGCCGACTTCCTGCTCAAAGTGGCACCAGCCAAGGACAAGAAGATATTCGATGTTCCCGGCTCGGAAACGTACCGAGGCTGGCTTGGCATCATCGCGCTGTGGCAGAAGCCCTGGTGGGTGCGGGCCTGGATCTACCAAGAGGCCACGATTCCGGAAAAATTCTCGTTTACGTTCATAAGCGGAATCGGGGTGTTTCCCCACGCCAGCAAGGTCAGATTTCTCTGTGGTAGACAGGAGTGTGGGTGGTCCGAGATGGAGGCTGCCAAGCTGGTGGCTATCAGCATCGTGGGTGCACCTGAGATGCTGGACTCTGCTCGGCAACTTGTTAAGGTCTACGATCAACTATCCAAGCTGGACATTGCCCGCAGTCTGCGCATCCAGAATGCTTTGACGAGCTTTGAGCGGACTTTACAATTATTCCGCCACACGCTGTGTGCCGACCCGCGGGATAAGCTATATGCGCCGCTATGTCTGGCGCCGGAGGACGTGAGGGCCTTTGTGAAGCCGGACTACAAGAAGAATGTTGTCGAGGTATACATGGATGTTGTGAGGTATTACTTGGAAAGGCGTACAGGGCCAAGCCTGAATTTCCTGGGACTCGCCATGCACCACCCAGAGGGCCATACCGTCAGTGTTACTCCGCCGAATGGGGGAATAACTGTCAGGTATCAGGTGCCGTCGTGGGTTCCGAATCTGGCTCACGCCCTTGCCATAGAGCCGATCCCCAAAGTACTTCACATCTCCAAGTACATGCCAGATGAGGCTCCCAGTCGGCGGTTCTACGACAAGAGCAATATTCCGGAGTACAATGGTCCCACCGCTCCAACCTACAACCCTCTTCCCTTGAGCATGGACTTCTCGAGAAGGCCACGAATTGAGGGCGACACGCTTCACCTGTGCGGCATTCAAATCGATAAGATCAAGGATATAATCAAGGACACGGGTCCAAACATAGAGGAACTCAAGGCTACCGCCAGGGCGAAAAGCCAGCAGTGGGGCCGGGAATCGAAGCAGCGCTATGCACTCACAGACGAGCCCATGACGGACGCATTCAACCGCACAAACGTGATGGACCTCGTCTACGGCGACCTCGGCGTGCCATCCGAGCGCGGTGCAAAGCTAGACCCCGTCTTTTATAAGAAACCAAGGGCCGAGCTCACCCCGAAAGAATACAAGTACCAGATGGAAATGGCGAATGCCAGGCGCAAGGCGTTCACCCTGAGAGACCTTGGGTTTACCCACAAGCTATTCCTTGCTGTCATACCCAACACGGCTATTGTGGGAGATGAAATATGGGCACTGGCTGGCGGGCAGGTTTTGTACTTGTTGAGGCCGGTGGACCTGGAAATGGGGAGATACATGTTCATCGGGGAGAGCTACGTGCATGGGCTCATGGACGGGGAGGTGGTGAGGATGATGAGCAGAGGTGAAGTGAGTATGGTGGACGTAGTGCTGGTCTGATCCAAGGCAGGTCAAGTCTTGTGAGGAGCTGCTCCTCCTCCTCGCCACGCACTAATGCTTTTATGCTTGCTAGCAGATACATGATGCACCCAAGAACGATGTTACCGGGTAAGTACATACCGTCCTGTACACGACCAATCCCAAGAAGTGAGATCGATTGCGTTTCTGTCGCTCAAACCACTCAATTCACAAGTGTGCGAAGGTATGTGCGTTATTGTATTAATGTGTAATGTGTATCGAATGAGATATTCAATGTTTTCATGAACATCAATGCCCTAGCTTTAGGTCTTTCCCAGTCCAGCACGTTATAATACATCAGGATGTACTTGAACGCGTAATGGGTTGTGTTCCAACGGCTTTATCATGCACAATCATCATTATCCATGATACAATTATCCAACTGAAGCCCGCCACTCTCAAGCTGCACATATTCTTTATGCCTTGGGAAGCCGAAGGTGCTCAAGCGAGCTACGCTAATGTGACCACGGGAATATCCATTTCTAGATCGCGTTCTGGAGCTAGTGAGGAAATCGCTGTTGCTTAATCTGAGACCGGTGTAGAGCGTCGTAGTATTATTGTGTAAACACCGCCATCACCATCTGAGGCCACCATCTTGTCCATTACCCCCAGCCATTTACTTTTGCCTATTCCCCCTCTCTCTCCTTCACTAATCCTCCGCATCAACTAGAACCGGTGAGTGATTGAAGAGAAATGGCGAAGAAGTTTGATTTTCAAATGTTGGAAGAGGATTGAGGCGAAGTTCAATACGAAATGAAATCAATCTTGAGCAGAGCAGAGCAGACGATTCCAACCCTGTGAGTCATGCATTTATGTATGAGACTGCCTGGAATCATTGACTTCTTTCGTATTTTTATTTCTTCTTCCCCGAATTGCGTGCTATATCAACGATCTTAACCTACATTCCACCCACTGCGATTGGAGCCCGCTCCCTGACCCCGGTCACAAAGCCTCCTTATGCAGTTCATAATAGGCATGCGACACGTCTCTCCCGTCCGTGTCCTCGACCGCGAGGATCACGCCCTGGCCTCGTATCCCGCAGGAGGGTAGCACTGGTACCTCATGCAATGAAACGCAACGGGAAATCCACGGTGTTCTAGCCGCAAGTGCGCGGCGGCCGGCCATGCGGGGAGGAGTTTGCTCCGTGGATGGCACGTTATTTTGTCTGTTCCTTGAGTGGCCCTGGCCCAGGTATAAAAAGGGGCCGTGGGCGCCCTGCTGCGAGGGTATTCCTCTGTCCGTCCACCCACTGTGTGAAGGTTGTGTGTCTTTTGATGTGAACCTTTCAAAGAAGTGTTCATGATGCGTTTTCCCCTTGGTCTCGCTGTCCTCGCTGGGCTTGGCTCAGCTCAGATTCCTGCCTGGCAGGCTCCTGGACCGGACGATGGTATGAAAGAACCCTCTCAGATCTCTCAGAGACAACAAGACCATATAGGAAGCCAGATATTGGACTGACGCGTCGTCCAGCTCGAGGTCCTTGCCCAGGGCTCAACACCCTAGCGAACCACGGTTTGCTGCCGCACTCTGGTAAAAACATTACACAAGGTAATATCACAGCCATCTGTTGCAACCCTTTCTCTCCTCTTCACGTAAACAACACATTTCTGACATTGCATAGCGGACCTCTCCTATGCTATGAAGGTCGGGGTGAATCAAGACGAAACTATTTCCGTCCCGCTCTTTGAAGTAGCGGCGACCACGAATCCCGCCGGATGGGGCAACACCTTCTTTGACCTGCACACCTTGGGCACCCACAACATCGTGGAGCATGATGCGAGTCTCAGGCATGTGACCCCACACCCCTCCTTCCTTTGCTCTCCGTATCGTGTTGTTGCTGGAGATGCTGAGACCCCCCTGATCGCTTTGCGGTGCTGACTCTCACCTTTCTTTCTTCACAGCCGCGAGGACGCCTACTTTGGCAACCAGGATATCTTCAACTCGACCGTCTTCCAGAGGACACTCGCCGAGTGGACTGACGACGTGATCACCATCAACAGCTCGGCAGCAGCACGCGCCAGGGCGATCAGGAACTCGAACGCGACTAATCCTGAGTTTGGCCTGTCCAGCCTGGCCCAAGGGTTCTCGACCGGCGAGAGCATCGCGTTCATCTTGGTCTTTGGGAATGTGACGACTGGTGTAGTCGAGACTGCGCCGGTTGTGTACTGGTTTGGTAAGTCTAGACTTGTTTCATCTCTCTGTCTACACACACATGCATATAAATATATGGAGATGGATGTAATGTACGTATCGAGAACTGAGGCTGACGGTATTCATCTTCAGAGAACGAGCGCTTCCCACCCGACTACTCGCCACCTGTGAGCGTCGTCACCATGACGCAGCTTCAGGACCTGTCCGCCCAACTGGGCGATGCTCTGTTGGCGCAGGGGGTGAATATCAGTGCCATACCGGCGCCGCCATCATCCGCGACGAAACGCTGGGATCCACATGCTGGTCTCTGGTAATATCCCTGGCTACCCGTATTGAAGACGCCGCATCGGTCCAGCTCGACTGTTGTCTGACGGACAAGGTTTAAGTCTTTGTATATAAGCAGACTGAGCAGTTATAGGATAGAGAAGGCGCCCTCTTGGGAAGTATATAGTATTATCAATGTTGTTGTTGACGGTGAAGAGGGAAGATCCTTTAGCTGGCCCTGAAGAAATTATTTGTGAAAATTGTAGACTTTGTTGCTTGCTGTGCTTTCCTGCACACAATTAATTTCAAAATGATAGCGCTTTTGTTCAACTCCTAATTACGATTTTTCATGATTATAGAGAAAAGAATCAGTTGTGAGAATTGTTGAATGAGAGAAACACATGTCAGAACCTTGCAAGGATACTGTCATCTGAAGAATTTGGACGGAGTGCGGAGTATCTCATTGGCCGCTGTAATGGGCAGAAATGTTGCCAATAAGATGATGGCAAGGGGGAGAAAGAAAACGAAAAAGGATAAGGGTGAGGAAAGACATGTGAAAGCTGCACCATGATGGTACCATAGTAGTACCACATGTCCAGAGTACTAAATACATCTGCAGTATGGTATTAGAGTGGTGCAGGTGGTCAGTACTGCAGTGGAAAACCCCACTGTGTCATTGAATTTGCAGGGGTTGTGATGACTGTCGTTGACGGGGACGGTTGACAGCACAAAGGGTTCCTACTACTTAGTATGTACCACATCACACCATGACTTGGCTTGGCTTGGCTTGACTTGACTTGACTTGACCTGACCCAAAGACTTTCACTTCAATATTCATCTGGTGCATCTCAACCTTCTGTACCAACTCTCTTCATACCCTGCACCTATATTATTTCTGGACTACTCCATATGGATTGACTGCCCTCTGTTCTTCCCCTTTAGATGTGACCATTGTGTCTCCAATGTCATCTTTAGTTGCCGACTTCATCATCAATCCAGTTGCCCGGACCGTCCGCCGACTTTCGACCCCTTTTGCCACTGCAGCCGACACAGACTCGGTCCGCCGATTCCCCCATGATTTTCATCTGGACAATGGCGATGCCGTTGCCGAATGCGACGGCCCTTCCGCATCTTTCCCCAGTCTCTCGTTCCTGAGAAGTCCAGACATCGCCCTCGGCGCCAGATCCCCACCTCTACTCGTCCCACAACGCCGGTGGCCCGTCCCTCCGACCGACGGCGACACCTCGCAAGACTCGACACCCCGATCTTCCTCTCCTTCGATGTTCGAGATGGATCGGCCGCTCAGCACTAACGAGCCCGAGGACCTCGTTCTCTCCGAGCCCGAGACCTTCCCACCTCAAGATGCATCCGACAACTCTGCTGCCGGTGCGGCGGCGAGCAAGTCTCGCGCGCTGCCTGCGGACGACGGCATGAACGACATGCGGCGCAAAATCCAGATCATCCAGTCGAGCAGCATCACTTTCGACCAGAAGCGATACCTTATGCAGCAGGTCCTCACCGAGAGCTACGCAAAGGCGAGACACGCGAAGGCGATCCTCGAGGGGGTGCAACCGCCCAGGCCTATACCCGATTTCCAGCATTCCGCTGCCGCAGCTGCCTCCTCCTCTTCCTTCTCCTCCTCCTCCAGGGACTTGGGCTTTGGTATCTCGGCCCTGGAGACATTGAAATCGTGGACTGGCTTGGACGAGGAGCAGATCCCGATCCATTACACGGCAGACGACGCCCGGCCTACATACCGACCCAAGATACCCTTGCTTCAGCCCGGTGAGCTGCCTGAGGGCGCCGAGGAGGAGGCGCAGTCAGATGACGAGGACCTTCCTGAATTGGGCTGTGTGCATTACAAGCGGAACATTAAGGTACAATGTGCAGAATGCGACAAGTGGTACACGTGCCGGCTGTGCCATGACGACGCAGAAGAACATACCCTACCGAGAAAGCACACAAAGAACATGCTCTGCATGCTGTGTGGGCACGCGCAAAAGGCCTCCGATACCTGTGCGCACTGCGGCGAGAGTGCGGCTTCGTACTACTGTAACATTTGCAAGCTGTGGAGCGATGATGTGAACAAGCATATATATCACTGCGACGACTGCGGGATCTGCCGAGTGGGACGTGGGCTGGAGAAGGACTTCTTCCACTGCAAGGTATGTTTCGGCTCCGTATGTAGGCGTAATCAGGAGCGGGTACTAACGATGACAGACCTGCCGTGCGTGCATCTCCATCGCAACCAAGGATGATCACAAGTGCATCGAGCGAGCAACAGACGCCAACTGCCCGATCTGTAACGACGACATGTTCTCCTCCCCTCAGCAGGTCATCTTCATGGAGTGCGGCCACCCTATCCACCGCAACTGTTTTCAACAGTATATGAACACTTCATACAAGTGTCCGCTGTGCAGCAAGAGCATTGTCAAGATGGATGCCTTGTTCTTGAATCTTGCCAACATCATCAAAGAGCAGCCAATGCCAGAGGAGTACCGAGGCATACGGTCTGTTCTCTTCTGCAACGACTGTTCGGCAAAGAGCTCAACCGATTACCACTTCTTGGGTTTGCGCTGTCAGATCTGCCAGTCCTTCAATACTGTCGAACTGGATCGTTCGCCCATGCCGGCCGAGAGGATCGAAAGCCAACAAGGTGCTGCTACGGCGAACCCGTCCCAACTTGGAAATCCGCACTGCGCCGGCCAAGGTCAGGAGGGGGCCAATGCCTCGAGCCTTCCTTTGCCTTCACCCGGTCTCGGTGCGACTACGTCAAACGCCGTCCTCCCGAGCGTTGAGTCGCCAGGTCGGCACACGCCTTTTGCAGAACCTGAGCTCAACCTCGACGACGATGATGAAGAAGACGAAGAGCTCGATTTCTGGGGCCGTCATCCTCGGAGCCAGACATCTGACGACGAGGGTGAGAGCGAATACGAGGGGGATGAAGACTCCGACATAGAAGAGGAGGATGAGGATGAGGACGACGAAGACAATGACGAGATGGAGGAGATCAACTTATTTGGTCACCGCTGAAACGGTCGTCATTCCGGCCGTATATAGGCATACTCTCGCTTGGCTCATCTTGGCGTTCAGGGTCAGTGGGCGCACGCGGCGCTTTCTCTCCTTTTTTTTTTTTTTTTTTTTTTTTTGCCATTGTTTCAACGAGACTCTCAGGCGCGTGGTTTGGATTAAGGTCGATTGCATACTGGAGGAACATTGTTGTTGTTTTGCTGTGGGTTCAGCTTCTGCATGCATCTGGAAGGGGAATCAAGGATTGAGAGGGGACCCTACTGTTTCGAAGGCCAAGGCCTGGTGTCCTCAAGCAACGTTCAATGAAGGAGTAGACTGGGCATTATGATCAAAAGAAGACAAAACGCATCAATCCCCGGGGAACAAACACATTATCAACGTATACGCATAGTTCAATCATGAAGAAAAGAACCAAAAAAAAAAAAAAAGAAGAAGAAGAAGAAGAAGAAAAGGAGAGAAGGAAATCAAGTTTTACTCCGTTTTGCAATATTTTATGTAGCAGGCACACTGGGTACGATGTTAGCCGTGGCCCCTCACTCTCTTGTGCAAGGACATCACCGACCGTACATCATAAACAAACTCAAAGGAAGTAAGATAGACAATTATCGAGTCTTCATAACTGGATCCCACACAAACACCGTGAACACCGAATTCCCCAGGTCCAATGGCATGAACAAATGAAAAAGAGCACTGTGATTTAACCTTCTCTCTCCTTCCTCCAAGGTCCTATCGCTGCTGCTGCGGCTGCTGCTTCCGTGCCTCAAGCTCGATTTTGGCCTCCTGCGCGCCGTTCCTCAGCTCCTTGATCGTTGTCTGGTAAGCACATTTCGTCAGTCAGTCACCTGCCGACTCATCATCTCGTACAATCACGAGTCTGTTCGTCTCTCTCCCTGGGCGGATTTTATCCTTCTTTTTCCCCCCCCCCCCCTTTGATCTGGGCGCGCCCAGAAATCGATCGATCCATCAGGCAAGAAACTAGGAGAGACTCAAGCTTACAGCTAGGGCCTCGGGGTTGACACCCCGCTCGATCAGGGAGATGCATATTGATAGTTCCCTACGGTCGAGGTGGCAGTTCTGTAGGTGGGTTGGTGAGTGAGTAGTTCGTGGATTTATCTAGTTTGAGCGCCTGGGTGGGGGGGGGGGGCGCGCAGACTGGGGCGCGTTCTGAGGGTCATGGAAAGGAGGGGGGAGGGGGGACGCTGCTTACGAGAATCTCTGAGATTTCTTGTAGGATGTTGACGGCTGCGTTGGCCGAGGCTTGCTTGTTTTCTTCTTGTGGGGGAGGAGGAGGAGGCATGGTGGTCCTGGTGTGTGAGCGAGTTTGGGTGTATGGTGTAATGATGGCGGAGAAAGTTGGTTGAAGCCTGTGAGATCGAGTTGGCTTGTGCTGTGGGTGAACTGGCGGGTAGAGCCGCGTCGCCTAGCATATTCATGTTGTGAAAGCACGGGTCTCTCAGATTATTTAGTGTGCGCAACACGTTAGAAGTTTGTATGATGGAGCCTTTGCTACTTTTTTGTGGTCTCTCGGAATTTTTCTACTTTGGGAGATGCTGGATTTGTTGCAATTTGAATGGTATTTCTGGCACTCGAGTCTGCTTAGTGTCGTGCTGTGACTCTACGGCCGTCCACCTCTTCTCACGGCATACTCAAAAAGCGTCTTTTGAAAGCCATAGAGAGCGCAAGTTTGATCATTTAGCACGTAGATCTAGAGGTCCTATTTCTCGTCGATATGCAAGGGCCAAAGCTCCTGATACGCTTGCCCAGATGCTCAGCTTTTAAAGGCGTCTACAAACAGCTCCCTCATCCCTTTCAGAAGCACCGCCAATTCCCTCGTCTCGTTCGTCCTCTCCAAGACCCTCTCGATCTTCTCCTTTTCGAGTCTGGGCCTGCAGTGTTTAATATCATAATCCCTCGCCGCCATGCTCAGCTCGAACCAGGCCTCGCGCTCCCAGTCCTTCTCGTCAATGTGCGAAAACACAAACTTGAGCCTGTCGTCCTGGCCCGCGCCCTCGATCTTGAGACACAGGTTCGTGATCCAAAAGTCCAGCTCCGGCACGTTAAACCGCGCCTGTGCCTCCTGCCGCGCCTGGTGCGCGCGCTGCGCCGCGAGCCGCGCGTCGATTTCCTTCTGCGCCTCGGCGATCTGCCGCTGGAGGGTGTCGCGGAGAGCGAGCTGCTTGTCGCGTTGCGAGGAGAGCGAGGCGATGGATGCCTGCATCTCGCGCGCTTCGGCCTCCTCCTTCGAGATCGTGTTCTGATGCGTGTTCGTCTTCATCTGCAGGATGTCGATGTCCTTCTTCTTCATCCGTTGGTCCTCTACGGGAAGAGAAACGCATTACATGTCAGTGCTTAACGTCTTGATTTGAGGAGGATGGGAGCAAGTAGGGTAGAATGCGCACCTTGTAGCTCCGCAACAGTTACCGCAAACTGGTTCCTCTCCTCGAGGACGCGCTTGCGACCCTTCTCGATGAAATCGTCAAAGCGCGCCGTGAACTTGGCCATGCGGTCGCGCAGGTCTTCAAAGCCGAAGTTGATGCTGGGCAGGCTGTCTGCCACGGAGGGCGCAGCCATTGTCTGACGGCTCTGAGAGCTTCTGGGCTCGAAAACGGATGCCATTCTGGAGTAGATGGCTGGCTTCGACTGAAATTATACTGCGATCAGTGTGCGTCACGGTTTTGCATGTGTGATGTCCACAGTGGGCGCAGGGTTGAAGTGAAGCAGAAAGTTGTGATGATGCCCTGGCGCAAGGAAAGTTGGCGTGGGGCGATTGTCCAAACCCCAAGCAATGCAGCAGGTCGCAGGGCCCTTTGGATTCCCCCGGGTTGTCGCTGCAGCAACAACCGAAGGCGCTAGAGCCTTAGCGTAGCCGCGCGCCCTGGCGTCGACGTAACGACGGTTCACTTGTGCAAAAGTGGATCTTATGCCTCCATTCGCTTCTTACTTTTTCTTCCCCTCGGTTCGAAATTTCCTGTTCGCTACGGCTCAGCTCGCCTTCTTTAAGATCCCTATTTTCCAAGGCTTAACAAATAAAGTGATCTTCTCTGTGTTCTCCATAATCATTCCAGCCAGAACCTGCAGCACCTCTCGTCGCTATGCCTGCATCCTACACGCTCTCAGCAAACAATCTCGGGACTGCGAAACCATATGGATGAAGGCCCTGGGCCTCGGGGTGATGGCCAGCGTGCCCGCCCTGGTAATCAGGCGTCTCAACGTGTTGAAATCCATCGCGTAAATGATCTCATGTATGGTCATGTGGGCCAGGTGTCTTACAGACCTATCGACGAGGAGGAGGCGGACATCGGAGACCTCAGCTTCACTCGGATAACAGAGCAGTGTGAGTGTGAGACCTTCATCCTTCGCTGCCTGGTACATCATTACTTATACGTCTTCTCAGTGCCGTCGTGTCAACAACTTATACCGTTTGGAGAGTGGTTACCACCGACCAGGACTCGAGCCGGCCTGCAACCTTCCACCACATTTCAGCGCACAAGATCTCAAAAGAATTGGCTGCTGAAAACGCACCCAGAAGCCTTCTTGGGGGTCCTGGACTTACCGGCTCTTATTTTCGAGGAGTCGAGAGCTGAAATCTCCAGTCATGGAGAAGATGGTCCAGCTGGATCGGTTCTTGCTGTGGGAGAGATCGTCGACTTACGGCACGTCACGTCATCTCGTATCTTAGCATGGCCTGTCATTGCTACAGCAAGCGGTGAGGCTGGCCATATGCTTCGTCTATGTGCTATCGAACCTGAGAGGTGGACTTGGAATGGGTTCTCATTGCCGGTGGGCATGCCGCAGTCGATGTTTCAGGGATCCTGGTGCAGTGACGGCGCTCCTATCCTGCAAATCAAATTTGCGACGAGGCACAGGCAGTACGACACTATTCGCTGGCTCTTCGTCCAAAAAGCCACATCCATCACCATATTCGAACCTGAACTCAGAGCCAAGCCTGTTGCCGCTGTATCGTCTGACTTGGGTCACGAGTCTGAGACCACTGGCCACATCGCAATGAACCCGATCGTCACGCTCAATATGCGCACTGCCAAGGGTGATGCTCATTGTGACTTTTCCATTGATATGGGATCCGACACAGACGCTCCGAAACTCTCCATCATAGACAGATCTGGAAATTGGTCTGTCTGGCATATCCTCCGCGAAGGTCACGCCAGATCCAGGACGACAAGAGCTGTGCTTCGGAGGAGAGGATCTTGGAACCTGCCATCCTCTATTTTGCCACAGCACGATCAGCAGGTGCTCGATAACACCCATAAAATTCTTTGGGTAGGCGGATCTGTCTCGACTGACGAGTGGGACCAAGAAAGCAACCCATCCGTCGAGTCCAATGAACACTCTCGCAAAGCAAATACCGCATACTTGGCCGGCCTCGACATCTCTCCTGCAAAGTATGATGGCCTGCTGCTCTGCAACAGTAGTGAAGTACGTCTCCTGGACGTCGTTGGAGAAAATTACATGTCTGGGCTCGACTTTTCCAGTCGCCATCATAAAGACGTCTTACTTGATACCCAAGCTTTCCCCGGGTCTCCATTCTACTGTTTCGTCCTCACGACAGATAGAGTTTATCTGCTTGATGTGTCTAAAAAGGAGAGGCAAGAGAGCCGCTCTCCGCGGGTTCTAGTCTCATGCCGTCATTACAGAAACCAACGATGGGAGAATCTCAAGATGTCAGTAGTGAAAACACCATCACTGTCTGAGACTCCAACTGCCCTTGTGTTTCTATATTCTACCGATGACCTCTGTGTCGATATCTTTTGGTTCGCAGTCGCCCAACAGGATGGTGATGCCCATTTCCATCATCAACTGGTCCACTTAACGGGTCTGAAGAAAGAGAACACTGAAGATACCCAGGGTATCGAGTCGCTCGCAGCAGTGCCGCTTCAGCTGTCAGCAGCCCGTGATCAGCGGCACTCAGCCGCCACAGGAGGTCATTCGGACGCTTTTCGAGCGGACGAAGTACAGTTCTATCAGCTTTTCGCGCTGTCCAAGGATCTTGGGTTAAGCTCGTCGATCATCACTATCACCCATGGTGCGTCTCGGGGGGTGGTCAGGCCTCCGAGGTCTGCGAAATCAGGCTGGGATGCAGCCAGACAGAGCAGGTTCCTGCGACTGAAGTTTCTGCGAGAGGTTGAGCAGGCATTTGTTGTACCTGAACAACTGAAACAGGATACGAAGCTCAGCCTTGCTCCCAAATCAGGTCCTGCCAAGCAATACGACGCGATTCAGCTCAGGTTTTATCTGCTCGAGCTTATACAGGAGATCAATTATGCCTACTTTGGACGAGCTGCCGAAGGAGCAGCAGCAATCGATGCCATTGAGCCATTGTCTCTGGTCCGCGAAGCATTGCATGGTCAAGACAATGACAGTCATATTCCGTTGAAGCCATTATTGAGCTTTTCGGATGTCTGGCAGCCTCTCGAGCTCCCGCAGGTAGAGGACGAATGGGCCCTCGCCCTGTCAGAATTACAGAAATCCCCGAGGATTCATCTGTCTCATTGTGGAACGTATATTCCTTCTGGTACCGTCATGGATGTCTTTGAGAGATTATCCGTCCACTGGTCTTGTCGACTACCTGCCGAGTCGCTCAAGGCAGGCCAATGGAGGTACGTGGAAAGGGCCCTCGAGAAGATGGCAGCTGAGGTGTACCTGTCGGGGAGAGGCGTCTCTGTGGTACCTCAATCCACGTTAGACATTGCCTCAAGATGTCTGCCTCGAGGAGAGGACACACAGGTCAAGAGCGAAGACCATTTGGATGAGTTACCATCTTCTCAGCCCAGATCAAGCCAGACTCTGCCCACCCCATCAGCCACGCCGTCGTCCTCACGAGCTGCTTCGGAAGCAGTAGATAGTGCCAAGAATGACGAGGAGCAGGAAGATACACGGCAAGAAGATGCCACAGTCGCTCGACTACGGATGTATTTGCCGTCTATCAAGTTTACCCCGCCTCCTAAGAATGGTCCACGCATTATCTCTCTCTGGCCAGAAGAGCGAGGTTCTGATCCGTCAGAGTACCAATACCAACGCTTTCGCAAGGGCCCCGACCAGAGAACTGGGGCGGCGCAGCGTGAGAGGGAGAAAAAGGAAGAGCGCCGACGACGAAAAGCGGACAGGAAAGCTCAGCTAGGCATGAAGATGGAGGCCGGCGGAGAGTTTTCTAGTCAACCTCTCCTGCCGACCATCGTCCGATCGAGCCCGCCGCCGCAGGATGTGGGCAGTAGTAGCCAGGGTATTGGATTCGGGTTTGGAAGCCAGAGCCAAAGCCAGGGCTTTGGATTCTCGCAGACCATGTCGCAGCCGGTAGCAGGGGAGTTTGGGGGTAGGTCGTCAAGGTTCAAGAAAAAGGGGAAGAGCAAGGCCAAGGTCCAACCCAAGACGATGAAATGGTTTAAATAGTGAACTACTACTACTACTACTACTAGGACTGGTGGTTATGGGGAGGATGATAGAATTTTGAGGCAAACCCGAGAATGACGAGATATGCCGGCGGTAACGAATAGTATCCTAGATGAATTCATTGGACATGTTTTTATTTGGAATTCTCCCTTTCTAAATCGATCATAAATTGACAAGCTTGCATGGAACATTATTAACATGACCACACGGCTCTTACCGCAAGACTGTTAATTGTTGTATGTTCTATGTCTTGTACCTGGCCTTGACAAACATTTTCGTTATTGTGCTTCATGTAATCATTTTTATCACAAAGTTTTCGCTCGTGGAGAGTTTCGTGTCTTGTTATATGGTGATGGCGAACAGATTCGATTGTCTCGTAGCGCTTTCCCCGACTTACATAAAAATCGCAGCCCACTCGCTGCAAACCGTCGTCTAAACAATTGACCAGTTTCACTCACTCGCTCCTTTCATTCACCACTGCACCACCACCGCCACAACAATTCTTGATTTGTTTTCATCTCCACATACCCTCAACTCATTCTTTGATTTCCTCATAGTCTTCAAGAATGTCTCACTGCCACGACGAGCACGATCATCATCACCACCACGGCGGAGATGAGCATGACCACTCCGACGACATCACGCCGGCGGTGCAGTTCTCGCTGTACCAGCACATCAACTTTGACGAGGTGACGACGCTCAACGAGACCTCGCACGGCTCAGGCAGGGCCATCGTGAAGAAGACCTGGGACGAGCGGCTCACGGACGAGCCTGAGCTTGCCAGCGATGCGGATGAGCAGCTGATTATCAACATCCCGTTGGTCCTTTTTCCCTACCCCGTCTCCATTGCTTCTTTTTTCTTCTTCTTCTTCTTCTCCCTCCACTTAACCTCTTCTCTCACACACAACAAAAGATTCACAGGGCAGATCAAGCTCCACTCCATCCTCCTCCGCACTTCCCAGTCCGACAGCGCCCCGCGCACCCTCCGCGTGTTCCAGAACCGCGACGACATTGACTTTTCCGCGGCTGAGGAGCTGGAGCCCGCGCAGGAGTTCGAGCTGAGCCGGACGTCCGAGGTGCAGGAGCTGCCCGTGCGGCGGGCCAAGTTCGGCCGGTGCCAGCGGCTGACCCTATTTTTCCAGGACAACTTTGGCATGGGGGACGAGGACGTGACGCGCATCGGGTATCTGGGGTTTCGGGGCGAGTGGATGCAGCTAGGGAGAGCGCCGGCGAATATCATCTATGAGGCGGCGGCGAACCCTGGGGATCACAAGGTGAAGGGCACCGATGTGAACCAGGTGGGTAGTGGGATTGGGGGGCGTGGGCCGGGACAGTAGTAACAAGGGAGCGCGGCTGGCTGGCTGGCTGGCTTGTTTGGGTATCATGACAGACATCGTGAACGAACTTGGTGAGGATGAAAATTGGGAACAAGAGGAGAGCAGAGCATATAGATTAAGATGGCTCCTATGCCTGTTCACGGCACTTTATGACTCAGAAAAAGATTCATTCATCGCGGCGTAACAATTGGCCTTAAGTACTACATGAAATCATCCTCCCAGTCCTCATCTCTGTTCTGGTTGCTCGTTGCCTCCATCTCCTCCTCGTTGTTGATAAAGTCGTAGGCGTGGTCCTTTTGATACTTTTGCTGCTCATACTCCTTCTTCAGCCGGGCCTCTTCCTTTTTCTTTGGGTTTGTTAGCCATGATATTAGCATATGACCAGGGAGGATGGAAGAATGACATACCCGAGCCTGCTGTGTGGCCTGGTCCTTCTTGCGCAGCTCCTTCAGCCGGTCCTCCTTCTCCTGCCTGAGATCCGGGTGCTTCTCGACCTTGGTCTTGTTGAGCCTGTTGACAATGGCATTCTCCCGCTGGTGTACGAGGATTCGTCTGACCTGAAGATGGGGATAAGAAGGAATGATACAATCAGTTTTCCATTGTTGTCCAGCAGTACCTTGTTCCCCATTTTTTCGGGTTCATTACCTTCCTGTCATCGTGGAAGCTGACTGCTCCCGTCGCCATGCTGCCATCCTTCTTGAGGTTCGACCAGGGCGTATATATGATGGTGATGTTGTCCTTCTTGTTACCTGTAGATCAATCCCCAAATCAGGAACCAGGATTGCTACGATCGCTCAAGGAATGGAGGGATCCCAAGACAACATACCCTCAATAGAGTTGGCCTTGGTGAGCTGCGCCAGATCTGTGAGGAGAGGCTCGGGTATGTTGTCCCAGGTTTCGCCGTCTCTCAACCGCAGATAGATATGTGCGCTCGACAGCTTGTCTACGTGGAACTGAAAAGACATCACACCCTCATCATGTCAGGTTTCATTTCTTGTTCAAGACAAAGTGTGCATGTAGAAGGAGAGAGCAAGAGCAGTGCAGTGAGCTCGTACCCTGCCGGATTCAGGGTTAGTAAAACGACGACCTTTGGAAATTCAAATTCTTTAAAGTAAAGCTCACCAGACATCTTCCTCCCATCCGTGCTTTATAAGATGCTCGTCTAAATGTGATAATATTGTGAGCATCTCATCCTCCTCATGATCATCTCCAAAACCAGAGGAGAGAGACAGAGAAAAAAAACCGGGGCTCACGCACTCTCGAACTTGTCCTTGCCAACATAAACCGACGCTGGTGGATCGACCACGCTGGAGATGTAGTAGAAAACCATGTTGATAAGAAGAAGTTGACAAAGATGAATGCAAGGCTAATTTGAAGGTATGATCCGAGGTCGAAAGATGGTAATTGTGTGAGTGTATTCAGTTTGGTTTTGGTGGTGTGCTTGGAGACTTTTAAGAGGGTGTGTAAGTAAGAGCACAGTGTACGGAAAGAGCCGCAGCGTACTGAACCCCCACAATTTTTTCATCGACAGGGGCAGGCAAGCTTCCCGTCAGCCTGGACGACCTCAATTTTCAGAAGCGCTACAAGCCGATGATTTCAACCAGTCCTCCAACCACCCATCCAATTCACCATCGACAACACCCTCATCAACATACACGGCCACACACGCCATCCCACAAACATAAGGCGACAGAATGGCGCCCAGGCTACCGACACGGTGCTGGGCACCAATACACCGCCAAACAACGACATCCTCCCCCTCCTCAGCCGCCTTCCTGGCCAGCGCCCTACAAGCACCACAACTCTTCACCCACCACCTCCTCCTCCCTAGCACCAGCCTCACGGGCACCCAGCAGACCCGCGGCAAGAAGTATGGCTGGACGACCCTAGACGAGCGCGCCCGCACCCTCCAGCTCAAGTACAACGCTCGCACGCCCGAGCTGCCTGCGCTGACGACGACCCCGGAAGCGGCCCAGAAGCGCAGGGAGCGGTCGACACCACTGCGCACAGGTGTGCTGGCGACCAAGAAGGGCATGACGGGATACTACACGCGCAACGGCAAGAGGTTCCCCTGCACGGTGCTGCAGATGGACCAGTGCCAGGTCGTGGCGCACAAGACGACCGAGCGGCACGGGTACTGCGCCGTGCAGGTCGGGTGCGGCGAGAAGCGCGCCGACAACGTGACGGCGCCGCTGCTGGGCTACTACGAGGCCAAGGGGGTCCCGCCCAAGGAACACCTGGTCGAGTTCCAGGTGCGCGGCGAGGATGGCCTGGCGCCGGCCGTGGGCGTGCAGCTGCTGCCGGACTGGTTCCACAAGGGCCAGTGGGTCGATGTCCGCGCCCAATCGCGCGGCATGGGCTTCGAGGGTGGTATGAAGAGGCACGGGTTCTCGGGCCAGGAGGCCAGTCACGGTAACTCCAAGAACCACCGCACGATTGGTTCCGCGGGCGCGTCGCAGGGTGCTGGTTCCAGGGTGCTGCCCGGCAAGAAGATGCCCGGGCGTATGGGTAACGAGAGGGTGACGGTGCAGAACCTGGCGGTGCTGCGGGTAGACAACGAGCTGGGCATCATCGTGGTCAAGGGGTGCGTGGCCGGGCCCAAGGGTGCCCTGGTGCAGATTCAGGACGCCGTCAAGAAGCCGCCCCCACCACAGGAGTTTATCGACAAGATGAACAAGGCCTTGGAGGACCGGTTTCCGAATGCCGCGGCGGACCTGGAGGCGGCGAGGAAGACACACCTGCAGCTCAAGCAGATGAGGAAAGATCGCAGGATAGAGGATGCGCTCAAGGGTGAGCTGTGGGAGGGCAAGGGAATACTAGCAGATTCGAGACCGGAGTTGTAAAAAAAGAAAATAAGGAATACATTGGTCATGTCAATTATTTTACACTATACAAAGGAAGGGCTATTGAAGCCTGTTACTGGCTTCATGTCTCTCTCAGGACTTAAAGTGGCCACCCAAGGACGAAGGAAGATTCAATCTACCCTTGTATTTCAATCGTGACAATCCTTAGGGTCGCAGTCCTTTCCTGCTTGCTTTCTTTTCTTGTCCTTTCTTTCTCCACGAATAGACTTGAACCTCTTCTACCTCGTGTTCATCTGCTGCCTGAAGCCCCTCGTGGCATTCTGGTCCTCATCCTCGTCATCCAGCCCGTCCGCGAACGAAATCGCCTTGAACGGGTCGCCCTCGTCCAGCAGGTCAATCGTCCGCCCATCCGTGGTCTCCAGGCTCCACTCGGTGGTCTCAAACATGCCCTTCGAGGTCGGCCTAAAGCTGGCAAAGCGCATGACGCCTGTATTCTTGGTGCCCTTTACGCTGAAGGAGATGTTGATGCGCCCGTGCATCTGGTTCATCTCGCCGCTGATCCAGGGGATCTGGTCCTTGAAGTAGATCTCGTCGCCCAGATACTCGCGGGCCTGAGCGTTGGTACGCAGGGCGTAGAGGGTCGAGGACACGACGGGCGACGACATCTTTTGGTAGTTGAAGATGGCGATGCTGGAGGCGGCGACGAGCGCGAGGAAGATGGGCATGGTGCGCGACCAGCGGAAACGGTTGGCCTCGACATCTGGAATAGGTGGGACACCCAACATGGTTAGTCTATTCTGCTAAATAGTCAAGAAGGTAAAGGAAACTGGCTAGGTTCAGCTCACCTGGGAGCTCGCGATCAGGTCTCCTCTCCATCAGAGGGCCATCGCCAGGTTTAGGCGCCGCAATCAGCGAACGCCTTTGAAGTAGGGATCGTCCCGAGACGGGTGATCTCAGTGCCTGAAGGAGCGGCCTCCTACATAGTATCCTCCGCGGTAACATCTTTTGGAACGACTGTTGGTGTGAGAAGGGAGACGGCCGTCAATGAAGGAGACGGGGGAGGAAGAAAAGATCGTGAAATCGTCAAGGGTCCTTCTGAGAAAGTCGATCATCCCACCTACCGCCAACTGTGGACTGTCACTGCCGCAGGTGCAGCCAGTCTACGGCACTAAAGACAGGGATTGCAACCAAACCCCCACCCCTGGACCCCCTGCTACTATAGTGTGCCCCTCTGTCTGAGACTCTGAAACGACGTCACCCAAGTACAAGCTCGAAACTCTTACCAACAACAACACTCTGTATACTCGTCGTGCTTCGTCAGCTACCATATCTCCCGAGACTGTTTCTTGAAGATTTATTTGGAAGAAATATACTACTGTCCTTTGAAAGCCAAGCTCGTCTTCAAAACAAAAGCTCAACAACGGTTCGTATAAGCTGCTGGTATGGACCTCAGTCAGACAACTGCCCGTCTCCGGCGCACATTCCAATATCCCACAGACGACTCTTCAAACAGCGTGTCACCAGAAGCCCTCGACGAGGAAGGTTGGTAGCTCCCTTCAAATGAAAACAAAAACTCAGAGAATAAACCTCAGTCTACATACATCTAACAAAAGAATCTGCGCGTGTCAACAGAGCAAGAAAGCCTCATCCAGTCCCTCGCCGACCAGAACGCCAGCGCCAATCAGCTGTACCGGAGCCTCCTCCTCGCACTCCCCATCCTGTCCTCCATACCTTACATCGCCTCCCTCTTCCAGCCCCTGACCACGCTACCCGCCCTGCTAGGCCTGACCTCTCTCGCCTCCACCTCCTTTCTCCTCTACAACCTACCTGTCACCGAGACGGGCATCCCGCTCCTCGACGCGTGGGCGCAGTCAGGGAAAAGACCGCGGGCGAGGTCAGACGGCACCCACGACGAGGACGACCACGACGATGGGCAAACAGCCTCGAGCTCAGCAGGCCCCAGCGGGCTTGGCGCGCTGAACCGGGTGCGCCAGCAGCGCCGGACGCACAGCCTGAGCTACGCCGGCCCCAGGAGCCCGCTGGAGAAATTCCTGCCGTTGCTGAATATCGGGCTGTGTGTGATCCTCGTCCTATCTGGTCTCCTTGCCAGCCGAAACAGAGCAGGGGAAAGCGACGGCCAGGGTGGGGATGAGTACCGACGGACCCTGTATGGCCGGCTGGGGCTTGCCAACATCCCTGCGATCGTGTACGCCGCAGTGCTGGTTGCCAAGGTGGTCATGGCGGGCGTGGACCCAGAGAGGGAGCTTGGGGCGCTGAAGTATGCATATAAGGGCGCATAGGATCTGGGCGGATCTTGAAGCGGGATTTCGTTACTCATGAGGCAATGTTGGACCCCTTGGCCGTTGTGGAGGGACTGAGCGAGTCTCGTCTGCCTGCAATTTATATGATACCATAAGAACAATTACCAAGCGGTTGAATTAATTTAGCGATTCCTTAACTTGTCTAAAGCCATGAGATTATGAGACAGAGGACAGGTAGGTGATAGAAGGATGGTGTCTGAAATAAGACTCGATTCTATCCATCAGGAGCTGCTATAAGTGAACAGCTCAGATAGAAGTAAGATATCGCGACGGAGCGATACAGTCGACCCCAAATAGATGGAAAGCCTGTCCAGCTTGGCACTTATCGACCATGTAAAGACAACAGTCTCATCTGTCTTGCAATCTTCTTTTTGTGTGGCTATCGAGTTTACTTCACAGCTGCCAAGCCAATACCATCTCGGGCCAGATGTCCAATGGGCAGCGTTGTTTGCATCAATCTAAGCTTGACCCCCTTCAAGACGCCAGAGATATCGGGATCACATTATACTTAGCCGCCTGAGCAAATGGCAAGGTACAGTGTCAACTTTCTCACAACAGCTCTCCGAGAAAAACACCACTTGGCCCCTCTATTCCCTCACTACTTTCCCCCTTACATGTCTATCGTGTCATTGAACCGCAAGACACCGGTATACTTGAAGACACCATCCACGCCAGTGGGAATCTTCTCAGGAGGTGGATTGGTCAGTGGTCCAGTCTCGGATGATTTGTCGACCACAAGAGCAAGGCCTTGAGCCTTGATTGCATCAACGAGGGCGGGCACCAATTTCTGTGGACACATTCATGAGCAATTTTTTCTAACAAGTTCATGTAAAATCACTCGTATCTTGTACGCAGCACTTACCAATAGTCGCGAGGTAATCAGCAACCCCATGAAGTTGTTGTTTTGTGCCGTCCTCACCACTTCCTTGATCGAGCTAGACCTGCGCCCGTGGTTTGCCGCCGCTGCGATCATCTGCGGTGGGGCCATCGAGATCTCCTCGCGGCCTAGGTCATTGCAGAGAAACACGGGGAAATTGGGCTGCTTCCAGTTGAGAGCGGTGCACACACTTGGACTGTACGAACTGAAGACCACCGACCGCACAGCTGCGGCACCGCCTGACTGTTGGGTTTGTGCACGCTGCACACGTGCATGGTCAAAGACGGTGGTCAGCACGGAGTCGACAAAGCGGTTGAGGTCTCCGCTGTTGTACACGGACGGGTCGATGGTTTGTTGCTGCTGGTGGTGGTGATTCGGTATATTCTCGTCCATGGGGTAGATGAAGTGCAAGTTCACATGTATGCTGGGCGGGAGGATCTCCAGTGCGTCTGCGAGGGTGAGTCCTGCAGTCGCAAAGAGGCGGTGAACTTCATGCAGCTCAGTCTGAGGGCCGAGTTGGCCGGAGCCCAGGATGTTCCTCGAGGCCGAGTTCCTCAGCATCTGCTCAAACTGTGCATAGTTGAGCCACGAGACAGGAACTGCAACCCCTCCCATGCCCAGATCGACTGTGCGCGTAGGCCATAGCACGGGAATGCCATCTTTCGTCTGCTGTACATAGAGACGTACAAAGTCGCCGACGAGACTGGATCCGGTGACAAAACTGCTGATGTGTCGATCGAACTGCCTGGTTGCCTTCCAGTACGTCTCGAAATCAGTGATCTCGAGTGGCTTGCCCCGGAAGGGCTTGATGACCTGCGTATTGAAACTGATCTGACCAATAGCACGTAGCCGGGGGTCAAACAGGGGAAGACAGCAGCTACCAGAGCTCGTCAGAGATGCACGGAAAGTATTGGGCAAAGCAACCGTCTTTGCAATAATCTTAGCGCCATAGGTCGGGAAGACGTCAAAGTCTAATGTGAAAGAATCAAGGTTGTCGATTTGGAACGAAACAAGTCGGGTATCTTCTTGGAAGGGAAGGATGATGTTCTTGGGAATGAGGTCGGAAGCTTTGGAGGAAACGGTCAAGCGGGCTGCCGGGTATTTGCCGTCGTGGAAGAAAACCAATGGTTGTTCGCCGTCTCCGCCAAAATTGATCTGAACAACCGTCTTGGTGTCGAGGAAGTTATGCCCATATCTGCGCAGCGGGATGATGGGCGGTGGAAGTTCGAGATCCGGGATACCGTCCGGATCAATCGACATTGGCTCAGGCGCGCTGCTTGAGCCAAGTGCTCCAAGCATTGGGGGAACAAGTTGAGCAGCTCTGGGGCTTGTCTCCCTCATAGAGTCGCCAAGCAGTGCAGTCAATAGGTTCATGCACTCGAGATGACCTTCCCATGCCGCGTAGTACAAGGCCGGAAGATCCTTCTCGTCCAGGATTGTAGCATCAACTCCTTCATCCAACAGAGCTCGCAGACAAGGGACGTTGCCCTCGCTTGCTGCATGTACAAGCGGCGTCCACCCATAGAGCTTGTCGACCTGGTCCAGATCAGCACCAAACTGTTTCAACAAGCCCAGAAGATCAGGATTCTTGGCAGATCTTGCCACAAGGTGTTGAGGGTATAGCCCTTCGGCGTCGGGTAGTATTTGGGCGCCATTGGTAAGAAGCAACTGCACGATAGCGAAAGATCCGTGCTTGCATGCCAGATTCAGGGGTGCGTGGTCGGTGTCAGAAATGGGGTTCAACACTGCGCCGCTGTGGATGAGTCGTTGGACACAGTCCAGATGGTTGTGTATGATTGCATGCACCAACGGCCGGAAATTGTCGTGATCGATGAGATTGATTGTGTCCGCATCCACTGCTGTCGTATTAGCAAATCTTCAGGTCACCTACCATAACGATTTAGAGTCTTACCGGCCAGGAGCGCCTCTATCATGTCAAGACGGCCATGCATACTGGCATAATGTAGCGGTACTCGACCATATACATCCCTCCTGTTGACAGCCACGCCCTGGGACAGAGCCAGATTCAGGACGAAAGAGTTGCCATAGATGGTTGCTTGATGCAAGCAGTTCCTCTCGTTGATGTCGTCTTCAGAGCGTATATCCACCAGGCCAGTAGCCAACAAAGCCTTCAGAGATTCCTGAGGGGCTTCGTTGATGGAAGCAAGGAAAGTCCTCGTGATTCTCTCCTTGAGGGCTAGAGCTAGACCCGAATCCGAATCGACCACTACTTGCATGCGAGACAACAGATCTTTCAGGGAATCAAGATTGCCTGAAAGGGTTGTCTCTAGAAGCAATGTGTCCGCATCACCCTCGTCTGTGCCCAGAAGATGTTGGCTGCTCACAATGTGATCCGGACGTGTTTGCTCCTCGAAGCTGACATGGTCCCCGTCTGCCCAGGCGCCAAGTTCCTGCAGACTCGTGGTGACCTGGTCGGACAGCTCGCTGATGACGGTCGGATTGAAGAACGGCTGCACCTCGACAGCCCGGGACAGGTACAGCTCCTTGGTTTTGGATTTGGACGTCTTGTCCCATTTCTTCAAGATCTTAGAAAACGCCGTTCCATTCACATCGACAAACTGCTGTAACTTGTTCAGATCGTTGGCAAATTGCTGGAAGCCCTCTTGTAAGGTGGTGAATTTGGCCGAGCGTCTCGAGATGCCCTGACGAGACTGGAGGACCCTTTTCTTGTCCAGCAGAGTTTTGAGGCGAATTTTGAGCTAACAAATAGAGTCAGAATCGGAATCATTCTTTTAGAGCATGGTTTCGTTATGTACCTCTGCTTCTTTCTGGAGATAGAATGCATTGACTTTTTCGAGCTCACGTTCCTAAAACACGGTTAGCAGCCGTTAGGACTGCGTTTCGCACTCTTTTCCAACTTGGTAGCGTACCAGCTGGAAGAAAAATGTGGCCTTATTTGCTTGTAAAGCTGCCTGGTGATCCGCTGGGGCGGAGGGCTGGAGCGGATCATGTTGGGCTTGTAGCTGCGGAGTCGCGGAGAGCTTCTTTATGAGCTGTGATAATGATAGTTAGCGGACACAAGATGCCTTTCTTGTTGATGCTGCAAGTCTCTATGCAGTATCCTAGCCCAATATGTAATGAGGGCTCTCGGCTTTTGAATCAAGACATCGTTCGTAATAACAGAATTCGATTCAATTTTGAATCCGCTGAGGAGCGAATTAGATGAAGGACGGGATGGCGTAAAAAACATACTTTCTTCAATGCCTTGTAATTGACAAAGCTGGCAGCATACTCCGGGACCTCAAGCTGGCGCTTCTGGATCTGCTTGCCAAATTTCCTGCTAAATATTAGCAACAGCTTAAGCTAATCTGTGGGCAAGAACAGACAGAAGGAAGTAGGCAACATCATTAGAAATACAGTCAAGGTGCAAGGGGGCAACACTCACATGGTGTGAAACGAGGGCCGGTGACCTAGGAGGCCACTGGCTGGTTTGCAAGGATTTTTCACAAGAAAACGGATGACCGAGCGTCGTCTGTTATATGAGTATGAGCCCTACAAGGCCCCAGAGGTTCTCAAGACTAGAGAATGTATCAGACGCCCAGAGCCCTTGAACAAGCCCGTGCAGGTGTGACGTTGGTCCTGCACTCCCCGCCTCTGGCTCAACAGTCGTCTGAGCTGACTATGACTGGACACTTCTTCCGGGAAATTTTGTCCACGAGACGCACAGTCAATCCTTGACGGGCAAGGTGGAGATCAGCACAGTCGTCCAGCGCTGGGCTACCCACGTCGCTGGCAGCACGTGGGACTATAATAGGACTCAAAGCCCCGCGCAGATGGATGACGACGTCTTCCCTGAGCGGTTCTTCTTCAGTGAAGGAGGGTCCACACTATGCGGATTCTGTGCAGAAGATGGTCAGAATGAGGTTCCGCGATATTCTGCAGCTCTATCCAGCTATGTTTAGTCTTCCTTATTCCTCCCGTCCCCGTACGCAGGAGAAGGACGGCCGCAGAATTGGAAGCACAGAAATGCAAAGAGTGTACGGGCAGCCATAAGAACAAAAAATTGGTCCGTCCTATGCCCGCAGTGGGTACAAGCAACTTGAGTCCCAGTAGAAAAGGATCGATGATGTAGATAGTGGTGGAGGCAGAAGGACCAGGTACTATTGGTACAGTCCGGTATATAGGCCCATTGCATGGGGTCAATATGCATAATGTAGTGAAGACCCCACCGGGAACAGGAGCAGGAAGTCTGGACAGTAAGATCGGCAAGGAAGAAAGGTGAATGATACTTAGATGTGTGCGTGTGTGTGCATGTATGTTGGGGGGGGGGGGGAGAGACTGGCTGTAGATTGCCTGGCAAAACGACAAGGGCCAATGTTGAAGTATGACCAAAAGGAAGCAGGAGATACATACCAGAAAGTCTTCTATTGGATCCCAAGATATGCAGCGTGTATTCCGTACCGAGACAACGGCGTGGTGACAGTAACGCCCACGCAAGCCTGGGTCCGCTTTGCTTTTGGGGAGGAAGGGGGGGGGGGGTGTACCGTGGCTGACACCCTCGATGTTTCCAGGCAGGGTTCGTACAAGCCGTACCAGATGCTGCAAATTATGCAAGGCAGCAACAAGGTATGATTTCCTAATCTGCAATGGACAATCTCCAAACAGAAATAGGGACTGGGCCAACCTGCAGAGGCCCTCTTGCCGATCAATATGAGCCAAAGGGCTGCTCAGATTGTGGAGGATGAACACAATACTGGCAAGGCGGAATTCGAGCCCTTGTCTGGAACCAGGGTCCAAGTCCCAGAAGACGTACAATTCTGGTGTATGTTGAAGCTGGGTGACTGACGTGTGGATGTTGTTTCTTGAGGCCGGAAAATCGAGCTTGGGTTTTGAGATAGAGTTGGGTTCGAGACGGGCGGGCTAGGCAAGTACAAGTACAAGTACCTCTTTCCAGGGAAGGTGGTGGATGAGGTCGTGGTGGCCAACGCAAGATCAAGACTCCACAAATTGTTGGCGTGCGAAGAGAGGGAAAATTTTTGCCGTGACCAATGTTGGCAGAATTAGAAGATGTGATGTGTGCCCTGAGAAATAGTCTTCGTGGTCCTCGCAAGAGCAAGAGCAGAGCAGAACACGGCGATGCTACAATACAAACTTGTTGAAGGGAGGGTCTTGAGGTCCGGTGCACGGGAGGCCCAAAACAGCATTCCCTAGCTGCCAGGAGTGTGTACCTGTACCTAGCGCAGAGTACTTCGCGAGAGAGAGAGCGACGCGAGGGCCAGTCACAGGCCAGAACAGGGCAACGGCTCGCAAAGTTACTAAGTGCACGAATTGCTTCCTCCCTGCTTCATCCAACAACCAAATCCATTGATTTTCTCTATGTACCGATCTCACGAGCCTCGTGTCTTTCTCGATTTGGATGTCTTTTAGAATGGTCCAATGAGACCCCGCAAACAGCGCACATGGCCCTTCTTGCATATCCGCAAGGCGTACGTACCGAGTACCGCAGTACCTCGACTAGTTTACTTAAGATTCCCCACAGTTCGTCAGGTGGGACCCCACCCATGGCAGCGCAGATGGAATTGTGACTGGACTCTCCTCACACGCTGAGAGAGAGGGAGAGAAAAGCGTCATCCTCGGCGGGTTTTTGGTTGCCTGTTGCTACTTTACGAATCGAGTCCTGTGTGGTCCAAAATAGGAGGGCCAGACGCGGGCGTCATTGTTGCCAGGATCCTTAGGAGCAATAGTCCAGGTGAGTGTGTATTGGACACAGAAAGCCGGTGTCGTGACGGAATCTGGGCCGCGACGAGAAGCCGGTTGCGCATCCTCACGATGCCGTTAACCCATAGACCGCGATTGCTTGTCTCCCCCCTGCCCCTGCTATGACTGTGACCTAATTCAGGTTCGACGAGCGAACTGAACCATCCTTTCTTCGTGTATGGAACTCCTACCAATGACATGTCACCAGGCGTGGGTGCTAGCTCTCCTCTCTTATCATTACATTGCGGTCAAGAAAGAATATGCTTAATAATATGCTTGAATCAATAGCATTTCAGATTGGGGGAATCAAATTCTTGTGCTGTCAAGGGTAGTAAACATGTTGCCTGATGGCGAAATAACCTGCCCAAATTTTCAGGAATCCCAACTGTTACCAGCCCGCACGGCCTCCAAAGCACCAACGCAATCAACCTCCCGTCGTCTTGGGGCCGCTGCGCCGTCTACTTCGTGGCCTCGTCCTTCTTCGCTTTGTCATCCACCAGACTATCCGCCATGGCCTCCGCTGCTGCCTTGCGCAGTCTCTCTTCCGAGTCATCCATCTTGATGCCTGCCTTGTCCGGCTTGTCTTTGGCGTCCTTGTCATCATCGCTGTCGCCTAGACTGAAAGGGTCATTGTCCGCGATGGGATCGGGGTCCACATTAGACAGCGGCTGCCACTTGCTCGTCTTGCTCGGCGTCGCATCCTTGGGCGTATTTTTGGGTGAGGCGTTGTAGATGTCAATCTCCTCAGCACCTTCCTTGAATGCCACTTTCCGGGCGTCACTCGGCTTTGGCGACGTGGACGACGGCGGAGGCCTGAAAACGTTCGGGTTGGGCTGGCCTGGTCGAGCAGGTGCTTCAAGGTATCAGTACCAGTCAACTACTTTTCCTTGCAGGGGGAATTCGCGACGGGGTCGTTCTGCTTACTGCCATCGCTGTGGAACTTCATCCCGGCAAAGTCGTCGCTCAACAGCTCAGGATCGGCATCGTAGCGCTCGTAGTCCCGGCTCCTCCTGCCCGGCTCTCCACCGGCACTCCCTCCATACTGACCGTGCTGCTGCGACGGGCCGCCATTCTCGTCAAACTGCTCGTCGAACTTCTTCTTCAGATCCTTGAACCAGCTGTTGACCTTGGTCTGCGTCTCCTGGAAGCCCTTCTTCAGCTGTTCCTGTATGACGGGCAGATCATCGTCAATGAAGCTGTGCTCCCGATCATCGTACAGCTCGTTAGGCTTGAGCCCGGTCTCCTGGCGGCGGCGCGGCTGCGACGGCGGTCCCCGGTTGGACGTCCGTGCCTCGTATGCCGAGCTCTCGTAGTGTTCCGCCAGCCGGCGGGCGTAGGCCTCGTCCGCTTCGAGCTGCGACTGGGTGTTCTGCGGCCGAGGAGGCTGCGGAGGGGGCGTCTCCTCCGCGGCGTCATGCTGCACCGCGTCCGGGTCGCTCATCGCCAGCAGGGCATTAAACGCTGGGTCAATACGCCCGCCGCTAGCGATCAACACGGCCTTGATGACTGATGCATCGATGCTGGGGAAGGCCTCCTTGAGGATCGCCTCATTCTTCTGCTGCTCGGTCGCGGGGCGAGGAGGCTTGGGAGGAGGCGCCTCGTCAGAAGTGGTCGTCTGGGGATTGGTCGGAGATGGGGAGGAGGCAGCGGCGGCGGCAGCAGCAGCAGCAGCAGCAGGGGCTGGCTTGGGAGCTTCCGCAGGGGGTGAGGCTCCTGCTGAGGGGTTGGGCTTGGGGGCGCCTTCGTCCATGTTGGCAACACCTGATTCCTGGGCGTCTTCGTCGTCAGAGAAGTCCAGTGGCTTGATTGTAGTTGGAGACTCGGGAGCTTTGTCCTGAAGTGATGGACCAAATGTCAGCGCTGGTTCTCTCTCTCTAGCAGCAGCGGTTGGTGCATTGCATGAACCGTGCTCCTCCTGTGTTTGAGAGCCGTCTGTTCCTAGTGCTACCGAGATGAAGCTGGGAAATGGTCACTTACGGCCATATTGAACCGAAATAGGGTTACGAAATGGGATGGCTTCTCTTATAAATATATTAACAATAATAATAAAAAGAAGGTCGATATCGTAAAAGGAGACAAAGGGAGCACAAATGGGTGTGATGTATCGTTGGTAGAGGGGCGAGGGAGTGTTGCGAATCTGATGATGCTTTCCCTGGCACATAGCGCCAAGGGACTACGTTGTTATGCCAATGTGCCACCTAACCCCCACCTAAGCACATGAAGGTAACATTGTCATCCAGCAGGGGTCCAACAGTGCATTGTATGTAGCAGGTATGTAAGACTGCAGGCACTTCCAGGGTTGTTGGCCCGCCGATAAGATAAGCCCATCCATCCTGTGACGCCGCCCAGCCTGTCATCCATCCAACCTCGGACCGTCCATGAAGCAATGGCCAGCATCTGCTGAATACAAAGTACTCCTGCTGGAGTTGACCATGCCAAGTTTCTACACCATGACTTGAAAGACAGAATTCAAATCCTGTCTAAACTCCTTCTCTTTTCTCTTCCCAGGTCCATATGTTGCAGGTAGCAACATGGGGAACAATTCCAGTCGGGTTACGGCCCAGGATAAGTGAGAGATAGCCCGCGCCAACCCCCCCCCCCCCCTTTAAGAGTCCACAGCATCGTTCCTTGCTCTGCGCGCACCATGCCCCGAGATATGGAAACCTCTCAGCAGACAGCTGACCATCTTTGTCCGTTGCCTCGTATATAGGGCCATCCTGGACCTGAAGATCCAGCGCGACAAGCTGCACCAGTACCAGCGGCGCATCACCGGCCTGACCGACCGCGAGACCGATATCGCAAAGCAGATGCTCGCCAAGGGCGACAAGAAACGCGCGCTCCTCGCCCTCCGCCGGAAGAAATACCAGGAGTCCCTTCTGGCCAAGACAGACGCCCAGCTCGAACAGCTGGAGAAACTCACCGCCAACGTCGAGTTCGCCCAGATTCAAAAGGACGTCGTGTTCGGCTTGCAGCAGGGCACCAAGGTGCTGAAGGAGATACATGCCGAGATGGGCGGGATAGAGCACGTAGAAAAGTTGATGGGCGAGACGGCGGATGCAATTGCATATCAAAATGTGAGTTGACAATGCAGTCCTTGGGCAACCAGCCCCGGATGTTAACCAGGTCTTCTACTTCTAGGAGGTCAGCGAGATGCTCGGCGGCAAAATTTCGAACCAGGATGAAGACGAGGTCGAGGATGAGCTTGCGGCCTTGGAGGCCGAAGTGAAAGGGACACAAGCACTACCCAAGGTTCCGGATACTGCGCTGCCCGAACCTGTGAAGGAACATACCCCAGAAAGGTTGCCCGCAAAGGCGCCGCAGAAAGAACCGGAGCGACAAGCTGTGCTTGCGTAAGACAGAAATGGTTCTCAAGGCTGATATGCGGTACGAGACAAAACATCAATGACGAAAGTTCAGACATGAGGTGGATCATTCGCGCCCATGCGCCGACTCGGAAATAACCTAGTATTCTATTGCCTAGGCATAGACTCATTGCAGAGATGAAGGACGAGGCCAACCAAGTGTCAAACAAAAGATTCAGCCTGCTGGTGGTATCGATGCGTACAAAATGTTGTCATGTTAGCAGACCTCCTGCCCGGAAAGAAATATCATAGCAATCAAGCCAGCGGAGCTTGCCGGCTGAACAACGCCGTGCTATGCAGTCCCTTCCATCTATAGCTCTCGAACAATATCGTCGTAACACTCTATCAAATGCCATGCCGCCATGTAATGCGTAATGATCAGCCGTAACTCCTCTGTTGAAGCCTCTCTAGAATGCAGACCAGGTATAATCAAGGCGTGAAAATGCAAATAAACAGAGGCTCCTTCCGCCCACCCATGAAAACGCCGGTACGTTGGGAACACTGTGCTAGTGAACGCTAGTTGAACTCTGCACATAAAAGATAACAGATTCGAGTGTCAAGGTCCACCAGTCATATGCGACATTGACTCTCACTTGGGCGGTATATCAAGGGTGTCCGGGGGGTCCGTAAGGCCCGCGAATATGTATTGTGAAGGTTTGTCGCAAGCGAGCGTGGCTGGCTAACGGAGGATGACCACATCTCGAGATGGTGCCTGCTGCTCATAGATATACTGAACATTGCCCGACTCAGCCGGAGCCGCCATTGGGGTGAAGTGGTCGGATAGTACTCTATCATGATGAGGATATCTATGTCCAAGTATTAGCCAATGTGAAAGGTGAGGGTCAGCAGTTCAACTCGCCCATTCTGTTGAAATCCAGCAGAAACTCGATGCACAGGTATCGCATCCTGCGCAGGCCGCCGGACGAGAACTTCGTGCGGAACCTGCGGTCCTTGTGGGTTGGCGCGAGAAATCTGCTCTGGGGGAAGGAAAGGGGGGGCTTGACGCCACTCTGGCTGGGTAGTCGGCCGAACCTCATAATATAGAGGCCGCGCCGAGCTAATCGCTGGATCCCGATGAGGTGCGTCAAATCTGGGATCGTTGGCTTCTCCGACAACACGTCGATGCTCAGCGCTTCCGTATGCCGGTAAAGGAGAGGCGCGCCTGTACGACCGGAAATGATGAGGGCTCATTTCTCGCATGCGGGCAGGCTCTGTGTCCAGCAGCTCCCTTGGCCGAGCCTCTTCTCGAACACGAATGACGCGCGTTGAGGTGGGCATGGGAGCATCGTACGTATCTCGGGCAACCTCAACAGGTTCACGGAGTCGATACATGCGGCTCAATTCTTGCGACACCCCAACAGTCGAGTGTGGCCGTAATTCAGGATCATAGCGGGGCCCATACGGTGGTGGCACAAAACGCTCCCGGGGTGTCATGGCCATGACTGGTCTGAACCCATGGCTCGCTGGTGGGTGATGCTGGAACTCACTAGCCATAGGTCGAACATTAGAATGAACGGGATGTCGACCGGCCACACCAGCCTGTCCGATGGGCACTTGCTCCATACGCATTTGTTCTTCTCGAATCGCCCGGCCCGCAGATGGCTGCGTATCTTGCCTAGAGTGAGGAGAGATGGGTTCGATCGACGGCACAAGGAAATCCTTTAACTCCCCGTGAGGCAACCTTTCTGGGACTGAAGCATTCCGGGGATGGATCGGGAGGCGGGCGATACGCCTTCCAATCACGACACCTTCTGACGGAGCTAAGTCTAAACGAGGGCGATTGGGACCAGATACGAGAGTATCCTCCTTCGGATAATTACTGGTTGGCGATTCCTCTTGGCCAGAACGGTAACCGTGTGGCTGGCCTTCGCCGCGGAGTGGCTGTGAAGAGAGATAAGTCCGGTTTTCCCATGCTGGCTCAACTCTGCGCACTGGTGACATGATCTCAACGGAAGGCCGCTGCGTAGCATGTTGGCTGGAGGCCCTTTCAAGGGGGGTATATGAAGTCGTTGCCTCATTCTGTGCATGTCGATTCCGGTTGACAGCGTCTTCCCAACGCTTTTGAACAGCTTCGTAGCGTTTGAACCCACGTTTGTTCCTCTTGGACACTTTCTGCTGCGTCGAGTGCGCTGTGCCGGCCCGGGATTGCTTCGATATCCGTCTGCGGAGCGCCTTGGTCTTACGCTGACTATTCTGTTCGTGCTGCAGCATCTGATATGTGGTCATGTCCTGTAGAGTTCCGGCAAGTGTGCTTACCGCGCTACTTGCAACTGCTTCTTGCACAGAGTCATCATCACTAGACTCCTGTTCGTCATCATCAGAGTCATCAGAATCGTCAGAGTTGTCTGATATGACAACCACTTCTCGGAGAATGTCATCCAGTTGATCGCGGCCTGTCTCTTCATCTCCTCGCCACTTGACGAGAATATCCAGGCACGTCCTTTCCACGACTTTTCTCGCTATGTGCCAATCGGCCTCCTTGAGGAGTTCATCGTAGCGCGTGTGGGTATGTCGGATATGCGCGAGGACAGCGAGCTGCACACGTCGATGCAACGGGAGATCCGAGGTGCCGACTTTGGGTTTCCCATAATCTTTGCCCTGAGTGACATAGTCTGTTAACCAAATATGGACGTCAGCTAACGTAGCAACTCTTTGAACCCACCTTTCTGAAGGAGTGCTCGATGATCATCTGCTTGTCGAAGTTCGGTATTCGGGGGAATAGATCTCTCATGGCGGCTTCAGCCTGCCTGTTGATTTCCTCCTGTGTATCAGGTAGTTGCCAGTTGTCACCCGTTGATGAGACGACATCCCGACCAACCTGGGCCTTGGCTTGCTCGACAATAGTCCGTCGTATGTGATGACCCATGCGGTGAACTTGTAAGGCTAATTTTTTGACGTCGTCCTCGTCATTGTTATGTGCATCTTTTGCCGCCTGGGATCATCACAAGTCGTTAACCAAAGGTGGCCCTATTCAGAGTAAGTAAGAATGCGGAGACCGACGTACCGAGACAATGAAGATCATGGCATCTTGCTCCCGTGACAGCTCTTTGCATGCCTGGGTAAGTTCAGGGTTCCCGCTCGGCACGAACTCGAACCCAGGAGGCGGGGTAGTATCGGTGGTGACCTGCTGCTGGTGAGATGGCGCTACAGGCGAGGGCGTGCGAAGAGAGGATTACCTGGAACTCGAGCTTCTTCTCCTTGCGGTCTTTATTCTCGAAGAATTGGAAATAAGACTGATGCTTCGACTTGATATTCTTCTCCGGTATGGCGACCAGATTGCGAGGGACGGCAACATTGTCTCGTGCAGCGCGATGGTGCTTCTCCTTGACAGAGCGGCCGTTCGCGGCAACAACCAGCGCACTGTTGGCCTTGTTCCTCCCCATGACTGACGGCTTTTCACAAGCTTACCATGATAGAACAGGACGCGAAAAGGGCTTCAGGTACCCGAGGTGCATCAAGGATACCAAGTTAGCGCAGAGAGAAGGAGATGATTTGTTGACAAGCGTTGGACGAGAACTCGAGGAGGCGGGCTGCCTGGCCTTGAGCGTCTGTCCCGTCACTGGTTGCGAATCGCACGCAGGGTCAGCAAGCAGCGCTTGCGTAACTAGAGTGAGAGAAGAGGAGAATGGCACGATGATACGTGGTCAGTACAGATGAACCCAAGGCTGGACAGAGGATCCGCAGCGCAGACCAGTCTCCAGAAACAGAACGGGCGTCCTTGGTTCTTGAAAAGGAATGCCTTGCGGCACAGTCCAATGAACAACTTGAGGCGCGTGTGTGTTCAAAAGCAGAATAAGGCACACGCAGAGCAGTAAAGGCGCCTGTGCTAACGTCACGTCAGTCGGGCGACAAGTCGGGTGTCGACCGATTGAGCAGTCCTGGCTTGGGCAAAGTGTGGAGGTTGGAAGAGAGAACAGATGCGACGGAAGGTGGGGCGAGGGTGAGAAGTGCATGTGATGGGCAGGCCAATGGTGATGGCTTAGTAAGGCACGGTCCTAACCCTCCCGACTTGCAAGGCAGGTGTGCCTTTGGCAGCTTGGAGCTGGGTAGTCGCGACCAGCGAATGGCAAAACTCAGGGATGCAAGGCTCAAGAAATCAATAGGATGCAAGGAGCAGGACGAGGGCTCTCGAGAACTTTGGACTGAAGTACAGATCAAGAACTACAAAAATCCACTCTTCGGAAACGGTGCGGCAGAACCATCAGCATCGCCAGCATGGCTGACTTTGATCTCAACTCCTCGTTCATCCCTGCCCTGCACAAGCCACCTGCACTTCTGCCCATCGCAAAGCATCGTGAGAGCCTGCTGTATCTTGTCGAGACATATCCCATCGTCATCGTGGTTGGCCAGACAGGCTCAGGCAAGACAACTCAGATACCGCAATTTCTCGAAAAGGCTGGATGGTGTGCGGAGGGAAAAGTCCTTGGGATCACGCAGGTGAGCCGGATGATATCTCTCCCAGCTCGAGTATGTTTTGCTAACTTCCTCCAGCCAAGGCGGGTGGCCGCTACTACAGTTGCCGTCAGGGTTGCTGAAGAATATGGATGTGAGGTCGGGAAGGAGGTGGGATACTCTATCCGCTTCGAAGATGCCACATCCGCTGCCACACGGATCAAGTTCATGACAGACGGTCTTCTCATTCGAGAGGCGCTCGTCGATCCGCTCTTGTCTCGTTACTCCGTCATCATGGTCGACGAGGCCCATGAACGAAGCATCAGCACTGATATTCTGCTGGGTCTGCTAAAGAAGATCATCAAGCGGAGACCGGATCTAAGGATCATCATCAGCAGTGCCACTCTTCAAGCCGAAAATTTTCTAAGCTTCTTCACCAGGACCAGCGATGATGCCGAAGTAAATGATCGCGCTCAATCTCAGGGTACCATCATAAGCCTTGAAGGGCGCACCCATCCTATAGACATCCTCTACCTCAGCAGCCCAGCTGAGGACTACGTCGAGAAGGCCATCACCACCGTTTTCGACATACATTCCAAGGAACAGAAAGGCGATATATTGGTATTCCTGACTGGAAGAGAGGAGATTGAATTCGCTGTCAATGCAGTTGCTGAGCGCTTGGCGCGGTCGGATCCAGAATCACATTCATTGCTGCCTTTACCTCTTTACGCAGGGCTGACGACGGAGCAACAGATGTATGTGTTTGAGCAGACACCAGAGAACATGCGCAAGGTCATTTTCTCCACAAATATAGCCGAGGCCTCGGTGACCATAGATGGCATTGTCTATGTGATTGATTCAGGCTTTGTCAAGCTCCGTGCGTACAGCCCCACGACTGGCATCGAGACACTGACCTCAACATCTGTGTCCAAAGCAGCGGCAGCACAGCGAGCTGGCAGAGCAGGACGGACAAGACCAGGGAAGTGCTTTCGTCTCTACACTGAAGAGGCATTCACGAGCCTTCCAGATGCAAATGTGCCCGAGATCCAAAGGTCAAACCTGGCCCCCTTCGTTCTACAGCTGAAGGCCCTCGGAGTCGACAATGTGTTGCGATTCGATTATATGAGCCCTCCTCCCGCCGAGTTGATGGTCAAAGCACTTGAGCTTTTGTACTCTCTTGGGGCCCTGGACGAGTATGCTAAGCTGACGAAGCCTCTTGGGTCGCGAATGGCCGAGCTGGCCGTTGAACTTATGATGGCGAAGACATTGCTAGCTGCTCCAACTTTTGGATGTCTCAGCGAGGTATTGACTATCGCGGCTATGACGAGCCTTGGAGGCAGCGTCTGGGTCCAACAAGATGATGAGAAAAGGCAGTTCGAGACTGCAAGGCGCAAATTTGCTGCAGAGGAGGGCGACCACCTGACGCTGTTGAATGTCTATCAGAGTTTCGTGGGCAAGGGTAGGAAGGAGAGCAGGTTCTGTTACGACAACTACCTAAACTTCAAGGCATTGAGCCGTGCAGTGAGTATCAGAGCTCAACTGAAACGGTATCTCGAGAGATTTGGGATCGACACCGAAGAGTCCCTTGCTGGCAACAATGCTCATGGCATGGATTCGGTAAAGAAGGCCGAACAGATCCGACGCTGCCTCACTGTAGGCTATTTTCCCCAGGCAGCGAGAATGCAGGCAGACGGGACATACCTCACGGTTGATGGAGGTACCATCTTGCACGCCCACCCCAGCAGCCTCATGTTCAACCGCAAGGCTGACTGGGTCATCTTCCACGAGATCATGGAGACCAGCACAAAGACCTACATTCGTGAGATCAGCAAAATCGATAAAAACTGGCTACTCGAATATGCACCCGACTTCTACCAGGTCAGGTCATAAGACGAGGGCAACGGCATCACTCGACCTCGCGTCGCGGGTCCGTTTCGAGACAGAGACACAGACAGAGGGAGAGAGAGCGAGCGAGAGAAGTAGACACGGCCATTTCCGAATACGTCGCGCGAGCATCAACCAACCAGCGGTCCCACCTCAAGATCTTACCACTCGCTGCAAAGAGAGATCTTTCCCATCAATGTGCTGCGCTGTGGATGCAGAAGGATCTTCTAGCAAGCAGAACAATTCGAGGAATTATTGAGTTCGGACGAAATGAAAGGCTGCTCTCATTGGATCTTAAATCTCATCGGATATGGATCTTAACCCCCAGGTACATACTGTACGCTGTGGGATGTGAAAGCAGCCAATAACGAGTAAGCTCTGGCCGATGGACACCAGCGTAAGCTAGCCTTGCAGAACTCTGGACCCATCCTCTGCAAGGTGCGCACCGTATCCAATTATGGAAACACCGCAAATTCGTCAGTCGTGGAATTTCGTGGAGCTGAACAGTCACGAGGATTGAGGGGTCGTGTAAGCTCCTTTTTCTCGGGACATCACCGCGGAAAACCTGCTTCTCGTCTTCCCCTGAATGCACGGTGATTTTTTCCCTGGCAATGTGGCCAGGCAGGCCTAGACACTGTCGCGTCCCTCATTCAGACGGCAACCCAACCCATGGGCTGCTGGGTATCTTGCCAGAGACCGGGGACCTTGTGAAAGATCGAGAGGGGGAGAAGAAGGGGGGAAGTAAGGTTACTTGACTCGAGCGAAAAGCAACAAGGACGTTACCACGAGCACACCACAACTTCAGAGATGTTGCTTTTTCTCTCTTTCCTTGTCTCTTGATTTTTAATTTTTTCTTTCTTTCTTTTCAGCCGTCCATGGCTGTTCCATGTCTCAACCGCCACCAATATTCAGGAGTACTGCGAGCTACTCAGCGGGTAATAGCGACTGCGGCAGCGTTCGAGGAACCCCTGAGTTCCTAGGACAACAGGGCGATACCAAGGTATCATTTCGGCAGCCCGCCCAATTTATTGAAAGTGGATGAGGTCGTTGGGCTCCTCACAACAAGGCGACCACCGACGCTAGAAGGTTAAACGAGATTAAGCGCTGGGGGCCCTCGGTTCTGGCCGTTTCATGGATTGGTCCAGCACTCGGGCAGATGTTTGGTCCACACCTGCATGCCTCCCCCCTGGAATGCCAGGTACATCTGCCATCTGATTTGCTGGAGCAATCAACGGTCAGGGGTCCCCAGTACGGACTGGATGAACGTTTTGCGATTCCCTCACGGCTCCGTCCCTCCTCCTCTCTCATTTCCTGTAGGCTCCGCTGCCTTTGAGGGGTGTCGGCGGTGGATGTTGGTCCTTCTTCTTGGCCGCCTTTTCCCCCTGCCCGGTCGATCATTGTTCTTGTTTCTCCTTTCAGTCTTCTGAGGCTCCTCCCACGCAGCACCACCACCTCCTCTCCTTACCATCCACCTTACCCAGCCTGGGCGTGAAGGTTCACGAGGACTTCTATGCTTACCATTGCCTCGCAGTCGTAGCTGTTGTTGTTCCTTGCTTCACGAGCCTGCCAGCAGGCGTTACATTCTTTACAACCTCCACAGTCACTCATTATCACACGTTCCGTCGTTTACTGGAACACTTTCGCTCTTTCTGTAATTAATTCTTCGTGCCTAGGAGTTTTGGCTACCTTACATCGCTCGCCCATTCACGGTCCTCCGAGTCAGCCAGCCCCCTCTCCTCCAGACTGGACATTTCATTCCTTAATTTGTTTCGCAATCGAAATCACGACCTCGACGACAATAAACTTTGCTCTTCATGCATACGATCGCTCTCTATCCATCCTGCTAGAACAGCTATTCTGTCTCTCTGATTCAAGACGACGAACAATCAGACCAGCTCGAGTTCAACAGATCGACGATCGACATCGTTTTGCGTGAGGGAACAGGCCGATTTTTATTTTTTTTGAGTCGTCAACATGGATGAGATGCTTGCCCGTCGCAATGGTCATCTGATGGGCCCGCGAATTCCCATCGGTAGACGGGTCGCAGCCGTGGCTGAAGATACTTCGGTCGAGGCATCCACGCCCCCAAGCCATGTCGTTGGCCGTAGCTCCTCAAGTACAAGCGACGCGTCCTCGTCTACAGCCACGTGCAGCAGCAGCAGTGCCAGCAACACTTGCGAAAAGCCCACCAGCACAAGCATAGCGGGCGAGATCTCCATCGGTATTGCGTGGGTTTGCCCTGGCCCTGAGGTCCTGTTTCTGTTTTTGTTTTCCCCTGGCCGCTAACGTGAACGCAGTGTCCCAATGGCGATCATATTTATCTGTGTCCTCATCTACTTTCATCGGAGGAACCTGAAGCGTCAGGCCGCCGAAGACCGCGATCCTCACCACAGGTCTCTCGACTTTGGATTGGGAGATACCAGCAGTGGCAAGTCAAAGCGGAAGAGCATGCTGGGCCTGGGAGGAGAGAAGTCCAAGCACCCCCGTGGTCTGTCGATCGACATGAACCTGTCCAGCCCTTACCTACTGCCGGAGCACGTTCAGGGCTCCCGAGAGTCGATGAACTCCCTCGCCAAAACCCTGCACCAAGCGGACGATCCGTACCGGCCCATCACCAAGTACATGAGCGAGACCGGATCTGTGGGATCGTTGGAGAAGAACGGTCGTTACACACCATCCGTCATGACAGCCTCGACAAAGCGCGTGTCCCGCCAGTCCTACGCCAACCCCATGTCCCCCGCCCTGCAGCAGCCTCTGAGACAGAACTCGTACCCCAAGTCTCCCCTCACGCCCAGCGCCGCCTCTTCAGTGACCGCCGTTGAAACGGACATCTCGACGCCCACCGCCGCCAAGGAGCCCACCGTGCCCGAGGACGGGCCCATGCCCCCACCACAGTGCGATCTTCCACCTCTGCCCGTGGTTCCTGAGATTCGACAGCCCGCTCCTGTTGCACAGAGAGGTGCTGCCCGTGAGCCGGTGATGCAGGAGCATGAGGAGGAGCTGGACCTGCCCGATTTTTCTAATAACTCCAAGAGGGAGTCTGCCGACGAACTGAATCTTCGTACCAACCCGAATACTGGCAGTGGCATTGGGCTCGGCCTGTTGAACGGTCCTCAATCGACGTCTCAGGCCCCGCCCGTCTCAGAGGTGACCGCCTCAGCAAACAACCAGGAGGTTAGCGCTGGCCCCGCTCACCAGAGCGTGACGGCGTTCATCGAGCATACTGAGGACTACGCCGATTTCGACTACGCAGCGATGGTCACGCCCCCCGAGGGGGAGGAGGATGAGGGCCGTGGACGCGCTCGTGTTCGTGAGAGCGGCCTCATGGTTCCCCAGCAGAGCAACAAGCGGCTCTCTGTCGGCCTTCGACCCCTGCCGCCAGATGAGATCATGGAATCTGAAGATCCCGAGACGCGCGCAAACCGCATCAGGTCATTCTACAAGGAGTACTTTGACGATTCCAAGCCGGCGCCACCGATGCCAAACGAGGGCCACCACTCAGCCGCTGACTACGGTGTTGACAACTACGGGAGCGATGCCGCCTACTTCGACCCTGACTCCAATCAGTTCATCATGCCCTACGCCCAGCCCATCGGCCGCCGCGCCATGACGCCTCCTCCCTCCGGCTCCCGCTTCCCAGGTGGCCCACGAGGCCATGGTCCCCGTGGACCGGGACCGATGGGGCCTAGGGGACCTGGACCTCGCGGCCCCCCTCGTCACCACTCTGGTTCCATGAGCGGCATGCCACGTGCAGGTTCGTCCATGTCTTACGGCCCACGCCCCGACTCCTCGGCGTCTGCACGCGGCCCTCGTTCCGGATCTGCCATGTCCGGCAGGCCGAAGAAGAACCTGCCGCCCCCCTCTCCGCTGAACACCCTGCCCACCCCCGCCAAGCTCACGGACGACCACTTCGCCCTCATCAACGCCTCCGACTTTGCTCCTCCTGAGTCGTTCCAGGACCGTGCTGCCGGCCGCTCGCAGAGCCCTCTCGGCGAGCGCCGCGAGTACGCGCCCAAGCTGCCAGCTGCCTCGCCTCTGGTCAACACCTTTGACGAGATGGCTGCCCTTCCCAGCCCGTAAGTTTCTCTCTCCACATATGCACTTGATGAGCTGTGATGTCAGATTCTCTAACACTACCACAAAAAAAATACAGTCATCTCCTGCGCAGGTCTGGCACCTTCACAGGTCTCGACTTTGCCCCTCCCAAGAAGTTCAAGGACAATGACACCATGAGCGACGCGGGCAGCATCCGCTCCAACCGCAGCGGCGTCTCGCGTGCCAACGAGTTCGCCATCCGCAGCGGTGCAGGCCGCGTCAGCCGTCTGCCTGGCGACATCATCTTCTCCCAGGCACAGATGGAACAGTCCCTCAAGCCCACCATGAACATGCACGGCAACTTCTACTGAAGGGCTGATTGTGGTGTATAAAACTTCTTGTCTGTTTCAACTTGGCGATACTGGCGTTCTCACAAACACAACGGACGGACACCCTCGGGCCGGGTTGCTGAAGCCCAGCATGGGAGCGGGATGCGATGCTGTTCTTGATCTTCCTTTTTTTTGGTTTTCAAAAGACATTCTGCCAAGGTTGCCTTGTCTGTCTGTCTACTGCGACAATTGATCTACTACCCATTCTAGTAGCTAATGTCTGCTTGCTGCCCACTTATCCTCCTTGCCCGCCACCGCCCGGCCAGACGACCTTTCTCCTGATTTCCCAGATGGGGTGGTATCTGCTGGAGCAAATCATGACCAAGATGGTGGTGGCCGGATCCTTCGACTGCTTGCTGCCCTCCGGTCTCCGGTTGGTAGGCAAATGACATTGACCTAGGGGGCGAACTATATAGATCGGTGGTTGTGTATTTACGGCGAATTCTTCTAGGTTTCTATATAATCTCTAACAAATGGTATAACGGCTTCCAAAAGATTTGACAATACATATTCATAAATATATATGCGCATACATTGATCATTCTGTAATTTTTTGGCTTACGGCTTGGGATCTTAGCAGCATACTCGTGCCTTGCTATCCAGTAAGGAGAGTATGGAGAGTATGGAGAAAAGACAGGAGGGGACGGCGGCGGAGGATAGCCAGTAAAACTGCCCAAGCTGTCGCAAGCCCAGCGGACCTGAAGATGCACCTACACCATCATTGCCACAAAATCTACGCAGTGAGAGTGGCGCTCGGCCGAGAGCTTGTGTGACCCAAACCGAGCACATGGCCTTTGTTTACTTGTGTGTAGCAGGTAGATTGACAGGTTCAATACGCTCATTTCGGCGTGCGCGGTTCAGTCACGCCGATAGTACGGCTCCGCCCGTCTCCTTCTTCTTTTTACTTTGTATTCGGAACACGAGGCGCCAGGTGCTCTACTCGCCTAAACGCCTCGTGCTCGGCCCCTTTTCAGGTGGCCAGCTCTTGAATCCCGTAACTTTTAAGCGCGGACGATCATAATGAAAGACAAGAAAGATCACAAGCCAGTCGACAAAAACGTACCTACTCATGGAACTACATACTTAAATGGTTAGGTTGGTGGCGGCGGTACGTGTGTCTAAACTCAACCCGCTCCCCCCCCCCCCCCAACTCACCGTGCTTTTCTCTGTTGCTCTTGCTTGATGGACAACAGCAGTAACAGCAGCAGCAGCATCATCATCATCATCATCAGCCCCCATGAGGTGATGCTACTTACTTGTGACTATATGTACACAATACTGTTCTCAGTCTTTTGTCAACCTCATGTGGAATATATTTCTTCAAACCTTACCCAATCCCCCCCCCCCCTTCGATCAGCACCATCGCGCGCCTGTTGTCTTGTTTTCCAAGTGGCCTCCCATCCGTGTGACCGTCTGCTGTCTCAGTGTCTCCCCCAATTGGGACAAAAGACTTCTCTCTACTGTCCCGCGTTCTGAACGCCGGCGCTATTTGCTGCCGGGATACCCACTGCTTTGGCGTCTCTACATAGTATGTACTATTGGTGAAGCTTCGGCGGAAGTCTGCCATTGTGAATTATAGTATATACTTGCGTAAGGATGTATTATGTAGCCAATATTTTATACCCTCCCCCCATCCTCCCCGGCGTCTGTAGTTGGAAATTCTTTTGGGCCAGTAATTTCGGTGTCCCATACGCTCCCGTGGTCTAAAAATGGAAATATGTGCGGCATCTACCAAACCTTGATCCACAAATTTTTAGGCCGAGAAAGAGAGAGAGAGAGAGGGTGTGTGTGTGTTTGTTTAACCTTCTTTTTCTTTTTTTTTTTTTTTTTTTTTGTCCTGCTCTTTCTTGCGTGCTCCTTTTGTACCCTGGACTTTTTATCGATGGCAATTGGGACAAAAAAGATCAACGGCAGGGCCCCTCCCTGGCCTCTCCCTTGGCGAACCGGAGCATGGGAGACATGGAGTGATGCATACTTGAACGTGCAAACAGGGCGGGGGGGGGGGGGATATGGAGATGATGACGTGAATGGCCTTAACTGCTTTACTGGGCCTATATCAGGAAAACAGAGAGAAAAAAATTACAAGCACGTCAAAATCTTGGATGCGAACCCTGAACTATGATGCCGACCACCCAACCCCTGTTGGATCATTTGCTGGCGTTGAACCTTGGAAAAGAAGGAGAGGGTTTGATAGTATATTGGATTGTATCATCGTGTCTAGGTAGACCTCCCCGATCCGGTCAGCTCTCCGGCCCAATGTCTCTTTTTGCCACGGGGTCATTGGACTGTGGTGACGTTCACTGTGCGACAGTTCATGTGGCATAGCAGACAAACTCGCTGAAGGAGGGAATGCTGACTTGCTTGCTTGCCTCAGTTCACGGACGATAGGCAATCAGCTCGGACCGCGGCAGTCATCTTCTCTGATGGAACGAGCCCGCTTGTGAAAAGGCCAGGTCACCAGAGAGGCTGCAGTGTGTTCCTGCTGGTGGTAGTGGTGTGTGTGTGTGTGTGTGTGTCATCCACAAGCAACGTCGCATGAGAGGCTGCTTAGTTGCATACATAGTGTGGTGCAGAGTCGAGCCGATTAGATATGCCCCTTTGCGAACACCGACTAGACACGCACGTCTGTTTGCTTGCCACGCTTGCCTATCACCACATCTATGTATGCGAAACGGAGTGTGGGCGTAGAGGGACAACGTGCAGAGTACTACTGCATGTCCGAGGGTAATCGACTGGTTGGTTGGCTAGCCCAGCTGAAGTAGGGTGCCATCCAAAGATCATGTTCTCGATCGCACCCTCGGCAGCCAAACAAAGGTCCCCATCCCTCGAGCCTCCATCCAGGGCTAGATACTATCATAGCACTGCAGAGTTAGCCTACCAAGTTCAGTTGACAGTGGTCTGTTTGTCTCGTGCTGTACTGGACGCATGCGAGCGAATTCGTGCTATGTAAGAAGGGTAGCAAGGAAACCCAACTTAATCCGGCCCCTTCCTCTCCCTCTACTGTTCCAGATTCTGACATTTTTGGTGTTCTTTTCCTTTTCGTCTACCGATCTGCTGTCGATACCGACAACAGAAGCTCCCTTCATCCCATCCCCGTTCCTGATCGTCGTCTTGGGTATACTATGTAAGACGACTGACGTCGACCGTCTCGGTGGAAACTTGTACAGTGCAAGCGTATCCCGAAAAAAGAGGGCCGCACGGAGATCATCGTACAGTGCACTCGAACCTCGCTGTCGATCAACAACCAGGGGCGGAAAACCCTCCAGCCGACAAATCGAATGCGCCAGCGACAGATACGAGAATAATTGTTACATATCTCGTCCGTCTACTTGGGAGAAAGCCAAGGCATCGATTTACGCAGGAGCGCCGAACAACAAAGAAAAAAGGTCTGTTTTGTCCCGGAGTGCCGGTTGAATTCCCACCGATCAACAGCTTGGCGTCATCGTTTTGATTTTTCTTGTCTGTATCTTTCTGGAGGGGGTTTCGAGAGATAGATCGATCCACTTTCAATCTTCCGCTGACTGACTCTCCGGAGATCCAGCTCCGGCACCCCGAAACACACGGGTCGAAGTCAATTCAAGCCCAGCATTCAATAAACTCAAGCGGAAAAGGAGAAAGAAATAAAGAAGAGGAAAAGGACAAGAGTGACAAATAGGAGACAAGAGACAATCACAAGCCACCTCGAAAGGGATTCAAAAAAGATAAAGAGAGAAATCAGCCACTGCAGCCTGTCTGACTCAACCTGTCAGGCCTCACAGGGTTCTCTCTACAGTGTCTCCAGCGCTTTCTCTCAGTGCTTTCAGCGAGAGAAGAAGGGGCCAAGGCTAGGGACAAGAGAGGAAGGCAGCGACCACCGTATCCGAGAGCGGCCAGGTGGGGACAGACCTAATTGCGCTAAGCCCAGGGGCCTGAACCACTCACGTCCTCTCGCCAGGGCAGCCCCACATGCCCCAAAGTGGGCTAGGGTCGCTTAGCACCAAAGCGATACGACCAGACGAGGCCTAGCTCATCTTGTCCTTCTTTTCCCGGAGGAGGTGGGAAAGTGGCAGTGTTCTCTCTCCCACGTTGCGTGACTGCTGAAAGGCCCCAGCATAATACGGGAAAAAGGACCGGGTTCAGGGCCCCAGAGCACTGGCCCAAGGTGCTGACGCGAGGTTGGCTGCGACGCTGCTGACCTAGCGAGCCTGCTCGTCCTCCCTACTGCTCTCTTTCTTCCCCCCTGGCTTCCAACTCTGAGCCTGCTGCTGGAAACAGATTGGAAACCATCTTCCAACTCACCCGCCTCTCTCACTCCCCTCGGCCAGCTCCTTCAAGGCCTCCTCTGTCTGAGCAGATTGTGTGCCATTAATCTCCCATCACCAGACTCGCCAACCTTTCCTGGCAGAGAGAAGGGGTGAAGAAAAGAAGAAAAAGTCCAGGCGAAAAGGAAATCGAAGAAAGACCAAAGGCTGAATTGAAGCCACGACGGCTTGCCCATTCGGCTCACTCAGCACCCTCCAAGCCTAACACTCGAGGAGGAGGAACAACAGCCTGTAACAGCCAGATTTCAGATTGCTGAGAAACAGCGAGAGACTATTTCTCAATCAGGGGTACAGGAGTCTCACCTTTTTCTCCTCTCTCTCACACTCTCGCGCGATAACGACAAAAAACCGCAAACCACGGCCAAGCACATCCATTGAATCCAAGCCGCCAATCAATCAAACATCTCGCAAGCAAGAAGGATTCGGTTGGAGGGCGACACTTGACCAGGTTCAGCTCTGGCGCCAGTCTTTTTATTACCCCAATCCCGCTGCTCGCTGTGCATTACGCCCAATTTTGAGAAACCCAGTCTGACCACACGGCACTTCCTCCATTCCTCCGTGCTGCTCCCCTCTTCCTCCTGCTCGGGCCCTCTCAACCACCACCCAAGGTCTGTCCGTTGCGTCCATTCCAGCAGACGGCGGGTTGTCATCATCTACGCATTCCTCGGCGGTACTTGGCATAGCATCATAGCAAACGCCTTGCTTCTTCTCGTTTGTGGTCTGTTTGGAACTTGTGGCCAGCGTTTATCTCGCAGCCGCCGCCTGCAGCCGCCCGACAAACCCCTGGCACTTTCGTGTTCTGGGTCTCTCGCGCTGCCGTCGCCTGACAGCCAATTCTTTGTCGTCCCACTCGTGCTGCCCGCGACAGCCAAACACCCCCTTCCTACACCACGTCAAACCCGGCGACAAGCCCACGCCTCAGCTCTCGCATGTCCTCCGCGACTCCTCGAGCTACTTGACGATCCGCCTCAGTCAAGACCCTGCATCGCACGCATCCAGCTGCTGCGGTCGAGGTCCCTCTCAGTCGCTGATCATACAGGTACGGACCACTTAACCCTATGTCCCCGTTTTTCTTTCTCCCTTTGTCTCTCTCCCTCGTTCGCGCCTGTCAAGTCATTCGCTCTGTACATCCTGGTGTCTCCAAAAAGATAAAGAAAGAGGAAAAGCCTCAGCTACTCCGCAAGACATTGTTGTACAGATCGTCGTCTCCCAGTCTGTGGTGGTCCTGTTTGGGCTCAGCTATTTGTTTATGCTTATCTGTCGTCCATTTTTCCCCGGCATGAACCTTACGATGCTTCCCTGTATACCACGTTGTTGTCTGTCGTCGTCCCTGCTAACATGGCACCTCCACACGCCAGGAATCCATCTACTGGACTTCAAAATTCCAAGTTGTTCACGATGGCTAGCAACAACGCTACCTCCATAAGTACGGCTGCAGCGACGCCGACGGCTGTCTCCACCTCGGCGGCGCCGTCGACGACAACCTCTGAGCCGGCTACCACGCCGACTACCTCGGTGACAAGTTCTGCTGCTGACACAAGTGCCACTTCCATAGCGGACACCACCTCAGAGCTGCTGACGACGACCACGTCGGCACTGCCTACTGAGACTACTACATCGTCCTCAGAGACGCCCACCACCACAAGCTCTGACACTACCACACTATCCACTGTCTCGAGCGACACAAGTACCACCTCTGCCATAGCCTCATCCACTTCGTCGACCGAGCCTATCCTGTCGACAACCGTCTCCACATCCCAGTCTGTGATCACGACGGGCGGCATCACCAGCACACAATACATCACCCAGACCATTGTCACATCGACTATTCCGACCGGCACAGACTCTGCAGCGTCTGCGTCCTCCAGTGGAGCATCTATTCAGACCGGCAGCTCCGGATCTGGAGGAAACAGCCATGCCGGCGTCATCGCCGTCGCCGTCGTCGTGCCTATTGCCGCTGTAGCGATCCTCGTCGGTGTGGGCATCTGGCTCTTCAGGAAGAGAAAGGCCAAGAAGGCCGCGGAAGAAGAGCGCCGGAAGGAAGTCGAGGACTACACATACAACCCGAACGCCGACCCCACGATCCCTGGCTCTGGCGGTGCTGGATACGAGATGAAGGAGGATGGGTCGTCGGGATACCGAGGCTGGGGATCTACCACCCTGGGCGGTTCGACTGGGCGCAAGGCCTCGACGACCATGTCAGGAGGCGCCGCCGCCGGTGCCTTCTCTGACACGCCGTATTCCGAGAACGCGTACTCGGATGGCGCATCCCCGACGAGGGCTAACTATTCTGGCGACCCCTTAATGAGTGAGGGCCACCACACACCAGAAGGCGAGATACTGGGTGCTATGGGTCCCAACTCGGCCAACAACCGAGGAGGCAACGTCCGCCGCGGGCCCTCCAACGCCTCATCCTCCTACAGCGCTGGAGCACCCTCAGACGGATCTGGAGAGATCGGCATGGCGTACAGCGAGAACCAGGGCTACGCACAATACGACCCCTACTCCGAGAGCCATATGGGCAGCCCGCCAGGTGGTCAGCCTGTGATCAGAGACAACCCCGCACGACGCAACACGCGCATCGAGAACCCGTCGCACTATCCTCAGCAGAGCGCCGGCATTTCGCAGAATTTTTAAAACCCGAAAAGTGACTTGCTGGTCTCGGAATGGATGAGCTTACGGAACGGCAATGGTTGAACAGCTACCACGCATGAATTGGTCTGCGCTTGATACCCTTTCTCCTCTTTTCGCCAAACATCTGGTTATGCTTCGACACAGTATTGGCTTTAATTTTCCACCTTTTGTCCTGGGGCCTCTTTTATCCTGATATATATCCTTTATTTTTATGCCCCCATTACGGCGTTGCAAGGCGTTTTGCGGGGAAAAGCTTTCTTCTACCGTCATACAAAACAATGCCGGCTGTATATACACAGATTGGCAACAGACGAACGATGCAACTGGGACCGGCGGGGCTACTACTCTGTCGTTGACGGAGCACAGCTCGAGGGTCGCAGGTCAGCTTGGCACCTGAAAACCAACCTTTCGAACATTATACGAACACGACATGGTGCATATGTTCGGACTGGCTTCTTTTTTGTCTTTTCTTTTTAATACAAATTGTACATGACTTTTGTTGGGGGATGGATGTAGGAATAGTGAGCGATCTTGGGGGACCGACGGTCGCATATTTGGGGGTGTTCTGATGGAAATGTCATCAGACGTGCCGTCTGGATTTACTGGGGGGATCAAGAGAACTCGTCGTGGAAGTTGAAAGGGGGATGATCGAATATTATAAAATGTGCAACACAGAGCTATACTCACTCGTAGTCAAGACACAAATCTTTATTTGGGAATGGTTCGAATAGAATGAGGCTCTGTCAAGTCGGCCAAACGTCACAAAGCAACTCAATTAATGTCTACAACTGTACTTACATTGGCCCTCGGAAATTTGCAAAGGAGGCATAGTAGAAAGGCATATACACACATGTACACAGCCCATATATAAACATCTAGTTAAAAATAGACTACAATCTCGCCCTAGCCTTACCACTACCACTACCACTACCACTACCATCGCCACCGACCGCCCCCCTCCGTCGTCCTATCCCCTCACTCAACTCCACCCGCTCCCACCAGTACCTACACGCCTCCACTTCGTGCTCCGTCAGGCTCGCCACCCTGGCAGGCGTCCCTGGCCTCCGCTCGCCGCTGTCGCCCATCCTCTCGTCATTGTCGGCTCCAAAGATCATGACCTTACCGGTGCTGCTGGCACCACTCCTCTCCCGGCTACCGCTCCGATGATGGAGTTGGCCTGACGAGTTGTTGGTGTTGTTGTCACTTTCGACAAGGGGTGAGCTGAACGCGGGCCAGAAGGGCAGCCTGGGAGTCCTAGTCGTCGTCGTCGTCGTCGTCGTCGTCGTCGTCGTGGTGGAACCTGCAGGAGCAGCAGGAGAGTTCGGATCACCGGTGGCAATGAACCGCACCCAAGCACCATGCATAACGTCAGCAGTGCGGACCAGCCCTGGGCAGGACCCGATAGCAGCCATATCGTGAGCCACAACGGGAGCCTCGTCGCCATGATTAGCCGTGCCGCCGAATTCCGGGCGCGAGAGGGGCGCGAAGTGGTACACCCAGACGGGCGGCGGCGGCGACGACGACGACGCCGATGTTTTCCTCTTTCCAGAAGCAGCATCGTCGTCATTGGCATCACCAAGCCCACACCCGCTGTAGAAGTGTCCCGTCTGCAGCACAGGACAGATATATGCATAATGCGCATAAGCAGCCTCATACCTGCTCCACTGCCGCCCAAAGCCGCGCGGCACACGAGCATACGGGCTGTCCGGGTGGGCGACGGGGTCCGGGTACAGGGCAGACAGGGAGGCGAGGTCAGCGCCTTCCAGCCCAGGGATCATGGCGGTGAACTTGCCGAAAAAGTCCTGGGCTGTGCTCACGCGCGGGTTGCAGAAGACGGCGCCCTCGTTGGTGTTGAAGCCTGTCAGGATGGGGATACGGAGGAAGGCGCCTCGGCGGAAGGCGGAGATGGGAAGGTCGGTGATGATGGCGCCGCCGGTTTTGGTGGTGGTGGTGGTGTTGTTGTTGTTGTTTGTCTCGACGACGGGCTGGAAGGGCCAGCGGACTGGGTCCTGGTACCTGCTGAACACGGCGCCGGATGCGCGGAGGAGGACATTTAGCGGCAGGGAGCGAAGGAAGGGGAAGAGCTTCTGCTGCTGTTGGTCCTCCACTGCTACCTGTGTCTGTCCCTGCTCGATGCCGAGGGCGGAGAGGAACTCGCGCCACTGGGCCTCTGTACGCGGGTGGTCAGGCGAGAGGGTCGCGCGGGCGGTGGGGCCGCCAGACTCGAGGATGGCGGCGTGAAAGGGAGCAGTGGAGGCTGTGTAGGACTGAAGATGATAGCCGATCTAAAAATGATGATCGTCAGCCCTTGCTTCTTTGATAAGTGAAAAGAGAGAGAGGGAGAGAGACAAGAGAGAGAGAGAGAGAGAGAGAGAGAGAGAGAGAGAGAGAGAGAGAGAGAGAGAGAGAGAGAGAGAGAGAGAGAGAGAGAGAGAGAGAGAGAGAGAGAGAGAGAGAGAGAGAGAAACAGAGTTACTCTTTTGCCTCCGTCCATCTGCTCGGTAGCACAGCTTCTCCTCGTCCAGGATCAACCAACTCACCGAATGCGCCCCAGCGCTCAATCCCATCAGAGTAACCCGCCCCGAATCCCCCCCAAAAGCACCAATATTGTCCCTCACCCAGCCAAACAGCATCTGCTGGTCCCGCAGGCCCAGGTTCAGACAACCCTCCCGGTCCGCAGCAGCACAGCTGGGGAACCCCAGGGGGCCGACGCGGTAGTTGAAGTTGACGCCCAGGATGGGTGTGTCGGCCCAGCCCACGAAGCTGGCCATGTTTCTCTCCACGCCCATGCCGCCGTTGAAGGCGCCTCCGTGCACGTAGATGACCACGGGCATCAGTTGACGACGACCATCACCACGATCACCACCCTCGCCGTCGGCCTTGTCGTTCCAGCTGTAGCCTGCGGGGCGGTAGATGTTCAGGTTGAGACAGTCCTCCCCTTCCGCCACGCCCACCGCTCGCCCCACCGTTCCAGGACAGATCTGCCCAAACGCGTCTGCAACTACAGTGGCGTCACCACCAGCAGCAGCATCGTAAGGATCAAGCGCCACTGGCGGCCGAAACCGGTTCTCTCCTGCAGTGGACTGTGCATATGGGATGCCGCGCCACGCCTCGACCGCCTTAGGGAGGGATGGGCTGGCTGGTAGGAGGACGCCTGTGTACCGGCCCTGGGGCAGCGGGATGGTGGTTGCGTGGCCGGAATGGGGAGTAGGGGTGGGGCCATGTGGGCGTAGAACGCTAGGGGACCGTCGTGGTGATGAGGAAGAGGAAGAGGAGGAGCTGCTTCTTCGCGCCATGGTGACTGTGGTGGTGGTGGTCGTCGTCGTCGTCGTAGTTGTTGCTGTGGTGTTGGATATGGCGTGGATAGCGTGTGGTGACGATGAGTGGTGACGAAGAGTCTCAGGATCCAGATGAGATGGTCTCCAAGTCTTGACCTCTAACCCAGAAGACCCTTCTTCCTTCTCCTTCTCTTCGTCTTCTCTCTCCTCCTCCTTTACCTCTTCTTGTTCTTCCAACACAAACAACAACTTCTTCTCACAATCCCAAATCCCACGGTACGCAGTCCACTTGAATCCCCCAAAACGATGACGTATCCAAAAACCCCAATTAACGAGCAGCAAAAGTGCAACAACAACGACAATGACAACAAGAGCCACGAGGCTAACTGTCAATGTAGTGCTGCTGTTGTTGTCGATGTGGAAAATGAAGTCCAGCAACCCGGTCGGCAGAATTACCCGCCGAGCACCTGCACCTGCATCTCCACCTGCACCACTTGCGTCCCCAATTCTCATCAGACCTTGTCCTCTTCCTACCACTACTTGCGCACCGTCCTGGCCAGCATTTGCGCCGAACGAAGGGACCAAAATTGCGACAGGAGGCATGCCAATAGAAAAGGCGAGCACATTAGAAGAAGCAGTCCATCATATTGTCGGGGGAAAATGTAGAAGGAAAAGAAGAAAGGAAAGGGGGAGGGGGGGGGGCCGGTCAAAAATGAAGGGGGAAAAAGCTCCAAGTTACAGTGGACAGTGGTTCACGTGGCGTGCACACCCGCTGTAAAACAAATGATCCTGGCAACGTTTGCAGCAGCGGTGAAGACAACTGCTTTTCATATGTTCAATTGAGACTCTTATACTTACAACTGCAATGTTGCTGGCTGCATACTCCCCTTTGCTCTTTCTTCTTTTCTCTCTCTCTCTCTCTCTCTCTCTCTCTCTCTCTCTCCCCTTTTGGTTGCTTGGTGGCTTTTGGTTTCTACATGCATACACACGGGCGAGTGAGCACTGCATGAGATTGTCCAAGTGGCCAGTACTTAGTCTTGTCACAGCTCATCACGATTGGCTGCAGAATCACTCAAACTCACAGGCTGGCTAGCAGAAAGATACAAGATGAAAGACTTTGCACGGCTAGTAGGGAGTATATTGTCTCGACTACAAAGCGATAATCCTACAATTCCAACAACGCACGACACCAGCGTGTTCTCGGAGGAAAACAAACAAACAAACAAACAAGAACAATACACCCTCCTCCGTAATCCCCATGTTACTTCACTCCTTCTTCCCTAGCCCTAACTCCCAATAAATGACCACGGCAACCCGAGGCCATGGACATGACACAATACAAGAACGCTTCCAACTCCTGGCCTCCCATCACCCATCATATCCGTAACCAGAATCTTCCAATACAGTTCACCTTTCAAGCATCCGACCATTGCGGTTCTTGGTTGATTACCAAAACATGGATCCAGTCTGTGCTGGTTGCATTTATAAGACCACGCCCGACAGACCGTAGAACTTTGTTTCAGTCGCGCAAGCACTTCATCCAAGACGATGACGCATCAAACCTCTCTCTCTCTCTCTCTCTCTCTCTCTCTCTCTCTCTGTCTCTTTCGATGCTCTTCAGAAGTTCCTGCCGATTCCAGACAGGTGCTGCGGAACACGAGGTGGGATCTCCTCGGGGTTGGCAATGGAGGAGGCGGAGGGGGACGACGTCGAGGCGGGCGCACTCTCCTCGGCACACAAAGAGGACTGCTGCTGGCTTCTTCTCGCACGGCCCTGCGCGGCCTTCATACGACTCATCTCTGCATACTTCTGCCTGGCCAACTTGATGGCCTCTTTGCGGTCTTGCTCCTCCCGCGCCTTCACCTGTCCTGCATTGTTATCCCGGGCGTAGATCTGGCGACCCCGTGCCTTTTGCTGCTGGAGCTCCTCCGCCGACACGCTGCTGCGCTTCCTGGTTGTCGACGACACCGCACTACCGGCCGAGGACGACGTCGCGCGCGTGCTGACCTGTGACGACCCAAAGCTCGAGGTGCGACCTCGGACCGCGGTCGTCGCCGTCGACACGGACGCGAGACTAGCTGTACGTGCGGCCGAGGGGGTCATTGTCACCGCCTGACGCTTCGCCGCTCCCGCCTTGGGTGAGGACTCCGCAGTGGCGGCAGCCTGCTGCTCTGGCTGGACACCCGTGCTTTGACGCTGACGGCTGGTAAACGTCGAGCGCACAGTGCTGGGCGCAGCCTTTGCCGGCGACGGCCTGGCCTTGAACTGGCGGCGCCTGCGGGCTTCCTCCTCCTCCTCCTTCAGCTTCTGCTCCAGGCGTTCCTTCTTCTGACGCGAGTACCGCTCACCAGGCAGTTCAAACTTAGGGACTGTCGGCGGCTTGCTAGACCGGATGGAGCGGGTGCGCTGTGGAGAGCTCGCCGACTCGCCGGCCGCCTTCTGCGGGTCGACGAGCTGCATCGACAGCCGCGCTGCCTTCTTTTCCTTCAGCTCCCTGGAGACTCTCTCACCGGGCAGCTCAAAGGTCGGAACAGTAGGCCGCTTGCTGGTCTTCTGAAGGGGCTTGGGTGGGGCCAGGCTGGCTGGACGAGCCACCTTCCTCAGCGTTGCCGCCGTCGGCGTCTGCGCATTGCCACGGTCGGATCCTGGCAGAGAAGCGGCATCATGAGCTGTGCTGCGGCGCGCTGAGACACTTCTCTTTGCCTGGGCGCCTTCTTGATGCGCCTCCTGAGGCGCGGACCGGGTTGCTGCGACAGGTTTCTCTTGCTGCTGCTGCTGCTGCTGCTGCTGGTTGTCCTTGATGCTCATTTGCGCAGCCGCGTCTGCCATTTCCTCAATATGATCCTCGAGCATGTCGAGCTCCTCAAAAGAGTCCTCGATCGTGCTGAGGGGGGCCTTCATCTCATGATGGCGGAGATCCATCGTGAGAGTATTGTCGCTGTCCTCTGACGCCTCCACAGCAGTAGACCAATGGGCACTGCTGGCACTCAGGGGACTGGGTCGGTAGGCGTTGCTTGTGGCGCTGGTCGGGGTGTTCACCACCGTCTGAGAGGCTGCCATCTTCTCAATCTCTCGAGTCTCCTCTTGCAGGACACGAAACTCGCACGTGGTGAAGCCAAGGTGCGCCGTCGTGCTCTGTTCTGGTCTGAGATCGATAGGCGTGGCTAGGAGCAGATACTTGTCTTCCGGGTCGCCTGGGAACTGGCCTTCTCTTCCAGCCTTCTTGGTCCAGGTCAGCAGGTTGCAGCCAAAGTATCGTCTGCCGCCCTCGTCAGGGGTGTGGTGAGAAGTGAGGTCCAAGGGGCTATTCTGTGACTGCTGGGTGGATCTTTGGGCAGCTGAGGCAGGGAGGGACAAGACCCATTGAAACTGCTTCTTCTTGTGCTGCTCAAAGACGTTCTCGTTGGGATCAAGACTTCTGGCAGCCTTGACCAGGTCGTGGCCACCAAGAGCGTCTACTAGTAGCAGGCAGGTTCAGGTCAGTCAAGTAAACTAAGAGGAGACATATGATCAGATCGCTGGGGGCGTGAATGTCCCAACCTGTGTCTGTTTCAGCGTGTGTGCTAGTAGCGCCTGATGATCTCGGCGCAATAAAAGTCTCGGCTGCAAGTGGCGCACGCCGCTGTTGGCCTCGGAACTTCCTGTCGTGGAGATCAATACGAGCACCGCCTTGGGATGGCTTGAACAACCCCAGACTTTCGGATTTATGCAAGGGGGACGCGTCGTGGCGCGTCTCTGGGTCTTCGTTTTCCTTGTCAGAGATGTCTAGATCGCGTTTCTCCCAATGAACCGTGTTGCGCTTTGAGGATGTGCGACAGCCAGGGGAGGAGGAAGAAGAAGAAGAAGCTGAAGGAGGGGTGTGCTTCATAAAGGCATAATCAGAAGTAGGCTGAGAAGAAAGCAGAGCCATGGTGGGGGGACGGGGGGGGGATGTTCGGATCTAAGGGATCTAAATCGTCTCGCCCTGGGGTTGACCTGACACGGGTTGACAAGGGGGTTGATCCTATTTTGGAAAGCCGCTTTTGCTTCGTGCCAGAATCTCAGACAAAATTGGGCCACTCAGCAACGCAATTCGGCCGAATCAAAAGAAACACGTCTAGTTTACCACTCTCGTAAGGCACAGGAATGTAAATCGATATGGGAGCCGCGGGGGGACCGGGGGGGGGGGCGGTAAGTCAATGTTGATTATAAAGAAAAGTTGACATGAGCTCAAAAGAGTAATGTTGTTGAAGACCTGGAGAAGCACAAGAGATGGAAACCAATGAGCATGAGCATAAGCACGAGCACGTTTATTTATCAGTGTACCATGATCCGCTGCAGGTCGCGGCTGACTTGGTTCGTGCGAGTAAACAAATACAAACTATAAAAGTTGCAAGTGCGACGAGTGCAATAAAAAAGTAAAAATGTCTAACAACAGTGGCTAGGATGTTTCCTCCCACTTCGGCGGTGTGATTTCGATTTGGACCTTGCCCTGTATCTCCTCTGCGAGTCGCATCGCAACGGAGACATGCATGAACGCCCACTGCGTACATTTTTGACGGGAGTTCGGAAGCTTGAGGACGCTGTCTGGAGTCATGCTGTCCTGAATATCTTCCCGTGAAATGCGTTCAATCTTGGATGGTAGCGCAGAACATATGTGGCCCTTAATGAGATCAGTGTTCTGCCACAATCTGTCGAATCGTTGTGGGGGTATGAATTTCTGTTTGCAGTGCCACACGTAGTTCTTCCAATCTGCACCGTACCAAAGATACTCCATGCGGAGACTTGCAATAAAGGTCTTGGGCACTTGGATCCGGATGATCCATGTCTCAGATTTGGGACATCGTAACGCTGCCCATGCACGATACTCCTCAGCAGTGGCTTGCTCCAGCGTGAAGTACCAGGCGTCGTTGACGTAGTTGAAATCACCACCAGAAGATCTCGCGATAGATTTTATTCCCACATTTCCGGCAGCTTGAAGAAAGTATCGTCCAACCTCACAACTAGCTTGGGCTTTGTAAAGCACGTAATGATCTGGGAGGACGGTGTAGCTGCCTTCGTCGTAGACACATCCTTCTGGCAATTGTACGCGGTCCAAATACCTTGGCTCTGTCGTCACAGGTCTCTGGGTTTGTGCCGAAGATGATTCGCCTTGTGACTGAGGTGGTTGGTAGAGGTTTGTGGTTTCTGAAAGGCTCTTGCGAGCCTTCTTCTTGCTCGGTCGACCGCGTTCCACGAAACGATGGCAACGATCGTGAAGTTCGGAGATTGTGAGATAATTGAGGCGCAACGTGTCGCAAACCCAGTAATGAAGTGTTTCTGTGCGCATCATGTCGGCGTGTTGCGGGTCTGTGAAAACAGCTTGAAGATAGGAGTTGATGCCCATGAGAGAAAGAGCTTCGCTATCAGGCAGGTTCTCGTACGGATCAATTTCCCTAATGAAGGATTTTGCGTAATCAAGGATGGAGTCAGGGTTCTGGTCCGGGTCGGAGCGGGCCACGAAGCGAGCATGAATCTCAGTTGCGACTTCGTTATTGAAACCCATGAACTCGAGGGCTGCAACGCTCTCTTCGCTGGTAGGAAATTCAAAGGTTTGATCTCCTGCGTCAATGGGCCGTCTTTTGATGCGTATAGAAGCTACCGGGGATGAAGAAGAGCCCGAGGACCATGAACCATGGGACGTTGGTGGACTGGTCAGAGAGACGCTGGCTTTGCGTTTGCCTCCTGGAAGAGGGTCTGATATCAGACCGGCTTGGTGCAGTACTGCAATCTCCTCAGCAGTGAAGTTGCCATCTGGCTCGTGATGGGGAGGTGTAGTGGTAGCCATGTTTGCGAACGATTACACGTGAGATGATGATGTTATCGGGGTGGGAAAGAATTTAATAACAAATTGCACAAGCGCGCAGGCGTATGTTGATGGCCGGAAGCCTTGGATGGAGAAGCATCATCGTAGTAAGTCGTGGACTGAGTTTATATAGCAATTCGGGAGAGCCGGCGCCCTGAGGTTCGTGCTAGCTCAGCCAGCTAGGAACCTTCGGCTCGGGCTTGTAGGGCAGGCGCGTGGTCGGTTGGTATACGGACCAGCGTCTGCGGTAGTGCTGCCCCGCCGCCTTCTGCATCTACTTGTGGTTTGGGTAATTTGGCTAGGCAGAGATGTCAGCAAAACCTTCTTTCCGATGGCCTGTGATCAGTTGATGCAAGAGGGATAGTAGGACTAACAGGAAGCCATGCTGATGGCGCGGAGGACGTTATGCCAGTTGCTCATAACGAGCGCGATAGCTGATGGTCGCGTCAGCTACTTCACAGTTGTCCTTTCCTCTCCGTCGATTCAGCCATGCATACCTTCCGTGCCGTCAGAGAGCGTCGCGAGCTTCTGCTCCAGTGCCTCCATCTGCGATGCGACTGCCGCGCTTAGGTCGCGCAGCTCTCTGAGGTTCTCAAGCTCGGCCTTCTTCTCGTTGACCCGTGCCACCAGCGCTGGCGACTGGCCTGTCGATGCAGATGGCCCGGCCATCGAGGGCTGCCGGATGTGTGCAGGTATTGATCTGCTTCCCTGGTATGACATTTTTGTTTTTCCTTCACCTCCGGTGGTTGGTTGTGTCGTCTTGTTTCAACGACTGGTCTGTTCTGGGGTTTTGTTTGTGACGTCGTAAATGACAAAATAATCGTACCAAGTAGATAACCGAGAAATCGCAGGAGGGGCGTCGTCTTTGCGGGAGCCCCTGACGCTGATCTTCATAGGCCTACAGGGGTATGCTGCATGGCTGTCAAGGGTCACTGTCACGGTGGGGTCCCTGACGTTGGCCAACGGGGAGCTAGCAGGGGAAGTTGCTCCGGCAACGGTCCTAGCTCTATTTTGTGAGCTTTTGTTAGCCATTCGCCTAAGGGAAAACAGGGGACCTTACAGCATCCACACCTGCCACTCAATTCAGACTGCATGCTCCTCCTCCGCCACCAGAATTGACTCCCAGCCCATATTTCGACTGTTGTGAAAAAGAGCCCACCAGACAGCATCTCAACCCCAGATATATCCCTAATCCACCTCCGACCTTCAACACCTCCTAGGCACCGATTCCGCTTTCCACGAGCGTTTGCGACCCTGATTATGATACAATGGCAAGATTGAACGAGCCCCCCGTGTCAACAGACGCCTTAGAAACTCGTGAGTTGCTCCCTCTTGGGATATATACATATACTCCAGCCACTGCATAGAAAACTGACTATGCTCCCTGCCTCTTTCTAGTACGAAGGAGATTCCTACGGCAGAACCGAGATATCGCAAAAATCAACTCTGCTCAATCACTGCGCATCCGCTCCCTCGAAAGCGAGTGTGGACGTCTACTGTCGGACAACCTCGCCCTCAACAGCCGGATACTAGAGCTGGAGAATGAGCTCAAGGAGTACAAGGGCGCTCAAAGAATAGCCGACCATGCCCTCGAGATCAAGACCAGGATGGAGGCACAGCTTATAGAGTGGGGAGCCATGATCCAGGGGCTGGGCGTGGAACCAGCAGCAAAACGGCACGTCTCAATGTCTCCAGGCGGGACCAAGACCAGCAGACAAAGACACAGCGCCGACCTCAGCCCAGCAGCGAAGCGGAGGCCTCGAGACTCCAGGAGCGCGGAGGAGGCTGCCAGGCAGGAGGAAGGGCGGTTGCCGCCGATTCACGAGAACAAGACTTACCCACGGAGGACGATGAGGTACGTGGGCGCACAACATGGACGTGCGGGGCTTTCGGAACCAGCTAACATGCAGGACAGTCATGCAGAGCTTGTCGCCATATGCACCGATGCCGAAGACACCAATGACTCGCCAGACCTGGGACCGCCGCCGACGTCGCGGTATGTTGAGGAGGATCCGATCAAGATTGACAGCCCCTCCAGGTCCACTAGTGTCCTCGAGACCAGCCCCAAGATCAGGAGAGAGACCCTGGCGCCGCCTGAGTCGCCTCCACAGCTGAAACTCGACCCGAAGAAGAGGCCAATACTGCCGACGGAGGCCGCCACAGCCACGAGCCCAGAGCCCACAAAGCCGGCGGCCGACGCTCCAGCTCTTCCTCTCGTGAAAGCCGGTTCTAAGAGGAAATTTGGCGATGAGAATTACGAGATCCAAGCTGCTGCGAAGTCTGGTGTGGACAAGGAGAATGGCGACAGTAAACTTCTGTTAGACGACCCGCTTGCGACCACAGACCTCAAGAGCCGTGCCAGTGGGAATGCGAAGGGTCTATCATCTCACAAGAATGGTGCGAAGAATGGACGAGGGGTGGGACGACCTCGGAAACCCTTGGCGGACAAGACCACGAACGACGATCTGGTGTCGCCCAAGAAAACCATCAAAGTAGCAACGATTGACAACCTCAAGAAGGCGACGACAGAGTCGGAAAGGACCGTCGCACCACTCAAGAAGAAGAGAGTCGTCCCTATCAAGCTGCCTATACCTCATCTCCCTGCCCCCACGGCGGTCAACCCACCAGAAGAACCAGCTACACCATCTGCTGACCCCGGAATTGTCTTCCCCGAAACCCCCGAGACCAAGTCCGTGGAGGCAAACCCAGGTGACACACCGCCTCCGGCCGACATTTCAGTGCATGGAGAAACATCACGCCCTAGTAGGAGGGCAAGGCCAGCTATCAGCTATGCCGAGCCAAACCTTCGGGATAAGATGCGTCGGCCCACAAAGGAACTATTTGATGCTGTCTCTGGGGAAGGAAAGTTTGTCCGCTCCAGCTCAGCCCACCCTCTGGGTGTTCTATCCTCATCGAAACTCAAAATCGATGATGAAAGCTCAGTGGAAGGGTCATCAAAGCAGTCAGGGGATGGAGAGAAGCCTATCGGAGATCGGGCAGCTCGCAGGCCTGCTTTATTGAGTCCATTGTTGTTGAAGGAAGCACCCAAAGACCAACCTGGGGATTACTTCCCAGACTCTATCATCACCGAAAGGCGACGAAGGCCCTCCTCTAGGCAAAGCCAACTCTTCGAGCAGCAAGCGGACCCAGAAGGGCCCGATGGGAAGGAAAAACAAGACGAAACCGATCCCTACGAGTTCCGAAGCATGTCCCCCGCCTCTGCACAGCCAAAAGAAAATGCCACCCGGGGCCGGGTCACCAAGGGGATGCGAAGGTCCATGGCGGGTAGTGCTGGCGAGGCAGCCGATGCGACGATAAAGGAATTCAGACCATCTCGGAAGAGGGCATCCATGGCGGCACCGAGAAAAACCTCGATGCTCGAGTGCCCCTTAGACGAGGACTCATCATTCGAAGCTAGTGGTGATCCGACAAAGGCAGAGCCATCCTCGAGTCTGAAGGACAGGGTGTCGAGGAGGAGGAGCATGATGTTGTGACGGGAAAGAGCTTGTCATGAAGGTCTCGTACAAGTCAAGGAGGCTGGTGGGACATGGTAATCTTGGATCGTCGAACAGCGGCTGAGGGTATGCGGCATGTGACACTCACGCATTGCTGATGAAAAGTCAAGGCGCAGAAGGAAAGAAAAGGATGGGATACGGTCGAATACAGCGATGTTCTACTTTTGCATGAAGAAAGCGATTGGACATCAAAATCTTAATTTAATGAAGTATACAATGATCTCCTGAACTAGCATCATTCATTGTCACTGATTGCCATTCGGTGCTCGAACTCATGATGAGCCTTCCCTGAGGAATTGCCTGCACCAGGCAAAAGTTTCCATCGTAGATGGCGAGGCAATGGATCGCCGTTGGCATTCGCTGTGACTATGCGACACTATGCCCAGCGACTTGTGGGATACGTCTCTGCATATATGTCTACGTAGTGCATGACTTTGGCTCTCTTTTCTCTCTCACATACACTGTTCCGGTGCCTAGGTCACAACGGAGACCACCACGCATCATACTTCACAAGCCCTACTCTTCCCCCCGTCGTCTTGCAAAGTCGTCTCTGGGTCTATTCTGCTCCAACCGCATTAAATCTCTGTGAATGTCATCGCGCAGCCACTTGCTGATAGATGAGTCTGACTTTTGTCAGGAGACCGCCTTCTCTCCTGCACACCTTCCCTGCCGGTGCAAAACCCTTGAGCCATTACTCGCCCGTGTTCCTACATCAACAGCCTAGACGAGCATGCATTTTCATTCTTTATGGTCCCCTCCTCTAGTATTTCTTTGCGTAGCGTTCGCTAAACGCTTCTATCATGACGATGGTCCCGTCGACTCCACGGGTTTGGTATATGTGACCTTCTCGACCGCGACGGTGTCTGCGCCGTTCGCATCTTTTCTCAGCTGGTAGACATACAGCGTGAGCGATATGCCTTGTACCTGTGTAGGTATGCAATGTCAGCACACAGAAAATTATACTACGTAGCCCGAGCGCGTTTCTCGGACAAGTTTACAGAGAAGAGAGAGAGAGAGAGAGAGAGAGAGGACATCAACCTACATCCATGAGACAGAAGCTCGGGACGACCTCGCCGTCCTCACCCTCAGCGGTGCCCCAGCCGGTAGAGAAGGCGCCGGTGGCGCTGCCTGGGTTGACAAAGAACTTGTCCATGTATTCGAAGCACTCGAAGCGGTGGGTGCCACCCCAGCAGAGGACATCGACGTCGAGGCGGTTGGCCTCGGCCAGCAGCAAGTCGGGCTCGGCGGAAACAAGGGTGAAACCCTCGAGGAAACCGACGCGCAGGGAGCCGTGGGCGACGACCTGAGTCAGAGGAAGAGAGGTGGCCTCGACGTCGAAGCGGCCCTTGACGATCTTGAGGTCCGGGGAGACGGAGCGCAGGTACTCGTAGGTGGCGCGGTCGGTGAGGTTGCCTAGACAAAGGGTCTGGGATATTTTTCCTGGGGCGAGGAGCTTCTTGAACTGTGTGGTGAGGTCTCCTTGTCAGCGATGCTGCCCATCGTGTGCTGCCTGGGAATTGGGCAAGCATCGGGAGAGGCAATGGGGATATATACCTTTGGTGGAATGTCCAGAGCCCGGTCGGGGATGTGGAGGTCCCCTATCACGAGGATGAGAAATGCCATGATGGGAAGTGAGGTCGAACTCTAGCTCTCTGAGGCAGGAGGACGTATTGTGGTGTGCGCACGAGCCTGTCCGCAGGCGGCGTCGTTCTGTCTCGAGAGCTGGAGGAGGATGACGATGCACCGCAAATTCGCAGGAGACCCTGGTGGGTGCCCGTGTGGAACTTGTGTGTCCTCTCCCTACAGACCTGGAGCTTGAATGATATCCTATTTGGATCCTATCTTTCTTTCTCTCTTCCTTTCTTTCAGTATTGATTGGCAGGCGTCCAGTGAGTGTACGTCGTGGTGGAGGTGACTGTTTGAGTGGTGAGGGCCGTCCCAGTGGGTTGGCGCCGCTCTGCGCTGCTGCTGGGGTAGCTAGCTCTCTGGCCCTGCCGCAGTGGATAAGACCGTCATCCCCAGCACCGCCCCGTGCCCGCCTACTTCGTAGTAGTCTTAGGGCGATAGTGTATAGAGTCGCATGTAATTTGTACCATGTAAAGTACAATGCAGCGTGTAGTGGCCTAAGAGCGGGATGCTCTGTAACCACCTATACATATATGAGCAGATAATCATTACCAGCAAAGAGGAGAAATCTCGTGCTGAATACTAAGGTATGCTAGGAATTGACTTGAGGCTAGGATTGGAGGTCTTCAACGACATAGTATCTCTCAAAATACAATTGGCCTGCTTATCTTGCGAAGGCGGCTCAGATAACCACAGAACAATCCGCTGAACAGTATTGCTCCTTCTCCATGACACTCCGAGTCAACGCCGGGCCTCCCAGTGCCGGAGACGGTCAATTTAGTGAGAGTCATTAGTCAAGGTCCACTTCAGACACACAAAGACACAGGCATACAAGGTTGAAGGACAGCTCACTGCACACAAGGTCAGCTGTGCACTGCTCGCACTGCTCAATTGCCCACTACTTTTACTTTTGATAGTACGAATTACCTCTCTCTCTGTGTCGGGAAACCACACCGATCATCCTTCAATTGGCCAATTGCAGTCCGGCCCATCAGACCAGAAGCCGAGAATCTCCCGTCCTTTACTCGACAGCTCATCACCCTCCCGAGAGTACTCCAGCGAACCAGCAAACTTGTAGTGCGGGAAAGAGGGGAGGTAGGCTGCTCAATGTACCGGTGTCGGCCACTACCGCTGCTGCAGACTAGACTTCCGGTCATGATACCCCGCGCTCCTGGCCGGTTATCTCTGATCTCTCAGCACCTCGCCGGCAGCAGATCAACAACCAGCAGTTCATATAATACCTCCTCACACTCTCCGACCCAGCCAGCAGGCCTGACACCCCTTCAACAACATCGCAGGCTCTCCACAAGCGCAGCACTAGACCTAGCCAACACCATGTCTTCCCAGCCAGAACACCCAACACTGCTCATCCCAGGGCCCATCGAGTTTGATGATGCCGTGCTGCAGTCCATGAGCCACTACAGGTGAGAGCAAGATAGCGAGCCAAATGACTGAGATTTCGTTTGTGTGTGGATGTGTGTGTGTGTGTGGCTGACCGTCATCACCACCCATCTAGCGAGAGCCATGTCGGCCCTGGGTTTGTTTCCACCTTTGGCGACACCCTGTCGATGCTTCGGAAGCTCTTCCAGACGACAGACCCGGCTTCTCAGCCCTTTGTCATCTCTGGCTCCGGCACGCTCGGCTGGGACCTCGTCGCCGCCAACCTGGTCGAGCCTAGCGAGGAGGTTCTGGTCCTCACTACTGGCTACTTTGGCGACTCGTTCGCCGACTGCTTCAGGGCCTACGGTGCGAATGTCACCCAGCTCAAGGCCCCCGTTGGCTCGAGGCCCCAGCTCCCAGAGATCGAGAAGGCCCTGAAGGAGAAGAAGTACAAGGTCATCACAGTCACGCACGTCGACACCTCCACGGGCGTGCTGAGTGAGATCGAGCAGCTCTCTGCTCTGGTCCAGAAGGTTTCCCCCGAGACTCTGCTCATTGTCGACGGTGTCTGCTCTGTAGCCGGAGAGAACATCGAGTTCGACAACTGGAAAATCGATGGCGTCGTGTCGGCCTCACAGAAAGCCATCGGTGTCCCCGCCGGGCTCTCCATCTCCATGTTCAGCGGTCGTGCCATGCAGGTGCTGGAGCAGCGCAAGGCACCCATCACGGCCTACTTTGCCTCAATGAATAACTGGAGACCCAGTAAGCTTTGAAACCTCCGCAATCGGGAATTCTTTGGATGCTTGTGAGAGACCCGGCTAACGCTCACAAAGTCATGAAGAACTATGAGGCAAAGAAACCCTCGTACTTTGCCACGCCATCCCCGCAGCTGATCCACGCCCTGGAGACGGCTCTTCAGCAGATCCTGGCAGCCCCCATCTCGGAACGCTTTGCCAAGCACGCCGAAGTCTCAGACAGGATCAAGAAGGCTGTGACGGCACTGGGCCTCAAGCAGGTCGCCTCTAACCCAGAGGACCAGGCCCACACTATGACTGCCATCTATCTGCCCGAGAATGTGAAGGCAACAGATATCCTGCCTTCGCTCGCCAAGAAGAATGTCGTCTTTGCCGGAGGCATTCACAAGGAGATTGCGCCCAAGTATATCCGTTTTGGACACATGGGTGTCTCTGTGGTAAGTTCAGAGCGTCTCCTACCTCTTGAGCATCAAGGCTGACCTGTGACACAGTTGGACCCCAAGAGAGGTGATATCGACCGTGCCATCAAGGCCTTGGAAGACGGTCTGACAGAATGCGGCTATCAAAAGGCATGAGAGCATAGTAATGCATAAGTAGAAAGGGCGAGGTTGGTTGAGACAAAAGGCTATCTGAATCTGGATGGGGTCTTGTTACACCAAGCAGGCCCAGCACACTTTTTTCTTTCTTTTTACCAGCAGACGAGTAAAAGAGTAGAGAAAATGCGATGTACAACAAAACAAAAAGAGGTTTGGTCTATGCTAAATAGATAGAGTTGTCACGAAAAAAGCTCAAAGCCGTCCCAAGACACAGCCAAACTAATCCTCCCACAAATCTAGTAGTTGCTACTGAGACATACGTGCAAGAGGCTTACAGGCACACAGCTTGCTACTCTGTACCAGAGCCCGCTCTCAACAAAGAGCTTGCTATCATATCACCTGATCGATACCCTGTTCAATGTTGCCTCTGTGAATTAATCATCAGTCCCACTGTCCTGAGAAATCATTTCGGAGACACGCGCCTGATAAGTGCTGACAAAAGGCGAGACGCGACTCGAAAGGCTATCAGTGACGTACCGCAGTACCACAGTACCCGTAGCTGCACTGAAAGCAGGCGTGGGCGCACCCTGCTAGAGGCTGCTGGGCAGGCGGGTACAGGCCTAGCATCGCCTCGTGAAAGCGCAAAGTACTTTGAGGCTGGCACCTTGCGGGGGCCACAGCGGGGTAGGCAGAGTGGAGCCACCTGGGTTATTAGCAGTGTGAACTGAAGTGACCTGCCGTATGGTCCCGCGCGGGAGGCAAAGCTTCAACCTTCACTTTCGACCTCGCCGCGCCGCTGCCTCCCAGCCCACTCGCATCTCGATCATTCTCCTCATTCTTGCAGCTCTCTTTCCATACCAACACCACCACCACCCAAAAGACAAAGAAAAGAAGAAGAAAAAAGAAAGCAAAGAAAACCACAACAACCGCAGTCACAGAGGCCTGGTCCAGATCTACTCTGTGGTCCGTCTCGTGTTTTTTGTTCAGATTACCCCACCGCGACAAGAACCACCGCAGAACGGCACATTCAGCCTAGAATTATTCACGCCCTCCACGCCCACCCGTCGCGATGGCGATATCCATAGAGGAGCTGGATGTGACCGTCCGTGCCTTCTATGAGGGACGGGGCGATCAGGTACAGCCGTCTTGACTCTGGAGTACAGCCTTGTTGACATATCTTTGCTGACGACCTTATCCTGTCTACAGCAAAAAGCTGCCCAGGCCGCCCTGAACCAGGTAAACATGCGCGCGCCGGCCCCTCTTCACGCCAATCCTCAACATCCCGCTGACAGAATCGTGATCGCAGTTCAAGGAAGATCCCGACGCATGGCTCATGGTGGACGACATCCTCGCCAAAGCCACCTACCCCCAGACGAAATGTACGTGCCCTTCTACCGCCTTCCACACGCAACGACGCAATGACTTTCATGAGCGAGGGCCGTTTGGCTGACCAGTTACATAGACCTCGCCCTTCAGGTACTCGATCATGTCATTATGACAAGATGGAAGGTGCTCCCGCGGGATCAGTGTCAAGGTAAGAGCAGCAGCATTCCTCCGCGCCCGCTGTCTCGTCTGTGCTAACTTCGATTCTCCCCTTCTTCCCCTCTTTCAGGCATCCGCAACTTCATCGTCGCCTTCATCCTGCAGTGCTCCAGTACCGAGGAGTCGTTACGATCCCAGCGCACGCTGCTCAACAAGCTGAACCTGGTTCTCATCTCAGTGCTCAAGCAGGAGTGGCCGCACAACTGGCCGACGTTCATCAACGAGATCGTACAAGCCTGCCACTCGAGCCTGTCCGTCTGCGAGAACAACATGATCATTCTCCGCCTCCTGTCCGAGGAGGTCTTCGACTACTCGGCCGAGCAGATGACATCGTCCAAGACACGCAACCTGAAGCAGACCATGTGCAGCGAGTTCTCCCAGATCTTCCAACTGTGCCAGGAGATCCTGAACACGGCCACGCAGCCCAGTCTTGTCCAGGCGACACTTGAGACGCTGCTGCGGTTCTGCAACTGGATTCCGCTGGGATATATCTTCGAAACGAACCTCATCTCGCTGCTGCGGACGCGCTTTCTGGAGGTGCCCGAGTTCCGGAACGTCACCCTTCAGTGCCTGACGGAGATCGGAGGACTGCAGACAGGTGGGCCCGGCAGCAATAGCTACGACGAGCAGCTCGTCAAGATGTTTACGGAGGTCTTGACCACGATATCGAATATCATTCCTATCCAGATGGATCTCAAGTCGACATATCCTCAGAGCAACTCTCGAGACCAGCAGTTTGTGCAAAACTTGGCCCTGTTTCTCACCAATTTCTTCTCTATGCATCTGAATGTAAGTCGCCACCACCACCACCACCACCACCTCCTCCTCCTCCTCCTCCTCCTCCTCCTCCTCCTACTACTACTACTGCACAGCCCAGCAGCCACTGATTACTGACATCACATAGTTGATTGAGAATCTCCCGAACCGAGACTACCTCACGCACGGCCACTACTACCTGATTCGCATTTCGCAGATCGATGATCGGGAGATTTTCAAGATTTGCCTTGACTACTGGCTCAAGCTGGTTCAGGAGCTCTATGAGGAGATGCAGTCCCTTCCTATCGGCGAGAATTCTCTGCTGGCCATGGGAAGCATGCAGGGAGGTGCGCCAAACCCCGCGCTCCTGTCGAACTACCCTCTGCGGAAACACAAGTACCAAGAGATTCTTACCAACCTTCGAGTCGTCATGATTGAGAAGATGGTCCGACCCGAGGAGGTGCTCATCGTTGAAAACGACGAAGGAGAGATTGTCCGAGAGTTCGTCAAGGAGAGCGATACTGTGCAGCTATACAAGACCATCCGAGAGTGTCTCGTCTACCTCACCCATCTGGACGTCGTCGACACTGAGAATATTATGACGGACAAGCTCGCGAAGCAGGTCGACGGCTCAGAGTGGTCTTGGCATAATTGCAACGTCCTTTGCTGGGCTATCGGATCCATTTCTCTGGCTATGAATGAAGAGACCGAGAAGCGGTTTCTGGTGACCGTTATCAAAGATCTTCTGGGCCTTACAGAGATGAAGCGTGGCAAGGACAACAAAGCTGTTGTAGCCAGTAACATCATGTACATCGTCGGCCAATATCCTCGGTTCCTGAAGGCGCACTGGAAATTCCTTAAGACGGTTGTGAACAAGTTATTCGAGTTCATGCACGAGTCGCACGAAGGTACAGTCCAGTCATTCTTTTTCCGCTGCTTTGCTCCATCAGAATGGCTATGCTGACATTCCCCACCTTTAGGTGTCCAGGATATGGCATGCGACACGTTCATCAAGATCGCCAAATCGTGCAAACGCCACTTTGTCGCTCTCCAGCCGAGCGAGCACGAGCCGTTCATCGAGGAGATCGTTAGGAATCTACCCAAGATCACAAACGATCTCACTCCTCAGCAAGTTCACACATTCTACGAGGCTTGCGGTTACATGGTGGCAGCGCAGGGCAACAAGAGCCAGCAGGAACGGCTCCTGGCAGAACTGATGCAGCACCCCAACGCCGCATGGGACGAGATCATCAAGCAGGCTACGATGAACCCGACGATTTTGCAGGATGCAGATACGATCAAGATTATCGGGAACATTATGAAGACGAACGTGTCGGCCTGCTCTTCGGTCGGGCCATACTTTTATCCGCAGATTGGCCGCATCTACCACGACATGCTGCAGATGTACAGGGCCACCAGTCAGCTGATCTCGGAAGCCGTGGCCAGGGAGGGCGAGATAGCGACCAAGATGCCCAAGGTCCGAGGTCTGCGGACGATCAAGAAAGAGATCCTCAAGCTCATCGAGACTTATGTCGAGAAATCGGAGGACCTTGCCGCCGTGCGGGCGCAGATGGTCCCACCGCTGCTGGACTCCGTTCTCGTGGACTACAACCGTAACGTCGCCGGTGCGCGCGACGCCGAGGTGCTGCGGGCCATGACTGCCGTGATCTCAAAACTCTCGGCTCTGATGGAGGACCAGGTCCCAATCATCATGGAGAACGTGTTTGAGTGCACGCTGGAAATGATCAACAAGGACTTCTCCGAGTTCCCAGAACACAGAGTCGAGTTCTTCAACCTCCTGCGAGCCATCAACCTGCACTGCTTCCCGGCGCTCCTCAAGCTTGATAACCGGCAATTCAAATTCGTCATCGATTCCTGCCTGTGGGCTAGCAAGCACGACAACCGAGACGTGGAAGCCGCCGGCCTCAACATGTGCCTTGAGCTCATCGTCAACATTGCAGAGAAGACGGACGTGTCAACGTCAAATGCGTTCTTCAACCAGTTCTTCATACCCATCCTGCAGGATGTCTTCTTTGTCCTGACGGATCAGGATCACAAGGCCGGCTTCAAGACGCAGTCGATGCTGCTCATGCGCATGATGTATTTCGTCGACCCAGCTGATGCAAATGAGGCCAAGATTCAGGGCCCCATCTATCAGGCAGACCAGGCCCAGGCGGGTACCTCGAACCGAGAGTTTCTCGGCAATTTCGTGGGCAGCCTGCTGCAGAATGCTTTCACCAACCTTCAGCCGTAAGTTTCTTTCTGTCTGAATGATGCTGTCCTCTCAACACTAGCTAACGCGTCACGCTACCCACAGTGCACAAGTCGTTGTGTTTGTCGAGGGTCTGTTCACGCTCAATGCACAGGCCGACAAGTTCCGGCTACACCTGCGTGACTTCTTGATCTCGCTGAAGGAATTTGCTGGCGACAATGCGGAGCTCTTCCAGGTGGAGAAGGAGAAGGAGGACGCGGCGAAGCAGCAGGCGGATCTCGACCGGAGATCCAAGGTTGGCGGTCTGATGAAGCCATCAGAGCTGGAGAATGATGACGATGAGCTGTGACTTAGGGAAGAGTTCCGAAACGAATATGCCCCATCATCTCACACAGCGACTGGTCTCCAGAAGCCTGGCGGTCATGACAAGCCCACGCAAGACCTAGACGGCTGGGATCTCTACGGGCTGTGAGCGTGTTGTGATGAGAGATGAGAGTGATGATGGGGTGGTGACGGCGCGGCAAAGGGGGAAACGGAGTCGTCTCCACAAGCACATGAGCGCGTACGCCGACCTACTACATTTCCCCCCTGCTTCATTTGTATGATACCACATAGAGAGGAGGGGCACCCGGCGTGAAGTCGCCAGCTGGAGAGCCACTTTCAGATAAAAGAAAAGGCTAGGCAAACAAATGCAGCGTGTTGGAGGAGGATAAAGAAGACAACCTCTTTTTTCCTTTTTCTTCTCTTCGGCCTAGAAGCAACAATTCGCTTTTCTTTAGTCTACTCAAAAGATCGGGTGAGGTCCGGAGGCTGCAGGTGGAAATTACCAAAAAGGAAAGGCCAAGGCAGAGAAGGAGAGAAAGGCACAAGCCGAAGGAGGAGGGGGACGGAGGCCTTTCGTCGCGTTCGTCATGTCATGCCCGAGTGCCTACTTGAGTACGCAATTCAGTCGGTCCACATGGTCGTCGGTTGTTTGAAAAGAAATCATTTGCTGGGAAAGACTGGGGAGAGTCACCAATACGTAGTTAGCTTATAGGACCACACTCAACAATAGACAAATGACATATTCTGAATGATGAAGAAGGTTTGGATTTGCTCGAGGTTTAAGCCTTTTGATTAGACTTTGTATAGAGGTTCTAATTAGTATAGACATAACGTGCTGTAGTGAGCTTTACGAAAGAGGAGTGAATTGTAGACTATTCTTATTGTGCGTGTGGGTTTGTTCACCGCAATTCTCAATATTCCATGTATACACAAAGAACAAAAGGGAGACAAGAAGAAAGAGAATATCAAGTCTTTTCCTAGCAGGACAACTAATGAGAATAAAAAAAACTCGAATGCATATGGAAACGTCTCAAGTGCTCATGGTTTTCGTTTACCCCGTTATCATTGTCAGTTTCTTGTGTGACTTTGTCAAGACCTGTCCAATTTACTGATCTGAGTATGCAATGGAAGCATACCGACAAAACATAACTTGATCAAAGTCTCTATCAAGAAGAATCCACGGCACTGACTGGCATCCTGGGCTTTGGCAGCATTCTGCACTATGGGGTGAAGACTAAACATCATCCAACACACAAGCAGGGGACGATGATTAGGAGAATATCATGGATGTGAAGATCTCCTCAAATTGACTAATCAACCCGCTCTCTGCACGCAACGAGTTGAATTAATGAAGATTTTACATCAGCATGCAGGACGGACGGCGCACTCTTTGACGTTAGATTGTCTGTCGATCCCTTTGCACCGACGGCTCTCCATAACTTCGGGCGGAGTTCCCTTACACAAACATGCTTTCATTGGTTGAGTAGACTAGTCTGACGTTGTGTTACAAGGCGGACTATACGAACACGGATGCACACTTTTCAAGAGAGAACAAGAGAGAGAGAGAGGGGGGGGGGGGGGGGAAACAGAGGTCAAAATAATATTCACACCAGAGGGGTGTGTTGTTGGCTGTAACATTGTACATCTACATTTCATACAGCAGAGTAGTATCTATCGTGCCGCCCTCCGCCCCCTCCATCCATCCATCCATTCATCCATCCATTCATCCATCCATCCATCCATCCGTCCATCCCATTCCATTCCACCTGCCGTGCCGCTGTTGCGTGCGTCTCTTTCGTAGCTCCGTTTCATCATCAAAGGTGCTTTTGTTGTCCCGGAAATCACATCAGACTGTGGAGCAATGTTCGTACCACTGCATGTTTTACTGATGACAATGTTGTTCCGTCCGTGCCGTCCTCCGTGTCCCGTCTCCTTTTACACCAGCAGCGACCACCATACATCCGTGGCCGGAGAATGCCGAGGGGAGAATCAAATCATGTGTTTTTGTCTCGGAGTAGACCGGAGTGGATAGGTACATGGTAGTATGCGTGTCACTTTGTGCTTCCTCTCTCTCTCTCGCATCTATACCTGGGACGAGGAGAAAAGACACCAGGACACACAATATAGCTTGGGCGAAAGAAGAATGAGAGGGGAGAAAGGAAACGTAGCAGAGCCTGGTGACATTGTGAAACGTCTACAACTTTGGGAGAAGAGAAAAAAAGGGCCGGCTGGGTGATGTCTCCCTGCCCACCCTTTCCTTTGAAAGAGGAGGAGCGGGAACGCACGCACCCCGTCGCAGCGTCACAGCAGCACGACAACGTGGCAAGCCACATGACAACGACCAAACCAGCCATGCCATTCTTCCTCTCTAAACGCTCTCTGTGTGTCTCACTTTTTTCTTCCTCTTCGGCGCTCCGAGTTTGGCTGTGACGCGTGACCGGCCGCAGATGGCATGATCTGATCTGCCTCCCCCCCCCCCCACCCTCTTCTCCCTACTGCACTCCCAACTCCGATCCGATCGGAAAGTAGCGAAAGCCTCAGAAGAAGAATGTCACCTTGGAAAAGAAAAGGAAAGAAGGCGTGGACCTGAAAGCCTCCCCGGCCCCCAAACCGACGATCATAATTGTGCCCGTCGTTATGGTCCAACTAGTCCCCTCTCTCTACCGAGGGCGCCACGGCGAACTATGCGTGCACACACCATCATTCACGGCATATTCATGACTTATGTTTCTCTTGTTGCCTGCCCGTGCCCGTCCCGGTCCCCGTTCACTTCCGTTCCATAGCCTTTCGCTCGCGACATCGGCCCTTTACTCGGTCGCCACTGTGATAGCTGAGAATAGTGATACCTCCCCCGGCCGAGTCTCTCGATTCGAGGACGGCAAGGGGGGGTGAGAGGCCAAGAGAGTGAAGAGAGAAGGGGGGGGGGGGGTGGCGTGTGTGCATGTGCACTTGTGTACGTGTCTCGTATGACACGGAAGCGGTACCCAAGTGGTCGGGAAAGTTTGCAGGTCTGGCTGAGAATCAGAGACTGGAAACCTCGACGGCATCGAGGGGCTTTCTTGTTGGCTCCGTGTTGTCCTTGTCTAAGGGTTCCGCATAGATTGGGGCGCTGTGAGAGGCAGAAGAAAAAAAAAAGAGGGCGAATGAGAGTGGGTGCTCAAGTGCGACCGGACGTTGTCCGTTGTCCGTTGTCCAATGCTGTGCTGTGTTGTGAGCGTGGCGGGGGCGGTATCTAGCAGCTTTGCGGCCATCTGCTTGTGTCGCATGTCAAAAGATGTGTGTCTTGTGTGTGCGTGCGCGTGTTTGTGGGTGTATTCACAGCCACAGTCGGCCGTGTGCTCGACGTTGTGCTTGTGTTGCGAGGACAAAAAGTTCTGTCCCCTCTTCCTCTCCTCATTTTCCCTCGTGTCACCGACCACTACTACCATCATCCCAGATCCGGCTACAGCTGCCCTCCAGGATTCGGTTTCAAGGGCGATGTCACCGAGTATTCAAATCTTCCCATATTGATCGGGGTACCCTCTACGCTTGTACTCCTGCTCCGTGGTTATCCGAGACTATGGGGGAAAAGAAGGGAAATCAGAAACCCACAATAACAGCCCACCACAGGTTACAATACACACACACACACAGGAGCATTGGGCAGGCATCTCTCGTCCCGCCAGGCCAGCCATCAAGGTGTGTTGTCTGTATGCGCAAGAAAGATGATGGAAAAAGAGAGAGACGTTACGTCTGCTGCTGTGAGCCCCTAGGAACGGACATGTGTGCCCCAATACCCCCGACTTGCTCTCCCTGGAGAGACGGAGAGACGGGAAAAATAGAGGAAAGAAAGCAACATTGCATTGTGACGTGTGAGTACGTAGCAACCGGAGATACAAAAACCAAATGATACGCGCAAGAGGACAAAGATGAGGACAACAGCTCACCCAGACATGAACGGCGCATCACCGCGGCTCATATCGCCGCGCGTGAGGACTGAAGGGAAAGCCCTTCATTCCCGTCGCGTCGACCCCACACTGCTTTTTTGGCCGGCCTGGCTTGGGTCTGGACCATGGCACAAAGAAGGCAGGTGAGTTCGCTACCGTATGGGATGACGACCTTCGCATCATCGTCATGCCGTAAACTAATGTCTGTTGCATCTATAGCGCGCGCATGTCGCCCGCACAACCAGGCCATACAGCAAAAAGCCGAAGGAAGAGAAAAGAGGCCCAGCCAGGCCCGCTCCTCTCGGCCTGGCCGCTGGGCAAGCATAGCCGAGAGAGAGGCAAAAGAGAGAAAAGAGAGAAAAGAGAGAGACACTTGGCATAGTCTGAGCGGGGGAGCGTGGCGTTGGTGTGGCGAGTCTGCAGTGGACGGACGCAGTAAAAAGCGGCACATCGGCGCCGAAACACTGCGTTGAGGCGCGGATGTGCAGCAGAAGCGAGTCCAATAGAAGCGGCAGAGAGTACCGACCCCAGACTTCTGAGAAGAGGGGGGCCAGAACAGTCCCTTCCGTTTTGCTTGTAACGCTCCCTCACTTTGTCGAAGAGTGGGGAGGGCACCACGGCACGGAGGGGACGGGAGAGGAGGTACGAGCACTGGCTGGTTGGTTGGTTGGCACTGTAACATTGTAAGTAAGCAGAGAGAGAGAGAGAGAGGCACGGATGTGCAGTGGAACCAGCGCAGACATACATACATATAGTAGTATTATATTACCAAAGTACATCCTCAAGCTCCATTCCAAATGGTTGCAATGGGCGTACCAGCCCCCCCCCCCCCAAACGAGCATCCCGAACCTGCAACACGTATTTGGCCCTCCGGCAGCAGCAGGCCAGCGCGTGCAGCAAAGAGAGAGAGGGAGAGCACTGGGTGCTGACATACACGAGATCCCATTGCCTCGCTGCCTCCCTCCCTCAAAGTATGCATGAATGAATGACGATGTGTTGGGGGTTTCGACGGCGCGTACTTACACGGTATCGGGTCGCTGCCTGGTCGTCCTTTCGGCTGCGACGTCGGACATGCCCCCAAGCTGTTGGGACTCTTTCGCTCTTCTCCACTTAGAGAAGCCCCTCTTCACCGGGCCAAGGCTGTAGTTGATTGGTGTAGGCGTAGCGTCTGACGACTACTGGTGTACTTGGATGATAGGGTGGCGGCGGCGGCATGCATGCGTGCGTGAACGGGAGGGGGGAGGGGTGTGTGGTGAATTCAATTGTGGGCAGAATGAGAGAGAAATCGAGAGAGCATGATGGCGAGGGAAAGAAAAAAAAAGTAAGACAGGATGGTTGCCCGCATTCTGTTGTGCCTGCATGCATGCATACTGCGGGTTGATGTGCAGGTGCGGGGTTGAGTGAGTTGTGCTTTGATGAGCATGCAGAGAGAAAGTGTGCGTATGCGTGTGAGTCTGTATGTGTGTTAGTGTGGACGAGGAGGAGGGGCGTGTGTAGAGACAGGGATATGAGCACCACACCCTCTCCGCTAGGAATCACACATAATCTATTGTATCATGGATTCTCTAGCGAGAAGCCATGGTGATCTCTCTCCTCTCTCTGTTCCCTTTCCAACCCTTCGTCACCTGCGTGTCATACGTAGGATTTAACCGAGGGCGTCAAGTCATGTGCAGCTAAGCCATGGTATGCTGTGCTGTAAGTCTCGATATTGTAGTGATGTTGATATCCATTCGGTATTCTCCTGCGATTCCTCGTTCCTCTTTGGTTGGCGCAAAATCCCGAGTGAGGGTCAGGTTGGGTTGTGGGGGGGTGTATGTGCCTCTGT